ATTCGTGCAAGGACACCAAATGATAGAACACGCAACCCGATCATTCTGGAGTGCTGTTAATGAAACCTGCACGCAAAATCGTATCAAATGGAAATTTAACACTCCTTTCGCACCATGGCAAGGAGGAATCTACGAAAGAATCATTCGCATCGTCAAAGAATCTTTATACAAAACAATCGGGAAACAAATATTGACGGAAGATTCCCTACGTACAGTTCTTTACGAAATCGCAAATATGACCAACTGCCGACCCTTAACATACATCGAAAACGACATTGACGACGTCACAGCAATTCGTCCGATCGACTTCATTCAGCGACATTTCGAGATACCTCAATTCACGGATTATCTCGTCAATCCAATCAATCATGAAGAAGACGAAGATTACATGTCGCCAGAAGACGAAATTCGACTGAAAACACGACTGGAAACGCAAAAAGCTCTTAAATCATCTATCGAAAACGTCGAGAAATTCTGGAAAATTTGGACTACAAAGTACATCCAAGAACTCCGAGAAGTGCAAAAAACAAGAATCGAAGACAAACGATACGCCTCAGCACAACCCCAAGAAGGAACCATAGTCCTAATCATCGACGAAAACCAACCACGTCATCAATGGAGAATGGGAAAAATCGAAGAAATCATCTTGAGCAAATCTGGAGCCACAAGAGAGATAAAAATCATTGTCCCAACAAATCCAAGATGTGGTGGATGGGGAAAAAGAACGATCCGAAGACCACCGAATCGAATCATCCCTCTTGAAATCGAAAACTCACCTCAAAATTTCCTCGAAAACGAAAATTCGAAGACTCAGCCAACGCCATCACATGATTTCGAAAAATCGATGACAAAGGAAACTGATACGAATCTAATCAGAGGAAAAACCCGATACTCACTCAGACAACAGAAAAAAGTGAACTACGACGAATCAAAACAGGAGAACGGAGACGATGAAGCAAGATCATCCAATCAAGAAGGATCAGAACGAAAATCATCCTTCAGAACGAACAAGATATCAACTTTATCTATGGCTATGATAATTTTGATGATCGCTACCCAAGGATCTACAGCAGCTGTTGTCACAACTCCAAGTCAAATATCACAAGAAGACATATGCACAGACGCCGGAATCAGAATTCGTATGGAAAAATTCAAGAAAGTTGAAGTCTGTGTAAACCATTATTGCACAACCAGGGACAGCCCAAGTGAGGAAAAATGGAAGGATATTTGGTTACCTCCATCTCTCAAACGACAAGAGCAACTCATAAAAATGAAGAAACTGCAGAAAGAGGACATAAAAATCTCCCAAATGACATGCCCAGCCATTCCATTCTGCAAAACGATCGACTGCACTTGGTGTCTACCAAATCTAGCGAACCCAGAATGTCACCCAATTTTCGCCATCGCGGGAGGAGTCATCACATTCTATCTGATCTTGACAATGCTCTACGTGATCAGCACAGTCCCGATTAGACTCGGAGGACCATGTCTCCTCGCTATCAAGCTCATCCGGATTTTAATAAAATTGGTCATCGTGATATTTATATTCATGGGAAATCTCGCCAGCATTATGTGGAGAACTATCAAAAAGTGGAGACGAAGAGCAAGAGGCGATCGCCAAGAAATATACAGCCTAGTTCAACCAATCATCATGATCATATTAATTGTATCGACGACTAATGCTTGCCAAGAAATTGAAATGATGAACAATAGGATGCAAATCTGCACGAAATTCGCAAATGGATCAACAAATTGCCATATAAGGACATCAGAGATAATCCAAATGAATCCACTTAAACGCGAAGCATGCATACGACTCAATCATAATGGACGAGCCATCCGTGAGATTCGAATCAACTGGAAATCAATCGAACTAAAATGCCTAAGAAACCCACGGTACTTCTCACGTGAAGTAGAACAAAAGGTACTGAGCGCAAAGCGATGCCCACATATGGGATCGTGCACCGGAAAGAAGTGCATGGACATCAACAGAAACTCAATCCTTCCCGAACTAAGCGAAGCCAACACCTACCTCGGAACGACAGGATGTGTTGCAAGTTGCGGATCGTTAGGATGCGATTGTTTTTACCCCAGCAGCGCATGTCTCTTCTACAGGTTATATGCAGAACCTACAAGCGACGAAATCCTTGAAATCATGGATTGCCAATCATGGGATGAACGACTGAAATTAGAAGTGGCCATCGCCAATCTACACACATCTGAGAACAATTTCAAACAATACAAGATTCTCACAAAACTGAACGAACCATTTCAACTCGAAGGCTTCGAATTACGATTATCATCCATTCATATTCCACCTTCGCCAATTCTGAAAAGCTGGTTCATTCTATCAAGGAATCACACCATCATGGAAGAACAAGAACTGAATTTACCAGTCAAATGTTCATCGCGTCAAGAAGCAAAAAATCTAATGAAATGCACTTTCACCGAAAATTGCAAATGCGAAGCAGCTGAAGAAGAAATGAAGTGCAATTGCATCAACTACAACTTCAGTAATGAACTACAAACTCTAGAGAAAGTTCTACCAATCTCAACAAGTATCTGGAATTTACGACGAGTAGGAAACACAATCATCGGATCAACAGATGCGACAACATCAACAACAATCACGATCGATATAAATCAAGATGTCATTCCAGTAATTCTACGATCACATGAAATCTGTAAAGTTCAAGTCGAAGCAACGATCGGATGTTACCAATGCTAGCAAGGAATAAAAACCGACATTATATGCAAATCCGAAAAGGAAGACGTCATGGCAGATATCAACTGCAGCTCCGAAAAATTCGCGATTCCATGTTCACCGGCAGGACGAAAATCCACAATCCGATTCTCATCGGAAACTGCGCGGTTCAGAAGAAACTGCGAGACCACCTGTGGAGGAAACCAGACAACTCAATTTGAAGTGATTGCATTACTCAAATTTCACGGAAATTTGTGGGACGCATCATGGAAAATTATCGAAGGAAAATCGAAAACTTACGATGAAATCAATTTACCGGACTTCAATCATATCTGGACTACGTACCTCAACTACATGAAGACACTACTGATCCTGATCATCGTCATCGGAATAATCGCAGTCATCATCTATACTACCATAGCCCGTTATGGCAGCCAAATTGTCATCTCCACAATCATCATATGCATAAAGATTGCATTATTTATCATAATATTGCCATTCAAAATCGCACGAAATTGTTGGAGATCCATGCATGTTATCACCATCATGTATCTAACCATACGCATGACAACTGCATGTACAATCAGCTACACAATCTCAACGTCATTGATTTCAGCCCGGAAAACAATGAACTTCTCATACACTGAACCCGAAAGAACAGACTATTTGGCCAGAAGAAGATGCCATAGAATCAAAGAAATCTTCCATGAAATGTTCGCGGCAGGACATGTCTTCGAACAAAAAGCGGACACGGCAGACAAAACGCTTGAGGAAGTAGCAAGAATGCGAAGCAATGCAATCGGAAACAGATGGTCCGTGAACCGATTCAGAACCGAACAAGAAGCACGGGACAAGATTATGGACACAATCATCACAGTGCAAAGCTCCTTCAATCGATACGCTCAAGCCATGGACAAAATCACAGATTTGCTAATCCTGGGAGACATAGACACCTTAGAAACGGCCATCCGCATAGAGAACGAAGGAATGGAAAAAAGCAGGATCAAAGCAAGATTCGAGGGAATCATGAACCGACTCAGCTCAGCCTACAAGACAGCAAAGTTGGAACACGACCGACACACACAGGAAAGATTGATTGCCCAGAACAAAGAAGTTAACGAATGGAGAACAACGGCCATGGAAGCTACGATTCAAATCAAGGAGATCAAAGAATACCTCCGAAGACATCAATCCGACAAGGAACAAATGACAGGATTACTAATGGATCATAACCAACAACTATTTGAGGCCATTCAAAAAACAATGCGAGAATGCGCCAAAAACATTGAAAACACTTGCCAGTCATTCGCGCCGGAGGCCCAAGGTCGAGCCAGCCAGAAGCACGACAAAATCTCCAAGGCCAAACGCAAAATCCCGAAATTCGTCATCCCGCTCGCCAAGATCAAGCAGCAGTGAAACACCCAAGTCATATGCGAGATCAAATACGAAATCGAGATCACGATCGAAATCAAGATCACAATCACGATCAAGAAAAACATATCGTCAACATCATCGACGAGAATCACAAGATCGCAACAATCAACGCCATCGAAGAGAATCAGAAGACAGCAACAATCAACGCCATCGAAGAGAATCAGAAGACCGCAACGATCAACGCCATCACGGGAAAACCGGACTCATCATACGACGGATAGCCACTGAAAACACCCGCGATGGAGACGACTTGAATTGTGCGTTTTGCTACAGACCGCACTTTTCCGACAAATGCTTCGAAATCACAAACGCCAAGGACCGAGAGCGTCATCTGGAGAAAACGGATAGATGCAAGAGGTGCGTGAAGCGGAACCATCGAGGAATATGCCATTCGAAATGTTATTACTGCTCAACCCACGGAAGGATGGAAGCAGCAAAGACCCACCACACGGCCATTTGTCGACTCCCCAACGTCACCGTCCTTGAGGGGGAGTGTCATTAATGACTACCGGAAAGTAGTCTAAAGGCCATCACAAATCATTCCTCGCCATCACAATTTAATATCTGAAGCACATTATTGAAAGTTTAAAATTGATAAACTATTATTAAATTGTACCGCCAAAGCCACACACCACCAAAGCCACCTACGCACACAGTGTAACCTTTATATTGCATTCGTGTGCCCCTATAAAAGGGAGCCTCAACGCCCATTTTTTCACTTTCTTTCCCTTCGTTGGTTGTTGTTCAACTTATATTCAATTTATGTCCAATTCATGTTTAACTTATTTTTAATTTATTTCTTTTACAATAAAGTTTAATTACCCAAGTTTGAGGTTGTCCATCTCCTACTGGTTAATAAAGTCTATGAGCCCTGAAAGAATTTCAATGTTTCCTGGGACGAGTTTCCTCGAAATCGCACCAATAATATTGAGCAGAATAGTGCACCAGAGATTGCCGTTATAGTTCTGGGGAAGCACTTTGAACAAGAATGAAGTGAGGAATTGGGTCACGCACACAATCATGTACTGTATGGCCATGCGATTTTCAACATTATTACGTCGATTGGAGAATGGTGAAGAGTGTCGATGGACGGCTAGTAAAGATATCACGTACGCATAAAGAACCATCATTACAATTGGGAGGATCCGACCGACGTAATAATTGACATCGGTGAATGATATGCCGACTGTAAAAAGATGTCCCACTATTTTGTTTTTTCCTCATAACGGAATCACTCCTATCAATTTTCCTTACACCAAACTTCGCAATTCGAACAGTCAAAAGTATATCTGAGGTCCCATCGATTGTATCGTTTCATGCATCCCTGGAATGAACTCTCAAAAACCGCAACGAACGCCAAAATCCATGGAAGATACTGTGTAGTCTAAAAAAATAAATAGGCAACCACGCCAAAGATAACCGTGGTACATTGTATACAAAATTCTGAAGTATTGTCACGTTCAAAAATAAAGTTATGCGGAATACACAGAAACCGAAGTTGGACAAAAGGTACGAAAGGAAACCAATTGAATTTGGAGTCGAGAGCCATATGAGAATGAAATCTTGCCTAGTATTAATTTTTCAATGATTAATTGATTAATTACTCACTTAATAAATGAGCAATAAGAAAACGAGCACGGGAATGAGACGACAAGGTTTGGTAACGAATAAATAATGCCTGCTAATAACATGCTTATTGTGTGCCGGATGTAACTCGGAAAATATCGATAATTATTTGGACGCTAATTAATACTAATTACCTGAAGCCTAAAGTATGTCCAATGCATTGCAATTAAACTCAGAACGAATCCATTAAGTAAAAGTGAGAAAATTGTGAATATTAGGATCCAGGCAGATACCATCACCCTTTCACAATTTGTATATTCGTGCGATGAGTTCATGAAGCACACGGAAGCATTATCTTCGAGTACAAAATTCATTTTCAATCTAAAAATAAAAAAAACTGAAAAAAATTGTCTAAAATAAATAATAGTGGCACATACCAATATAAAAAATAAGAAGACCGAACTCGACGAGGTATGTATGATCGAAATGAACCTAAATATGAAATATTTATCGCATCAACCGGAAAATATTGGATATAAGGGCTTCAGTTAGATTTGTTCTGCGCTTTGCTCTTCGCCCTAGTGAGAAAAACTGTTCGCTCGGACAATGTTCAATCTTGTGTTGCACAAGAGAATGGAATGAGATGGAACAAATATTCATTAAGCGCAAGTTATTTTGAGCCAAATTAGACATTTTCCGACTCGACTAATTTCCAAGAAATTGACTCGACTTCGAAGGTAGCTTATCGACAATACTTTTTTTTTATTCCTCTGTATTATTCATTCTTAGATATTGTAGGGTCTTGTTAAACACCAATTTCGGTTGATTTCAGAAGTTAAAAAAACGATAATAGACAGTAGTAAATACACCAAGTAAAGACTATCTAAGCCGCTCAATAAATTAGTTTTCAATTTGATTCCCCCAAAGGTCACCGTTAAAACAGAGAAATTCAAAACACGCCAAACAGAGTGAACCTTATGAAGATGTTCTAAAGTTCTAAAGTGTCGAGCAGCTGTAATCACAACTCACAAAGTGCAAGTTTTATTTAGACAAAAAGTTAAAAATTTTCCGACTCGTTTGTTTTCACAGAAAATCAGTCCAATATGCCTGAAGCTCATCAATAAGATGTTTGATGTCTCTTTGTCATTTTACTTCTTTTATTTTAAGCAGCGCAAATTCCGTGGAGTTCGTAGTACATATTAGCAGCGCGCTGCCGATTTTCTTGTTTTTTTTACAGTATAAATTCTGAGTAATTTGGTGTAAAATTCGTTTCATATTTTCTGTCTGAACATAGTCTTTACGCGTTTCCATTATGACGCATTACTACAATTATTAATATAAAAGCTTATCATTATATGTTATGCTATAATACTAGGATTAGCGCATATAGATTCACTCACATCTTCGTAATTCAACTATATATAAGTATATATATATATATATATATATATATATATATATATATATATATATATATATATATATATATATATATATATATATATATATATATATATATATATATATATATATATATACTTATATACTGTTTTTCAATATTATTGGTGTTAACACATTCCATATATGTTCATTCCAAAATATCCTCGTCTCATGGGGAAACAATCCATCAAAACATCTTTTTTTCATTTGTACAATTTTTTGCCTTTCCCGCTTGCTTTTTCTTTGTGCACTGAGAAGCATCACGTCGATTTCCAAAAATTGTCAGTTTTTGGGTGCTGGTGGCTAATACTCAATTAACTACCCCCCTCCCTCGTCCTTTTTTCTATTTCTCCTCATTTTTTGTCCTCTTCTTGCTTTCTTTCCTATTTTTGGTTTTGTTGTTGTTGTTGTTTTCTGCTCTTTCCTTTTTTGTCAGCCGTCGCCATACACACTTTTAATTGGATTTCTGATAGGTGCAATAGCAGGAAATAAAAACAAAAAATGACCGAAGTCGAAAAGGGTTATGTGTTTATAATTGTACTTTGGAAATATCGATTGAGTTTGGCGAAATGGAAAAAACGCAAAAATGTGAAAATTGTCGTCGTTGCTCCGCCAAGAATGCTCGTTGATGAATCCAAGTAAGTTTTGCTTGGGCAACAAAAAATTTGCGAAAACTTTAGTGTCGATGTATACTATCAAGTTGAGCCGCCAATTAGGGACCATGACCATTGCCTTCTCATGCACAAAGTAATTTTATTTTTAATTACCCTTTCAAAACTTCCAATAAGGTTCGGGAGCTCTCAGCCCTATATGCTATTGAAATCCAGCGGATTATTGTATTCGAAAGAGCTCTTCAGCTGCACATCGCCAATATTCGAAGGGATATGGATGTTGAGGTGATTTGTTTTTGCTAGTAAAACACAAAACTGTTGATCAAAACTTTGAAAATAACTTTTTATTGCAGGGTTTCCACACCGATGAGATTCTCCAATTTGTGAATCCTGATGAAGCTATTTTATCCAAAAACGGATTATCTTCTTTAAGGTTTCATTAAGAAACACGTGATTTCTCAACCATTTATTTTAGCCTTCGCCAATGCTCCTTATCAGGCACTCCGCAACCAGATTCGTGGATAGAAGCCGTAAAAAATCAAGTAAATTAAAAAAAAATAAATAAATAGCGAACATTTTTGTAATTTCCAGATTGGCGGATTTCCAGCTGTCGTGAGACCCGTAAAACATCATTGTGCTCATTCTGTAGGCTTCATTAAAAACGAAAACGAGTTCAAAAATTGGTTTCGAGTATGCTGGATTAATTTGTTAATCTATCAATTTGCTAATTAGAAGATTCCAGCGGAATTCTAGTGTCCATAGGAATGAGCTCTATTTGGTGCAGGAATACATGAAGGATGGCCACGAATTCAGCGCGATTTGCTCAAATTTCTCGGGCCTAATAGGTAATTAACATTAATTAAATAAATAATTAAAATGTATCTAGGATGCATTTCTTCAATGCAGACCGAAAAATCGATATTAGAATCCATACAAGCCCAGCAGCCTTATGCATTAGAATATTTTTCGGCCCATCAGACTCGGGACCATCTGCCCGGTTTGGAGTCGTTCACTATGCAGGTAATTAATAGTTGGGTGAATAGTTAATTAGTCTTTAATTAGGTAATCAAAGGAATGCTGCCAAAAGGATACCTAGGATTAATTTTTATTCGCGGTTACTACAAGGTGAGTCGTCGTAATAGCTTTCACAAATAGTTTTTTGTTTGACGCGAAGATTACACTAAAATATGCATAACTTCTTCAAAAATGCAGCGGAAAAGCGACTTCTCAAAAAAAAAATGCAGTGCGAAACTTCGCGCTTAAGAATATTTTTCTAAAAAAAGGCCCAATTATTAGGTTTCATTAAAATCAAGTTTTCAGGATCACAATGAAATATATTTTCTGGGATTTAGCCTAGAGCCGGACAGCGAGACGACCAGAAATCTAATGGCGTTGCCGCAAACTGCGCCGTGGGAGATTCTAACATTGTGTACTCAGTTAGAGACGCAGGGTGAAGAAGTAGGACACTTTCATAAGCCTTGCCCACCTTTGTTTTTTAATCGCCAATTAATTGGTAATCTCGTGGTGTATTCGACCCTGCCCGAGATCAAATGGCGGTTCGAGCCTGCCCGAGATCAAATGTTTTCTGCAGGTTCAACATTGCACTGACTACCACTGCGTCATCAATTTTCCGTCAGCTGAAGGCGTTTTGATACATCAGGCATCAATTGTGAAAACGTAAGTCTTGTCGAGGACATCTAACACATTATTGATATTGTCGAAGTCGCGCGACTGCGAAAAATTGGTTAAATGCCAAAAAACGTTGGGAGAGGTCTCGGTGCGCCTTTAACCTATCATAATGCATAGACCCGTGAATATATACTTTTAGTTTTGCGCCAAAAGCACTCTCACTGTTTTTTTTAATTTTCAGGAAGAGCGAGACACGGGTGGCCTGGCGAAGTGCTGAAAGCGCAGAGATGAAGGATAGTGATCATCTCGACGACAACGTCCTTCAAGTTTTCCTCTGGAATCGCAATAGAGTGCAATTGCTAGAAGACATTGAGAAAGTGATACGGACCACCGACATCACCATGGATCGAAATGCATTGAATGAACGGCACACATTGTGTAGGAAGAATATCGCGAGGATGTCGATGAAAGAGCTCGTGAGGAGCTGCACCACGGCGGATTAATTTTAAAATATTCTGGTCCGCCCCGATATTTCATCTCTTTTGATTTGAGCAAATAAACAAATGTGGTGTGAAAATTGCGATTGTGCTTAATCTCATGAGAATTTTTATGAGCCCCATATTAAGTTTCTCAGTTTCATTTTCGTCCTTCGACTAAATGAGCACCAACGCTGTTTACGACGAATTTCCACAATGGTTTATTATAGCCGAAACTTCTTCGATATTCGTTCTTCTTCTTGTCTCAATCATTACAATTCCGCTGTATATATTTGAGGTTTGCGTGATTTTTCAAAGTCGAAAAAGTGTTTTTCAAGGTTCGACAATCTCGGTATTATTGAAAAAAAAAACCGATTTTCAGGTCCATTTTACCGCCTGATATCGATTGGAATGATTGTTGATCTGGTAGCATTAATCAATATCTTTGTAGGGCAGGTTATGCCGGCTCAAAGGTTAAATTATTTTCGAGAGCGATTAGGATAATTGGGTGATTTAGAGTGTTAGAAGGTTTCTTCGCCAAATTTCAGTTATGGGTGGGCCGCTTATACTTTACGATTACATATGCATCCAGGTGTGTACAAGGTTTAGAAATCTCATTGTCAGAAGATTCCCAATTCAAATATTTGAGGTGCCACTGCAATGCTACTCTCATTCAATCGCGTATGTGCTGTTGTCTTCCCAGTTTTATATAGAAAAGTAATCCGTTTTTTTTTGTTATTTTCTTTTTCTAAAAACTTTGTTTCAGTTGGGTACTCGAAACTACTTATGGACCCAGCAATTTATTCAACTATTCGGCTCAGTGGCTGCCGTCATCCTACTTGCTCCAAGGGAATACATTTTCCGGTTTGAAAACCTCGGATGGTATGCAGCGATGGTCGACAATCAATTCCGGAAGCGCTTTTTCATATTGGTTGCCATTCTCGAGGTCATCTTTGTGTTCATGGTGGTCGTCAATAATGTCACAATGGTGGTCGCATTTCGGTGCAAATATCGAGTGGTTCATCAATCCTTCATGTCCCTTTAATCTATTTTGTTTCAGAGAAAAATTTCGTCAAGAGCTTCTAGTTTGATAAATGAGAGGATACTACTAGAAAAGCAACGACAAGAGCAAAGGTTAGTTTTATAAACAAATATTATTTTCATCACAAAAGTGCAAGTTTCAGCATGACAAACATGACGTTCATCATTTGCACGGTGGAATTAACATATTTCTTGTTCGTGGTTTATACGCTTCAGATAAATCAATCAATTAACAAACGGGTAAATGAAAAGTTTACATTCATTAAAAAAAGAGCAGTGAGTGACATTTCATTTAATATGCATCTTTGCAAAAATGATTCTAATTTTTATAGTCAACCGATGGACTGAATTCGATAATACTTTATTTTTATAACATTAGTAATGCGAATTGTTTACAAATGAACCAAGGCTGTGCGGCAATGGAATTGCCGAATAGAACGTTCGATCGGCAAATTGCCGAATTGCCGGATTGCGAAAATTTTTCGGCAATTTAATGTAAAAAAAATCGGCGAAACAAAAATCAGTGTGCAATGAATAATTTGGGATACCGTGAAAATTCGGGATTTATTTTTCGAATTATCGTTGAAAAAATTTAATAGCCGAAATTTTTATTTTCGGCAATTTGTCGAATAGCCGGAATTTCCGATTGCCGCTCAGCCCTGAAATGGTCCATGAAAAACTAACCAGATCACGTGAAGATAATTAAATAGTACGTATTCGCACATGGTGGGACCATGACGAAAGGCGCGTCCGTAAATCTACCCCATGCATTTGTTGTCGTCGCCCATTTTTCTGTTTTTTAAATTCAATGAATTAATTGCTTCAAATGCAGAAAAATGTATTGCAGTACTTTTATTTCTTTTACAACATTTTGGGTGTTGTTTATTCGATATTTTCACCGTGGCTTCTACTATTATTCTCACGACCAATAACCACAGAGTTTGCAAAACTTCTCAGGTTGCGTCATCCTACATCAAACACAATTTTTAATCTTGTGATTCTTGTAGGCGGACATTTAGGATCAAGGAATCGAAATCGCTAAATGTCATCGGTCAGCCTCCATCGACGATCGCTCTGTCTTCTGTTTCATAATGATGTATTCGTATGCGTTTATCACAAAACAATGTAAATAAACAATTATCCTTGATATCGACTAGAAGCAGATCGCATAGGACAAGGACAGTAGGCTGTAAACGATAGCTTATTCTAACATATATGTGTACTGTATTTCATACCTGCGTCTCTTCCAGGTGGACCGTCCTTTCCAGGGGCTCCCGCGAACCCATCGTTTCCACGAGTTCCTGGTCTTCCTGGAATGCCTGGCGGTCCTTGAGGGCCCGGTGGCCCTCTCTGGGGAACTTGTCCTGGACGTCCTGGTTGTCCTGGTCGTCCAGGGAATCCTCTTCTTCCCTGCGGTCCTGACAGTCCATGACTTCGTCGTCCTGACCGTCCCGGATTTCCTGATCTTCCAGGCATTCCAGGATTTCCAGGAGGTCCTGAGTTTCCTTGTGGCCCTGCCGGTCCTGGTGGTCCTTGTCCACCTTCATTCGCAGGTTGTCCTGGTGAACCATTTGGTCCTTTTGGTCCCGCTGGTCCTGGGGCTCAAGCTGGTCCTGGAGCTCCGGCTGGGCACGTGATGCAGAATCCTGGTCTGCCAGTAGCTGGATTAATTCTGGCTCCGGATCCTGGCTGTCCAGGAAGTCCACGCTCTCCCGGCTGTCCTGGTTCTCCTGGTTGTCCTGGTGGTCCTGGTGGTCCTGCTGGGCATCCCTGAGATTGAGCTCCGCAGTTACAATGTGTGTTGCTTCTTTTGATTCTTCCGAATAAAGAAATCGATTTCTCGGGGACCATTGAGTTCCAGGCATTTTGTTCCAGCGATTTGAACTCATCCAGCTCGCCGCGTTTCTCGTCAATAAATCGATTGAAATCTGAGAGCAGCATGATCAGCATAGTTATGCACACTATGACGGCAGCGCCGGCAGAGGCGGCTGTAACTTTCAAAAATATGCTGACAGTCATGAGACTTTTGAATTTTGTCAATAAGTTTCGCAGGTTTTATAGCAATGCGAAATTGATTGAAACCGGTTTCTGGATGCGAAATCATTCATTGGTCTATTAAGGAAGAAGACATAGAGAAAATTTAGACAGCTGCGGCAGCCTTGTGCGATCGAACCACTTTGCGTACGGCGACTCGACGACGAGCGACAGCAGCGCGGTTTCTGGCGACAACGCGGCTGCGAGCAGCGACGCGGGAACGAGCCGCCAGACGACTGCGAGCGGCGACCGACCGATGACGAGCAGCCACAACGGAGGATCGTGGTGGGCATGGGCAGTATGCTGAAAAATAAACTTATGTGCAAAAAATTAACATTATGATTATTATCACCTGCGTCTCCTCCTGGGGCACCTGGGTTTCCTGGTGCTCCTGGAGTTCCGTCGTTTCCTGGTTGTCCTGGCTGTCCTGGTGGTCCAGTTGGTCCTGGCGGTCCAGCAGGTCCTGGGCCACCGCCGTTTCCTGGGGCTCCTGGCTGCCCGGGTGGACCCTGTGGTCCTGGTGCTCCAGCTGGTCCCGGAAGTCCACGGCTGCGCTGTCCAGAGCGTCCTGGGTTTCCTGGGGCTCCTGGGTTTCCTGGAGCTCCTGGAGCTCCAGCATTTCCGGCTGGTCCTGGTGGTCCTGGTGGTCCCTGTCCTCCTCCGTAAGCTGGGGCTCCTGGTTGTCCGTCTGGTCCCTTTGGTCCCGCTGGTCCTGGGGCTCCAGCTGGTCCTGGAGCTCCGGCAGGGCAGGTGATGCAGAATCCAGGTCTACCAGTAGCTGGATTAATTCTAGCTCCGGATCCTGGCTGTCCAGGTAGTCCACGCTCTCCCGGCTGTCCTGGTGCTCCTGGCTGTCCTGGTGGTCCTGGTGGTCCTGCTGGGCATCCCTGAGATTGAGCTCCGCAGTTGCACTGAGCTTGACGCTTGTTTCTTCCAACAAGGAACATCGACGCAACTGAATCCTTAGGCACCATCGAATCCCAAGCGACCTTCTCGAGAGATTTGAACTCATTCAACTCATTGATCTTCTCCTCATAGAAGGAATTGATGTCGGAGAAAATGATTCCAACTGTCAGCAAACAAGCCACAATGGCAACGCCGGACGCCGCCGATGCGACCGTCACTAGAGTACCGACGGACATTTTTGCCCTGATTGAAGTAAGCGGCTACTCGTTTCCCTTTTATAGCGATATTGCCTTAACAAGTTTTCACGGAAATAGTTCATACAGCGGCGAGACGGGAAGCAGCCGCCAAAAAAGTTATTTGATTTCAGGCAACAGTTTTTTTTTTCGCGTTGATTGATTCAGGTAGGAAGTTTTGAGAGAACGACGTTCATCAAAAAATAAGATAACCGAAAAAAATGAATGTAATAAGATTTTTGATCATTGAAAATGGAGATCATACTGCAAACGGGCCCAAGTTAAGCTATTTTGCGGTGTCATTATAATTATTTATTTTTTCTAGAAAAACGATTTTCCTAAATTCAGATATTGTCGGCGTAAAACGACTTGACGAAATTTTAAAAAATATTGGCTAATTGCCAGATTTCTCGAGGCGAAGAGAAGTGTATGTGGCATACACATATGAAATTTACAAAAATAACATGTACAATCTTCTTATTTTTTATTTTCTTTTTATATAAAAGTAATTCACATCGTTTTCAATTAAATTGACTATAATATTTTTTTCGAAAACCCTGAAAGTCGAATTTACCACATTTAATTTATTTTTTTCTAAAAAAAATCAATGGATAATCTCAATTGTTTTTATTTTTAACGAGAACTGCGCCAATTTACAGTGAGAGTTAGCTTCTCAGGTTATCCAGAGTACGGTATCGGAGTTCCCACTGCATAAATTCGAATTTGAAATACCACCTTGAAATTGTCCGATGGTCCATAATTATGCGACGCGTTCGTTTCTTTTACGATGATAATATTTAATTCAAATTTGAAATGATCTTCATATTTCTAACCATTGGCTTGTTTTTAAGAAATATTTAAATTTTAATTTACAAATATTTTTAAGCCAATGCCTTTCTTATTCAGCGAGTACACATTTTTCTTCCTTGTTGGCATTTTTTCTTCTTCTTAAAACTAACGATGTTACTTGCAGTTCCTCGTCTTCCAAAAAGTGATATGCGTTTTCCGGTTTTGTTTCTTCAGTCGAGAATTGGGCGGTGACGGCCTCAGAGAACCAAAAAAAATTCTGCGAGAGTGGTTGAAGGTCGAATAACAAGACAGGGATGGAACAAAAACTAAACATATTTGCGGGTTTTGTGAAATTCTTTATTCAAAACTAAATTGATCAATTAGGCGGCAATTTTGCGCTGAACGCGAACAACACGCTTGGCGGCGACACGATGACGAGCGACGGCAGCACGGTTTCTGGCGACAACGCGGCTGCGAGCAGCGACGCGGGAACGAGCCGCAACACGACTGCGAGCGGCGACAGCGCGATGACGAACAGCAACTGAGCGAGATGGGCATGGACAGTAAGCTGAAAGATGTATGTAAATTTTAAATAATCCGAAAAATGAAAATTACCGGCATCGCCTCCTGGGGCGCCGGCGTTTCCTGGGGCTCCTGGAGTTCCATCCTGTCCACGCTGTCCTGGCTGTCCTGGTGGTCCGGCTGGTCCTGGAGCTCCTGCTGGGCCTTGGCCTCCGCCGTTTCCTGGGGCTCCTGGCTGTCCTGGTGGTCCCTGTGGTCCTGGAGCTCCAGCTGGTCCCGGAAGGCCACGGCTGCGCTGTCCAGAGCGTCCTGGGTTTCCTGGGGCTCCTGGGTTTCCTGGAGCTCCTGGAGCTCCAGCGTCTCCGGCTGGTCCTGGTGGTCCTGGTGGTCCCTGTCCTCCTCCGAAGGCTGGAGCTCCTGGTTGTCCGTCTGGTCCCTTTGGTCCCGCTGGTCCTGGGGCTCCAGCTGGTCCTGGAGCTCCGGCTGGGCAGGTAATGCAGAATCCATTCTGTCCGGTGACTGGGTTGATTCTAGCTCCGGATCCTGGCTGTCCAGGTAGTCCACGCTCTCCCGGCTGTCCTGGTGCTCCTGGCTGTCCTGGTGGTCCTGGTGGTCCTGCTGGGCATCCCTGAGATTGAGCTCCGCAGTTGCACTGAGCTTGACGCTTGTTTCTTCCAACAAGGAACATCGACGCAACCGAATCTTTAGGCACCATCGAATTCCAGGCGACCTTCTCAAGGGACTTGAATTCGTTCAACTCATTGATCTTCTCGTCGTAGAACGAATTGATGTCCAAGAATATCATCCCAACGGTGATGATGCATCCGAGGATGGCGAAGCCTGAGGAAGCCGAAGCGATAGTAACAAGCGTTGATAGACCCATTACTGAATGGCCTAATACTCATCAGAAAGCAATTTATATAGTCATCCGCAATCACTTCCGAGGTCATATAAGTGTTCGTCAACAGGTAGGTAGGAAGAAAAGGAAGGTAGATGGTCGGTAGGAAGTTACCTTGAATAACTTCATTTGCTGTTTGCTGATCAATGATCCTAAATATGTCATTAGGAATGTATATAAATATATACATATATACATTGATTCAGGTCAGCATGTTCTACGAGGCGTTAAAGTGAAAGTGTCGTTCTCCCTGGAAATTGGCCGTCGTCATTTTTGAGATTTTTCCCTCGCCAATCTATACATCTTTATATGTATTCATAGTCGCGGGTTCCTTCGAATACTTGTAAGATTATTTTGTGTGATATAGCCACACTTAGATTTGGTTTTTAGATTCGATTTCTATACAATTTTCGAGAAAACATGTTCAAAGGGGTACCATTCATCGCGTTATTCTGATTATTTAATGTTTTTTCTTCAGAAAATTCTGATCATTTCGATTATTTTCTTACTGTTTTCCGAAGTTGAGACGATGAAATTCAAAGCGTTTCGAGGGAAATCTAAATTGTCGCTTCTCATCAAGAAGTTAAACAGAAATCATTTGAGTAACACTTTTTTATGGTCCAATACAACGTTTTGGACGTTTTTTCAGAAGTTTGCCCAAAGAATGAGATGAAATGGACGATATGCGCTTGCGAAGCCACCTGCGATAATCCAGCGCCGGTAAGGTTTTTATGTTTTTTATGTGCTAGAGATTTTCATAATTTTTTCGTCAAGTTTCCATTTTAATTGCAGAAGTGCGCCGAATGCGTAAACAAATGTGCGTGTCCTAATGGATTCCTGAGAAACAACGAAAATTGTATTCTACCAGAAGATTGCGACTTTGTAATAAATCTCGAAAGCTATTAAACAATTCCAATTTTGCAGAAGTCAATTTCGCTCCGTTTTCCTGTTAAACCGTTGAATGAAGCTATTCCGGTCACCACCACAACTGCTTCTGAAACAGTGTCGACAGTCGATGAACCTATGCCAGAACTAGTCCTCTTACGAGTTGGACCAACTCCGCCGTCAGCACCTCCAACTCTTACAGTTATGGATTCCGACATGATCGGAGCACCATCCGCGACTCCTCCACCCGACTTCAGTTATGGACCACCCGGAATGAACGCGGCCCGTTATAAAATGTATCAAGACTATCTAAAACAAAAAAGAATTTCTCGAGCTCTGAGGAAGCGGCTCAGAAAATTATAAATGTTTCCGACATGCACATAATGAAATGAACCCGATCTCATAAATAAAAAGCCATTTATATTAAAGTAGCATTCATAATATTCAAAGACGCAGAAACATTTGAACTTTTCAAGTTCTCTGGTGGGACATCAAGTTGCTCTTGACAACCTTCTCATCCAAATCGGACAACTCGGAAGCTTGAACTTGGAACAGCGATTCAAGGCCAAGAGAAGCCTTGAGAGCGCGAACCGAGGATGCGTAAAGCATACGTTTGCGGACTGGAGCATTATCCGGACAACTAAAAAAATGCAATGTTTTAAAATCAAGCGTTAGGGTGGGGGGTCTTACTATTGGACGAAGATGACCTTGCTCAAGGTGCTTGAGCCTTCAGCACCCTGACGCTGAACCGTGACCTCGACATCAACGGCGGCATATCTACATTCTTTTCCACTCTCAACTAGCTTCTTAAGCTCCTCAACGAACTCCGAATAAGGGGCGTTCTTGTCGCCGACCTTCTCGACAACGATCGCAGTGTCATTCTTGTCAATCTAAAATTTCCCTATGAAGCCCATTCTTTTTTATTGCAAAGAAACCTTGAAAATAATGTAACTGTGTTGATGCTTATTGTGAAGCAGATCATAGGCGTTCTTGCACGATGCGTCGACTTTGACTCCAGAAGCCTGTAGGAAACTTTTTCCCCTTTGATTTTAATTTCATCATTCAAACAGTTAGTGTCACACTTTATTTTTGCGGGGAAGGGGCAAAATGAAGAATTTTGGCTTTAAAGTGAATAAAAAGAACAAGGCATTTACCAGCGTACGAGATTGAAATACAATAAAGCCCCGAAAATTTAAAATAAAAGAAGAAGGAGGGAATTTACCCGGCTTTATCATATTAATAAAGTTGGGAATCGCGGGTTTGGAGAACGGAGTGGAAAAGCTCATGAAAAAAAATAAATTAGAAGAATAAAATACTGCACGAAATGAGAAGTAGTAGTCAGTAGTAGTAACACAACACGACACACAACATTCAACACATTCGTGATTATTCCCCAACAATAGCGAAAACTTTAATGGTCTCCGTATTTCTCGGAGAGCTTGTTGAGAAGCTCCTTGTGCGACATTTCAGACTCGTCAGAGATCTAAAACAATTGGTTCAAAATTTACTTATGATACGGCAAAACAACCTGGAACTGAAGGATCTTGCCAGTTCCCAGAGAGGCTTTGATAGCCGACGCAGATGAAGCGTATACCATTTTCTTCTTGATTGAAGCTCCATCAGGGCAGCTGAAAAATAATTTATTAGGAAATAGAAGAATAATATTTGTCAATACATCTGAAGGAAGACGATCTTGTCCATCTTAGAGGTTCCGGCGCCGACACGGCTGCACGTGAACTTGAAATCGAAGACCGCGTAACGGCAATCTTGGAGATTATCCGTTCTCGCTTTGATGTCTTCGACAAACTTTTCAAAAGCTGCCTTCGACGAGTCGTCGTAGTCATCAGAAGTAATGCCGAGCTCTTCCGGAGTCACGGCAGCTTCGACGATAACCTCGCGTTCCTAAGGGTTTAAATTTAAAAAAATAAATAATACGTAGCTTTAGAATATACCTCGATTTTAAATATGATGTATCTGTACTCTTTACGACCTTCCGACAATTTTTGGAATGTCGACTGAACGCCGGGATGGACCATAACACCAGAAGTGGACTAGAAAAAAAGGCACACGATTAAATATGAAGGTTAGTAAAAAGAAATGCACTTCACACCATTCACATTCTATTATTATTGTAAAATCTTACCATTATTGAGAGTTGTTATTTGAAAGAAGAAGAAGTTCAAGTTGAGGTTGCCTGAAAATTACAGAATTTCGCAATCAATTTCGAATCGAAGAAAGCGAAACAAAAAGTGGACCAGGAGGCAAAAACCTCAAGCCGAATGGTCATCGTCGCGTTACACAGCGTGTGTGTGTGTATGTGTGCGAGCGCAGCGGGCGCGCGCGACCCGATCGAGTCAGCCAAGGCGAGCGAGCGACAACAAAACACATTTCGGAACAACGACATAGAGAAAAAAACGTTTACGGCCCCCGCCTGGCCTAGCTGGGCTGGGCCAGCCGGGTCTGGCCGGGACGGCGGAGGCGACGAGAAGGACGACGAGCAAACATTAGTTCGCCTTGCAACACATTGTTCGATCGATAACGCCGTTTTTTGGGGTTCTCTTTATCGAGAAGGATGATTCTTGGAGGGGTCTTTGAATTAGGCAGTCAATTAAAAATTTAACCAGCCTTTTAGCTTCTTGAAAAATGATCTCGAAGGGCATGGTAAAATATAAATTCATAATTTGAGGCTTTTAAAACCTGCTTTCAACAACGAAAAAGAGTTTCATTACTCGAACCGAAACTTTAACCGCGCTATTAGGCCCCACGGCATAACAAAAGAAATAATTTCACAATTAACTAATCGAAACACGTGTGCAAGAATGATCATTATTCTAATTTGTAGTTTCGTAATCGATGGGAACAATGATAAAATGAAAAAGCTCAAATTTCGCAATGAATTAGAATAAACTAGTTGTAAAGCAGGCATCACTAGCAGACGCATTACACATCTGTTTCGTTCGTTTGCGAGCCACGAATCAATACAAAATTCAGTGGGGTGGCGGCGGCGGTGTTGGGAAATGAAGGTCGAGCGAGGCGGGGACGCCGATGACTCATTTCATTCAGCCCACTTTTCCGTTTTCGGAAAGGCGTTGAAAATTCTGAATCATCGTTTGGCAATTAATAAACACAGAAAAAACAGAAGGCACGAAATGTTAACAAGAAATAATAATGATCTTAGCAAACTCATCGGACGAAACGGAGGTTTTTTCGTAGTCGCTGAACTAATGACAAATTTTGAGGAAGTCGTGATATTAAAACAGAATAAACAATAATAGTATATAGAAGATAGATTGTTTTACCCAAAGCGGCGAAACAGTTTAACTTGCGTGTTTGGCCGAAACCAGGGAAAACCCCCTGGACCGTTCGATCATTATAAAATTAGGAAAAAATGATAAAATTCGAAGTTAGTTGGATTCGCGGGTGCGCGCGACATTCGAAGTAGTGTGCAACAGAGCGCAATTGCAGTAACCTACAATGAACACAATTGAAAGTCGAAGATGAAAATATTTTCCGGAACACACCCGGCAGCTGTTTGTGCAAAATCTTTTCATTTGTGTACAGTGGGGGCGAATTGATCATCTCTCGGGCTCGCGGGAAGCGAGCGAAGGGATATTGAAAAATAAATAAAATCCAGTTTATTTCGGTAAAATAAGAAAATTGGGAAAACGATTTTTTTAAATTAATTTAATTAAATCATGTCTTTAGTAGGATCCACGACGTCCAAGAAGTTCATGTTAGACATAAATTCATATCTGTAACGAGAAAATAAAACCAGAACTGGAAGAAATCTTACAATCCATCTCGTGATTCAAATAGTTTTCGACCCCAGTACAGGGGATCATTATCATGCGGCGTCTCTGGCAAATCACGGCAAGCCCAAGCGAGGAGCTTCGCTAAGAACTCAATTTTCGGGGTTCTAGCCTTTCCAAGAGCAGTAAGAACAGCTTTATTCATAAGAGTTGCAAGCTTATTCCGTTCTTTTTGATCGTATTGCGAATGAAATGGCGATTCGTCTTTTATATCATATACGAGAAGAGCGAGCGCATTTTCAAGCTGCGACAAGTAATCTTCCGAAATTCTTTCTCGGTTGTTAATGAAATGCTCACGAGCGTATAAAATAACGGATTTAGCGTCTTTTCTAAAAAAAAAGTATCAACGGTTTTCAGATGAATTTCAAAATCATACTTTTCTCGAATCATTTCGATAATATGCTGTTTCCTAATGGGAAACTCGACACTGAGATTATTCGTTATTAAATTCGGGCAAAGATTTTCAATCATTTCAATCGCTTGTTCAATTTTTCCTTCAGTTATCATTTTTTGAAGCTCAGAACGCTTTTCCATTAATTCAAGATCGTCTTTGGGCACCTCGATAACGTAATCACGACACATGGTTTTAGCTGCCTGAAACATTCAGATTTTAATGAAATTTTGAACAAACTTATGACATACATCAACAAAACCGTAATAAGTAAAATATTCAATAGTTGCCTTGACGAGTTCAAGGTTTTCTGGATGAGGGGCCAACACTACAAATACGAATTATTTTTTTAATCGATTTAATATTTGAAGTTTTACATTTTTTGTATTCCATGTAGCTACAATCATTATCCGGATTCGTTTGCTCCGGTTCTTCCTCCTTTTCCTCATCATTTCGCTTTAGTCGAAACGATTCCGGTCTAAAAGTAATAAATTGGTTTATTTTTTAACCAGAAAATAACTACGTTTTATGCAAAAAAAATAAATTTGGTGGATTTTCGGTTCTTTTCTCCATAGGATACCATGGATCAGGGTCCGCAATTTCTTCTTCTGTCGATGAAGAGCGCTGCGAAATTATTTTTTAAATGAATAAATTATTAAGGTTTACAATATCCCAAGTCCATTGGTCGCCATCTTCACTGGTTTCTTCATCGTCTTCGCCTTCCAGATCATCTTGCTCCATTTCTTCCGGAGCAACTTCTTCAATATCAATTAAATCCGCATTTCGTCCTCCAGATTCTCCTGACGTCGAGATTGATGAATGGCGTGAACCTACAAATTCACACAAAATAATTCAACGATATTAAATGTTACCTGAGCTACTACGTTCATTGACCCGGAATTGATCATCCTCCTGCTCCATATCAAACGCTTCGTCCATTCTGCAAGAAATAATTAGAAAAATCGATTAAATAACGTAGGAAAATGTCATGTGTGCAGCGTCGGACCGAGAGACGGATGGGACAACACGCGGCCAAGCGACAAAACTCGGCCACCGCAAGTGTAAATTTGATGGAGGAATATTAGGAGAGCTTTTTGGGAAGTTAATGATATCTGATTATTAAACACATTGCCTTTAAAATACTTTTTAATTGCACACGTTTTGTTTGATGGTCTTTTCTTGATATTCGACTACAAAAAAGCTAAAATAATTGAAAATTGAAACGAAAAACCCCGAAATCAGTGGTCTAAGGAATTGTGGAGTTTTCGAACGCCGAAAGTTTTTTTTGGATACAGTAAAGGCGCAGGAAATTTTTGCGCTGACTCTCGCAGCGGTCGATTCTGGTAGGCGCTGGAAACAAACAATATTTAAAATATCATTTTCTCTGAAAATTGTTAAGGAAAAAACCGAGGTTGGTTTTGATAAAAACAGGATGACACCCCTGGATTTTGCTGCTTTTCGTGTTATAACACTACCAGTACAACACTCCAATTACACATCGCCCTCAATTTAGAGTTTCGGGCTAACCTGTGGGGTCTTTTGTTTCGATTAGTTGCACATTTCCTCTCTTTATCCAAAAATGTCATCTCCCAAACCAATAAATGTCCGCTGTTAGTCGCGATAGAATCCCAGAATTTTCGAAAGTTGTGTAATTTTACGTCATGTGTGCACAATTTACTTAAATCAATAATTTTAAAATATTTGCATGTATTTTCGTGTTAACAGTCTTGTTTGATGAGCTAACCAGGTTGAAAGGGCATACAAACAATCTAAATAAGGCGATTCTCACGCAAGTCATAATTTTATATATTTGACGCCATTTTAGAGATTGCTTATATAAATGTTTGTTGTTTGTTTTCAGCCGTAAGCAACAAGCGCAGACCTAAAATGGAATTAAACCACGAGGTGTGTTTATTTCTGTGTTTCTCTTCTCATTTTTTTTTTCTTATTAAATCATTCAGATGAGCTCGGCAATCGATCCGCAAGACTATGAAGTTATATCCGAACTTTCATTATTCCACTGGCATGCCTATGTTTTCAGGTTCGATTTTCACCGACAGGCGATAGTTATTTGATGGAAGATTCACAACTGCGAGCATCTCATCAATGCAACGTTTGCGGGAAATATTTTATGTCGTTTAAAGGTAATTCCATAATTTATTATCAAAAAACCTTATATCTTTTTGATAAGCTGTTCAATTAATTCTTATCAACCTGTTGTTTCATCGTCGGCGTCGCACGACTGTGGAAAATTGGTTAAATGCTGATCAAATTTTGGGAAATATCTTGGTGAGCGGTGTGCACGTTTACACACAAATCTACTCTTTGTTGTACATCAGCACCCCGGCTAAAATTTTGGCATTTTGTCAATTTTACGCAGTCGCGCAACGCCGACAATACCAACAATCGAAATCAACATTCTGACTATCAGCTTAGGTAAATGAAATTAAGACGTTTTAGAAAATAATTTCATTTGTAATTAAAATCGAACATATGTAAATCGGTTTAGAAGAATACGAGAATTTTCAATATTCACTATATTCTCCTTTAAAACATCATTCGAAATAATAACAAATTTTTTTTACAATTTTGTAACGATTGACGTATATTGAGAAAAAAATAATATATTATTCTTCTCCAAATCGAATTTTGTTTGAAGGTTTACAACAACACACGGTTGTACATACTGAGCAAAAACCATTTCAATGTGAGATCTGTTCGAAATGTTTCCGGTTTAATTCCAATCTTCTCGAGCACAAATCGATACATACGGGTTTTTCACCACACGTCTGTCCGTACTGTGGGAAAAGTTGCAGGTGTTACCACGTGATAATTAATTTTTCCTTTATTAATAATTTTCACGATTTTAGACTCAAAGGAAATCTGAAAAAACACTTGAAAACTCATGTAAGCAATAAAGAAGAACTCGAAAATGCCTGGAAACCGTTCGCATGGTTTTGTGTTGTGTGAGAAATACTCTGGTAGTTGCACTTTTCAGTTCTCAGCGTCGTCCCAACCGGGTTTCCCAAGAGACTCTTGTTATGCCATCTGCGGGAATCGCTCATATTATTTTTGAACCGTCAATTACGTTAATGGACTCATACGCATGGTAAAATTTCAGGCATTAAAATGTTTTTGACTTTTGGTTTAAAAAATATACATTCACAACGAAGAAGCTAAAATTAAGGAGGTTTCAGCTATCCTACGACAATTTCCGATACTTCAAAATGGGTAGAGCGGATTCGTTCCGGCGAGCTTATGCCAGAAATAAGCGTTGAAAGCAGAATTAGCCAGTTTGAAGAGTTCGTGGCATTCGCCAATGGACATCAGAGCTTGGACATGTTTGTGGAAGCCGCAAAGTCAATATGTTTTGAAACGTAACTTTGATGGTTATGTTTACCTAAACGAGATTTTTTTAAAGGTATCCTTGTCCAGAATGTCAAGTGGAGTATCCGAATCTCAGTGATTGTTCCACTCATTTCTTCAATGTTCACTCATTGGCATTTCTTGAACATTTCTGCAAAGTTCGTAGGTTTTCTCTTTTTGTCAGCGGCCCATTGAGCTTGTTTCCCAAAAAATAGCTATTATTCTAAACGCGGTTCTCGTGCGGTCTCCATTAATTTGAAAAAACGCGAAAAATATAAACGTGACCGCACCCGAACCGCAACTCAAGTGAACTGCAAGGCCTTGCAGCGAAACAATCTGTCAGCCGATTTTTTGGAAACCGCTCTATACTATTACCATCGCAAAAAACGAGCCCCCTCCGCCGGGAGTTTGATTCACAGGTTATCTGTAGCAGTCAAGTTCCCAATGTTTAAATTCATAATTGAGTAACCGTCTTGAAAACTGCGATGGTCCACAATTAGTAAATTTGTCGTTCATTATTTTTGCTCTGGTAATATACACTTCGATTTTCAGAAATGCTTCCGCCGTTTTAACAATGCTAGAGAACTTCACCAACACGGCTCATATCACAAAAAAGTCGAGTTATTGGAAATTCGGGTAACTTTGATTGACATCTCCAACAAATGTTCACCAAGAAATTTTTTCAGACCCAGCCACCGGAAATCATCGTCCCTTGATATTTTCCCAGCTTATTTTTATAAATATAACAATAATATACATATTATAACATAAAGAATTATTGAATAGTATTTTAATTGAATTTTTGCACATAATCATGCTTTTTATACACATTTACATAATCACCATAGTTACTCTGATTCACCACCGAATGAGTTAGATTTTCCAGGTCTCTGAGCGCGAGCTTTTCTTTCTTATTCTTGAATTTGTTGTTACCACGGCGACCTAACTTGTGACACCCCACGCCTACTCGATAACCGCTTCGAACCAAACTTCCAATTCCTTTTTAATTTTGTCTATTTTCGGGATTTTTGCTCACAAGTCCGGAACCCTATAATTAAGTGTCTGACTTACATAATTCGGTGTTTACGTGAAACTTGTCATGTTCTTTAAAATTTTCTGAACATCTGCTCATATATTTTTGTGTTTGTAAGAGTTAATCGATTTCAATCTATAATTGCATCAGCTGAAATAAATGGCAAGCATATTTTTTTATTGCGATTAATTTCTAGCGATTATTCATGATTTATGATCGTCGTGCGATGCTTTCCCATAAATTTGTTATCGCGATATTTTGCTTGGTCATTTTTTACAACAGCTCTTTTCATAAGAAATAATTATTAGCACATAGATTTGAAGGTTTTTTTAACTTATCAATATGAATGTCTGACTGGTTTTCGAGAATAATGGGAGTGTGCCAGTCACTGTTAACGTCTGATTCCGAGGTTCGGGAGCAGTACAAAGTGTCTAGGTGAATTTTGTCAAATTCAAATAAAAATTTTTCTTTATTTCTAGAGCAATAGACAAGGATTTGGAGAAGAAAAGCGACTATTTAGAACAGAAAATTTTACTGCTTGGTCCTGGCGAAAGCGGAAAGTCAACAGTTTTGAAGCAAATGAAGTGAAAATCAAATTATTATTTCGGATTTTCAATAAACTTTTTAGGTTAATGCACCAATCCGCCTATTCCAGTCACGAATTAATGGAGAAAAAGTATTTGGTTTTCTTAAACATCATGCAAGGAATGCAGCAAATGTTGAATTTCGTGGAAGAGAATTCTCTGCAGCTTAGTGAGGCGCTTCAAGAGGTATCTGTCACGAAAATCATTTCACTTTAAAAGTTGACTCAGTGTGCTGATTATGTAACAAAGTACATCAAAAAGCATGGTCTAGATTGTCTAGAGTTGGAGACCGATTTGGTGGCAATGCTTAAAAAGCTGTGGGCTTCTGAAGCTGTTCAAACAGCATTCCAGCATAGGAGCCGATATCACTTGACCGACAGTGTTGAATAGTATGCACCTTTAATATTCTAGATCATTTGTTGTATTTTTCAGTTTCTACGATGAAATAGACCGAATTAGCGCGCCTTCATATGTTCCTTCAAGTGCTGATATTCTCCATACAAGGGTAAATTTTATTTAAAAAAAACACACACATTTTTAAATGTTCACACGTTTTCTCCCGCGAAATTTGAAAGTTAATTATATGTATTGTAATCTTAAGGTTCCCACGACAGGCGTGGTACGTGTCGAGTTCGTCCTTAAAAATATTAAATTCCAAGTGGTTGATGTTGGCGGCCAGAGATCTGAAAGAAAAAAGGTAATCGTAGCGAACTATTTATTGAGAAGAATTCAAGAAATTAGAAAACGAAAAAATATACATATATTCATATATATACATATATATAATTTTTAGTGGATTCATTGTTTCGATGATGTCAATGCAATTCTGTTTATCGCTGCTGTCAGCGAGTTTGACCAAAAGGTCGTCGAGGACAACGCAACCGTAGGAAATTTGCTAGGCTTATTGTATTTTTAGACGTTTTTATCTGTTTACAGAATCGAATTGATGAAGCTCTAAAATTGTTTTATGACATCGCCAATTCAAAATACTTCAGACCAGCATCCCTTATTTTATTCCTGAATAAAATCGATTTGTTTCGCAAGAAAATCACCAATGTCTTTATTTCAGACCATTTCACTGATTTTAAGCGTAAGACTATTTTATAATTAACAACTTTAATAAGGAAACTTTTCCTATATTTTTCAGAAGAAAATACGTATGAAAACGGAATGTTATTTTTCCGTAAAAAGTTCGAACGTTTAATCCTTGACAATGCGAAAAGAGCGTAAGTATTTTTTTCAAAAGGCAAAAATTGAGCATGGAAAATTAAAGGTACAATTAGTTGCATGAAATGACTAATTTTTAAGAATCATTGGGAATATTCATAAGATCCAAAAAAAAACATTTCATTTGATTTTTTTGCATACCAGCATTTGAAGAATTTTAATTTTTTTCTTTTGAATTTGAAGTCCAATTAAAAATACGCAGCTGCAAGGCAAATTCAATTTTCAAATCTAATTATAGGACCCTTTCTGAAATAATGTCATTTTAGGTATGTTCATGAGACCTGTGCTGTGTCCGACACTGTCCAAATAGTGCTCAATTCGGTGATTGATACAATTGTTCAGGAGAATCTCAAAGACACTGGAATGATTTAGTATAAAACGCATGTGCGCCGGGTAAACAATCAAAACACATTCATTTGTATTATTTTAAAAATTATACTATATATAAATATGTGAAAAACGCGAATAAATAAATGAATTCTATCTTCATTTTCTCATATTTTCTCACCACCTTGAACTTTGACAAATGTCACATCTCATCTTCTCTTTTCCGCTAAAATTGTTGGATTTGTGTCTCTTAAAAAATATAGATTTTCATGCTTGGGTCTATCGCGCTGACGTCATCAAATACTTAGCTTGTTTAAAGTAGATCAAGAAAAAGGAACAATTTTTTGCAAAACCATTATGCTAAGCTTCTCAACTTTCTCGTTTTTTCCAATAAAACTGCTAGTACCAATCCATTCTTCTCCGACGTATTTAATAGCAGTACGATTGTCATCTCATCCTTCAAAAACAAAAAAAGCGAACCAATAAATTGCGCGTTTTCCTCATTTGTCCCAGTATTTCGATAGCTTCAAAAAATTTCTCTAATTCTCGCGAAAGCCGCTGTTCTCTCAACAATTGCGAGAAAGAAGGTGAGAGCAGTGTATCTCTTTGAACGCCCGTTTTATTTTTTTGTCAATTGACACTTTTTCTAATCGATTGCCCATCCATGAATAATTTAAAGCGTTTGGCCACCAAAAAAAGCGGAAGAGGGAAACTTTCGATGGCCCTTTGGGACCAATTCCTCCAAAAAATGTGGGCGTGGCTCGGTTTACTACGGCCGGCATGGCTGGCATATGTCGTCCTTCCTTTCCCGAAATTGAGTTACCATATTTGACGTTGCCCTCTTTGCTATATTCATCATTAATGGTAGCTCTCTTTTCCTTACGCCATCTTTCATGCATGTACATTCATAGAACAATTTTTGAATTTTATTTCAGAGAAATATGAAAGCGCTTTGGATTCTTTTCGCCTCAATTGCTGTTGCAAATGCCGACGATAATTCGACCACAATAACCGCCGTAAGTTATTTAGCTTTTCGTTATTCTCATAATTAAACCAACTAATTTACTATTCAATTATGCAGACGCCGTTGTGCATCGAATATGCTGACTGTGTGCACAAGGCTCAGCAAAAAGCCGCTGAGTGCCATCTGCTCGAAAATAATACGGAGGTTAGCTAGTTGGAGTTGAAATTCGTTGTGAAAAGCCAACTTTCGAAATTGAAAACAAAGGATTCGTTATGCAGACTATGCGATTGTTGTGGTCGAAACCAGTGAGAAGGCAGTGTAGAAAGGTTTTATTTGGGTGCCTAAATTTGAAAGAAATTTGTGTCTCTTCTTTTCTTTCTAATTGATTTTTCCGAATTGCGGTGCCCTAATAAAATGCTGTTTTTTTTTCAATTTCTGGAAATCGCGATGAAATCCAAAGAGTTTTCAGGCAACAAACGGCAGGAAGGGCCAGTGCACGGAGGCGAAGAGAATCCATCACGAGATTCGCGCAATTCACGATAAGGTCGGTGGTGCTTTTTGATGATCAAAGTGAGGGGGGGGGGCGTAAGAGGGTGAAAAGCTGAGAAGAGAGAAAGAAAATATGAGATTTTGACCTCAGATAGGGAACCCATCAATCATTTATGTACGCGTGTATTTATTCAGCGAGAGCTCAAATTGAATACTTGCAGCTCGCCGATGAGATCGAGACGTGTGTTCGAAAGAATGCCGAAGACGCCTTGGGACTCAGCGCGAAAAAGAACGAACGATGCCAGTCAATACTTAAGAAGAACGCGAAACGAGCCGCGATTGAACCCCAAAAACGAAAATCGAAAAATGAGAAAAATAGTTTGAAATTGGCTGCAAAGGTTAGCGTTTCCATTTTTTTTTAATTATTCAGTAATTCTTTTGTAGACATGTAACAAGGAAGCCAGGCGTCTGAAAACCCAATGTGCTAGGCTTGCAAAATGTTGCTCGGTGGCGAGAGTGTTAGTTTGTATTTACTAATTTTTTTTTACATTTCCAAATGTTCAGATGTCATCGAAACGAAGATAAAACTGATTTAGAAGCCAAGAAAAAAGTGTTGAAGGAAGCCACTAGCGAGTGTGCAAACAACGGAAAAAAAGTATAACCCTTTGAAAAAACTGATTAAAAAGGAGTTATTTAGGGTAAAAAAGGGCGTCGTCTTGGGGAAGAAAAAGAGAGAGAAGGAAAGAAAACGAAAGGTGATAATAAACGAGGAGCCATAACAAGAAGCCTCGAAAAAGCTTCGAAGAAAAAGAAAGAAACACCGATTGGAGGGAAGAAGCTTATCGCCCAACTTGCCGATATGCCCTAAACATTTCCCGATTATTTTTCTATTTTGTATGTATTAATTGTTTCTGATCTCTAAATAAAAAAAACCGGCTAATGCAACTTGACACCACTTTACCTGGGTAGCGAATAAGTTATTGTTGAGCTACCAGTTTTCTGAGGGCGGCATCAAACAAATGGTGCAATGAGTACACAATGAGGGAAATACTTGGTCGCAAATCCGGTAATGTGTCGATGATTCTTCGCGACTATCGTTTACGGCGCAGCGAACCGGCCCTGCCACGCATCTTATATAAAGTGGTGAGCATTGAATGATAGGCACACTCAGGTGGTCGGAAATCACCCAGCTGTAGACGAACACATGCGCTTCTCGACGTTCGCCCTCATTTTTGTAGCCTCGGCTTTTGTAGTCTCGGTAATCTGAGCAAATATACTCGGCATCACTTTATTAAAAATATTGAAAATTTAGGGCAGCGTTCTTCGTGAGAAGCGACAATGCGGTTGTGCTCAGCCACAGCAGTCGCAGTGCTCGTGCCAGCAGGTCCAACAGACCCAGTCTTGCTCGTGCCAGTCAGCTCCTGTTGCTCAGCAATCCCCATCGTGCTCGTGTGCTCCACAACCGCAACAAACTCAAACCATCCAGGTTAGATTTTTAACCTTCTTAGTGTTTTTATGAATTTTCAGTTGCAGGTGCAAGCGACCCAATGCGCCCCAGCTTGTCAGCAGAGCTGCAGCCAACAATGCCAGGCTAGCCCATCTGTTTCTCAGTGTCAGCCACAATGCCAACAGCAATGCCAACAACAGTGCACTCCAATGTACAATCCACCAGTTACTACCACTACCACCACTCCGGCCCCGGTGTACAATCCACCAGTACAATGTCAGCCAGCTTGTGTCAACCAGTGCACTCAGTCCTGTGTTCAACAACAACAGCCAGTTGCACAGTGCCAACCACAATGCCAGCAACAGTGCAACGTCGCTTGCGATGCTCCAGCCACCACACAGGCTCCACAAGTTATCCAAATCAACTTGGAAATCACTCAAGCTCAGGCTCAAGCTCAATGCCAGCCAGCTTGCCAGCAACAATGCCAGGACTCTTGTGTTGCTCAGCAACAACCAGCGCAACAGTGCAGCCAGGCCTGCAATACCCAGTGCTCTGGCATGTGCCAACAAGCCACACAGCAACTGGCTCCAGTCTACACCCAACCACAACAACAACAGCAGCCAACTTACAACCCCACTGTTGCCCCAATGTACGATCCATACAACAATCAGCAGCAACAACAAGCCAACTGCGCTCCTGCCTGCCAGCCGGCGTGCGACAACCAATGCATTGCCCAGACCTCCGCTCCAATGTACAACCCATATGATTCAACCACAGCTGCTCCAGCGCAACAGCAGGTCATCCAAATCGTTCTTCAGACATCCGTAGCACAATCTGAACAGTGCGCTCCGCAATGCGAACAATCATGTCAGCAACAATGCGTCCAGCAGCAACAGCCAGCGGCTCAATGCCAGACTGCCTGCCAGTCATCTTGCTCCAACTCATGCCAGGCTGCTCAGCCAGCTACTGTTGCCTGTCAGCCAGCTCAGAGCAACAACCAGTGCTCGTGCCAATCTAACTACTCTCCATGCGGAAATGGGCAATGCTGCCGTAGAAAGTAAAGATGAGCAACGAAACGAAAAGAAACTCGACCCTTCGAACGCTCCTTCGACCTTTTTTGTATATATCGATCTCTGAATTGGCAGTGATTAATTTTGAATAATAAACGATTTATTTCATAAATGCCTAACAATATAGAATAAGAATAAGACATACAAACCCATAATAACCTCAAATATTATTGTCGGAGTCAAACGACTTTACGAAATTTCAAAAATTATTGGCAGGCAGCGAGAAGTGCGCGAGACTGCGTACATTGCATTATAGTGTACGCGCATTTACAGGGTGGCCCAAAATTATGGAAACACAAGTTTGAAGCCTTCTGGCAGATGCTGGCGCATTTTTCGCGCACCAATTTTATTATTTTATTTTTCAGCATGTTTTAATTACCCTATTCCCAAATTTTCTAGTTCCTAGCTTCATTTTTACTGAAATGGTAGCCAATTCAATACACCGAGTGTTGGAGCCGTGACCTCGACACGTCACGCGACACACCACGTGGCACACGTTTCATAGGAGCGATATAAAAACCCCTTTTTACGCTCAATGATCAGTTATTCATATTGTGTCTAATAAATAATATTCTCTACGTTGACTCGTTCACAAGGACACAACAACTGGCGATCAGGATCTACGCACCATGGACGTCAACACAGTCCAACTGCTCTTGGCAGAGCAAGCGAAGCAGAACCAAGACTTCGTTCGAGAAATCACCAAACTGCTGATGGAGGAACGACCAGGCACTTCACCAACCGCTCCCGCACAACCAAACACCCAAACAGGGCTTATCGACTCGCTGACGACTCGACTACCGACATTCTCCTTCGACCCGGATGAAGGAACCACATTCGAAATCTGGTATTCACGGTACGAGGACATTCTGCGACTGGATGGATCAACATTGGACGACGGCACCCAAACCAGGATCATCCTATCAAAGCTCGATGCCCCCGCTTTCGCCAAGTACGCCGACAACATCCTGCCAAGGAAACCATCGGATCTGACGCTCGAAGAGACCATCAGCCGGCTCAAGACTCTCTTTGGACACTCGAAGTCTGTATTCCGACGCCGATTCGAATTTCTGCAATCGCAATTCACTGGTTCGGATCTTGTTCAATACACTGGCCAAATCAAGAGGAAGTTCGCGCAAGCAGAATGGGCAACGACGACGCCGGAGCAAACCCAGATTCTCGTCTGGACCATGGGTCTCAACGGACCGGAATTCATGGACGTACGCACCCGCGCTTTGCAGCAACTGGAGTCAAGGCCGAGCATCACTTTGGACGAATTGCAAGCGGACGTACTGCGCATTCTTGGAATCAAGGACGACGCGAAACTCCTCAATTCGCCAACAAGCAAAGGACCTCACCACGACCACCAGCACATCTTTGCTATGTCGAGAGAGAACCACCACCAACAACGATCAACGACGTCACGAAGAACCTCGAGCCCGAAGGCGAGGACACCCGAACCACAGCCAGAACAGCCAACAACGCAGCAGAAGCCACCATCACCATGCAGACATTGTGGAGGACCTCAAGGACACAACACCGAGGTACCGTTATCGAATGGCGACGCGAGGAAAGAGCGACAGTTGCATTGCAAAAGCTCACGGAATCTCTCGATCAACAATTTGTAAAACCGTAAAACGATACAAGGAGCTTAACACACATGAAAACCGTCCGAGAAGCAGAAAACCTTTTCTATCACTCCGGAGAGGATCAAGGTCGTCAGAGAACGAATTCGTCGAAATCCGCACCGGAGCATGAGAAAGATGAGCTGGGACCTCAGTATGAGCAAATCTTCGATGGAGCGCATAGTGAAAAAAAAAGCTTGGACTGACCCCGTGTTGTGTTAGAAAAGCGGTTGTTTTAACTGAAAGGAACAAGCTGGGCCAAATGCAAAAGTGCGAATCTCGTCTTGCCGGCACGCGCCAAAATGAACACTTAATGACGCTTTTTACGGACGAGAAGCTCTTCACCGTGGAGGCTGAATTCAACTCGCAAAATCATCGGGTGCTTGCAGGGGACCAAGACGAAGCCAATAAGCACGGAAGAACGATCAACAGAATGTCTCATCCTCAACAAGTCATGGTTTTTGAGGCGATCACGTCTGATGGGAAGATGTCGCTTGTTCTTGTGGATCCCCGCGACAAAATCAACTGGGAATACTACTTAGAAGAAATTCTAAGAAATACGTGCTTCCACGGACCCAAACACACTTTGGAAACCAGGTTTGGACATTCCAACAGGACTCTGCACCGACTCACAAGGCAAAAGTCGTCCAATCCCAGTGTGCCGGAAATTTTGCCGGTTTATTTCTTGTTTAGAATGACCAGCGTCGTCGCCGGATTTGAGCCCACTCGACTATTATGTTTAAGGTGTACTTTAATCGAAGGTCCAGGCACATATCTATACCAATTTGGAGTCATTGAAGAAATGTTTGATTGAGGAATGGGCCAAACTATCTCCAGAATACCTCCGTGCCACACTCGAGCCATTCGCGAAGAGACTCAAGGAAGTAATGAAGAACAGAGGAAATCGAATCGAGTAATGTTGATGTATTTTTGTTTATAATTGATTCAATAAACTATTTGTGAATTTTCAAGTTGATTCGATCATTTTTTTTTTAAAGTTACATCACTTTGAATGTGTTTCCATAATTTTGGGCCACCCTGTAATATTCAGCCAATGATAAATTTAAATCTACATTGATTTCGCGAATTTGAACGCCCCACCTCTCTTTAGTCGTTTGACAATATATATTACCAATTGGGAGTTGTGTACCTAATATTAGTGAAATGAAACTGATATGTACATATGTTTATCTGCAACATGTGAAGAAATAAAAAATGAAAATTCGTTAATTTTCCCTCAATTCGCACGGTGTAAAAGCCAAACTTTCCATCTATGCGTGTCGCCGCAAGCATGTACCAAATCGTCAGAAGTGCTTGTTTATTTTAATTTCACGATGGAATATTTAGTAATTTCCTTATATGGGTATGGCCCATGACATCAAAGAATACAGGGGTCAAGTGGTGCATTGGTGTCGTAAAAATTTCAAGATGTTGTAAAAGATTTTTGAAAATGTTTAAATTTTGTTTAAATGTTCCTATATCAATAATAATAGCTGCAAACGGATTTTTTTTTTAATCTAATAAAAATGGGGGAGTTTGAAATTTTCACCCACATTTTTTATTATCAGATCTTTATATTCTCCCCCCCCCCAATAATGAGGTTTGAGGAAATGATTATATCGCTTAAAAAAACTCAATATTCCCAGAATTCTTTATTTCCTTCTCCTCCCAATAATTTTTTTAACCCATTCAATTTATTCTAGCTTTGCACAATGAGATTCCTTTGAGAGATAACGTGAACAAAGTCTATGCTTCTGTTTGTTTTTCCTTATTCTTCTTTTTCTAATTTTTCCTTTTTCCAACTTAAATTCCAGAAATATAGAAAATGAACTAATTTATTATTGTTGCAATATATACAAAAATCATACACTATAAACAGTTCTATTTACGGCAGCATTGCCCATTTCCGCATGGAGAGTAGTTAGATTGGCACGAGCACTGGTTGTTGCTCTGAGCTGGCTGACAGGCAACAGTAGCTGGCTGAGCAGCCTGGCATGAGTTGGAGCAAGATGACTGGCAGGCAGTCTGGCATTGAGCCGCTGGCTGTTGCTGCTGGACGCATTGTTGCTGACATGATTGTTCGCATTGCGGAGCGCACTGTTCAGATTGTGCTACGGATGTCTGAAGAACGATTTGGATGACCTGCTGTTGCGCTGGAGCAGCTGTGGTTGAATCATATGGGTTGTACATTGGAGCGGAGGTCTGGGCAATGCATTGGTTGTCGCACGCCGGCTGGCAGGCAGGAGCGCAGTTGGCTTGTTGTTGCTGCTGATTGTTGTATGGATCGTACATTGGGGCAACAGTGGGGTTGTAAGTTGGCTGCTGTTGTTGTTGTGGTTGGGTGTAGACTGGAGCCAGTTGCTGTGTGGCTTGTTGGCACATGCCAGAGCACTGGGTATTGCAGGCCTGGCTGCACTGTTGCGCTGGTTGTTGCTGAGCAACACAAGAGTCCTGGCATTGTTGCTGGCAAGCTGGCTGGCATTGAGCTTGAGCCTGAGCTTGAGTGATTTCCAAGTTGATTTGGATAACTTGTGGAGCCTGTGTGGTGGCTGGAGCATCGCAAGCGACGTTGCACTGTTGCTGGCATTGTGGTTGGCACTGTGCAACTGGCTGTTGTTGTTGAACACAGGACTGAGTGCACTGGTTGACACAAGCTGGCTGACATTGTACTGGTGGATTGTACACCGGGGCCGGAGTGGTGGTAGTGGTAGTAACTGGTGGATTGTACATTGGAGTGCACTGTTGTTGGCATTGCTGTTGGCATTGTGGCTGACACTGAGAAACAGATGGGCTAGCCTGGCATTGTTGGCTGCAGCTCTGCTGACAAGCTGGGGCGCATTGGGTCGCTTGCACCTGCAACTGAAAATTCATAAAAACACTAAGAAGGTTAAAAATCTAACCTGGATGGTTTGAGTTTGTTGCGGTTGTGGAGCACACGAGCACGATGGGGATTGCTGAGCAACAGGAGCTGACTGGCACGAGCAAGACTGGGTCTGTTGGACCTGCTGGCACGAACACTGCGACTGCTGTGGCTGAGCACAACCGCATTGTCGCTTCTCACGAAGAACGCTGCCCTAAATTTTCAATATTTTTAATAAAGTGATGCCGAGTATATTTGCTCAGATTACCGAGACTACAAAAGCCGAGGCTACAAAAATGAGGGCGAACGTCGAGAAGCGCATGTGTTCCTGATGAGTCCAAATGGTATGCCAATAATTCGAAAAGATTGCATATTTATACTAGGCTGATAATCTTCTCGGCGTGGAAACCGGAAACCTCGAAAAAAAACTTCGCACGCCACTATTTGATCTGTCTAATCAAATATAGAAAATCAATAGTAATAAGTGTTCCTTTTTTCCTATTCGTCATCATTTTTTCGGCGGAGGCCGGCAAAGGAGGCTTTCTACTTGTTTGCCAAAAAACCTGACTTTTGTGTTGGTGTGCAAATAGAATTCCAAATTCGGAAGAATATTTGATGTTCCATTATTTTTGGAGCTCGACACCCGTTACAAAGAAAAAATGAAAACAAATTAGAATTTTTTCGAGAGGGGTCCATTTTTTTGATATTTCCTGCTTGTCTGTCAGCAACTCAACAACACTATTCTTTCCTCTTCGTATTCTCGTTTTTTCCTAGGCCGTTGCAAAATCAAGCCTTCCGGCGGGACCATGAAACGATGCTAAATTGCGTGTTATTCGAGAGAAAATGATATCATTTTGAGGGATTTGCGCGCACGCTCCTAAACTGAATCCTTTTCTTCAGACTTTGATAGTCACAGTTTTCAAGGTTGAGTTCGTAGGAGCTTTCCCATATTTCTAACCATTCTCTAGTTGGACCTTGTCTTTAAGACAAAGAATTCTTTCCGATATTTTCCCCTCAAAAATTATCAATAATGTATGGCGGGAATAATCGACACAAAGAACACGAGAAGGACGAGTTTCGGCTCGGAGCGGGACGCAGATGGCCCGCATAATCCACATTCAGTTTCATTTTTTTCCGTTGTTGCTCTTGTTGTTGTTGTTGTTGTTGTTCAACTAGAAATGCACCGAAAAATATTATAATTTTTGTTCATGTGATTTTGCGCCATTTTCACTTTCAATTCGGCCAACCCGATTTTCCTTCTCGCTCTGGAAAAAAACTTCTCTGCATGCAATATTCAGCATCGTCCAGTGACGACTCATCATTGCGCTTAATTGCGGCTCTTTGATTCACTGCCGCATAATTATAGGTGCCTTCTTCTCATCCTTTTTCGCCGAAACTAAAGAAAATAAATATTGTCTTCACTCTTCTTCAGCTCGAAATTAAAAACTGTTTAATGGATATTGTTTTATGATTAAATGACTTTGAATGCTTTAAAATGAGACATATTGATTATGTTTATCAAAATCATTCTGCGGAAACTGCATCATGATGATATTGTCTTTACATACTGTAAACGGTATTATCACCAGTATATTCCACTCTAGCATAGTATTCCGCAAACCCGTTTAGCGAAACAGAACAAATTTAGGATTTGTATAAATACAGTGGGAAAACTCAATCTCCCCCTATTCACCCAGCCAACAAGCGTGCTCATTGGTTCACGATTCGCGAGCTTTTCTCGCCATTCCATAAATAATTTGCAGCGCCGAGATTTCTGTAATTTGCACTTCGTTCTTTCTTTCTTCTTAGTTCTTTTTCTCATCACTATTCTAATTTCTAGACTTACTTCTCTTTTAACAAACCATTAACTATTTTTAAACAAGTTTTGCGGGGCCAAAAAGACAACTCGTTCAGTGACTAATTTTATCACCCATTAAAAAATCTCGGGCAAAATTTTTCGACAATGACAATAATGATGGCGATGATGAAAAAGAAGAAAAAAAAATGCAGAATTGCAGATTTTTATGAGCACTTTATTCTGGGAAACACTCCAATTTCCGCCCGTTACGAACATCACTCAAAAACATATATTCCACATTGGTCCACCTTCTCATTCTCTTTTAATCAGCAAACTCTATTGGATCTCACAGTGCCAGAAAAATATCCGATTTTGTAATTTTAACCTAATGCAATCAATTTGTCAAATCGACGCTAAAAATGTCGACCAAATTCTTTACTCTGGCTCATAACTACTCGCCAAACAGAATATTCTAATATCAAGAGTTTTAAAACTAGTATTTATTCTCCTCCCACTTTCCTAATTCACGGTTATCAAAATGTATTCTCTAACGTGTCATCACTGTGTACATGACATTCTGCAATAAGAAAGTAAGACAAATTATATCGATCAAAAATCGTCGCGAATTTTATTCACCGAGTTGTTTATTATAGTCTCGTCAAGAAAATACAAAATGAGCATGAGCGGTTTTGAAAGACAAACGAGATGAAAGGGGTGGGAGGAAAAGTGACGAAAAAATTGGTTGCGGGACAATTTGGCCACTTTTCCAATAATCATCTTTCTCGGCATTCACACACACATACACACATGCCTCATCATTTATTATTTTATTTTGTTTCTATTATTTTATTTTTGTGTTCGTATTTTAGATTGTCATACAATTGATTTTTTCTTGGAAATGAGCAAATCCCCAAAGGGACGCCGGCTTTAATTGATCTTATCATCAGTGTTTCTGGCTGGTGGCACTGCAATCAAGTCCATTTCGATGAGATCAGCAAAATATCCGGACGTGAAGGACGGGACGCATTTGCGGTTTGGCTTTTGGAGTTCATTCCCGAAATAACTGACGTACTTCGCAATCCACTTTTTTCATTAAGTTCACACTATTTTTCAATTAAATAAGAAGGAAAATTCAGCGTATTAATTGCCGAAAAACGCGAAACGCGAAAAACAAGATAACTCGTATGTGTGTGTGTGTGTGTGAATACCTCATCAAAGTGACTAAGTCGTGAACAATTTGCCGGCTATTATATTCTCCGGCATTTTTCGTTCTTTCTTTCTTGTCGCCGAACCGCAATTCCTTCTTTTTTATTTCTTCATTTTATTCATCTCGTTCGCGTTCCCATATTTATTCATTTATTTAATTTGTGAAAATACGCGAGAAAATTTTTATATGGAGCTCTCGACACCAGGGCGTGAGAAATAAATGATGGTGATCACAAGACATTCCACCTCAACGCCTTTTCTCCTTTATTACTTTTTCTTCAATGATTATCAAACTCTTCTGAATTTCATTTGAAAACTCGATTGGAGAGTGTTCGTTTAAAAAGCATGAAACCATTTTATGTCCGTTCAAAACCAATAAACCTTGCCATGTTCTCCATGTGCATTTCAATATGAACAAACTCTCCCTTTATTTCACTCTGAATATTTCAATTCATTATTTTCAAAAAATCATACACTTACAGCTATGGACAGTCAGCAGTGGATGGCATGTGCCATCCTCATAATCGTGCTCGTCGGAATCTTCGGAAACATTCTTTCGTTCATTTTATTCAGTCGGCCACATATGCGTTCCTCATCGGTAATTGCTAACTCAATTAAATATGCAGTAATTAGCGAAATAATTACAGGTTAACGTGTTGCTCTGCGCCTTATCATTCTTCGACTTTTCGCTGTTATTGCTTTCCATTCCGATTTTCGTCATACCCAATATTGATCTATGGTTTAAGCAATTTTGGGCCCCAGTTGTGTTAGTTATGATTTTTTCAGGCGAGACGAGAGATCATTAGTTACATACATGGCGTATATCCTTAAAGTGATTTATCCAATTAATTTAATGATGCAAACATGCTCTGTCTATATCATGGTAATGATCACGTTGGAGAGATGGATAGCGGTGTGTCGCCCGTTGCAGGTTTGTTTTCCTTTCAAGAGCCTTTGAAAATGTACTTGGTGTGAATTTAATTGTCTCTCAACTGACCCAGAAATTGCGTATGTTCATAACCCTGAGGTTTTTCATTTTCAGGTTCGCGTCTGGTGCACTTCCCGAAAATCTCGTCTTGCCATCGTCGTCATCGTGATTGTGGCATTTTGCTACAATTTCATTCGATTTTTTGAATATCGATTTGTGTAAGTTTCGTACAGTTTTTAAGCAATTTCGTTTGAAAACATTCAGATCCACTAATAATGGGGCAATTTACGAGAAATGGCTTCGAGACCCTGGAACCCACAGGTACACGATGATTTCAGACAGAACCAACTAAAATTTTAAGATGGTACTATGTTGGATATTATACAATTTTATATATCGTCACTCACTTCCTCGTCCCTTTTACAGTCATGGCACTTGCCAATGGGCACGTAATCGTAGCCATGTGCAAGCTGAGCAAGACAAGGCAATTGCTGACAAGACAGGTTAGATAAATATTTACCGTAACTCATCGGTAAACTAGAGTAATTACAGTCATTTCAAGGATGTTAATAAACTAATTATTTCAGCAACAGCGAGAACGATCGACGACAGTGATGCTGCTAATAGTTACATTTGTCTTCGCTATCTGCAATACGCTTCCATTCATTCTCAACGTCACCGAGAGCATATTCCCGACATTGTTTCTAGATGAGGTTAACTATTTCAGCTTTAATGAGTGATCCGTTTTTTTCTTGCAGAGCACGAGCGGTCTTGCCTATTGGCTCAACGATCTGTCCAATCTTCTGGTTGTACTCAATTCGGCTACAACATTCATTGTTTACTTCACGTTTTCCGAGAAGTACCGCCAAACTTTGGTGTTCATTCTCAAGTAACGAATATCAAATATTATGAGATACTAGCGTCTCGTTTTCAGGAATGGCTGTTGTGCGACAATTAGCGACTACAACACATATCAAGCGATGTCTCGAACGGCTTCAATGCGAATTTGCTCCGAGAGCCAAACTGGACCCAACATTCAAAGGCAGGGCAGTAAAATGAGCACGAGCAGGTTTGTGAGCTTCCCGACTTGAATATATCACATTGTGCAATAAATTTACGCAGGTCTTTCAAAAATTCCGTTTTGAAATCGAAATCGTGCAAGGTAGTTTTACAAGAATATGTTAACTAATATTCTAACATGGCATGTTCCCTAGCTTAAAAAAATTAATAACGATAACGACATATTGGACAATAATGATAGTCACCACTTAACATAACACAGCTTGAATTTAACCAAAAATGTGGTAAAGAAAATAAATACATGGGAATACTTTTACAGCCGATCTTCCGATGTTCTTCTCAAGCCGATTTACATGCAGAAACGAAGCGAACGCTTCTCGTCGGAATACAACGAGCGAACTTGTCGCCATCTGGCTCCTATCGACGATCACAAAAACCATATCCCAAAATTGAACTACGAGAAGCCGACACGCAAAAAGAAGTTACACAAGTAGGCTTTGTCTGCAACATGTCACCACGATTTTCGATTGTTACCGTAACCCTAAACACCAGGTGATTTCAGAATGTCGGCTGCGGAGCAGCGCAAAACGCCGGAAATCACGATCACTTTCAGCGAGGATGTGCTACCGGAAAACAATGACAATTTTCTGAATACGTGACTACGAATCCTTGCAAAAAACTTGCCAAATACGGGTACATCAAAAGCTTTGAAATTTGTTTTAATTGTCATAATTACGGTAAATGATATAAACGAGTTTATAATTTTGCGCCGTTGGTTGAATATGAGTAAATACTAATGACCTTGGATCATGCCCAAAACCTGGTATACACCTAATAATGACAAGAACAAATAGTGTTTCATTGAAAAGAAAAAAACCGAAACAAGCAAAACCGGCTACGGTTTTCGTGTGGATAATTGTCCGCAATATATTTCATTCTGACCATCGTTGACCCAATTTGGTGTCCGCTGAGATCATCATCATCATCACTTGTTCTGTTACATAATTCTTCTAGAAATCTCTTTCTCTCTCTCTCTCTCTCATATTGAAAATATTTTGATATTATGACACTTTTATTTTCTTGTTGTGTTTAATACCTAAAACATCCACCATATGTACATATTTAGTGTTTTTTTTTCAGATAAATGCATATAATTGTGCTTCTTTTATTATTGCCTCAATTGATTTTTGGAGATGGAAGACCTTCTGGCCAAGATCCCCAGGATGAAGATCTTGATATGACGGAGACACCACCAACTACTTCAACCAAGCTTACGATTACTTCAGCAACAATTCCAAGTATTTCGAGTTTTCCTGCTCTTCTTCCAACGTTGCGCAATATGGTTGGTCCGTTCCCGGAAACTACTCGTTTGATACCACCTGCGATAACTGCGAGCGATCAGATTGGCTTTCCACCTCTTGTTCCATTATGGACGCCTCCACCATTGCTCACTTTTCCTACCCTTCCGCCATTCACTTTACCAACACCACCTCCACCATCTGCACCAATCAATATCACAATTGACCCAGAAGCTCTTATGGATGTTCCTGAGATTATTTCGCATTGGGGTTACCCTGTCGAGACCCATAAAGTGGTGACGACAGACGGCTATATTCTCACACTTCATAGAATTCCACATGGTAAAAGTGAGTCTATCGTAAACGTAGTATCAGCTAGCATTATGACGCTTAATATTTTCAGACGAGACTTCAAAATCTGCAATGAAAAAACAGAAGCCAGTAATATTCCTACAACATGGTCTCTTATGCACCTCGTCAATTTGGCTTCTGAACCTTCCGCATCAATCCGCTGGCTTTATTTTTGCCGATCACGGCTATGATGTGTGGTTTGGAAATATGCGTGGGAACACGTATTCGAAACAACATTTGCGTATGAATAATGGGGATCCGCAATTCTGGAAATTCAGGTTAGTGATCATTCGGGTCGGTCTAATAGCGTTCATTTTTTAGCTGGGAGGAAATGTCTAGGCACGATTTGCCAGCAATGATTGACTACGTTGTCAAAACTACGAAACATTCGCAGGTTTATTATGTCGGACATTCTCAAGGTAATTGGTTTCTCAAGAATTTCGATAGTTTCAATATTTTAGGATCTCTAACCATGTTTGCAAAAATGAGTCAAGACGACGAGTTCAGCAGCAAAATCCGTCAAGTTTTTGCGATGGCTCCGGTTGCGAGAATGTCTCATATTAAGGGATTATTCCACGACTTAGGAGAGGTATACGATCAATACAAGGTGAGTGATTGTAGATTATGAATTCATAAAAAATGTGCAAAAAAGCTCAGATGATTTATCAAGTGTTTGGTGATGGCGAGTTCCTGACAAACAACATCTTTACCAAGCTCTTGACCGACATAATGTGCGATCAGTCTGTTCAGAATCCGCTATGCGAGAATTTTATTTTTGCAGTGTCGGGACCTAATAGTAATCAATTTAATATGGTGCTAGGAAATAGTCGGAATAATTTGATAAATTTGCAAAATTTTAGTCAAGAATTGGTATTTATTTGGCTCATAATCCAGCTGGAACTTCATCAAGGAACATGCTCCATTTTGCTCAAATGGTCCATTCAAAAAGAATGGAACGGTTTGATTTAGGACCAGAGAATAATTTGAGATTCTACAAAAGTGTATGTTACTTTCGGATTCTCGGATCAGAATCTTTTTATTCTAGGCGGTACCTCCTGAATATGATCTTCGCCGAATCAATTCATCGATTCATTTGTTTTACTCAGATTCTGATTGGCTTGCTGGTTCTAAGGACGTTGAAGGGTTCTTAATACCGATGCTCAAAAAAACCACTTTGAAATCGGCGACGTATGTATTTTTTCTGCTCATAAAATTGGTCGGGGTCATAAAAAATTTTATAAGTTGTTTGGGGCCATATGTTTTTTGGGTAGAGAATCTTTTAAAATAGTCTATTATTTCAGAAAACTCAAAGACTTCAATCATAACGATTTTCTCTGGGGAATGAGGGCCCGAAAGGAGATCTACGAAAAAATTACCGAATTTATTGATATGGATTACCGAAAACTGAAAATGCAAGACGGAATTCGTAAATATTTTGCAAGTGGGATATCAAAAATCGCAAATAATCTCAGAATTCTAAATTTTTCCAGGTCGACCAGGCAATCTGCCGACAACTCTTAGCGAGGAGCTCATCAAACAACTCCGTAATGTCACTATGGATTTGGATTAAGAATTTCTAATTCGAATGTCTTCGACAAGATCTCATTTTTAGGTCTCGCTTTCCGACATGTGATAGATATTTGTATACAACTTTCTACAGGTTCTTTTACAAAGTTATTTGTTTCTACAATTTTTATTTTCTAAAAAAGAACAAAGAATTGATTTCGCCATTCCTTTCTGCACTGAATTTAATAATGAAGAATTTTCGTTTTTGTTATGATTGTTATTTCGGGTAGTGAATAAATTCTTTAATTCTTAAAAAAAATCAGGTAAAATATAGTGATGATTCTCTTTCTTTTTCTCTCAACTAATAAATGATCTCGAGCTCCCGAAAGTCAACAAGTGATCTGCACACTGCAATCTCTACGAGATAGATACTTCACACACATATATTCTGCCGAGATTTCCGCAGAAAAATATTTTTTAAACTTATATTATTTTTTATAAAATCTCCCGTTTTTAATTGTAGACTTTGTCAATAAATTTAAAAGTTTAAAAAACTATGCAAAAAATAAATTTTTCGCGGTCACCATGGATGCGTACTCACTCGTTTATATACGTTTATATTTGCTATCAAGTGTTGTGCGCAAAAATATTTTCTCTTTCAATGTTTTTTTGGCTCGATTAATGCGCAAATTTCCGATTTAGACCAAAATTGGTGTTTCTGCAGGTCACAGGAACACTTTATATATTTTACTTATTTTCTATGACCAAAAAACCGTAAGCATCATAGAAATCATAATAAATTTGATGTTTCAATTAAGCTTGAAATGAGCATTCCACGTCATAACTTTGCACTTTTGCTCTACTGATACATGAGATATATTCTGTCAAAACCATATTCGGTAAACATTTAAAAGATGATAAAATATAAACACTTGGAATTGCTTTGATAATTTAATTTCTTGAAAAAAATTATACTTCTGTTCATGTGTGATTTCAATATTTAATTACCTTTTTATTCGCGTATTCATGTTTTTTCGGTGTTTTTTTTTTAGTAGAGTTTTGCCAGATTTCGCCTTAGGCGCCGTCACATAATAATATCATATAGTAAAATCTCGTCCAGCTACTCATTTTGTCTTCTCGAATTCTCCTCCAGCTCCTATGCCATGTCGAAATCTCATCTCGTACACAACAATTTTACACTGTAAACTTGCACGATGGCGAAAAGTGTGCGGATGTGAGATGCTGAGAGTGCGGCACGGCTGTCCCGACAGATGAGCTGCGGGATACTTCTTCCTGCACCCAACTATTATTTTTTTCTCTCAATCTTTTAGAAATTAATGCACAACTTAAATTGTTATATTCAGATGCATAACTGTTGTTTCTTAAACAGTTGGTGCAATTCGAACGCAGTTATAGACTTCGCGATGAAAAGTCGAATTGCACATAAATTTGAAATTAGCGGTATGGCTTTTTAGTACAAACCTAGCAACATTAGATTGCGTATCTTATTATGTTGTGAAAGATTTGTTAATCTTCTTCTATTTCTTGACGTGTGCTTTCATTTTCCAATTTCAATTTCATTTCCGTCTTTTCCGTTTTTTGGTTTTGTTGTTAATTTATTCATTTTGCAGATGCACTAACGCCACACTCGAAAATTTATACGATATTTAGTTAACGAGATATACATAATTATAAAAATATCATAATTATGACCGACAAAGAAGAGCAAGGAGGAGGAGAGCAGGATGATGTCTCGTTCCTGCGAACTGTGAGTTTGCTTTTTAAAAATCAGGAGTAAAGAAATATACCGGAACCCTAGGAATTACTTTTTTAACAGAAAAATGTCACAGCAGGATTATTTCTTCTCTTCATTCTAAGTGGTAAAAAATACAAAAAAAACCTAAATTTAAATGAAAAAAATAAACATAATTGTGTGACAGTACAGATTTTTCAATGGGAGAGGGAAACTTTTTCTGGTCAGCTGTCCCCAAAATTTTCTAATATAATATGTTTTTTTTTCTAAAACAAAATTTTCTGTGAAATGTAAAGAAAACGACGACAACGCTCTAAGAAGACAAATTTTTGAAAAAAAAAAGAAAAAGCCGCGCATGAAAAAAAAAGGAGCAAGAGGGTAAAAATGAGAATCGTAGACCCGAGACTTCGTCGTTTTTTCATCTTCTTGTTTTTTTTTCGAGCACGGGTGCCGCATTTTTTCATCTTTTTTTTTTGAAAATCCGCCATCTAAAATTTCTTGGTTTCACATATCCAAATTTTTGCCGACTAAAAATTGTCACATTCATTTTTTTTGTTCCGAAACAAGATGAAATGAACGTGACACTGCTGACCGACAGGTGAAAAATTTGGCGAGAATACATAGAATGTGAGAAATTGGTTCGCAAAAAATTGTAAAGATTTCTCGTAAATTTTTAATAATTTTTATATTGTGAGATTCTCCCACTGGAAAATATACCCTTCTCGAAATTTTCTTTGAATAATGCATTAGTCCAGAAGCTCCTAACGATGAAACCCAGAAATTAAAACTGGTGAACGTTTTTTTAAAGAAAATTTTAAGGATATGTTCGTTAAATAATCATAGGAAGGTGAAACCAAGAGGTGAGAAATGGTGCATTTCTAATTGAAGTCCGTTTTTGCAAGCCAATTCAGCCTGCATTATATGCTCGTTTTTTCATGTTGTTGTTGCATTTCTTTTTCTCCTCTCTTCGCATTTTTTGCCTGCTTCATTCTAATTCATCTATGTATGTATGTATATGTGTGTGTCCACTACTACTCCACAGCTTATATGGATGAAACATGTATGGTCCGTTAATATGTTTTTTGACAGGGTAGTTCAAAATAACGGTCTCAATTTTTGGTTTGGTGACAAAGCGTGCATTTTACTTTTTTTTTTTTTGAAAATCCAACATTGCTCATTTTAGACAATAGTTTTTTGCTCTTGTGTCATTCCCATCCGAAAGAAATGTTTCCATTGAAACCAGATATTCTTGATTTCGACAAAATGCCAACTTTTTCCTTGTTTTTTGTTCGCTCAAATGTTTCCCATGCACAATCGAAATTTTTCAAAGCGTCGCTTCGGATTTCACACGCCCCGTCATTCCAATACAAGAATCGCACAGCCCATTATTTGGCATTTTCGATTCCTATCTACATATTTATTTTTTGTTTAACAAATAAAATTTAGACCATCATTGAAGAAAATACTTTTAACTCTACCCTTTTTCTACTTTGGCATATTTAGATTTTACATGGGTCATTTCTTTTTCTACTACTTCAGCAATAGTTAAGAATCTCTATTTACCAATAAGTCATACTGCCCTCTCGATCTTGTCATCTATGTATTCGAATTTTAATTTCGTCGGTCGCAAGAACAATTTTTATGGTCCCATAAAATACGTTGCTCTCCAACTTTCAATCCCCACTCTACGAATTAATTTTGCGATTTTCTACCAATAATTAAAAAACTAATTTTTTTTTATACGCTATTAATTTGCAACTAAATTTGCGTTTAAACAAAACTTTCTACATAATGAAAAAAACGAAAACTTTTTAATTTAAATTCTCGCTTAACTCTCAAGTATTTCTGATTAAATTAAAAAGAAAAAATTCGAAGATGCTCAGCAGCGATGTATAAATTGAATAAATCAGCAAACATTCCAACTTTATCTACTCATTTCATTTTGACAGCAGCCAGCGCGACTCAAAACTTCAAAACTTGCGCGCGAGACGCAACGGATATCATACACATATATAATCACTAGTATGCTGTTTCGAAAAGAGTGTTCGATATCAAGAGATGCGAGACTGATTTCAAAAACAAATATGCGGACGGCCGGCGAGATTTCAGGGCGCACCTCTTACACCATTACAATCCCTGTTTTTGTGCTAATTTTCAAATTCGCCACAAATTTTAAACGCATTAATTTTCTAAATTTCTCTTTTTGCGTGGATAATCTTCTCATTCTACATATGCACTTCAGATGACCGCTTGATTTTCCCATATGTATTTAGTAGCAAACCCCCATATCGGATATGTTTTTGTTTTATTCGTATTTAAAACCCACAAAATTTAACCACAATTACTCTTAGTAGAACATTTCACATGATATCATTCTCATAAACAAAACCCCTTAATTATTTCAGGATACACTAGAAGTCTGCTCTAGGCAGCATTACACTATTAACTTTAATAATTAATTATACGCATAGTTAGTGTGAAATGGACTATGATTTTACGGATATTTCGGATGAGGATCATAATTATGTAACAAAGGTACGGGTTCCGGCAAAACCAAAAAAAAATATAATTTTGGGGAATATAATTTAACCTATAATAATTGTTTAGGGAGACATTGTCTGCCTCTCCTGTGTCGCCTCACACAATCGAGATGGAGTTCTCGGCTCTGAAAGGTGTGCTATTTTAATAATTTTTAAAAAAATTTGCGTAGAATTCGAAAATGTTGGTAAAAAGAAAGGATTTCGGTTTTGCCAAAATCTGAATGACCCGTAATTATTCCAGGGTCTGTCTATGTACCGAGGGATTCGGTAACCGAATGTGCACATTGGAGAACGTATCTGATCGCGATATACCGCCGGATATCGCTATGTGTATGCTTTACATCGACAACGCACTGTCGATGCGAGCATTGCAAGAGATGATGTCTGCCGATAGTGAGCACGTAAGCATGGATCACCACCAACGAGATACCAAATTATTCTATTGCAGAAGTCTGCATCCGGTGCTGGTGGCCATAAAACGTTGCTCTACGGTCACGCTGTTCAGCTGAAACATGTTCAAAGTGAAATGTATCTTGCCTGCCTTTCATCATGCACTTCCAATGATAAACTTGCTTTCGACGTCGGAGTTCAAGAAACAAATGAGGGAGAAGCTTGCTGGTGGACTATTCATCCAGCCTCGAAACAGCGATCCGAAGGAGAAAAAGTTCGAGTAGGAGACGATGTGATTCTTGTATCAGTGGCCACCGAAAGATACCTGGTATTATTTCGCTTACATTGAAGTTTTCTAGAAATTTATATTGCAGCATATGGCCTACAGCAAAGGCTACATGGTGATCGCTTCATTCCATCAAACTCTTTGGAACATTCAATCAGTCAGTTCGGGAAGTATGAGAACCCGTAATATGGGTTTTCTTTTTGGAAATGACGTGCTGAGACTGTTTCACGGAAATGACGAATGTCTCACGATCCCTGAAAATTGGAGTGAACATCCACAGCACAAGTACGAAAAAACTGTGAAAACCATTTGGATAATGTTTTATGTTCAGCATGGTTATCTACGAAGGCGGAGCAGCGGTGACACAAGCCAGATCCCTCTGGCGAATCGAGCTTGTCCGAATGAAATGGCATGGAGCCTTGGTTGGCTGGGAACAGGTGTTCCGAATCAAACATATCACTTCTGGAAGATATCTTGGTTGTCTCGACAATTCCGTACAGCTCTATCATAAGGAGAAGGCCGATTTTGATCTGACTGCGTTTGTCATGTGTCAGAATAAAGATCCGAAGAAGCAGATGCTGGATGAAAAAGAAGAGGAGGGCATGGGAACAGCTACTATTCGTTATGGAGAAACAAATGCTTTCATTCAACATGTTAAAACACAACTTTGGCTTTCTTATCAGACAACAGAGGTCACCAAAAAAGGACTGGGAAAAGTGGAAGAGAAAAAGGCTGTGGCGTTGAAGGATGGTCATATGGACGACTGCTACACCTTCTTCATGGCTCTCGAAGAAGAATCCAAATCCGCTCGGGTTATTCGCAAATGCTCATCAGTGCTCAACAAGTTTCTCAAGGGTATCGAAGCCCTTCAATTGGAAGGAAACCAATCAACTGATTGGACTCGTGTAAATCTAAACGAAGTCCTCAAGCTTATGGAAGATTTGATCGATTACTTTGCTCAGCCTGGAGAAGAACAAGAGTTTGAGGATAAACAGAATCATCTGCGTGCCCTTCGAAGTCGGCAAGACTTATTCCAGGAGGAAGGAGTTTTGAACATGATCCTTGATACCATTGACAAGTTCTCGCAGATGGAATCACTTCCGGACTTTGCCGGATTAATCGGAGAAGAAACGCATGATAAATGGGAGCAGATTTCGACATATCTTTATCTTCTGGTTGCAGCCATGATCAAGGGAAATCATTATAACTGTGCTCAATTTGCTTCAGCCCAAAGATTGGACTGGTTGTTCGGAAGATTGAGCAACCCTCAATCCGCGGAAGGAATTCTCGACGTTCTTTACTGTGTGCTGACGGAATCACCAGAAGCATTGAATATGATCAATGAAGGCCATATCAGAAGTGTCATATCGCTTCTAGAGAAAGTAGGAAGAGATCCAAAAGTTCTCGATGTCCTCTCATCTCTTTGTGAAGGAAATGGAATGGCGGTGAGAAGCTCACAAAATCTTATAACACAATACCTTCTACCTGGCAAGGACCTCCTTCTCCAGACGGCAATGCGTGACCATGTGAGCAGCATGATGCCGAATGTGATGCTTGGTGTAGTTGAAGGCTCGGCTTTATTCCGCAAATGGTATTTCGAAGCAGAAGTGGAACATATAGAGAAAACGACAAAGCAAAATCCTTATCTTCGGATTGGATGGGCTAACAGCGTCGGCTTCAAACCATTCCCTGGATCTGGAGATAAATGGGGATGCAATGGTGTCGGAGACGATTTCTATTCTTACGGCTTCGACGGAAAATCAATGTTCTTCGGAGGAAAGTCAAGAGTTGTTGGTCATAAACTTCTCGAGAAAGGAGATGTCGTCGGATGTCTTATTGATTTAACGATCCCAGAAATCCGATTCAGCGTCAACGGAACCCAAATGACGGGAGTATTCAAAAATTTCAACACCGATGGTTATTTCTTCCCAGTGATGTCCCTTTCTTCAAAAGTTTCCTGTCGCTTCATCTTCGGCGGAAATCAAGGCCGACTGAGATTCGGACCACCTTCAGGATTTTCGGCATTAGTAGAAGCTGTAAATGGGGAACTTCAAATTACTGATTGTCTCTCTTTTGGAGATCTCGGAAAGAATATTTATTGTGGACCACAAACAATTTTCAACCAAGTTGAGCCATTTGTTCCACAGCCCGTAGATATTTCAACAACTCAACTAAGTCATCACGCTATGGAAATTCATACCAAGTACGCAGAAAATCTTCACGAGCTCTGGGCGATGCGAAAAATTGAGCTTGGCTGGAGCTATGGCGAAGTGAGATCAGAAGTTAGTCGAAAACATCCGTGCCTGACTTATTTTGACCGACTTCCGGAAACAGAGAAGAACTACAATATATCTCTAGCATTGAGTACCATGAAGACAATTGAAGCGGTGGGATACCATCTCATCACCGACGAGCCACCATGCCGACTTCGGCCTGTCCGACTCGGTCAAAATTTCCAGCAACCAAATGGTTACAAGCCGCAACCCCTGGATACTCACGAAATTGAATTGCCCGTAGAGCTTCAACCTCTGATCGAAGCTCTTGCAAGAAATACTCACAACGTCTGGGCAAAAGAAAAGATTCGACGAGGCTGGACGTTTGGACTCAGCGAGTACGTCGATGCCACACAGAAGCGATCTCCGCATCTCGTCCCTTATGACCAAGTGGACGAGCGGATTAAACAAGCAAACAGAGAATCAGCAGCTGAGAACATCCGCGCTCTGCAGCTTTTCGGTATTTTCTTAGAGCCACCGGCACATGAACACGATGAAGTCGCTGAAAAGGAGCTCAGAGCTCGAAAGGACCATACAAGAACATATCGCGCAGAAGCTACATACGCTGTTAACGGTGGAAAATGGTACTTTGAGTTTGAAATTCTTACTGCCGGATACATGAAGATCGGATGGATGGATATTGGATCAACACCCGAAATCCAGTTGGGATCAGACGATCGTAGTTATGCTTTTGATGGATTTCTTGGAAGAAAATGGCATCAAGGTCCGGAAGCATATGGAAAAGAATGGAAAGTTGGAGATGTCGTCGGCTGTTTCCTGGATCTTAACGATCGAACCATAAGCTTTTCGTTAAATGGCGAGCTTCTTCTGGATCCAAGTGGTTCCGAGATGGCTTTTGATAACGTCGTCTGTGGCGATGGGCTAGTTCCTGCAATGACACTTGGCAGCGGACAACGCGGTCGACTGAATCTTGGCCAACAGTCAAACTCGCTCAAGTTCTTCACCACTTGTGGATTACAAGAAGGTTACGAGCCGTTCTGCGTGAACATGTATCGATCAATGCCAATGTGGTTTGCCAAGCAGCTGCCGAGATTCGAAGATATTGCCCATCAAAAATCAGGCTCAATACTCGAGGTCAACAGAATTCCAGCCACTGGAAACAGTCCACCATGTTTGAAAATCAGCCAAAAAGCGACACTTTCTGAAGGAGGGCCATCGGAAAAAGCAAAAATGGAATACATTCGATTGTCGCTACCTGTCAAATGCAACGAGACATTTGTTAGAAATAAGTAGGCCGCAAAATATACATTTCAGATTATTATTTTTTTTAATTATAGGGACAAAGACGCTATAAGACGCCAACTTCAAGAATATAAACCAAGGTCAGAATCTGTGGTGTCCCAGATTCGAGCTCCAGGAATTCCAAAAGAATTCGATGACAACAAGGAAAAGAAAGGATTTTTGAGAAGCATGTTAATTTCAAAAGATTCTCATGAATCTGATGACGATCGTAGATCTCGAGGACCTTCCAAGCAGCCTTCAATGGAGACCGACGAGCCGCCAGCAGTGAGGTAATTTCTTATAACTCTAATGGTTTTGTGATCATAATGGTCTGAATGTTCAAAAGCCTAATTTTTAGGGCAATCCTAATATATAATAGTTCTAATTATGTTACTTGCCCCAATTATGTAATTTGCTATCAATAATTTACTAAATCGAGTTTCCAGTCAGCGTCGGCGTGTTCTAACCCTAATGAATTTCGGGATGTATTCTTTTGATGAATCAATTCTCACGTGGCTTCACGTTGATGAAGAAGATCACGAGAAATGGACTCGTCTACTCAGGTGGATCTGTCGACGTCGTAGTCCCCAGCTGCTTCTTTTAATTGCATGCTTTTCTCCTTGTTTTGGCACTTTTCCCTTTTGCACGTTCCTGCCTCAATCATTTGATTAATGTGATTTGAGAATGAACTTGTAGGAGAAGCCTTCTGGATCTGCCACTCGAAGAACGTCAACTTGCCGAGGAACACTTGAGAGACGTTGTTGATCGTGGAGTTGCTGAGAAGCCGAAGAAAGCAGGAATTCTGAGCAGGTTTCGCGATTCCAGCAATACCAGGAAAAAGTGTGTTTCTCGATGCATTCATATTCCCAAAGAATTGTTTTTCAGGGAAAGTGATAAAAAGCGAGATGACAAATCCGCTGATTTGCGTGCAATGAAGAGCAACTCGAGGTCATTTGATGCTGGAAGCATGGATACTGCCGCGATCCCAACCGGCCAAAAAGATGTTCTTGGTAAGTGATAATATGTTCGTCGCAGTTTTTTAGTCATTTAACAGATGATGATCCAATTTGGATCCTTCAAGGCGATGATCTAGATTCTTTAAATAATGGTGAGAACCTAATGGGAAATTCCGCATATTCCATTCGCCTATTAACATTTTCTACTTCTTCTGCCTGTTTTTTCTCCCAATCCACGTCCTCATAAATATATATATGTATATGGAATTGTGAATAATTTTAGAATTTTCAGCTTCTGGAGACATGCCGACCTCTGGACCAGGCCGTCAGCTCACCGTAAAACGAGGGTCTGTGAAGAAAGGCAAAAAAGGAAAGAAATCCGAACAAGAACTCAAAATCTCAGCTCAAGAGAAAAAGGCATCTTTGGTTCCCGGAGATGACATTCTTCAAGAAGGTGATGCTCATGCTCTTCTAGCTCTTAAAGATAAAGTGGATGAGTACTACTACGGCGTTCGGATTTTCCCAGGACAGGATCCTTCTCAAGTTTGGGTTGGATGGGTTACCACCCAGTATCATTATTACAACACCTCGTTCGATGGAAACCAAGGAGTCAGGAAATGCCGTTTTAGTGAATCGGATCATCAAGGGACTACTGTGGACAGTGTTCAATCGCAAAACTGTTATATGGTCAATGTATCCGAACTACTTGCAACAACGCCAGATGTCGCAAACACCAAAGTCTCAGGAACTCTGATTGGATGCATCATTGACACTTCGATTGGTGAATTGACCTTCCAAGTGGGATCTACCGATACTGGAATAAAGTTTACGGTGAGAATGAATGTATCCTGTTTAGATGCAACATTTAAAAATTTAAGCTTGAACCTGGCGCAATGCTTTTCCCTGCGGCATTTGTCACCCCTACCGCCACCGAAATCGTTCAATTCGAGCTGGGAAGAATCAAGTACACATTCCCATTATCGGCAGCAATGTTCAAGTCTTGTGAGAAATCGCTTATGCCATTCTGTCCGCCTCGTCTTACAGTGGAGCAGATCGAATCGGTTTATTGGGCTCGGGTTCCCAACGAGACCCTGCGAACAACTGCCCTGAAATTATCGGAAGTTCGAGGTAAACACACCTGCAAAAATGAATTTGGCACATTCTGTGCTCAAACTGGCCACTCGTATTAACTATAACTACCCCGCGCTAAACTAGTGAAACGGACACTCTTGAAGAGTCTCGCTAGCATTTGCAGTATTCTCAGTAATACTTCAAATTACAGGTTGGTCTGTGCTGTGCAATGATCCAGTCAGGATCATGACGGTATATGTTCCTGAAAAAGATCAATCCTTCGATATTCTTGAAATGATCGAGATGCCAAACATGCTCGAATTCCACAGGCAGACGTTGAATCTCTACTGCAAATTGGCGAGTCATGGAAATCACAAAGTTGCTCATATTCTTTGCCAACATGTCGATGAAGATCAAATATTTTATGCCATCAAGTCACATTGCAAGTTTTCCTGATAAGGAACGTCTCGTTACATTGAAATTTTCAGACCTCTCTGGGCCAATGAGGCAAGGGTACCATGATCTACTAATCGGTCTTCATTTGGAAAGTCATACGGCTGCTCGACGAAGCATGGCCAAGGAATACGTCATACCTCTGGTTCCTCAACTTCAGTTAAAAAATGTGCTTGATCCAGACAACGAGACGCGGTAGATCAAATGTTTGAATTACGTTGATATGATTGATCAATGTTTAAGGTATCCACAAATTATGGGAGAGAGCTGCTCGATGCTTTCCCAAATGATGGCAGAACCTGTCAAAAAGCATATATCGAGAGATGATGAGATGAAGCTTCTTCCTCCGGCCATTGATTTTGACGCTTTGAAGAAACATGTGATGGAGTCATTGAAAAGTGCCACTCATCATGCTGTCATGAATTGTCGAGATCTCATCGGAGGAGATAACACGAATCATTTCGAACCACTCTTCAAGCTCTTCGATAATCTTCTTGTTATTGGCTTGATCACCGATGAAGAACTCGAGACTCTCCTCACGTTGATCTACCCACAAGCGTTCGATGAAAAGTACGAGCCCTCCACAACTCAGAAGGGTATCACTCAGCTAGAACTCGATGAGCCAGTGAAGATCCAATTTGTAAATATTTTGGACCACCTTTGTGATATCCAGTTAAGACACAGAATCGAGAGTCTTGTCGCGTTCTCAGAAGGATTTGTCGGAGAGTTGCAATCGGACCAGTGCAAAAGATACATGGATATCAAGCAGACTGATATGCCTCCAGCTGAAGCAGCGAAGAAGACAAAAGAGTTCAGATGTCCTCCAAAAGAGCAAATGTTCAGATTGCTCATGTGCAAAGTGAAAGAAGAAAGAGATCCAACTTATAATGATGATGATGCTGATGTGGATCAGTGCCCCATGGCGGAAAGCCTACAACAACAGCTACGAGACTTCTGCGAAATCCTTGTTGGCAAGATCGGAAACGTTAATGAAGAAAGTGTTGATGAACAGCTCGCCCTGATTGAATCCGAGGAAGGATCATGGGTGGACTCGCTTGCGAGAATCGTGGTCAAAGTTCCACCTCCACTTGAACAGCACGACGCTGAGAATCAAAAGAAAGGAACCCAGAATTTCAGAGATATGATTGTCACTATGATGAAAGAATGGGCTTTGGGAGACTTCATTGAGAACAGCGAATTGATTCGAAGCATGTTCCGACTACTTCTCAGGCAGTATTCCGGTGTTCGCGAGCTCCGAGACGCCATGGATCAAACTTATGTGTTTCATGAAAGAAATGTTCTTGACGTGCAGGACTTCATAGTATACCTGATCCAGATCCGAGAATTACTTACTGTTCAATTCGAGCATGCCGAAGAAGCCATTCTGAAGAGAGGACTCTGGAAATTGATGAACAACCGCATCTTCTTCCAGCATCCCGACTTGATGAGACTTCTGTCCGTACATGAGAATGTTATGTCGATAATGATGAATATTCTGACAGCTCAGCAAGGGACTGTTGAGCACGACGGAGATGAAGTGAAAGAGAAAGCACCGATCAAGGATGCGTCTGAAATGGTTGTCGCTTGCTCTAGATTTCTTTGCTATTTCTGCAGGACCTCTCGCCAGAATCAAAAGGCGATGTTCGAGCATCTATCATTCTTACTGGACAATGCGACTATGCTTCTGGCAAGACCATCATTGAGGTTCGTATTTACTTTCATCATATTACTAGGATGTTTTGTTTTCAGAGGTTCCGTGCCCCTCGACGTTGCCTACTCCAGCTTTATGGACAACAACGAATTGGCTCTTGCGCTCAAGGAAGAAGAGCTAGACAAAGTGGCAGTATACCTTTCCAGATGTGGACTTCAGCCAAACTCTGAGCTTCTCGCTAAAGGATATCCGGACATTGGATGGGATCCGGTTGAAGGAGAGCGCTATATCGATTTTCTAAGATTCTGTGTTTGGATTAACGGAGAGAATGTCGAGGAGAACGCGAATCTCGTGATCCGACTCTTGATTCGTCGCCCAGAATGTCTCGGTGTTGCTTTGAAAGGAGAAGGACAAGGATTGTATGCGGCCTTCAAGGAGGCAATTGCGTTGTCAGAAGACATACGAATGCTCGAAAATGGAGCGCATCCGTCCAGCTTGACCAGCGGACTATTGGGAGAAAACCCGTAAGTTGTGTTTTCAAATATTCAAAGACAATAACCCTTTTTTCAGGACTTATCCGTCCAAAGAATCTGAAGGCGAAGATTATCTCGATCTTGGATCCGCCACATTGGACTTCTATTCAAGTTTAGTTGACCTTCTCGCGAAATGTGCGCCAGATCCAATGGCCATTCAAGCTGGAAAAGGAGATTCACTGAGAGCTCGAGCTATTCTTCGATCGTTAATATCGCTGGACGATCTTGGACACATTCTCAGTCTACGTTTCACCATTCCGAATTTGTCAGCTCCGACTACAGATGGTAAGCCAAATTGTATGTATTTATGTGTAGCGTGATTTCTAACCCCAGCCATTCGGCGTGTGAACCAATTGGCTAATACTCAAAAGACGGCACTTGCCCACACGTTTGCAATGGTCGCCTCACTAGCATCGGAAGTCTCGAACACGCAGCGTCGCTCACAAACGTTTCCGTCAGCCTCCACACTTCGAGGGTGCGCTTCCCGGATTTGTTTCAACTAACATTTGTCCTTTGTTCTTTTTTAGGCTTCCTCGCGTTGATGAAGTCGATAGTGACGCCGACTCTTCAGATTATGCATCGGTTCATACATCATTCTCCAGTGGGTCTGGATTATTTGCGCCAAAGCCCACAAGAGAACAGCTTCTCTTGAAAGAGGAGAAGAAGTATCCAATTATTCAGAGAAGAAGATCAAGCCGATTTAACCCGATTGACAGTAACGTCTTTTTTGAATTAACTCAATTTGTGTCGTCTTTAAAAATTATAGGAAATTAAAATAAGGATGGTTCAATTTCAGATACTGGACCACTTCCTGGATTGCTCCCAAATCATAAAGGATCCGTTCTTCTCTTCCTCGATCGAGTCTATGGAATCGATTCACAGGATATGCTTTTCCATGTTCTTGAGCAGTCTTTCTTACCAGATCTTCGAGCGGCCACAATGATGGACTCCCCGAAGGCATTGGAATCCGACACGGCGCTAGCGCTGAACCGTTATCTGTGCAATTCTGTTCTTCCACTTCTTACCAATCATTCGCACTTCTTCTCGGACGCTGAACATCATACTGCACTTCTTGACGCAACGCTCCACACCGTTTATAGAATGAATCGTTTGAAATCGCTGACAAAAAACCAGCGTGACGCAGTATCCGATTTCTTAGTGGCCATCACTAGGGAATTGCCGCCAGGAATGATGATTAAACTTCTTAAGAAGGTGATCAACGATATTCTTACGATGAACGATATGAATGTGCTGGTGCCTTTGCGGCTGATCACTCTTCATTACGAACGATGCGGAAAATATTACGGATCTGGAAATCACTACGGTGTCGCTAGCGAAACGGAGAAACGCCTTTCCATGCTTCTATTCTATGCCATTTTCGAAACGCTTGGAAAGCGTCCATATGATCCAGAGCTGTTCGGAAAAGCATTGCCATGCATGACTGCAATCGGAAGCGCAATCTCACCAGATTACTCTCTTACCACTGGATTGGATGAGATTAAAGATAAAAAGAAGCCTGATGAAGGATCATGGATCCCAGTGACTGTCGACGTCAGCAAGGTGGATGTCAATAGAGAACTCGACAAGATGACAGAGCTGTTCGCAGAGCACTTCCATGACTCATGGGCAAGTCGAAAGCTGGAAAAGGGATGGCAGTACGGAGAGCTCTATTCTAGAGCGAACCAGACCCATCCCAGATTAAAGCCGTTTTCCCTATTGAAGGACTTCGAGAAGTCATTTTATAAGGAGCGATGCTCAGAGTGTCTGAAAGCTTTGATGGCTTGGGGATATACATTTGAAATGATCGATCGAGATGCTAACGAGCGAGCTTCAGCAGCTCGGACTCTTTCTGGAACCTCAATTGCTAATTTTGCGCCAAAGCCAATTGATCTGAGCACCATGACTCTTGAGAAAGAAATGGTGAATGCCGCGGAAAAAATGGCTGAGCACTCTCACCTCATCTGGGCGAAAAAGGTCCTTTACGATCTAAACACAAAAGGAGGATTTATGCCGATCCCATTGGTTCCTTGGGACCTGCTTACCGATTTTGAACGAAGAAAAGATCGCTTCAGATCATCAGAAATCCTTAAGTTCCTTCAGTACCATGGTTACCACGTGACTTGTCCAAAAGATGAACAATCTCAAAGTGAGCGTCTCAAAAACGAAGGAGAAAGATCGTCAGTCGAAAAGAGATTCGCTTATAACCTTCTTGAGAAACTCATTCAATATTTGGAACAAGCAAGCCTGAAAATGAAATCAGTGAAGCCAAGTCAAGAATTAACTCGTCGCAACTCGTTCAGAAGAGAAGGACAAGACGTGAAGTTCTTTGAGAAAGTCGTTCTCCCATTGATGCATGCTTACTTCAACGCTCATAAAAACTACTTCCTGGAAGGATCATCGATTGTTCAAACTGGAACCGCAAGCAACAAAGAGAAGGAAATGGTCGCAAAGTATGATTTTGAAAATTAAAGTGTTCTAATCCAACGCTTCTTCCAGCTTGTTTTGTCGTCTGGCCGCTCTATTGAGAATCAAGAATCGAGCGTTCGGTAGCGTGGCGAAAATTACCGTCAAATGCCTTCAGGGTCTCACCCAAGCGCTTGATCTTCGAACATTGGTAAAGGTGAACTCTGATATTGTCAGAACTTCACTATTGACGTTCTTCAATAATTGCGCTGACGATCTGTATGCAGCGGTTAATGAGCTTAAGGTAAGGGATTAATTAAATTCAATGTGAACACTAACCCAAATAATGTACAGAAGGATATTTATTATTCTCAAAGGCCAAATAGTTATAATGTGGGTTATAGACGTTGTGTAGAAATGTTGATTGTGGCGAAAACTCACATATACATATTCTATGTTTTCCATTTTAGGAATGTGGTCAATATTCTTTGATCCGCGGTGAAGCACTCAAATCGTGGAATTCTTTCGAATTTGCCAACCAGATGATAGTCCCAGTGCTCACAACCATGTTCGGACATCTTGCCAGAAACCATTTTGGTACCGATTTGCTGCTCGACGATATCCAAGCGGCATGCTATAAAATTCTCGATTCGTTGTACATGGTCACGGGCTTGGGAAGCTCGATCCGCGACAGAAAGAGTATCAACTACGAGGCTGAGAAGCATCGACCAGGACTTGGACAGTGCTTGGCGGCGTTCGCATCTTGTTTCCCTGTAGCATTTCTGGAGCCGGAATTCAACAAAAGCAACAAGTTCTCCGTTCTGGCCAAGTCGCAGGACCAGTCGGTACAAGTGCAAGAAATGCTACAGAACCTGTCAACTCATATTCCGCACCTGGACAAGTTGCTAACCGATATTGAGTCAGTCTCTCAAAACAACACGATGTATTCCGAAGCTCCAAATGTTTACGACGTCGATCTACCTCTAATGTGCTCCTATATGGCGTATTGGTTCAATGTGGGTCCTGATGGAAAAAAGGACCAGAAGGAAGAAGATAAAAGAATGAGCATTGTACAAACAACAAATGTTGGATCTGATCATATCAATCGAATCTTCTGCTCACTTCTGAGAATGATTCGGAATCATGTTGGAATTGAGAATGCACCCTGGTTGTGCAGAGTCAACTGTAAGCTTCAATCTATTCAAAATCTGGCGTTCATTGCTTTTTTCAGACTTTGCCGTTCAAATCATTCAGAATGTCACATGCGATCCCGTGCGTGAGTACATCCTTCCGATCGCCGAACGTCTCCGTCGAATGAGCGAGAAAGCATACAAAGAAGAAGAGCACACAAGAACACATCCAGACGATGCTGACGAGGGAACTGTCGCTGAAGACAATGCTCGTCTTGTTCGAGATACCTATGCGTTCTTCCCGATTCTCATGAAATACACCGATTTGCATCGTGCCCAATGGCTGAAGTCACCGACATGGGAAACGGATGGCGTATATGAAAATGTTGCTGTGATCTTCAGAATCTGGAGTCAAAGCCAACATTTCAAGGCAAGAACGACTATAAATTGTCACAACCGATGTCGTTTTCAGAGAGAAGAACTCAATTACGTAGCGCAATTTGAAGAAGAAAATGGAGGTGTTGGGGGCGGTGACATGAAGACCGGCAAAGCTGCGATTGCTGAGAGAAAGAAGAAAAGAAGAGAAGGACAGGTAGAGAAAGTTTTCGAGTTTTCATTACTAATTAATACGAGCAGGATAAAATGAAAGAGGTTTACGATAAAAAAGGGAAACCAATAGTAAGTGGGAAATGTTGTATTGTGATAGTAAACCCAATGAAAATTGTATGAATTTCAAAACATTATGATCTGAATTTATTTTTATAGATCAAGAAAGACAAACATGCTTCAAGTATTGTCATTGCATGCCTTAAAAGGCTACTTCCAGTGGGTCTTAACGTGTTTGGCGGAAGGTTTTAGAATTTCCGTTATCGATTACAAGTAATTTTTTTCAAGAGAACTTGACATTGTGCAGCAATCAAAGGAAAAGTTCATCCAGAAAGAGCTTGAGGAGAAGATCCGCGAATTCATCAAAGGATTACTCGAGATTCCTGTGAAAACCGATCCGACTGACAAGAATGCATGGCAGTTGTCGCTATACCGCAAAATCGGTATATGGAATCAATTTTGCCTTAAAGAGTTATGTGTACAATACAGGAAAAAGCCAAATGCGTGGAAAAGATGAGATGTCGCAAGACGCTGTCATTGAGAAGATCTTCAATATGGGTCAAGTGACTGCCATTCTCCACGTGGTTCGTTTTATATCCGCTAGGGACCATCATAATATTCCTTGCCGCTTTGTTGTCATCGTTGATTTGAGTTTCTTGTCCGGGTCTTTCATACTTTTTTATTATTAACTGATCTGTCCAATCATGTGTTGTCCTTGTCCAACTTGCAGATTACGCGAACCAGGGAACGACGGCGATACCGAAAAACGAGAAAGGTATCCATACATTTTTGTGTTTCTCTTTTTCAAAAAAATAGTATTAAATCATTCAAAAAAAAAAACAAGACATACTTTTGATATGCTAATTATATAATTAACGTGTGTTTAGTTTGAAGTGGAAGCCGCAATGGATGTAAGTTGTTGAATGTGAAGAATGACTGACTTCTATGTTTCTTTCTATTCTTTTATTTTCTATTTTATTTTTAATTATTTAATTGTCCAACTAACAGAAGGACAATTTTTTATAAGTGTTGTCATCGTGAGATTTGATGTTGTTTTAGACGGAGCATCCACAAATGCAGCCATCGCAAGCTTGGAAAAAGGTGGTGTCGACCCAGAGAAAACGCGCCGTCGTCGCCTGCTTCCGAATGGTTCCCTTATACGGAATTCCAAGGTGAGCATGCGGCGAACTAGCTGATTGGCTCTGCTGTGTTGTGTGCATGCTTCCATTTTTTGTTCTATGGTGCAGCGGCAAGGACAAATGTGTGTGTGTGTCATGATCTCCTTTTTCTCTCTTCTCTCTCTCTATCTCTCACTTAATGCGTGCGCTCAGATGACGTCGCGTCTTGAGAAGGAAGACATCTGGAAGAAGGTGTTGACGCTTCAACGAAAGCGTATGGCGATTTCGTTGATTACCGCATCGCATTTGTACAAAACCGAACTGTAAGTAGTAGTTCCGGAGGGTTTTCTTTTTGGTGAGAATGAATGCAGACAACATTTTGGGAAAGATTGATGACTTTTGGGAGTTTGTTGCCCACTCCCCTCTCATCAAAACTAACACCTACGGCTTTTTTCTGACATTTTCATTATTATTATTATTATTTTGTTTATATTTGAATTTTTAAAAGTATTCTCTACAAAAAGCTTTACATTTAGACACCGTGGAATAAACTTCTTTATGCCTGCATTTTCACGTCTTTGGCTTGAAGAGGAGGACACAGGACAGGATAAACTGATTTCGGATATATGCGTAGGACCCAGTAGGCACTCACTCGAATTATTTTCGAATTTATAGACTGGAGTTGAAGAGGAAGAAAGTCCAAGATTGGAAGTAATTGTTGAAGATGGTGTCGCCGTTGTGGCGAATTCTGACGAGAGCAAAGAAAAAGAGTATTATTTCTTGAACTACTGAATAACAACAGTAGTAACATTTTAGAAATCCTGATCCACTGAAACAGCTGATCCGCTGCTTCCAACGAGCGGCAACCAGCGAGGAAACAGCCGCCACTCAAATTCATGACGATTCCCTTTACATTCGATTTGCTGATGTCATGGCACAATCAATTCACATTGAAGAGGAAGATGGCGATGATGGTGAAGAAGGCGAGATTGATCAGGCGGCCAAAGAAGAAGAATCTCAAGCACTTCGGGCGGAACAGGGCGTCCTTGCGAGCCGTGGAGCTGCTATAATGTGCCTCATGTATTTGTCAGCTTCTGGCGGAGAACCGAATGAGATGGTGGCTCAGACTCTTCAGCTTGGAATTCATTTGCTCAGCGGTGGAAATGTGGAGATTCAAAAGATGCTCATCGAATATCTACAACTTAAAAAGGATGTCAGATTCTTCACATCCATGGCTGGTTTGATGAATAAGTGTTCAGTATTGAATCTGGAAATGTTCGAAAGGCAGATCAAGGTAGGCCTGGATTAATTGGTTTTTCTTGGTCTAGAGGGGTCCCCGAGTCTAACATCCCTCCTACTAGCATTTTCAGAAAGTGGACGTCACAGGCGTTCACGATTTTTCGCATCGCTCGAAAAGGAAAATTAACCTACAGGCATGGAAAACTCGAGTTGATTTGATTTTCTTCTTCTTTCGAGAAAAATGTGCTATTTCTATTTTCTATCCTATGTTAACAGGATTCCTGCTTTAACTTGGTTTCCCCTGATCTATTTCAAAGCTTATACCTTGTTTTTTTCTTGGAATGGCCGCTTTTAAGATTTATCGAATTAAAAATTATACAATTATACTCCTTGCAGGCTGAAGGACTTGGAATGGGAGCTGAACTTGCTTCGGGAGACAATCAAAATTTGAATGACGCCGACTTCACTTGCTCCTTGTTCAGATTCCTCCAACTCACCTGCGAAGGTCACAACCTCGACTTCCAGAACTACTTGAGAACCCAGCCAGGTCACACAACTAGTGTTAACCTTATCAACTGCACTGTCGACTATTTGCTGAGGCTTCAAGAATCTGTCATGGATTTCTACTGGCATTATTCCAGCAAAGAAGTCATCGATGAAGGTGGAAAAGAATACTTCCTGCGGGCTATTCAAGTGTGCAGTCAAGTGTTCAACACACTCACAGAAAGTATCCAAGGACCATGCGTTGGAAATCAGATGACTCTTGCTAATTCTCGTCTCTGGGATGCAATCAACGGATTTTTCTTCCTCTTTGCACACATGATGGAAAAGCTTTACAAGAATTCGACACAGCTCGAACTTCTTCGTGAATTCCTCAATCTTCAAAAGGATATGATTGTGTTGATGTTATCAATGCTTGAAGGAAATGTGCTCAATGGATCAATTGGAAAGCAAATGGTCGACGCTCTCGTGGAATCGCAGCCATCGGTGGAAAAAATACTCAAGTTCTCGGACATGTTCCTGAAACTCAAGGATCTTACAACGTCGCAGGCGTTCCAAGACTTTGACACAAATCGGGATGGATGGATCAGTCCCAAAGAATTCCAGAGAGCTATGGAGAGTCAGAAGATGTACACTGTGTAAGCTTTTTGATCATTGGAGACCACTATGACCATTTGTGATTTCAGGGAAGATATAACCTATCTTATGATGTGTACGGATGTCAACAATGATGGAAAGGTTGACTACATGGAGTTCACAGAGCGATTCCACAATCCTGCAAGAGATATCGGATTCAACCTTGCCGTCCTTTTGGTCAATTTAAAGGAACACATTACCAATGATCCACGTCTCGAAAAAATTATCGAGAAAGCGCAGACGCTTCTAGAATATTTCGATCCATTCCTCGGAAGAATTGAGATCATGGGATCTTCGAAGAGAGTGGAAAAGATTTATTTCGAAATTCAAGAATCGTGGCTGGAACAATGGGGAAAACAACAAATTAGGGACTCGAAGAATTCGTTCCTTTTCAACGTCTTACAAGACGATGGAGGCGATCAGGGCAAATTGGAAGCATTCATCAACTTCTGTGAAGACACAATTTTCGAAATGCAGCATGCCGCGGCGATCTCGTCTGGAGACAGCGATACTAAAATGGAAAGAGCTATTAAACAAAGAGATTACTTTCTGCAGCAAACTTCGACAGAGTAAACGTTGCGATTAAAGATTAAATGAAATTATTGAAATTTCAGACAACTTTCGGAAACATTCAAAAGCGGATATAATATTGGAATTTCTGCTGCTTCTGCTCTGAGTCCTTCCAACATTCAACAGACTGTAAAAAATGTGAGCGGAGCTGTTCGACAAATGACATGGGGACAGTTGCTCTACGCCGTTATTCTTTTGATAATCAGAGCCGGAATATCGATTGGATGGGCCGCTTACCTTCTTCTGATTACCATTTTCCGTTTTGCTTACTTTTTGACGACGAGTAGTGATGAGGATGAGGAGCCGAAAAAAGAAGTGACAATGGAGAAGCAAACAGTCAAACACAATGAGTACGTATTTCAAAAGTAAAAAAAAATAATTGGTTACTTTTTTTAGACATTACGCACCGCCCCTGCCCGAATTCCATCACTCGCATGTTGGAGTCGATGTATTTGGCGTTGGAATGAACCCTGATCATTTGAATCCGAACATTCCTGAATTCATCCCGCCTCCTAGACCGGATACTCCGATGAGCAATCAAAATGATGACGAGATTCCGATGTAAGAATTTTTACGTAGGCCTTTACGTAAAAACTATATGTTTAGAAACGACAATGGCCCTCAACCGCCACTAACACCACAGACACCGCCCGCCGCCGCAGCTAGCAAGGCTCCTAGTATCTACGAGTCTATTGGAGCACCGCAAATGGTGCAGCTCCAATCGGAAGCGGACTTCCAACAAGGACAATACGAACCAAAAATTGCTGAGTCAAACTCGTCGAAGAGTCGAGGATCAATCCTCAACATGCTCGCAAGAAACTTCAAGACAATTGAGAAGACTACTTTATACCTTGCCTTTTTCATCAACGTCATTTTGCTATTCCACAGAGTGGATATCAGAGCACCGCCGGAAAGCACGGATGTTGCCATTGAAGTGGAAGATGATGATGAAGCTTTGGAAACCATCTTCATCAGTGGATTGCAATTTCCATATATCGAATACGAAGTTACTGGATGGATGCTGTCGCAAATTCTTTATTGGATCAGTGTGCTTCATTTGACCACTTCATTCGCCCTTCTCGTTTCATTCTACCAGCTCAAGATCCCGCTTATTACATTCAAAAGAGAAAAGGAAGTTGCCAGAAAGTTAATGTTCGATGGTTGTTGGATAACTGAAGAAGACGCTGAAGAATTAGGAATCGTTGCGACGTTTATGTGGTATCTGGATCGGATTGTAATCTCATCGAAATCTTTCCCAATGATGTACTGGGACAAATTCGTTCGAAGAAAGACTCGCCAAAAGTTCCGCGATCAAGTTGATGAGGAGACGTTGACATCGATTCTAGGAGAAGAGAAGATTTCTACAGACACCAGTTATGATTACCGCTACTCCTGCTGGCTGTGGCTCGGAGTGATTCTGACCAATGGACAATTTTTGTACAGAGTTGGATATCTGCTATGCTCGGCATGCGGAGTCTTCAGTTCACCATTCTTCTACGCATTCCATCTCATCGACGTCGTGCTCTCATTTCCTATGTTAAAAGCGATTCTTCAGTCTGTCACTCACAACTTACAACAGCTCATCCTTACAATCATGATGACCCTTGTGGTAGTGTACCTCTACACAGTTATTGCCTTCAATTTCTTCCGAAAATTCTACGTGCAAGAAGGAGAGGATGGCGAAGAACCGGATCGCAAATGCCATAACATGCTCACATGCTTCATTTATCATTTCTACGCCGGAGTGCGTGCTGGTGGAGGTATTGGAGATGAGCTTGAGAGCCCATATGGTGACGATCTGGAGTACGCAAGAATGTTCTACGACATTTCTTTCTTCTTCTTCGTCATTGTCATTCTTCTGGCTATCATGCAAGGTTTGATCATTGATGCATTCGGTGAGCTTCGTGACCAGCAAGAGTCGGCCACGGAAAAACTTGAATCGTCATGTTTCATTTGCGACATCGGCAAGGAAACGTTTGATCGGATGCCGAGAGGATTTGAGATCCATACAACCAAGGAACACAACTTCGCTAATTATTTGTAATTTTGTTTACCAATTGATCAAATGATCATTTTTCTATTCAGGTTCTTCCTTCAACATTTGGTTAATAAGGATGAGACAGAATACACCGGACAGGAGACATATGTCCGTGAGAAATACGACAACAGGTGTGTTAAATGTCATTTATTATGAAACATAATTATTGTCTACAGAGATTGGGACTTCTTCCCAGTTGGAGAATGTTTTGTCAAGCAATACGAAGATCAACTTTTACAATCTTAATGGTCCCTTTCCGGGTTTTCTTTATATGTTTGATACTTTTTTTGTTAACTAGTCCACAGTATTATTCATCAATTTCTAGATCATAATTTCACAAATCAATAATTTATTTTTTAATGTGTCGAACGAACAAAAAAAACAGTGCCTAAACCATTGATTTCTTGGGTTTTGTTTTGTTACATTGTCTATTTTATTTGCAATAAATGGTAAACTACTAAAATTGTTTTACATATCGGAACAATGCCGGAGGAAAGTGATTTCAATTATTTTCAAACGCATATGACGGGCATTTATTCACATCTTAAGCAATATTTACAACATTGGAAATATATAAGAAGAAGGAAAGCCGAAAGGATAAAAAAGAGATGAAAAAAAAAACAAAAAAGGAGAAAAAAAAACAAGAAAAAAAACTGGAAATGTAGATTTACGGCATATACGGATAACTTTCGTTATACAAAAAAGAAGCAACGACACCAAACAATTTCTTGATAGCTCACAAACTTTTCAAACCATCGTTGCAAAACTGCTTCATCAAAAATCAAACATGTGACACTCGTTACCCCTAAAAATGTGTATCCATGCAAAGAAGATTGTGACGTTCAAGGAATCTCCGGTTTTCGTTCCATACCCTCTCTTTAAAATGCTCTTATCAATACACCAACATGCATATAAAACATTGATAATAATCATGATTTATCGCGTTTTCTGCTCAAATGACTTTAAAACTTTTGTTTTTTTGAAGGCTCATAATGCTCAACAAGTATATTCAAGAAGGAGATAATGCGGATTTGACCAAGGAACGCAAAAATGCGTAAGTTTTAATAAACATTGGTGCTGTAAAGAGCTGAAATTCCAGCACATTTGACACGGAAATCATGGCAACTGAAATTCGAGGATCTGCCGAGCGTCTTCGTCGTGATCGGAGTATTCGAGACGAAATCTCAAAACGATCTGACCTTTTCCAAGTAATTCCTCCTGCACATCGAACCCGAATCGAGCGTCTCGAAGATTGCAGTAGATTGGTAAGAATCGCCTTGGCAATTAAAAAAGGGACAAGAGATTTAGATCAGCAACATGATGAACACAATTCATGACTTTGCTGATGTCACCGACAAGTATGACATGATTCAAGTGCTCAGAGTAATTATTGGAGTAGAAGGCTTTCCTCTGGCACTTCACAATCTCATGTTCATCCCGACTATTCAGAATCAAGCGGATGATGAACAGACTGTACGATTTAGAACGATGTATGTAGAGTTTGTACATTTATTATTTCAGGAATGGTGGCTGTGGAACGCGATTCAAGGGAAAATGGTGGGCACTTATGCTCAGACCGAGCTTGGACATGGTAAGTCTCGTTCCGGAAATGATAAGAATAATCTTCTTAGTATTCGCAATTGATAACAAAGAGGAACCAGGGGCTTGCAACTTTCCATTAAACACATTAGTTTTCCAGGGACAAACTTGGGAGCAATCGAAACTACATCCACTTTTGATCGTGAGACAGATGAGTTTGTCCTTCATACTCCAACAACTACGGCATTGAAATGGTTTTTGTCTATAATGGTCCCTAGATTGAAATTACTTTTGTAATAGGTGGCCCGGAGGACTTGGAACAAGTTGCACACATGTCATTCTTGTCGCAAATCTAATTATAGATAACAAGAACTATGGTCCCCACCCTTTCTTGGTACCAATTAGAGATCCAAAAACGTTTACCAGATCAAAATAAGTATGTAATGCTAATTGTTACATTTAGATACGATCCACTGCCACGAATCCGAGTTGGAGACATTGGCACTAAACTAGGTGTTAACAATGTAGATAATGGATACCTAGGATTGGATCATTACCGGATTCCACGAAGATTCATGCTCATGAAACACAGTAAAGTATCTCGCGAAGGAGTTTACAGTGCTCCAGTACACCCAAAGGTCGCCTATACGACCATGCTCTATGTCAGATCCGAAATGATCACCCATCAAGCAAACTATTTAATGATCGCTATGAACATTGCCATCCGCTATTCGGCGGTCCGCCGCCAAGGAGAAATTAAGCCCGGGACTCAGGAAGTCCAGATTTTGGATTACCAGACACAACAGTACCGTCTGTTCCCAGGTCTTGCGAGATGTTTTGTTTTCACCACAGCTGCAAGTACCGTGCGATCCTTGACCGAGGGATGCCTTGAGAGTTTGGCGCAAGGAAATTCGGATATTCTCGCAGATCTTCATAATTTGTCGTGTGGACTGAAGGCTGTAGTTACCCAGCAGGCTTCTGAATCAATTGATCAAGCAAGACAAGCATGCGGTGGACATGGATATTCGGATGCAAGCTATCTGCCGACACTCTTCGGTTTTTGAATCACAAGAATACATTAATTTACAGTAAATTTTACAGCTTGCGCTGTTGGTGCTTGTACGTATGAAGGAGAAAACATTGTTCTGCTACTTCAATTGGCGAAATATCTAATGAAAGTGATAGTGAAGCCGAAAGAACAATTGGGACCACTTACATCATACCTGGCTGATGAAAATACAGCATCAAGAATACAAGCTGATTGTAAGCTATTTTAAAATAAATACGTAGTCAAGTCTTCAAATTTTAAGCAAAATACGTGAAATTAATTGCTCACTTTGAACACATTGCGAGAAGACGGATCAGGAATGCCTACGATCTGATGAAGACCGATTATTCCAACGGAATCGACAAAGATTATGCCTTCTACAACCATTCAGTGGACATGACAAAGGCCGCGAGAGCTCATACTAAACTCTTCATTGCTACTGGTTTTGTGAAAAGATGCCAACAGGTTACCGAGCCTGCCGTCCGCCAGGTGTACGACGATCTATTGGACTTGTACTTGTCCTATGAGCTGGTTGAAATGTCACAGGATCTTCTATTCGATGGATATCTGTCTACTCACGACGTCAGCAGCATACGAAATCTGTTTTATGACAGTATGAAACGAATCAGAGTAAATGCTGTTTCAATCGTTGACTCTTTTGATTTCAGCGATGGAGAATTAAGATCAGTAGGGTTTTCTTTCAAAAGATCAATATAACAATTTATTTTTAGGTATTGGGTAGAAGGGATGGCCACGTTTATGAAAACTTGATTAAATGGGCAGAGATGAGTCCACTAAATCGAAAAGGTCTCCCACATGTTGAGAAATACTTGAAGCCAGTCACCAGTAAGCTCTAAGTACCCAAAGAATTGCAAGCATGTTAGTTGCTTGTTATTTTTTATTGATCGTTTGAATCTTAAATTGCTGGTTTTGTTGTAAAAATTGGTAATTTTTCGAATAAAAATATTTACTCATAGTGACGTCACTAATTCACGATCAGAATTGAACAACAAAAGTAATAATAAAAACAAACCAAAGGTTTTTAAGACACACATTTTCTTTTGGAATGCGCTAGACTTTACGATATTTTGCGAACATGCGTCATTCGACAAAAGAAGGGTGGGGGAGTCCTAAAAACTTGTTCTTCGCACGGCAGTGATATGATTTTCATACCGTTTTATTTCATCATATTCCATTTATATCTCTTTCGTAGATAGTATTTAAAAGAGTCTGTAGAAATAATCAGTCTACGGAAAACTTTCAGGTTTTATTAGAAGATTTTTATCATGTTAGTACGTCTGTTAGCAATCGATGAAATATTCAAATATAATAGTCTATTTGAATTATTCACATGATATGCATATGAATAATCATTTTCTGCTCCAGACGATTTCATTGAAAAAGAGTGTTTGATAAGGGGAGCAATATCACTTCAGTAATAACTGATCAATGAACCTGAAGATATCCACTCGATTGAATCCCGAATCAATGTTTGGTGTCTTTACGTCACCAACAGCAGGGGGACCTCTTTCATGTCCTTGATACTGTAGCCATCGACTAGAAATTTTAGGATCGATTATCTTTGACCAGACATCGAACGGTCGATGTGGCCAAACAATCATAATAATAAATATGTCAAAGTACACCATGCACCCAAAATCGTCACCAAGTGTTCCCCGAACTCTATTCGTCATCACGCCATCATATGCAACACCAACCACGTTGACCCCGCCCTCTCCCCGCGACATGTACAAAAGATGCGGTCGATTCACCGATAAGACATTCCATATGCACTTTTCGCTCACTTTTTTGACTATTATATACCTAATGTTTGGTTTTTTTTGCAGTCTTGAACGTTGCACGACAACTCTATATCGAGTATTGTCTGAACAACGTTTGCGGATTCATTAATTGGGACGAGCCACTTGCCAGAAAATCCCTCGAATTGATAAACAAACGAGGCTAGCGGCCCCCGCTGCCCAGCTTTCACAGGTAATTTCAAATATATGCTCTTTTCTACTAGAAACCCGTATTTAAGACGCGCCCGATTCGCAAGAGCGTCGTCGCTGACGAACATCAATATCCAGATCCATTGCGGACAGGAGCACCTCCTTGGAGCTAAGCTAATTAAACATGATCGCTCAAATGGAATTGATTGGAAATGAGAAAATCGGAATTTTGAACAAGAGAATCGATGTCCTTGAGCTTGCCAAGGATATCGCCGCGAAAAAGGATCTTCAGAACAATGACTCATCCTTCATGATTGTCTCGTTGGATCGTATTCTTGATAGATTCAAATTGTGGAAAAAAGAGTTGCCAATGGTTGAGGTAAATTCGAGATTGTGGTTCGCTTTTTACACCATTTTTTAGCCTTTTTACGCTGTGAAGTGCAACACTGATCCTGTGTTGGTTCGAATCCTAGCGACTCTCGGATGCGGATTCGATTGTGCGAGTCGCGAAGAGATCGACATTGTCATGGCAACTGGGGTTACCGCAGATCGGGTTATCTACGCAAATCCCTGCAAGACCCGCAGTTTCATTGCACATGCGTTGGAGCGTGATGTTCGCATGATGACATTTGATAACAGCGAGGAGCTTAAGAAGGTTTCTAAGCTTCACCCAAACGCAGAGTTAGTTAATTATTAATTTAGCCGTAGAAACAACTTATTTTTTTTTAGGATGATCCTTCGAATTGCTGTTTCAGATCCAACAGCTACTTGTCCGTTAAATCTGAAATTTGGCTGTGATCCAGTGCTTGCCGCACCTCAACTTCTCAAAAAAGCTTATGATGAAGGAGTAAACGTTGTCGGTATCTCGTTCCATGTGGGAAGTGGATGCAACGACGCTACCGCCTATCGTACGGCTCTTCAACACGCAAAGAACCTATGCGAAATTGGAGAAGGCTTTGGATTCAGAATGAATATCATTGATATGGGTGGAGGCTTTCCTGGAGCAGAACATCAAAATTCGTTTGAGAATGTATGAATTTTCTTTTAACTGCATTGTATAAGAAGATACTTTCAGATTGCCAAGGTGATCCGCGAGGCCATTGATGACTTCTTCCCAGATACTGAGAAACGACTCATCGCCGAACCCGGAAGATTCTTTGCTGCTGGGCCATTCAGTCTTGTGGCCAACATAATTCATTCTACCGAAGTTCCTGCTTCGAAGATCACAAAAAATGCAAACGATTCGGCCGACACTGGATACATGTACTATATCAATGATGGAGTATATGGATCATTCAATTGTATTCTGTTCGACCATGTTCATCCAGAAGGATTCGCGCTTTTTGTAAAAGGAATATTTGAGTCGTAAAATACAAAATTGAATATTTTTCAGCCACCGGCAACAGAAGAACGCTTCATCTCAACCATTTGGGGTCCGACATGTGACAGTTTGGATATGGTCGAAGACCAGAAATCCATGCCAAAGATGGAGGTCGGTGATTGGATGTTCTATCCGGATATGGGAGCATATACAAGCGCGGCGGCTACCACATTCAACGGATTTGCAAAGCCAACTATGATGTACGTCATCAGCGAAGATATGTGGAATCAAACCGTTAAGAATTCAGACTTTATTTGAGAATTTTACAAGTTTGAATAAAACATGATCACCCGATAATTGTTTATTTTGAGATCTTTTTCTGTGGACATTTCTTATTCATATTTCTTCACTGACGCCTTCTTCATCATTGTCGTCACGTTCAATATAATAACAAATATTGAGAAAATGAATGAAATTGTGACAAAAATGTTTCTTGCAAGGCCTGGATATCCTTCTTCAATGCTGCAATCTCTGTCGGCGGCTTCCAACAGATTCCAAGCAACCATGTCGATGCATAAATGAAAGAGCTGATGGCCGTAGCCAATAATATCGAAGACTCCCGGAGCAAATCTTTCCGGAATGTGGGCTCCCATAAATATTCCAGAGATTAAGAGCCATTGAAAAGCCCTTGAATGCAGCGGCAAAGCTTTATCGGATTTGAAAGAATCCGACTGAAACAAATTTACTGATTTGTCGTTTATCATGCTTCTACCTGGTATCGGTGGTGTAATGGTATGTATAGCCAGCATGCCAACAAGAAGCAAGACCCCATCCGGAGCTCCAAACGTCTTTTGTAGTTGGGTTGGAATACGAAAAGGTAACATGTTGAGAAATATTGACCGCCAAGAACACATAGAAGCAGCAACGGAATGTACGTCTGAAAATGAGGAAGGAATTGAATGGTCAATGAGCTAGATAAAATCAAACCAGCCACAGCAAAGGTGTGATTTTTGCACAAATATTTGCACACTTACAATCGCCATCACCACACCGAGATCATCGCAGCAACTGTAGCGTTGTAGCCCGATGGCAATTCCAAATAGGGCGATGCCAGAAAAATCAATCAAAAACCAAAAGATGTGGTCCAAACGGGAACGGGAATGCTGGAAAATAAAATATTTTGTAAATCCGAAAATTCTGCAGAATAATATTGTGAGTATCAGTCGCATTACCATCAAGTGAGCTGTTGATGAAGCTATTAAAAGAATGAATATTCCCGATTGGAGAATAATAACGGGCACCCGTGGATGAGCCGTATTCAACTCCGGAATAAGATAGGTGAACAATAGGATGATTGCTGGCAACAGATGGGTCCATACGTTAAACTGCAACAAGTAATTGTTTTTATTTTAATATATTTCAAAACGAAACAATTCTGTTTCAAATCATGATGGTGTATTAAAGGGATTATTGCTGAACGCAAAATAATTACCACTTCATTATGACAAGTGAACGCGGATTTCAAATAGAATAACTTTGACTGATTCAGCGGTCGATAACCCGAAACGACGTGCTTCCGCTGGAGAAGTGGAGGCACCTCTTGACTACTAAGAAGCATACAGGATGGCTGAAAATTTTTAAATTAACCAAATAAAAGAGTAAAAAAAAGATCTCAAAATAAAAAAAGGACGCCCGCATTTTGTTGGCAAACGTACTCAAGTGAGAGACTGCGAATAATCAAATAAGCGAGACGTGAAATGACTTGTTTCATTTTTTGGGTTCAGTGTTTGGAAAATATCGATAAGTGGTTAGATTAGAACATAAACTATTATTTTTTGGGTGACATATTTCGTTAAGGCGAATTATACGCATATTGTTAAATGCGGAAACGAAAATGCAAACATTAATGAGTCATGCCCGCATGTTTTTTGTGTTTGTCAAACAAAAACCCGTTCCCAGCCGCTTAAAAAACCAATTGACCGATAATTAGTAATTCGCATTTTCTTCAAAAAAATTATAGATACGACAACAAGACCAAGGGAAGAAACCGACGAAATTTTCGGTGAAAAGCTAGGAGCTCGAGACGAGAAACTGATGAGAGATTGCGTGGCTCAGAAGAGACGCTGACTCGCCGAAAATCGATACGTATGAATTCGTTCGCGTTGAAGGTGGCCAAGCCAGGCAAGCGATTATTATTTTTTCTTCATAAAGGAAAAGGCACAACATTCGTGGTTCATTTTGTCGAAAAAGTTTGAAAATTGGAGCCAATTTATTGTACAATTACACCAATACAATACTCAGCAAGTTTTTTTTCAATTAAGTTCCAGGCAATGCAATGTGATGGAACTTGAGGCAACGCAAGGGTGGCATCCTGAAAAACTAATTTTCAATGAAGTATATTTCCGAGTTAGAATTTTTAAATGTTATACATATTAAAAAAAACATAAAACTCTGGAATTACATCCTTGGCAATACTCGATATCTCAGCATACAATCATACCTTTCCCGCATATCGTAAGATTGCCAAACCACCAGGATGATCATTATAATATGGTGTCATGTTGTAAACCTCAAAAAATACTGAAATTAAAAACTCCTTGAGGATGAATATAAAAAAAAATCCATATCCAAAGAACAAAATTTGTTATATTTTTATACACGTTCAACAATACAACTTACTTTTTTGCGGAATATGATCCATAAATCGTCGTGCGTGCAATGCTGAGCCACCTGACTTCGCGTGTATTCCATCTTCGAAAATGCACCGGATGCGCGGCACGCAAGCCCTCATACATATCACATTCAAGAAAAAGAGAGCGCAAAGAAAAAAATCAATATTTTATTAAAATCTGCTATATTTACAAACGAAGACCAGTGAAATCATTGAAAATCATCATTATCCCTTTCATTTCTCCTTCATTCAGAAGAACGGCAAACACAGATTACAGGTTCGAGCGCAATAATAGCGTCTAGCTGCCAGCGAGTAGAATGGGTCGACGCAAAAGCCGTTCCATGCATAGGCAGCACAGCTGAATTAGTATTAGCCATCTTAGTTTAGTATATAAGAACATTCAAATTATATCACGTTTAGCATTAAAATATTTAAAGCACATCAGTTATGGGGGAAAGGTTTTAATCGAAATGCATGCTTTTTTTTAGCTATTGAATCATGCTCGAAAATATCGAAATCCGCCGAAAAACGGCATCCAAATCGGTGACATTTTGCAACGTCGACACGATAATTTGCAAACGTCGCGCACGTTTTTAAATCTACACGCGCCGAAAAATGCGAAACCGCGACAACTGAAAGTTTTCGGCTTTGTCAAAACTAATTTCGATTGGATTGTGGCCAAATTTTCCAAAAGACTTACTTTGGATGTAGGTCTTGGCACGAGTTCACCAAAGGTGGCATGGTTACGATAGGCTGTTCGGTGCTTTGAGATACTGCATAAAACAAAGTTATCCTGGTTTCATTCGAAGCGTGTTACCGTATCTATAATCCAGGCTGGTTTTTGTGCTACCGTACCTACTATAAATCACAATAGGAACAAGATTCCCAAAGGATCGATGTATGGTATTTTGGTCTTGACTTGAACAATATCGGTAGCCAGTAAGCTTTTGGTCCTTCTGAGTATTTAACTCAATCCCTCCAAATATGCATCCATCGATGGTTATTGCTTCCAGTGATCCTATCCGAATCTCAATGGACTGATTAGCAGGCGCCTGAATCCAATAGTGGCAAAGAGTGTGCTCATCGCGAAGCTTTGGAATTCCATTGCCAACATCCTCGCTGAAACTTTGCCAAGTCGATTGGGCTGTCAGCAACTGTCCGCAGCCTGTAGGCTAAAAAAATGATTGGATTTCCAAAGACACAGGACAGAGTTGTACTCTCTGATCACATAAAGCGCCACCGTATCCTGATGGACAAATGCAAACTTGACAATTTCGCGGATTTGGAAAACCACCGTTTGCGCAACTGGCGGAACTATAGCTTGAACAAAGCTCTATAAGGTATACAAATAGTAGGGCCAGAGTGCCAGAATAGGTACCTTTACATTTATAATGTTCATTCATCATAGAGATATCATAAAAGGAGACAAAGTCAGAACCCATGGTATCTTGATATTCAGGGTCTCTCGCTATCATGGTGGGCTGATCATTGGAAGAAGCGCTGAATAGTATTACTTACAATTAACTGACAAACTATTACTTATAATTAACTATTAAACTCTACCGAAGAAAATAAAAACCTCGAAGCTCCATATTGCATAATTGATCCATAATCATACGGCATTCCATAATTGTAGTTTGTAGCCGACGATTCTTTGTCGAACTGATCCATATACGATGCCTTTATATTGGCATAATTGATTGATATGTAGTTGTCTCTATCAAATCTGGATTGTGTGTGGAAGAATCCCAACGCATGACCAAGTTCATGAGCAGCAGTACCAAATTCATCGCATCCCTGTCCTAGCGATAAGTCTTGGACTCCAGTAATTCGTCCAACATAAGAATAACAACCGGACCCCTTGAAAACTCTTATGCGATTGAGTGCTGAATTCGATTGACTTATGAAAATCGACAGTTAATATAATATGGTACCTGTACTGCTCTGATACATATTAATACACGTGTTGTTCTGCCAAAATGCCACAGCAGCTTCAAATGCGGTTATCATTTTGTTAGCTAAAAACGGAAATAATGTTTTTTCTTTAATCATGCTAATATCAACGTACTTGCTGATCTATCATAGTAATAATAGACGGATGAGCCCCAAGTTGTCGATGGATAATATCGATCCCGATAGGCTTGTCTTTTAACTCTTGACTCTGAATTTTCCTCGAGGATTGTCTTGATTTGTTCTCTACATAAAATATATTTGCTAATCTTTGATAGGACCATCATACTCCGTAAGGACCATATCTCCTTGATAAAGAATGTCATTTAATCCTGCATTTTTGTTGACCTGAGGTAATGTATCCCCCTCGGACTTGATTCGATCTCTCGGTTTGAAGCGAATCGATTGCTAACAATAAATATTCCTCAATACGCTGAACACATTCAGTACCTGTGGGGAAACTGTCGAACCAACGGAATCAACAGAATACCTAGATGGCATCTGCTGGAGTCTCGCATTCCATTTCGTTCGCAGCGAAGCGAGTGCTGCTCGAAGGCGAGGCACATTTGTTCGGTTGAAGGTCTTAATGTTCTCAATGTTGAAATCAATATTGTAAAACGTCTGTCCAAATATCTACGTGCTATTTTGTGTTAATATATTTATTTAAAAATTAGCAGCAATGAAAAGTAAAGTATGAAAAAATCTATGTAATACATTTTTTGAATTTGCACTAAATGTTATTACTTCGTTGTAAACTTGATAATTGGCAAAAAACCAGGCTAACATAATATTTCCCTCTAAAAAAAACGATAAAATTATAATATTCTTTTTCATGATCCAACGTTTTCGATCGCAGTATTCTCACCTTTTCAATTTCCGCATCTTCCGGACTACTCACTGGCGCAATATCCTCACCAGCTCCACCATTCAACGCTTTATCCAATGTATTTTGGCTAATTTCGGCACAAACAAAAAAAATGAGTTGAAAAATTGGGAAGAGTATCATTTCATGTGGCCAAAAATGGCAATATTGCTGAATTGAACATGATTTTTACCGTCGAAACAATATATACAAAGCGGATTAAACCGCCCCGGGGTCGCATCATTTTTTTTTTCATTTATTGCTGATGATTCACCAATTTCCATTTGACGATGAACAAATTTCTGTAACTCGGTGAGAAGTCAGGTGGATTATCAAATTATAGGCTCGAATGAATCGTTGCCACGGACAACACCGCCGAATCAGCCAAGTTTTCTAACTTCACGTTTCAATTTCGTATGAGTTGAATGTTTTTTTTTGTTTTTTTTTTCTTATCATTAATATTTTCTGGTTTATCGTCGAAAAACAATGAAAATAATGAGAAACTACGCGTAGCTTCCATGCAAGCAAAAGAAACTTTCCGTATTGTCAAGGAGTTCTAACAGAGGTGCGAACAGAGTTGGTCTGATGCCCAGTGAGATCGTCGGAATCTGTAACAATAAATCTCATGGCCAAAGTATTAAAATGTGATCGCTTAAAAAATAACGTTTATTTTAAGATGATGATTTTCTTGAAATTTTCCGCAGCTATAATTTTCGATAAGGTTATCACCTGGAAATTTACCTATGTCGTTTCATATATCATCAAGTTCTCATGTACTCAATGTGAAAATGAACCACGTGCATATTTATATATTTATATGTATATACTATCACTACTTTTTATGCATATCCAAATTTTCTGTTGTTTCAAAAAGCCATAAACGGAAAAATGGGGGAGGGGGGCAAAACAACACATTATAGCAAGAGAGTCGCGGTGTTAGCCACCCCTAATTTGGAGATAATAGGCAAATCTGGGCGACGGCCGCCGAGCTTTTTCGTATATTTATTTGTTAGTAAAATAATCAGGAAACGAGCTAGAGTCAAAGAGTGTCTTTTTCGGTTTTTTTTTTCTATCAACCTATCTTATTTTCAGTCGTTTGAATACAAAAATGGTCTCAGTCTGCCATTGGTTATTTTTGGTGGCATGCTTCACCGGCCTTTCAATGTCCCTTAAGTGTCATATTGTCACTTACGGAAATGTTTCGGACCCTTCAGCGCAGACAACTTCAAACTCCCTTCAGGTGATCAATTGATAATAGCAAACAATTTGTTTTCTTTTAACTATCAGGAATGTCCAATTGGAGCCAACGCGTGTGTGAAAACTGTTGATTATAATCGTGGAGTTTTTTCGAAACAATGTCAAATTGGCAATTGCACGGTGAGTTAAAGACATCTCCAATTTTTTTCGACCTCTAACTAATTGTAGTCCTCAACTGGAATGCCACAAGCGCCGGCTAATTGTTTTAACAGTACCTCGAACAACGTGATAATGTCGACTTGCTGCTGCTACGGAGACGGGTAGAATTGAAATGATCTCATTTTCCAATAAAGATATTATTTTCCAGATGCAATCCATCAAGCATTCCTTCGAAATTTCTGGTTATGGTGCTCGGTTGTCTTTTTCTGGTCTAATATTCAATATAAATCATCAAATGTTTTGTTTTTTTCTTCACTCAAAAAGCTATTCTCCCCCCCCCCAATAATATCACATGTACGTTGTTTTTTCGCTAATGTGCCTCGCCATTCGTCGAAAACCAAACTGACTCACATCCCTGATTATTTTTATGATTATTCATTAATTAATTTTTTCATATTTTTTCCTCGAAATAAAAGTTCATTTACTCTTTTTTGCGATGGTGATCTCTCGAGAGTTTTCAGTCACGAGCACGATAGGCGTGGTTTCCTCCTAGAAACCAAAACCAGAAATTTATCCGATTTTTATGCGGTTTCATTTGTCATGTGCTCACGCAACCTCGTTTAACATTTTGGTTTTTCAGTCATGTTTTTATTTCATATATGGCTTCCTTAATAATCTATACAAAGCCAAGAATTAAATTATTCTGCCACGATTGATCCAGAAAACAATATTTAAGCAATGAGGAATATATCAATCACTTTACTATAATCAATGCTTAAACGAAAAATCTACATTTATTAAACTACACCCCAGAAATTATTTATGCTACATGTTCAGCTCGACTTCGATATTGACGCAACCTAACTATTCCCAAGTAGATCATAGAGCCAATATTGCGAAATCGTTGGCTTTATCCGAATCATGAATTCCACCTGCTGTTGACTAATACATATAATTTCACATGCTCCAATGGTTTTCATCAGAAGGCTTCGTTGTCATAGGCAGCGGCTTTTCGCACGCGTCTGTAATCAACGGGGCTCGGAGGGTGGCTCGACTCGGCTTGGCTTGGCTTGCTGAGCCCCCGACTCCGCCTTTCGTATGTCTTCTCTGATTATATTGCGCGCTCGGCTGATATTGTGGCCATTTTCGTCGACAATGGCAACCGAGCCCCGCGGGCTTCACTTTTTGATTAACATTAGTTTTTCCCCCCAAACTTTTTATTTTGTTGTTTCAGAAAATGTTCAAGATTCTCGCTACTATCGCTTGCGTGTTCGCCGTCGGCGAAGCTCTTCGTTGCCATATCGTCAGTGGCGGAAATCTTTCGATCGTTGACAACTCGCAACCGCAGGAATGCGGAATCGGGTCGTTGACTTGCGTCAAAATTGTGGATCTCACTCGCGGCACCTACTCGAAGCAGTGCCAGTCGGTGAACTGCACGGTAATTACCATTAGATGAACCTGCCAATCGCTTCTGTTTCAGATGAACGGGGTGCCAAACTCGGCGGCTAACTGCCAGAACACCTCCACTCTTGGGTTGAGCAGCATGATGTGCTGCTGCTACGGCGATGGCTGCAACTCGGCGGAGCATACCAGCATTGTCAACACCATCGTCGGATCATTGTTCGCCTTCGCCACTGCTCGCTCAATCTTCTTCTAATTCATTTAATTGTTATTTGCGTTTTCTTTCGCGTCAGGACCCCTTATATTATCGTCTCAGCAAACATATTTGAATTTTTCTTTTTCTTATTTATTTCATTATAAATTTCATTAATAAATGTGAATGAATTAGATAATTTGTGATGGTTGTCCTTCGCAATTTAGTATGGCATACACAACCTCGTTCGAGTGTTTCTTTGCACCATTAATGAAGCGAAGAACCTCAAAAAAGGAAATATCGTTGAGAGGGAACAGAAACGAGTTACTCATAATCAAACCTCATCACATTTTGCGTCTTCTGTTTCGAAAAGAACAGCAAACTTGCCACCGTGATTCTGTACAGATTGCTTGATGTTATCTGACGGGTACCGAATGCCCTCAGATTTTGAATAATTATCAATCTAAAGCCTAGTTGTATATGTTAATGGTCCAAAATTTCGTACCGTATCTTTGACAATTTTTAAGTTTGATGCGTTTTTTTCGGGATCAAATGAGCGTGCTGATACGATTTCTACGGAAATCTGCGGATACTCACCACTTCCATGTTGGTCTTCGGAGGAACCCGTCAATGTTCGATCTTCCGCTAAAGCTGTTTGTGCAAAAAACGGCATTGAAACCAAAATAGCGAGAACGAGCATCGCGTTCATGATTTTTATTCGAAAATTATATGGAAGACTCATATTTATATGATTCTTGCGCAAACACTATACAATTTTATTATGTTTGCCATATTACAATTGTGTTTAGTGCAGCTTCCTATTCCACTTTCCGGAGAATATCTGAAAATAGGCGTTGGCCTACTGTAGAAATTCATCTGATACCGGCAGGTGGAAACATCGCCGAGAATTCTAGAGAAGGCCAAGAAATCAAAAATTAAGATGAAAATTCGATGAAAATCGATGAAAAATAGGTACCTTCAGATAGCTTCCCCTACCGAAATAATCTGGCATTAGAATTTCCAGGTAAACAGAATTGTCAAGGCGAAATGACCCGTGATTTCTTTATTGTTGTTTGTAATCCTTCTCGAATTGGCGTTTTTCGGCGAATTTACGAGAAAACTCGCACGGAAAACCGGTGAAACACAATCGATTTTCAGGGTCAATGATGTACCGGACCCGGTATAAAAAGAGCGCACGTCGAAACTTTATTTTGCAAGAATCAACTATTGAAAAAACTAAATGAATCGCGTCGTTCTAATTCTTCTTCTAGTTCTAGCGGCAACAATCTGCGCGGAGACTCGGTAAAATATTTACTTTTTCAATTTCCGAATTTATTTAAATCAATTTTAGAAGTCGTGTGAAGCGCCAGTTCCTTCCCTATGGCTACGGCATGCCTTATTACAATCCATATATATTCTACAGACCAATTCCGCCACCAATCTACCCATACATGTGGGGATAATTGCAATATTGTGTTTTAATAATGATTTGTACATAAATTTAGACTTACTATTGTTAGAACTGTAGTCCAATGGAGCGCACTTGTCGCAAAGAGCAATTTTTTAAATTTAAATTCATTTTTTTAATCCCTTCAATTACCAAACAGATAATAAAAGGAAAGTTCAAAAATTGGGAACTGATATCGCCGCAGCCAATGTCGGCCTTCGATTTTATCATTCTCTCCCCATACTTCTGATAAGCACTTTACGGCAAGGTTTTCAGCAAAAATGAATCGATTTTTAATAAAATCGGCTAGATTTAATGCCGCTCTGCGCACGTTTTCAATAACAAAATCAGCAGAAGCGTAAGTTATTCATTTTTTATTTTCAAAAACATAGTTATAGAAAACAGACATGCTTAATCGATGTTCACAAAAAGCATGGTGGAAAACTTGTGGAATTTGCCGGTTACGAGATGCCCACGCAGTACGCAGATTTGTCTATTAAAGAATCAACTATCCACACAAGGAAACACGCGAGTATTTTTGATGTATCTCATATGCTACAAACACACATCGTGGGAAAAGATAGGTAAATTGGGGCAATAATTCCTAAAAAAAAATCAAATTTCAGAGAAGCTTTTATTGAAAGCCTTACCACCGCTGACGTGCAGGGGCTCAAGCCAAACTCTGGAACTTTGTCAGGTTTTTCAAATCATTTCGCGAGAAGTAAAACGTGATTTTTTATAGTTTTCACAAATGAGAAAGGCGGCATCAAAGATGATCTCATTATCATGAAAACTGATAAGGATTTCCTTTTCCTTGTCACGAATGCGGGATGTATCAACAAGGATCTTCCATACCTTTTGGTAGTTGCATATTTTTGAGACATATATTTTGCATTTTGTATTAGGAAAATTCGCAAAAATGGCGATCCAACGGCAAAGACGTTGAGATCAAAACGCTCGATAATCGGGGTTTAGTGGCAGTGCAAGGCCCTGAAATGGCAAAGGTTCTTCATGCTGAAACCGACATTAATATGTCGAAACTAATGTTCATGAACACAACTGTCGGAAAAGTTTTTGGAATTGATGGATGTCGTGTGACCCGTTGTGGATACACAGGAGAGGATGGAGTCGAAATTTCGGTGGATCCAAAGCAAGCTCCATTGCTTGTTGAGAGACTTTTGGCTTCAAACCAAGGGAACATGAAACTTGCCGGTCTGGGAGCTAGAGATGCTTTGAGATTGGAAGCTGGACTGTGCTTATATGGAAATGACATTGAGGAAAATACTACACCGATTGAAGCGGGACTTGCTTTCGTCGTAGGTAAAAAAATATACAGAGCTCTGTTATATGCAAGAATAAATCCCCGTTTTAAATCGCATTGTTTCAGCCAAGCGCCGTCGTGAAACAATGGATTTCCCTGGTGCTGAGATCATTGTAAACCAGCTCAAAGAGAAAAGTTGGCCAAAGCGCAGAGTTGGGCTTATTGCTCAACCTGGCCGAGCTCCACGATCCCATTTACCACTTATTGATCCTTTGGATAACTGTACCATTGGTTTCGTCACGTCTGGATGTCCGTCCCCATGCCTTGGCAAGAACATCGCAATTGCATACGTCGACAAGTCGCACTCTAAAGTCGGTACCAAGTTCGTAGTAGATTTCGGAGCAAAACAATCTGGAGTTGAAGTCGTCAAAATGCCTTTTGTCCCAACTAGATATTATACGGGAAAATAATCGTCAACTTCTAACAAAAAAAAAAACGTGTAAATTTTTGTTAGGATTATTAATATTTTTTGGTTTAATAAATACATATTCATTCAATTGAAGAAGAATTTTGGCATGAAAGGTGGATAAATAAACTTGAAATTCGGCGGATCATTAAATGTTGAACGTGGTACGTGCGGGAATTGATCAGAAAGAATGGATTCTGATTGTTGTCGAAGGAATGAGGCCATCTTTTCAGCAACTTCGTCCTTTAAATAAAAAAAGAGTAAAATCGATAGAAGAAAAAACCTTTTCAAATGGCAATGCAAAATTTTTGACAGGAAGGTTTGAGAATCTTCTATGCCAGTTAAAAGCATCAAATTGGTCGGTATTTCTCCATCTAAATATTAATTACATTTATTTGTTTAGATCGGAAAATTTCGTAACCCAGAATGGGTATTGAAATTCCCTTCACCGCTATAAGGCATCAAATCGTTTTCTTCTTCGAATATTTGCGGGTATCGAAACTGTAATAAAAATTGCATATAAAAGTGGTATGATTGGATGATTTTTTTTCAGGACGTACCCCATATCTTGAAGGTGATTTTCGTACATCGGCAGGTTTTCGGTGATTGAAAATTCGCATTAGTTCCGTTTCATCGGTAACGTCGTCTGGAATCGGTTTCAGGAAATTCAAGAACAAAGGTAAAATCAATAGGTATTGATGAGAAGGGAAATTTCTTACACTTTTCTTGTCAAGATTCAGCAAAAATTTTAAGAAGTTCTTACCGAATTTGACATGTACTCTTGGCTCCTTATCTCGTTTTGGATCATATTCGTACCTGTATTCTACCCGTTGACCATAAGCGCGACATTCTATAAATGTTTAATTTTTCTTTTGCTTGAATAGGTTATTCTCACCGAATTGACGAAAAATAGATAAAAATATAACAGATATTTGAAGTAAGAATATCATATTCGAGGAAGTGTACCCGAACAAGAATAAACGTCCGAATCATCCGACGATCATTCGCAAAACGACCGCCCACATTTTTTATTAGAACGTGTTCAGGTATACTAAGCAGACCATTAGAATTGTGTATACTAGAAGTAGCAGCTGCAACTTCTACTTGCTTGACAGATATTATAATTGAAAAATGAAAAGAATTATGCTAATTGTTTTTAAAACTGGGGGAAACCCCAATAACGATCTATGTAATTCTGATTATTAGCAAATAGGAATACAATGCGGTCAGACACACTCATCTTACGATCACGTATAAAATTTTTAAGACGAAATATTTAAAAAGACGATAATGTACTTCTGAGAATATGCACAAATTAAAAAATTTCCCCTTACCCAATAAAATTCCGTAAACTAATTAATTGTATGTTAAGAAAATAATTTCAAGCAACATTTGTTTTATTTTTTAGCTCACGTGCTTTATATATTTTTTATATTTGTTTTGAACATATAAATCAAATAAATTGATTTATTCAGATCATAAAATTACATACCGTTTGTTTTCTAAAAATAGCGGATACCGGGATTATTCTATGTCGCAAGATGCGTTGCGGTTTGCGTGCGTTTATCTTCAATTTATTTTTACGAATTCGTTTATGTAAACGTGAACCACAGCGCATAAAACTGCAAGGTTTTGCAGCGAAAAATTCTGGTAACCGCTTTTTTTTAGAGAAACGCACAATTTACAATGCATGCATAAATATGAGTTATTTATTTTGCGACTTTTATTCTTTCAAATGGCTTGATCCCTTTAAAATACGGGCCTTGAGTGGCGATATTCTCAGCGGGAAGAATGATGGATCCTGGTGCGGTTGTCGTTGTTGTTGTGGTGGTGGTGATTACTGTAGTCGAAGGCGCAATTGTAGTCTGGGGTACTTCAGAAGTAATTTCTTCAGATTTCTTAGCACGAATGCTAGTAACGAATCTTCCAGGTGTTGGAAACTCTTTTTTGGACTTTTCTACGGCTTCAGATCCTTCGCCATGATTGGATCGTTGATTATCCCGCTCGTCTCCATGACTGGTACGCGAATCATCGGATGGAGTAGCAAGAGTTGTGGCGTGATAGGGGTATTGATGGTGGTGAGTTGTGGTGTAGGTGGCGTCATCGTGGTGAGATTCATGATGACGGCGTCGGTCCTCGCCAGATCGCTCTTCATCAATGCTAGAGCCTTCTCGAGACGCTGGTGGCCGTCGGGAAGATCTTGAAGGTTCGTACCAAGGACCACTCGAAGGACCGCCATCACCACTGAGTTGGCGGGTGGGGAAGTCGGGTTGGAAAGGCTGGAATCCTCCGAAACCTGAAAAAAGGTCCAGTAATTGCTATTTGAAATGTTCGTTTACTTGGGAATTTTGGGAATGGCGGGAAAGGTGGTATTTGTGGTTTTGGTGGTGGTGGAGCTGGTTGTTGTTGTTGTTGTTGCTGTTGATGTTGTGAAGGCTGTTGTTGCTCATGTTCAGACTCCCAATTTTCTGTTTTTTGCTCAGGCTCTCTTCGATGATGATCTTCGGCTGATTCTTCTTGCCGTCTTCTTGGCTTCTCTTCTTGAGATTCGTCTTTCGGTTTTTCGTGTCGTGAGCCTCGAAAAAATTTTCCGCGGTCCTCAACGTCTTCTACTTCCGGCTTACGACTGTCTCGTGGGAACAAACCACCTAACATTTGCATGTTAAGTCCAACAATTTTTGAAGGTTTACTTTGATTCGAACGGTCCTCTTCTTCTTCCTCGTCCTCTTCTTTCTTATAAGCAGGCTCTTCTTCAGGCTCTTCTTTCTTATAAGATTTCCGTTTTATGGCTGGTTCCTCGCTCTCCTTCGGTCGCTCTTCTTCCTTCTTATCTCTTCCTCGTTCACGATCGAATCGCTCTCTGATCTCTTCAGAATCCGGCCTCTGAAATTCAGGTCTCTTTTCGAAATCCTCATCAAATCTTCTTGGCTTCGATGGTCCATATCTATCACGACGCCTTCCATAGAAGTCTTCATCGTCACCATTCTCCATGGAGTTTCGTCCATCCTCTCTTGAAGTACTTGATCTTTCGTGTCCTCTTCTTGTGAATCCTACGAAAAAAGGAGCTCTATGTGGTGATTCTTTCGAGTCCGGATATCTTCTTTCCCCATGTCCTATTCCGAAAACGGGTTCTGGAATATCGGATTGTTGGCGGTAAGGAGTCCGACGACTGTATCGCGGCTCAAGCTCGCCGCGGTAGAAGTCTGAACCAAACATCGAGTCAAGCACTTTAAATTGCTAAAACCAACCCGCGGCAGCAATTTCCAAATAAATGCACAAGACAGAGAAGAATATGAGAATACGATGCCTCACCATGGTCGATCGGACAACGTCTGAGGATTCGAATGCGAAACATGTTTGCAGGAATCGGCCTCACTTTTTTTCATCACTACGCGCTTCTCGTCAATCATATTATACTTTTATTGCGATTTGACGGGCCAACTAGTATTAATAGTTGTTATAGTTGTTTGTATACAAAAGCATTTCTTCTTTCTCCACTTTTTTCATTCATTTTTCTGGAACTCCGAAGACCCTGCTAGGCTGGTGAAAAGACTCAAAGTTCTCATTCTTCTCAGATGAATCAGTCACAAGCCACCTGACAAGATTATGATGGATAATCCGAACAAAATAATAATTTATGTATGTATAATAGGAAGTATTTACATAAAAGCGAATGGATGGATGGAAGGGAAACAGCGAATATATTAGAAAAGAGCAAACCCGTAAAAGTGCCACCCATAAAAAGCGAAAACTGTAGAATATTAGGAGAAGCTTCGAGGTTAGACGTAGCTTGGCAGATTTTCATGAAGGAAGTCGTCATAGATGATCTAAAGGCGTTAATATTGTTAGGTAGTTGTTAGTTGGGTTTTTTCTTCAAATTTCTTCAATTAGTAGTGAATGTTTGAACGAAATGATACATACATAGTCGCGATATTCACGCGCCAGTGAAATAGCAATAATCCAAAAGCCTGTGAGAATTACGAAGATTGCAAAAAACCCAAGATCCGACCACGGCGAGTAGAAGGTGGCTCGCGTAACGACGTACAAAAAGAATATGGCTGACAGAAGAATGCTGAAAAAATATATTTGTTATTATGTTCATTCAATTCTATTAATTCTATTAGAATTGAACAGATGAATTCTGCGAATCATTTACTCTCATTAACTTAATTATTTAAGCTACCCTGGGGACTCCGTTGACTCACCAGACAATGAGATGAAGCAATGCGCATACAATGAATGGTTGAAGGTAGTGCGCCTTCTGTAGTGTAATTCCGCGATTCATCAAATAGACGATCGAGATGTTAAGAAGGACGGTGGCTACAAGCCCACCTAAAATAAATTAAAAAAAATGAATAATTTGCAGCTAATCGCAATTTCCTGTTTTAGTCATCTCGTAGCAAAAAAACTCACAATAATAAGAGTAGTTTTGCGCAGGAGTTCTTTGATCAGGATCCCATAATGCGCAAGCAATCACGCTTGACACGATCGACAAGCATAGGAATGATCCTCCGATGATTCGGACACCGAGAGCGGTTCCATTTGATTGTGGGCTGTTGCCAGACATTTTTGAGAAAATCATCGTCATTCTGAAAAGAGTTCTGTGCTAGAAGTATACACCAGTTTTAGAATATTCTATACGGGAAATTCGTTTTTCTTTTCTATTTTCGTCATTTCGTGTGGGAAAATATGTATGTGCATGATTCATATTATGCGAAGTGCAACATGGTTCGAAAATGAAAAATGATTGTGGGAAAATTGAAATAATACATATGTATTTCAGGTTAAGGCAGATGAAAACATTCAATATTTCCCCAGATTCCCAAGGTTATTCCAGGTATTTTGTAAATCTAGTTTCGAACTGACAATGAGAAAAAAACAGCATAGCCCATACAAAATAGCGTCTGAGGAGTGGAAAAAAGATATCTTCAGGGAAATTTGTTTATATTTATTTTTCGGATTAGACAAAATCATAAAACGTCACGCACGGGATTTAGAAATACGTCGGTGGACAATGGCGAAGCGAAAACGGAAAATAGAAAAAAATAATAATTCGGTCCATTAGAATACAATTTTTTGTTGCGATTCGTGAGAAATGGCAAGTATACTAAATAGAATATCTTATGTTATTAGTTATAGTCGTAAATATAATTCAAATTTATCAAAGAACCAAATATGCTAAATCATATTATTATTATAGTGGTGGCAGCTTGTAAACCAATGTCAAAATAATGGACGAAAGCGAAACTTTGTTCAGTTGTATTACACCTCTGACAGCTTTAAGTGCGGAGACAGAACAAGAAGAATGCGTGGTGAAACCTATTAGCTAATTGGGGGCGGGTCGGAATGCGAGCGAGGAATTAGCTGGATTTAGAGGATAAAAAATTCAAAATTCCTCATTTCGAGATAATTATACGTTTGAGGACGTGCGAGCATGACAATATGACATTAATGGACCTAACAAAAGAAACCCATTGTGCAAAGGAAATGGAAATTTTCTTATTAAAAAAATTAACGTTTTAGATGAACACAAAACGCAGTTCAACCGAAGAGCTTGAAGCTGATAGAAAAACAAAAAAACGTAATCGTCTAAAATTCCGAGAAAATCCAAGATTTTCAGTTGTTTTTTCGTTACAACCAATGAGAAATTGTATTTAGGAGTTAAGAAGAGGTGGCACTTGGCCAGAAATGGGAAAAAAACAAGTTTGTCAAGCATCAAATGACCTTCGCCAAGGAAGGACAAAAGCTAAAAGAAATTGACGCCTAGAAAATTGCGCTATTAATATACGGCAATTCGGGCTGAAAATTGGGAAAAAATACAAATTTTTGTAGTTTGGCTGATTCACGAAGAAGACTTCCAATAACAAATTTTGGACTTCAATTTTATCAGCTTATTTCCGGCTAACTCGTAGATCAATGCGTTTTCTGACATCACAGAGAATTCGAGTATTTTTTTCAAATCCGGCGAATAACAGAACAGACGAGGAACACGATTTGTTGATTGTTTTCTGCCTCGTTATTTTGCGAGATTATCGGCTAGTTTTGGCAAACAAATTCTCAAAGTTTCCAACTATTCACATTCTCAAACAAAAATAGGCAAATAATTCAAAATCACCTGCCATTATATCAGAAAAAAGAATGTGTTTTGATCTAAAAAATCGCAGAATATTGAGCTAACAGAAAAAAACGAAATATCGAGGTCGAAATTTAAGAAAAAGCGCCATCAATTCAACGTTTCCGATTTTTCAAACAAATTTGTTAAAATAAAGTGAATTTCCGGCAAAAGTTTAGACACCAAACACCCTGTGACGTAATTGTCGCTCCTTCTACTATCTAGGATTCAATTAGTTTTTTTTTTCACCCTATTTTCGGGACCTTTTCCGAAAATAAATGAAATGAATTTCCCGTTTTTCTACACGACCTGAATTTTCTTGATTTATGAGGGAAAAATGAAACATGTGTATGAGTACAATTCGTGGAATCTATTTGGTGTGGTCATCACCATTATTTTTTCTGTCGGGGGGATTATCCTATAATCTTCAATATCCATGTATTATTCATTCCTTAACGAGGGAATTTGGAATATTGTTGGATAATTCGATATTGAACGTTGAAAGAAAAACAATGAATATGAGATCTCTGGTTAACGATGAGCAAGAAACATTTAAAAAGGTGCACGTTGAATGTTCCTTTCTTGCATATTTCATGAGAATTAAGCAAGAAGAATTTCTTAAAACATGAAAAGCGTTCAATAACTGAAAACAATTCATACTGTTAAAAAGAGTAGCAAAATATACCTAGAAAATGTGTGTTTAAAAACATTTTTTCTTCATTTTTCTTAAGTACAAAGTGTTTTGAAAAATATTAATTTTGAGGGGGAATTCTGAAGATACAACACACGCTTAATAATTTCATTTTGATGAGCTGTCACTGTTGTTCAAAAAAATTTGATAAATTTGGTTGATTGAAAGAAATCTTGCGAAAAATTGGATGACAAACGACGAAAGTGTATTTTTGGAATATTCGAGTGATATCATTAATATTTTTGAGGCAAAAAAACCTAATTATAGCTCAGACAAAATCCAGAGAAAATCTAATTAGAAAAAAATCTGGTTTTCGAGAAACTTGATTTTTGTTCTTAATTCCTTTCAGCGTTCCAAAAATTGTTTCTGTTCGTGAAAAGGACCACATGTAATCGAAAAAATAAACATTTTTATCTCGTTATTTTTTTCCCTTATTCAAATCCGTAAGTTCAATAAACTACAATGTTCTTGTTTATAACGCATCCAGGGGTACAATGTAGCCTATTGTGTTATCACCCACCCTATCGACCAAGTGATTCTCATTCAGTTGTATTTTGTTCAGTTTGACTATTTCTAACACCACCTTTTTAATTTTGTCTACTCTTTTTCCAGAAATATGCCGTTGAAAGCAGTTATTTTTGACATGGGAGGTGTGCTGTTCCCAGCTCCTATGGATTATTGGAGAAGTTGGAAGTTTTCACAAAATTTTTAACTATTTTCGATTTCAGCTTTGGAAAAATCCGAAAATCTTAAAGAAGGTTCAATTTTGAAAACATTACTTTCGAAAGAAATCGTAAAGCATTTTTGGAGATTCGAAAAAGGTCAAATGACTGCAGAGGATTTTGATCCATTATTTACACATGTTTATAATCTACAGGTTTCTCATTTTAGTAATAAAAATTATCAATCTGCAGTTTCAGAATTCAACCAATTTTTCTGGAGTACTTCCAATATTTTCAATGACCTCTAATATCGCCAACGTCGCCTTTTTCCCAGAAATGATTAATGTTATAAAGGTTTTTTCGAATTTCTCTGCCATTTTTTGAAAACATTTTCTGCAGGTTTTGCGCCTTTCTGGTTACCGTACAATTCTGATAACAAATAACTTTTATGCTGATCGTGCCAGGAAACTACCTACCGTACCCCAGCAGACTTCATATCTTTTCGATGATGTCTTGGAATCCTGTCGACTCGGATTAAGGAAGCCTGACGATAATATTTATAAATTGGCATGCGAGCGGAACAAAGTAGAGTTTGCTTAATGAATACTATCAAAAATGTTATTTTCAGCTTCACCCATCAGAATGTATATTTCTGGACGATCTAGGAGACAATCTCAAACCAGCCAAAGCACTTGGGATGACTACGATCAAAGTTGAAAACATTGAAAACGCTATTAATGAGCTTTCAAGAATCTTGCAATTGGATTTTTCGCTTCCTGGAGAGACAAGAGAATGCATTCCTCGCGAGCAATTGCCTCTGAACCAAATAGAGCAAGTCGTTAAGGAGCAGGTGGATGTGATCCGCAAGTTCCGGCACGGACAATCCAATCCGACGTATTATTTTCGAACAAAAAACAGCGGAAAGGAGTACGTGCTTCGAAAAAAGCCTTCGGGGACGCTTCTTCCAACAGCACATCAAATTGAGCGAGAATATCGAATTGTTAACGCACTTCAAACCCATCTACCACTACCAAAAACCTTTGGATTATTTGAAAATGTTCTTGATACCCCATTTTATCTCATGGAATACCAGAAAGGTCGCATTTTTTTGAAACCTTCTTTACCAGAATTGACACCAGTGGAGCGGCGAAAACTTTTTGAAGAAGCCTTGAAAACTTTGGGAAAGATCCATAGCATTGATTATAAAACAGCAGGATTAGCGGATTTTGGAAGAAGTGGTAAGAAAAAAAAAGTAAGAAAATGTTGATAAATTTTGTGCTCAGATGGATATATGGCTAGAAATTTGAAACGATGGACAGATTCGTATGAAATGTCGAAGACAGAGGAAATTCCAGAAATGACGAGACTTGCGGAATATTTGAGCAAAAATATACCCAAAGACTCAAAGACAACCATTGTTCATGGGGATTATAGGCAAACATAAAAGTCAATGCTTTAAATAATATATTTTTTTAGAATCGATAATTTGATAATTGAGCCCAACGAAATTCGAGTTAAAGGAATTCTCGACTGGGAACTCTCAACTATTGGAGATCCATATTCCGATCTTGCCACATTCCTCTTCATTTTCTACGTTCCAAACGATACGAGAACCTTGCCGGGTTTGGGAAATTACAATAAATCCGAGTTGAAAAGCCTGGGAATCCCTAATGTCGAAGAATGCCTTGAATTATACGCAAAGTTCACGAACACTCCAGTCATTGACAAAGAAACCTGGACTTTTTACATTGTTTTCGTCGTTTTTCGTTTTGCCAGTATCTTGCAAGGCGTTTACATGAGAAGCTTAATGAAAAATGCATCATCGCCAGAAGCCTCGGCATTGGGACCAATTGTTAAAAAATTGGTTATCGAGGGGAATAGAATGGTGCACGAATTGCAGTCGAGAAAAAATTATGGTAGCTCCTTAATAAAAATTTTTTCAATCTTCTTTCTTCTAGGATTGCTTACTGTCACACCATCAACTTTATCAGAAAACGCACGAAGATATTATGAAATTGTTCGAGATATTGTGCACAACGATGTCATCCCAATAGAAAAAGAAGTTGCCGAATATTATGAGACCAGTGAACATCGATGGACAATTCCGCATCCAAAAATTGAGAAAATCAAGGTAAACATAGTGGAATTGAAAAAGTTGGCGAGCAATAAAGTTATATAGGAAAAAGCGAAGTCGCTCGGTGCCTGGAATCTTTTCATTTCTAATCATATTGATCCGGAGGGAAAATATGGAAAAGGCCTAACGAATGTAGAATATGCCCATATTTGTGAAGTGATGGGACGTTGCATCTTTGCGCCGGAAGTGTTCAACTGTCAGGCCCCGGATACTGGAAACATGGAAGTTCTTATAAAATATGGCAATGAGAAACAGAAAAATGAGTACGACATTTCTTTTCGTTCAAAAGTTTTATTAGGATTTTTCAAGATGGCTCGAACCCCTTTTAGCTGGAAAAATTAAAAGCTGTTTTGGAATGACGGAACCAGATGTGGCTAGTAGCGATGCAACTAATATTCAGGAAATTATTTGAAATTGATTTTAAGACCGAAAGCTCATATTTTAGGCTTCGATTGTACGAGTTGGAAATGAATATGTGATAAATGCTCGAAAATGGTTTATCTCGAATGCCTCACATCCACAATGCCGGATCTGCATATTCATGGGGCAAATCGCCGGAGAGAAAAAGTCCCGATTGTTTCAACAATCAATGATTCTTGTGCCGATGCAAGCTCCAGGAGTACAAATTGTCCGAAACACGCATGTTTTTGGATCACAGGATGCTCCTGGAGCCCATCCAGAAATCACTTTCACAAACGTTCGTGTTCCAGTAGAAAATGTGATATTTGGAGAAGGTAGAGGATTCGAAATTGCACAAGGACGATTGGGACCTGGTCGAATCCACCATGCCATGAGATTGATTGGCCATGCGGAGAGAGCTATTGACATAATGAAAGACAGGGTTTCAAATAATTATATTTAATATTATTAATTGAACATTTTCAGCTTCAATCTCGAATAGCGTTCGAAAAAACGCTTGATTCATTTGACAGTTTGCGCAAGGAAGTTGCACTATCGAGATGCGAAGTCGAACAAGCTCGACTGTTGGTGCTCAAGGCGGCTCATATGATTGACACCGTCGGACCAAAGGTATTCTATTAAATGAGTTTTTATATCAAGGTTAATTAGGAGGCGAAATCCGAAATTGCAATGATCAAAGTGGTGGCACCAAATATGGCTCTGAAGATTTTGGATCGGGCAATGCAACAACAAGGAGGGCGAGGACTGACGCCAGATACTCCATTGTCAATGTTTTATGTTGCTGCCAGAACACTTAGAATCGCTGACGGCCCTGACGCTGTTCATTTAGATACTATAGCTAAGATTGAATTTAAATCAAGGCTTTGAAAAAATAAGGTTAAATAATTTTATAAATTTATATTATTGAACATTGCCACAAGTAAAATGCGCCGGGCACATTATTTGTCTACAGAAATCATACGTACATACGTATTCATCTAAGAAGCAATATGAAATTTGCTACCATATAATATTCACGCGAAATCATATAGAGTCCATGTACAAAAAATATGCTACCTATGGAACACCCACCGTGGGACCATTAGCACATTCACGCTGAAACCACGCAGCTGAGGAGACATATCGCCCATATTGGATATCAATGCACCCAATGTCCCACGGTGGCCCTATTAAGTGTCCGACGCATTTCATCCGTGTTGAACTATTAAAAAAATGATACTCTAAAAATAGCAGCATCGATTTTGAACATTATTTGATAACCAGTGACACAAATAATTAAAAATTTATCGGTAAATTAAATATATAATTTATTTTTAAAAACGGCATTGGTCGTCTGAGAGGCTGGTCGAATAATATGACCAGTTTGTTGCAAAAAGGATGATTGCAAATCATCGCAAACTCGAATTTTCAGTAAAGCATTCGATTTTGAATTTGATGTAACCGAATTAATAATATTCTCGTTTGAATTATTCAAATTCCGTTCTAACACTAAAAAATTGTCGCAAGGCAGAGGTAAAGTATCAGTCTGAGCGAGTATAAGAAGTGAAGTTGACGTGTATACAACCGAAAAAGGAATAATGAAAATATCGGCAAAGTTCAAAGTGAGTTGATTGTCTGATGATCGCGAAACGCTGCCAATTATCGATTTCCGCTCGTTGTTTTCCGATTTGTACGAAAATTCGAATGGCGAATTTGGCGAATCATTGAGAACTGAAAAATGTTTTTAGAAAAAGAGAATTAGATGTATTCATACTTGTAAGCTGTAGGCAATTCATTGAAGGATCTGACGATATCAAAGTGAACAGAGATGTCCTTGAGTTGATCATTTTACCCTGAGATAATCGCTCGATTGTCTGAAATGCAGTGCAGAATTAGGAAGGATTCTTTTTAGAATTTACCCTGTGCACATCAAAAAACGTGTTGTGAAGTAACCGTTTGCTTATATGGGAAATATACCAGGTTCCTTGAACTTCTCGGACCATAAATGTCTGTGGGCATGTGTTCATCAGCTAGAAACTTATATTTTTATTTTTTTTAATACTGAGGGTACCTCTTTCAATGTGCCCAGTGTTTTGCCATCGTCTAGCTGAAAAGCACTGCCTTCTGGAAGATCGCTTGATCTTGGAATCACTATATTTGAAAGCATCTTCTCTCCATAATCTTGCACAATGAGCCAGCCATTTCGAATGAGTTGCTCTAGGGGATCAGCGCAAAAAATAAGGACGGGAAATAGTAAAAGTAATAATAGGAATAGGCGCATTTTGAATGAATGAAAGTTAACGGCATTGCCAATTATGGACCAGTTTTTGCGCGCTCGCTTTCGGGAACAAAATACTTGCGGTACATTTATTTCGAAGGCATATTCTATCCAGCATTTGGTTTCAGATTATGCAACTGCGAAATCGCTTTCCTTTGAAATTTGAAAATCTGTTGAAAATAATCATCATCATCATAGTTCAGTAAAACAGCCCCGATGACATATTTCCTGAAATTTGAAAATTTGCAGAAATGTTAAAAAAAAAATACATACCTGTCTTCAGATTTTCCGACTACTTGTATTAGAAGCTGAGCGTTTTCAATATCTAATCGCTTCACCTCAAACACCATTTTCTTCGTGAAATATACACCGTCGTCAGAACACGCGTCTGATGTGTAATTCCTAAATTTTTTTAATTATTTAATTTTTTTCAATTCATAAAAACTAACTTTAATTCAGTTTTCCTGATATCAATAACTTTGGTATCAATGAAGACTGATGATCGAATGTATATTTCTAAAATAGTTTAATAAGGCAATAAATTAAAAAAGAATACTTTGAAATGTTTTTGATGATTTCAGATTAGTTACAACACAATAGTGAATAACCAGTCTTTGAATTGTCGGCATATACGAGATTTTCGTTTCAATATCGCCTAGCTCCTGAAAAAGTAAATCAAGGCTTTGAAAAACTTCTCGAGGTTAAGTCAGGTTAAGGTTAAGTCATTTTATAAGGCTATTGAATGTTGCCACAGGTAAAATGCGCCGGACACATAATGTCCACAGGAAAACAATTTTTAAATTAATCATCTCATCTATATTACCGGTTTACAGGCTCTCAATTCCAAGTAAAACTGAGTAAATTGTTTAATTGGATGATTATGAAGCCAGTATGTTGTTTCAGCCACAGGAACCTGGAAAAAATCCGTAAAAGTTTGGACTGAAATCAAAATTTTTACATTATTTTCGTATTTGTCAACATCACAAAATAAAATGTGCAATACGCTATTATTAAGCTCCTTTTTTTGCATGGCCGCTGTGAAAAACTCATTAAAAATTGTCGTTTCGCATTTTTCAACGTATAAAGTGGAAAATGTTTCACAGTGTTTCACATCGCTTTCCTGAAAATTCGAAAAAAAAAGTTATAAAGCAATTTTTCCCACCTGAAGAGGCGAATTTCCATATTTGAAAAATTTTCTTGATACATTTTTCACCAAATAAATGATCACTCGAGCACGACGCTTAATCAGAGTTGGATCTAATACACAATTCGAAATCTGAAACAAAAATTATCGCACAGTTTTTGAAAGATTTTACCGATTTGATATAAAAATTGAATTCTCCTTTATCTTCGACATGTTCTAATGAAATATTCAATAGTTGATTTTGTGAGCAGCACTCCTCAAAAATATTAAATAGAATTTTTATTTATAAAATTGAAACCAACATGGCTTTCCAATGACACGTCGCACATTTTGTGTGAACGCGCAAATGCAAATAAACGAGAAATCAATAATAAATTTCGGAGCGATGAAAAAAATATCAAAGACACAAAAAAGCATTATAAACAGCAAAATGGAGTTATAATAGATTTTTTGCATTTCAGCTATTTGGGAAAATGAAGTAGACTATCTTATGTAGTACTGGATGATCCTCTGGTGGGTTCTTAACAGCATCCGGTGAAAATGAAAGCAATGAAAATTGAAAAATAATGTTTTTGTCAAAATCTATCTTCAGTCGATTTGAAATAGAGCTGAAACTGTTTGTTAGAGGTTCTCAGAAGCTCAAATCTCAAAATATCTAAAAAAAAACTCCATAGGTGACTCCACAGGTGAACAATATACTACCATTAAAAGCTGAAAATAAATTATTTCAGATTTTTTTCAAGCGTAGCCACTTGTTTTTTTACTCACAAATTGTCAGAATGACGATATTCAACTAAGAATTTCATAAGATGATCTTTCTCGATTTCCTCTTCCTCAAAGGCCGCAGCAAATTTCAACGAAATGTTAAAGACTGTTGATCAGTCGACGTCGGCAGTCATTGAATGTTTATCATTTCATCTTATATCATTCTGGGGATTTTTTCTAGTCTCACGTCTGCAACATGTATTATAGAGACTAGATTGCAAATGATGGTAGATCAAATTGTGTTTTATCAATATTCATTACGTAAAATTACAAGTAAACCTAATAGTTTTTACTAACCTAATTATTTCAGTTTCGTTTCATTGTCGTAGGTAGATCGCTTCATTCCAAACACAATTGATATTCAAAATATAACATAAATTTCACTCTAATTTACTTTTGATGATCATGGTTCGATCATTTGAGCAAATTGGCAAACTTTTACTTTCTGATCAAAAACGCAACAAAAAATCGTCATCATCGGTCTAGAATCAGGTTTTTCAATGATGGGTGCTGATGAGATCATACAAGTTCTTGTCAGTGGCTAATCAGACCATATTTGGAGAATTGTTCATTCGGTATCATTTCCCACGTGGTTAGATTTTATACAACGTGACAGTCCTAACTTCTTGGTCTTTCTCAATCACAACATTTGTGTATTTTTCAGTCAGAATCATGTACAAGAGGTCTCCATTTTTAATTGCCAGGAATGCTTTCAATTGCATGAATCGAGAGTATTCGTTACCAGTAAGAAAGCAATAAAAGCGTAGTAATCCAAAATTGAATATTGTAGGCAGATCCCCTATCTCGTTTCAAAGAAATAGGCATGAAACAAAAGCAACCGCGGGTGTTAATCACAGGAAGTCTTGGACAACTTGGTAGAGGTTTGAATTCAGTATACAAGTAAAAAAAAATGAAAATTTCACTAATATAAATATTTTGTCTGTTAGATACATGTATGGAAATGATTGCGTAATCATGACAGATATAGTGAAAGTTCCCGAAAATGCAATTGATGTTTGTAAGTTGGCGTTATTTTGAGGGGAAATTTCCAAATTCATTCAGCCAATTACCAGTATTTGAATATTCTCGAACAATCAGCTATTGAGGAAATTATTGTGAACAAAGTAAATAGTTTTCCCTTTCTTCAAGTCATTGACATTTTAACTTTACAGTCAATAGACACTGTTGTTCATTTCTCGGCGCTTCTATCTGCGATCGGAGAACAGAACGTGCCGTTGGCTCTGCAAGTCAACTGTCGTGGTGTTGAGAATATCTTACAAGTTACCATGTAGACTACAACTCCAGCTCACTGCTAATCCATTTATTTTACAGGAAGCATAAACTCAAAGTGTTCATCCCATCAACAATTGGAGCATTCGGACCCACAACGCCGCGGGATGACACGCCAGATCTAACTGTTCAGGTACCGACAACCATCTATGGAGTGAGCAAAGTTTACGCGGAAAGACTTGGTGAATATTATAATCATCGGTTTGGCCTGGATTTCCGCTGTCTGAGATTCCCTGGAATCATATCTGCCACAAAGCCAGGTGGAGGAACTACAGGTATGTACATACATATATTACATACTAAAACAGTCTTCATCGAACGAAAAATTCATTTGAGACTACGCGATTCAAATTTTCTTTGACGCATTGGAAAAGGGCAAGCACACATGCTACCTCCGTCCCGACACTCGACTTCCGATGATGTATGACACGGATTGCATGGCATCGGTGGTTCAATTCTTGGCCGCCGACAGTCGTCAATTGGCGCGACGAACCTACAACGTGACAGGGTTCTCGTTTACGCCTGAGGAAATCGCCAACGAGATTCGCAAATTCATTCCGAAATTCGAAATTGATTACGACATTTGCCCTATTCGACAGGCCATCGGTTAGTGAATTTAATTTTTTCAACGATAAATCACTTTGAATTTTGAAGCGGATTCATGGCCACGATCACTTGATGATTCTGGAGCAAAGAAAGATTGGGGATGGCGTCCGGATTATGGTTTGCAGGAAACAGTGCAGGTAATTTTAATTTTTCTTTTGTGATTGACACGAGATGTGACCTTGTCAGTAATATTTTGGCTAATTTTAGGTGATGCTCAGTCTTCTGCAACGCGAAATGGAAGAGAACCGTCAAGTAATTTCCACAACCGCGTAATCCATTCCACTATCACTTTGGATGTTCCGAAAAAATAAAATTAAAATATTGAGTGTATGCTCTTGGCTGTCAATGAAGATACCCTCATCCTCTTATCTTCGGTCGGCCTTCCGGTTGTAATAAAAACGAACACGAACAGTTGGTGATAAATGATCCTCGTCGTTGACAGCGCTATTTCGAAAGAATTTCGTACTGATGAAAGTGTTTTTGAGATTTTGGTTTTTTTTGTTCTCCTGGAGCAAACATAAACAACGAAAAGCATTGAAATGATTTTTTTTCTGAAGAATCAGCCTATTTTTAATTATGGCTTTTACTTTTACTATTAATGTTTTTATTTTTTTCATAGGGCATCTTGATTTTTTTTCCTAGATCGATAAAGGTAACCGATATGTTCTTTGGTAAGAGAGAATCAGATTCGAATCCCCACACCATTAAATCACAACGGATGGCCCTTTTCAATTTATTCAATGTGTTCATTCTAAATTTGGCAACTTTCTTGATTGATTGTGTGCCATTCAAACCAGTTCCTCCTTTTACGGAATAATAAAAAACAAGTGCGCATTATTCCCAAATTTTGTGGCGCTATGTTGTCGGACCATTCGGATAATAGCGGCATTACTATAGACAGTGAATCCGATAAATTTCAACCGGATCCACCCCCAAGAGATTCTGAGAATCCATTTAATATTGCTATGCAATCTCCACCAGGTTTGCAAAAACACGAAAATGGCAAAAATCTTAGCGAAAAGCTGCGTTAATTCAGGATCCCCTATAATAATAGCGCGACCTGAAGAAAATGAGAATCAAATTTTGGACGCTGAGGCTCCTATTGAGATTGCACAAAGCCAAAAATCGTCAATGCATACCAATGCACCACCACCGTTTGAAACTGACACAGAAGTAGATCATTTCTTTTAAACGTGATCAACGAACTCAAAAATTAGTGTTCATTTTTAAAAAAATATTTTCGAACAATGTATGTTTTAAAACAGGCTTTGGTTGATTCAGAATGTTGTTTATTGGAGATCACTTTTTTGAAAATGCCTTGCGTGTGGTAAATTGAATAATTCGTGCTAATATCGTATTCTCTAACATTTTCGGAGCAATAAAAACTTAAATTTTTCAGCAAATGATTCTAGTAGATAAAATACGAACAAAATTCCATATTTCCAATGAGCTTCTGCGTGCGGCGCTTGCCGAAATGTTCTGCACCGGTTTTTTAATTGTGAGTTCACTGTTTAATATTTAATTAACAATAATATTAAACCAGTTCGGTGGTGAAGCTGTTTCTGCTCAGTTCGTGTTATCCCAAAGAAAGATGGATGAGTGGATCTGTGTGGCGCTCGGTTGGGCGTTGGCTCTGACTTTCGCCGTTTTGATGGGAGCCAGAATTTCGGGTATCTGACTGCAATCAATAAGAAGGATTCCACTAAACATTAGTTTAGGCGCCCATTTGAACCCAGCCGTTTCTTTGTTCCAGCTGACACAAGGAAAAATCAACGTAGTAAGGTGTGTTCAATAATATGCACTTTTGTCATCAATATCTTCAATACCAGTTTTTCAAAAAAGCCTGCATTATAAATGGGATTTATTGATTTTTTCTAGATTTTTGGTTTATGTGGTTGCACAGAATGTTGGCGCCTTCTTCGGTGCTCTGACTGTCTACGTATTATACTTTGGTATGAGCTTTTATAATTTATCCCTCAACATCTAACAGTAAGTGTTTAGACGCAATCAACGCTTTTGATGGCGGAAATCGCACTGTGACGGGACCGACGGCAACGGCTTCCATCTTTGCAACATATCCAGGTCCACATTTGGGAGTAATTAATGGAATGATGGATCAGGTTAATTTGCTTCGTCGATTTCTAAAATCAAGGCTTGTTTTGAAGATTATCGGAACAGCAATTCTGTGCATTGGAGTTGCTGCAATTTGCGACCACAAAAACCGAATTCCACCATTCCTTCAGCCAGCATTCATTGGAGCTCTTCTAGCATTCATTGGAATGTCCCTTTCCTTAAACTCAGGTGTGCCCCCTTCCATCTGAAGTTTTGTTTTATTTTTATATTTATAATTAGGGTATGCTATCAACCCAGCACGTGATTTCGGGCCCCGCCTCTTCACATTATTTGCTGGATATGGCTGGAGAGTTTTCAGCTATAGAAGCTATAAATGGTTCTGGATCCCAATCATTTGCCCAATGATTGGTGGAGTTATTGGAGCTTGGATGTATGAATTCTTTATCGGCTACCAAATTCCGGAAGATCCAGAAACTACTTATATCCATAAGGTACAAAAAATTCAAACATAATCGTTTCAAGAAATTCTCATCAGATTCTTGACGAGCGTAATCCAGACGGACATTTGCGTGAAATTCACGTCGTCGAGAAAAAGCCCCAAAGCGAAACTTTTTCCGACGACCATAATACGACACCGTATAGGAATATGTAAACTTTAGCGATTAGTACAACGTTTTTTTTAGATAAATATATTATTTTTATTATACATCCAGTATTCAATATACGTCCTCGTGGTATCCGGTTCTCGCACGAGATTGCACAAACTACAATTATTGTTGATATGAATTTTTTTGTGAGTTTTATCAAAAACTTACCTTCGGAACTTGATGTCCGTACCGTTTCTTTAAGAAATTATGGTACTTGATGATGAATATAAGGAAAAATACGCAGCTGAGAAATGCGAAAAGAGACAATCCCATTGAATATATAATAATCGCTTCTTCCAATTCATCAGTTCGCAAATCTTTTGGCACGTCTAATATTCTTGCTAGTAATATTCCTGATATAAAAGTTAATAATTGTCATTAATGACTACCGGAAAGTAGTCTAAAGGCCATCACAAATCATTCCTCGCCATCACAATTTAATATCTAAAGCACATTATTGAAAGTTTAAAATTGATAAACTATTATTAAATTGTACCGCCAAAGCCACACGCCACCAAAGCCACCTACGCACACAGTGTAACCTTTATATTGCATTCGTGTGCCCCTATAAAAGGGAGCCTCAACGCCCATTTTTTCACTTTCTTTCCCTTCGTTGGTTGTTGTTCAACTTATATTCAATTTATGTCCAATTCATGTTTAACTTATTTTTAATTTATTTCTTTTACAATAAAGTTTAATTACCCAAGTTTGAGGTTGTCCATCTCCTACTGGTTAATAAAATAATTTTTAAAATCACGAAAACACCAACCAAACAGAAAAAGATTGAAGAAGATTCCAACCAATAAAGCTGTACAATTCGGTATGACGAAAACCGGGCGATAGTATTTGAAAGAGAGCGTGAGGATTAGTACGGAGAAAAGCCAGAAGGTTCCAAAAGCGACATACCTGAAAATTTGGCAAATTTTGTGGAAACTAGGATATTATTACTACCAAGCCATTCCCAATTCCATCAAAGCTTCACTCCAAATTGTTCCTTCATATTTATGTACCGTACTGATTGTCTAATAATCGAATTAGAATGTTTCGTAAATTTTTTGTTACCACTTCTTCAGTACTAGAAGAGTTGATTTGAAGGTATTGGGTTTGCCATTTGTGGTAACGATCCAAAATCAGACCGGTACTTGATAGGGTCAGAAGAAGAACGATAAGCTTGATTGTTAAAAGTTTAATTAATCGAAAATTGTGTAAACCCACCTGAAGACTTGTGATAACTCCCGCTGAAGTAACCACACTACAACCACAAATTCGATCAGACATGCTTCGAAGTGAAAGTGAATTCGGAGATGGATAGCATAACCAAAAAAAAAGCATTCCAAATTCTTTTGTTAATATTTTTGCGCGCCATGGAAACGTGATCAAAAATTCCGAAAGCAATCGCCATTTTTTGAGTTGGAATGGGATTTTTTGACGATCCGCGTAGAAATTCGATTCGCGCAAGAACGAAAACACCATTGGTTAGTGATTATCTTATAAGAAGGTAAATCGAATTTTATATTTAAACATGGAATTTCTTCTAGCGAGGTTTCTGATTATAAAAGAATAAGATTGCTAATAAACACAATTGTTGGGATTGTGTTATGTTCGGCACTTTATTATATTGGATGGCAGAACCTAAATTTTGGAGCGTTTGACGAGACTTATTCCTCGATTATAAAATGGGCTATTATTGGATTTACCACCTATGCGTTTGCTGTGAGCCCGGTAACTTGGAAGAGCAACGACAAAACCATTGTTTTTTGTTTTTAGATATTCCGTTGCGCGCTTTTATTAGTATTTGTCGGAGCTATTGGAAAACAAGGGCAATGTGCTGCTATGATATCTTTAAGCATATTAATACTGAATTGAATTTCAGACCCGTTCACTCTTTTAATTGTCAATAATCTTCATGAAGGCCCTTTGAATAATATGATAGCAAATTACGAAATGACATCGGATATCGTCATGTGTCATTTGGAACTTCAATCGAAAATCGTTGGCAATCGAGTCACATTACTCACGGGCCCCATTGAGCAGGTCATAGAGAAGTTTGTGGCAAAAGGCACCCGGGCAATGAAGAAAGTGTCGAGAGAAACTCGAGAAATGCTTGCACCGTTTATTGAATTCCTGTCGGAGAAAAATTTTAATTTTAATGCGAATGAAGTGAAATCAAACGAACAAACATTGGTACCGAGATATTGATGAAAGAAATGAAAAATTAATTTCTAGAAAATTGAAGAAAGAAAACTGAAAATGATGAAATTATGGGAAAAATCTTTGGGCCGAAAGTTAGAGCCTGACGAAGAAGCCGCCTCCGACGTTTTACCTCCGGAAAATCTTATAGAGAATGTTTCGATTAGCGATCCTCCTTCTTGGACAAAATTTAAATCAAACGTTATTAATTAGAGTTTTCCCATTAGCCGATTTTAAACTTTGCAGTCCATTCGAAATTTTGGAATGAAATTATCCATGGAATGTGATGAAATGTTCAATAATGGAATAAGCAAATGCCGAGACATGTCATCAGAACTTACAGTTTGAAAATTGTGGATATTGACAAATGTATTTCTTTTTGCCAGGAAACTTGCAAAAAAGCTATTGTATGGCCGATTGATTGGTTCATATGCCCTAAATTGAATATTGATAACATTTGTAATGTAAATACTTATTTATTTTTTATGGGGTATCGATTCATTATTTTAGAATGTTGAGCGTAAGGTTCAAGCAACTAATGTTTGTCGGAGGCAACTGGAAAAATCTGACATTGATCCTTCTGTTGAAAATGATCTTACAAGTGTTTTGAATTTAACTAAAGAATTAGATGACAATACTAAAATTGAGGTTCCTCTTTTGAATTGTTCTCCAATCTAAAATCAATCTTCCAGATGCATTCAATTCGTGTGGAGACCCCACGAGTTGAAATTGAATACCGTCTATCTGATATGAAAATTCAAGCGCGAACAACAAAAATTTATCTCAAGAATATTATGACGATTTCGAAACAAGTCCTTCAAGCGTTTTTCATTTATTTCGTTTATTCAATTTTCTACGATGCAGTTAAGATGATTCGAAATTACAACAATGATGTTGAGTTTAATAATTGTTTCATAACAAGGTTTCAATCGATGTTACTTTATATAGATAATTAATGAGTTCAGCGATTTTTGGATCATTGATGAAGTTCGTAGAAATCGAGGACAAAATTATTTGTCTCACTTCAGCAAGCAGGAAAAAAGAGATTGGAAGATTATGAATATCTACAGGTATCTTTTAATATACCGACATACTACAAACATTTTTTTTTTCGTTTTCCCACCAAAGCTGAACGCTCCAAAGCCGTTCGGCCATTTTTCAAATGGTTTGCCATTGTTTTAACTGTCCTCGTAGTTATTATCATGGACTATTACCTTTATTCATTTTTGGACTCTGTGAGATTTACCACTATATTTTTCTAGTTGTTTCCGGCTGTTCTAGGTTGTCCAAAGTGCTCGACAGCAAATCAAACAAAAGACGAGCTCATCTGCTGGTGTTCGAATTACAGGGGAAGGAGTTCTCGCTGAGTTTCTACAAGCAATGACTAATTCCAACGAAACTGTTGAAATTGATCAGGTAAAAAAATGTATTGGTGCATTAAAAATTGTTAAATAATATAGACTTTGTCCAACGAACACTGCCTTTTAAGGCCAACTCCACCAAACCTTAACATAATAGTCTATTGGCTTTTTATTCCTTTAGTCTTATCATTTATGTTCCAGGTTTCTACATTAAGAAAGACTATAGGAATTAGTCATTTTAGGTTGTTTTTTCATTTGCAATTCGCCGAATTATTTTAAACTTCTTCTTGCCTTATATGTTCCCAAAAAAGTCTCGCGTTCGACTTATTTATTTATATAATAAAGTAATATTACGTGACTTAAAATAACATCATAAGTATAATTGAGCAGCTTTTGTTAAATCGAGAACGTAAAAATAAAGAAAATCGTGCTCGTCTGAGGTTTATAACAGAGAGAAGAAAATTTGATTTGGCAAAAATGCGGTATTTCATCATTTTTATTAAACAACACTACTCAATTTTTTTGTGCAGAGAAATTGACAGTAAATGCAATTGGATTAGGAGAAATATTTTTCACAGGATTTTCAAAACCGCAAAATGTCTTCAATGTCTTGAGAAAACATATCGCCACAAATTGATGTATTGCGTTGACAGTTTGTGCCAGGCAACATTCTGCAAAGATTGCATCACTGATAACGCCGGGTATTGTTATGCGTGCATGGTTTGAACACTTATTTTTGACATTTATTCGTGAAACATTAATTTAGGTATCAAAAGGCGATGTGAACGAGGAGAAAACCCAAATTATGGCAATAAAAACGGATATTGCCAATAATTTTGTTGAATATAAAGCACATCTCGCTAATATTAAGAATAATACGACATAAGTAATAGCAATTACTTTTTAAATATAGCTTCATTTTTTACTAATCTTTGAATCTTTAGGCTTGCCATAGTAAAGCATATTTTAGTGTGTGACACCACAACACGATAATTTGCGTACCGTCTGACACGCTGCGTCTTTTCATGCGTAATCATCTCTTTTCTAAATTTAAATGTGAAGAAGAAGATAGTTATAAAAATAATAAACTTTCATTTTTCTAACTATTTTTTTAATTTCAGTTTTCTACCATTACTATTTTTTAACGAAATTGTTTCGATAAGCATAAGACGTAATTTTTTGCTATTGGTGTTTCCATTCACTTCTTGATAACGGGTTATCATTTCTATCATCCGATCGCGTGATGTTATACTTTGAAAATTTTGTTTGTTTCGAATATCTCATTTTTTTCAGGAAAGGAGTTATGACATTGAAAACCTATCTATTCGCTTACAACATTCTTCAAATCTTGGGGTAAGTTTTTTAATATTTGTAAAATGTACCTATTTTAATTCAGTTGGTCAGTGATTCTTTTCAAAACCGTACGTGGCCTTCTTAATAATTACACTTGGCCTGAATTGTATGCTGATGTCGAAAAAGAGCTTCAAATATTTCAAACTGGTGCCATTCTCGAGGTCATTCATGCAGTTTTAGGAATTGTTCGTTCTCCAATTGGAACTACTGCCATGCAAGTAACCTCTCGAGTAGTCCTAGTTTGGCCAATTCTCTATACTTGTAGCACGGTATATGAGCATCATGTAGATTAATTTATTAAAATTGAATTTTGAAGGCTCGGTATAGCATTGGAGTTCCTCTTCTTTTATTAGCCTGGTCGATTACTGAAGTTATTCGTTATTCGTTCTACGCTATCACCGTTGCACAGCGTCCAGTTCCATACTTCTTGCTATATCTCAGGTAATTACACTAATATTAAACGAAAATAAAATTCTTCGTGAATTTCTGCTATGACGCGCAAAGATTTCTCGTCCCAATTGAATGATAGGATTCAAAATTCATCCTTTTTTTTCTAATTTTTATTTCTAAAAACGGAATGCTGCATATTAGCAACATGCTATGATGAATAATATCTATTAGATACAGTGAATATCATAAGAGAAAAATTCCAGAAAGGAGAAGGAACCGATAGGCTAACTTCGAAGCTTCGGTTTTTAATTAACTTTTATTTTTAAAGTTAAACGTTTATAGATACACCTTGTTCTACGTTCTTTATCCGATGGGAGTGACAGGAGAGCTTCTCACCTTGTTCGCATCTCTCAAAGAAGTCGACGAAAAGAAATACTATACTCTTGAGATGCCAAATGTGCTCAATTTTGGAATCTCATTCTATTGGGTGCTGATTATCGCGTCTCTTACATACATCCCAGGTAATATTCCTACACAAATAAATAAGAATTAAAGAAATCTGTAGGATTCCCACAACTTTATTTCTATATGATCGGCCAGCGTAAGAAGGTGCTCGGCGGACAGCAAAAGAAGAAGGAATAAAATAAAAACGTTCCCGTATTACTATTATTAAATAAAATACCGGTTTAGAGTTTACTTAATTCGGTGGATTCAGTGCTGCTAAAGCTTCCCCCTTGGCCTTATAATTTAAATAAATAGCACCAGTAGATGATATTAAGAAAGCTGAATGACAAGGGAAAAGCTTTTCTGCAGAATTTGTCGACGTTTTGCGCAGTCCACTTGGTATTTTCATCTTCGTCGTCAGTCAGAAGACCTCAAAATTAGAAAATAGGAACTGCTTATAAACAAAAAAAAAACCAATTGTTGCCAAAGCGTGCAACGATTCGAACATGGAGTTAGCTTGTCGAGAAATCGAAGCCTTGTGGGATGTTGCACCACCATTCTAAACCACATTTCAACTTATTTTTTTGAATAACTTTTCAAATACCATCGGCTCATCGTAATTGGTTCGGAAATCTTGTTCCATTGCGTTCGGATTGGTCACCGTCGTAGCCCCATACGTATTGTTTTTCTTTCTATCTTTTTTTCTAAAAACGAAACTCTAAATTGAAAACAAAGCATTATTAGATCACTTTTGCATCGACTCCATCCGTTCTTTCTTTTTCCTCGATTGCCGCTCTTTTCTTCTTTGATTATTTTCACTTTCCAAATAGCATACAAAAGCGACTTCAATCATTGTTAAGAAAATGAATGCAGTGGTTAGAACCATATAAACATCTATTGATTTGACATATCCAACTCTTGGCAAGTTTTTCGCCACATTTCCGTACTAAACATATTTTGTTTTTTTCTGTGCTATTTTAGACAATAAAGAATACTTGGAATGTGAGGGCCATCAATGAGCTAACTGCTAGAGTAATTCTAGCCGGAAGCGCTTTCAAATCAATCCAGAAGCTCACAAATGATAAGAAAACGGATGAATATGTTGGGATATACATTTGTAGAATGTAGAATCCATAAGCTCTTGAGAAGGTCAAAGATACCGTCAGCTGAAATGATCTTCTAATAAAATATAAAATTCGATTTGTTCATGTTGAACAACCTGATCCCATTGACCTGCAGCATATTCGAAGCTGTTTTTGGTCCACTGAAGACCATAAAGTGTAAAATCGGATAACTTCGATTTGGCTATAGAAAAAACCGGTTGCCATTCTCTCCAGTTTAATTTCACTTTGGCAGCATTGTATGCGTAACTTTCAATGATGAGCTCGCAGTTCTAAAAACAATAGTTTCTAACTATATTCTTCACTGAAATCTACCATGACATCCATCGGAAACAACACCAAATCAACCATACAAGGACTATGCACTTGTAAACGATAATTAACCTCAAAATGATGGAATTTTGAAAATAGACAAGCAATTAATTACCCAAACTGTTCCATTTGGGTATATCATTAAGAATATGTTAGGCGTTGGGGACGAATGGATTTCAGTCTTCTTTGAATTGACAAAGCAAACGTTTGGAGTCCACAGTTTTTCCACCATCTAAAATTGCCTAAATTTTGTCATTTCGAATGTTTTTTACTGAGTATCCTAAAGTCAAATTTTGTAAACATGTCGTTATATGATCAAATCGAAGTCGTGGGTCGTGCCAAATTTGACTGAAAATCAATAATATATTTAATTAATGATTTAAAAAAAATATCGAGAAACCTGAATAATAAGTCTAATGTGAAACTAGCAGACATTTCGGAAACTTGAGCAATATTCTGAATTCCAAATTCAATCGACACTACCGTCGCCGACGTCTTCAACGGCACCGTGTTCTTGTTATAATGGCCATCGAAAAGACGCCGCAAAATCAATTGTGAGATCGTATCATTCTCGGGCTCACTGCAAACACCACACACCATTCGGTCCGGTTTAATGTGATTTTTATGGCTAAACACGAGTTCTGATAAGATTTTATTCATATTTTCGCACCTTTCCTTCCAAAATTTAAATTTTAAGATGTTCTATAAGATTATACTTTGTATAACCTTAATACAACCAATTTTTGCTCTTTGTGAGCCAGGAGATGCTCAAAACACTCAAGAAAATTGTAATCACGTGGAAAATTCACAAACGTGAGTTCATACAATTATTTTAATTGAATATTTCAGATCAATTTTTATTTAGATCATTTAATGATTCTGCGGACTTCTGTAGCAACCGCCATGGCGTTCTCGCTTCAGTGCATAACGCATTCGATTTGACATCATTGAGAAGTAAGATTAATTAAGCAATTTTTAAATTCACTTGTGTACAGAACTAGCGAGTGGATGTGATTACTTCTGGCTTGGGGGGTATTGCACCAACGGAAACTGTGTCTGGCTCGACGGCACGAAATTCGACTATAAGAATTTTAAGAACGGCCCATCTACCGGCTGCATAGTTGCTGAAACAAAAGGCGGTGCCTGGAGTACAGAAGAGTGCTCCCGATTGCACTGCACAGCCTGTGAGGTGAAAGGAGCCGCTATGAATGATTGCCAAGATTGGCTCAACAATGGATACACTGAGTTAACAGTTTAATATTTTCTACAAATCATTGTATCATTTTCAGCAGTGGAAAATATACAATTCTGGTTAATGGAAAAGAGAGGGAAGTGTTCTGTGATATGAAAACCTACGGAGGCGGATGGACATTGTTTCAAAATAGAGTAGACGAATCCGATTCGTTCTGGGACCATACATGGGCGGAGTATAAGAATGGATTTGGAGGCGAGCCGGGAATTGTCAGCATGGCAATTGAATGTTTATCAATTCAAATAAGCTTTTAGAATTCAAACTACTGGCTGGGAAATGATGCTCTGCATGAGATTACCTCAAGAAAAAATGCGACGCTTCGAATTGAGCTTTATGAGGATCGGACCCCAAATGCAAAATATCCGAATGCTTTTTGGTGGGGACATTATTTCAATTTTGTGGTAAGATTTCAACCCAATTCTGATTTCTGCTTTCTATCAAGTAATGACGTCATATGGTTAGATTGGTCCCGAAGAGAAAAACTATGCACTTAACATTTACATGGACTGGTCCAATATTGTCGGAAATTCTTCAACCGCTTGGTACGACATTACATATTCCGATGGATCACCATTTTCAACAATCGATAGAATAAATGATAGGAAGGAGTGTGTCACCCAGTTCAAAATGGGGTATTTCTAAACGGCAGTTTAAAAAATGCTAGTGAAATATTTTTAAGGGGATGGTGGCTTCATAACTGCGCTTTGTCTTCACTGAACGGAGTTTATACCCCAGATGACTGGAATAACGGATACGGTAGAAAGTTACAATGCCCTGCAGAAAAACGGGATGATATTTAGGACTTTTCTGGATTGTTGATGGAAGCGATACGGTGATTCACCCGAAAAGAACAAAAATGCTTGTGAGATAACAATTTTCTTGGATTTTTCAATGTTAATAAGGTTTTCAACTTACTCGCAGTCAAATCGATTATACTCATATGTCGGCAGATTCGCAATAGTGTTTCCGATACCCCAAATTAAAGTGAATAGATTCAAAGTTTCGGGAAGCGTCGTGCCATTTAACATCATCGCATTTCCCTAAACTAATTATCAAAATCAATTTTTCGAGAAAATTTTGAGTGAACACGAATAAAATGATGATGATGATGAAAAGAGGCAAGGGCCAGAAGAATGGAACAACTTCGTTTCCGTTTGCTCAACAATTTTTTTCGGTGGCGAAATGCAAATTTTGGCGACACAATGCGCGCGAAAATTCGCAGTGCGTTTTTTGATTGAAGAAGCGCCAATACAACCTGTCACTTTCAAACATATTCATTTCCCCCGCAATAAACTTTAATATGCAACGACCAAAGTTTAAGATCGGTCCAAAACGGTTAATTTACACTTATAAGGTTTTGATGTCAGGACTGCGCCGCAATTTGGGTTGAGATCGATTTCATCGATCGCCTCAAATTTGTATTTTTGAATTAAAGTAGCAAATATCAGGAAGAGTTCCATTCTGGCGAGGCCTTCACCGACGCATGATCGTTTTCCGACGCTGAATGGAATTGTCCTTTCAAGAATTTCCTAAAATGGAATCGATTTTCGAGTAAGTGACATTTTTCAAGTTCCTACCCTGTTAAACGTCTTACCATCCTCTAACAAGTATCTGTTTGGTTGAAAGTCGGTGGGGTTCTCGAAAATCGGGTCATTGCGCATTACCGACCAAATCTGAGCGAACACCCATGTTCCAGAAGGAAAGTGTTTCCCTTTCACAAAAGTTTTTTCTTGGCCTAGATATACTAGTGATTTGTCAAAAATAAAGATGAACTTACAAACATGAGATCCGAGGAATGGAATCATGTTAGAATGTCTTTGAACTTCATGGATAACCGCTTGTGTATAAGGTAAGTTAGGCTTATCGGTCATTGAGGGATATCCCGAAGTTCCGACAACTGAATGAATTTCTTCCCGGACCTTGTCCTAAAAAGTAATTTTTGTTTTCTTTTGGTCGTGAGAGGAAAGGCACCTGAATTTCTGGAAACTTCATCATGTACAAAATATGCCATCTCAAAGAATTCGATGTGGTTTCCATGCCGGCTAACCAAAAATCGAGAACATTTGCGTACAAGTTGGTCATGCTATTAAAAAAATTGAGAAATTGAAAAAACCATTTACTTCTTACTCAAGCTCTTCTTTGTTGTATTCGGCAAGATGCAAATATGCTTGAACAAAATTCTCTGGTTCATTTTCAGGATCATATTTTTTTGCTTCCTTGTCCACTTCTTCTTCGATGAAAGATTGATACTAAAAATATTTAGTTATTTTTTCGTAGAGTGTTCTTTAACAAAAAAACTTACACTCGTAATGTTATTTTTAATTTTATTGTAAAATCCACTCATTATGGGTAGGTGTTTCATCCAGGGGAAGGTCGACAGCATCAAGACAGACTTATTACTCTAAAAACATTATTCGAATAGGTCATATTTGCAATAAATATATTACCGATACAAGCCGTAAATGAGTGTCGACGATTGTCACGAATTGTTTAAACTTTTCGATGTTGTTGTGAGAATAATGATATCCGAATAAAGATTCGTTGATCACATTGCCGACGCACAATTGAATCGGCCAAAACAAGTCAGCGGCTGATTTGTCGGGAATGCTGTCAACGTGTTTGATCATCTCATGAACAGATCGCATGATTTGCTCTTCCATTATTTGACGGCCCATGCCGAAATCTCGTAAAATTTTCAGAGATGTTCTTCTTTGAACCCTCCAAACGTCGCCGTGCGCCATTAGAACCCCAACGTTTGTTTTTGGTTGCAGAAGGGTTTCTGGCGGGGTTTGAACGCGATAAATGAACTTATCAGCTGAAAAGAATATTTTTGTTTGTTTTTAAAATACAATAACAAACGTTGCGTAATAAAAGCATCCTTTATATGGTCATAGTCAGCAAGGACCACAATTGGTCTTGGCATCCAGATAGTAAAGCAGGGTCCATATTTCCTAGAGAGCTCATCGATAAAAATATGAAAATTAGCCTTGGGAAACTGAAAAAAATCTCTTACAGAACCGTTAAAATTAAACATGTAAAAGGTTAAATTCTTCGACAACATTTTTATTTTAACATACAAAAGTTGAAGAAATACATTAGATAATCCATAGGTGTAATAAATAAATTGAAAAAAATTACCTGGTGCAAATTTCCAATAAAAGGCAATGGTGTTGGGCCTTTGGGGTATTGTGAAACCTTCCAATAAAAATAAAGAATATATGAGACAATGAATAGAGTTGCGAGTAGAACAAACATTATCAGTACTGTTCAACCACTCTTTCATCTTCTTTTTATAATTGTTGTCCTCCGTGGGCACGTTAACTACACCGTCTGGTCACATTCACGCCATTTCTCCCAAGAACATGTCAAAGACCAACGTTAATACGATTTAATTTGTGAATTTGAAGTTTCGTTTTTGTGACAGGTATATTTGAGTCACATCCACCACAGAATACATAATGAATTTCTCAAATAGTTTATTTAATTGCCGATTATGCATCCTGTGATTTCATTCCTCAGTTGATAACAATTAAGTTATCAAAGAAAATTGTGAGCTAGTTTGAAAAAAAAGGCGGTTTATTAGTTATTTCAATTATGTTTATCCAAATTAGGCATTCCAGCAATGACTTGGTGCTCGATTCCACACTCATTAACAGCTCTCAAAAATTTGACATAACCTAATTCAAATATTGGCCACGTGATAGGATCATAAAAAAAAACCTTTGTCGCCGTAGTCGTCTCCCCATTGCATTGCGCATAGCCAATATGGTACACTATTTTCAACACCCCATCCGATTATTTTGAGGACCATTCCACCGTACTCATCACCAGCAGTGTGTACATAAACTCCACTTTTGTAATCATAGAAATCGTCATACAATATGAATGAGGCGATTACTGGACCATTCGTCATTATTTCTGTTTGAATTGCCTCCATTTTTTTGGCAATTTTATAATGATTTTTTCCTGAAATAATATAATGTAACTATGAACTAAATCATTTGCCAGTAATGCAGACGGATTAAAGATTTTCATCAAAAGAAAACGGTTCGTTCAATTGCCGCCGTAAATTTTGCTCACCAAAATGTTTGTCGTCTTTGTACGGAATTGGCCACGACGTCGTATTATTGGAGACGCATTCGTGTAAACATTTCGGGGTGTGATACCCTGGACACACTGGTGGCGCTGTAGATCCGTCTGGTTGATACTTGTTGGCGCCACAAGGATAGATTGAATACGGCTGGCAACCTGTTTGGTCGTAGTAGTCTCCACCAGTGACAAGTCCATGACTGATCCAGAATTTCAAAATATCTGCCGGCCAGGATCCATCGCACCCCCAACCGTCACCACAGGCAGAGAATTCGCCAACGCAGCATCCCAGAGCGTCTTCTGGGGAGAGCGGCAGATTGAAAGTACCGTTGGAAACGATGCAGGTTCTGTCCGAAGCGATCTCTACAGCAACGAAGTGAGCAGCAGATCCTGAATTGAAAGTTTAAAAAGTACAAATAATAATTACTTTTATTTTTATAATGTATAGTAAAACCATCATACCACAATCAGACTGATCCCTAATTCTTCCAATTGTTGGACAATTCGGCCAATGCTCTCTAGCATCAAAAAATTCGGGAATATTTGCCATAATCGGTGATTCAACTGTATCATCGTGCGGTTTAATAAATCTTTTATGATTGGCTCGAGAGCGCTTCTGCTCATTAGTAAACTTTGATTTTTGAGCCGCCCAAAGCTTCTGATTCAAGTTTACGTAAGAAATCAGCTCATCTCCAGCCAATTTTTTAGCAAATTCCGGGATATTCGACTTCAAGGCAGCACCATGAACTGCACAAATCAAAAATAAAATCTAAAATTATTATAAAGTTTTGAAATTAATATGACAGAATGGAACATACACCGATGAAATTCAGCATTGCTTAGCTGAAAATGATAATTAATAATCAATTTTCGGTGTTATCATTCGAAAATTTTGATTATTTGGTTTTTGATTATCATTTAAGCAAAAAATAATCTCAATGAACTCCTCATGAAAACTGTTTGCATCATGGTGACATTTAGTGATTATTAATTGAATATATACTTGTCTGTGGCAATATCTGAAGATCCGGAATTGTCGTGTACTTTTGAGCATTGGGATGAGCCAATTAATTCAATCTCAAGACACATTCAGAATTCGGAAAATGGTATAACTTTGCTGAAACTCCGCTTGTTATTTTTATTTTGTTGCCGCGTCCCAGTAGTTATGAGAAAGCGCAAAATTTATTTTACATTTGAAGTATTCGTTTAGTTTTTGAATTTTTGGACGACGATGTTGTCTATGTGATCACCTGTCAACCAGTCCAAAAAAGAATTGTGACTTGTTGTTCGCGCAAATTCGAAAAGAAGGCAAAATTTTTTGAAAATTTCTATTCTAATAATAACGGCGAAAAAGGCGCGTATCTGTCATCTTCATTGGTCACAGAAGGAAATCAATTGCAAACAAGTTTCTTCTTCAACTTGAGTATATTGAAGATGTTGGAAAAAAGATTATCAACTATTATCGAATCGAATGATTGAAGGTGGCGTCGAAACACTTTTAAAGATTTTTGCAGAAATCCACTCCTACTTCTCCACGATTTGTAAACGATTTCCGGTCACGACGAATTCTATTTTTGGTAACATTTTGATTCATCTCTGAACATCACACGTCAATATCGAAAAACAGAAAGGAATTTGTCTTCTATTTCGAGGTGTATCTCGCGAAATCATGCTATCAACACTAAAGAAGCTTGGTCTTGAAAATAGAATTTCTCTTGAGGTTTTTCAATTTGAAATTGTTAATAGGACAAATGTTTCATTATGATACAATATTAGCCGAACGCGATATTACTCCCTCAGGGCATCCCAGAAAGGCTGTGCATTTTTGAACATAGCCAAGAACGTTTCCTCGTTTGATCTTCATGATCCTTTTTTGAAAGTCTGCGTTGCAATCGCCTGCCGTTCAACGTAACTTTTCAAGATTCGCGTTGTTCATTTGTCGCCTCTCATCTCCGCAAACACTATCACCGACGGCGACCATATCTATCTCATTCGTATCACTATAAAGATGCCCGCCTTTTTTCACTTCTGATTTTCAAAGACGCCTCAACCACTTTTGCGAACATTCGTTGTTTCATCTTTCTCAATTTCTCCCTTGTTTCAGTTGAAAATGATAAAGACGATAATTATTGCTTCTTTGGCGGTTTCCATGATTTTCGCAACTCCAATTCGAAGCACAGTTGGCTCGGAAGACGAAGGTAAGTGTTTTTCAATCCTCAAAAGTTGATCTCAATATTCAGACATTCTAGAATTCTCAGTGTCCAATCGAGGTCATGAGTTCGCAATGCCCACCAGGAACATCCTTCCGGAAAGACTAATCGACGAGGTGCCCATTGACACCAACAGTTCTCAGGAACGCGTTTCTGCTGTTCATTCCGAAGACGACATCTTCTACAAGTTCGCAAGTCTTCCACTTTTCCCAGTCGAGAAATCGCTGAAATCGCTCAACGGATTCTAAAAATACCATGCATATCTTTCTATCATCTTTTAATTTCTTTTTTCCTCTTCTTTTGACCATGTGTAACGAGGAATATCCAAATTGGGAAACACTATCATCATCAGCATTTGATTGATTGACGTTTTTTTCCAAATACGATCTCTCAAATAGTTATTACGTGTGATTCTTCTCCTGTTATTCTACTTACCGGTTTTGATCATTGAAACCATAATTGAAACAAGTTTTATAAACTTTATCTGTATTTAATGAATAAAGATTACTTTAAATAGAATATTGCGTATTATGAACGTCTAAACGTGACAATTACACGCAGCGAGATCACGTGAAACAAATCAGAAGGGCTGACACCACGAAATCACTTGTTTTAATCCTGACCTTGGTGCAAAGACACGTGGAAGACTAAAAAGGTAGAGAAGAAGATCAGACGAATTGGTATTCAGTGTTTCAGAAACTTTATTATGATTTTCAAGCAGTAATAAGAGTATGATTAGTAGTGATAATAGAAGAGTCTTGGTTTGACGTCGAATTCCAGGACAATGTCAAAAAAGCTACAGGGATGATGAAGATTTGGACTAGAGTGCACAGGTACTCGCTTAAAACTTTAATGAAATTTCTGAAATTTTATGAATTGTTTTTTTTTTATCTCAAAATTTCTTACGTTTTCTTTGAAAGGTCTGACGGGATGAGAGCTGGTCCCGGGCTTACAGCGTACAAAAGTGACAACACATTATCCTTAATGGAATACATATTTTTCAATAAAATGAATTTTAGCGATTACTTGTACACTTGTCGGCATCACACTCAACGGAATGAATAAAAGGATCGCGTCCCAACCTGGCGCGTACCTAATAGATCAAAATATTCATTTATTCATATTTGTTCTAAACTACCGCAGTCTTGGCCACCAGGCAAACATCGCGTGAGTATAGCAATCAACGACCCATTGGATGTTACGGTTGGCCACAAAATTAACACCAGATTCCCACGCGACTTCGACTAAATCCATTAATGAACAAATTATACCATCTAGACTTCAACTCACAATTATGCTTGTATTCCTCGCCATACTCCAGTTTAGTTTCCATTGAAAGTGAGCTCCAGATGCTTTCGATTCTTTTTTTCTGTGCCTCGTTGTTTAAGAGCTCTGTTTTGAATGCTCCCGGCTCCAGTATATGAACAGAGACTCCGTATTTGCGAAGTTCCAGTCGAAGACAATCCATATAACCTTCTACGGCAAACTTGGCGGTCACATAAGGCGCCACGTAGAGACCATGAAGACGTCCGGCGGTCGAGCCCATCGTCACGATTCGACCGCCACTTCTCTTGAGAAATGGGACAAATGCGTGACACATTCGGATGGCTCCGAGGGTGTTTACGTTGAGAGAAGTTGTGTATTCTTTCGTTCCGCACCAATCATCTGGGCCGAATATTGAGAAAACGCCTGCATTATTCACAAGAGCCCAGAGTTCCGATTTCTACGAATCTTGGAAATTTAATAAAATTAGTGCAATTTACCTCGTCATGTAAGACCATCTTCACATAGCTTTTGGCTTTCAGTACACTCTCATCACTAGTAACATCCAAATCAAATGTGAAAAGTTTTCCACATGCTTTTTGCATAGTAGAATGTGACGATTTCAAACTGTCAATACCCTTAAAAGCAAAATTATATTGAGATAAAAATTGAATAACTATACATTTTTTGTGAAGCAGCCAGCAAACACATTAACTCCATTCGCGAGAAGGTTCATCGCCAATAATCGTCCGAAACCGCTATCACAACCGGTCACCAAAACATATTTCCCTCGTTTTTCGACATAAATGTGCTCCAGAATAAGACGACGCAAAAGAAAGTAGCCAATTATAAGGGATGAAAATACCCAAATATAGTCATACATAATGACCTGAAAATGGTGGAAAATGTAGTAAAAGTTGATGATTCGAGCCAATAATTGATTTTGAGGTAGTATTTTCATCGGAAAATGGAAAACGATGAAATTGTAAATACGGCGGCAGTGGTGTTTTGCCAATGGCGGCATACACAAATAAGCATGAAATTAAGAAATCATAATAAAAACATTGTCCTGAGAATCGATATTTATCATCACATCTCTATGGGTATATCGAGAAAAAAGGGAAACAGAACGTCTTCGAAAAAGATGGAAAGAAGAAGAACGAAGAAGACCTTGCAACCAATTATGAATCACAACTAATATAAATGAACGTGAAATTAGGTCAGATCGCAACGAGTGAATGGATGTCAGTGTTTTTCCTCAAAGTACAACAATCTAGTGGGCCCGTAAAAGGGAGGCAGTGTTTGTCCTGAAGATATTCACCCTTCACGCATTACTTACTTTTTTCCTAAATATTTACTCGTTGATTTCGGGTGACGCGCGTCTGCCTGTAAAAACTCGAGTACACAGTAGTACATCTCATTGCAACTCATATTTTTATTGATTTTTATTAATATCACGAATTATTACCTTTGTGATACATCTCTTGTCAACTTCCTTTTATCTTTTTGTTGTTACCATCAGCGTTTCGAAAAATGGAACGTGAAGGACAAATGAATTAAACAAAACAATTTATTTCACAAATACTATAAGACTTATAGTATAAGTAATACATATTTATAGGGAATGATGTAAGCTGTGTTGATTTTGTTGAGCTTCGGAGGCTGACGAATTTCTTTTAGAATCCACCTCGATAAAAAATGTCTCCATCGGCTCCTTAAGGCATCAATTAAAATGTATAATTAATTAATATTACTTTCACTCCTTTAACTTTTATTTTTCCACGGCTTTGTATTCGAAAGCCTCCAGCAATTAGCACTTTGCCCATATCAGTGGTAACCTGAACGTTTTGAATAACTTCGAAGCAAAAATGAGCATACATGAATTTTTCTGGCTTCGCCATGAGTGTCCATACGACTTGCTAGGTTCACAGTATTTCCCCATATGTCATATTGAGGCTTCTGAGCTCCAATAACCCCAGCAACAAGGGGGCCGACGCTCATTCCTTAAATTTAATTAAAATATAATTTTAATATTTGTTTAGACCCACCGATTCTGAGTTCAAAATTCTGAAAAGAGTCGCGATTCAAAGCATCAAGTATTTGAGACATCGCAAGTGCGAACTCAATCATCAAATTCGCATTCCGAAACGCCATATTTCCTTGTCTCATATTATTATTCAAAATTTTTCCGCTTGTATGCTTCTCCAGATAAGTCTTTAAATATAGCACTTAACATAGACTTGAAATTCAGAAACTCTTACGTCATCATAATCAGTTTCGCTCTCATTAAGACCAACCGCCGCCATATATGTGCTGCCAACAGTTTTAATTTTTTCGACACTTGAGAATTTTGGTTTCGACAGAAGCTTAATACCAATTTTTCTTCAATAAATTTGTTATTTCAGGATACCTTATCAAATTCGCAAACAATTTCATTCAATAGTCTGAGACATTCGAGTTTTCGATTCGTGTCCCATTGACTCCAAAAATCTTTAAAGTTCGGTATCGAAGCGAACATCACACACACATGCTCGTGTTGTTTTGCATAAAGTTCCTAAAATAATTGAAGCCATTTGTCGTGGACTGTAAAACTTCTTCAGAATACATTCACTGCTCGATCTGGTGACAGAAATTTGGCAGCAACACTTGAAGGCAGAATATTCTCTATTAGAATCTTATTGATATCCTGCATTGTTTCCACGTCACGTTCTTCATTCTGAAACGACACGTGGCACGCACTTTCACGTTTTCTCTCGTAATTCGTCTGCAAACTGAACATTCACAATACTGCTTCGAATGGAATATATTACAATCCAATCCAAAAAGAATAAAAGGACCAGTAGAAGGGTTAGACTGATTGATACAAGGGACAAATGATACCTGAAGAATAATTTCAGAATAATTGCAAACCTTTTTCTGTTACCCCATATAGCCGACATAAACTTTTGCGCCATATGCAGGGAACAGGGATAAGAGCACTTCGAATATCACAAAATCCACAAAAAATAGAAAACAACGATGGGAATAAGGCAAACGGTAGAGGATAAAAACCGAACAAATGTGACTGACGCAGCTCGGCAGGAATATGAGAGAGTTGAACGCCATTACACCCGAAAGATTCGATTCTTTTATTATTATCTGAAATTTAGGGCTTTGTTTTGAAATAACCACTTTTTAAAGAAACTAACATGTGGTCCGATTGGTATGCAAGAAGAAAGGATAAAAGCGGCAATGGTGATCAATGAACCGCCATACGAGCATAAGCGATCCAATAGGGTTAACATAGCGAGACCAATAATCGTGAAAAATTGTTGTAATGTGATTTGCTGAAGGACATCAGAGCTAAAAATGAAGATTTAAATATGAAATCAAAACAATTTTTACGGGCAATAGAGTGCACAGAGAATGATATTTGCCAGAGAAGCTGGAATGCAGACAACGAAGAGTAGAAAACAGTCGGATAAGTGACATGTAATAGTTTTTCGGCTAAAAATGAATTATTGAAGGTAAAATTGTTGATGAAACCTGAATGGCCAAAGTAGCTTTGGTGATGCTGGAATGCTGGGAAGCTCACAGTTAAAAACCGAATTGATGCTGTTGAATGAGAAATTTGTCAAATTATTTTCAATTAACGTCATTGATGGGATAGTATTAATATAAGTTGGCCTTCTAGACTTTTCATCCTAAAAATTGTAAGATGAGAATTTTAAAAACTATTCATGTACCGAAGATTTCTTTTTATTAAAATTTGCGAATGGCGTTTCTGCTCCCCAAAATTCGACCATTTTTGAAACTTTCGCCTTCATGCTCATTCTCGATTGAAGAGCTGGACTTGTTGACAATCGACTATTCCTGTAAATCGAAGCTGTCCGCTCAATCGCAGTCGTCTTGTCAGGAAGAATGTGATAAGTGGGCTCTCCATGAGAAACAATAAACGGATCGTCAGTTCTATAAAATTACAACACTAAATAGTTCTGAAAGGAGGTATACTGGGCTTCCACTATGCAATACTCTCCTAGCAACATATCTTTTGTAGACTTGGTTATATGAACTGCTCCAGGAACTCCAGCCGATTCCATGTGATTTGCTAATGTGACGTCGTCACTCCAAATGTCGAATTGCCATTTTCGAAGTCCCATTATTCCGCATAGAACGGATCCCGTATGAACTCCAATGCGCATATTGACATCGACTCCAGTAGCAAGACGCACTTGTCTGTAAATTGGTCACACAAAATTGACCCGTATATTATCTCTCACTTGATTGTATTGATCATCTCTAAACCCATAACGACACACATGTCAGCATGATTGGGCCGATTCACCGGCATTCCGGAAACACAGTAATAGCAGTCACCCAAGAACTTGATGCGCATACATTGAAGACGTTGAGCATCTCGATCAAATTTACTGTAGAGTTCGTTAAGGGTCCTAACAAGATCTTTTGCGGTTAATTGAGCCGCGAGGACTGTGAAATTAACAATGTCAGCAAAAAGAATACTGTAATCAAGAAATAAGCGTAAAATATATTGAACATGTGACAATACCTAACATTATCATGAACTTGCACATGCAGATCATGAAACAGTTTCTGATTTTTTGAATTCGTTTTGCGCGTCGCCGTACTACTCGATTGAATGATGCTCTTGCTGACTTGGTCCGCCAAATACGGAGGAATTACCGAAAGCAGAAGCTGCTCTTGACGATCCTTCAAGGTTTCGAGTTCAGTGCGGCGATAAACCGCTTCCGTGAGTTTTTTCGCGATTTCAGCGCGATTTCCTTAGCAATGATTTTTTAAAACAACTTTTCAAGAACAAATACCGGCTTCATTTGAGTCTGCCACAACGCCAACGAATGCAATAATGCATTGATGTAGAAATAGAGATAAACACTAGAAAAAATTTTACCGTATATATTGATGGATGGAACTAACTGAGCATATGAAAAGAGTATTAACGCATAAAGCATCCCAATTGATGATTAAAATCAATAACAAATTAATCAGAATCCAGCTGACCGCAATAATGAAAAACATTCTGCGATGACGTGGCAGAATGAAAAACTGGATAACTAAATATCGCAAGATTTTTCCATTATAAAAATTTTTTTGAAACCTGAAGCAACGCAGAGACTCGTATATAATGCGCTGTGATCGTGCTCATTTTTATGAATTCTTTCTCGACTCACAAAAATCACCACAGGAAGATGAAGAATCCATGAAAAACCAGGAAGAAGAAGGCAGGTTGACAATGAAATTAGCACTAAGCCAACACCTTCTTTCTAAAATTATGGTTCTTTCAACAAAGACCAAAATCCACAAAAGCATCACTCGACAATAACGCAAAATAATGAAATATCGGCGGATGCCTTTTAAAAAACAAGAAACAAACCGGTTGCCTGAGACGTATAAGTAAGCACGTAAATATAAGATATGCTATAAATGCGAATGATATGTAGAAACACAACGGCGACCATTTCTCAACCTGAAAAACAACGAAAAATATGGCCAGTGTTCATTGACTCATACTTTTTGACTTGACTCATGATTTTTGACTCATAAAAATTGTATCATGATTTTTTATTCTTTGACTCATGATTTTTGACTAGTGATTTTTGACTAATTTTTTTTTGACTAACAATTTTTGACTAATGATTTTCTGAATTTTTTTAGTTGAGATTCCTGCAGTTTTTTCAGTATTCGATTCTGTTTTTTTGGCCAATATTGATGGGTAAGAAGCTAAAGGGTGGGAGGAATTGGAAGAAATGTTATTACTGAATGGGGGAAAGATTATTACTGAAAGGAAAAAAAGTTCTTCTAACTTCTGTAAGCTTAAAAATTGTTTTTTTTGGCATTTCATCGCTTATCGATTTCAATGAGAAGCGTAATCCCAGCTAAGCGGATCCACCGAAGGAATCGACTGTAACATTAAACGAATATCCGTAGTAGGCCAAATGATATGTATGATTTGATATTTTTTAGTAGTCTCCGTTATTTTAATGAAAACAACTAAACACAGTTTTTATTCGATATCATTCATTATTGAGCGTGAATAAAAGAGGGAAATGGATGGAATAACGCGATAAGTGATTTTTTATTAATTTATTTTGCAAATTATTTTAGCTTATACGGTCAGGCCTGTTTTAAAACGACATAATTTTCGATTTCTCATCAAAATTCAGGAAAAACGGTATATTCAAAAAATAAGACATTGTTATACTTTGAGAAGTTTTTTGAAGGCTGTTTTGTTAGAAGTACCATTTTGATAAAGTTTTACCGGTATAATGATCTATCGAAAATTTCAATGATTGATTAATTTTAAAAGTTTTTAATAAATATGTTATCGAATAAAAACTGTGTTAACATTTCTCCCAATTCCTCCCACCCTTCAGCTTCTTACCCATCAATATTGGCCAAAAAAACAGAATTGAATACTGAAAAAACTGCAGGAATCTCAACTAAAAAAATTCAGAAAATCATTAGTCAAATATTGTTAGTCAAAAAAAATTAGTCAAAAATCACTAGTCAAAAATCATGAGTCAAAGAATAAAAAATCATGATACAATTTTTATGAGTCAAAAATCATGAGTCAAGTCAAAAAGTATGAGTCAATGAACATTGGCCGAAAAATATTAAATTTCCTCATCTCTCACGACAAAATAAACATGCGACGAACCCGCTCGTGATTCTCTTTGGATTGAGGCCGATCTTCTGCTTCAAGTAGCAGAACAGCGTGGACTTCGGAAAAGTAATATTCAATAAAGATTTGGGCCGACGCATATATAAATATCCAAAAATGAATGGTGTGAAGACGCGCCTTGTCCAAAGATCGCCAATGTTTGACGAGAACTGAACGAATTTCAACTTTTGTCGTTGACATTTCCACCGTTGTCGACATTCAGACCCTGAATTCGAAGACTTTGAATGAAGTCAGATGTTCTAGTATCCGATGGTCTTAGAGAGAAAGCAAAAACTAATACGAATAAACGTATGGGAATTAAAAAAGAGGCGAGTTCAGTCCATTGGGACCTTATCTTTTTTGTCCACAAATGGTGTCCCGTGGACAAAAATGAAATGTTGCCCCTAGAAATATGAGACATTTGATGGCTGAGAGCTCCACCAGTGCGGCAAAACAAAAAAATGAGAGATGCGCATTCTTTTGCGTATCGACCCTCCATCTAAGCACTGAATAAATCTCACAACTCCTTCCGAATAATTCAGGTGAAACGCGGAGAGGGCTACCATCATGAATGATGGAACGAACGACAAAAAAAGCAAAAATTGAGAAGAAAAAGAAAAAGGAATGGAAGAATAAAAGGCACAGAAGACACTCAGATTAATGTGTGTGTGAGAATCAGAAATGCTTCGCGTTTCATTCAATCATAGAAATTTGATGAGGAGCACCTCAATTGAAAACCACTTTTCAACAGAAAAAGTCCTTTGCCCGGCTTTTCGATTTCAATATTCATTTCTCAGTGATTGATTTTTAATTCAAAATCTCTGCGAAGGAATAAACTGTAAAAATGTCCTCTTTTCCCATTTGCGACACAGCATGCAGGTGAAAACTTTAGAAAAGGTTTGTTTTACTAAAATTTCAATCTAAAATAAGAAGGAAGCTGAAAAAAGCGGACGCAAATAAAAAAGGTTGGACGCGAGCAAAAGATTAAATTTGAATTTCGAATGAAGAAAACATACCAAATCGAAAACAATTGTCAAAATGTAGGCATCGAAAGATAATTCCAGCCAATTATCGCGATGATGAAACAACTAATTTGAACCAATTCGCGAATTGATGCTCACGTTTAGAATGTTTCATATGCCTATTAATGCTCACTCATCCACAACGAGAGGACACATTTGCCAAAAAGAAAATGCTAATTTTTGTACAAAGAAAAAATCTATCATCATCATTTGTTTCCCTTCACAACAAAAAAAACATGGATATCATATATTATCTTTCGAATTTCCACGATGACGGATTGACGGCGAACGGGGCATGAATGATTGGAATTCGTCGCGGAGCTCATCAATTTCGGGAGATGTGAGGTCCTAGGAATGACATTTTTATTATTCGATTTAGACATTCCCATGGAATTATTGAAGAAAATGAGCATTGGAAAATATCGTTACCTCAAAGTTCGACAATTCTTCTGACCTAGACGAACCGAAAGGGCGATTCTTCAAAACATCTGCGAGATCGGAGCAAAGCTGAAAATTGAGCATAATCTAAGATATTCCGTTCAAAAATTTCACTTTTTGGAAGACATTGGCGTCAAGGCATGCGTCCTCTTCGATTATTCGAATTACAGTTTGTTCAGTTGCAGATTCGAAAAACTTTAGATCTTAAACCAAGATTCTATAATTGAGAACTCAGATTTTTCCTACTGTAAGCGGTTAAATTTCCGGCCAATTCATTCGCTGCGGGGTTGAAATTCGATGGCGGTTTCGCCCCAATCAAATTTCGCCGCGGAAATATGTAAGCGGTGACGTATTGGGGCTTCTCGCCTCTTCGGTCTTCTTCTCGATCTAAGCCCTTCGTTCTAAAAGTTCTTTTTTCAATTACTTTCATATAAATAAATATTCTAGCCTTATTGGTTGGCCTCTTGAGAAAAATACATTATGAGCTTGATTGGCTTCCGTTAAGAAATTCACGCAATTAAAAACGTTTCTAAAGAAAATACTCAGAAATATAATTATTTTCAATATACCGCTTAAATTGCTTATAGTCATTGAGTGAATTTAATTGGAAAACAAAAGCTGAGCAGATCCAATTCGGTGGCTGAATGATATGAGCGTCGGACACATCAAGAAGTGGCTCGCATTTCTTTACAAAAATTAAAATTCTTCTTTCTCAAACTGTGAAAATAATATACCCGATTGATAAGGTCGGAATCATACGGCCAATATAAACCATGAAGATGCAAATGATTCACAGAGGCCTGTCCAAGAAGGCTATTAAATAGAATATGGAATGTATCATCGTTTATTAAGAGCATCATATCCACGGCAATTCTGACGGCTTGATATGTTAAAACCTGAAATTGTTTTTAAAATCAAAATAAATTTGAAACAAACTTGAGGTAGGCATTTGTTGACAGATGGGATAATAAGAGAATGGTCTCGTTCGAGTGGTGAAGCGTTTACAGCCACAAGATGACGATCCAGAGGATCCGTACTTATTGGTTCGTCAATATTTCTCAAATAGAATAAAATCTGTAAAAAGAAAACCTCAAGTCAAGAAAAATTGAATAAAAAACCTCGTTATCGTGCAATTTCGTAAAATTAAAGCGATGAGAGTTGAAAGGTTCTTTAATACTCTTGAAGTGCATTGGCTTCCTGCGCAGTTCTCCACGTTCTGTGTTCAGCTAAAAGTGCTTTGAAATTCAATCTTTTTTTAAATACTTACCTGAAGGGATAGTTCATATTGTCCTTCCATGCACCTGTACATGCAATTTAAAGAATAATTGAATGCATTGTATTGTTTAGCTGCTTCCCATCGGTCATGAAGCAACTTTTTAAGCTGAAACTATGTATACATATTATTTATTATGACCAGCCAATTTTAGTAATTAAAAACAAAAATTTGTTTGTTACACATTTCGTGACAAAAATTGAGGAAGAAAACAATTGAATTTGAACCGATTAATTCATCGAGTAAATATTTTAATGAAGATACTGTATTACACAGTCCCATTGTTTACATACGCAAACACGAAAACGATAAGTCACGTACTGAAAAATTATTTTTTAAAAATTAACATTTCGCAAGATTTGAATTTTCAAATTATTTATTCATTAATTTCTTTTCTCTAATGTTATTCTTTTTTACTTTTGCTTTTTCATCGCCATTTGGATTATCTGCATTGAAAGATCTCAAGTCTAAAATAAAATCATCTTTGCAGTAGTCGAAATACGGAGCATTCGAAGAGCTCGCAGAAAACTCTGCGGGAAGCTGTAATGCAAAACTTTAATAAAAAAAAAGATGCGAAATGAAATAAAACCTGGACAGAAGAAACTGATCGATGGGTGCGAGAGTTGCTGCCGAGCATGAAAATATTTTTTATTGGCATCGTTAAGCATGGATGGAGCTGCCGTCGACACTCCCCATAAAAAAACAACTAGTCTCGAAGAAGAGATAGAAAATCTTGACGGATTTTACGAGTTGCAGACGAGACAGGAGGAGGCAAAAACGTATATTTCTCTAAACTCTGCGTTGTTTTGTTGCCTTGGATAGATAGATTGAATCGCTCACAGATAACGAGGCAAAGTTTTTCGAAATACACTGACACTGAGCGCCGAAAATTTGGCAATCGATGTTTTAATGAATTCTCTGGGTTTCATTTATGACATCGAGCCGGGCCATAATAAACAATACACTTTTGGCAAGCGCTTTTTTAATTAAAAATATTTTTGACGACTATTTTCTTCCAGAAAAAAATTGACACCAAATTTAATTCAAATATTATTTAATTTTATTATTAAATTCATAAACATTTATTTAAAAAAAAAGAATGTTTTAAGATTTAATTTTGATTATTGTAAACAAATTATTTTTCATTCGATGGCTCCGTATATTTTTTAACATGTTGTCCGTTGGAGCGCATTTGTCTCCATTAAAGTTGTTTATTTCAAGAATTTCTCTATTTTTAACCAAAATGGCATGGAGAAGTAGTGGAAACACAAATAAAGAGCTCGTTAATAACTTGATTAGTAAGATTTCTCAGTATTGAAAACGAATAATTATTCGTGTTCAGAAAATGCTATTATTCAAACAGAACGAGTAAAAAACGCAATGTTGGCCGTGGATCGCGGAGATTTCACACAGACCTGCCCTTATGAGGATCGCCCACAAAGCATTGGGTATAATGCAACAATATCTGCGCCTCATATGGTTTGCGATTTCAAATTTAATGGAAAACTATTAACTTTAGCATGCTGCCGCTCTAGAATTTCTCAATGATCACTTAAAAGAAGGAGCAAAAGTGCTTGACGTTGGATGTGGAAGTGGGTATCTGACAACCTGCATGGCCTTAATGGTACTAAAAATATACTATATACTGAAATTCTTCAAAAATTATCTTTTCCAGGTCGGCAGTACTGGATCAGTCATCGGTATTGATCATATCAATGAACTTGTGAACGAATCAATTCGAAATGTAAAGAAACATCACATTAATCTTCTGGATAACGGAAATATTACTTTTATCACGGTTTAAATTAGTTTTCGAAATGTGAAATTAAGAGTTTTAGGGAGATGGGAGAATGGGATATTGTGCAAAAGCACCCTATGACGCTATTCACGTCGGAGCTGCTTCAAAAGGCTTGCCACAAGAGGTGGGAATTTGTTTGACTTTTTCTGTTCAACCATGTTTAGCTTGTCGATCAACTTGCGGAAGGAGGTCGAATGATGATTCCAGTTGAACTATCATCTGGAAATCAGGTATTTCCCTTTCCACGTTAATCATTGTTTTCCTTTTTAGGTTTTCACTCAAGTTGACAAGCATATTGGCGGAAGAGTAACGGAAAGTGTCGTTGAACATGTTATATACGTGCCTTTGACAAGTCGCGACGAGCAGCTTAAAAGGAACCTAAATTGGTAACTTTTTTTGTAGTGAAATTGGATCTCTTATATGGGCGATTTCTCATGAGGATGGAATCGGGTAAATTATTTCGCCACTCGTTTCGCTTTCATTATTCATTGGTCCCTCTTCGTCTCTTTTGTATATAGGAAAAAATACGCGGCACTCGACTCAATTGGGTTATATATCAAAAACGCCTCTGCGTATACTACATTGTTCTTCATCACAATTTTTGTGAGCCTAATTTCTGTTTAAAAACAAAAATGGAAACCCAGGAAAAATCCATCAAAAACCGGCCGCAAGAAAGCCTCATCACTCAAAGTCACCGACAACTTGTTTCCGTTTTTTTCTTTTTTCTCCAGTGTTCTTCAGGCCCGGTTCACGTTTATATCTATTTCAACATTTACTTTTTATCCAATTTCCGTAGGTTTCTATTATGAAATTGTGCATGAGAAACCCGTCGAATGCGAAAATTAGAGAAATTGAATCATTCCATTTTTCGGTCGTCTTTTCCCCATTTTTCGCGCCAACCGCACAAGCAAGCAATTTTTAATTGTCCTTGTCGCCCAGTTGTGTTCTTCTTCCTTTTTTAGGTTCTTTTTCGCGGCGAGCAGAATTTAAAATGCTCCTTTTTGTTCAAAACACGATGCGCAGCACCCGGCAGTAGTTGCTGCGAAAGGAAGAAGCGCAAAAACAATATGCGGCGCAAAAAATTATTTCTACTTCACTAATTTTCTTAATGGCTTTTTGGTGCGTGTTGACTGACGTTTCTCGTTGTTTTTGCGTCCTCTTGAATGAGTACAACATTTTTCCAGAAACCCTCATGTCGAATTTCGTCATTATTCTTCTCATCTATACATTATTCATTTCATCCAGCTGTTATGAAGATCTTATAATTGAGCGGAAAGGTTTTCAAATTGATTGGGATGATATATTTCTAGAATACGACAAGTTTTCTGCACCGGATCAAGATAAACAGATTGTAAATTTTTGGGTTTTTTCTCAATATTTTCCAAAATTAATTTAGGTGCACGTGTCAATAGACGTTGTTGATATTTATGAATCAGATTCTCAATTGTCTTGGGTTTTAGAAATTACCCAAAAGTGGAATGACTCAAGGCTTCGATTTATCGGCCCCAAAATAATGACAGTTAGAGGCCATTAATAATTTTCTTTAATAATTTTCTTCAACTTTTCAAGGTACCCTCAAATATTCATCCTTGGCTTCCTGACACTTATATAAGAAATGCGTTTTTTGAAGAAATCCCCCAAAAATCTTTAAAATTGAACCCAAAGGGTGAATTAATGCTCAAAAAAAGATATCAAATTCGAACAAAGGTAGGAAATGACGAATAATAAATCGAATAAAATATAATGCGATTTTTTGTTTTAGATTCCTTCACAACTGGTTATTTCGTCATTCGCCCACGAGGGAACAATTTCAATCGAATATATTATTGATTATATCGATATCAAAGACAATTCTTATAATTTTGTAGTGAAGAATGTAACGAGAACTTTTGATGAAAATGTCTTCAATGATATAGTGGTACATTTTTCTATAAATTCGACCATTTTATAAATTTGAAAGGTTTTTTTCGTGGATCACATATCTATTTATTTATTTATTTTATTAATAAATGCATTAGTCGGCAATATTAATCACCTTAATTTCATAATTAGATGAAATTTTCGCATCGAACCAGATATTCGTGACGATAATGAATATGAATATCAGCTGGAGGATGGTGACTTTGCCATCAGCTGCAAATTCCTTAAACGTTTATCGTATTATGCGTAACTTACAATAAGAATCACAGTAAACATTTTCGGCGTAATCTTCAATGTCTATCGCCAAAATTGGGTATGCGTAGATAATTGTGAAAACTGCGAAAAGTCGAAATAAAAACTTTCTATATGACCAATTCAAGAAGTTGCTCAACAAAAGTTTGATTACAGTACTACCACAGGTCACAGAGAAGAATAAAATTGTATAGGGAATGTCTGAATACCAAACATGTTAAAATGTCTTAAAATTATAAAAATTACATTTCGAATCCTTATAGACGTGAATTGTGAACAATGCAAAGTACGAGAAAAATACGAAAAATTCGTTGAACACATAGATAATTGCTAAAATTCGATGAAATTTTATAACAGTTTTAAACTTTTGGGCACCTAAAAACGCTGAAAGAGTACCCGGATGACTATAATAGTTATCTTTTGCTAATAAACCGGCAAAAAATGTCATCGGGGTCATTAAAATCAAAATTGATATTCGGACGGTTGTCTGAAAATGCTTGAATTTTTTCTGAGATTAATCAAACCTGAACACTGGAATATAATTGAGAAGCCCGGAAAAATGAGGTATACCAATTCTGAGTTGAAACATTTCTCTCCTACCAAAAAATGGCGTTGAATCGAAATTTTTTTGAAAATTATTACATTACAAAAATTGTCCACAGATGCTCCAAATGTGAATCTTGTCATTCCATAGACATATTTAGCAATGTCAACGTCGTTTATCACGTAATAAGGTTTCGATTCATACTCAATATAGACTGATCCATTTTCAAAAAACTGAAAAAGATAAAAGATGTAATTTTATATTATGTTAATTTACCTTATAATGCTTCTTATAATATTCAGTTCGTTCTACATTATCATCAGGCTCCGCAAAATGAGGATGTCCCGAAATATAAATCGAAGATAATAGTAGAAACAAGGAAGATGTAAGAAATGGCGCTAGGCATTGTTTTAATGAATAATGAAAATACAAAATGTCAGGCATCTGAAATGAAATTGTATGAATTAACCTTGTACGAATTTTAGTAATTATGTCATCACTAATGTGAGATAATCGCAGATTTATTGGTTTCCATGACATGGGATTTGATTCCAACTAATATCTTGATTTGTAATTGAATCGCTATTTTAGATTGATTCCAAATGTATATGAATGTAATGGAAGTTGGCGATTAGATTCCTTTTTGTATTTTTATAACGACTCCTAGCCAATTCGGGCGGAATAAAGGCGAAACTTCCGGGGAAAGGTAGAATTTGAAAAATTCCCACTTTTATTTTCAACATGTCTCAAGAGGTAGCCCATAATAAAGAAGTAAAGTAAGTTTTAGTAGTTGTGATGCAGATTTCATGCTAATTTTAGATCAAAAAAGAAAATTTTGTTCAAATGCGCTCTAACTAACACAATTTCTGATGTTCTCACAAATCGTGAAGGATGGGCTCCAACTCAGTAGTGAAAATCGCCAGATTCGATATATTGTTTAATTTTATAGAAGTGATGACTGGCAATTTTTCTGGGTCACACGGGAATGGATGACAACGAGCTACGACAAGCACAAATTCGGCGAAAAACAATTAATTTGCCATTTTCGAAATGATTTTGAGCTTACTCGTAAAGATTTTCTCATTAAAAACTATAAAAAAGCGCGGAAAGCTAAAGAGAAAAGCGGAATCGATGTGAATGCCACATTTAATTTTCTTCCTTCAAGTTACGTACTTCCGGTATTATTTTCCCATTTCTTTTTGAAACTCCTAAATTTTCTTATTTTATAGGCGGAATATCACCTGTTTGTAGAGGAATTTCGAAAATATCCATCAGATACGATTTGGATTATGAAACCTGTCGCCGGAGCACAAGGAAAAGGAATATTTCTGTTTAGGAAGCTCAAACATATTCAGGAATGGAAAAAGAAGGATTCATCAGGATCGGAAGCTCTTCCATACGTTGTTCAGAATTACATTTCGAATCCTTATTTAATCGGCGGGAAAAAGTTTGACGTTAGGCTTTACGTGTTAGTGACCTCGGTAATTTCACATTTATATTTTTTAAAATAAAGTTTGAAAATGAGTCTTTCTAGTTCCGGCCACTAACTGCATGGGTGCATCGTGAAGGTTTCGCGAGATTTTCGCACTCGCGATATTCCACAGACAACGTCGACGATGCATTCGTGCATTTGACAAATGTTGCAATTGCAAAAACCGCGTCCGATTATGACCCTGAAAGGGGTCTCAAGTGGAGTCTGCCCAAGTTATTCCGTTTTTTTAAAGCAATACATGGGTGTAGCAAGGTGCAACATTTCGGAAACGGTTCATTAGGCTCGAATTTTTATTTTTCAGGTAGCAAAAATGCTTCAAGATTTGGCTACGGTTATTATTGAAAGTTTGAAATGCGTCCAAAACTTGATAATCCAGGTAGATATGTATTTTCAAATTGTGAATTCGCCACAATATCTTCTCAAACAGTGCTCAATTGTGCCATCTCCCTCTCATATAATTAATATAATGAAATTACCACCGGTTTTCCCGGAAATAAATAGCATCCTCCCCCTATTACGCATAAATTTGCAGGACAACCACTGCTTTGAGCTATATGGCTACGACATCCTCTTCGACGCCAATTTGAAGCCATGGCTTCTCGAAGTTAGTTCGTATCGTTTATCTAAAAAACAATCTGTTCTGCTCAATTAACCGAAAATTGTAAATTAGGAAAAGTTAATTGGCCATAAATATACTGCTATACAATTCCACTCTTTGAGAAGAATTGAAAGGCAATTTTTAGGTTAATGCGAGTCCTTCTCTTACTGCTTCTTCTCAAGAGGATTTTGATCTAAAATATCGAGTTTTGAATCACATGCTGGATGTGCTGGACCTCGAAAATAAGTAACTATTCATTTCAGTCAGTAAATTACTTCTGATGCCAATTTGCAGTCGTACCGGAAATGAAACTTCGATTGGTGGTTTCGACATTCTGATCAAAAACAATAAGCCAGTTGAAAAATGTCAGGTCGATGAGCACAACGGAGCTCAGTTCGTACCCACATTAAACTTGAGGCTAGGTAAGTGGGCGAATATTGAAACAAATCAAAAATTTCTCTCCGCTGTCTGAATATCAAATTTTACGAGGTTTAAATTGAGAACGATGGCGAAGAGTCGTTTAATTGCCCCCCTTGATTTTATAGCGCGGCACACATGACTCAACTATTTTCCAGGATCGCTCATCGAGTCCCAGCAGAAACTTTAAACGCAATACTACGAATCAATTTAGAACGACGAAAAAAAACCTCGAATTGAGTGGATTCGCCGCGACTGACCTTATCTCAAATTGCCTACCACAAATCATTGCACTCCCTACCGGCAAAGAACGCTCTCGGCGCGAATTGAATGCGATGAATGGGGCGTGGCTGACAAAAAGGCGGGGGCTCAATGAGCTCCGCTGAGCCTCTTTTATCCCCGCCAACCCAACACCAACATTCGTTGTCAAATTGGATTCGTCTTCTCCAGCTCGCCGGTGGTGCTTGATAGTGACAATGAGGATCGTTTTCCTATTAGTGCTGGTTGGCTCGGTCCTTCCTGAGAACTATTTTGACAGCAGCGAGGAGGCACCTGATATTCAACTACAGCATGTGAGTTTCTCAAAAGAAAAAAAATGAAGTTCTGAAAACAGGAATGGCTTTCTCCTTTTTAGCTTGATGACATCGGCGTGAACGACGAGAAGGAAAAAAACGAAACCAAACAATCCTATGTGCCAGGTACTTTTGAAATTTGCCAATTTTGAGATGTTCATTTAATGGAGCGGCCCGTCTAAACCAATTCTCTGGATTAGTGAGCCTCACTAGACGAATTAGAAAATTGGATCGCGCAAATAAATTGAAAGACCGCGACCAAACATTGAAGACAACGTTTTCATATTACGCATTTGCAGGATCATCGAAACGACTCACCGAATACTTGTTATCCAAGCATAATCCGAACGCACCTCCCGACGGCCTTCTAAATGTTGAATACGAGCTCGAACTTGTACACATTCTTGGAATTGACGAACTCAAGCAAACAATGACAGTTTTGATCTATGTGGATGAAGTGAGACGATTTTGAATTCATAAATGTTAATCGATTTTTTCAGCACTGGAACGATCCATCGCTGGTTTGGGACCCGGCACTGTTTGGAGGAATCACGAAGACCTGGATGCCTGTAGACAAAATCTGGATTCCGGATATTATAATCTTCAACATGTGAGCATTCATGTTTTATTGTCCATGCGTAGAATGCATAATTAATTAGTGTGCGAATGTAAATTATATTCTAACAATCTTTCGTGTAACTCCGTGAACTCTTTTCTATGAACCGGGCTCAGAGCCCATCTCTTCTAAGGGTAAAAACTGACAGGTTGGCCCACGAAGATCTTCTATCGGCGATTCGCGCACCCGTCCGCATTCACTACAATGGAACCGTCGTCGCTTCACATCCTGCCGTTCACACTGTGTCTTGCGAGATCAACATTCGACATTTCCCGCTAGACGATCAACGATGTGCCATTGAAGTACTAAAACGAAAGAAAAATACTGTGAAATAAAGACTTATTTTATAGATCGCTTCATGGTCCTACGGCCACGAAAAGATACGACTTCATGCTCACACGGATCATTCCTTGCAGCATTACAAGAGAAATGAGGAATGGCATTTGCTGCATTTGAACGTCACCGAAGAGAAATACGAGCATGAAGGTGTTGAGGTTAATAGGATTTCCTTCTGAATTGCACCTAAAACGAACTTTTAAAGGTTTCTGAAGTGAAGTTTGAGCTCTCAGTAAAAAGACGCCCACTGTTCTACATGGTGACACTCACCTTCCCATCGTACATCATGTGTGCAATTTCGGTTGTCGGCCTGTTTGCGAGATTTTCGACAACCGGCGAGAGAGAAGTTTGAAGAAAAAGCGATCCAATTAATGGTGATAATTTATTGATGATTTTTCTAGGAGCGATTCACTCTTGGCGTCACTGCAATTTTGACAATGGCCGTTCTCTCGTTGGTCGTCAGCGAGAAAGTGCCCCATAGTTCGACACATGTTCCGCTCCTCGGTAAACCTATTCATTTTTTAAATGAGCATCTCACCTCATTAACATTCTTCAAGTCGCTTACTTTCTCTTCAACATGGTGATAGTGTCATTGGCGGCAATGACGACGGGAATCGTGATGAAAGTGCACCGCATGGGAAGGTAGTGAGAAGCGATCTGAATCCTGAGAAGATTAACTTTTTCAGATATGGAGATGAGCCACCAGAGTGCTGGATGAAGTTCTTCTGTCTTAGACCGATTAAATTAAAACCTTATGTAAAAAATGAAGCTCAAGGAACTTCAAAAAAAATTTGTACATTGCAGAGAAGAAAGTATCTGATGAAAGGTGACGAGCCAGAGCAGGTTGTTCTCGTAGCTGAAAGAAAAAATGGAGAAAACTCAACGACGACGAATAGAGCGGAATCCATTACAGTGATCACCGAAGAACCGCCCGTAAAACTACGAATACGGATTTTTTCGCTGAATTGTGATATTTTAGCTCAACGCGAGAATTGCAGCTCTTGAGACATATATGAAAAAAATGGTGAACCGATGTGAAAATATTCAAGTAAGATCTTTCAAACTAATGATCTTTTAAAGACTATATGATCAACAAACATCCGTGGTTTTTTGATAGTGCCGTTTTGTGAATGTCAATGTTTGCAAAATCTCGATAACAACTGTGTGCCAAAAACCCATAAATTGTTCAATGTGTCGTCGCAACCGACGTCGGCCCACAGTGGAAAACTTTAAAATAAACGACGAAATGATGATGCTAATGGACTCTCTTTTTTCTCCTTCAACGCCATCATCATCAACCAATTCGATGAGCATTTTTTTTGCAGTGCGAGCTTGATGAGATGGATAACGATCAAATGGTTGACGTTATTCGCCGCCGATCGACAAATGGATACGTGAGAATCTCCGAACGCCTCGACCTCTGCTTCATGTTCTTCTTTTTGACCGTGGTTACTGTTCCTGTGATCATTCTCTTCTACTTGTCCTAAGACATCTATAATATTATCAATATATATATTTGGCCCTCATATATTTGGATTTTTGTATTTATTTCGGGTTCGTATTACCCCATTGATTTGTAATTGTGCATACGTATATATTTGGAGCATATATATTAGGAACGTATATATTTGGAAAATAAATAAGTTACAAATTACAAATAAGATGCTAATTCTTGTATGGTTGATAAGCTCCACCAGCGCCTTCTGCTCGCTTTGGGCACGGACAATACTGAAAAATGAATATATGTTTGCTGGGAAGTTGGGCAACATACCAGAGCGTCTTTTCCAGTCGGACCAGCAGGACCTGCTTGTCCAATGTTGCCTGCAATTCCTGTCTGTCCTCGTTCACCTGGAACACCGATCGGTCCTGTGGGCCCGATGTTTCCTGGTTTTCCGTAAGTCCCTTGCTCGCCTTCCGGACCGGTTGGTCCCATTGGTCCACGGTTTCCAGGAGGTCCTCTAACTCCCTTCTGCCGCATGGAATCCTTCCCTTTTTTCCCTTTTGGTCCTTGATTGCCTGGAGATCCATCAGGACCTGGATTGCCAGCTTCTCCGTTTCTTCCAGGATTCCCGTTGCGTCCTGGTGGACCAGCAATGCCGTTCTGCCCTCGTTGTCCTCTTGGACCAATTTTTCCTGGTGGACCTGGCGGTCCAACGTCGCCAGCAGGGCAAAACTGACATCCCACATCCTGGTATTCAGCTTGAAAATCATCGGTGTGAATTCCTGGCTCTCCAGGCACTCCGTCGTGTCCAGCATCTCCACGTTTTCCAGGGGTTCCTTTAGGACCCGGAGGCCCCGCAGGACAATTGTTATTATCCAAATTACAATCTGAATAGACAGTATTTAAATTTTTGAAATCAAGGAATTACTGCAATTCGGTGAAATTGCTGGAGCATGAGCTTCAACGCCCAACGAAGGCGGCATGGCATAGGCATCAAACGTTTTCTCATAATAACTTTCAGACTGTCTCTTTTTTCGTTTCAAGATATTTTCAGATATTGGCTTCAACGTGTTGAAAGTGGATTCGTGCAATTCCTTAAACGAATTATGATGAATGATAATTGATACATGTATTACCATTGTTGACTGAATATCAGAATTGAACTCAATTAGAATTGATTCCATCTCAAGTTTCGTTTTGAGAGCGAAAAAAATGATGCCAATCACAGCAAGAAAACACAAGGAAAAGCAGAAAACAATGGAAATCTCTGATTTTCCCATTTTTACTGTTTTTCGTGAGATGCTTCTTTCTTTTATACCATTGCTTCACAGCAGGTAGTAGTCGGACAACAAAATTAATTGTATGCAAATTTCTGCATCCGGATTTATCAAATAAGAAAATAGTTGCGTGAAAACCCATTAAAATGAAACGAGACAAGTTGAAACATCATTTCTACCAATGGGATTTGGAATAATTAAGCTGTTCTCAAAAATTTAACAAGATAATGAAACCGAGTCAGAGTCCCTCCCTTAAAGAAGAGAACCGCAAGCGGTTTCCTGTGAATCTGGTACCTGTCATGTTTTTTTTCGATAATTTTTTTTAATTTACAGGACGCACCTCCTCCATATGAAGAAGCAAAAACACAGTCCAGTGAGGAAATCAGCCGCTCATCATTGGAAAATAATAACCTCTCACCAGGTATCGTATAAAGAGAAGTGTACCTAAAATGAAATCGAAAATGTTCAGATTTTACCAGCATTATAGAAATGCATACACCTCAGGTATTCAATTAGTCAATCTATTTCGGGGCGAATTCCCAAAATCTTCAGATTCTCACCTCAATGGAATTTGTGGATCTTGATGAGGATACTACAGATTCCGTGAAACCTCCAGAAAGCATGACGCAGATTTTTCTACAGGTCTGTAAATTTATAAACTCTCATCTCTCTATCTGATCCCAGAGTTTTGTGCCATTTTTCCTTGGAGGTTTTGGCTCAATTCTAGCCGGCCTAATGCTCACATTTGCCAATCGAAATTTGGATTTAATGGAAGAAGGTTTCGTCCAAAATGAAAAGAAAAACATGGTGTGCTTCTTCAGTTCCGGAATTCCTTGTATTGATGCCCTCCTTGCAAGGGCTCAAGGGTAATCTTGATATGACCTTTTCCGCGCGCCTCTCGACAATGGCCCACCTTGGAACTTTCGAGAAACCTGAATATAAAGAAATTATTGCGAGAAACATTTGCCTAAACGAGGCTCAGGCGGTATTCGTGTGCCTTGTCGCTGATCTCGTCACCTACCTAGTAATTCGTATATATCCCAGCGAAATTAAACTGGCTCATAATTCCACGACAACCCGCCGAACAGAGAACTTTCTTTATCTTGGAAGCTCTTCGATTGTGTCCATGAGCATTTGTTGTGCGATTTCAGCGTGTCGTAAGAATTTGTCTAAAAAGAAAACTTCCAAATTTCTTTTAGTCCTGGCCTGGATAGTGACCCTTGCAAGACGCAAAGGTGTGAATCCCGACAACATTGTGACCCCACTGGGAGCAAGTTTTGGAGATTTGCTGATTATCTCTTCAATGGTCCAAATAAAAAACTGAAGAAAAAATAAATATAAATTTTCAGCTTCTTGTTTGCTATGTAATCCGGCCCTATTCTCAATTCTCTAATGTTCCCCCAATTTCCATAATTGTGATCGCCATAACTCAAACACCTTTATGGCTCTATTTCGCATGTTTGTTTAAGAAAACAAATCTTTCCCAAAAAACATGAATTCAGGGCGTGACGAATCGGCAATTAAAACCGCCAAACAACAGTGGTGCACTTTATTGTTCGCCGCGTGCGTCAGCTGTATGGCCGGATACATTCAAAGCGTCGGCGCATTAAAATTCCCCAACTACCCTGCGTATCAAACATTGATTTCGGGTATTTCATACAAGTTTGGTTCCTATCATTCTTTGTTCTAGGTCTCACTGGAAACCGATGTGCAGTTCAAGCATCTCGAATTGCTTCCCATCTCGAGGTAAAAAAGGAATCGGAGCTTGATTGGTCCACCAGATTATCGCCATATTCGTACTTCTTGAGTCCTTCGAATGAGAGCAAAACTGCAAGGCTTCTTCTGTTCACATCCCTTCCCTTTCAGGTACGCTTTTGGATTTTCTAGCAAGATTTTGAGTTTCAGATGATTTTTGTTGTAATTTCGCTAGGAATCTCTTATTTTATGCAAACTCCAACTGAAAGTGATCCGAGATTTTTTATTGGCTACGCGCTTGCAGCTTTTATTCAAGTCGACAAATTTCCCAAAATATTTTCCTATAATAAATAATTTTATTCAGGTAATGTTCTTGCTCTATGGCACTCAGCTAGTCGTAGTGTCACTTTGGAGATTAGGATTAGATCCGGATATCCATTCAATACCTTTGATAACTTCGGTTGCTGATTTAACGGGTTGCGCTATGCTTTATCTCTTGTTCATCACACTCCATCAAGCGTTCCAGTATTCACTCTATCGTTCTCATAAAGAAATATTGTCAGAAAATTCCTTTTTCAGATGCGTTTATGCTGATACAACGGATTTTCATGATCTATGAATACTATCGCGTTTTCTTCCCATAAACCTTTTTTTAATATTTATTTATACATTGATATTATGAATTAATTCGACCAACCCCTATTACGCTATCGTACTTGCCGAATCTGTTCTTTTCCTTTTTGTTGTGCTTTGCACCATTTCCTTTTCAATTTCACCAATTTCTGCTACTGACAACACCGCAGCTTCCGCCAATAGTCGACGAAGAACAGTACCACATGGCGATTTCGGTAAAATTTTGACTATGTGAACTGCAACAAGATGCTTGTAGCGAATAACTCGCCCTGGAATTTGATTACTGTTCGTCAATTTTTCACTTGCAATCTTACTGTTCACATAATCTTTCAGCTCTTCTTCAGTCGCTGTATGATCTTCTTTCAGGACCACGAATGCTACCGGTCGTTCTCCAGAAATTTCGTTGTTAATCGCCACTACTGCAGATTCTTCAACCGAGTGATGAGTTAAAAGAAGGGTTTCAATCTCTTTTGGAACCACTTGGAATCCGAAAACCTTTATCATTTCTTTGAGCTTGTCGACGATGTGAATATTCTCGTTCTGATCATAATACCCAATATCTCCTGTTTTCCTCCAACCTTCAATGAAATGCTCAGCAGTCGCTTCTGGATTATTCAAATATGGAGAGCTTGCAGCAAGTCCTTTGACAAATATTTGGCCTTTCTCGTTCGGCCCGAGCTCTGTGCCGGTAAGAATGTCGATGATCTTCAACTCAAGGTTCGCGGCAAGTTGCCCACAAGAATTCACAAATTTGCTATCATATGTTCTCGAAATCAAACCAACTTCTGTCATTCCATACGCTGAAATGATTTTTGTTCGGTGGATTCGATTTCTACCCACTTTGAACAATCATCTTCACCGAAGGAAATTTGGCAAGGAACTCATCGTGAAGTTCTTCTGTGACGGCATCGGCTCCAGTAATTATAGTTTCCAAGTTTTCAATAGTGTATTCGTGATTTTGTGTTTCAAAAATCATCATATTCATCATAAACGGCGAGCAATAAATTGTGCGAACCTTAAATTAAATGACATTTATATTATTGCACTTATTTTCAAGAACTTTATATTTCTGCAAGCAAGTCATCAATGTATGCACACAAAAATTTCTCTGTGTTACTACTGTCATCCCACTAAGCAATGAGCAAAACACAGAGTCCAAACCCATTTGTTTGTGTAGTGGCATCATGGCTACTGTAATTTCGCCTTCGTTAAATTCTTTGTGTTCGGACGGGCTGAATAGAAATGTATTAACATGAAAAACACATGGAGAGGGGCTTACTTCCACATAACCATTGTTTTCGCAACCATAACATGGTGCGTCGTTAAGATTCCTTTGCGTTTCCCATGAATTCCACTCGAATGCGGCAAATATACAACGTCAAATTCTGGGTCAATTTCAGGTAAAAGGCAATCCTGACTAGCTGAAATTAAATAAAAATTTTGAATACAATGTAGTTTATAACCCGTATTACCGGAATGCGAAAGATCAGAGATAATGGGAAATCCCAGGGCGTTGTCCCGACCTCCAGTGCAAATTATCTAAAACATTATTATGATCCTTGTTTGAGAACCACAAGTAACTTACTCGATGGTCCCTATTGAGAGATGCCATCAATTTGCTGATCTCTTTGATCCCATGCTCATCGGCAAATATGAATCGAGTTTCGCTTTCAATCACTGGAAATTGCATCTCCCATTCCCTTAGCTTCGGGCTCACTATTTGAAACGCTGCTCCAGCTAGTGAAACCCCCAAAGTAATATAAATTGCAGTCGGGGACCAATCCATAACGAGGCAGACAACCTTGAATAAGTTTAAGTAATTTCATTCATTGAAAAGATTTTAAACTTCACTTTTTTCAACTCCCAAATTCAACAAAGCTTTTGCGATGAATTTGGATTGATCCATTAATTGTTGAAAAGTAAGTTGTTCTTTTAAGTCATTGTCAATCTGAAATTTAAAAAAAATGTGCATAAATATTCTATAAAGAAGTAAACTTACAGCAGCTATGTTATCTTTGAATTTATGCCATTCATCGAAAACGAAATCATGAAAAGCTTTAACTGGAATCTTAATTTCGGGAAGGTTCGATTTAATAACCATCTGAAGTCAAAATAGGAAAAATGCAGTAGCGAAAACATGAACACGCCAATCGATAATATTTGATTGATAAGATATTGCGATTCCTTGTAGTGCGTAATTAAACTATGGTCTCAATCAGGAATTCCAGATAAGATGACAAAACTGTGTGATTGTGTCAGGCATGGTTGCAATTGAGGTATGTTTTAAATAAAAATTGACCATTTTTTCTCATGTTTTGAAAAACAGCGGTGATGGCGAACATTTCCATAATCCGACGGGTTTTGGGCGGGAAAAAATAGAATTGGGAACCGGTATCACTCCAGCGAAATTGTTGTCTTAAAAACTAAAATGAACATATGTTACTTGATGACCTTTCTGTTCTTAAAAATAGCCCTAAAATTTTTTTTTAGAAACGAACTCGTTTTGCACTTGTAGTTTTTCACATTAATGCTTACTCCCAGTTTTATATGACAAGAATAGCCCCAGTAATTTTTGATAATCCATAGCTTTTCATTAATTTTTAAAATAATTTTTGTGCAGAAACCCAAAAATTACAATGTGGCGATTGTTGGTGCAGGATTCGCCGGCCTTCGAGCTGCAGAATACTTTGAAAAAGTCGGTGTAAACTACACAATTTTTGAAGCTTCTGACCGAGTTGGGGGACGCGTGTTCCCGTTTCAATATAGTATTATATGTACGTACATATATGTATATTGAATTATTTTTATTTTAGACAATGGATATCTTCAACATGGCGCTGAATATATCAATGGAAAAGAAAATGAAATCTACAAAATTGCTGAAAAATTACAGATTTTTGATAATGCACAACCAAGAACTCCAGATTTATACTTGTTCGATGATGGAACAAAAACAATCATCGATCAAAAGCCTATAAATGAGTAAGATTTTATAAAACCTACTATACGAAACCTGTTTCCAGAAATGAAAAAATCATTTGGATGAACTTTGTTCAACAAATTCAAGATAAGCTACAAAATCTCAGCGAACATGAAAAAATTGGCAATGAAAAAATTGGGAAAATAATCGATAATTTTTCCATGGAATTTTTTGAGGTTTTTTCTTGCTATTTTAAATTGATAAATTAATATTACAGGATCGCGTAGATATGGATAAAACGCGTTTTCTCAGTTTAGTTGAGATATATAAGAATTATTTTCAAACTGAATGGTCGTCTCCAATAAATAAGATTTGCTTGAAAAACCTCAGCGCTTGGGAAGACGGAACCGACGACGAGGATTCCGCAGTTTTAAATCATTTTGGGTTTCATAGCATTCTAGAAACTCTGAAAAAATCGATATCAATTAAAAATGTTAAACTTCATTCGATGATTACAAATATAAATTATTCAGGTATTCTGTATATTCTTAATGCTCTACCTACTCATTTTATATTTTTAGGGGATCAAGTCGTGCTGACCATAAACTCGGAAGAGAAACTTGCTTTTGATCATATCATCGTCACATGCTCTTTAGGCTTCTTGAAAAAATATGCTTCAGTCCTATTCACACCGAAACTTGATGAATACAAATTAGGAGCAATAAAGGATATGGGTAAAGTTCTTTGAAAATTGTTCTCATTTTCCAGTTTGAGAATAAATTTTTCTAATTTTAGCAATAAAACGATGTTTTATAGGATTCGGAAGTAATATGAAAATTTTCATAGAATATGAGAAGCCATGGTGGCCAGAAGACCTGACGACTCTGTTGATTGCGAATAGAAATTCAAAATTAAAAATTTCTGAGGGATTCACTGTGTTTCAACCAAACCCTTGGGCCAAAAATGTTGGGTTTCCTCAATAGAAAAATAAATGTTACCCGGAAAGTTTGCAGATTCTTGTTTTATGGCTGGCTGGAGAAAGCCCTCGTCTAATTTCAGAAAAATCCGACAACGAATTGATGAATGAAATCACGAATCATTTGCGGAAGAACATGCTTGAAACATTCGTGCCGAATCCTGTCTCCATTTATAGACATTGCTGGATTCGAGACGAGTTCAGTTGTGGAAGTTATTCATACTTGACGTCTGAATCAGTAACAGACCATGCAAATATTTTCGAAGAACTTGCAAGACCGATTTACAAAGGAATATCGAGAAAGTAAGCTCATTGCATATTTTAAATTGTGTTTTACCATTTATCAGACCAATTGTGTGCTTCGCCGGTGAGCATACCGACGAGAGTATGTACCAAACCACAATCGGGGCGCTAAAGAGCGGACTGCGGGAAGCGAGGGCAATCGAATCATTTTATAACGATTGGCAGACAGCATGATCCGTATTTTCTTCAATATTTTTTATCTGTTAAACAAATCTTTATTGTTATTGCAACGTGACAGCAGAATAAAACAGTAAGATAACAGATTTCAAAGCGGCAATACAGAGTTAACAATGTTTCAAGATTTCTTTTAAAACTTAAAATTACGGATACGAAATGCTGCGCAAGTCCAACTTCGGATCAGAATCTGGAAGCAACGGAGTCGTTGCGACGCAGAAGAAAACTCTTTAAGCACTCCTTTAATTCTTCAATTCTGAACTCTCAACTTACTCATGAGAATATTTGTTGCGAATATTTGCAAGTCGATTCCATTCCTTATTTAAAAAGTGCATTTTGTGATTGAGATGCTCCATCAATGGAAGAATGTCTTCACTAGTGAAGCCAGAATATTTTTCAAGAATTGGATTCCTGTAATTCAAATACTTCAATACTGCCTAATTTCTCTTTGAATACCATTGGTAATTAATATCAGTCATTTTCATAGCTAAAAGAAAGGCAGCGGCGGCCATACGAGCTCCGGATAAAAGAGCATAATCGTAGATAAGAAGAGAAGACTCCAGAATATAACGCGCGAGTGTCAAAGATACCATGGAAGTGCGCGAAACACGTGCCAATCGACGCAAATAACGATACGAGAGTGGAGAGCCAAGATCGAAATCGATTTGTGAGAATAATTCGCGTTCCATCGCTAAGAATTCTTCACGGCTGAATTCATCACCAGCCATATACACAAGATCATCGACCAATGGCGGCGAGCGTTCCTGAAAGTAATATAAATATTGACGTCGGCGGAATATTTCAATAATTTGAAGTTTTTACGTCGTATTTAGAAGCGAGAAAAACTGCAGCACACGCAGCAATTTGAATTTTACACTTTCTGACATTTCTTGTCTTCGCGAGATACATATCTATAATCTTGACAGCATTATAGAGTGTCTCATGGTTGAGCTCGAAAGTTTCTTGAGTCTAAAAATTAAATAAATAAATTGTGAAAAAATTTTCATTTTACCTCAACAAGAAAGTCGACCAAAATCGCACGAGTCTTCTCATCAATATCAGGATGTTTGGGAAGATAATCCTGGATACGGAAATGTTTTTCGCGAGATTTGTAATATTTGAATATTTCGTTGGCGAATTCAGACACGCTCTCAAGATTTCCAGCCTCTTCCTTGTCGAAATCATAATGAGGGCATGGATCAGTTGGATCAACTGAAAACTGTATATCTTCGCGCTGTTCGGTACGGTTGACCGCCTGGCCTTTTATTCTGAAATCATGAATTGTAACGAGAAAACTGACAAGCAAGTACTCAATATTTTCCTTGTCAGCATCAGTTTTCAAATAGATTTTAGTTCCAGTTTCAATTTTCAAACCAGAAATTGATGTTCTAAGTACGGTTAGTCCGGTGCTGTTCTGCTTCTTTGGGACAGGCTCGCTTGGATTCTTTATTGCATCGTCAGCCTGTTTTCGCTTATTCCGATCTACAAAATCTAAAATTTCCGTCACTATAAAAATCTCACACCTGGATTATTTTGTGTGTTAATTGAGTGGCTGCGCAGCATCATCTTGCAGTCCTAAATTTTAAAATTAATAAGACGCACGAGAACGTAAGAAACAATGATGCGGTGAAACGCCGATAAGATGCGCGTTTGTCTCCAGAAATTTGAATTTCGCTCATTCGTTGGCATTAGAGCGCGGTTGTCGCGTCCTCCAAAACGATGATTGTGTTTTTAAACTTATTGTGGATTTAATTTATTTTGAGACAATTCTATAAATCGAATTTTTATTTTAAGAATCCAGACAACTAATTTAAATAAACAAAAAAATTTTAGGACCGTATGGACTGCTTTATTGGCGCAGCCACAGGCGCGTTCAAAGGTTTGTATGTGTTTTTATTCAAATTGAATTGTTTCATTAATTTCAGCGGTAAATCTTCGTGAAAATTGTTTTTCCAATTTGAATGAAGTCAAATCGTTAAATCCGAAAAGCGATGAAGTCACGTCTATGATTTGGAACAATGATGAACAGGTATAATATATTTTTTATATTTGAAAACAGTTAATTACAGACTGAGGTTCTTATTTCAAAAATAAGTAGAAGGTTGCAAATTTTCAACTTGGACGACTCTACTTTTCAAGATTTGTTTGTCCTCGAAGGAGGATCCGGACCAGTGAAAGGATTAGTTAGAAAAAGGTAATTTTTGAAATTATAACTGTCGAAGAGGAAATTTCAGCAATTTATTGTTTTCCTGCGTAGAAAGTGGAGAAGTGCGCTGTTGGAATGCGGAAAACAAAATTCTTCACGAATGGAATGCTGGTCCGAACGTGAGAAAAATGCGCGGAAACGCAGATAGTGAAGAAATTGTGACGGGTGGCGAAAAAAACCTTGTAAAGCTTTGGGATATGAATACTGGAAAACTAAAATGGAATGCAAAGAATGTTCGACCAGATATGCTTGGCCTAGAAGTCCCAACTTTGTGCACAGATCTGAGATTTGCAGAAAATTTCATCCTGGAAGCAACAAAATTGCACGAGGTAGGCTTTTGTGTTGTTTTTTTTTGTAAAAAAAAATTTTACGCTTCGCAAAATAGGCTAAATTTCAACAATATTATTTATAAAAAGCAGATTTCCCAAAAAAAAAACCATAAACCCTAAAGGTATAAATACTCGCAGATTGTGCAAACAACTAGTTTTTTTTAGTTTTTCGAGTTTAATTTCTGCATAGCACCACTGGTAAAAATCTTGATGCGCGGTGTGTGTTTAAAAAATGTGTAAATATATCTTTATATTTTGACCCCAACTCGAGTTAAAATAAAATTTTTGAAACCATTCACAACTCACGTTTTTTTTCATTAAAAAATTCAAGATGCGTGTCTATGATCCAAGATCGCAACGAAGACCAATCAATCGAATTCAATTCATGGAAAATCCGATAATGGCGACGTCATTGTGCTACAAAAAGAATTACGCAATCGCAGCAAATTCAATTGGAGAAATCGGGTTATTCGATTTACGGAGTCACAGACATCCGGTTTGTAAGTTCAAGGGTCAATGCGGTTCCATCAGAAGCATTGACGCCCATCCAACAGAGCCATTATTCGCTTCCGTCGGTATTGATCGATTTGTTCGAGTTCATAATATTGACAATAGGAAATTAATACATAAAGTGAGTACAATGTCTGTTACAGAACATACAGAAAAAATGTAAAAATAGAGGAAAAAGTGCATTGCAATTTTCTCTATTTAATTTTTTTCTGCATTGAAACCCTAAAAATAATTTATTCAACTTTTTGCAGATTTACTGTAAAACTCGGCTCAATGTAGTGCTCATTCGAAATGATTTGACCATTCTCAACAATGCAGTTAAGAAAGAAGAAAAAAATGAAGATGAGGGTGAATATGGTAATATGACGGTAGGAACCAAATGCTTTATTCTTTTTTTAAACATCTTGATATAGTCTGGAGGATACGTTGAGGAAGATTCGGAGAATGACGAAGACTGCTGGGACGAAATTGAAGGTGTAGCCAAAGATGGAGAAAGCGAAGTAATCATTTATAGTAACTTTTCAAATTGTTGTTTCTTTTTCAGGAAAGCGAATTCGAATCGGAACCTGAGGCCAAGGAACCCAAAACGAATATTAAAAAACGAAAAAACACTGCCGCAAAACCTGTATGCCCTTTTTTCTAAGCCGTCAATGATTTCATTCTTTCAGAAGGGCTCCAAGAAAATTCGGAAAACTGAAAAAGCCTAAAATGAAAAAACCAATAGCCAAAATCGGAACTTTGTTGTTATTGTTGTTGATTTATTTGTTGATCATGAAGTTTTTTTTTATTAAGTAACCCGTAAAATTGAAATTGATTTTTCTCTAGACTAGCTGATGTTGTTCGGTGATATGGAATACGTCCTCGTCTCGATTTTGAGTTTTCTTTGGCGTCGAGAAGGAGACAACTGAAGTGAATCAATAATATCTAATCAAAAAAATAATATGGTTTTACATCTATGTCGATTAGTGTCGATGCTTTCGTGCAGTGGTAACACTAGAGCTTCCGTCGAACGCCTACTAGGGGTTCGTTGAACCTATAAATATAATTGATGAAGTGAGTAATTACTTTGTTAAACCTCATTAATTGTTGTATTATATACATGTGCATGATGCATGGATGGCGGGAGTTCGTGTAATTCCACCGATCCGCGTTCATCCGAAGATTCATCGGTGGAGATGTGACGACTTTTTCTATAAATTTCAAAATCTATGAATAAATTCAATACGGATCTATCACCTGCGGACACTTCTCCACATTCCAAATCCGCTAACAGACCTCGTTCTTGATGATTGTTGAGCTTTATTAAATGGAACACTAGGACTTTTGGTGACACCCGGTAGAGGACTTGACGATTCTTGCCGCTTGTCGGACGAAACATTTTCGTCTTCGACATCTTCAGGAATCACCGAGTCTTCTTTCATTGAATGAAGAATTTTTTTCGCGTGAACACTGGTCCTTCGATCAATGCTTTGTCGAGAAGCGGCTCCTCGCGGTGCCGTTGATGCTGCTGAAGAGTCAGAATGCGGGTCGACCATCGTCGGTGTGTAGCTTCTAGCCATTTCCATCGGTTTCATTGACAATTCTTCTCGGAGCTGGACAAGCTCATGTTGACATTTGACGATGAGCACTTGAGTTGGAATGATTAGGTGTGAGGTTGACTCCAGCTTTTCAATGATTTCAAACTGCCAATTCGCTTCAATTTCGTTTGAAGCTTTTTGCTTCATCTTGTTTTGGATCATGGGAAGAATGAAGAGAGAAATCGGCAAGTTTGAATTCAGCAGAAATTCGACAAACGCGACCGCACTGGGTGCTCCAGGCTTTTTCGCCAGTAAATCTTTGATAATTCGTGAGACTTTTGGCCACAGCGATGTCAAAAGTTTGCCAAATGTGAGCATCATTACTTTTAAACCTGAAAATCTAACGTGACCAAGTTCTTAAAATACCATTTACCTAAGTATATGGATTGACATACACTCTCGCGAACAATCCGATGAGTTGAAACAGTCGCTGAATGTCCGCGATCGGTGACGGAAACCGATCCCTGACGTCCACTAACATCTAAAAATTTAAAAAATGTTGACAATTTCTAAAAATAAGAGGAAACCTTGTGCACCGCGAATAAAGGATGTTGTCAAGTTCGATGTACTTATTAATGGTGGGGCACTCTGTTTTACTAGAGGCGGAGAGATTGCATTATGCATCATTGAGAGACATTGGGATAAGTCCTTTGCTTGAAATATCGATTGTTCTAAAATAGTAAATACTTTTAGAAACCAATTTCTAGTTTTTTTTTCAACCTTTCGGATTGTTATAAACTCTGAGGAAGAGCGGAATCAAGATATGGCACAACACTGCTTCCAATCTCTCAGCAGAAGGTCCCATCCCATCAGTAGATGTTACAAATTCCAAGGAGAATGCAAACTACAACAATCAATTCAATGCATAATTTTGAGAGTTCAATATGTTTCAAACCTGCCCCAACGCCTGCATAAGAATTGTTGTAAGCCTCAGTACACAATTGGAGAAAACTTGAGGCGGTGCTGATTGATGTAGTACGGTTGCAGGATGAAGAGCATTCGAAGTGGCGGTACCTTCATCGACACATGGGTCTCCGACCATTATGCGGAGGCATAACTGGGTTATAGTCTGAATAAATAATTTCTAAATAATTAATTTCCGAAGAGAAGTGAACGCAAAACCTTTAATGGGTGCAAATGCGCTATATAAGGAAACGCGTTTAACGTATCACAGATTCCATTAATCCAGGCGGCTAGCGCATTCCAGTTCACTCTTCTTCGAAAACATTGTCGTTTTGCGATTTTTGCAAGAGTCTGCATTTAAAAGCATGCTTATATGATTCTCTGAAGCATCTACCTTATCTAATCGTCTTAGAATAATATTCAGCGCAGATCGGTTTGATTCAATTGACCAATCCGTTACCGGAAGTATCGATTGAAAATACTTTTGGAGTCCAATGCACGACATTGTCGCCAAATCATATGGCGCAATTTTCAAAAGCGCCAACGCAATTTCGCCGAGTTTAACATAGCAACGATGATCAAGCACTTCTGGTATTTTGGCATGTTCCAAACTGGCGCCTAACTTTGTCAATTCTTTCAATCTATATAAATAAACGTTGGTGTGATCATTACGCTATAAGTATTTAACAATACCGAATAGCAGCTGTCTCAATGTATGTCGCAGTAAGTTGCAGAAGTGTATCACGCGGTCGACGGTATGCTTCTTTCTGCTGTTCTTCAACTTCTGCAGCCTCCCAACCAATCGCGGTTGATTTTTTTTCCTTTCTGAACCACAATTTTTTTTATAAATGTTGTTATCGTTTCATCTCCCCGCATGTTCGAATTTGAGAGGAGACAGAGAGGCAAGCGCTAGAAAATTATTAGTCGCAGTCGCCAGTCGCGCTCGCTCGTTCATTATTTTTTTGTATAATCGTTATTTTTTGTATTATTTAAATTATTACACTTTTTCATAACATTTTTTAGATTTCGCAACACAAATACACCATATATATTGTGAGACGTGTCGTAACATCAGAACCACGTGTTAAGCCTAAAGCGAGACGAACAGAGTATACATTTTGCAACGATAACTAAAATTGTGTGTTCGATGTAAATACTCGTGTCTCAATTTTTACTTGAATGGTATCGGTTAGTTTAATAATAATAAATTTCGCAATCAATCAATAGTAAAAATCAATTTTTAGGAGACCAACGAAAGAAGTTTAGTTATGAGTGCCAATCATATTCGGTGGAACTATAATTCCTCCGAAAATATTCCAGTGGCTATCAGAAATGGTAACCGAGTTTCTAGTGTTACTATCGACATTGTCTAATTTTAAAGAATGAGCCCTCAAACATTAACGTACCCATTATTGCAGGGAGAGCGAAGGGAAGAAATGAAATACTTAAAAATCGATTGATTAGAGATATGGATATAATCCACATTCCGGTATGAACAAAAAAGGAAAAGTATTTCAATAATTATTTTTAGGATTACGTTGTCAGTAAAGTGAAGAAACAATTCGACAACGTATTGAATCTTTTGATTAGTCCCCGCCAGCGCTACGAAAACATAACCATGTTTCGAAAATACCAAAGTCATATCAGGGTTTTTGCTAAAGTGTGGATGGTCGTTATTAAAGATAACTTATCGAACGATTATAACCCCGATGAAAAGAAAAAAGAGGTATTAGAAGCAATAAAAACATTTTTATCCACTATTTTTCAGTTAAAGCAACATCTTGCAAAAATGCTCAAATTGTTCTCCACTTACAGAACACAAACAACTGAAAATAAAAGAGCTAGTAATCAACAATTCGAACGCTCTAAACTTTTGCATACTTTGAAAAAATACACCTGTGATATGGTTCTTCTTTATATGGTGGGTGATTTTCGTGTATAGTTTATTTCAATGAAACGTTTCTAGGTGTTCCCAAAGGCTTCAAAGCCCGATGTCGAGTTAATCCTTCAAGACGAAAATGTTGAGCTACCGGTAAAAAAACGCGTAGCTAATGGCGCATTGATGTCTCATTAACAATTAAAACGCAAGTTTTAAAATATTTTGTTTTATGTTCCGTTTCTCTAACTGATAGAAAAAATTAACCGATAGAAATTGTACTGTTTATCGCATCCTCATTTTTATGGAAAAGAAATTAATTGCCGAAACATGCGAAAATTTATCGCCTCAAGAAAGAAAGAAAATCTTTTGATTGATCTTGCTATTTTACTATTACCGCTGTTGAAATTATTGGGGAAAAAGCTCCCAATAGCGGAAAAATCATGTTGTTTATCACGCTCCAAGGCGTGCGACACGATATGTCAAAAAATAAAAAAGAAACATAAATAATGAGAACCTTTTGAGGTTTCTTTTTTTAATCTAATATGCTTGGACAAAAGTCACTGCGAACTCTGCACGACTTCCGAGTGTATCTGTATCCGATTGGTTTTAAGCGTTTGAAATTATTTTCAGTTCTTCGTTTTTTAGCGGTTTTTTATCGGAAAAAAACCTATTTGTACGAAACGATTTAATATAATCGTTACGTGTTTCTCGGGAAAGTTGTGCGGAGAAACTCTGCACGACCTTCCCGAGTTGTTCCATACAAAAAAATCGTATTGGAAATAAAATACACTACCGCTCAAAAGTCTATGAACTTTTGGTTTTTCGCAAATTACGTCAAAATATGAAAAATCCAAAGTTTTGAAAGGAATAGAGAAAAAATCGAAAACTTGAAGAATGTAATTCTGAAATTCTGAAAACAATTCTGATTTTATAATCGCTTTCAGGTTTTTATACAAATTCTATTTTTATGTTATTAGTTTGTTTTAAAATTTCATGATGATCCAACCACTTTGAGGAAAGTTATGTACTAAAAACCTAAAGTTATAGACTTTTGAGCGGTACTGTATATAGAAATAAACTAAGTAAGAAAGTATCATCATACTATGTCTTACATTAGATGAGTCCTTAACATCTAACAAGGGAAGTCATTTTTCCTCCCGTTTTAGAATTTTTATAACTTTGCACACCTAAACTAGAAGAAAATTCAAGGTGCTTCTGACAATGGAAAAAATCCGAAACGAGAAGTAAAATGACTTCCTTAGATAAGCTCTGGGGGAGAAAGTAAGGTGTGCGGGGTCCTACCTTTGTTTAAACCTGCAAATATAATACATGCGGCCGAGTTGTGTTTTTTTTTTGTGGGATACGGTAGGCATGTGATCAAGTTCGCACTTTATTATATAAAAATCAGCAGAGATAGTTCCCGAAATCTCGCTAGATTAACTCGGTAAATATGAGGGCACCCGCGCGGGTAAAAAACACTCGGCTAGGGGCCCGTATGGGGATCTTTGAAATCACTCGCGTAGGTCTCACTGACTCGCGGGCGGTACCCGCCTGAAAAAATTTCTCCAGCAGCGGGTCCCGAGAGCTACCAACAAAAGTCTCTCGCTTATTTTTTTCACGAAGCTGCAAAATGAGAAAACAACCAAAGTTGTTGTTTCATAAACTTGCAAAAACTTCGCGATAAGCAGACGTACGAAAATTATATATTCATAGTTACTGATATATAATACATACAATTTATTAATTAAAAGAAGGCATTGACATTATTTTCTTTGTTTTTTCGCATTTCCTTCGGCAATTACCTTTTTTTTAGCGAAAAAATAGGCGGCGATAATCTTTCTTTTTTGTGCATTCCCTTTTTGATCTGAACATCCCCTCCCCTCCCAAAAAATCATTCTCTTTCCGTTGTTTGAAATCATTAATTAATTTTGACTTACGATACTGAATAAAGTTACTTACAAATGAAATGGTCTTGTATTTTCATCATCATTCGTGGTTGGCGGATCAAAAAATTGTGGGGAATCAGCCACAAAGCTTTTCCCTCTATCAGAAACGCTGTTCACAATGTCAAAAGTGCGTTGAGGACCTCTGTAACTTGAATACTGTTTCACCCAAAAATGTAATTGATACCTTGCTAGTGTTTCGCAACTATTTATAAGGGCCTTCATTTCAACGCCAAGTGTGATCCACTGCGAGATTTCGTGCTTCACCGCGGATGACGAGTTGCCCGACTCTAATGTCTCTTCTTCTAATCGCTTCATCATATGCGGTAGCATAGCTTGCATTATCAACTTAAAACCTCTCTACAGATATATCGTTTTCTTTGTGAAGATCATACCAGCATATGATGACTTCGCTTACTTTCCGGAGCAAATGCACAAACACAAATGCAGCTTGCCATCGCGTCGGTCAAAACGCAAAATGTGTTCGGATCATCGCGATAGCACAGATCGAGAGCTTTTAGGGGTTTCTCATAAGGAACCAGTCCCAAAATATCGAGTTGGTCGTCTTCTGATACATCCTCCATCTTCTTCACCAAATTGAACCAATACTACAATACTTGATAGTGATAACTCTATGAAACCAGCTTACCTTTGCTTTAACTCTCATTGGATTAATCTCAAAATCATTGTTGTTGTTGTCGATGATGTTCGCAATTGCTCCGCACATTTGCAGCAAAAATGGTTTGCGATGAAGTGTGTAGAATTGGCGGCACAGGAATTCAACAACAGAGCAAAACACTCGATTCGTTTGTCGTTGACTATAGCACCGCAGAAGAGTTGGCATAATCAGGAAAAAACCCTATAATCGCTTATCTTGTGAGAAAACATTTTAAAAAGAATCAAACTTGACTGGCGAACAATGTGCTGAAGTGAATAGATATCGAAATGTATGTTGCTGCACATCTTCTGAGAATCAACACATCTTCGCAATGCATGATCATGATGCCATTGATAACATTGATGAATAGATGAAGATCGGCGAACATGAACGCATTTTCCATTTTTTCGAACATGTCTGACATTAGTTTCGCCCACACAAATTTGTGAACCGCTTCCATCGCTTTCAGCTGTTCTCCCATCGGACCATGGAACATGCCAAAGCAAGTTTCAAGGCTTTTTCGTGGAAAAGATGGCAGATGTGTAAATTCGTCGTGCAAAAAGAATACTCGTTGGGCAATCTTTAATTTTCTTTTTGAAAATCTGGAAAAGGTAAGAATTTTCATACCACATTCTGCGGACTGTACTTCAAAATATTGTGAGTGAGAAGAACTTTTCCAGCTTCAATGAATCTAAACCAAAGAGATTGCCCAAGACAAATTCAAATATAGTTTACCTTTGATTAAACGCAGTCTCCCTCATTCGTCTATGAGCTTCCTCAGGATCTAACTTAACCAAAGTGAGTTGCGGGTAAAACGATCTGTGGAAGAAATAATAGTCCCTGAAACATTAATTTCTCAAATAAAATGTTATAAATTTGCTTTTACCTGACATAAGAAAATGGTAAATGAATAGTATTTGTCTTGGTGTCGGTAAGATAATAATTATTCATGTCATCCTCTTCAATATTGAAGAATTCCAGACTGTCGTTGAGAATTTGCTGGAATTGGGTATCCTCGTGAACCGGAAATTGGCTAGGAATTCCACCGGATCCGCTATCTAGTCCATGCACAATGATTTTCTTGGCCGAAGGCACGTTGGCCGTGATCATGAGAGCCTGATCGCATTGCTCCTTCTTCAGTGTCTGCTTTAAATCTTTGAAATAGAGACCATGAATATTTGGAGACAAAAGCCAGCATAAAGACAATGCCATTCCAATAGCTCGTTCGGATCCTTCGCATTGGGCACGGACATAGTGCATCACAAAACCAAACTTTAAAAAAATCTTTCATATTTTATAAGATATTCTATAAGTACCAGGTAGTTCAGAAGTGAATGTGCTGTTTGACTTGGCAACGGATGGAATCGTAGCACCAATTTGCGAAGTTGCGACATTAAAACTTCCTAAATTCAGCGAATCATTGTTTTTATTGTTGTCGAGAAACTGCACACGCATTCTCACTCCAAGTTCACTTCAGAATTCACAACTTATAGAAAATATTCAATTCAACCCCTTACTTACATATTCGTAGTCTGGCGCAAACTCAATAGCAAACGCCTATTTTTTGTCAATAAGTACATAAATTAGTAAAAATCCTCAACTAACCTGTCGATCGCGATGAGTTAATTTCTCAAGAAAATGTCGAAGAAACAGCGAAGGATCTTCAACAATGCAGGACCAAATGACTTTTTTCGCAACATCGCCGACTGAAACTCCGTTCTGATCTACTTGCGGATCGTCAAGCATGTCGATCAATGTAGGTACAATCGAAAGAAGTGATGATGGGAATAATGGTTGAGCAACTGGCATAACGTGTCGTGTATGAGGATTTGCTTCCGATTCTGAAAAAAAAAACAATACTTCAACTTTTTTTGAATCAGTTACGCTACCTTCATTCTGTTCTTGCTGATGATGAAACAACGCGGGCTCGTAAGCCGCCAGTGATACAATTGCAGAGCTACGTAATCGAAACAATTGCCTTTGTTCACATTGTCGTTCTTCTGCCTCACGAACGGCTCGTTTCACCATTTCTTGCTTCTGCTTTCGTCGAGTTCTTGTCATCGTCATGATAGTTTGAGACTGAAATAATTATCATTCAAAATAGAAACTTTGATTAATCCTACGGTGGCATGTTCCTCTTCTTTTAACGACAATTCCTCAATTTTCGTCTTCAAATGAGGCATCCATGGCGGATCAACAACAGGCAGCTGGCTCTGTCCGATGGGAGGCGAAGGAAGTGTAAAATCGATTCCAGGGGGAGGCACTTTAAATGAAGACTGAGCTCCTTCTTCCATCTTGAGCCACGCATGAAAACGATTCCGCCAAAGTGTGTAAAATCTTTGAATCGCATTCGTCCGTTCAGTCGCATTGTCAGATTCAATTGCCTTTCTCATTATTGCCAAAGCGTCATCTGTTCTTCTGACGCTTGAAGCAATAAACATCGAGGCTAAAACTGAGGTAAACATTTTCAAGTGTTCTTTGCCTTACCAGCGCTAGCTACGACGTGTGCATCTTCATGACCAAGCAAGTTCCAAGATATTTTCAGCATCTGCTTGTACTGCTCATTGTTCAGAAGCAGACAACTTTTCAACACCGAAGATAAAGGTGTATGCGTGAGCTTTAGCACTAACGACCGAAGATAGTTTATCATTGCCTTGTTAGTCTCCACAGGTGCCGCCTCATCATCGTCAGTAGAATCGGAAGCACCGTCCTGCTCAACCGACGACTTCTTCTGAGTTTCTTTATCCTCCTTCTCCTTTTCTTTTTCTTTCTCTTTCTCCTGCATCATTTTCTCCATAAGAAGCGCCTTGATTGCCTTGCTTGCAAATTCCGGCTGTCCGACCATTGCACTTTCTCGTCGTGGCACGGCCGTCGATTGTCGAGTATGTATGCTCTGAATTATAAAATCAGTATCAAAAATTAAAAAATCAAATATATCTCTATTTCTAGAAACGCTCTAATTTGAACAGATGAATCATGAGGAGGCTTGGAAATCATCACAAGCACGATAGAATTACTTCAAATAGAATTTTCGAGAATGGTTTTCATAAGGAAATTTCGAGAAGAGAATCCACTGTCAACTTACATTTTTTGTTTCTTTCGATTCAAGACTCTATAATTCACTTTTTTAAAAGAAAGTTCGTTGAAATTCAAGTTTTAAGCTTGCCATCTCACATACCCGTCGAAGTGCTTGCTGTTTTGATTGCCAATTTGTCGTCAATAAATTTCTCTTGTCGATTCGTGTCTTTACATTTCTGAAAAACATTTTTAAGTAAAAAAAAATCAGGCTAAAGTCCACCTTTTAAGACCATACATAGTTGATAGAGATTCAATGAGCCTATAAGATTGCCGATGAACTCTCTGAAAGCATCTGGATGTGCAATATCCATCATGGGCACACTCCAAATCAAATGAGTTCGCAAATTTGATTAATACTCGAATCCATGGCAGATTCGACAACATGTGCTGCTCTTCGTCATCCATCGCCGTCTTCGGAATCACTTGCTGACTGTGTGCACTTCCATGTGATTGATTGGAATGATGCTGAAAGTTTGTTATAAAATTTGAAACAGTCCAATTTCAGTACAATGACAGGATGAGTGGTCTCCACTGGTGACGGGACCTCATTTTTCTCTTCAGGTCTCAAAGAATCTCGAGGTCCGAATTGATGAGGAGTTCCTTCTGATTTCTCCTCTTCATCGATATGAGCTTGTTTCGATTGTTTTCGCATTCTAAAGTGTCTTACATATCGCGAACACTGAATAGCTCCTTACTTAATTGATCGTCTCTTATGACTCGATTCCAAAGAAGGTTGTCCTCCTGTAATCGGCGATCCTCTCTTCAGCAACCTTTGTCTTCCTGTGGCTATTCTTCTTCCTAAAAAAATTCAAAATAAGTATGATAAAGCGCATTGTATAGTATTCGTGAGGTACACCTATAATTTAGGATATTCGCACCTACAAGCTACATAGATTGTGACACTGACAGAAACGAGTTCCTATTAAGATATCCCGTGTGTGTGTGCGTGTGTGTAATATGTGCAAAGTTATATGTATAACTAAATAAAGTGTGAAAAGTGTTTGTGTATTAAAGAGAAGAATTTTACTAGTGACGACAATAGAAGTAGTAGTAATAACGATAATAATGATAATATGCATTCCGGAAGAAACAGAAAGTGTGGAAACACGCATACACTCAACACAAAAAAATGCACATCATCAATGAATTTTTTGGACCTGTTTCTGGTACGTAAGTTGTTGATTTTGTCGATCCTTGGGCACTGCCCCCGGATTCGTCATGTGTTGATTGACGCGAGAATAAGCGCGCGGATAATGATGGCGGTCGGACTGTATTACCAGTTATCACAATTCCTGAACTTTTGATTCACCAAAAAATTGAATTTTAAAAATTCACAATTATTATTTGATTGTTTTCAAAGACGCGGACTTTTTTCTCAAACGTCGACATTTCTAGATTCCAATTTTTAAAAAAGTCACCTTTTTTATCCACTGCGCTAATTTCATCAATCGCATCTTTCGATCCCCTTGGGGAATCCTCTTCTGCAGCAGACAAACTAATCCTCCGCTCCTTATCATTTACTGAAAATTAAAAAGATACTACTAAAATTAAATTAATTTTTAAATTACAATGCATTGATGCATTTATATCAGTAATACTGTTAACCGAACCAGTCTGTTGCGCATTGAACGTATTAGAAAGGATAGACCATCTTCTGTGACTGAGGAGCTTGTCCCATCCAGAACTTCCCGTAGGCTTCATGTTTTTCGATCTTGGAATTGTCTTAAACGTTTCTCGTAGGAATGCGGTGATCTCTTGAAGCAACATGACAGCAATCAATTGCAGTGCCGGCGGACATCGTTCCCCACTGCCATCGTTCACGAGACCATCGTCAAAGAAATCTTCAAGAGCGTCTTCCATTTTAAGAGTCTTTCGATTCTTTTTCTCGTTTTGATCAATTATTTTGAAAAGTTGCTCTCCAATCTAAAACAAAAATCTTCAAACATCAAACAAGCCGTCTTCAACTTGCCTGAATTCCCCAATGATAGAAATATCTTCCTGCAAGTCGCTGAAGGGAATGCATTCGTCTCGTTGCCGATGGAGTTCCGCGATTAGCCAATGGTCCGCCTAGACTAAATGTTCTGTGATGAGAAGATCGAATCCACTCGGGCCATTGCCCGCGGTTGCAGCGTGACACAAAATTGCAGCATTCGAGGAGAAGGGCAGCTCGTGCAAGAACCGGTGATTTCTAGAGAATTGCTATTCATTAGAAAATTTTCAAAATTTACCAAATGTAGAAGGGCTGCAATCAATGGAGCATCTGGAAACGTTCCAGGTCTCGCAGTCTCCAGTAGAAATGCAAATCGTTTAGTACCATCAAAGATCCCTTGAATGTTCAGAAAATTCGGCGGCGGGACGTATGCTCCCCAAAGGCGTAAACCTCCGCGGCCTGAGCATACTCTATTCCATTAATGATTTAACAAACAACTTACAATCGACAGGTAGACGCACTTTGAAATTCTTGGCATTTTGCTGAACGGGCTTCTTCATTGAACAAACTTCACTTTCGCTTTCCTCATTGCATTCCGAATCCGAATTCTCTTCATCCATTTCAGATCGAACATTTTTCAAAAGATTGAACGCAAAATGAAGCTTTGGGGCACTTTTCTTTTTCAGTGTATTACTTCCTAGTCCCTCTTCCATTGATGAAATTGTCCGCGGAGTTGATGGCGAGCTGTCGCCTTCGGAATCATCATTACCAGTAATTGTTCCACCGCTCTAAATATTTTTCATAGCCACACTACTAAGACGATTAGAACTACCCTATCCTTCTTTTTAAATAGACCCCGTCGTAGTGAGGCTTGATCGTTTTTGTCTCCGGGTTTCGAATTCGGTCCGTTCGGACTCGATCGCCCGCCGTCATCCTTGGGTTCACTGCAAAAAAACAAGATTAATGGCACGTTAATTATCTCAAATTTCAGGATGGACAACTCAAAATGGCTTGTGTTATTTTGAAATAATAATTATGAGGGAAGAGGAAAGTGGGTTTTCATTCATTCAGTGGGTATATATGATTACTCTTGAAGCGTATGTCGCGCTGTAGCTCTGTTGAGTTTAATTCGCACGACTTTTTGTGTTTTCGCGGATTGCGATCGATAAACTCTTAGCGTATCGAACTCGGGTAAGCTAAAACTCGATTCCGTGGGTGTTGGTGTTGATTCCGACGTTGGAAGCGCTTTTGTTAAAGCGATTTTCACTTTGCTATAATGAAAATAGAAAATCTTACTCATTAAAAAAAAGAGCTCTGGAAGTTTCAAAAAAATTTAAGAAATTCAAAAATCAAACCTAACAGGAGTTGCCTTGTTGAATGCGTCGATAAGCGCTGAGAGCCCAGTTTTTCGAAATGGATTCCCATGATGCTCTTGAACAAAATTAATGAGCATTCTCACATCTTGCTGCAAGCTCTGAAAAAACCAAAACAATTTTTTTCAAAACCTTCCGATTCTTGCCATATTTTCCGGTAATATTAATTCATCTGTCATTGTTGCAAGTTTTGTAACAAGATTCTTATAAGTCGCCCCAACGATGATCCCCTCAATTCCATTCTCCTTCTCATTGAACCTATTCCGATATGATGGTAATCGACAATCAGACACCCTTCGGTGATCATTCTCTGAACATCACAATAACATACCCAACATTGTTAAATAATACAAAACATACGCAAGACTTCGGATCTACAAAACGCAGTTATCGAATGTAATAAATCAATGACTTGTTGCGGCCCGAAATTATCCACATAATCATTCAGAATAGTTTTGAACTTTTCCTAAATCACGAGAATTTATCAGAATACCGCAGGTCACACGTACCGGTTGTATTTTCTCCAAGTCCGCCAATATCGACTTGGCTTTTGCACGAAGAAAATCGCCATGTTGACTTTTCACACCCTCGTTGCACCCATGAGGACACCCAAGGCAGAGATAGATTCTAAATGATTCAGTCTAAAAAATTTGTTTAAAAAAATTCTACTTACTTGAAAACCATAATATTCAATTGGACAAAGAATGTTTCGGTCTGTTCGAGAGGGGTCCTCAAAAGGACATCGGCAATATTCAGGGCAAGTTCGCATTGTCGCACGCCAGTACACCGATCCATCACCTGATTGATCGTCTGCACAATTACAGTAGCCGACATTGTGCCATCCTTTTCGATGAAATTCGTACTACCAAGAGCTTCTGGGTAATAAGCTGCACTGATCTTCGATGTTTCTTTCTCGGTTGATTTTGAGGAAACATTCGAATCGTCGTCTTCAGCATCATCACGAATCGACAGCACTTCAACGGAGTTGTTTAAAGATGGATTCGAGCGATTTCTATCTTTCCTAGTCAGCGTATTCAAACTACTTCTTGAGGATGTCGACGGTCTGAGAGTTGTTGATCCGAAGTGCTCTGTCGAATTCCTTCTTTCGTTTTCTTTGAAAGCCACATGTAATTGTGATTTATCATCTTTCTCATTATATTTCAAATCATCCCACGTGGGATTCGGAATTTGACTTTGCTCAACCTTAATTCATTTTTAAACAATTTCAAATCTTTTGAAAACTTACAAAAGTCGAATTTCTTCGTTCTCCACTAGGCAGAGAATTGCTTCTCTGTCGTTGATTTTGCCGAATTGTAACGTGAACTTTGATTTCTTCAAGCCTATTCAGAATGTACTTCAAAGCCCAATAAACGCCTTGCTCCTGCCAATGCGTGATCAAAAGAGCACGTATGACAGCGACGTCAAGGAATGAGGCCACAGTTGGATCGGAACTTGAATAATCGCTGATCGCTTCTTCTTCGGCAACATCAGTACTGCTCTTCTGGACTTCAGAGATTGGCGGTTTCTCTCTTAGTTGGGGAGGCGGAGGTACAACGACCGGACAAGGAATCACAGTTTGCTGAGAACAAGATGAACTAGTCTCCTCTGTCGTTGAAGCTGAAATTAATATCAATATTAAATGCTTCAGTTCTTTTGGCAGCTACCTCTCGTTAGAATTAAAGGCGGATTGTCTGGAAGTCCGAAAGACAGAAATTGAGATTTGCTAGACGAATCACAGTTGGTGCACTTGGTTCCAACTGGATGTGGCTTTGAGCAATTAACACAAATTGCCTAAACACATTTTAATAGAATAAATATATAAAAATGAATTAAAACCTGTGTCTCATTTGATAGGCTGGCTTCTGCGGAAAACCCACTGCAGATATCGGACAAATTGACTAATGGGGCTTGATCAGCTCCAAAGAATACATCAGATAACGAGTAATTCTCGTTGTCGATGCAAGCTCCAGCATTTTGGACTTCATTTATAAACTTGCAAGACTCTTCAGAAGCTGAAATTACTGTTGGAAATAATAATTATGGCTTCACATACATGGACTAATATCGAAGGCATCGGGCTCGGTTTTGTTTGATTTGTCGGGATAACGAGGGCATTGTATAGCCTAAAGCTTACAAATTGAAGATAATAATGAAATTATTTTTGGTCGACCTTGTATTCGCTAACACTTCTAACTATTGTAGGATTCTTATGAGTTGAGAGGCTATTTGCTCCAATATCGATCAAAAGCTCGTTAGGTTTTCTGAAAAATCACGATATTTCGCCGAAAAAAGCGCAACAATGGACGAACGTTGCATCAGCCTGTGGCAGCGGAATTTCAACGACATCTCCTTGTTGCTTTTTCAATTTCTCCTCTTCTTTTTTCCGTTTCTCATTCAAAACCGCCGCGTCGGTTCTTGGCGGCTTTGGCGGCGGAATAATTGAAGGCCTCCGCGGTTTCTCATCGCCTTAAACTCTATTGGGTTTCGCCGAATAGAAAACAATTGAAACACACCAATGTAGATTCCTTGATTCTGCGCCTGTTGTCCTGGGTTCTGTTTCCGCACAAATGCCACGATCGGAAGCTCGTCGCGTTTTTGCTTGACCGGCGCCGAGAAGCACCAAACATCGGGTTGGCGGTACTGAAACAAATTCAATTTTCTCATTTCTCCATGCATTTCATATTTGAATTACCTGCCATAAAGCTTGCCAAATCATCAACCCGCTCTCTAATCGAATACTATTGTTAATTTCTTCTTCGGTTATAACATCTGCTAAAGGTGCAATAAGGTATATGAACAATTGAATTGTAGAAATGTTGAAGAGCCCTTGATTTCGGAACGAGTTCGCGTCATCCTGAATATTGTCACGTTATTTTTCTTTTTGCCAAAATCAATTTCTCATTTTACTTTTGTGCTGCTCGATTCAGCACATTCTGAAGATGAGTCGATGAGCATCCAATGTAAAATATATAATATCTTTTGAAGAGATGGTGAGAGCTTTTTTTCGCCAACACTGGCACTTAAAAGAGACCCGCAACACTAAAATTGCGTGTGGTTTAAAGGAGCATAACGGGATGGGCGAAACGAACCTGTATAACGTGGGGAAGAGCAGCACGTATGAGTTTCCATCGTGAAACGCTTGCAAGAGCATCACTTAGAGAAGGAGATAAGCCATGAAGGATATTCTGTACTACTACCCGTTCGAATGTCTGTAAGAAACTCTTTAATATAATCCTCGAAAATTTTTTTGATGCGTTTTATTATCCGGCAAAAGAGCAAAAGAAATTCGCATAAATTTTTATGAGCACCATTTTTATTGGTTTCTCCAACTACTATGCATTCTGTACTTACCACACATGAAGCCTCGTGAAGTTTTCCTATTTTCGCACCGAGGAATGGGCTGAAAAAATGTTGAGAATAATATATGAATATTGAAACATAGGTCGGCCGATTTATGTAAAAATAAGCGGCATAAAGTAACGAAAAGAAGAAAACTCATTACTTATGCTAATTTGTGTAGCCTCGCACATCGTTTATGTATTTTTCTCAATCGTTTCCCATCATTTTGTTGTTTGAAACAGAAAAACGAAAAAAAAATTACTCACTTGGTTTGTCGCCAAAGGAAGGTTTGGATTGGAAGTGGCACGTAATCGCATTCCCCTTCACCATCTTCTTCTGTCCTGAAAATCGCCCCGTGTTTTTCGTTCTTTTGTTTATAAATTAATGAGACAAATGTGCATGTCTGTGTTTTGTAGGGTCCCAAACTTTTTGTTCGTTTCTTTTTTAGAGGAGAGAAACGAACAAAAAGTCATCGAGTCGGAAGGAAATGTCATTTTTTCGTCTGTTCGAAAACCGATAATTATACATACACATATGCCTTGCTAGTTTCGCATTGTGTAACATGATACATTCCGAAAAAATAGATGGATGGAAAATGGCGTTTAGGAGGCGCTTTTTTTCGGACACCAAATATTTTTTCAACAAAAAGCGCTGAAATCGAAACCGAATTATCCTACCATTTGGTGCTTTTGAATGATGTCGCCGTGGAAAGTGGCATCAGCAAAAGCTGTACAGTGCCAGAATGTTCGTGCTGCAAGTAGCGAACGTGCATTATGGGAGCACGCGATAGTAATGATAATATTAATGATAATATTGATAACAATAATAATAATAATATAGATTATTTTGCAGTCAGAATAACAAGAATACAATTTGCTTCTTGGATCCCATAGAGGAGAGCCGGGCCCGGCGAGAGCACAAAAAGAATGTATAAAAGGAACAAAAAGATGTGGGCGGGGCCTAATTGATTGAAAGGGCGGAGTTGGCCGGAGAAAGAGAGTACGCGAAAGAGCAAGAGGCGGCTCCGGAGCTTCGGCTTCAGCTCTTCCTTGAAGTGAAGTGAAGCTTGAGGGGCCACGCCGCAAAAACGGTTGAAAATGTTTGAAGCATGCAAAAAGATGAATGTGGCAACACTCTGGAGAGATGCAGCTTTTCAAATTGTCGTTCATACATTGCCTTTATTCGTTTTAATATTGAAATCTGCTGTTTTTTTATATGTGTCAAGTGGTAGAGACACCAAAAATTCTTTTTCAGGGGATTCCCTTCATTTTTAAAAGCATTTTTTAATGGGAAGAGAAAAGGCGATGAATGAAATTAATATTTTTATACATACATATTTATATGATCAGAATAGAAAATTGAGATAATTTCTAATTTTTTTATCAAGAAAGAATCGAAAGATATTAGAATTTTTTAAAACAAATTTTTGCATTATTATCCAAGAAATTGGAGCAGATTAACTTTTTTTTTATTTTTTAAAAAATTTGTTAAGTAATACATTGTAATGTATAAGAGCCCTCTTAAAAAAATAATATCGGTCCAAAAAATTGAAATCACTTGAGAAATCAATTAAGCGGAGGACTAATTCATTTATTTTGGCTTTTACGCACGCATTAAGGGTCAATGCAAAAAAAAATCGAACAAAATTTCAATGCAGAATTTTTTCTATGCATTTTTACTTAATACTATTTTCTATTAAAAGTGAATTTCAGATGTTCGTTAAATATCGAAGCGAACTTAGATCTTTCGACTAAAACGCGTTAACTTGGCCGACCCAAGGAAAACATCAAAAGCTTGTAATAATTGGCGTGTAGGAAAACGAGAATGGATGAGCCTCTAACATGGAGTGCCTGATTATCAAGATAAAGGAAGTGCATATAAACCCTTCGGTTTTGAATAATAGATTTGATTAGATTAAGAATAAAGCGCATCAGCTATAATCCGTGTACAGTACACAACAATATTGGCTCTCTAATTACAAAGTTCGAAAAAGTAAGAAAAGCAAGGAACTGTGGAATATTCTTGGTTACCGCTGTGCAAATATCATTGATTGGTATTCCGTAAATGGGTATTCTAATGGAATTACTGTTCGAACAGCTATAAATATTCTTTTTTGGACGTTTACAAATTTTTACAAAACATTTTTTCAGTTCGTAAGACATTAAAATCAACAAAATGTAATCGCATACAATTTTGCGGAACGATTGTTAAGGGAAATGCAGCTTTGCTAAAATTTTGTCGTTTTGTTGAGGAAAAAGCTTCTCTAAAAAAAAAGGGAAATTTGTTGAAATCAAACAAGAATAAAAGTATGCTTATGCTTTATATGTTTAGCATATGCGCCTTCATAAGAAAATTATAATAAACAATTCTCGAATGAATAGTTGATTGGCTCGTGAAATTGATGCAAAAACAATTTCAAAGGAAATTTCGAGCATCTAGATTTATGTTTCTGCTATCAATTAAAAAAAAAACAAGATAAATTAATTTCTTTAAGAAACAGATACCTAAAGGTTTCCAACCAAAAAATTAGAGAGAGGAGTTAAAACTGTTTAAAATTTGAAATTTTTGAAAGTAAATTGGAGAAGGGGGAATTACGGAAAGAATTCAAATTTTGCAGTTTTTATTTAAACACAAAATTTACGTTTCAATTTAAACATGTAGAAAGTGATTTAAAAAACATGTGAACATCCAAATTTATGATAATTTTCAAGTTCAAGAAATTTTGCTTCAAAATAGTCCCCCATAATGGAAACGTTCCCTCCTATGAGGAAGGTACCATCTACTCAATGGAATCGATTATTCAACAAATAAAAAAAAAGTGAAGAGGCGAAATGGATTCCTAACAACTCATAAATAGATTTAAGCCTCTTGCAAAAGCGGCTTCCAAATAAAACAAACTTCAAAACGAAGAGAAGATGCAATTTATTTAGAGCAGAAACGCGCGCCGACGGGAAATGAGATGCACACAGAAGAAGAAAAAAAACGGAAAATTTAAGTTTTTTTGCGAGTCTTTTGATTAATCCAATTTGGTTACGCCATTGTTTTTGCACACAAAAATGAAGAATAGAAGCAATCGCAAAGCAAAAGCGAAGAATAAACGGCGAAGGAGAAAATAAAGATAAAAAGAGCCTTAAGAGATCGTTGAGTGTTCGCTTTATGGCATATTGCCAGCCGTTTGCTGAAGTGATTTTGTCGAAAGCATTCATCTTTTAAACTACTATTTCTTTAAAAAAAAATATATATATATATATTGTCAAATATTTAAAATGATTTCTATGGTTTTCAGCGATGAAAAAACGAGCAATACTCTAATAATGTGAATGCCCCCAACTCTTTCGAAAAAAATAAATAAAATGGATTGCGGAACAGAAAAAAGGGCTCAAGAAGAACGCAATGCACATGCGCATATTTCTTTTTGCATTCTAAAATCATGTATGTTCGTTGGCGAAATACACACACACAAGCACACTTTAGACGGAAAGAAGAGGTCGATTCCCTGGAGGAGTACCGCCGCAAATTTTGTGCATATTTTCCACATATATCTATAGAGTTATGGAAGAAAAGGTGCACTTTATTTGTTTCCAATCAATTTTAGAAATGTCGATTTCAATGTGAACAAGGTGGCGATATAAATAATTTGATTAGAAATGAAATAAAACGAGCGTCATACAACAACAAAAATAGCGAAATGAAATCGATGCCTCGGCAAAGAGGGAAAGAAGAGCACCGAGTAATTTGATTGAGATATTCACAATCGGTTGCGAATCGCCAATTTTTGTTGTTGTTGTTGCCTTTTTTCGTATAGCAATTGACGCCAAAAATTCAAATTATCTTATGAGTTGGGTAGTTGAAGGTAGATCAAAAAGAGTGTTTTTTGACAAGTTTACTATTTTTCGCATGAAGAATTTTTCGATTTCGTAGAACGCAACTCTATATACATGTATATATATATATATATTTAAATATAGGCAATTAGAGAAGGCAATTAAGGCTAATTACTGAATGCAAAATATTTGTGTGTGTGTGTTATTAGCCGAATTTTTTGAAAAAAAAAATTACTAGAATTTTTTCCTTCTCTGAAAAGTGCAAAAAATTTCAAAAATCCATTAAATAATTAAAAGTTGGGGAAAATGGGAAAGTGATTTTGGAGGAAAAAACAAACAAACAAGTCTCCCAAATAAAGTGTTGTTACCACCAAAACAGCTCCAACTAGACGAAGCAGGAAGACGACGAAGATACTAGTAAGAAAAATGGAACGAGGAGAAGATGAAAAAAGAATTTGGAGCCCCCGGGCGAAAATTTAGAAGATGTGTCGCCGAGGCGGAGAAGAATCACCGAAAACAAGTTGACATCTCTATTCGTTTTCTCTCGACGTCTTCGTCTCTTCCTCAGTTTTTTTAGTTGAATAAGAAGCTGAAGAATTGAAGAAGACGTAGAGATGCACGTTATGTCCACCAATTTGATTAGGACTTGGAGAATTTTTCGTAAAAACTGACAATGAGAGAGCAGAGAGAAATTCAATGATGAGCGGGTGCGCTCTTAGTCTAATCTAGCACATTAATTATGCGGATTCGAATTTTGTTTCGTCGAATTCTCGCGTAGAATTTCTATCTCAGACGCGATTCTCTCGCGATATCTCCAGATTTTAGATAAAAACAGCCCCTCATTGTAAGGATTACTGTAGGAGATTTTCTATTTGCTTTCGGTTTTCAATTTTTTGCAATTTTTCTCGTTCCCATGACCTTCATTTTTTTTAATAAAATGCTTTCTATTTTTTTTAATAAAAATGACAAAAAATTTCAACTTGAGCAACATTTTCTGTCTTCTGGATGCCTCCAGCGTCTTCGATCAAAATACACCACGAACGAGGCTCTCGCCCACAGAAAAGATTATCTGCAATCGATTCTTGATCGCGTTTCACGTGAATTCGTCGAAAATGGGTGCAACCGTACTACCTGTCGAAGCGAACACAGCAAAGAGAGAGAGCAAGAGAAAAAACGTATCTGTGTGAATTAAAATTCAATATTGACTCTCGTTTATGTAATAGAACAGGTCTTTAATGTGTGTGCGTAACCCGAATTTATGCCTTCGCTCAAAAAAAAACCGTTGAGAAATCAGATTTTTTTTTGAAATTTCATCCTTTTGAATATTTGAAAATTTCTCATGTTTTTCCTCAAAATTATTATTGAAATAATTTTAAAAAACCATCGGCCACTTTGCTGTTATTATTAAAAATTTCAAATTCAAAAAAACTGTATTTATATTAGGAAGTAATTATTCGTGAATTTTCTCAAGTTTCGGCAATAAATTTATTCGATGATGATTCATTTCTTTCTAAACTCACACCACTTGAACAAAAGTTTCTGTGCTTGTGACGTCGGGCGGGACGGGACGGCCCGGGCGTCTCCATTTATCGCTTTCTCGCATTTTCCAATATTTTGTGATCAACACCAGAAATGAAACGATCGACTTGTAGTCGAAAACTATAAAAGAAACGCATTAAACATTTTTCGTCAAGCAACCCTTACTGAAACACCGAATTTTGCGGCAAAGAAAATCCTTCGCGTCAACAAATCAACAAATGACGTTTTCTAAAAATATGAAGAGCAAATAGGTGGTATTTCAAGACATTTTTGAAGCAAAATTCCGAATCATATCTCGATGATTTTTCCATTCAGAATTTTGGAAATTTTTTGCCACTCCGGGCGCAGAGATCAATTTTTTCAACACATTTTTATGACATACTGCCACTATCGGTTTTTTTTGGCCGGTTACAAATCATTTCGTCATTCTTTCCTGTTTTAAATAACTGGAATTCAATCTTTGCGAGTGTTCCAACTATTTAAATTCGATTCAATATTCCCATTTCTATTTTTAAAAATAAGTTCATTATGATTTAAAATATGATGTATCTAAAGAAAACCCAAAAGTGGTTAATCTGTGGATGCTTGCTATTTTCAAATTTGATATACATTTGCATGCAAATAAAATCGTTTTTCGGCTGAAATTTTTCATATTTTTTAAATCTCTGAAATAAAAAATTCGAAAAAATAAATATTGCTGCTTTAATCCAAAGATCAGTTTAATCTTCCACACTTCCTTGAATTGTTTTTTTAACGTCTCTATGGCCAAATATCAATATTCTCATCACAAATTTCAAGTTCGCTTTAAGACACCGCCTGCAACTAGAACGTATGTTCTTTGTTTCGAGCGTCGAGTGCAGACAACAACGCACTACTTCTTCTTCTTCCTCTTCTCCACACACAGACACTTTGCAGCGTCTCTCGTCAAAAAGAAAACCGCTATTTACGTGTTACATGCTTTCTGTTTCGTTTTATCAGAGAAAATTCGCCAATTTTTGCTTATTTTATCAACCGGCGGGCTCCTCGATGACATTTCGGTTTTCTGCAAAAGCGGTCCCCGATCAAAGTTCCTCGCCTCGTTGAAATCACGCTATTCGTTGATAAAACCCTGTCCCTCTCTCTCTCTCTTTCATTATATTTTCTGGGTGGCGAGATGTTTTTGAAAGATAAGAACATTATTAAACTGGCTCAATTTCTCGCATCTATGAAGATGTTAGTCAAGAGAAATGAAAAATGCAAGATTTGGAACAACCAAAAAAAAGGCGCCTGAGTGTTCTTATCGAGACTCGTCATTAATGCTGACTCACTTGAGATCTTTGTCATAATTATAAAAGATTAATTATTCCGATATATAAAATAGTGATTCAGAACACATTTTGATCTTTATAATCCGACAAAAACGCGTCATGTCGACCAGTTTTACACAATTTCCATTTCAATTTCCACCCCCCCCCCCGATATGGAACTCCTCAGTTCCGGAATATTTTCGCACTTTCCAAACCTTTATTATATTTCTTCCTTCTTTTTTTCGTCAACAGATTAAACAAATGTGTTCGAAATATGCGGACAAAGTAGACGTCATTGCATTTGTGCCATGTAAATACGACTAGTTGTTATTATTTTTTTTTTCAAGTAAGCAATGCCCCATCTTTCGTCTTATAACACACACACACACACATTTTGTCGAAGGGTGCATTTGTCTCGCTCCCACACCAAAGTGTTCCAAACTGATGCTCGCCATATCATTGCATATGTATATTTTTTGGGGGCTCTCCGCGTTTTTTGTAGTATTTCTCGAGCGCGTGCGCACCCGCTCTCACGCTCTCATGGGCCGGCGACGGCGGCATGGTTGGGGCCGTGCCAGGAGAGAGCGCAGTCCCGCGCGCGCGCGCGCCCGCCCGCTCGCTCGCACCTTCGATCCGTCTCCAGCCAGCACCGCCGGACCCATTTCAATCGTAGAGGTTCTCGCCGCGTCCGTCTCGTCACCATTTTCGGATTCTTGTTGTCTGTTGTTCACGCGAAAAAAAAACCATTGCCCTTTCAGCACTTTACGCACTGAAACCGTCAACAAATGTGCGTTGTGTCGTCGGCAGCGAAAAAAAAAACAACAACAAGACATAAACAAAAAAAAGAGGCGTGGCCAGATTTTTGAGGGCGGCGGCACAAAAAGTGGGCGGACGAAACGATTCGGTCATTCGGCTGCTGCCCGCCGCCGCCGCCCGTAAACCGTTTCTTAGTTTTGCCTTCAAACCATAACTATGCATCTAATAGTTTATAAGACGCATATGTTGTGCGCAATATTAGTATCTCTCCATGTGCTCGCTCTGCGTCTCTGACTTCTAACTCTCAGACATTTGTTTTTGTTGCAGACATCACGCAACAGCAACTGGCGAACAAAAAAAAAATTATAAAAGATGTTCATGATTTCGAAGCCGAACATCTATTGTGGTGGCAACGCCTCGTTCGCCTCGTCATCTTGTCAGAGCGAGTACGATGGAAAGGTAATATTAAAACCGGGAGAATGCTGAAAATACCGAAGATGGTCAATTTTCAGACCGAGTGCATGCTGGAGTCGAAGAATTCTGCGATCGGCGGCCTGCGCGGCATTCTCCGCCGCAACTCGTCAACTCACACGCAGCTCGCCGATTCGGTCGTCTGCCTTGCCGATGCGTCACAGGTACTAACTGAAATTGCTCAGCTAAATTTGATAACAAGAAACAAATTTTACAGATTGAGATCAATTGCGAATCGCACGCTCGCGTTCCGTTCTACGTTCGCGTCGAAGTTCCGACTGGAGAAGTTGGAATTCTCCATTTCAACGCCGAACATGTGACAAATGTCTTCACACCGACCGAACACGGATGTGGACATGGCATCTGGAAGTTCAAAGTGTGCTCAAAGTCGCACGGAAAGTTAGTTTTATTTTTTATTTCTTACAACTCGTGTTCAATTACCAATTTGCAGGGAACAAATTCACAGCGAGAAGACCATGAATCTCGACGGCGTTGGAATTCTGTTCTTCGACATCTACGAAGACCTCGAGATTGTCCTCAAGCAGAAGGAGTTCCTCCTCATCAGCCACTGCCACAAGATAAAGCATTAAATGCGCGAATCTCATCGAAACATTCCCGAATTTCTAGAATTTTTTAAAAATAATTTCCATTGTTTTTCATTTTGTTAGCTTTATTCCCGTCCTCATCGCCCCCGTTGCGTTTTTCATAATACTAGAAAATTGTTGTGTTTTTGACATATCGGGGACCATTCGGGTTATTCGTCTTCCTATGATTTTCGAATTCAAAATACCATTTCCTCTTTCGATGTTGTCTCGATTCATTTTTGCGCATAAAGTTAATTCAAGTGTTAACAACAACAAAAGCTCAAAAAACCCATAAAGCGGCACAATTAAATGGTTTCGCATTGATCGAGATCCGAACACTCGGCGACTTCGATTAAAGCGTCCGTCTCACAGACAAGGCTCTCAAGCTCCGAGAAATCTTCGTTGTTGTTGTCGCCTTTAAAAAATTCCAATAGGTTTAAGGCTTATCTATTTCTATACCTATTTGCTCACAAACGCGAAGTCCAGATTCATGTTCAACAAGAGTGGTGACCTGAATAAAAAATTTCATCTTTGCCTTCAGTTAACTCACTTCATCAGGACTCTTGACGTCGGAGAAATCTGACACCCAATGGACGCCATCGGAACTCAACACAACCTGCAATTTTTTCGGATTTAAATTCATTCAAGCTGAAATAACCTGTTTGACTCCTGGCAAACTGAGACTTGTCTGCGTCGATCTGCTCAAACTCCTCTCCGATATATCCATTTTCTTTTCCTCTTGCTCATAACACTAAATTCCGAAATCAATTTCGGAGATTTCATTCGAAAGAAAAACCTGCATAATTCCCAAACTTGTTTGATTTTGATGTATTTGCGGTTCTTCACTCTGACCAGCTTCATAAGTTTTTCTCATCTGTAACCCATGATTTGTGTACTTTTGGCCAATTTCGGTCAACCTTGGCTTGTAATAAGTTTATAACCATCGAAACTAATGATAAACCAACTAAAATGAAGCCAAACATTGTGATAAGTAGGCGCGGCGACGACGGAACAAGGTCCCCAAGTCCAACAGTGCTGAAAACACTCAAGTTTCGATGATTGCGCGTTTTACTAAAGGGACCTTAATGATGTGAAAAAGAAATAGAAAGATTCGAGAAGTGTCCAGTTCTGGTCCCATACCGAGAGAACAAAAGCGCAAATAAAAATCTAAAATGTATCATAAGTTATGTCAATTTTAATTTTCTTAAAATACCCATATCACAATCAGTGATATTCCAACGGGTAGTGGCAAATCGAAAATGTCCAAATCTCTTCGTTCTTGCGCTTCAATTTCTCGCATTTCCTCAATTGGTTGTTTTGTGCAGCATCTGGTTGAATTATCTATTTATGGTCAAAATGTCACTGATAACGATCTATTTTTAAGAACAATTTGATTGAAAATGGGTTCACATGTTTCAGGCCTAAATTTTATGATGAAAATAGTTCGAATTCTTTTGAAGTGTTGAAACTATTTTCGTTAGATAAATAACTGATTGAGTTTGGTTTCAAAAAAACGATATTTGAATTTTTCATTCAGAAAACCTCAGTATTCTTCTCATGAGCCGTTTCGTTTGAAACCAAGGAAATTTCATGGTGATCGTCAACAATTTTCCGAAATCTTGCAGAACAAGCAGCATCAACGGAATTCCTTAACAATAAAATATTATTCGAAACGAATTTTCGCCTACCAAATAAAGCAAAAATCATGGTAATGACTCTTCCAGCTTCAGTCATTGGATAAATATGTCCATAACCAATGGTTGTGCAAATGGTTCCAGCAAATAGAAGGGCATTCCAGAAGTCCCAATCCATTTTCTGCTGACTCCATTTCACTCCAAGTTGTTTTTCATAAGAATTTAGTTCTCTGGAAATGATTTCATTATATTGTCAACAAAAATAAGTCAATCAAACAGTGTAAAAAAATCGACAAGACGATTTGTAGTGTTTCCTTTGATGTAGATCAAATAATCACTGTTATTGAAGACACTCCTCATAATTTGATTGACTCTTTCCGTTCTGTTCACTTCAATTTTCTTCAATTTCTTTCAATTTTTACAAGTAAAAATCCATTAGAAAACCTCTGTCCAGCGATCCTTTAATTTCGATTGATACGGCTCTTCAATCAGCCAGAATATCATACCACCGATTGTGCAATATAGAAGAAATATCAATATCAAAACGACGTGCTAGAAACAATAGCAATGTATTATTACAGAAAATATATTGGAACCTTTAGTCCGTATTTGTGATAAACCCTTTTCATTATAACAAGCCATAGTGGAGGTTTCTGCTGAAGCTGCTCCACTTTTCGTTTTCCCGCCAAATGCGCTCTACCAGCAATCTGAAAATTAGCAATTAAATCATTAAAAATATATATTATAACTATATGAAATATTTAATTCATTATTTCAAACTCACAGAAGACCTCCTCTGCGATTGCAAATTGAGAAACATTTGTCTACGAGGTAACGGCAAAAGCGAGAATTCGTTCGGAATGCTCTTCTGCTATGTCGTGTCGGTTCAGAGAGTCCGATTAAATTAGAAGAGCAATGCTTCCGAGTGTTGGCCACTTTTGCCGCCGCCTCGTGCTCGGATTGTTTCAATTTGCGACACCCAAGTGCCATTTCGAATGTAATCGAATATAATCGCAAGCGATTCTTTCAGAAAAAAAAAACAATTGGCAAATGGTTTCGTTGTGGTAATCTAGTTTTGGCTTAGTTTCGCTTGTTATTACTTACATCCCAGACTCCAGCAGCTCCTCGTCGCACTTGGAAATTCGCCTTCTGCAGCAAACCGGAAGGTTGACGACGATTATTAAATTTTTTTCCAATTGGATCCTCCTAAAAATATTCACATTAAGAACAATATTTTATTTAAATATATATTTTTTTTTTTGTATCTCATCTACCGGATTTTCCTCAATCAGGGCCGGAAGCATGAGCTGCGCGAGCCCGGCTAAACTCTGATTAGTGGCCGGCTGCGACGATTTTCGGCGTTTTTCGGCACTTTTGATTTGCTTCATCGATTGTCGCATTTTTCCTTGGTGTAGCAACATTCTGTCGAATATGAAGAAGACAAAAAATTTTGGGTCGGTTCTTTTTTTTTTCGGGCAACAGCGCCCGCACAAATACACGCACAAAATAATAAAACGTCCGGCGTTTGAGTTAAAAACTACAAATTCTCGACAACTACCCAAGGGACCAAATATTTTCCACTCAAAACCGCGTTTTATGACGAACAATAGGCGAACATTTTTTTTTAGAAGATTTTCGAAAATTTCACGACAAAAAAATAAATTGTTTCGTGAAAATCTCAATTTTCTACAATTTCTGTAACTGAAATAAACTCCAAAATGACAGAATCAATTCTTGTTTAAAAAAAAAACAAAAAAAAAATACTATGAATTGAGTCGAAAGGGCTTTGGGAATTTCGACATTCGTTTTTTCATCTTTCAAAACTAAAATGTAAAGTTTTATGGAATAAAGAACAAACCGGGTCTGGAAAAATTGTTTCATTGCCGTCATACATCACCTGGGTGTTCACAATTGTCTCGTTGCTGCTAAGCTGAAATATTAATAACTATAACATTTTAATTATAATATATAGAATATAATAAAATATGTAGGGTCAGAAAGTTTTTCGAAAACTCGAATTTAAAAAGGCACAAACTATAGACAAACCTCGCTTATGAAATTTTCTGCGATAGTTGTAGAATCTTCAGATCGACCGTCTACTTCAGAATCCATCTTGAAAACAAATTATTATTCCACATAAACTTAGAATCGCCAGCGAAAATTGGCTTTGCCTGCTGCAGGGCAAAACCGTCTGAATATTATGAGGCGCGCTATAAGCCAATTTGCGAAACAGCGCCTTGAGCACACAATTGTGGCTGATTGAGCCAGCAAAAAATTTTAGTTTGTTCATCTAAACAACAAGAAAAAAACAGAAAATAATTCAAATTGTATAGTAAAACGAGCTGTATAGTAAAAGTCCAAATACCACAATTTTTACAATTTAATGCACAAAATCGTCCGTAGTGTTTCTGTAAAAAATAGTAGGATTAGACTAGGCAGTAATATGACCAATTTGCACAATCTCCACTTTCATTGATTTTATGAAACAGCGAAATATTTCTATTAGCTTCGAAAGTAAAATATTTTTAAAAATGAATTCAAAGGATATAATTTTAAAAATTGATAATTTGAGAAATCAGTTGTAAGAAGGATTGTCTAATACTTTTTTCACTCAATGTCAGAATAAAGTAGCTTTCAATTATGAAGTTTCTACAGACGGTATATTATTGAAGATAATTTGATAATGACTTTTGTAAATGTCAAAATTAAGCCGAAGCTTTTATAAAATGGCACTTTTGAAGTTGTTTTGAAAGGCAGGTTCCAAAATAAGTCATAGCTGTCAAATGAGCTCTTCCGAAAGCGTCCCGATATTCCGTGCCAACCCCGCTATCTCCATGCCAAATTCGAGGTGCGAAGTAGTTTTTCACATCGAGATTTCGCGCAAAGATAGTCGTCGGTGTTATTCGGCAACTAAAAATAAAAACATTCAACTTTCAAAAAATTGTCTGAGAAGCTCATTTTCAGTTTGAATCGCACATCGTCACTCCAGCGAAATCTCTGAGAGACTAATGATATGTTCAATCTGGAGTTTCGTCCGACTGAAAATAACAAGTAATTTGTAAAATTTGAAATTTGAAACCCACAAGGTTCTCCTTTTGAAACCCACAACGTTCAATGAGCGATTAAATTAAGAGAACATTCTTACTTTACCAAATTACAAATGAAATGAGCCGGCAAAATAAGAGAGCGAGTCTTTCCTTTTTGTTTTTCATAAATTCACAACAGTTCTCATTTCCTATATATTCATTCATCATCAAATTCTGATGTACAATAGAGGGTAGCGAAAGTTATTATTAATGAGATTCTTGTTTAAATTATTGGACGAATGGAAGGTTGAGATTCTTCAAATGCTCCTGGCACTCAGCGTTGAAGTCTTTGCCCAGCTGCATCCACGCGGCGCGTTGTTCGTCATTCAAGCAACCAGCGGACTCCAAGTATCCAGTCCACACAGTCCAGAAGGCCTGAAAATGCGGAAATTCGTATTAAACCCGAATTTCATAACTCATACCTCCCAGAGAGCTGGGTCCATTTTGTATTGACGATGACGGTTGACAGTTTCGCGGATGTATCCTCTGAAGACGTCGTCGTTATCGTAGATGTTGGCGCACAAGTGGCAAGCAAGAAGAATTCTTTGCCCTTGCTTCTCAAATCTGAAAATTTTTGAACCATCGCGTGAAAATTTCAATTTCGATTATTGCCTTTCACTTTTCTTCACATCTTCAGCGGTAAATTTTTCGGCTCCCTTGAAGTATACACGAAGGTCTGGGAAATTGGTGAAGAAGCTGAATGTATTTGATAATAGATTCAAATAATAAATACTTACTATTGGTAGAATCCATTTCCATTGGCAATATGCTTCGGAGTTGTTCCGACCATGAGGCCCTTAAGCGATTCAACGCAAAGGTCACGCGCACGCTGACGATCCATAGCTGCAAATGAAATTGTATAAGAATGAAACGGCATGGCAGAATTGTCAGCATTTTCGAAGATCAAATGAAGACAAACAACTGGAGACATGACAATTCGTAGGTTAAAATGTGTGTGTACTCGGGTGCATTTCATTTCCAAGGTATTAGAGAAACCAGAGCAGCATGTTCGCACGAAAATTGAGATCAAACAATCAAAAATTTTCAAGGAAGTTCAAAAAGAGCAAGACTTCAAAAAGAACAATCCAAAATTTGATTTTATTCCAACGAAAAAGCCACGAGATAGTTTGGGGTAGAAATCAGAAGACGACAAGAAATCAGAATGTGACAATCGTCTTTATATAGGCAGATCTTGAGTGAACTATCAACAGTCAAACGTCACAATCTCTAGTACTCACCGACGCGCTGAAGAGACGCCAAAGAAATAATCGGTTGCCTGGTCAAAGATTCGTTCTCTCAACACATGTTACTACGTGAGATGTCCTCAGAAAAAATAATTAGAGGTGTTTGAATGTGATAAACAAACACAATCACAAAGTGATGATCAAATGTTCAAACATTATCAAAATATGCAGCCAAAATAAATAAATATAAATGATCATATCTAGGTTTTTTTTTTTCTAATTTGTATTATTACATTAATAAAAATTAATTTTATTATCGATAAAAGTTTATTGATCTGGTATAAAATGCTAGAAATTTTTAAACTTGATGATCAAAATGAAGCTTCATTTTCTCCTACTCGCCGTCATTCTTCTGGTTTTTTTTGAAACTGCCGCCAGTTTCGAGCTCAACCTAGGGGCCGGATTAACTGTCGGACGTGCGAAACGCTCAATTAGCCTACCCTCATTTTCGAAGAAGTCGGCAGTGGGGAAATTTTTGAAGAATACCAACAAGGGAATTAAGAAGAATATGAAGAAGCTCAACGAAAAAATTGGCGATACACATAAGCGAGTCAAAAAGAGTGTGAAGAAGATGAACAAAAAAATTGAAAAATTTAATGATAAAATCCAAAAGGTTGGTTGAAATTGGAAATTAATGAATCACAATTTTAAAGAATTTCAGAAAATCAAACGCATCACCAAACGTTAAATATTTTTGCATTGCGTCGAAATAAATTTCATTTACTTTTTATTCTCTGGCGAATGCAATATAATTTTTCATAAATGGCCAATATGCGTGATGAATATTTGAATAGCCTGATAGGACATTTATCATTTTCAATGGTAGCTTTCCGATAAAAGTGAAATAATTATGGGCTTCTGCAATTAAGAAAAGTGATAGGCAAGGTATGTTAAAATTTAAAAATTTCTATGACGGCTGGAAAATGAAATCAGCTATTGCATATTCTTGATAAGTGGTCAGAAAAAAAATTAAGGGCTTCATTTGCTATTTGATATATGATTAATTCGACTAATTATTAAAAACATTTCAAGTTTTTGTTAATTTCCAAAAATCGACATTTTTAAGTTATGTGATACGAGACCTGCCAAATAAGTAAAGAGTGAGGGCCAATTGGAATTTCGAAGCATTAAGTTGTCTCAGAATACTTCTTGCGACTTGCTTGGTCGCAAAGAAGCTGCCTGGTTGAGGAGAAGTATCCTCGACCTGCGTGAGACAGTGTGCCGATTAGCCTGACTCGACCCCCCATGAAGGAGAGTCGAGTCAGTTGATCTCCTTCGCCACGTAGAGGCTCGACACTTGAAGGAGAGGCTCACCAGCATCAGGCCGAAACCTGATGTGGGTCATCGCCGATCCCACCATGGGGATCACCCAAGGACATCCCACAACTATCATCCGAGGATAATAGAAGTAGAAGTGGTTGGGCAAGCCACGTCTGGCTGGGCCCCGGGTCTACTGGTGATATGGTAATGTGGTTTTTGTCTTCTCAGCATAGCATCTTACTACTAAGTAGTAGCAAGCCACTACAAAGTAGCAAGCTACTATGCCAAGAAGCACGGTCCATGTGCACCCGAAAGGCTGGACATATTGACATAGCTGGCCAATCCACGTCAATATAGGTCTGGGCCAGATGCCATCCTGACTAGTGTGGAGGACACCCGGTGAAGCAAAGTTCTAAAGCATAACCATCCATAACGCCCATTAGCAGTTTCCAAGTACTCGAGAGTACTTGAAACGGGACGTTTGGGTAGGGTTCGATTCCCGGCTACGGAATCAGGGCTGAAAGGCTTGCCAGGCCAATCACCCGAATTTAGGATACAGCGGATAAGCCGCCATCCAGCCAACGCCTCGGCACTACGGGGAACGGGAAGCCTTGGCGTTTGGGGGAATGGCCGACTACGGCCCTAATACGGCCGACTACGGCCCTAATACAGCCGGCTACGGCGGATTAAATAGAAGAGGGGCCCTTAGTATAGCTAATGCTTAATGGTGGGGGAAATTTAGTAGTGGTAGTGAATCGATTCACCTGCAGGGTCCTTCCGTCGGCGACAGTAGCAGCAGCGACGATACCTAAACACCTAAAAACCTAAACAAATACACACATTAATACGAAAAGTAAAACAATACGGAAGGGGAAGCCAGTCATTAGTGGAATGACTGGCATGGTCGTAAGTGGTACGACTTCCCCCCCGAAAAAAAAGAGATGGTTGGTCCCAAACGGTAGGACAGAGAGAGAGAGAGAATCCCAAGTGATGGGATATAGAGGAAGAAGCCGCAAGTGGTACGGCAAGAGGAATCAGTCGACTGATAGAGAGAAGGGACAGTCGTAAGTGGTACGACTGGTGGCAGAAAGGGGAAGCCGGCTTTCCCCCGAAAAAAGAAGAGATGGTCCCAAAACGGTAGGACCGGGAGGAAATACAGACGTAAGTGGTACGACTGTACAGATGAGAGAGGGAATCCCAAGTGGTGGGATATAGAAGGGGAAGCCGTAAGTGGTACGACTGGTGGATGTGAAAAATAGTAATAGTAATAATAATAATAACAATAAAAAATAGTAATAAAAAACTTGGACCTGATCAAAAATTACCAAATATCCGACGATTTTGCTCCTTCCTCGTCGCTTCTTCGATCCGTCGCCTCCGAATAGATTCCAGTCGATTCAAGATGCCTGCAATAATCCGAGTTATTCTGATAGACTGTGACTCCCTTTATCTTTCGAATCCGCTTCCTCTTTCGCCATTCCCCATTCTTGCTCATCTTCACGTGTTATGTCTACTCATGAATGTGGGTTTAACGTCGGCCTGGACGCGACACTGCAGTAGGGTTAGTACTGGCTGACCGAGTCGCACCAGTCGAGAATCCCCGACACTTTCGACATAGCACATCAGAAGAGCTCGGATGAGCAACGACTGTGGCTCTCATCGGATCTGCAATAGAAGGAATTGAGAAGACGGATTGCGATAAATGTGACATACCGTGCGGATCCTTAGCTATGACAAGCCCGGCAGGATATGCGAGGCACGCGGAGCCCGCAGGTTATGCGAGGCACGCGGAGCCCGCAGGTTATGCGAGGCACGTGGAGCTCGCACGTTTTGCGGGGGCACGTGGAGCCCGCAGGTTTTGCGGGGGCACGTGGAGCCCGCAGGTTATGCGGGGCACGCGGAGCCCGCAAGATAGGCGGGCTTCCCCCAACTCGAGGAGCTGCGAGATCTGACGAAATTGCGCATTCGCCGGCCTTTTATAGTGCCACTCGGGTCTGTGCACAACTTGCAATAGAGCGCATTTGTAGAAAAGAAATGCAAATTAAGGCCAAGTATCCACTGACTCTCTCGTGTTAGCACACTCTTTCCTATCAGACGCGCTTTCCCGATCCACGCCGTATTGCGGTAGAGCACCCTTGCCTCATTGGAGCGGTGTTGGGATTTCGAATTCCTTATTAAAATGGAGAATTTTGACGCATAAGAACAGCGATTTAATCAGATATCAGTCTTAATTAAAGATATAAAATGAAGTAGCACCGGAAGTTAAAAAGTAGGATATTTAAAAAAATCGAGTAATTCCGCTTACGGAAGTCGAGTATCGCAATTCAGTTTTTTTTTCAGTAAATTATTGATCCATAGATTCCTTGAATTTAATTCTTTGAAATATATAAAAATATAAGCAAATTTTGAACGAGAAATTCGAAATTCTTTGATAGTGTTTTGGCTTATTCTTCTATACTTCATAAATGCCGCAATAGTTACAGAACTTTCTATCATTATAAGCCACTCTATACCACAAAAAAACATCCTGAAAGATCGTAGAAGTGTTCTGCGAAAAACTATTTTCTTTTTTTTTTTTAATTTTTTCTGCATTTTTTCGGAACCCTATTAAGATTTTTGAAATTAAATTATGTTGTTATTGGAAGAATTGAATTATTTACTGTCATTTGTGAATTATACAGTAAGTTTATTCATCAATTTTTTTTTTCAAGATTCGTCATATTGTCAGAAACCAACACCGTTCACGTGATATTCGCATTAAATTCGTACGTCGCAATTAGGGCGGGACATCGGCGGCCTTTTAGCGTTTAGAGCAAATCGTAATTAATCATAGTTAAATAGTGTGCAAAAGTGAGAGAGTCTGTTTGGATGATATTCAAAATATCGTCGGCAAAAAGCCTAGAAACAAAGGTAAACCGAAAAAAAAAACAATTGGTTAGCAAATTTGCGACGCTTAACGCCTCTAAATGGGCGGTCGATGCTCTTGACTCCTCCCACATCATCGATTATAAAAGCGGGAGTATCCAATGATCATGGTCAGTCGTCTGTTGTCGAACTCTTGGATCGGGTTTGCTGATGGCGTTAGGGATTCTTGTCTCCGATTCGGTAAGAGAGTTCAAGCCCTTGAGTGGGTGTTCTTCAGTGTTAGGTAAAGGTGAAGTTAAACCTCTCGCTTGAAGCCTATCATGTGAAGAGAGCTAGACGATAGTCGACGACCATTTCCCTCTCCAGTGGTACCATTGTTCCAGGAAACGGTTTTGACTGGTAAACAATTAGCAACAATCTATCAGAATAACTTGAATCACTGCAGTTATGTATATTCGATGGATGCATGGATCAATAGAATACGTCTCGAGGAAGCGACAAGGACGGACACCAGCGAAGGGAAATTGATCAGCGGATCTAGGTAGTTTTCGCCGTACCACTTGCGGCTTTTTTCTCTATCCCACCATTTGGGATTCTCTCTCCGTGCAGTCGTACCACTTTCGTCTGTACTTCCTTCCGGTCCTATCGGGACCATCTATTCTTTTTCCAGGGAAGTCGTACCACTTACGGCTTCTTCTTTCTCTATCCCACCAATTGGGATTTGCTCTTCTTTCCGTACAGTCGTACCACTTACGTCTGTACTTCTATTACTTTCCTTATTTACTTATTTTTATTTATTATTTTTTTACTTCTTCTATTTTACTTTTTTTGATCCTTCGGGATCATCAGGATTCTTCCTGATGTGGATCAGAGACAACTCAAATTCTTCGAATTCCAAAGGTCCTTTTTAGGACCACAAAGTAATTCAATCATTGCAGTGGTTGCCATAAATAATTTTTCTGTCTATTTTCTGTTCGTCATTGCATCCGATTAATACAATTTGCAATAATGAATAATAAATATCGCACAACGATTAAAACAAAAATTAACCCACTGTGCTTGTCTGTCTAGTACTGAACTCTAGTAAATTTTTTAAATAATAATAATTCTTTATAAATCAACGATTTATTTATTAGACAATGTCAATTTATCCTTTGAATTTCTGAAAATTTCAATATATTTCATAATGTAAATTATGTCAAACTTCTTTTAAAAACGTTGAAGCTTTTTGAAATGCGTTTCCCATTCGATCCATGAGATTTTTCGCAACTTCTCTGAATTTTGTCGACAAACATTTTTCTGGCGGCTCCTGACATTCAACGACGCAACACGCGAAGATGACGACGAGAAGGGCTACATATATCAATTTCATTTTTGAAGTTCTCAATTTTTCAAAATCATTTATTTATATTCAACTTTTTTATTGGGTACTAAATGGATAATTGCATAATAAACCTGCTAACCTAAAATAAACAAATAATTTTTGTTGTTTCATTGGAGTCGCATTTCGTTGGAAATCGAGATAAGAAAGTAGACCAAAGAATTCTTAATGACCTATTTTTATCAGTAAATTGATAAATGTAGTTGAGAATATCTTCGTGGATCGCAATACTTTCTAAGAACGAAGACAAGAAGAGACGGATTCAAAAGATTCCATCTTGTCGGGCATTATCCCGGATTCGGGTTTGATGAGCCGCAACACGTTCCGCATTTTATGCGTTTCTCCTGCGAAAGCCTTGTTTTCGAAATCGGCCCGGTTCCCTGGCGGACGGTTTCTGTCGCAATGTTGCGCAATATCAACAGACTCCTGAAAAATGTCTATCGACAGATAAGGAAACCGGGGCGGGCGGATCAGAAGGGTTGCACTCTCGGCAGGTACGCATCATCTCTTGTTTCGTGTTAGTAGGTGAAGGACTTGCATGTAAAAACGGTGTAAAATTTCGATGACCTAGATGTGCGCAACAGCCTTATCTATCATCCCATCAAAAAGTATCTTCAAGAAAGGTTTTGGAAAACCCAAGGTATTTGTTGAGACTTTTCCGCAGCGATCTCGGATTATTGTCTCCCAGGATGCCACCAACCAGATTTTTTTCGGAATATCGTAATTAAATTAGATTTTTTCCATATTCCCATTCGCCGAAAAAACTGCCTCATTCATGCTTTCATGGCGACGGGGAGATTTCGAGACAAGGCATGACATATCCTGAAGGTACAGTAAATGGAGTGTGACACGCTCTGAACGATCGTTAAATGATACGGGGTGGAGAAGAGGAAAAACGAAAAGAGAGACATATCCAAAAACGGCGAAGATCGACCCAAATTGCTCCCGGTCATCATCAACATTCTCCATTCGCCTACTAACACATTCTTCTCTCTCCTTCTCAAATGCCCTCGTTTTTATTCCCAAAAACGACACAGAGACAATCACTTTCACCATTTGCTTTTCATTCATCTCCTAGTTGTGTTTCCAAAGCTGATACCACAAGAATTTTATTTGGGCACCGCCCACTACTTAACCTCCGCTTTCCCTCCCACCCAGGACGCGGCGCGATCATGTTACTTCTTTGCTGATCCGTCGGGCAAGCTTTCAATTCTTCTCACTTCGATTTAACCCATTCCATCTATTTCCCATTTTTCGTAAGTTTCCAATTATTGTTTTCAAGCAATCCATTTGGGGTATGATAGAAATCGCCTAGATTCTCATAAAGATTCAGAAGATCTTGTTAATAATGACATAATCAAATGTATCGAGTCGCCGTGAAATTCTGTAATCCTCAGAATTCGATTCTCACGGGTATGTGACTTGAGGCTCCAGAATGCGCGTATTTTCCACGAACCAGCTTTCATTCCATTATTTTTCGTGTTTGCAACCAATAAACGGTTCCGTTTTTGCGCGTCAGAACAAACATTCACTACTATCGTACTGTACCAGCCGGAGCGATCGTACCGTCACGTACGTATCTCATCTGTCATCGTCAGATAACGCGAGAATTATCCACGAAAATTTTGAGCGAGAGAAAAATGTGTCGAGCGGCCGGGAGAAGACGAATAAGGAGATGATGACGATCATGAAGAAGAAGAATGAGAAGAAGAAGAAGAAGAAACAGCAAGTAATATGTTTTGGCGACAGATTTTGTCGAGGCATGCATCCATACATAGGTCAAGGAGAAAAAACTATAGATGGATATCTTCTCTCTTTCATTCTGGGTAGTGTTCCCGAAAATTATTATCGTATCCCTTTCTAGCGCCTGTGGCGAACAACAACCCAACAACTGTCAATTTTCTCACTTTTATTGGTCAGTGTCAACTTTGGGCAATAAATGCGCCTTAATTGGAAGCATACTGGAACTGGTTAACGACATTGGTCAATTTTTTTTGGCTATCATATTCTGATTGTCTCGCGGGTCGGCAAGACTCATTGATGAGATAACATCAAAAGAATGTGTCTCGAGAACGGATCCACTAATCATATAGCCGATTTTCAGTCCATTTTGCCTTTTCTCTTCTCTTCTCGACCGGTACGGCGAAAACGATGGGGGTGCGCATAGTTTTTTATCCGTCTAATGATCCCGCGCGGACACCCATTTATCCATTCTCTGTGTAATATGAGTATGTATACATCCTTGTAATATCCTTCCAACTTGTCTGTCCTCTTTCGTTTCACACTTTCCATTTTGCCGACGGTCACTGTGAATCCATGACCGTCATATGCACTTTGATTATTTATTCGCCCTCGATTTCACTTCGCTATTATACATTTGACACGCTATGACCGTCTAAAGCATTTTTATGGTTTTCAGGTGGCGATGCGCGTTTTGCTGATTGCCGCCCTCGTGGTGGTGGCAGCCATATTATCAGATGCAATTGACCCTTGTAAACGTCAGCCATTCCGAGGTCGATGCCCTTCTGTGAATGGAGAAGCTTCAAGACGGTCTCAGTTCGTTTTGAGATACTATTTGAGAAATGGAGAATGTGTCAGCTACCCATATGGTAACCGTACCTTCTCGTGTTAATGGTTTAATTCCGAATGTTCAGGACACTGCGCTAGCGACCCAAATGAGCCGGCCCTTCACAGGTACAAGGAAGAATGCGAGGATTCTTGCATCTCCAACGCTCCGGCCAACCTTGGATTTCCGAAGGAATCTCAACCAGCGGAGGTATGGTTTTAATGAGCATGATTTGAAACGCATGAAGTTAATAGGTAAAGCATGTTAAATTTTACACAACCGAGACACCAAGCACTACAACACAGTCTACACAAGGTACTACGACCACTGAAATAACTACTGCAGAGCCTTTTGATATAAATTCGAAGGAAATTTTTGAACAAGAGAATTCAGTCACCACCAGCACTGAAACCCAGACTACCACTGATAGTCAGACCACCCAAAATTCATCAACAGGTCAGGTTGTCTCTGAAGCTACCAGCACTCACTATCCATCAACGGAAGAGCCAACATCAACTGCTGTAGAAACTACTGAAGCTATCACTACTGAGAAGCTTACTCCTACCACCACAGAAGCAGAAACTACAATGCCTGTAACTACTACCACTACCAGCATGTCTAGTACTGCCACTACCACAACAACCACTACCACGGAAAATCCAACCACGACGACTCGAATTATTACCACCACTTCCCAGGTTCCTTCAACGACGGCCACATCCACTACTACAGTGACCACAGAAGCGCCACACACCGCCGCTGTTACCGAGGCAGCTGCGAGAACTGGTTAGTTTGAGGAATTTTCAAGAAATTATTACGTATTCTTAGAATGCGAACGTCGGCGGGCAACAGCTACCTTGTCATCAATCCGCGGCGGTTTTGTTCCAGCCTGTACGGCGAACGGAAGTTTTGAGCGTGTTCAGTGTGAACGCAATGGACATCAGTGCTTCTGTGTTGACGCGAATGGTATTGAGACGCCAAACAGTCGCACAAGAAATGGAGAGCGTCCAGATTGCTCATGTAAGGATACAAACTCGAAAGAATAGTTCAGCATTTCTGCTTTTCAGCGATTCAGTCTACTAGGGCAACGACTACCAAGGAATGTGTTGGAAAAGCTCTTCCAGGGCCATGTACTGGTACTTATACGCGCTTCTACTACAACGAAGACTCACAGAAATGTGAGCAGTTCACTTATACCGGATGTGGTGGAAATGGAAACAACTACGAGTCGAAAGAGGCTTGCGAATCTCGCTGCGCACCACCGCCAGTCGGACTACCACGATGCGAAATCGTCAGTTCTTCTAGTATCATTTGATGATCTCTTATCGTACATTTGCAGGGAGAGCCGCTCAAAACTAAGATCGGTGTCCCAGTTAACTGCGCCAAGACGGATTGTCCATCGGGATATCGCTGTAGCATCGTTCAGCAATCAAGTGTTTGCTGTCCCGAGAACACCAAAACAGGTATTTTCATAATATGATAACAAATTGAACTTGATTAAACGTTTAGTTGGACTTCAAACTAATGGTCGTGCCAGCCGGTGTGCCCTACCAAAGGAGCGCGGGCCGTGCGATAAATATGAACTCCGCTTCTATTTCAATGCCGATTTGAACGTATGATATGTTTCCGAGATATCACAATGAGTCATTGTTTAGGAATGCAAGTACTTTTTCTGGGGTGGATGCGAAGGAAATGAGAACAACTTCGAACGCGTCGAGGATTGCGAGAGCGCATGCGGAATCCGGCGAAACGGTGAATCACCAAGAGTGACGAATCGACCAAACGTTGAGATCCGAACAACCCAGGGCATCCGAATTACACCGAATGGAAAGTTGAACTGGAATAACGAAGAGAATGATGAGACGACAACTCCTCTTCCACAACAAAATACTACCAATGCCGCAACAACTAGAGTCCCACCCCGCGTTGACACCACAACCACTACTCGCCATGTGGTTTCCACTACGACCAGAAGACCACCAACGACCACTACGAGAACATTCAGAACAACGACTACTAAAGCTGAGTCAGGCTCCACTGAAGAAGAGGAGGTGGAAGAAGAAGTTGATGACACCAAACCACTCCATGTTCAAGCTCCGGTTCAGTCTCCAGTTCTACTAGGAGGTACCGATGATGCGATGTCTGATAGTGGTTGGCTTTCTTAATAACGCTTTGTTTTCAGTTTTCCTGAGTTCGATATTTTTGTTTATCTAAAAAGTGGTTGGAAAATTTCAGTTTCTGAATGTTCTATACCCAATAATCATATTAATATTAACTGGCATCTTTTAGTCAATCGTTGCCTTCATCCAAAAGATGCCGGAAACTGCCGCGGTCAATTCGTTCGCTGGTATTACGATGCCGACCGTAATGTGTGCGACGTGTTCACTTACACCGGATGCCAAGGAAATGGAAACAATTTTGCCAGCAGAGAGGAATGCGCGGCGATTTGCAAAAAACAAGAGCCGACGCCGTCGCCGACGCCAGATTTCAATCAGATCTGCAGCAACGATGTAGACGCCGGAGAGTGCAACGGTGTCTTTGAGCGATTCGCCTTTGATAGCGATACCGGAGATTGTCGTCCATTCACCTATGGTGGATGCGGTGGAAATGGAAACAACTTCGCTTCTATGAACGAATGCAGACAGCGATGCGTCAAATGTAATATAATCTTGAAATATTTCTAGAAATGATAATTCAAATTTTCAGCGTCCGACGTTCAAGTCAACGTTTGCGCTAGCGACATTGACGTCGGAGAGTGTAGCGGAGTGTTCCCAAGATACGCTTTCGATAAGACTATTGGTGATTGCCGCAAGTTCACATATGGTGGATGTGGTGGTAATGGAAACAATTTCGCCTCAGCGCAGGAATGCCGCAACAAGTGTGTGAATCGCGTGTGCCCAGAAGCCCCTTCATGTGACTTGTCTCGCTGCCAATTGGTCAATGACCGATCGGGATGCCCATTCTGCTCATGCCCACCTGTGAAACAACCTCTGCCACCAGCACCACAATGCGCTCCAGTCGATAAGAGCAAGTGCCAGCAGCCTTGCATCATCTTCAGCAACCGAAAGGGATGTGACGAGTGTGTGTGCCCAAGCCCAGCATCCGAGCCAATTCCACCTTCGCCACATGTTACCCTTCCAACAACATCTGCTACGGATGAGGCAAGACCACCAGCTCCTCACACCACTTCAGCTCAACCTCCGGCTAGCCATGTTCGGCCAGGACCTCCAGGAAGTATTACTACTGGAGCTTCTCCACCTTCACCAAACACCCAACCCCCAAGACAATGTGAGAATTTCAATATGATTTTCATATCTGTAATATTTGATTTCTAGTTGCCGTTTCCACATTCGAAGATGTGAAGCCGTCTGATCTTCCACATTTACCACGAAACTTGGCTAACCAGATTGGCGAGAAATGCCTTCAGAACGTTGAGCCAGGACCGTGCAAGAACTTCTCTGACCGCTGGTACTTCAACTCCGAGGACGGCACTTGCCATCCATTCAAATATGGAGGATGCGCCGGAAACCGCAACCACTTCTTCACCCAGAAAGAATGCGAAGTTCATTGCGCCAGATTCTTGAGTAAGTTGTTATTTGGGCATGCTACCGTTTTTCACTAACTTTCGCTGTGCACGAAACATCACTTCATTTTGCATGTTCAGGCGGCTCGTCAACAGATGTGCATGTGAATATACTCACGCCTTTTGAAACTGATGTCTCTGCCACTACTGATCACTCGCACTCTACTGAGATTTTACAAGCGTTCCCCGAACCGAAGGTTTCCATTTCCCATCCGCCGCGACAACATGGTGCTAGTAGTGTCCGAGTCCAAGCTCCAATTCCAACCATTTCAACAAATGGATACATTAGCGAGAAAATTGAAGCCTACGTTCCGCCAAAGCCGAATCATCAGCTCGTCGGATTGTCACCTCCAGTTGATCCGACTTATTTCACCTATAATAGTCAGAATCAAGGACAAAGAAGAGTATTTGGATCAAATAACGTTGTTGGCACTGCCCCAGTCCATAATCAGTTCCAAGGACTTCAACCACTCCAATCGCAGGGCATCAATGATGCTACAGATAGCTTAGTTGGACAAGAAGCGTGGAAGAATTCGTTGAATTTAAATACTCAAAATCGCTTGAACCAGGAATTAAGAATTAATCCTGAGAAAAATCGTCCGGAGAGCTCTTTGAATCGAAAGTTGCCAATTGACTTCGAAGTAAAGCAATCCGGGCAAATTATTCAACAACCAGTAACACCACAGCCAAAACCTATTCTTCCTGAGCATCGGTTAAATCAACAACCTCAAATTGAATCGAAGCCAGTAGACGAGAAGCTAGAAACGCTGATTCGGGGTAGAGACGAGTTCCAAGAGCGCTCATCCCGCCCACAACAATCAATAAAGCCACGAGAAGAAATCATCTCTTCAAGAACTATTAGTGGAATTCATCAAGTTCTATCAACGGCGAGTCCGGTCGATCTGAAGCCGAAGTCCCGTCCTGATATTCTTCCAGTTGCTGCTGAGCAGAATTTGCAATCCACGCATAATCAGCCTACCACAAAGGGTATTGAGAAATTTGGCGGCGAGACGATATTCGAATCCACACCAAGAATAAAGGAACAACCTAGAGTGTTCACGCCCGATTCGTTCAGCCGCGCTCATCCAAGAATCGCCAGCAAAATCCACAACAGATTTGCCACAAATGCTCCAACCACAGTTGCTCCAACACAAACAACAGGACCATGGTACCAGAAGACGACAACCCCATGGTGGCTTCAGAATCCGACGACCAAAAAACGACCGGAGATCAAAATTGCGAAAATCAATAAGAATTTGTCGACAACAACACCAGTTCCACCTCCAACAACTACCGCTCGATTAATTTTCGATCCATCACATTACGTTTACTACAACGGTGATTACTATGGTCCGACAATTCCGGGAATTAGGATTAACCAGTCATTGACTGAGTCGGAGCAAAAAGAAGCTGTTCAAGCTTTGGAGACATTTAAGGAGCTTTCAAAAGGATTCCGTGAACAGGCGGATAAATTCCTGCGTGATAAAAATCACAAAGAAACCATGACAGTGTCACGGACTGAGAAGGGAACCTTTGTTGTGGGGCGTATAAGTGGAAAAGGTTTGGTTATTTTAGATTATTTGCCCGCATGAGCATTCGCACAATCAATGTTTGGTTCTTCACGTTTTAGTTTACACTTCTATTTTAGGAATTTCCGATGACCGTGAGGAACATGTTGGCGGTCTTCGTCGACCAATTGCTCACGGAGTTCCAATTCAGCCAATTGTTCCATTGAATGTTGTGAACTACAACTCTCCGGATCCGGCCACACGAGGTGCACCACCAGGTCGGGAAACCTTTGGTAAGATTCCACTGCAAGAGCTCGATGAGCTCACATCATTCGAAACCGCACGCCCACCAGCACCTCATTCGGCCACAACGATTGTTCCTCGTTTGCCAACGCTGAACAATGTGATCACAGGAACACGCGTGCAAGGATTTGTTGTGCCAAGTGCATCACGGGCTATCGCTTCTTCAACGACAACCACGACACAGAAACCAACACGAGCCCAAACCACAACCACTCCATTAAGCACATCATCGGTTAGCTCCGAAGAGTCTCGCGAAGATGACGATTCGAGAGAAGAAGTGATCAAGGATGTTCAAGAGGAGAAGAGCAACATCCTTCTTCAAGAAGTCGATCTCGAGGCTTTCCAAAAACCACCACGTGCCGAGACACCAACCACTGATTTCGAAGAGCAACTTCAGGGATCTGGATCTGGATCGGAATTTGAGGAAGCCTCTGAGGAGAGTGAAGAGCTCATTCAAACCACTGAACCATCACGTCTTCGAAAAATCAATATCCAACGAATTCGAAAGGTTGATCCAGAGGTTGTTAGCACTACCCCGACCACTACATCCACCACCACAACCACCACTGAGACAGTCATATCCTCTGAGAAAGTGTCAGTCACTGAACAATCCACTAGTTCGCAGTCGTTCGTAGAGCAACAACCTTCGTCAGAAACACTACGAACCAAGACTGAATCCACAGAGTCGTCTGCACAAAAACAAAGCACAGAATTCACTTCTGAAGCAACAAATGATGCTTCGGCTGACACCACATCCACAACCGAGCCAGTCACATCCACATCAGAGCCAGCCACAATTAGAAAGGAGCCCGTCACAACCACAGAAGAGCCTATCACAACCACAGAAAAACCTGTCACAACCACAGAAGAGCCTGTCACAACCACAGAAGAGCCTGTCTCAACCACAGAAGAGCCTGCCACAACCACAGAAGAGCCTGCCACAACCACAGAAGAGCCTGTCCCAATCACGTCCACCACGACTCCTGTAGTCACTTCCACGACGACAAAAGTCACCCGCACGACATCGGCAATCACTGCTGATGAATCGGAGGAAGTTTCCGAGTTCGCCTTCAACAGCGATGAGCAAGACGAAAACACTGAACTTATTCAATCTCCAGAACCACATCATGCTGCTGCCTCAAAAACACTTTCGGAGGTTAAAGCTGTGGAAACCGAAAAATTCCACAAGATTAATAGCCAAGTGAATAACGGAATCGGACGTCAATCTAGTACAATCAACATCGATCAAGGTAATAACAATTGAAAAATAACAATTGAATTAATTTAATATTTAGCCGGACAATTTTCTGCTCCAATTCCAACAGCCGAGATTAGAAATGCGGCTTCTCCAACCACTCAGCAGCCAAGATTTGTAAGAATTGAAAAGGTTTAAATATAATTCACCAATTTGTTAAGGAGCCACGATTTGATGGACGCGTTGTATGTGCTTTGCCTCCAGATGCTGGAACCTGCACCAATTACGTTCCACGCTGGTTCTTCAACTCACAGACCGGACAATGCGAGCAATTCGCGTTCGGCTCTTGCGGTGGAAATGAGAACAACTTCGCTGATCGTAATATTTGCGAGCGCAAGTGCATGCCACGTAAGAGTTTTCGTTAACTTCGCATCCGAGCATATTTCAAATTTTCCAGATCACGTCATCCTCTCTCAAGTTCCGGATCGTTGCGCTGTTGATAAGGATTCTGGTTCTGGAAGAGGCTACAACGTCAAGTGGTACTTCAACATGAAGAACTTGCGTTGCGAGCAATTTGTGTTCGAAGGAATCGGAGGAAACCAAAATCAATTCGAGACTCTTTCGGAATGCGAGCGCATCTGCACACGTAAGACTTGTATCAGAATAATTAGTTTAAGTAAGCGTTTCAGCTGCCAACACCAAACCAATCGCACCAATTGTTGCCACCACTACAACACGTCAACCGTTTTTGGATAGCGAGAGTGAAGAGGAGGAGTACGACGATGAAGATCCTATTGTCCTCCCTGATAGCAATGCGTTGCCTCCACTGAGACCATCGACATTCGGAGCCATTGATCAATTGAATGTTGTTTCTGAGTCAAGCTCGGTTCCAACTACAGTTCAAACCACACCAAGACAGACTACTCCATCAACTACATCTACCACTACGGCACCAACTCCAGTCACAACAACTACTACAGCTGCTGCTTCCCAGCCAATTGCTACTCAGACAGTCGCTTCTCAGCCAATCACTACCACCGCTACCGCAACTAGAGTCATCTCTACCCAAACAACTACTCCATCAACGACGACTACTGCGAGAAATACTGAGGCGACACTAAGCCACCAACCTACTCATACTGTGAGACCAGTCCAAGCTGGAGTTCCAGTTCAGCCTGTCGAGAATGTGTTGCCAGTCCATCCAGCTGAACAGAATCTCCCAATTGTCCCACAGTTGGCTGCTGTTAACATTCATGGCGACGAACAATTCGTTCCGGAACTCTCTCAAATTCGGCCAGTTGCTCCATTTATTCCTGAAGTTCCAGTCATCAGCGAGACCACTCCACTTCCGCCGGCCGCAGAACCACGACCACCTGCCATCAATGCTGCCAAGACCGTCGTTGTCGATCAGGATGATACTAAATCAAAGACTTACAAGGCTGAGCCAGTTGTTGGTCGCGAGCATATTCCAACTCCTAACGAGGGTCAGCCAATCGTTGCACCAAGTCCAAAAGAAACTGTCAATTATCAAACCGGGGAAGTCGTTGCCAAGGCAAGCGGAATCCGCAATTTCAACGGGGAGAGCTCAAAGATCGGAACCGAGAAGCTGTTCTCGCACAAAGAAGCTTCAGGACTTCCCGCATGTCCAAATGGAAGACAAGAGATCCGATATGCTGATGGAAGACCGGTTATGTGCCTTCCAGGAAAGAATCAATGCCCAGATCGCTCGTCTTGCTATTACAACGGTCTCGACTTTTTCTGCTGCCCAGAAGAAGAGGATCCATATGATAAGCACGCGTTTGGAGGATATGGCGGAGAGGAAACCAAGAATGGCTACAAGGTTTTCGGAAGCCTCAATATTCGCCGTCTGATGGACGAAGTCCCTCTTCGTCAAAAGCGTCAGGCTAACATTGAATTCAACATTGATTCTGTCGTTGCACCACTTCGTTTCGACGCCGAGAAACCGCATACCGTGTCCCACGCCAAACTGATGAAGAGCAAGGCAGTCCCACGCCAGGGTGCCAATCCATTGTGCATACAGCCAGTCATTCGCGGATCCTGTAACGAGGCTCACCTTCGTTACTTCTACGATCGCGTCTCTGATTCTTGCCGACTCTTCGAATATTCTGGTTGTGATGGAAACGCCAACAACTTCGGATCTCTCGAAGACTGCCAACGGTTATGCGTGTTAAACGTTAAAAGTTAGTTTTTCCTAATCTTTATCGCACAATATTCAATTTCTTATAGACATCAAAGAAGGAAAACTCCCAACAACCACTGCTGCTCCGATCGTTCTCGAAGATGAAGAGAAGCTGCCACCGGGTCAATGCCCAGGCGGACGTGCGCCACTTGGAGGCACCGCTCCAGTTCTTTGTGGAAACACCACCGAATCGATTGGATGCCCAACATCGTACTACTGCAGACGAGGACCGCCAGATGTTTGCTGTCCGGGAGTTGATCCAAAGCTTCGTAAGTCACAACATCACAAATTTAAAAATTATAAAATTTTTTGTTATAGAAATGCCAGAAGAAATTGTGAAAGATGCCAGTCGAGGAGTAATTAAGAACGAATCTCATATGCCACGTGGATTCAATCGTCAGATTTTCCTTTCAACACCAAAGTACATGTGCCCAGATGCTGCCGACCCACTGATTCTTGAAAACGGAGAGCCAATGATGTGTGGAAGTGGATTTGATGGAGTTCAAATGTGTCCAAAGGGCTATTATTGCGCTATTGACACTGCGAGAAACTGTAATTCAAAAGTATTCCTTAATTGGATCAAAATTGTTTGTTGTTTCAGCTCGTCTCTGCTGCCCACTCTTCGGAGAAGCTCACAGAATTTCAAGCGAGGAGATTTTCGCGCATCGTTTGTCTGCTACGGATGCTCCGAAGAAATGTAGCATTCGTGAATAGTTCAAAATACTAAATTGTGTATTATAGCAATCGAGGAAGATTTTGAGCAAGAGGGAGACGATGAGGAAGACGAGGAAGACGAGGAGGAAGAAGGACAATTGGCACACTTGCAAATGAAACCAAACAAACCAATGGATACTGCTGAAAAACTTGAAAAGCAATCAACCTTAGCCACTGATGTTAATGCCGAATCTCCAGTTTCAATTGATTTGGGGTCTGACGATGATCATTCAGAAGAGGTGACAACGACTACTGAGAAGATTACCATTCAAGACAAGTCCGTCTGCCAAATCAAACCATCTGAAGGTAATAACCTGGAAATGTTTTGTAAAATTTAAAAAAGTACATCTAAGGTCGAGTTTGTAATGACAATGAGAAGCCAACCCGAACGAATCTTCAATACTTCTACTCACCGCGAGACCGAAGATGTAAGCTCTTCTTTTTCCGAGGATGCGGTGGAAACTTGAATCGATTCGAGAAAAAGTCGGATTGTGAAGCTTTGTGCCTTTAAATAATTCTAATAATAACAATATTGAAAAGTTAGTTCTCTTGCCCATCGACACGTGTTTTTCCGTTTTGTTTTCCTTCTCACTTTTTTCTCCCAAAAATCGCCAAACCTCATAAGCCTTAATTTTTGACGTTGTATTTTGTTGTGTGTGTTTTTTTTCCATTTTCCCAATTTTTATTTCAGGTGCTAGCTCACCTATTGTAATTACCTAATAATTCCATTAATAATAATAATAATAATAATTTATAATTATCTTGATTTTACATTTTGATTTTACAAAAATTATAAAACAATTGAATTTCAAACTGGTCTCACGAGTAGATATTCTTGAAGCGTGCCGTACTTTGAGATTAGATTCTCGGGGGTGTCGATGTTCACAACAACTCCGTTCTCAATGACGACGACCCTAAAATAATGAAACTCCGAAACATTGCGAGTTAGGCCCTACTTGTCACAGTGCTCGACATCTTCAAAATTATCGCCAATTGTAATTGTTGTCGATTGTTTTAAACTTTCACGGATCGCCTAAAGCATTGTCCCAATTTGGGGCATAATATGTACATATACCTACCTCTTCTACTAATTCTTTGGTGGGTTCCTTCATGAATTGTGTTGATTGATCGATAACAAAAATTTGGCCTCCCTTAAGGAGGGCTCTGCACACATTAATTTGCTCTTTCTGATCTTCACTAAACAAGCACCAATGATCATCGACATGTGTTGTAAATTACCTAATTAGGTCTGGTGAAATTAATTGATTAATTCCATGGCTTAAATTCTTAACGAACTCCTTCATTTGGCACGATTCAATTGCCAACCAAATATCGCTGTCAGCGAATTGTTCGCACGGGTCGAGGTTATTTCGAAGTGTGTCGTTGAAGATTTTCGCTTTCTAAATACTTTAAATACCATGAAGTTTAATAAATTTCAACACCTGCGGTATGACAGTAACCCGAGATCTTAGAATTTTCGTAGGAATATCGTACACACTAACACCGTCAATGAACACACGACTCTCATCATCGGCAGAAGTCATTGCAATTAATGAGAGTGCCAGCTGAGTTTTTCCAGAGCCGGGTTTTCCAATTACTCCTAGTTTTTCTTGACCTCCAACAGAAATTGAGATATCCTTCAGTATGTGTTTCCCTTTGTTAACAAAGACATTGAGGCTAAAGAAATAAATCTCAAATCAGTATTGCAATTCGAATAAATAACTTTTCAATTTCAATTCCGCCATCATCAGGCCAACTGTCTCTCACCGCCAGTATATTATTCAAGTTCTCCTTGGGGAAATTTTTTGAGTGGCAGATTTTTTGAATATTCGGAGCGTATGATTCAAGGGTGCAGATGACGCGTAAGCATGTTGATACAAGCTCGGTGAGCTGTTATTAAAAATTGATTACGATTTAATTTTTTTTCCAATTACTGAAAGAATAACCGCCACTGATAAGGCGAAATGAGCATTTGCCACCAAATCGAAATATCTTGTTAACGAAGCGACAATGAAGCATGAGAATATCTGAAATAAAGCTCACTTGCTTTTTTTATTGAAAATTTGTCCATGAGCTTACAACGAGATTGGAAACAAGTTCTAATCTTAACGAGAGCCAGCGGAATGCTGACAAATGAGCAAAACGGCATCTCGTTAATACATCGGCGTGTGATTCGATTTCAGATGTTGCAGCTTTTGCCTGAAAAAAAAAACGTCAGCTTGTTTCATTCAAAGTTTTTCTTCGACTTTTCCAAACACTCGAACCATCATTCGGCTATCGAAATTTTGTGTAACGGAACACAAAAATGTTGCGCGATTCTGTGTTTCCAAATGAATAATCTTGTGAGACGTTGGAAAATAAAATTTCTGAAAAATAATACGATTAGCGTTTAAATACGAATAATCTCCATTCTACCAAAATCGCAAAAAAGAAGACGACAAAACCGACAACGAATATCAAAAAGAATGGGAGGTTAATTGAGACAATTGCAAAAACCATCAAAATCTGAAAAGATTTGTATTTTCAATTTTTATCAGGGACCTTTTTACATGTAGAGAAGTGTCTAAAAATGATCGAAGATACATTGGAAAATGAGTATCCACGATGTCAAGGTCCTAAAAAATGTTCCTGTGATATTCAGCATTTTTCAATAAAAAATTTCACCGATGTGAAAAGCCGCTCAATTTCTTGAACATTAGCCGTCGTGAAGAAGTGCATTGGGGCGGAGAACATGGCATCGACGATATTCTTATAAATCCGTCTTGATGCTTCAACGTTGGTCAAAATGGAAAACATATAGGCAAGAGCATTGGAAACCACTAAAGAATTCTGTGACACAATTAATTAAAATCCTAAAATCTCACCTGCGGCCACGGCGAAAAATGAGAGCATCTGAAGAAAAACGTATTGGGGGCAATCTGGACATTCGACTTTCTTCCATGACGGATCCAGCCAAAATGAGAGCCAGAAGAAGGTGAAGGCATGAAGAACGAAGCGGACAATCAAGAACACAAAATATAGAATGAATAGGGGAATAGAGCAGCAGCGGAAATAATATAGATATGTATTTCTTTTCTTAATCTGAAAATTGCAAAATTTTAAATATTTCAATTCAACTTATTCTCCCGACCACAGTTGCTTCTTCTTGAACTTTCGCTGGTTTCTTCTTTTTGAGTGACATTTTCTCCACATCGAACATCACCGTTTTTCGGCGAGGTTTCTCGTTCAAATTTTTCTCGTCTAGCCTCTCGTCTACTTCGCTTTGCTCTAAAAGATTCTTCAGGATTTCGCTCTCCTCTACCAATTCTTCAAAAGTTCCGCTATTCTCAATTTTACCATCTAAATAAATTTCATTGTTAAAATTTTTTAAATTCAAAGTGTACCATTCATCACGTGAATCATTGTCGAGGTTTTAGTGAATCTGATATTATTTGTTGCAAATATCACAGTTTTCTCTTTCAGATAGCCTTTGGGACCAAAGAGTTTGTCAAATATCTTTTTGGCAGTTATGCGATCCATTGGGGCAAACGCCTTATCAAGAGCATAAATATCAGCATCCTAAATTTAAGTAAAATTCAATGCAAATCTAGATATTCCTACCTCATACAAGCATCTGGCAATGGAAATTTGAGCCTTCTGGGTGTCAGTGATAACATATCCATTCTCGCCAATTATTGTTGCATCGCATCTGGGAAAGTTGAATATGTCCTTCCGAAGATCGCAAACATTAATAACCTGTAATTGCTCAGTATTTTCGTTTTTTTCCAGTTTCTACCGCATCATATTTCGCTTTGTCAAACTGATTCCCGAAAAGAATATTAGCTTTTACTGTTTGGGTAAAAATGAATGGGTTCGACGGTGCAAATGATATATTTGAGGACACCCAGCGTTTTCCCTTCGTTAATGTCAGCTCTCCTGAATTTTACTATTTTTGAAATAGTTTTTCTCAAGTTTTTTTAAACCAATAATAGCGCAGAGCAGCGATGATTTTCCGCATAGTGGAAATCCAACAATTGAGTGGAATTCGCCCTTTTTTACTTCCAAACTAATATCCTTCAAATCCACCGAAGAGCCGTGCCACGAAAAGCTCGCCGATTCCAGTTTCACGTCATAATCCGCTTCGGTGGCCTGAGTGGGCGCACGCTTTGCATATTGATTTGGTGATTGTCGGGCGAGAAGGAACTGATTGATTCGCGTCGCCGAATGGAATGCCTTGTTAAGGAAATCGATTGATGGCATAACTGTATAAAGAGGACGACTCATATAATTGAAAACAGCAATTAGGACGAAGGCGTCTTCGAATCGGAGAGCTTCGATTTCAAAACTTAGACCGTAAACGGCGAAGCTCACAAACATTACCTGAAAATATTTTCTACCAATTTTTAAAAACGTCCTACTTACTATAAAAGGAGAAGTGATGTTTAGGGAATGCATGATTCCATTAATCCAAGAGGTGTTGCGGAACGAGTCAAGCTGGAATATTTCATTTAATCCCGCGCGTCACTTCAATTCTTACTTCATCTTTTCGGAAAACTTGAAGCTTTTTTTTAAACTCGTCTTCCCATGCGAATACTTTTATAGTCTCAATTGAATTCAAAAACTCCTTTCCATGCTCAACTCTTCGATCTCGCAAGTCCATTTGTCGTTTCTGAGTTTTTTTTTGTTAACCAATATTTCCATATTATTTACCAAGTATCGTTTGTATATAAACGAGTCAAGGATATTGAGAACTAGATAGACGATTGCTACAACGAGTACGGTGATAATAGTGCGATGACTGAGAGTTTCCCAAATCCATAAAAGGGCAATAGTCAATTCAACAATGGTTGCCCATGAATGATGAACGAACAATAGAGAATTCGCAATCGCCTCGGAATGAGTTGTAACCAATTTCGCGATTCTTGCATTTGTCCACTCATTCTCACCAGCTGTTAAATTCAATGCCTATAATGAATTATTCAGAGAGTAATCCGTGAAACAAAGCACTTTTTTGATAATTAGATTATTCAATACAGCGCACATCAGAGCACTGTCTTCCCCAACAAAATAAGTGTGAGCACCAAACAATATTGATTTCAACTGCATAAAAAATAAAATGAGGACAGATATGACGAAGAAAGTGAATAGAGGCGCGGAAACTTCAGCAGCGTCAATTAAATACCTGAAAATTGGCATTTGTTAGCAGTTTTTGAAGATTTTTCAAACTTTAAAAGTAAAATTGATGCATAGTCAGCGAATATTGCAGCTAGACGGAATACAAATGCAACAACGAATGATTTCCAAAACTTCATTATTAGAGATACCGTCACTCTCTTCTCTGAAATCCAGTGTAAAATGTTTTGCGGGAGAACTTACTCCATTTGTATCCTTTCATGAAATTTGCCAAGTAGTCATCGTCCTCAAGACTTGGAAGGTCGTCTACAGTAATAGCGCTTTTTCGGCATTTTCTCAATAATGAGGAAACCGATAACTCGAATATCCGACTTAGAAATGACGGCTTCTTATAAACTGCCTCATTTTGAACTTCCGATTGAATTTGACGTGCATTTTTTGATAAATTCACACTAACTGAAGTTTTTTAAATGATTTCAATGTTAAAATTTTGGGAAAAATCAATACCGTTCATAGAATTTGTCGAAAATTGGAAACACTGGATTGAAATTTGTTCGCCATCGATAGGAAAATTTGCATTTCTCGGTGACGAATCGAATTATTGGAATAAATTATTGGTGACCGATTGGAAACGACTACTGTACTTGTAAGTTTTACAGAATTAATCAACTTTCATGATCAGTATGAATTTCCTTGGGAGTAATTCTCACTTGAAACTCGAAAATTCGTCAATCTCTTTGAAAATTTGAACTCCCTCGTTATTCAACGTCCAACGATGTTTCGCGTGAACGCTCGTCCTCATTTTATCGCGTATTTCTTTTATTTCCGCATTTTGTTATTTTTGCATTTTGTAGTTTCGCAAGAAAACGTTTCAACATTTTTCAGTTTCTGATCTGTCCAGCAAATTTCTGGTGACCCAATTTATATGGGCCGTCTGAAATTTTTGCGCGTTGGCCTTCCGTTCTTTTCAATTGTTCTTGGGGGCGCCTACGGATTACATTTCTTTCAACAAGTGCGCTTTGATTTTCGAAAAATCCAACAACAAGACGCAAATTTGGATTATTTGGTGCGTTTCCTCTCTCTGTTCCCACCCGTTCTCACATCTTGCCTTTCATTTATTCAATATTTCCCCGTGTAAAATTAGTTGCATTTCTCGATTTTTCAGAAAAACGATCTATCCCAAAGTGGTGTTCGTCTTCGCGAAAACGTAACGGTAGATAATATTTATAAGGTAAAATTTTTTAACTCCTCGAAACCTTATCAAATTTTCTAGGAGGTTGCCGAGTTAGACACCGATACTTGGGAGAATATTCGTGGTCCTCGTGACACTGAAGATCTCTCCGAATACAATCGGATCAAGTAAAATCAATCAAGATTGATGTGCCACGAAATAATTAAATTCAGGCAAAAGCAAAAGCTGCAAAACAAATTGGCTCGTGAGCAAAAACTTCAAAACTTGAATGTCTGAACAAATTCCATCCAACATTGACTCCAACGAGCTTCCTGTTCCACCTATACCTCAACAACTTGACATTAGCATCGATAATCCTCCAGAGCCTGATAACGCTTCAATTCGTGCTGAAAGAGGTTAATAAAATTGAAATTTATAGATATGAATAATTTGAAAACAGGATCCCCCACACCATCATCTGTAACGGTTGACAACGCACCTTCTCTACCTTCTTCTAATTTGCCACTTGCTGATTTATTCAGCGATATTCCGGAAGTAATCCGTTATGAATGAATAACGAAATTCTATATTTTTATTTTCAGGTTCCTGTTCCATCTTCATCTGCACTCTCAATTTCCAGTCAAGCGTTATCCGATCCAACACCTGCTGTTCCAGACACAGTTCGAAGCAACGGTAGAAACAGCCTACAATCCACAGAGCTCGTTTCCACATCTAGTCACCCAGTTGATCCACAAGAGCCCAACGAAGTTTCAATCATAAATTTTAATTTTAGTTTTATTTATGTTTAGATCAATCTCGATTATCTAGCCCAATTGCTAGATCTTGGATTCGACGAGTTTACTGGGCGACTTGCTTTGAAAAGAACAAGCAACATCGGTGTTGAGCAGGCAGTTTCGTGGATTGTTGAAAGATCAAACGAGAGCGACTTTGAAGACGACTCGAGCTCTAGTGAGAACGAAAACGAAAGTGATATGGGTGGTCAGTTAATAGTTTTCGCGATTAATTTGATATCAATTCTATTGCAGGAGCACAGTCTTCAGGTGAGAATCCAACGTCTTCTGCCTCAAACGGCGGAATTGATTTTCTGAAACTTCTTGCAAAACGTACGTTTGTGTACGTCTCGATCGGACTTTCTCTGGAAAATTTTAAATTTCTTTGCTTTCTGTTAACCCACATTTTCAAGATTAATCAAGTCTTTTTCAAGTCTCTTTCCTCAGTGTTTCTATAATTTATGAGTGCATCCAAAAAGAAGACACTTTTTCTAGGCAGCCGAACTCACAAAATGGTTCTTGTTGCAAACATGAGCTTGAAAATGGGCGTTGGCAAACTTGCTGCCCAGGTCGGGCATGCTACGCTTGGAGTCTACAGACAAGCTATGAATTCGGAAGCTGGTCAAACAGCCATTAATGCCTGGACCCGGCACGGACAGGTGGGAGATAAAAATCTAAATATTATAGTATCACTACAATTTAATTATAGGTAAAAATCGTGGTTCGCGGTCAGAGTACTGAACAGTTAATGGATCTTTGTAAGGCTGCTAAAGACGCGGTAGCTATCGTTTTTCTTTCATTTCATTCAATAAGTTAAATTTTAGGGATGCTATTATTATCTGGTCCAGGATGCTGGTTACACCCAGATTCCTCCGGGATCTCGAACTGTCCTTGGGGTTTTCGGAACCGTGGAGCAAGTCGACTCAGTTACTGGCGGTCTGAAGTTGCTTTGAATGTGAAGATAAATATTCCTTGTGAAACTATTCTCCCGCTTTATTTGGTTCGTTTTCTTCTTTTCCGTTTTTTTTTTCATTTTCTACTCTTTTAGATGCCTTTACACATTCGTGATCCAGGGCAAATTTTGTTTTCTATCCTTTGTTTCTTTCCGGTTTTCAATGTAGATGAGTATGAGTCTCATATAGAAATTTTTGTTTATGTAAATGGTAAACAATTTATTTAAAAAAAGCCTAACAAGAAATAAACAAATAAGGAAAGCACGCATAATTGGGATATGAACAAATTTTGCAATAATATTGTGGAACAGACATCTAATCTCTATTAAAAGTTGTTGGCTTGTATCTTCGAGATGCAGAATAGGTGTAATAAGCGTCGTCAGCTTCATCCTGAGAGCTGCGGAATCGAGGTAGACTTCCCATATTATTACCTGAATGTTTATGAATTATTGATTTTTTTCGGTTCGAAAAATTACCATAAATATGACCAACACCATCGTTTAATATTTTATCAGCCGGAGAAAGAATGTGACTAAGTACTTCTCGGTTCGCGATCAAGCATTGGGATGGAGAAATAGTTGCGTTTTCATTTGGTATCACATCGGGAATCCATTCGGTATCTTGAAATATGTAGACGACACTATCTTTATTAAGGTTAAGTACCTTGTCGAGGTAGAAGTGGTGATGCGCATTGAGGATCAGCGCTAGTGGATTCAACAAGAACGCTTTTTTGAGTTTCCAGCCACAAATTATCATTAACATTTGAATTATTCTAAAATGAGAATTTGATGATTATCATTTTTATCGTAAGTTACCATTCCAATATCGCAAATGCTCCACAAAAATATAACAATGGCCCCAATGAGGAACGCAACAGACTGTCCGGTTTCCAGAAGTTCAGATTCTACTGGTAAATAGTTGGAGAACAATCCTATCATGGTGGCGGCAAGGGTAAAGACAGTTAAAACGAAATGTTGGAGTACTGCTCGTTTCACATTATGTTTCGCCACGAAAACATCGTACTTTTTGTGGAGGGAAACGAGAACTGTCGTGGTCGCCGCGTAGAACGAAAGCTGCAATGTAAAAATTTTAAAATGTTCAATGTTATTTTTCATACCAATAAGAACAATCCCATACTAAGAACAATGAACCAGAAAAGCCAAAGATTCGGCGACAGTGAACATTGGTCAGTGAATAGGAATGTCGTGAATGCGATCAGTGAAGGGAACACCATTCCAATGAGGAGACTCGTGGTCAGATTTGGTGAAACCGACCCATCAGCGAGCATCTTGTAAATATGAAGGCTGTACAAGAATAACCACGCGAACGGTGCGCACGTAGAAAACGAGAGAATTGCGTTTCGCACGGGGCAGAAGGCTTGATTGATGGCGGTTTTGTGGATGAAGAATAAGTTTAGAAGATTGAGGGTGAAGAAGAAAATGAATCCGACTCTGACGGTTTGATTCCTCATTTTCCGACGACACAAGGTCATGATTATTGAGCTTAAGCATAATAATATCGCAGTACCGGCTAGAACCGACGGCAAAGTGCGGTCCATGTTCGCAATTCGAACCTAAATTGCATTTATTTTGCGTTGAATTTTCTATTTTTAAAACGTACAATAGTCTCATTCTGATCGTTTACGAACATCGAAAATATGCCACTTCCAATGAATTCGCATGTTGCATGTGTCAAGTTCAACCCAATTAAACTGCTTCCACGAGTTGACCAATGCCCTGATTTGAGATCAAACTTGACGCATTCCGGATATTTCCATTCATCATCTTCGTCAATAGAAAACTCGATCAATAGTGGGTCGGTAGTATTCGCAATTACAACGGCCATCGGGTTCTCACAACGTTTGCACCGTGGGTACGGTACAATCGAATAGACGAGTTGCGTCGTTCCAGTTACCATTATTTTCAGCATAGGGAATCCAGTTGGAACCGAGTTGACAAAATTGTTAAATTTTGGAATAATGTTCCCGAAATCCAGTTTATCGAAAGAAAACACTAAAAAGAATTGAATTTTACTGACTTGTCGAGTTTTCACTCACCAATATGATCATTCGCGATAAAAAATGGCGGCAAAAATGGGATGTTCTCGTGAATTTTTGCAATATTGTTCGAATAAATCCATAATTTCTCAATCATTGTCCCATAATCTTCTATTGGATGCTCAGCCATAACTTTGCCAAGGTCTTCGACAAGTTCATCAGTGAATCTTGTATCTCTAACATGAGACTTTGACTTGACAGGTAGCTCATTCTCAATATCCACAATTCTTGAAATCGCTTCCGCTGCGATTTGTTGATTCCTTCCTCTCAACGTTGCCTCATTTGTTGTAGCATTGCTGACCATATCCAAAAGTTTCGATGAATCCAGTATATCAAACTTGTTGACCATAATCGAATATTCCGGCCTCGTGCAGTTCCACGAATTTACATCTGACCATCTTCCATTTTCTTGGCATTTGCGAGTTGCGAGACCCGACTCGCCAGCTGGGCAAGATTGCCGAATTATGGAACCCTTTAAACTGGTTGGCCATTGGATGCTGTATTCGATTTCCGACGGGCATTTTCCGGGAATCTGACGGCATTTCAATGTTTTCGGATCCAATAAATGATCGAAACGTGAGCATCTATCGCACCGTCGTCCAACAGCATCACCTTCGCATTGACAATATCCTTCAGCGTCACATTCTGTTGAGTTGGCTCCAATTCCGCATTCACATTTAACACATCCATTGATTGTGGAATAGTGTGACTTTTTGCACAAACATGCGCCAGTGTTGTGATCGCATTGGGGTTCATACCCTTTTGAACTCGAACAGGAGCATCGTTTGCATTTCGGAAATGTGCCCCACCATCCTCGCGGACACATTTGGCGAGGAGCTTTGAATTGGCAATTCTTTCCGGTTGAACCATAGGGACACACGCACTCGTATCCTGTGGTGGAGTTTGATGGAACACAAGTTGCCGCAGGTGACCCACAAACATTTTTCACCGAACATATCGAAAGACAAGTGTCTCCAATAAAGCCCTTATGACATTTGCACTTGTGTTTGTTCCATAATCGATGGCACGAGCTATCTATCGGACACACTGAATCCACAGTGCATCTATTAGGTACAACACAACCGGAACGAGTCTGAATTAATGGGATTAAAGTATGATAGAACTAAAATGTAATTACCTTTCCCTTTTTCTTGTGTGCAATTGGCTTCGAGTTCACTTTCACATTTCTCAAACAGCCTTCGAATCTGAAAGGATGTCCGGTCCCTGGCGCAATTCCAAAGTAAATATTTTCCAAGGTTCCGTCAGCAATCATCGTTTTTCGTTCCTAAATTTCATATATTCGCTACAATTTCTAAAAGTAATTTCTACAGCAGAGTATATTCCATCAATTGTAGTGGCGATAGATTCGACGTCAAACTTGATCAATACATGAATGAAATGCTTCGACGAAATATGTGGTGTTAAGATATCAGTAGTAGAATCGCCAATTGAGAATTGCATTATTCCATCGTCAATCTAAATTGAAAAAAGAAATGGCAAAGATTATCCGAAAGTTTTTAATCAATTAACCTCTAAGTTGTAATGAATACTTCGTTGTGTAAACTCCATAGCAATCACTTGCATGTCGGTTCGAGATGTTCGGAACTCAAATTCCACTTCGAAAGGTACTTGAATTCCACTGGGCTGATAAAGAACAAACGATTCATCTTCGAAGAGCGACAATCCACGCATTTCATTTTGGGTTACACCTTAAAACATTTTATAATTGAATAATCCTTTAATGTCAATTACCATTCGCCATACAATCCACTTTGGAATGCGTCGCATGTGGACAAGAGCACACTTTTCCACCCCATCGATTCGCGCATTTAGAGGTCATTGGACAAGTGATTGAATGTTTACAGTAATCCCGTTTTGGATTACACCCTTCATGAACTTGCCCAATTCTGTGCATTTCTCGAATATTCGAAAAATATATGGGTTCAGCGTCAAGTGTCAAATCCGAGATACATCCACTGAATGCTCGTTCAACATGCTTTGTCGATCCTGGACGCCCTCCAAGGAATATTCCATTGGACACGTCGAGGAACCTATAGCAAGGCACTGTTGGATCTTGGCATCTGGAAGAGAATGTTTGTTGAACATCCCTTTAACCATTTCTCGTCTACACAACTCATTACACATAATTAATAAGAGGGATGGTGGTAGTTCGAAAACGTGCGCGAATCTCGTAAATAATTCAATTGGCGCAAATTTTATTGAATTAAATATTCCGAAGAGCGTATCCCTCCAATTATGATTTGTTGCTGAGTACAGAGTGAAACGAAACTCCAACATACTTTCTATCCAAATTGATTTTGGCTCGAGCCGCGCAGTTTGGAGAGATGTTGAGTTGAAGGGATGGGTACGTCTCGCAATCATCCATGGATATGATGATTTCCTGAATTTTAAGAATTAAACAATTTCAAAATATCATTGGAATAAATTACATGGTTCGAATATTCCATAACAACCGTGTGCCATTCTCCATCATTTACCCGGTTTTCGATGTCATTTTCCAATTTCGCCTCCGCTTTTTCACCTCCCAACGAGAATTCAATCTTAAAATTCACCGAAATTTTCAAAAAAAAACCCCTTCAAAAAATAAACCTTGAAAACCCGATCACTCAGCGACAATTCAACGAAATCGCTTTTTTTGTCGCCAGTGAAGAGTAAAACACCATTGTGTGCAATTGTCGCAACCCTAAAGTTTATTTTTTATGCATTCCTTTGTTGCAACTTGTCGAACCTAAACTTGATGGTCCATTGGGTTCGTGGAATATCGACATTTGTATTAAGAAGGCCGTCGCCGTCGAACGAGATACTCCGAAGACGGCAGCGTTCATCAGTGTCATCCTTGTTGAACTTGCAATGCCGACATCGCATCTCATTGTTTTCTAATTCGCACACCGAATCCGACTCACAATAGCCGGGAACGCATGTGAGTGCGTGAATCGAAATTTCACAATGCCTTCCTAAAATTATTCTTTAAATTTTCAAACATTCTGAATCCCTTCTTCGAAACAATAATAGTAATTTGAAACTCTTTAGTATAATTGCGCGCTCTTCACACAAAACACACACACGAATGTCGCAAAAGATAATGGCTGCCCTTATGGGGTGCTTCCTGCGGGGCCGCGTTGAAATAACGTAAAACGCGTAGATGAGGCCAGGAAGTGCCCTATTGGCATGACAAGTTTCGATGTGAAGCACAACTTGACACGCAAATTGTCAAAAATATATTCGAAATGTTTCGTTTCTATATTTAGTATTGGAAATACTTGAACGAGCACGCCAACTAGCTTCACATTGTTTCAAAATAATATAGTTTAATTTCATTCTAAAAAAATTTTAATTACCATGGAGGGATTTCAGAAACAATTCAATTACACTCAAGTGGACAGGGCGCATCTTGCGAAATTCCAATTTCATTGGTCGATTTTCAATTAAAGAAATTAAAAGCACCCACCTATCCAACCAGGCTGGCATTCACAGCGATATTTGTTTTCATAAGAAACACAGGTCGAATTGTTCGCGCACAAGCCCCGATAGCATTCATCTAATCGAGTATCGCACTTCCCACTGGAATCTGAGCCTGAATTATCAATAATTATTCTTTTGGATGTTTGGAAATTCAAACAAACTTGTAAACCCGGGCGGACATTCGCAGACAAACGTGTTCACTGTGTTAAGCGTTCGAGCGATGAAATTGTCGGTTTCGTGAGATGTCAAATCACCAACAAATTTCTGTGTTTGCCGGCATTTTGCCATATACGAGCACGGCTCATTCGCGCATGACTCATCATCAATGACCTTCATTTGAAGCAGTGTCATCTGCTCCAACTTTTTGATCGACTCCTTTACCAATTCGACGGCATGCCATCCCCTACAAACACTGTTCATTTTAGCGGCAAAGCTTCATTAAGCATTTAATTAGATTTGTTGTGAACAGCACTTGACTAAAAGGCGGCTCTTCTTCAAGTGCAAAAACACTTGAAGCATTGCTTGATTAATAATAAACCAAATTCGAATCTAACCTGACTACTTTTCCATGCTCGGTAATTGCTATGCTCACATGAACAACATCGCTAGCGTATTGCTTCGCGCTGATCACATTAACATCCGAAGCTCTCCAGTTTCCCAGTGTGCTGATTGCATCGCGGAAACGTTGAAACACCTGGGGATCCCAGAAATCATCAATAGTCATTCGACCCAATGCCAAGGTGAAACTCTCGAAAAGCCATTCGGTATCAATTAAAACATGAATAAATCTGCATGTAGCGCATTCGGTGTTGGCTCCGTCTATAAAATACGGAATAATCAATTGATGTCAATACTATTAAACCTGTGACGCAAGATTTAAAACGCAAATCAATATTTCGCTTCCACTCCTGTTTCACTAAAATTTTGCCGGTGTATTTGTCAATTTCAATGAGATCATTTTCCTCGAGGAAATATTCCAGAGTCGCGTTTTGGTCAGGATCGCTAAATTAGTAAATTGAATTTTTTTAAGTTTAATCGGTACGCACTATGCTGGAATGAAACCAATTTGACGAGGAATCGGGATATTCTCATAGCGATTGATAAGAATAATGAAATCTGCAAACGTCACAACAATTATTAAAGATGTTTAAAAATCGAAAACCTTTTAGAACCGGCTTGTTGTCGTTGACATCAGAGACGTGAATCCTGACAGGCACTGTAGAAGACAACTGACCACTGCTCGCTTGAAGTTCAAGGAAAAACTTGTTCGTTTTTGCCTCATAGTCAAATTCTATTCGACTCAGTAAACGAACAACGCCATTTTGTTCAGAATCTTCTAAATTGCCTTTTTTAGATAAGCAAGTTTGAAATATTCAATAAACCTTCGATGTCAAAGAGTTTCGCGTCAGAACCGCCGAAAATTCGAAACGAAATGTCAGCATTTTCGCCTTCGTCCGGATCCCGCGCAACGATCGTTCCCACAGTGCTTCCCACCGGTGAATTCTCAGCAATATACAAGTCATATGAAGCTTGCTCAAAACTCGGAGCATTGTCGTTTATGTCCGTCAGCGTAAGTGTGATTTCAGAAGCAGAAGCTAGTGGCGGATTGCCGCGATCCCTTGCAAATATTGGCAACACAATTCTGGAAACAAAAAAAAAACTAATTTATTCTCAACCCCATTCTCATCTAAATCTGCGCAATCTGGTGGGCCCTCTTGACAAGAAAAAAACCCCTCTTCTCCACGTTCTTTGTGAATGTAACACACGGTCAAATGGGGGCTCATTGAGATTGCGCGAGCAAATCTATGCGCAGGTGCTGCCTCGCTGGCTATTATACCACAATCCATACGCAATTTGGCAACATTTGGCATCCCATGGAATCTAATTAGAGCCACTAAAAAAATAAACGTACACTGGAAACTGTTCTCGGTCAAGCTTCGAATTCACGCGCAATGTGCCAGAGGTTCGATCAAGACGAAAAAGATGAATAGCCGCCGATGCGGAAGACTCATTCAAGAAATAATCAACAATTCCGTTGTTTCCAATGTCAGCATCAATAGCGGACACCTAAACTTGAATCGTTATATCCCTTGACTTTGCAGCCCCAAGAAAAAAAGAGATATTAAAAACCGCTGACTCGAGCATTGGCCATAAATGGCATGCATTTAAATTTATAGCCCCTCGGCGGGTGTATAAATTACCAACCTGCATGAACGAGGTTCCGACAGGAATGTCTTCACTGATACTTGCAGCGTAACTTGATGAGGTGAATTGTGGCGGATTGTCGTTAACTGCAATAACAACAAATGAAACATCGTCCCCCTAATTCATTTGTTTTGCCAATAAACACATCGTTTTGTCGGTGAGCCGAAAAGGACACAGACATGTGCAATTTCCGTAAATTTCCGACAGGCACTGCCCGCTCTCTTCGATGCGCCTTATATTTCGCGTACCAGCTGGCATTTGTCCAAAAAGACAATTGTGTCAATTTGAATAATTTTCTCGCGAGATGTAGCTTAAAAGATTTGCAACATACCGTCATCGAGAATCACTTCGATTTGAGATGTGACATTGAGCGGCGGTGTGGCATGATCACTTGCCGTCACACCAATTACATAAGTCGCGCGATCCTCGCGATCCAAATCCGCTGCTACTGTCAATTCGCCGGAAGTTGGATTTATTTGGAACAAGCTCGAATCGATCGAGTATGTCACTTTGGAATTCTCGCCACGGTCATCATCTTCAGCCTGAGTAAAATATTGTGAATACAAAATATTTCATTGTAAATTTAATACCTTGAAAGTTATAACCGGATACCCAATCGGCGAATGTTCTGGAATTTTCACGGAAAATGGATGGTCCGTAAAATAAGGCGCTGAGTTGACATCATCAATAAACACGTTGACCGTCGTTCTGCCTTGTAATCCGCCTTGATCCGTTGCGGATAATTCAAGGCGCACCTTATGATCCTGCGGATTTAATTCACCAGAGATGCTTAAGATAGCACCCTGGTCTCCAATTTCAAGAATGCTGAACACATCGCGATCAGCTTCCTCAATCCGATAGCTAATTTTCTGGTCCTCATCCTTATCCGTAGCCTTCAATTTCAAAATTTGGCTGCCTCGAGGTAACTCCTCCGAAATCGTCACATTATATTCGCTTTTCTCAAAAAGAGGAGCATTATCATTGACATCCTTCAGAATAATAGTGATAGTGGTGGTTGTATTCAATGGAGGAGTTCCCAGATCATGCGCCGAAACCATCAGGTCATATTTGGCGACTGTCTCACGATCGAGCAATTTCGTTGTCCGAATTACGCCATTATCCTCATCAATTACAAAATCCTCGGAGCCTTTCAATATGTACTTAATGATTCCGTTCGGTCCCGAGTCCTCGTCGATCGCCGAAATTCGTCCAACTTCTTCGCCGATTGCAACATTTTCCTCGAGCGTAATTAGTTTTTGCGCGGCAATTAATGTAGGTGCCTGAAAATAAATAACTTTTATGAGCGCGAACATAATTAGATGTTTACTAACATGATCATTCACGTCGACAATGTTTATAGTGAGCGGGACGGTGCTGGAAAGAGCTGGCTGAGCTCCATCTTTTGCTCGGATTACAGCAGTGATGGGAGAGTATTTGGCGTCAATCCGATCGCGCAAAGTCACTTCTCCCGTGGAGTAGTCAATTGTAAGCCCGTGACTCGAAGGAATAGCCATGCTATAGTGCACTTTTCCTGAAAACCCAGTTTTTCCACTGATTAGGTATTGCTATCTAACCATTGATTCCTGAATCCTGATCATGTGCAACCACTGTTGCAATGACCATAGGAAGAGTGGCGTTCTCCAGAATTGTGACATTATAAGAATCCGATTCAAATACAGGAGCGTTATCATTTACATCAATAACTGTAATCTCTACCAATGCTTTCGAATCACGTTTAGGAATGCCTTTATCACTTGCAATTACATCGAGTCTAAAGTGGAAGTTATTTTGTTTAAAAGTTATTTTTAACAATTTTTAATTATTCTTTACCTTATAAGAGACAATGTTTCTCTATCAAGTGGAGCGGATGTTTGAATAACTCCAGACTTTGAATTTATAGAGAGCAAGTTTTTCCCATTTCCGTCTCCTAGAGAGTATTCAACTTCTCCATTGTTACCATCATCCAAATCTCTTGCAAAAACGGATAAAACGGTCGTACCAATCTGCAAAACAAATCCATTTTTTGGGGGTCTCATATTACGCATTTCGTAGTACAACCCGACTCCTTTAATTATATATTCGAGGCTCTAGGCCTTCTTTACGATTTCGCGAGCGCGCGAGCTTCATCTCATTATAGGGGGGCAAAGCGCGTCCATGTTTTTCTCGACTTTTAGTGAAATGGTATACATTTACACGCACACAATTATGCTTCAGCAAATAGATCACACTGCAGCCCGCTAATGACAGATGGCAGTGCCGTGGGTGCGAAAGCACATAAACGGAGCCGAAATGATGAGCTCTCTCACAAAGAAAGAAAATTTCATTAATTTAATTTTCGTGTTTCGAGGGGTACATCGAATTATCGCGTGAATTATTATTATTAGCGAAACAGCTCGTTTCGACATCGGCACAGCCATTTTGCAACCACCAGGTGTACGAGGAGCCCGCATTTATCACATGCCGCCAATTTCGTAAGCGTGGTGTTGACAGCGGTCATTTACATTACACGTTGGGCGAAACGCAACGCAGGGCCCCAAGGGAAATTAGAATTTTTGAGCAGGCAGGCCACCAAAAGGAACTGGCCGTTAGCAAAATGAATCTTGGGACCTCTATGTATTTCGATAGGTGTTTAATTAGAGAAATGGAGTTTGGCCAAAAACAGAAGCAGCTGGTATTATTTCCGGGTGAATTACATGGCTATCGAGTGGACCACATTGTTTCATTTACGAGTCCATCCCAGGTGACTGACCACTATTGCGCGCCTATGCTCTCATCGAACTCAACGCTTTCTCGTTTTTATAATTACAGGGCTAGTTGGCTAGGTGGACACGAACCGGAGCATCCTCGCGAATCTCGCCGAAATACGAGTCCTTTTCGAAAATTGGACTATTATCCTGAACGTCTTGAACGTGCACGACAACAGTGGCACTTGCAGAGATTGTGGGATCCACTCTCTCATATGCAGTAACCTGAATAATAAAATGAAATGCGGAAGCACATTTCAATCCTCTTACTTTTAGTATATGCTTATCAAGAACTTCTCGGTCCAAACTTTTCGCCAAACGAATTTCTCCGTTCATCTGTAAATTGGATAGATGCATTACTCGTGCTTGGCTTCTATTCATACGTAATTGCATTTTTTGCCATTTATCTATCTTTTTTTGGAAGCCAAAGAGAAACACTTACTGTGTCAAGAGTAAAAATATTCTGCGACCTTGAGTCTTGTGGAGCTACCATTGAATAATATAAGGGTTGGTTTGAAGCATGGGAAGCTTTTACAGAAACTACAAGGCTGCCGATCTCCGTGTCTTCAGGAAGTTCTCGAACATATCTGAACATTATTAAATTTGTTTCCAAATTCGTATAAAGCATCGATATAATTTTGCGGAGGTGGTCTTAAACCTTTCTCTGCTAATATTTAAAGGGTCCCTTACTTTTCTTGTTGGAACAAAACCGCATTAGCGTCCGGATTTCGCCTTCGCGCCCATCTTTTGACTCGTTTACGAAAATTTTGAGTTCGCCGAAGTGACGAATGCCCAATTTTCATTCTCGACTTGTACCATTTTCCATTGCATTCATACTTATAATCGATTTCTCTTTCACCGTCAAAAAAACATATTCGCTCTCTTGTTAGTAAAATGTTGCCCTCAATCAGCTCAACATTTGTCGACGAGATTGCTGATGGCCCGGGACAGTTTTGACTTTCAGGCCATTGAATTATCGGCTGCCCAGAATGCAAACAGGGCGGTCGAGATGATGGCAGCCAAATTATTTCGTGATTCGAGGGAACTGCACAAGGCTTGCAAACAGTTTGAATTGAATTTAAAGAATAATAGTGTTCGTCGTAAATATGAGAAATGCAATAAGGAATATGTAGCAATAATATGAGTAATTTCATTTTTGCTGTCAAAGCAGTGGTCATCACTTCATGGCCTTGTTGGTGAAGAATGGCGCACTCGTGGGCGGAGCCTGAATGCAGGGTGGCGGAGAGGGGGACGTTGAGCCATGTTCGCATCCAGCTGTCATATATAAGCATGCGAGCTACGAGAGTATCACAACACGTAATTTGCAGCTTAAGAACACTCGTGCACCTTTTGATATGTATGTGAACTTAATCAGCCGTACGGGAAAACAAAGCAGGGAAGCGGATTTGAAATTTCCATTCGATTTTATTCAGAATTTCATTCAAAATGTGTATTCAAAAGATAGTAATAAGAATTTTTCAAATTTTTATTTCGAAAAGTAGCAATTCTGTTCCTTCCATTTCTCGTTCATTGCGCATTTAATTGCGAGTCATGACAATATTGCAAATTTTAAACATCTGTTGCCGTCTTAGGTGCATTCATAATATAATCGTCCGAAGAATCGAGGTTCGCAGTTTTTTGCCGCTCAATTGAGCAGCCGAAAAAGGAAAACCCTCGTCGTTTTTCTTTTAAGGTGCCACACCGGGCTGAGACCGGACGTGTTCGATGCCAAGTGACAGGTGTTCTTCGCGAGACAACCCTCATTATACGATTGCTACATTTATGGGCTCTTGCCAGGCGGCACGAGGGACGAGAAAGTGCGTTCACTTTCACTTGGAAATATTTGTAGCCGTGCCGTCAAGTGCAATATTTCAAAAACTAATTATTGTCATTGTTTGCTCATGGAAGAGTACTCGAATTTCTCATAAATCAGCCTCATCCAACAACAAGCAGGAACACATTTTGTGGCACCACTGCCTATGAAATTGTGTTCGCTGATGAATGAAGGCTGCGCAGAGGCGGGTTTCACAGAGCTTCAGAAGGAACATATTGAAATACATCAATCACACATCAAATAGCAACCAGCTCCGCACGAGGTCATTCACTCATTTGGTCCGAGATGCCAGTCGCACAATTAATAATCTTCAGAGCTCATTCTCTGTTGGAATGGATGAACTATTCTGACAGCGACACCACAAACAGCGACGTAAACAATTTTGGAATAATAGCGTTTATAATTAAGAATGACGCCGTCCGTTTCGGTGACTAGGTTGCGAAATTGATACGAATTTCTGAATAGCACCACGATTCTAGCCAATTTCCCGCTTTATTTGGAAAGAAAATTGCTTTTATTAGTTTTTTTCTGTCGAAAAACAAGAAATGCAATGCACACCCCTTGAGATTTGTCAGCTCATACGCAGTTACTAATAAATGGGCAGTGTGCAACAAGTGCATTCAAATTCTCAAAAATTTCGTCTAAAATATGCTAATTCGATATTTGAGATGACTGGCTGTCAGCGGGCTCATGCATGAAATGTATATATGTATGTAAATATTATACAGTTTAATTTAATGACATGAGACGTTTCTTATATTTTTCAAAATTAAGAGCGATTTGCATATAAAGGCGAAAACGTCAGGAATAAAAATTGAAACATTGTTCAACAATTCGAATATATTGTTGAGAAATGACAAATGTATCCGGGTGTCGTGGGATCCTGCGTTTTGTACGCAATGCTAAGAGACAGTTACCGTAATTCTCGCAGCGATTTACGGAGTTTTTTTTTAATTTTCTTTCTATTTTTTATGCTGAATTTTCTTATTTTCTTTAGAAATCTTATATTTAAAAACTGTAGAAACCGAGTTTAATTATTTAATTTTCAGAATATGCACTTTTCCACTTGTCCAGTTGAGTTGGGAATTATTTTGAAGATTTTGACGCTCTAAAAATTATTTTCAAAATGAAGAATACAAAAACAAGATAATAGAAACGCATACAAAAAGCAAAACACGATTAAATAATTTTATTAATGACAAAAGTGTTTTTTTTTTAAATCTTTGCTGTTTTCACCAAAAAAATATCGTTTAAAAGTGCTTATTCTGCTAAATAAATTATTAAACTCGGTTTCTGCACAATTTAAATAACAAAGTTTCAAAGGGAAATACGGAAGTTGAGCGAAAAATAAAAAAATGAATATGCGAAATTAAATAAAAAGTCCCCGTAAATCGTTACGAGGATTACGGTAACTGTCTTTTACCATTGCGTACAAAACGCAGGATCCTACGACACCTGGATACATTTGTCATTTTTCAACAATACAGCCAACAGCTAACCGAATTTCGTCTAACATTTTAAAAAGGAATAAATTGTTGAATCGTGTATGAGAATGGTAAGAGTATCGGTAAAATCAGGTTTTTTGAAATTTCAAATGTTTGTTTTAATATTTTCATATAGTTTTCAAGGGATTTCTCCAATTAAATAATGGATTCATTGGTTTTTACTACTTATCAAAAGTACGGAAATCACGTTTAAAATTTGTGGTCGATGTTTTAAAAGCGCTCCATCGCACTAGGGCACTTAAAACTTTTTGCAATTCGGTATCACTTATTCCGTGTGTCTCCGATTTTTGTACTTTTTGACCCTTTTTAAATTTTGGCTAATTATCAGAAATTTCGAAATTTCAAGTAATTCGAAAATAAGATTATACTGGAAACTACACCTATTAACTAAGTTATCATCCACGGTAGCCTAAGTGAATTTAAAAAATCACAAGTGAATAAGTATCATTGGTAATACGCATAATTCTCTCAGACAATTTAACCATTTAAAAACCGCGAATTGCATTTGAAAAATACTTAAAATATATTTAGCTACCGTATATATTATAGGGACTTATCAAAATGTTTTTGTAAATTCTTAAAATGAAAATTTGTGGCGGCAATTCCTGGAAAACAGACAATGAAAAACTTGTTCTATATTTGTTTTTGCTTTATTTTTAAAATTTACGTGTTTGTCTATACTTTACATCTATCATTTAATAATAAATGTGTTATAATGTGAGAGTTTAAGAACTTCAATGTTAAAAGGCCTGCTATCATTGACATGCATGAATAAGAAGGAGCGAAAAAAATTAGCTATAACTCAAGGTATAAAAACGAAATAAATAATAAATTGATTTTTTTTCGCAGGCCCCCAAAGTTCTGAAGCCAATCAACGTCAACCAATTCAAAATGAAGATGCGCATAGATCACTGCACAATGAGTCTAGCATTACTATTCCCGAGTTCCATGATTATAGAGAAGAATTAAATATTTCCGATTTTATTTCTAAAGTAACCGACGACCGACCGTTAGAAGATGCAATTTGTGAAAACAGAACGACACCAATAGATTTTAATACGTCTGAAGTTCGTAACGACGCCGATGTGTTTGGTAATGTTGATTTAAAATTCTTATTAGATTTGCTTGTTTCCAGCCAACGTCGTCATCAGAAGAAGCGGGTTGTCACTAACCCCTTCGCCAATCCCAGAAGAGCTTGACAATTCATCAGCGTCTTTCAGCATTAAGCTCGAGTAAGAGAACTATAAATTCACTCAGATTTCAACAACATTTTCAGCTCCCCAATTCACAGAAATCGTTTTAACTCATTAATAGAAGATAAAATTTATGATCATCTCAGTGATCACGAAAAGCCTCCAACGATTAAGGCTAAGAAGGTGATTCGTTCTTGAGAAAACCACCAGAACACTCATATTTAGATTGCCGAAGTCTATGAATCTATCGAATCCTCCCCGAGTCCGTCATCGTCTTCATGCGAATTGCGAATTGGGAATAAATCAAGGATGTCCCTATCATTCCACAATCAAAGGAAAAGTCCAAAACATTCTCCGATGATCGGAGGTTCTTTGCGTCAACCGAAAAGGAAGCCTCTCTCGATTTTGACAAAAAGTCCTTCTAGAATCTTCAAACCGGACCGCCATTTATTGAATTCATGTAAGTAAAAATGACAATAATAAGCATGCGAAGCGACTTACGATGCTTATAATCAGTTTGCTCAGATAATTACGTGATACATGTTTGGTTAGGAACCCGTATGAGTGCCACTTAATGTTGACATGTTTTCGAACGACGAACTGTTCACCGAAGGCTATGCAAATTTGAAACGAGCTCGTCCGTCGCAATCTCATTTGTGTTTTGCAAAAAGTTTCGTCGCTTGAATATGTAGTCAGGTGTGCACGAGAACATCTTCGGCGTTCCGCGCCGCCTGTTGAGGCCATTTATCAGAGCTTGTCAGATATTCGACCATTCTTCTGGTCACCTTTCTTTCGTTATCTGGCTCTCATTGTTGGTGGTACACTTTCTCAACCCATCTGCTCTCTCGACCAACTTGATTAAAACTCCGGCTTCCATTTTTTGTCTTCTTTTAATGTGATTGTTTTTTTTAATTAATTGGACTACAACACCTGTCAGTGTGTCCTTTTATTTTTTTAAAATCAAAAATTTTGCGTTCGCCATTGCATAATGCGCTTAGAAAGGAAGCTTTGTAGATTTTTCATTCGACATAAATATGAATTTTTGTCGTGAATGATGCTATGAATAAGATAGAAATGGGATGCGCACTTGTCTCTTTTTTCTGAAAGGTCGAAAAATAACACTACTCTCCGCCGCGCATCCGCCAGATGGGTTGTTTTGAGCGCGAAATTTGAATTTTCACTGTCTTGTTGGTATGTTGTTCAATCGAAATATTCTTTCATCTTCATTTTTTTGCATGTAATTCACACTCATCTATCATTGATCCATGAACATGAGCTTATCCGTTGTAAAAAGTCGTCTTGCTTTTTGATTGTTTGCAAGAATAATATTGTTGGCAGAAATGAGTAACGAGCGGGTATCGACGGGGTCTTTAAGTGAGCGGCTCATGCTCAGGACAAGAAATACCGGAGGATCTGTTCGAGAAACACTCACTAAAGCTATTCGATCGACGTTGCGAAGAACGTCCTCGTCTGAGTTAAAGTCCGCATCACAATCTCCGAAATTTGGGACGGCATTGACAGCGATGACTTCAAAAACACCTTCTGAAGAAAAAAGTTCAGAAAGTGAAGGCTCCCCGCAGGCAAGCGGACAACTTGTGAGTTTAACATTGAACATTTTTCAAAGTAAAATGAATTTCAGAATACTACAAGAACCTTCTTTAATAGCAGTAGCGAACTATCATCACGATCAAATTCGAGCACGCCAAGACGTACCCGTCAAACAACAAGCTCGTCGGGCTTTGGAAGTCTCAGCCATTTGCCCCCACTTCATTATAAGAAGAGTGCGGATTTGATGTCGCAAAGTTTATGCGTTCAGTCGAGTAAGGAAAGCCAGATCGGATATAGGAGGTCGCTATCAAAGTCAAGAAACTTCTTCGACGATCCTTTGGAAACCTGGACGCCTTCATCGCCGAGTTTGATGACTTTGCGAGATTTCATGGCAACTAATGATACAAATGTCATCGATGACGATGATATGGACTATGAATTCGATAACGACGACGATGATGTTAAATCAGTTGTTTCCTCAGCATCTACAAGTCGATTATTCTCAATGGATCGAAAGTTCAACCATAAAAAACAATCCCTTCGAATGTTTTTGAATTCTCCAGGTATTTCTTTTCTTTCCCTCTTTATCTAAGACAGTTGAACTAAAAAGTTTAAAAACGACTCCCCAGTGTGTTCCAAACGGCATTTCTTCAAAGCGGACGTTTTTTCATTATCTCATCTTCCTGCTCATAAAACACTAGTGATTATTTTGTCGAAGTACCCTATTAACTAATGTTCTCTAATCTGAGAGTGCACCGCGAAGATGATAAAATGAAATAATGAGTGATTGCCGAATGAATTATGTTGGACCGTGTTTATCCATCTTGCTAAGCGAGCTCTCTTCCCCCAACACCCCATCCACTCCTCGTTTGTCGCCTCGAGTTCGACACGAACCATTTCAAGCACTTACTCTCGAGTTTGCCTATTATTCTTCCAAAGCAGTTATAATTGAAATACAAGTTCAATTCGATGCCGTTCATCAAGTCTGTTACTGGTATTTATTTATTTATTTTTCTTTTTAAGAAATGCTTACATCTTTTCGTCTTAGTGTTTAGAATTTCTTTGTCTCAACAGAAGACAAAGGACATCTGAAGAAGAAATAATAAAAGGAATTTTCAAAATATATTTAGAGCTTTATACTTGCGAATAAATTTAAATGTTTTCTTTTACTAGTTTTTCCTTATATCGATAGTTTAAAAATGTAAAGTTGTCAATTAGCACATCTGTGGGTGGTTCAATAGTTAAATGTCTCGCAGCTGGCCAGCTGCTGCATTGGACGACATGCACCTGTGAACATGGTAATGGAAATCTTGCGGTTTTTCAACTTAAAACAACATCGAAAGAGTCGTATGGCCGGCGAACCTTGTCCAACACGTGGTCAACATCGTAAAAACGAACGCAAACGCGAATGTAAATCATCGTTATTACCATGTCGCGTTTCTTTTCTTTTTATTTTCTATTTTGATATGCATCGAAAACAGAGTTCACATTATTCAGCTCTTTTTTCGGCAATAGTTATTCTTTGGGCCTGCATTGTCTGCTCACCTGTCGATACCGATGACCATACCATATTCTTCATTGTCCATGCACGTTTGCTCACATTGACGACGAACGCTGGCGTAACGCTCGCCGAATTTAGTGACCCCGCCTATTGCGCGGCTAGTTGCTGACGAATCGTTCCTTTCGCGTATATCTTTCGAATACCGTGTATCGTTTGCCGTGCAATATCCACAACGGCGACATATTAATATTAAATCATCGGATGATTGTGACATTATCCCATTATCATTCGTTATTATTATAATTATTTCAATCGTCGAATCGCACTCCTGATTCAATTCGATTCTATGGTTTCTCGCGATTCAAAAATATTTTAGAGCTGTTGCGATTTATTTCTATTAATCAATAGCTTTTAAAAGTATTTTGCGGAATACGAAGGCTACTTGATTCGGAAATGACATCACTGTGCACGAATTTTCTCGGATTTGCATTCCCCGGCGGTTAGTTTCATTTTCATTTGTTTTCATTTTTCAAAGGAATAAATGCGGTTGGCTGGTCGCCGGTAACGCGAAAACAGCGTCTCTAATTAATTTGATACACCGACTGATCAGAATCAACATTGACAAAATTAAACATTTGAATTTTTGAGAATTAATTAATTGCCGTTGGTTTAATTATTTATTAGGGTTCAAATTATGCACGATGGAAGTATAATGATCCAAAGGTTATTACTCCTGAAGATTGATCTATTTCGAATAATTGATGACACTCATTCAAAAATGTTTTGCCACCTTCACTTGGCGGTAACTTTTGTGTATATGATTTGTGAAGCAGATGTATAGGCTTACGTGACTGGCTAGTGCAAAAACGACATTACGATTGCGTTGAATGAGTCGGCAACCAATTGGATTTCTTTAATAGAATCTTCTCTAAAACTTTATCACGTCTTAACGTTTGATTCATTCTCACGAATTAATGGCCAATGCGTCCGCCGTTTCCGCCATTTTTCAACAGTACGTTTTGTTTATATCTATAGTGCGAATCGGTTTGAAAATTAAGCGAATCCCAATCGAATCCATTCATTTTCATCAGATTTCGACTACCCAGACGCTTGTTTTATGGTCAATTACATACACGCGAAGCTCTCATCCTCACCACATTTCCACATTCTTGGCTATTATCTGACCCCTAGATCTTGCGATGAGGCGACGCGAACCGTGTTTTTTCCTAATTGGAAGCATTAGGGGCCATTTTTCGTTTAGCGTGTTATTTTTTCGGGTCCTTTGCAATCCCAACTGAATGGAATGAATGAGAAATGAATGGCAATTTGCGTGACATGTATATTCATAAATGTGTTTCTCACCTTTCGGCATAATTAACAAGTATCGAAGCTCTGTCGAAGGCATTGTGTTCTAAACAAATAAACGAACGACGAATGGTATTAATGTATCTTGCGTGGCAAATATTGAATGGCGAATCGACCTTGGCTATAAACTTTTTATGGTGAGAAGGACGTTAGAATTACTGGTCATTAAGGGAAACTCTGATGAGTGTCGGATAATTTTACGCAAAATTTATTGTCTCAAAGGAATTGATAAAATTAAATCGATTTCCATCAGCTTATTTTGGAAGAATTGTTTTGTATATGTGAGCTATATTTAGATCATATTCCAATTCACTTGTTTGCGTACTCATGGCATAAAAACCATCGAGAGGTCGATGCACGCGTGATTGCGTAATGCACATATGGCTAAATGGTAGCCCATATATTTTCGACAGCCTTTGATCGTCGAGAACGGCGATAGACCCTCCATTAAAAATAATGGGGTCTTTTCAAACATATGATAGTGATTTAAGGTGGCTCTTTGAAAAGTATGCTAGAATTTGCACCAACGCAGATGTCAACTGTCGCACGAGATTCTGTTTCTATTCATCACCGCGTGTGCGGCGTTTAACATCAGCATTTTTTTTGCTATTTATTTTTCATAGGTCGTCTCGACAAGACGTTATATTTTCCGCGACAGAAAATGTTCTCCGCTGTGATGTTGTGCATTGAGCTACTTGTGATATGAGAGCATCATCACTTCAATATCATTTCACTCAGAGCGAGCCACTTGACGGTTACCATTTACTCCTCACCTCAATGCTTTTCTTAATAGCAATGAACGGCTGAGTTGAGTATTTACTTCGACACTATAGGAATTTAATGCGATACGTTATTATTTTTAATATTTTCTCCTGATCAACGAACGAAAGAGTTTTGCGAAACATGTGCATTGTGTGCTTAGGCTACACATGTCTTATTAAAATTCAAAATTATTGTCTTGACTATATGCCGAATATTACTGTAATAATTGCGCCCAAAGCGACTAATGAATTGATTGATGAATATATTCCCAACGATAAGTATAACGAGGTGCCGAGACGCGGAAACAGTGATCGTGAGTTACGAATTTGTTCTCAACATTAGCATTCAATTTGGGGGAATATTTCAATTTTACGAAATTTTTGTTTTAATTTGCATTATTTCAGTACGTCTTCGCAAAAGGGTGGATTCTTCTCGTCGTGACGCTGTTGAAGCTGGATTTGAACCACGCGAGGATGTTCCGCGATGCCATTCCACTCAATCATTGAAAGATGCGCAACGAGTGAAATCATACAGAGGATCCCAATTCTTGGTGCATAACTAATCTCGCTAGTTAACTTATAAGCGATTTCAGGCTAGCGATCTTTCACTTGATCCAAATGGTCGCATCGTGGCGCCATGCGACAGCACTAGCGGAAACAATGCGCCAACAGCGATCATAACTCCCAGCGGCAGTCACAAGTTGATACATTCCGCCAGCAAGTAATAAATCCGTCATTAAAATGCATGTTCCACAATATCATGATTCTAGGTCAAGTTATGACTTCGAACAAGATGCTTTGATGAGTGAACGCCGACGCAGCTTGCAAGTCTTGAACGGTAGGGTTGGCTGCTGGTGTGATTCGCGGGGTTTTGATAATTATAAGAAAAGGTGACAAATCAGTCAGCCATATTGACTGTTCCTCGGGTTTATTAGCAATATCGGAACTGTCGACGCAGCGTGAATCCATTTCGGGCATTAGACCTCCTGCCGACTAATGATAGTTTGCTTATCGGTCGAGTTTATTTGAATTGCGTCGCATTTGTTTCGCCCTATCGCTAATATTTCGTTTTATGTTGCAAAGTTGCATTCAATAAGCGGTAGTAGCGATGAGTGACGAACCGCCAACAACCAAACCGTCCACTATTAAATCGCGATTTATTCGATCGTTTTCGGCTGGCCGCCGAAGCACTTGGCGCAGAAATTCAACGGTTCCCCAGTCTGAGATTTCAGCGTCGTCATTATATCAAAATGGACGATCGCAATTCACGCCGAGCCACGATATTCCTCAAACCCATGGCACACGAATTCGAGTTTCCAGTGTGAACACAATTTCTGAAGGAACGGCAACACCGCAATATTCCATTGAGTGAGTCTTTTCTTTTGAGTTATTTTTATTATTTTTTGTTATCTTTTAAATTGTTTCAAAACATATATTTTAAATTCAAATACCAAAACCAGATATTGTGAAGAGTGGATTAGTAGCCATTAAATATAAACACAATCCGTTTTTTCACTCTGAATCGTTTTTCCTATAGAAAATGCGACAATATCAGGTTTCACACTCAATGATGCGTAATCGTGCTCTTTTTTTGCACGCGAAAGGGTCAACTAGTAATTCTGTATGTATAACAGGACCGTAAGACGTAACCAGCTGTCAGTTTTGCTATTGTTGTGGCCCGGTCTTTTATATGTAGGAGGTCTCTCGTAAATGCAATTTGCGAGGAGGCCCACGAAATTGCATCAAGTTGAAAATCGGAATCGTAGCATTCAATGTCTATTTATTTGGAATCCGCAAAAGATTTTGCAATTTTACTCAATGTTCTCATCTCAAATATATGTATGCCGTTTGCGCCATTTGAAATTTGTCATATGGTGTTGCGAATCGTGAGAAGATGGCTTCCACGACAGATGAATGTGGTTGACAAATGGAATCGAATGGAAACACATTCGACTATTTCATTTGCCGCTTTGACTTTTGGCTTGTCACATGCGAAATGTTGATTTCTTATTGAGCTTCACATTGTGCAAAAAACATGTTTCTTCTGATTAATTTTCTTTTGCTTTTTTAAAACGTAAATTTGCGCCGCTCATTGTTTAAATTAAATTTGATTTCCCGCCTCAAATATTGCAATGATTCACAATTATTTAAAATTCTCATTTTTTGGGATCATAAAAATGGTCTAACAAAGATATTCAAATCATTATGCACATTGCCAGCAGTTGCCGGGAAAAAACGACATCATTGTTCTGGCTATTGCAGTAATTGGGGCTCTTCATGTCTCATTATTCATACGGGCGAGACGAGTGTTCCTTAACGTCGTCGACACTCATCTTCCTCCATTTTCTTGCTCTCTATCTCTTTTCGGGTTTATTCCTACGTCCCGCGCACACTGCTCTGCTTTCCTTCATTGGCGATTTCAGAATCGCATTTTTTTTTTTCTTCATTTTTCGTCCCTGCGCTTGCCTATGTTATGGTTTCAATATCAGGGTGGTGGTGATTAGAAAATCCGGAAACCGCACTTTTCGTTGTTTATTTAGTGTTCGCACCTGGCTGATTTTTTTCGTTGCTTCTTTTATATTATTTGCACAATTTCCATCAGCGAGGCAAAATTTTTGTGGGAATGAATTGATTTTTCGTATGGCGTCGAATTCAAGAATTGAAAGGTGCGTTCGAATCTCTTGTCTTTTTTCCATGAGTTGCTCGATGCGAGACATGAGGATGTAATAATCATAAAATTGGCATTCGTGAAAACTCCAATGAGACATGTTTATTCCTAACGTCGTCTTCTTCATCCTTTCGACTTCTTAGATCATTGTTTATGTGTTCAAACAAAGCCTTATTGGCTGCAGTTTCATTTTTCCAACCATCTTTGTTTATAATTCTCTTTTCTCTCTTAGTCGATATTTGTACGGAAACATATTCTCATAATTTTTAGCAAGAGAGAATTTTTTAAAATGGTGTAATGTCCATGGTATCTGGTAAATCCGATAGCTCTTCACGTTGGTCGATTCGTCCGTCGTGCTCCTGCAACGATTCATTGTTCACAATATCTGATACTGAGTGTTCGGAAATTGAGGCCGATCGCCGAGAGAGGCATGCATTTAAGAAAAGGTGGAAAAAGTTAGAATCAGTGGGAGAAACTTTTTGCCAAACGAAGTTCATGAATAAATATTGGTACTTTTTTCAGTCAGCGACGAAGCGTACACAATATCAGCAATTCGCGAAATTCGTTCGTCGAAGGAATCAAAAAGACATCGACGCCGAGGAATCAGGTGAGCAATTTATTTTCCTGGTGTAATACTGTGTAAAGAACAATCATAATCAGTTATCATTGCATGTAATAATTATTACAATTTTAAATGCAATTAGTTCAATTCCATTCGGTAGATCGATTTATTACGTACATCTCAAATCGAATGAGCGATAACCAAGAGAAACGTCGAGTTTGACAGACGTTCGGAAAAAATTTGAATTTAAATTGGCATTTTTGCCGTTGTTTATTAATGGCATTTGGGTCGCGTCAATTTTACAACGTGCGCAGGTCTTTTCGTCCATCGAAGTGTGAAAAGTGTAGGGTCGCATCAAAATGTCAGCTTTTGAGAAGCCATTCGAACATTTTTGTTGAACAACATAAGAAAGATTTAAGCCGATTAACGCCATTGTCCATTTGTGCGGCACGCTTTTCTTTTTTGTGTGTTCTCTGCATAAATCAAAGTCTTCGATTAATTATATTGCTTCGGTACTTAGACAGACAGACGAACATGTCTATTCAAATGTTCACAATTTTATATCTCTAACTCACGCAGCCTCTTATTTTTGCGCGCTCCCTCACAACCTGTAGATATAGTTGCCTCAACTATCCGAGTTCGTTTGTGTTCGCCCTCCTCCCTCCGTTAGTTCTCTGCGTCGACGCCTACTTGTCAACTGCATACTTTTGCATAAAATCATCGATGTTTGTTTTTTGTCGCTCTCTGCGTCTCTATTGTTTTTCATTGTATTTCCTGTTTTCGATTTTTACTGGAATGCAACAGACAATTATCGTAATACTGGATGTTTTCAAAATGGAATGTTTATTTTTCTGTAGAAAATGAATTTGAATTTTGGCCCAACTAGGCACGAATTGACCACCGTTAAAATGTATGTATTGATTGAATATTGATTTATTTTAGCATTTATATCAAAGTTTTTCATATTGTTCTGAGAATATTTCATGCCGAACTGTGCCCTCTGAAATATTTGCAAATAAACAGAACTCCTTGACTAAGCGCGCAAGTAAATACTCGATGAGTTGTATGAACGCTCACATTCGATGTACGATGTATTTTATTCATTCACGATGCACACCCAAGAGGGCTTTAAAACATATGTCGCCAGACGCTCCATTAATGTCTTTTTTCGTTGTTTGAATAGTTTATATCTCTAATCAGAAATCAAATAATCCCGCTTTGACATACAGTTTCGCCAAGGATTGTTCGTTGTTTTCTATTTTTAAAAAGCAATCTGTTTTTTTTTGGTATGAGAAAAACTAGTCGTGAAAAATGCGATTCATCCTTGTGTGATGAATCGCAATTTGCCACTCGCTTGCCTGGTCTCCTCTTCTCCGCATTCCACATTCTTTCGAATATTCGCAATTTGCCATTTGAAAACGCTTGCCCGTGACAGGTGCGGCGTTTTTTTTTTCGCTCCAGGCTCTTTTCTCGTTTAATACGCTTATAAATCTCAATTATCTTATATCCTTATAAACTAGGAGAATAACGCCGCATCAATTTTTTAGACACTTCTATCGCAAGGCTATCTCTGCGGGCCTCGCGCAATGTTTATTCTTGCTCTTGCACAGGAGGTTTTTTGGTGGACGCTTCTTCATCTTCTGTTTTATGGCCTTTGTATCGATTTTTGCGCATTCGTCCTTCATATTCCAATATAATTAGCCTCAGAACCTACTGGCGAAGGTAATCCACAAGTTGTGAACGGTTTGGATATAACGCCGATGACCGTGAACAATATCACTTTTTTCTTCGTTCTCACAGATTTTCAATTCAAAATCAATTAGCCCAGTTCTCGTGATTACGAACGTACGTCGAAGAAAAAATGTTTATTTCGTGATGCAATCATTTCTATGTGTCGTTTTTATTATCAATCTAAACAAAAACAAAAAACGGCGAGCGAGCGATCGAATTTTGTTGTTTTCAGTCGTAACGTCGAAAAAAAAAGATTTAAATGTGCGATTACCGTGTTCTGAACCGCATCAAGTCAGTTCCAAGATAGTGATCTCAATTTTTTTTATTTCTCATCGCGAATACTGTTGAAAACATGATCAGATGGAATATCACAAGGTGTTCACACCATTTTTGGTAGTCTCAGATCGTTAATGATTTCGATATATGATCGCCCACGACGTTGGGTGGGCGGAGGCGTTTCTTTCCATTTTACGAGGTTTTGTCTTCATTGTCGCATTTATTTCATTTCGTTTGATCTTTTCCGGCGCATTCGTATCTGTCTCATAATTTCCGCATATTTGCAGCGAAACGAATCGACGCTACTTCTGTATATTTCGTGTTCGATTTTTCTAATATTCGTCGTCTAGTCAGTGATATCAATAATCAAATCAATAGAATTTATTGATAGTAGCTTGTTAATAAGAAATTTAATTAATACCGTATACCAACGGATGGGAATTTGTTGCTGTTGCGGTCCGATGGGAAAATTCTACGCCAAGGTTATCGAGCGTCTTACTGGTACCGCCAGTAGCCATTCGGACCAGAACGGAAACGGTCCAGAAACTTCGAACCGCCAAATTGGTTCGATAAGTGGTTCAGCAAGGCAACGGGCGCAGTCGGGAAGTCCCGCTGTTCATCGCAAAAAAAGACCTGAGGTTTGAGATAATTTTGACCCAATTACGTAAGGAAAAGTGAAAAATTCTTTGTGAGATGTATGAAATACTATTTAAAAACGAATATTTGCATTTAAAGTTGTAACGAAATTAATTTTCAGTTATGTAATAAAAATTAAATTTTTTTCTAGGCAGCAGTTGCTCCATTATCACAAAAACCACGACACCACAGCGGATCGCGCGATGAAATGCGATCTGTGGACCGCCGTGGCAGTGGTGGTCCACTCAATTTGCCCGCCTATCAAAACTATGTGATGCGCCACTCGGGAGAAGAACGTCTTGGTAACATTTGATTGGTTAAATTATTGAATTGAAATGAATAATATTTTAGTTGATGGACCCGCCAATTCTCCGAGTACAGGTCGCATCGCTTATTTGGAGCAGCGGATTCGCGAGCTCGAATTAAATCAACAGGAGCAGGCAATGAAGCACCAGAGCACTCCGGTTTCTCAGCGCCGTTAGTCTTATTTTTACACGGTTTAATAAAATTCATGGAATTTAGACACTCGTCAATATAATCATAGTAGTATGTCGACTAGTGATCAACTTAGAATGCAGGAGATGAGTGACGAGTTGATGATGAAGGAGAAAAAAGTGGCGCAGCTCGAGGTAAATATCATATATTTATAATAGTTCGCATATTTTTATTTTTTAGGGTAAGTTGCTCAAGGCTTATCAACGAATTCAACGAATGAGCGATGAGCATGACCTCAAAATTAAGTCGGTTGTGTTTGATGCTGAGCGTGCACGTGATGATCTGACTCGTTGTGTCGACAAGTTGAGAACCGTCGTTTTAAAATTTTATTGGAATATTTTCAGAATTCACCAACTAGAAAGTGAACTAGAGGTTATGCGGCTGACAGCGCAAAACGGAGATCACACTAACGAACAAAACAATCGTGAATTGCTTGATAGGATCTGGAAACAGGACCGAGAGCTTCAAGAAACGCGAGTTCTTCTCAATAGGCTTCGTGAAAAGGAGGCCGAGTTTGAAAAAATGCGATCTGAAAAAGGATATCTCGAATTGAAAAATGAAAATTTGAGCAAAAAGTTGGAGGCGAAGAAAAAGGCAATGGAGGACTTGGAGAGAAGTGTTTCGGTAATTTTTTCTATTTTTGAATTACGAAAATTCCTATTCAGACATTGCGGCTCGAGCAAACCATATGCCAACAGTCGTGCTCATCAGGCTCGACGCCGCTTGCTGATGAAATGGAATCGATGACTGACATCCGACCTTCAGTTGCAAAATATACCAAAGCTCATTCAACTTTGAGCAACATGTCGCCTCTGCCACATTCAAAATCTACGGGTTTAACAAAAAGTTTTTCGAATTTCGCGCTCAATTCTTCTAAACGTGATGACACAATCACTCCTCTCATGAGTCGCACTCTTCGCGAACAGAATCGGTATATTACCATGTGCCGCGCCATGGTTGTTTGCCTTAAAGAGGCTTGTGATCGATTGTCGAAGGGTGAGCATCCGGATATTCCTAGAATTCTTGGTGTTAGAAGTAAGAAATTTCAGTGACATATAAAATAGATTAATTAATAATTTAGTGAACGCCATGTCGGAAAGCGAAATGGAGGATGACGATGAGGAAGCTGACGCCTCGAAGCCGTTCTCGATGCAAACTGCTGAAAGCGTGGTAGGAAATTTCACGGGAATAGTACAAAATTGAATATTTCTATTGCAGTTGGCGAAACAGAGCCAGAAGCTAAAAGAGCTCGACGATGACTTGAACTCCATTAGGCTGATGTTGGCCGATTGGCATGGACAACTCGAACCTAGCGCGGGTGGTGATAGCGAACGGGAAATTTGCCGATTACAATAGCTCAATTGCTAATTCTAATATCAACCGACGCTGCTTCAAGATTGTATCATGTTCTGTCAACTTTCAATTCGTCTCCCGTATTTATAATCCTTAATTTGTACGCGGTATGCAGGCACCACTGTCCATCTATTGTTTCATTGTTTTTTTTCTTGTGTTTTACTAATTGGATCCTATCATGAATTTACGCGGTCCTATCTGATTCGTTATAACGGACACCGCCTCTGAATTCGAATACTCTGTATGTACTAAAAGTTTGTTTCCATTCTGTGAAATAAATTATTCAATTTTATACATTTTTAAAACAATATTGAATATCGTGAAGTTTTGCAGAGAATAGAAATAAGTGCAGGCATGTAAAAAAATGTATTAAATAAATGCGATTTTTATCACATTTTTTGTATAAATAAATTTTATGAATTAGTCCATAATAGATTTTCCCTTTAAATATTATTATAAACAATACAATAATGTCTAAAGGAATGTTTTTAAGATCAAAACCATAATTTAAATTCTTTTTATTAGTGGGAGTGGAGCAAAAAGGCAGCACAAAACATATTCTGGGGTTTGTAAAAATATCTGAATATGATGATACGTACTGGAATCCAGCTATACCATTTTCAAAAAATTTCATTAATGTATTATTACAAGATTTTTGAAAAATGTTTAATAATGATAAACTGCGATAGAAAAAACGAAGAGTACTGTAGATCTCTGCACTACAAAATTGTGCGTAAAATAACGCACATTTCTGTGAACACGTTGTGAAACACAGGAACCATTCTGATTAATTCATTATTTTTCTGATTTATCGATATTTTCCAAGTTACGTGTCACTGTTAAATTATTAATTATCTTTTTCGAATAAATTAATCAATAAGTTGCTTAATTGTAATTGAGATGCGTTGACAAACACTTAAAATATTTATTTAACAGACCCGCTGTATTTAATAATTATTGCCGATTCTACCACAATTCGGCATTGATAAATCTGCGAAGGATTGCGTTTTGTGATCTGGAGAGATCTGGAAAATTCAACTCGAAACCCGCAATTCGTTCGACATCCCATATCGTTGCACTGTACTCCAAAAGTATTGCAGTATCATTCTAAACACAGGTACATTTTGATTGATTGAAAAATGTTTAAATATATTATCGTGTGAAACCCACCATGCAGTCTGTAAACGATTGTTCGTTTATAGGCATTATGAACGAGAGAGTTTTCATTTCCTCAAATTTGGTGCATTTTGGAGGATCTTCTGATATCCATCCTCCTGTGCAAGTTATTAAAATTCTGTAGAAGTGTGTTGGTGAACTTCTAAAAGTTTATGATCCGTATTTTAGCATGTTTATTTGTCATTGTTTACCCTTTTCCGTCAACAACTCCATTATGATCGACGTCATTAGCAGTTCCCGAAATCACGTAAACTTTTCCGTATTGCTTTATATAATTTAATGTTTTTGATCGCAAGGGTTCAAATTTTCGGTTCACAAAGTTATCAGGAAACTTGACAAAAGAACTATCAATGTTTTGCATATCTAAATTGAATAATTGATTTGATTTTTTAATTTCTATATAAAAAGGTTACCTCTCCCAACTGCAATACTAGTCATATTGTTGGTTATCGATATTAGACAAGACGATTGATACTTTGAATTGACAAAAGTGAAAACATCCTTGTCAACGTTACTTGCAGTATTCTCGACTGAGACAAGTTCCGAAATTCCTATCGACTTATCTGCACTAAATTGGATGAGAAATAAGCATTACTCTCCCATACCTTCAGTATTTCTTGGAATTATCAGTGATTTTATACAATAGTTCTGGAAGCAATGGTTTTCAGACACAATCGGAAGAATCCTAGGTGAAAAACTACATGTGCCAAGTCTAGAATTCAAAGAAGCCTAAATAATTTATATTGGAATTATTAATTTAGTTATATTATTAGTACCAAATCCCCCTTTCCGCTGCACAATTTTGCAGATGGCAATCCAATTATGGTGCATTCTCTTAAATAATTCTATCATTTTCTTCACAGCAAATCGAAAAATTACCCAATTTGTGGTGGTATCACGGCTTTTATTGGTGGATTTGTTAAAATATCATCAAAAAAGCCGTTTGTGCCATTTGTTGGTATTGCATTATCAATTCCAAGCAAATCTAGAAAAAACAATCATTTATGATATTTGCGAAGTTTCTTACGCATCCACAGATTCATGTATTCGACGTTTTGAAACGCAGGGGTCTCAACATTCTGTTTAAATGAAGGTCCTCTTGCAAAGAATATTGTATGCATTTTCTCATTCAAGTAATCATAGCCATGGTCTCCATTAATCTGATAGTAAGATTTATTTCTTCTGAAATCAGCATTAGCTACTCAAATAATCATATGATTGATATTACGGGAAGAATGATGTTCCAGGTGGACCTTCCATTATAATATCGCCGACCCTAGCATCCTTCGAATAATGCTTTCTAACCGGAATATCATCACGTGTATAAACTTTTACGTCGTCAATTTTGCAGCGCAAATGATCTACCAAGTCATTTGTAGTGACGTCTGAACTTTTTCGTATATTTGAGAATAGGAATTTTAGAAATACTTTGATCTTGTATGTATAACCTGCCGACAACACCTTTAGCACCTATCAAACCATGCATATTAATGTAATCTTCAAAAAAGTATGTCTTGTGAAGTTTCTGCATACCTTAATTGGAGAAAAGTAGTATTGTTTAAAAATTGAATTTACCATGATCTGATAAAATGACAAGATTGATACATTCAAGGAGATTTTCTTGATTAAGCCTGCTCATCATGTAATCCAAATCATTGTCGATTTCCGCAAGTTCTCTGTCAACATCTTCATCGTCTATTTGATAATGCCCAGCATTATCGGGCTCGTGTAAATATGCCGTAATAAGTCCAGGACGTTCAGACTCTGGTAGGAGAAGCCAGTCGATTATCTTAAACGGTTCCAATATTAAAGTTTACTACTGGTATCTTCCACTTGATCTACGCGGTTCCTTAATGGAAGTTCTTGGTTGTAAGATGGCGCAATATCGGGAGCGTAGCCAGTTGCATTGTACGCACAGCCAACCCAAAAAAGACAATGCGCCCGTCCGCCGGCCACACGTTTGAAAACCGACCAAATCTGGGCATTGTTCGTCGCACCTTATCTCCTTTTTAATCTTGACTTACCGGTTCACCTTTGAAGAAATTGTCATACTTTGTGGCTTTCATTGACTCCAATATTGGAGAAAGTGACGGATCGTAGACACTGTTATCCGCTGGAAATTTAAGAAACACGTAATTAGAAAATTAATTTGTTATACTTATTCCATGCGATTCTGGATAGAGGCCAGTGACTATACTGTAATGGTTTGGAAATGTTTTTGATGGATAGGATGGATAAACTTTCTAAACTTTTCAGATAATTTTTATATAATGGCTCCGAAACCTCTGCTTTAACGCCACAGTCTGCAATATGATTCAAGGTTTGAACAATGTTCCGATCGAAATATTCTCGTGCAAATCCATCAAGACTTAGAATAACCAACGGAGCTTTTGAATAGCTAAATTTTTATTTATTTTAGGAAATTAAAAAGGCAGCTTACTCCGTTTTTTTGCACTTCCCATGATTCTCGCATCCTTTCCACTCATATCGCGCTGTTGGGCTCATCCGGGGAGGATCTGGCGTTGTTGGTCCGAAAACTGATGGTTGGATTGGCGGAAGTCCAGTTGGTGATTTGGGTAAATTGGGCAGTTGTAGGCCGAGTTTCTCCAACGTTGGTCCAATTTTTTCCAGAGGCGTACGAATCGACTGAATGCATTTTTTTTGAAAGTTTTAACGGTTGTCTTACCTCGGCAAACTTTGCGAACTGCTGCTTTGACTCATCTATTCTTACTTGTGCTTGTGTTCCAGCATCTTTTAGTTGTAGAATTAGAACGATTATAACTATGATTATTGCCATGGTGGCCAAAACGAGTAAGATGCCGATCACGAACAGGCAAAAGAACCTTCTACTGAACCAACGCTTTGTCTCGTCGATCTCTAAATGACAAGCTGTAATGTACAGGCGATAGGGCAAGATCGATGAAAAAAGTATTGGGCTATTTATTTAATAATTTATATATAGAGCTGACAGAACTTTGGTCGACTGTTTGATTAGCAAGCAATCAGAAAGAACCATCAGTATTGAACAAACAATACTTCAGTTTTTAATTAAAGATGTTTTAGGCGGGAGGTAAAGGTGCGACTAATCATGGAACTTCCCGCTCTTATCTTATCGCAATTGTCGGAATAATTAACCAACCTTCAAATTGTATTGTACCATTTTGTGTACTTCCTGATGTGTTCGAACGGAGTGCTGCTGACATCATGGGTGTCTAAAAAATGTTTGTTTATAAACGCCGGCACGGATTTGCATAAAATTCTCATGTTTTTTAATTTACTTTCTACAACTAATGGACTTTTTCGCAGTAATAATATCCTAAATGTTTTATGGTGTGCGCTGATTCGCGGAATTTCTGTGGTTCGGTTGAACTCGGCACGAAAAGAGAAGTAATAAAGTAAGAAAAATGAAATTGAACGGACAACACAATGGAGCCGAACCCTCCTTGGCAACCGAGTCACACTCGACATTGGCCATTTGGTCCGTTGTATTATTGTTTCACAACTCACCGCTTCTCCAGATGGAAAACTTTTTGTAGAAGAAGACATGGAAACTAATCAAGAGAGAGAAATGGTTTTCCTGGGCGTGTGAGATAAGAAGTACTTATCATTTATAATAATAAACTAATGAACTCGAAAAATGACTGACCATCATGAAAGGATGCTTATTCATTATTTAAAAGTGTGGCCAACCATTCTGGAAATTGAATAGATCGCCGTCTAAGTTTCACGTAAACTTTGAAAAGGTGTTTTGATTATTTCAGAACAGAGAGAAATAGCTAAATATTCCAAAAATGGTTTTATTAATCAAATATTCTTAACATGTAAATTTAAATATCGTGTTTGAATATAAATAAATATTCATATATTTCTTGAATTTCTGATGCGGCTAGACCTAATTTAGTATCAAAAAGCATTGAACGGGTTCATCTTCAATAATGGAATGGAGAGAGTTAATTTTTTCTTTTAAAAATATTCCCAAAGTACCCTTTGAGGTTTATTCCAGGATTCGAAATTCTAAGTGACTTAATTTGTTGTTTTTTTTTTGAAAATGAGCATGCCTCTCGTTGACTCGAGCGCGCCTGTTTCTCATATTTCAAGAAAAATTAGGCAAATAAAAGGATGAATACAAAGTATTGTGCTACATTCCATCGCATTGTTGCTTCATGTAAAGAGTTGGATTAAATTATTCGGGGTCAATTTGTGGCCACATCAATCTTAATTTTGGTTTGAGCATCGCCAAAAATGCATTTCCTTCTTTTTTTATTTCCTCAGAATTTTTTTCATATTCATTCTAGTGAATTTTGTCATATGCGAACATATTAATAGTTTCGAGTGAACAATCGTCGTTTTTTTCGTCTTTTTCATTATTGTTTTTTATTCTTGGTTTCCGCCGACCGCCTTGTGAGGCAGCATTTTTATTAAAACGAAACGCCGCTATTATATTTTCGACGCCCCAGCGTGTGTGTGTTTGGAACATCAAGAGCTATTCAAGGCTAATTATTCGCTAAAAATAAACAAACAAACAACTATGGAAGCGCTTAAAAGGATACCGGTGGGTGCTGGACCGACGATGCTACTTCTTAAATTCAAACATGTTTTTTCCTCATTTTCCGAGAATTTAAAGAGGTGTGGCACTTTTTAACCAGTGTAAATTCCACCACTCGTCAAAATTTTATGTGAATCTTGCGTTCACATTCCTCGTTTTCATCCTTTTGATTAGTTTTCACTAGACGATGAGTAAGCTCACAATTAGGACTGTTCCGGCAGCGAAAATTAATGAAAATGTCAATTCGTTTGATTTCAGTCCGGTTTTGTTGGTTTTGTCATTTTTCTTTTGAATAATGCCACATTCATTGAAAACTTGACTATTTTCAAACCTGATTTTTTTATAGAATTTGATAAATCGTGTTTTGTATAAGTTGAATCTGAAATTTTTGTATAAAAATATTCAGTAATGATGCTATGGAACAATAGTGTATTTTTCTATTATATTAATCATTTTTATTATTAAATTATTGATGATTTTCAGTTGCTAATGGGTTCAGAAGCTAAAAATGAGCAACAGGCAAATGAAAATGAGGCGGCCACATTTAAGGTTTGCAATTGTTACTTATTAAATAATCATTGTTTTCAAGGTTTACAAAGAACGATGGCTGGTCCTTGCTGTGTGCTGCTTCTTGGCCCTCTCTAATGCAATGGTGAATTGTTTTTTATTCAAATAAAATAATCACAAAACTTTTTATTTAGCAATGGATCAGTTTTTCATCTCTAGTTACTCAAACTCAAAACTTCTACCGTGGTACTCAGCCGGGAAACGGAGGATTCGGATACGACGTTTCACTAATCACCAATCAAATTTTTCAGGCAATCAATATTCTATTTTTGGCTATTCAATTTTGATTTTAGTTTGTCGCAGTTTTCACCGGCTTTGGCGGTATGTATATAACAGATAATCTCGGTATTAGAGTGGCTGTAAGTTCAATGTTCTCTTCGACGTGAATTCGGTTCAGTGTCTCTTAGGAACAACACTAAATGTTGTTGGCGCCACATTGCGCCTTGTTGCCTCAAATCCACTCATCGAATCATATCTTGTGAAAGAGCTTATTTTGCATTCTGGATCTTTTATATGCGCTTCAGCACAGGCATTCTTTCTCGTTCTTCCTTCGAAAATCGCAGAGTGCTGGTTCCCATGCGACCAGCGAGCAATTGCCAATGTTTTATCGTTTGTTGGTAAGTGATTGGTGAACTTATCAAATTTTCTTCTTCTTGATATTCAGCAAATCCGGCCGGTGTCGCACTTGGAACTATTATACCCTCACTCATTTTTCCCCCTAACAAATTGATCTCAAGCTCATGGACATTTTTTCAATTTGTAACCCTTTGTTTTTTTTTGGTTTTCCTTGTAAACTTTTAGATTAATTCAGACCTTAGGAATGGAATTACTTGCATTATTTCCATTTATACTCGCTCTATTTATAAAGCACAAAATTCCCCCAACCCCACCTTCGTTGTCATCGGCGGCGCATCAAACTGCTAGAGGATTTGGAGCCTCAATTATTTCATGTATTACGTAAGTAACGAAATAAACAAAAAAATGGTTTTCCAAATTTTTAGGAATGTCCAATTTGTGATTCAGATGTTTATTTTTGCGTTTGCATTCTCATTGCTGTGGAGTTTAATGATCTACCTTGAAAGTATACTAAACATTCAAGGATATAATCTTCAAGGGTACCGATTCATTTGGAAACATTCTTTTAAAAAATAATTTTTTTTCATTTAGATATCCTACCGCCGTTTGTGCCATAGTTGGAACCTTATCGTCGTTACTGGCTGGTCATGTTGCTGATAAAACAAAACGTTTCAAGGTGAATATCATAATATTAACAACAAAATTATTCAATTGATTTAGGAGATTATTCGTTTCTGCACAGTTGGTTTCGCTCTTTGTATAATATGCTTACGATGTGTAAATAATTTTTATAGTTCTTAACAAAAACTAAAATTTAATTCAGTACCTTATGTATCCTTACGGAGGTGTTCACAGCACCATAATAGTCTATACACTTTGTGGGTTACTAGGTACAAACGAAATTGATTCTTCGCGTCCGAATGTATTGTTTTAGGCGCATTTTCAATTCCACAATTTCCAATTGGCGTAGAATTGGGCGTCGAAACCACGTTTCCCGTTCTTGAAGCGACATCATCAGGAATTCTTGTAATTTCCGGTTCATTATGGATGTTCATAATTCCATTTTTGCACGAAGCCTTCGATGACTTGAACTGGTTTTACAACACTGGCGAAAATGAGAAAAATTGGCAATGTTTGTTTATTTTAGATGTTTCGTTTATTTGAGAAAAAAAAAACAATAGTTTAGTGGCGCTGGATTTGAGTTGTTTTATTGCTTGCGTATCGGTAATACTATCGATATTCTTCATGAGACCGAGGTAAGTATTCTGAGATTTCAATCAAAATTTTAGAAATACAGATATCGGCGGCTTGAATTAGAAGAATCAAAAGTGTCTCATCAGACTTTATCACCGAACTCTTCAAGATTGACAGAAGAAAGTCTTGAAACTCCCCGATCACTTGCATTTGAAATGCAATAGTTTTTTTTTAATTTTTGGAAAAAGAATATTCCTTTTAACAGTGAAATACAAAATTTTGTACTATGCATTGGGCTTTAATCGAATAAAAAACGCATGCTATTCAAATTCTTCGTGGATTTTTAAACGCAAAAATTTTTAGGTCCATTTCGATGATCACAAGGCTAGGCTATCAATCATTATTGGTTGTCAAGCTCTCTCGCAAAAACAAAAATCTTTATCATTTTTCACAGCAGAAATGACGCTCAGATCAAACCTTCAGCTTATTTTTACGCTAATCCTTGTATTTGAGCCTTTTATAACTGGACAATTCGCGAACACCACAATAGACAATGAAGTTCATCGTAAGTTGTTTATTCATATGTCTTCATATTTTTTTTATTGAAGATGATGGCAGTCTTTGGGATGTAGTTATCGAGACATGCGATAAAGATGGTGCTGGAACTGATGCTTCGGCGTATCTCAAAATTTTCTACGAGTCTGGTCACGATTCGGAAATATTTCATCTCGACAACCCGGGAAAGCAATATATATCATGATTTTCCTTACTTTTTAATATTTTCAGAAATGATTTTGAACAAGGCTCAAGAGATCACTTTAAAATATTCTTCAAACAATCCAATATTGTAAATATGGGTCTGTTTTGGTGGCCAGGGTTCAGTCTAAGCCAATCATGGTGTGTCAATTGGGTTCTGTTGCTGAACTCAAACATTGAAGCATGCATTGAGGGAATATTTGAAAAATGGATTCTTCACTACAGGTATTTTTGAAAAATATTCATTTTAGGCATCCTATTAATCAGAGATCCACCCACGTATGCTGCAAAATTTCACCGTCTGAAATATGCTGATTGTGTCAGTCCGGGACCTGCGAAAGCCCAACGACGAAGCTATTTGAGATATGACGATGTTATTCGGAACACGGGCGGAATTTAATTAATTGTATAAAATAATAAAATAAATGTTCGTGAAATCAACGCATTCATTTTTTATTTATTTCGTTTTACTAGTGGTGTGGAAGTTCCATGTTTGAAATGCCGCATTTCATAACCTTATTGAAATTTTTATCACTATTTGCACTTTTCGCTGTAAGTTTTCTATATTATTCGGGTGTTATGTTTAATTTAAGCCTTCCAACACTGATAGAAACCCGATATGCCGTCCAACACTAGAAAATAGTGACAGAAACGAGACACTGTTCATTTTCTTCGTAGATCGCACTTTGGATTCTCACGAGGTTTAATTTTCCCAATGTTTCGTTTCAAGATTCTTTTTATTTAGATGCCCCGAATGTTGTATTTATTAAAGTTGATATCATGTGATATTCCGGAGCATGAAAAATTGTTGGCAATCGTCGTTGATATAACGGAATCCGAAGTTGTTGTCAGTTCGCCAGTTAAAACGCCGGAAATTGAGAATCTTCTTTACAATTCTGAAATTCAATCATGTAAAAATGTTCAGTTATTCTATGAAAATGGGCTTTGCAGTTCCGGTAGACTATGGAAAATGCGAACGATTTGAACGAGCCCTCAAAAAGCTTTCGCTTGATTCATTGGCACACGAAAACATTCAGTTCATTGTTCCGATGGTGCACAAGGAGCCAAGTACACATATTTTCTCATTAGTTTTGTTTTTAAGTGAAATTTTCAGCCTGCGACATGGTTAAAACATTTCAGAAAGTTTTGAAAAATAATCCGAACAAAGATAACTTATATTTCAATGGAATGCTTGTTAACCAAAATGTAACAGATAAAAACCAGCAGGCAGTTAAAATGACAGCCCAACTTGATGAAATTGATTTAAATGGTATTACGTTTGAAAAATAACACATTTAAAAAAATCAGCACCTTCTATAAATTCTGGCACAGAAGTCAACAAAGTGATCTACACGGGATCGATAGCAGATCAGTATACGAGAATGTATAAATTTTTCAAATGTAAATTGTTCATACCAAAATTTTAGGATACGAGCCATCTTAAACGGTGAATATTTTCGTGATTGGGAGCCCGGATACACTCCACCTCCTACAACATCTACTATCTCAACTACAACTCAAGATGATCTAATTGGGTTACTCGATGTCGATGCTGATGGAAATTCAACTTCTGTTGGAAATTATACTGATGATGGAAATTCAACTACTAATTCAAATTCAACTTCTACTCTGGCGTCTACTGAACTGCCATCGACTAGTTCGACAGTGATGGTCACACTTACACACACAGTCAAAAACATAAGGCCAGATAGCACGACATCGGCATTAAATAATTCTGATTTATACGAGGAGAAAGATGGTCTGGAGAATGCAATTCTTAACAAGCGTATTTAACTGAATCCTTAAAAACATTGTCCAATCGAATATTGCAGAAACGGAACGTATTAACTGGTGGCTTGTTATCATCCTCGCGGTTCTGGCAGTTTGGCTTGCCCTTCTGTTTATTATTCTTTGCATTATTTGCTATTGTTCCAAGCAGAGGCTTAAAAAGGAAGAAAAGGATGCTGCTAAGGTGCCGCTTTTACGACCTAATCAGGTTCCAATTCCGGTCAAGAACGCAAAAACAAGCAGTGTCAAAACGGATGTTGAAGATGAAGAGTGGAAAAAGGTTGGGTTGGTCTTAACATTTCTAAAATCTAACCAGGAGTTTTAGATTCAGCCACCCCCGATGGTTGACGTTGATCCTGAAAGCAATACGATCGAGACCCCTGTTCCTGCGCAGTACGGTGGCCTAGAAATGTCGAATTATGAGAGACCCGTGGATAACGACGACATCAGCCAGGTTTCTCGATTTATTATTTATTTCATTTAATTTTTCTCAACAGAAAACAAGAGAAGGGATGCGGAATACGCGTCCACCGCCTGCATTCAGTTTCGATTAATTGACAGTTAAAAAGAAGCAATAAACAAGATATTTGAAAAATGTTGGTGAAAAAAACAGTAGGTCTTATGTCCTTGTTGAGTCTGTCCATGACCGATGGTCAAACAAGGGGAGCACGTACTTCTTGCCCTGAGGTTCATTCGGAACCATAGAATTAAGAATCAACAGGATATAATGATTTATTGACTAGATAGAACATGCGAGTCAAAAATCCTTTCGGTTCGATGACATTCGTCAAATTTGAAGCCTTCTTTGTGTTGAATTAAACATTAAAAGACAAAAATACTATTAAAAAAGAGTGAAACCCTTAAGAGGGCTGTTGGTTTTTGCAGCATTGAGTTGTCTCTGAATACTTCTTGCAACTTGTTAAGTCGTAATGAAGCATAGAGAAAGAAGAGGCCATAAGTGGTACGACTTCCCCCAGAAAAAGAAGAGAGGGTCATAAACGGTAGGACAGGGAGAAAGTAGAGACGCAAGTTGACTGTAAGTAGAGAGAATCCCTATTGGTATGCTGGAAGAAAAAAGGGGAAGCTGGCTTTCCCCAGAATAGGAACCACACTACAAAACAGCCATTAAGGGCTTGAACTCTCTTGCCGAATCGGAGGCGAGAATCCCTAACGCACTCAGCAAATTAGATCCGAAAGTTTAACGACAGTCTACTGACAAAGCAATCATCGGGGCTCCTTTTATAGTCGATGGGTGGAGTCAAGATCATAGCGTTGCAACACGCCCATTAAGGGGCGTTACGCGTCGCAAATCTGCCAATTAATCCATTGGACATTCGGATTATCTATTGTTTCCAGGAGTTTTGAAGCCGAATTTTTGAATACCCAAACGAATCCTCTCATTTTCACACATTGTCTATGGCTCTGCGGTAATTGTGATGATTCACAATAACACCAGGCAAAATCGTCAATGAGCACGCCCCCAATTTGAACGTATGGGGCAGTGTGAATACCACGTGAACGTTTAGAAATCTGAGAATAAGTCTAATAATACCCTTCTCTGTGTTAACCACAATTAATGATATTGATATAGATAATGAATTCATTATAAAAAGTAATATGAAATGCATGAATTTTTTTGCCGAAAATATCTGGCCAAATTTGACTAGCTTCTATTCAATTTTTGACTTTTGGCTGGAGTTGAAGAACATTGATAATCGCAACATGCACAATAAACTAATGACAATCGTAATAAGCAAGATAATTATATCTAAATTGTAATAGGTAACGAAATCGAGTAATTTTCCCTCGTATTGAAGCTCTTCGACGCCGTTATTCTTCAGAACCCAATTTGTTGTTTGCACAAGTCTCTCAGACGCTGTTTGGGGTTTCGTTCTCATCAATTTTTTGAGCCTTTGAGCTTTTTTGGTGTATCTGAAACAAAAAGATCCGCAAGAATTGAAGATATTTGGCTAGAAAAATTAACTTGTTTTTCGAGCAATTGAATTTTTCTTGGCCATTTTCCGACCTACATTGGATTTGTGAGAATTTCGCGAACCGCTTGCTCAATCTTCTCCGGCTCATTGATGAGCATCTTCTTATCCCGAGCAACTCCCCATCCTTTCCTCTCAACTGCTCGACTATTCCGTGGTTGATCGAACATGAATGGAATTGAGACGACCGGAATACCAGCTCGAGCCGATTCCATTAGACTATTGTAGCCGGCGTGCGTGATAAATGCCTTCAGACGAGGGTGAGCTGCAAAGAAATGTTTGAACGAATTTTGGGTGGAATTTTAATTGAAAATAATTCTTTAAAATTCTAAAAATTTCACCCAAAATTGCTGGCTGCGGTACCCAATCGGCCACAATTACATTTGATAGTCCTTCGGCATTTTCAAAAACATCCTGAAATCCATAAATTCCAACTCTCGCTAATCCTTTTTCGAAACACCTTTGAGTACTTATCGACTTTGATGATCCAATGGAATTTTTTGAATTTTTGCGTGATTTCCAGCACATTTCGCATGATCTCGGACGGTAATTTAGTGGTGTTGGCAATAGTACCAAGCGAAAACAGAATTACACCATCGCCTTTCTCCATTTCTGCACCAAATTTTGCGTCAAGACCTGACTCATCGCCATGTTCGGTGCCGAGACCACCAATGTGCACAATATTTGACAACGTTGGAGCAGGAATCTCGAGCAACTCGTCGGTCGAAACAAATACAACGTCAGAATCGCGAGCAATTTCGTTGATATCCGGAAATTGTGGGCTGTAAAAGGCGATTTTAACAGAAACACAAAATTTTGAAAATAAAATTCGTGTTACCCGAAGTGTTTTCTGTACATCTGAGTGGTCCGATAGTTATCTCGATATTCATCTCGAAGCTGGACCAAATGGAGCAAAAGATTCGTCAATCGCTGGGTTATTGGCGCCGGCGTTGAGTCGAGATGCGCCATGAACGGCAAAAAGCTGGATGGTGTCGGCACGCCAAGTGTGTCGCGCATGCTTACACCCATGGTGCAACTCGCCACCCAAAATTTGTGGCGAATTCCTAGTAGTTGCGCCAAACCCATTCCGCACAGATGAACGTGTTCACCAAAATAGGCGTCGAAATTCTCGGCGCGTAATTGAGCAATTAGGGTGGAATTTGAGACGATTTCTGAAATTGTTTTTTTCATTTATTTCAAATCCAGCACTTCTTGAACTCACCTTCGCACAGATTATTGTATTCGTCTTGATGCGGATCGGTTTCAGCGTTGAAAATTCGGCTCCATATCGACGATTCCTTGAAAATGTGTTCGGAAAGTTCTAGAAGTATCATTGCTCAAAAAATTTAGAAAATTATTACAAAAAATACCCGACTGAATTCGCTTATATTCCGCATTTTTCAATCCAGTCACTGGCCAACGTTTGCATAATTTGCACGGCACAAATTTGTCGGTTAAATCGAGAAAATCGGGCTCGAAATTGGTCTAAAATTAGAAAAATTTTAGTTCGAAAAACTTGCAGAAAATCAATTTGTTATTTCTGAGAAAAAAAAACTAGAAAATGAAGAATCAGCCAAAATTACCACTTGGTGCCCGGCTTTCGCCAATTCATCGGCGATTCGTCCTTGCGAAATCATATGCGATTTGCTGGCGGTTGGAGAGAATACAAGAATTTTATGCGCATTTGAATATTCTCCTAAGAAAATCAAAACGAAAAATGATATTCGCATCATTGGCACCAAGAATTGATGAGAAATCGAGAAGTTGGTGGTTATCACATAATGATGACAGCGACATTGATTGATAACGATAGTATGATGATTTAGAGGTCAGTCTTTAACTAAATTGGGTTTTCAAAGATCAAATTTGCAAAATAACTTGTAAACCAGATTCGCAAGGCTCATGGAGTTACAGAAAATATTCAAATATTTTTTACCGAATTCACAACTTGTGAATTATCTGACGAAAAATTCTTTTAAGTGTTCAATAGATTGCAATGATGAATGCTCTCATTTGTTTCCGTGAAATTCTATCAGCGGCAATACACCATTTCGAATGTCTAAAGCAAATCCTCTTCCTGTTCCCAATTAACGTATGCCGATTGTTTTGATTGTATATACATAGTTGTTGTTATTTTGAGGCACCGAATAAATAAACGCAGGTACAAGCAAGCCAGGGCACCAGTTTCGCGCATGCATGTAAAACTTGGCTACGCATTGTTCGCCGCCTTACAGCATTCAATCTGTGAGCATACAATACGATTTCGAGCTCTATTTATTTGTTTTTAGGGGCAGCCGAATAAGACGAATGCCCAGTTGCTCATGGCCTCTCGCCGAATTCGACATGTTTAAAGTGTAAGTGATCTCGAGAAAAAAAGGAACCTAATAATAATTTTTTTGTTTTCTTTGCAGTAATTTATTTCTATTCATTGTTCTATCGACTTCCCTTATTGCGGCTCCAATTGACAAACGGCAAGTATATGTTGGAATCGTTCCAATTTTCGATAAACGCACAACGAACGAGCCCATCACATTCACGTTTACAACGGCCGACCCGCGAATGGCCAACGAGGTGTGATGATATTAATTACGACTAATCTCAATACATTATTTTTCAAAGATCAAAAATTTCCCGACACTCAATCCGTTTGCTTCCTCCGATTTACAGCCCATTCTCACCAACAATAATTTCGATTTTCGACCAAAAGGTTCTCTGTTCGAATTCGATTCTAATCATTCTGTTTTACAGAATTCAAGTATGAAGTCAAAATGCCGACGCTGACTACTCCCATGTATGCCCAATTACAGCAATATGTATAATGCATGTCCCAGAAAAAAAATCATTTGTTTTTTTTTTTTTGAAATATCTTGAATATTTCTCAATAAGCCATTTGAGAAATATTCAAGAAGCCGCTTATAATTGGCTTATCGCCAATTTTGTTCATAAATATTGCAAATTTACTTTATCGATTTTTTCTCTGGGACATGGGAGTTGTTTTACTTCATAATTTTTTTTGCCAATTGCCTTGAATTTTGAGAAATCCAAGCAAGCATCCCTTCAACAAAACGTCTACGCAACATATCGGACCATTTGGAAAGACATTGTCGAGAATTGGATGAAGGTTTGATTTTTGCAAGGCTTTAATATTGTGGATTAAATTCAACGAAGGATCGCACATGTTTGAGTTTTGATATTTGATTTGTGCGCGAATTCGTGTATGAGCCTTTAATGTCTCTCAATGCATACTGTATAAATAGTTACAATGCTCGTTTAAACATGATTATTGCAAAACACGAATAGTTGTGTTTTGCTTCGAAGTACGGTATACTAATGCCCAATGTTTTAATTAGAATTCGTATCCTGAAGAAATAGAGCACTTGAATTGAAAATAAAAATTTTGCAGATGCGGAATAAATTGATTTCTGAAAATGTAGCGCACGATTGGGCTTCAGTGTGGCAAAAATTTACCGATTCTGTTGAGCCTTACTTGAGCAGAATCACTACCCAACTGGCGAATTTGATTGATGTATTTTTCAGGCATCAGCAAGAGCAAAAAGTTGAAAAAAAATCAATGACAAAAATTATTTTGATTATTTTCAGATCAACGAAATCCCGTTTCATTAACTCGCGTGGAATATTTTTTGAATAAATCGTCTATTTTTCATATTTATATCATTTTTTATTTGAAGATTAACTGAAAAAAAGAATGAAAAAGAAGTCATCGTCTGAATGTGAACAGTTAGTTTTTAACGGTTTTGAAGATTCGAAAAAATTTACAAAAAAGAAGAAGATTTAGATGTAAAATCAAATGAAAATTGCAAATTTGACGGTTTCAAAGACACAAGGAATTTTCAAGCCTCTCTAGCTTTTGTGGTCACTTCCGGTCTTCTAGGTACCACTATTGTGTTTCTGAAATTGCTCTTCGATAAATGCGACGTTTAGGAATATCGGTGTCGATTTGCCCAAACTTGGCGACGTCCGCTTTCGCGTTTTTCATATGTTTCACAACGTCGGTCTGGTTCAAATTACACGGCATGAAATTGACGAGACGCGAGCTCGTCTTTTTTGACGTGAGAAACCTGCTCGAAATTGCGCCGAATTTCGAGTACGAGACCGCCGGCGTCATTGATTGCATCACACCAGGTGATGGGATGCCCGAGCAGCCGTTGCCAGGTCCCACAAATTTCTGGGAAGCGCTGTTCGCCGATGACGGCAAACTGCAAATGGAGAAAGTTTAAAGTGTAACCACGAACACCACGAATTAAATTCTGATTCAGTTTTATCGGCAGCATTATGGTCCGGTGTATAAAACTGCACAAAAACAATACACAGAATATTTAATGGTAAGTGCGAATGGGCTACGGTACCCGCTACCGTGCCCGATTTTCGCGTCGAGAACCTGCTATGACGTCACTTGTGTGTGTGTGTTTTTTTTTTGCAGAACTTGGAAGCGAATAAAAAGAATTGAGACAATTTCAACGTTTAAATAAATATTAAGCACTTGAGAAATTTTTCAAAAAGATTCTTTTTTACTTTGCGCATGATTTTTGCAAAATACTCATTACATAGAAAATATTGCCGCGGGGGCCCACGAAAACGACGCCACTGATGCTCTTTTGCGCAGTAAACCCAAAAAACACACTTTTTATTTCTTCACATTTCATCTCATCATCATTTTAGAGGTTTAAACAATTAAATAATTATATTTTTAGTATGACTTTAAATTGTGTGTGGAGGGGGGCATTTAAATAGAGATCAATTTTTCTGGGGAGTGAAAATCGAAGAATTACTGGAAATTGACAATTTGTAAAAAAAAACTTATTTCCAATGCAACTCGTTTCGTTATAAAATCATCCGAAAGCGCTAGGTTGTATAATAGTTAAAAATTACTTAATTATTGGGTATATGTAATGAAAATTCAATTTATTAATTGTGGGTCCAATAGTAGTGTGAAACTGGATTTTTAAAAAGTTTGTTTAAAATTTCAACTATGCTGCTAAAAAATCGCCCAAAAAAAACTCAAATGAAATGGATGTTTTTGGAATTTCTGCGATATCTGCAATATTTGCGTCACGGTGTTTGCACACATTTTCGCGCGCTATCAGTAACTTGAATTTTTCTAATGTGTTAAGGTAATAAATCAACATCAAAATGAACGATATTAGCGAGAAAATATAAATATACGGAAAATCTGCAAACACCGCGGCGGTTCAAACGTATTTCTCATTTCTTAGATATTTTCGAGTATGGGTGGGATAAAATAATTTAAAAGTTGATACTGAATTCGAACTCATTAACTGAGCATTAATATCGGAAATCTTCATCAGCTCGTTTTCGTTTTCTCAATCATAAATTCGAATCGCGGCGGCATAAAATATGTTTTCATTTTTCTTTGCGCAAAGTCAACCGCCACGAGTCACGAACAAAATGAATGTTTTATGTGCGTTCTGGACGCGCAGGTATTTTCGAAGATTTCCGTTGACCAAATGAAAAGTGCCCGAGCATTTCGCTTTTTTCCATTCCACCACGCTTTCGTTAATCCAATTACTCGGTTTAATTCGTTTTCCTAATTGAAAAGTTTCATTTAAAACAAGAAAAAAAACGTCATCGCGTTCTGTTGTCAGTATTTCCATTTTAATTAACATAATTGTCACATATTGAATTTTGTTGTATAATTTTTTTCTCGCTTCTTCCTCTTTTCCCTCTTAAATGCTACAAATTCGCCCCGGTGTTATTCGTGAACGCATATCTTTACTACTTCTTCCTTCCCCCCACATGCAGATGTTTACATCATTTCCAGACGAAACAAAAAAAAAACAACAATTCATTTCATACGAATTTCCTCTGTATGTTCCAGGTAAATTCAAAGAAGATTTATTTTGGCGCAATGTGTGTTTTCCTCTGTTTTTCTTGAAGGGGGGACCCGCGCAATTGATACTCGTCTTTTATTTGAAGGGATGCATTCAATTTAGCCATTCGGGCCCCTTCTACAACATAATCCATTTATCAAATGGAACAGGGGGGGGGAGGAGTAAGAAAACGAAAATCTCGTTGTTGTCTGGCTCCGAATGTTCGCCACTCAGTGTATATTCTTTTTCAAGTCATTTCAGCCAAAAATAAAAAACTCTCAAATTTCCTACGAACAGTTGCCTCAAAAAAAAATCGCGCCAATTTTTGTCACTGCTTCTCACCAAAAATCAACAATATTGACACCTCTGTGTTGAAAGAAGAAGATGAGAAAAAATCGCGCCTGCAGCTTTTCAACTCATCTCAATTTCACTTTTTTTCCTCAATACTTATTCCATTTCGACATCTGCATTTTTATGTGCTAGAAAACCTATTATCGCAATGTTTTTGTTGGCTCCCCTAGTGTTTTTCGAATCGTCGCAATCCTTATCTTCTAAATAACAAAGACAAAAAAAAAACACACATTGCGAGTTGTTCATTAATTCTCCAAAAGGAGTTGAGACGGCCAATATTTTTGCGATATTCGAATGTTGCGTGACTTCGCATTTCACATGCTCATTATCATTTCGCGGCGAGACCTAAAGTCGCGTACTATCCATTTTCTTAAACTTTTTTATAATTTTTCTTCTCGATTTTGGAGGACTCCATTTTTTGGAGAAATACACTGCATTTGACACATCTCCTCCATCTTTCATCAATATCTTGTGCTTCTAATTGCTGATGTAATTTCCCCCAAAATGAGTATTCTCTCTCTCTCTCTCTCTTTCGTTTTTTTTTTTGAAATGAGGGTCCCCGTGGTGAAATCAATCAAAAACTTCTTGCTTGGTCCTAGTTCATTCTTGTTGGCAATTATTCAAATCTTTGTTTTCCCGCCGCACAATTTTGACTTTTTTTGTTGTTTCCAGATTAGGGCCTCCTCCCCGCTCAAATGTAAGTTTTTTGCAATTCTTGCCAGCCTCAATTAAATGTCCTTTTGTGTACATGCTAAAAAGTTGAACTCTTTTTTTTATAGTCATTTTAACTATTCAAAAAAAGACGCTTCCTTTTTTTGGAATGGCATCGTCTTCAGAAGAATTTCTGCTCAATTTGCGTATTCGCAAGACTATTTATCTTGGCGCCCAAACATCACCTACATATATAGATTTTGGTGGTAGCTGCAAACAGAAACCCTTCTGTTCTTGGCCACCTTTTTATTTGAATTAATTCACTTACGTAATTCGATGTTTTCTTTTCTACTTTTCAGACTCCGCCTTCTTCCACTTTGAGAGCCGAAATCCGTCGTTTAGAGGACCCACTTTTGCTCATGGGATCTATGGAAGACGCCCGATTCTACGATGAAGATGATGAATTCGCAAATGTCACTGAATGCGATTATTTCGTGAGTTCATTTTTAAATATTAAAATAAAAAAATAGATGCCGATTTATATACATAGATTTTCGCTATTGATGAGAATTCGTTTCAAGATTGAATATGTGCCTTTAATAGAGACCAAAATCAGAGAATTAGAAAAACTGTGAATTTTAAAAATTGTAAATAATTTACGAATATGAATAAAAACAAATCTCGGCGTCTTCTTTTTACATAGAAAACGTTTAAATCGAATAATCGAAAAAAAAAAACAAAAAACTGCCAGAAAACGCCCTAGGGGCACCAAATTTCTTTGTAATCTGCGGCCGAACAAATTTATAAATAATGCGTGAGATAGCTTGGTCGAATTACTGTCAGAATCCAACATTTTTAGGGAACCGATCATATTGAAGGAAAGATTTACCTGATCGGAATCTTCGCAACCCTCATAGCCATTCTCTCGATTATCTTCAACACATTCTATACGATTGTGTTCATTAGAAATCCATTGTTGAGGTTTGGCAAAAGAAAAAAGTCAAAGTTCAAATCGAAAGCATCAAATTTCCTATTCCAGAAGATCCGGTGTATTCTATTTCGGCGTAATTGCCGTCATCGATATAATTATGGCAATAAACTACATTGCCGTTATGTCACTTCCGGTAAGATTTCCATATTTCCTCCTCTTCATTTTTTTCAAGAAGAAAGATAAAACATCCTTTACGCAAAAAACGGAAGGAAACGAAACCAAAGTTTCGCACTTGAATTTAATTTGATTCGGAGAAACTCTTTCCGAATCTTGAAGGATTTAGTATCGGATTTGCGCACTCAATGAGCATTGAGCCACTAATTGTTTTCATTTTGCACACTGTTCTCTTTCACCAAACTACTCCTCGTATCCATTTTAGGTATACATGGACTACTATCATATTCTTCCATTATGGCACCTCTTCCTCTCATATTTTCGGATTGTGCTCACCGAATCCAATTGTGCCATGTTCGCGTCGATGCTAATGATTGTTCTCGCGACAACCGAGAGATTCCTGAAAACTTTCGACGGCAAAAACATTTCCGTTTGTAGAAAGTTTGTTCCGAACACGAACGATATCATCGAGTCAATTTTCTTTTATTCAAGATTCCTGGAGCGAAATCGCGCTAGTGTCAGCTTACTGTGCCTTCTTATCGCATGCGCCTATAAATACTGTATCTACTATGAGATTGACGTGCTCACAAAAGAGCAATGCGAAGGCTGGGCGTATGCAAACTCAAACTAAACGAAACTGTCAATTCTCATTTCCAGCCGCTACGAAATTGTGGCCGGTGAGTACGCTCAAGACGAAAACTATCGATTTTACTTCATGTTTCTAACAAGGAATATTTTTGACCGGATTATGCCATTCTTCGCACTAATTATAATGAATATACTAATAATAAGGGTGAGAGGAAATGCGAGAAGAAAACAAATCAAAGAAATTGTTTATTTATATTCAGGCGGTGAATGAAGACGAGGAAAGGAAGCGTCAGAAAGAAAGCGTAGTGAGTAATGGCAGGAATGCGAATTTGAAAACGAATCGAAGGAATGTCAGAGTACGGGCGGCAATTCGAATCCTCCTCAATAACATATTATTATTATTATACTAGGATGCAACTCGTGCCCTGATTAGTCTAGTTAGCATGTATCTGCTATCGCAATCCCTACAAGTGCTCCTCACCTTCTGGGAAACCATCAACCGCGACAGTCTGGAACAGGGATTCCCCGTGATGTACTCCTATCTCAATGACATTGTCTCGATTTTCACCCTCCTTTCCAGGTGATTTTGCTGAAATTTTTCGCAGATCTCCTACCAACCTCGTTTTCAGTTGCCTTCGATTCCCCGTCTATTTTTGCTGCAATCGCCTGATTCATACGGCTTCGGTTGACACCTTAAGCGGTTTGAAGCCGTCATGTCTGATGAAACTCAAGAAGCCGCATGGTATAATGCTAAGCAATTCAATCGGAATGTCAAAATTCAGAATATTCCCCAATTCATCGGACAAAACCAGCAAACGAATCCGATTCGACCGGCTCAAATAATCAGAATCTCAAAAGTGCCGTGTTCGACGAAAAACTTCAGGAGTGGCGACTATAATTCGGGTTTTTCTTGCTACAATAAATATGTTTTTTTGCATTTCAAAAAAAGTTTTTTAATCAAATTTTACAAAAGACTGGAAGTAAAAAACGAATTTGAAGCTTTTTTCAGATGAAATTGAACGAAATTGTGTAGAAACTATAAATAATTTCAAGTCTTATTGCAGTATTTGTTTAAAAACGCCATTCCTGTTTAACCAAGGTTACACTTCCAACAACATCATTGTTTTATTTAGTAACACTCTGCGGTGACCTTTTCAATTGCTATTCATACAAACCCTACTCGTTCAAAAAAACAATTTCCTGGCAATGCATTCAATTTTTAATATTCTGCCAATATTTGTTATTATAATCCCACAAAGTTAGTTGCCTATAATTACTCAGTTAATTAAAAAAAACAATTTTCAGTGTTCTGTATAAACTGCCATTTGAACAGAGACGTTGGCGCGAATTGTGACAATAATCCAGTAACATTAAAATTCTTCTTTGATGTCAAAACGAGTATGTTTAAATTGAAATTCGGTAACTTCAATGTATGGAATTCAGATGTGTGTCAGCCTCTGTTCTATAGAGGATGCGGTGGCAATGAGAATAGGTTCGATGATCGCGAATCCTGCACGAAAGCTTGTGTACCAAAGAAAAATAAAAAGGATGAGGATGAGGAAGATGACGAGAAGATCCCATCTTCTGACAAGAGTAATCTGCTAGTTGGTATACCAAAAGACGACACATTCAAATATTTTATTTCCAAATTAAGTGAATATGTGCAAAATTCCGACCGACGCCAAGATCAGCGAAATCGCCGAACAATGCGATCAAGGCTGTCCTATCGGCTGGAAATGCAACAAAAAGAATTATTGTTGTCCCATGAGGGGTCCTATTTGTTTCTCTATCCCGCTCCAATGATTTCCTCAATTTCAGAGACTGTCTGCAATTTGCCAGTTTCGTCGGGATCCGAACGAGACGTCTTCAAGCACTACGGCCGATATGCTTATCTGCCCGGCTTGAAAAATTGCATTCGATTTTCTTATTTTGGAAAGGACGGGAATTTCAACAATTTTTTGAGTTTCAATGAATGTCGGAAGTATTGCACAAGCAAATAACAACAATTTAATTCCATGCACTTATCGATACGCCTCACATACATCTATCTACATACATTAGGTTGAAATAATTTTTTCTTTGTGCCTCTTAAATAATTTAGGAGTTTCTTTTATTAATTAATTTTGTTGTCTCGAGATTCATTTTTCGTTGTCGTTTCATATTTCTGGTTTAATTTTCCAGGTTTGAGGTGTTATAAAGGATATTTAAACTTGAAAAACATCATAATTATCACTAATCAAGATTTTCATGACCGTAAATTTAATTGCAATGAATAGCCTCTCAATAAAATCTTCTTTATTATTAAATAAACGACAAATCAATTAACAATCCTTGGGGATCTATTTAATCGAACATGAGCTTTTTCAGAAAACGCACTCGCTAAAAGACGATCAAGTTCGGCCACAGAATACCGTCTTGGAGGCACTTTCTCTGCTTTAATATCCATCATTCTCCGTTTCTCCTCAAAAATAATTTTGAAAATGGTGATTTTTGAAAAATGCGCATTTACTTTAAAACTCGTTTTCCCAAATTTCGGAATCGTTCCCGATGAGAACCTTTGAATCATATTCTCGATGGTCATTCTCTGCGGCGAATCGACTTGGCCGGTTTTGAAAACATTATACTGCCATCTATAATTAAACGAGTTAATGGAAATGTTGAACCCCGTTTACTTTTTTATTACAGCCAAACAAAACGCGGGCGTCCCGTCAGAGTTGCTATGGTCGGGAAACGTCCAATGAACATCTGAAGAAGAAAAAAAAGTCCGAACATCTTTGGAAATGAACCTTTGGATACAATTGTTGGATTTCGAATGATTAAAACACCCCAGGTTCCTCCATAGATATCCTCGAGGATCCTTCGAATCATCTCAATTCGAATTGTTTTCATATTTTTGATCATAGAATGACCTACTTGCATTTGAGTTACCGCGTCTGAGGTGGTTTCAGCAGCTCGCTGAATAACAGATCGAATAGGTGCTGTTGGACAATTATTCAAAGCTGCAATTTTAAAATCATGTTATACAAAAAGGATCTACATTGCTCAATTTTTCATTTGTTTTTTCTACAATCACGTAAAATTTGCCAAATTTGAATAAAAATTGACTATTTTGAATATTTTGCATTACGCTGAATGGCTGCATCAAGAATCCGTGGCCACATGGATGTGATCAGAAGAAACTAGCCTCCCAAATTTGGGTACCTAATATTTATCTCTAATTAGACCTTACCAGCTACTCCAGATGTTATCAAACAATGGAGCAAAATCATCATATTTGAAACGGAATACAAAATAGAAGTGCGGGTTGGTAAGTTGGGGGAAAAACTGCCTCCTTTTTCTCTCTCTCTTTCTCCTTCTTCCTCTCCTTCAACCCAAAAGCCAAAAACTCGAATTTTTGGGTGAACGAAGAAGGACAGTTACAAACTGAAGTTGCATTTTGTGTGTGGGAAGAGGTCTCAAGAGAACGCTTGAATTGGCTAGACGCAGATGAAATTGCGGGTTTTCAAATACTAGTTAGCGTTTGACACTTTCAATGAACATACCATTCTTGAAAAAATTCTGTTGCATGACAATCTAATGATTTCAGGAAAATACATTTCTTTTTTTTTTGAAAATCGAGAGAATGAGAGACGCAGACCGAGCGACACTTGAAGGAACTACTTGAGATATGCTGATTAAATAATCAAGCATAACTTGCAAGCATCTCGCCGCAGATATTAATACATTTTCATTGTGTAGTGAGAAATCCAGAAAATTGTCCGCAGCTAGAATATTTCTCGAAATTGAAGCCGTTCTCCGAATGAGTGAGTGATTACTTTCGACGCAAAAAGTCGGCTAGGAAATTTCATTTCGCATTCATTAATTGTATTTAAAATTCTCGCTAGTCCAAATTGACATTCAAAAAAAACGTGTGAGCCCTGATTTAGAAATAATCCTGACGCGGCGAGAAGAGTTTCGTCGTATCCTTCTCAATTACCAAACCAACTGAAACCCTATACTTTGGCAGAAGCTATCGAGACATCATCCATCCGTCGCATCATCAATATCATTTTCGCTGTTCACCTTTATTTGCTCAATTGTACTTTTTGATGGCTGACGAAAGCGCTGTTTGCCCGCGCATTTTACTTCATTTAATATGACACGAATTGTGGCTCGAAAATTCACTTCAATTTGTTTCTCTCCTTCGTCTTTTTGTTTATAAATGCAATTATTGGTGGTTTTGAAAGCAGTGCCAGCTGTGGTGTTTTTGAATATAGGCTTTCATCTTTTTTCCGCCCCTCTACCGCAATAAATGCATTTCTCCCTTTTGTGATCAGCCGAACAATAGCACTAAAATTTTTCCAAAAAAAAGAATTCCCAACAAAATTGAGAAATGAGTCAGCGTTGGCCAGCGAATCTCAAAACAGATACAAAATTATAAATCAATTGGTGAGGTCGTCAATAAACATGTAAACCACCTCCCGCCAAGGTCGGTTCTCACCATTTAATGATGAATATGACGATGTGAAACCAACACCCAGAAAAATCGATAATTCTCCATTTTTTTTATTGCCTCACTTTGTCGTTTATTTTATGTATTGTGCGTTGCGGTTGCCACATCGCATTACCAGTTTCAAATCGTTTTTTTTCGGCGTTGTGTAGCGACGCGCGTGCTGATCAACTGTGACAATCTCAACTTTCAATTCTGATCTCATTATTTTTGAGTGCGCTTGTTTACCATGTGGCAAGTAGTCGAGCAAATACTCTGGAGATACCAAACAATGCACTAATTATAAAATAAATAACTTGTGATAATTGTTGCGTTCGTTTTAAAGGCGCGACACCCGCCCTTCCGCGCGCGACCCAAAATTTTAAAGACGGGCGCATTCCATTAAGCAGACACTTTTGGATGAAATTTTCTAGGCTCATACTCCACCAAAAAAATGTATATATATATATTTTTTCAAATACTTTGTTCAATTCAATACCATGGTAGAACGCTTTCGCGCATATTATGTATGTATGTGCCTCTCGGTCCGTCCGTCCGTCCGTCCGTCCGTGTGCGCGCGCGCGTATATATGCGAGTGCGTTTGTGTCTCTTCTGGTCGGAGTCAACGTGCGCACGCGCGCCCCGAGAGAGATCGATCGGATGCTGTCATAGTGTGTGCAAAACGGCCGGCGTGTAGTGCGACTCACTTCTCCGCGCATTCAGCACTCTTTCTCGCTGCCCTCCTTCATCGTAACGATCGCATTTCTGCCATCTCGGCTTCTCTCGTCACCGCAATTTTGTGTGTTTTTTTCTGCTGCTGCTGTTGCTGCTTCTGCTGCGTGGTGCTGGCTGTTTTTTGTAGACACTTCTAATGTTTATAAGTCATCTACAAGCTGTCTCCCCTTTTGCACTTTTTTCCCTCCATTAAAATTATAAATATTTCGTTTTTTTTCTCTCCTTTTCGGGAAAAATTTTTGATTTTTCGCGACGCAATATTGACAAAACAATTTGTAAACAGTTCAACTTTGAAAATACACAAACCATTTTATTTGAAACTCGGGCTGTTTGTCAAGCAGTCCCCCCATAAAAGTTGATTTCAAAAATACATTCATTTTTGTTGAATTCGCTTCTTTCTAATCCCCTTTCTGTCGTTTGTCTGACTAGTCACCCATTCGCCAATCATTTGGGACCTCCTCGCCTCTTCGGCAGCCCCTCTCCCCCCCCCCCCACAACGAACTGCTGCCATTGTGTGTAGAGTGTCCTCCCAGAGGGGTCCCACCACTTATCTTTCTTTTCTATTTGTTTTATGTCGCTGTGTATTTCATACTGGTTCAAGTCGTTTTTTTTTAATGCGATGAATCAATGTGTGCGTCAGGCGACAAATTCGAATCGATTAAATTGGGGCAATTGTAGTAGTCGTACCAAAAATGGAAAACACCCAGAATTTCAAGAATATTATTTATTTAATAACATTTTCCTTTCGCTTTTTATTTATTTCTTCAATTTCTTTTTTTTATTTTACTTATTACGAATTTTAAAGCAAAATTTCGGCGGGAATTGCTACGGCTCGCAACGACGTCGGCAATATGGCCCAGGTTCGTTTTCAAAACATTTTTTTTTGGATATTTCAAATGCTTGTAAAAATTGATTTTTTTTTTGGAGAAAATTTCAAGAAAGCAAAGGCAAACAACCGCGCCGCAAAATTTTTTGAATTATGGCGTTTCTGTCTCTCTCAACAGCATTTCTTTTTTTTTGACAAGGAAGTACACGTCCAGAAAATTTCGCAAAACGTTCCTTTTTGTCTGGCACAAATATAAGTTTCTGCGTGGGCTTATTTGCAATTGGCTCTCGTCTCAAAATCTACAAGCGACCGAACGCATTCGGTTTTTTCTCTTTCATAAATTTTGAGGACGTCAAAAAAACACCCAATTTCGTTTGTGAATGCATTGAAATGAAATGTTACGAAACGTTGAGATCGATTTATGGAATGCTTCTTTAATGTGGTCTTGAAACGTTTAGTTTGAACATGTAGTTGCGGGACAATTTTAGAAACGAATTCCTGTAAATCTAGCGGGCGGTTATACTACACATACACTTTTTCAATTGAAAATAATTGAATCACAATTAGAAATTGATTCCAGGTCGACGTCAATTCCGGAGCGTACAATCAAGAAGAAGAATACGACGACAACTCATCAGCTCGCTTGTTTGAACGCTCGCGTATTAAAGCTTTAGCAGGTATATTAATTTTGAAACAAAAAAAAACGAAGTGTTTTGTTGATGTCAAAAAAATGACATTCTGCATGCTTAAATGTCCACTGATAAGGGCCCGTTTTGAGAATATTGGCAATTGATGCCCCTAAAATCAATAGCTGATAACGTTGGCGTTAGTTTCTTGACATGGAAACGCAATACGGCAGCCCAATAGAGGAGAAGCCTCTGCCAGATTCCTATTCTGAAATTAGCAATTCGGATAAATTTATTTCACGTGTAGATCACCGTCATAAGATTCTCAGAGGTTTCAATTTTGCATTAATTTTTATTTCGACTTGAAACCGATTTAATGAAAACGCCAATTTTCAGACGAACGCGAGTTTGTTCAAAAGAAAACCTTCACGAAATGGGTCAACTCACATCTGGTCCGAGTCAGTTGCAAAGTGCAAGACCTTTATATGGATATGCGAGATGGAAAGATGCTTCTCCGACTGCTGACGGTCCTTTCCGGTGAACGCCTGGTGCGTTGTTATTTTTTCTTTGCAAACACTGAATCCAAAGAATTCAAACGAGGAACTCTAAGAACAAATAATTGGGGAGTTGTTTCAGCCGAAGCCGACACCTGGAAAAATGCGTATCCATTGTCTCGAGAACGTCGACAAAGGACTGCAATTCCTACGAAATCAACATGTGCATTTGGAGAACTTGGGATCTCACGATATCGTGGACGGAAATCCACGGCTCACTCTTGGTCTTATCTGGACAATCATTCTACGCTTCCAGGTACATTGGGACAGAAAAGAAGAACCAGAAAATTGCGCGTTTTCGTTTTTAGATTCAAGACATCACTTTCGAAGATGCCGACAATCACGAAACTCGCTCGGCGAAGGAAGCTTTATTGTTGTGGTGCCAGATGAAGACCGCTGGCTATCCAAATGTGAATGTCAAAAATTTCTCAACAAGGTTTCTTTTTTTTTAATTTCTTCTATAACATTTTTCTCATTTTCAGTTGGCGAGATGGACTTGCTTTTAATGCTTTAATTCACAAGCACAGACCGGATCTCATCGATTATGATAACCTTCAAAAATCGAATGCTTTGTATAATCTTCAAAGCGCTTTTGACGTTGCTGAAAATCAGCTCGGATTGTCCAAGTTCCTCGATGCCGAAGGTACTTTGGTTTCGGTTTAATTTAACATCAAAAAACCCTAAAATGGTTCAGATGTGAACGTGGATCAACCCGACGAGAAATCGATCATCACCTATGTTGTCACTTACTATCATTATTTCAATAAGCTCAAGCAGGACAACATTCAAGGAAAACGTATTGGAAAGGTGATTAACGAACTCATCGACAACGACAAAATGATCAATCGGTACGAGACCCTTTCATCGGACCTTCTTGAATGGATCAACGCGAAAATTGAGCTGCTCAATGATCGCAAGTTCGAGAACAATTTGGACGGTGTTCAACGCCAATTGTCCGAATTCAATGAATACCGCACCCAAGAGAAACCGCCAAAGTTCGATGAGAAGGGCGAATTGGAGGTGCTTCTCTTCACACTTCAATCAGCGATGCGAGCCAACAACCAGCGACCATTTGTTCCGCGAGAAGGAAAATTGATTGCCGATATCAATCGCGCCTGGCAGGCATTGGAAAAGGCGGAGCATGAAAGAGAGCTGGCTCTCAAGGAGGAAATCATCAGACAGGAGAAACTCGAACAACTCGCCGCCCGATTCAACCGCAAAGCTGAAATGCGTGAGACATGGCTCACCGAGAATCAACGTCTCGTCAGTCAGGACAATTTTGGAAACGATCTATCGTCGGTGGAAGCCGCCACCAAAAAACACGAGGCCATCGAAACCGATATTTTCGCTTATGAGGAAAGAGTTCAAGCAGTTGTTGCTGTTGCCGGCGAGCTCGAGGCTGAAAACTACCACGATCAGCCAAAGATCAACGAGAGAAAAGAGAACGTGCTCAAGCTCTGGAATTATCTCTTCCAACTATTGCTCGCGAGACGTGTTCGTCTTGAACTCTCGATGGCAATCCAGAAGATCTTCCACGACATGCTTCTCACTTTGGATTTGATGGATGACATCAAGAAGAGACTTCTCTCCGAAGATCTCGGAGCTCATTTGATGGATGTTGAGGATCTTCTTCAGAAGCATGCTCTCCTTGAATCTGACATCAACATCATCGGAGAGCGTGTCCGAACCGCGATAGCCCAATCGGAGAAATTCCGCAATCCAGAAGGACCCGATGGAAGCGGCTACCAGCCTGTCGAGCCGGCAGTCATTGATGAGCGTTGCGACGTTCTTCAGAAGCGCTACAAAGAATTGCTGGATTTGGCTGCCGAGAGGAAGCGTCGCCTCGAGGACAACAAGCGTTTGTGCCAGTTCTGGTGGGACGTCGCCGAGTTGGAGCACGGAATCAAAGAGCAAGAGCAAGTGTTGTCTTCCACCGACACTGGACGTGACATTGTCACCGTCTCCCATCTGCTCGCCAAACACAAAAACGCCGAGAACAATCTTCGCGATATTGAAAAGCATCTCGACAAGCTTGACGGCGAGGGTGCACAATTGCAAGCCGAAAATATTCCGGGATCCGACAACATTCCGCCGCGACTTCAGGAAATCCGCGACTACATCACTAAACTCAAAGAGCTCTCCGGAACCCGACGGGAACGACTCACCGGTGGCGTCGATTACTTCCAATTCTTCCATGATGCCGATGATGTTGATCGTTATCTCTTCGACACTCTTCGCGTCATGTCATCTGAAGACGTCGGAAAGGACGAGGGCACTGTGCAGATGTTGATCAAGATGCACGACGATGTCAGCGATGAGCTTCAACACTTCGACGAGCAGATCAAAATTCTTCACGCCAAAGCCGAATCGCTTCCACAAGAAGCGCGCGAGCATCCAGATATTAAGGTTCGCCTTGATACGACTCTAAAGCAAAAAGCCGAGCTGGAGAATCTTGCTCAACTTCGCAAGCAACGTCTTATCGATGCACTTTCTCTTTACAAACTGTACGCTGATGCTGATTCTGTTGAATCATGGATTGACGAGAAGGGAAAACTATTGGCTACACTTGTGCCGGGCAGAGATATTGAAGAGGTAGGATTCTGTTGAATATGTAGATATAATATGCAATGTCTAATTGTAGGTTGAGATCATGAAGCATCGCTTTGACACACTGGAACAAGACATGAAGAACCAGGAAGCCAAGGTTGCCAATGTCAACGACTTGGCTCGTCAATTGCTCAACGTCGAGCATCCGAACTCGGACGACATTCTTCATCGTCAGAATAAACTCAATGCTCGATGGGCTCAACTTCGCGACATGGTCGATCAGAAACGCAATGAACTGGAGCGCGCTCATCGTCTCGAGACATTCCGCATCGATTGCCAAGAGACTGTTACTTGGATCGAGGACAAGACACGAGTTCTCGAGGATTCCGACGCGTTGACCAACGACCTATCGGGTGTCATGAAGTTGCAACGAAGACTTTCCATGATGGAACGCGATTTGGGCGCAATTCAGGCCAAGCTCGATTCCCTTCACAAAGAGGCCGATGAGATCGAGAAGGAGAGACCACAAGAAGCGCAAGCTATTCGTGAAGACATCAAGAGAATCCATCAAGTCTGGGATATCCTCAACAAGAAGGTGCGCGAGCATGAGGCGAAACTCGACGAGGCCGGAGATCTCCAACGGTTCCTTCGTGATTTGGATCATTTCCAAGCTTGGCTCACCGCCACTCAACGCCAAGTCGCTTCAGAGGAAGAGCCGCAATCGCTTGCCGAAGCTGAACAGCTCCTCAATCAACACGCGTCCATTCGCGAGGAGATTGACGGATACGCCGAGGACTACAAGAAGATGCGCGCCATGGGAGATCGTGTTACCCAAGATCAGACGGATCCGCAGTACATGTTCTTGCGTCAACGGCTTGCCGGACTTCAAGAGGGATGGGAAGAGTTGCAGCGAATGTGGGACAACCGACAGCATTTGCTTTCGCAGGGACTCAATCTTCAGATGTTCTTGCGCGATGCCAAACAAGCGGAGGTCATGCTCTCACAGCAAGAGAACTATCTGTCCAAAGACGATGTTCCGCAGTCTTTGGAGCAGGCCGAGAATCAACTCAAACGCCATCAAGATTTCATGACCACGATGGACGCGAACGACGAGAAGATCCGCGCTGTTGGTATGTTCGGAGATCAGCTCTGCCAAGATGGCCACTATGCCGCTGACAAGATTCACAAGAAGGCCCGCAATATCGACGAGCGACGCAACGCGAATCGCGAAAAAGCTCAAGATTTGCTCAAGAAGCTCAAGGATGCCCTCTCGCTTCAGCAATTCTTGTCGGATTGCGACGAGTTGCGCGAATGGATCGAGGAGAAGATGATCCGCGCTCAAGATGAGACCTACCGTGATGCCAAGACGATCACCTCCAAGTTTGTTCGTCATCAGGCGTTCCAATCCGAACTTGCCGCCAACAAAGAGCGTCTTGATCAGCTCAAGCATGCTGCCATCAATCTTGGAGACGACAAGCCGGAATATCATGGAACCATCGATCCGCAAATTGAAGAGCTTGCCACTCAATGGGAGGAGCTTGAGAAGACCACCGAAGAGAAGGGACAGAAGCTGTTCGATGCTAATCGCCAACAACTCTATGTGCAGAGCATTGCTGATATGAAGGAATGGGCGACGCAACTCGAGAATGAGATGACTCGTGAAGATCAACCAGCTGACTTGACCACTGTCAACGTCGCTATGCAGAAGCAGCAAATGATTGAGACGGAGATGATCAAAAAGGCTCATCACATCGATCAGCTAATGGAAATGGAACCACAGCTCGAAGAGCTTCATCCTGATGAATTGGAGAATATTCGTGCTCATCGTTTAGCCGTCCAGGAGCAACTTCAACGACTCCAGGCACCGCTTGATGACCGTCGCAAGGCTTTGGAACGCAAGAAGGCCGCATTCCAATTCGGACGCGACGTCGATGATGAGAAGCTTTGGATTTCCGAAAGACTTCATCTTGCACGCACCCAGAATCTTGGAGAGAATCTACCAGACTGTCACCGACTTCAGAAGAATTTGCAATTGTTGTCGAATGAGATCGACAATCATGAGCCATGGATCAACCAGATCTGCAATAACGGCCAGGAATTGATTGACGAAGGCCATGAGAACGGACCAACGTTCGAGCGGAAAATTCAAGAATTGCGAAATGCCTGGCAAGAACTCAAGGATGCTGTTCAAGATCGTCGCAACGATCTCGGCGAATCCGAGAAGGCCCATCAATTCTTGTATGACTGCAGCGAGGCGGAGGCATGGATGAGCGAGCAAGAATTGTACATGATGCAGGTAGGAGCTTAAAGATCATTTTTAGAAATTCTATATATTGGTGTTTCAGGATGAACGCGGTAAAGACGAGTTCTCGACGAAGAACCAAATCAAGAAACACGAACGACTCCAAGGAGACATCGACAAGTTCGCCGACACAATCAGAAGTTTGGCGAGCAAGGCTCACAAGTTTGTCGAAGAGAAATCGCCACTCAGCGACCAAATCCAATTGCGTCAAGCTCAAATCGAGAAGCTCTACGCCGGACTTCAAGATTTGTCGAAGGAGCGAAGAAAGCGACTCGAGGAGACCCTCGAATTGTACGCTCTTCATCGCGAGATCGATGACTTGCTTCAATGGATCGCCGACAAGGAAGTGGTTGCTGGAAGCCAAGAGAACGGCCAAGACTATGAACATGTGCAAATGCTGCAAGAGCGATTCCAGCAATTTGCTAGAGACACAGAGAATATCGGATCTGAAAGAGTGGCGAACGCAAATGATGGCTGCGATGCCCTCATTGCTCAAGGACACACAGATGCTCCAACGATCGCATTGTGGAAGGATTCGTTGAATGAAGCATGGGAGAACTTGCTTGAGCTTATGGACACCCGAGCTCAAATCCTCGAAGCAAGCCGTCTTCTTCATAAATTCTACCACGATTGTCGCGATTGCCTTTCGCGAATTATGGAGAAGACGCATGCAATGCCTGATGATCTTGGCCGCGATTCGAGCAGCGTCGGAGCGTTGTCGCGCAAACACCAGAACTTCCTGAAAGACATCGCCGCGATCGGTGAGCAAGTTGCTCAAATCGAACGCGATGCCGGACAGCTTCGCGACGGATACGCTGGCGACAAGGCGCTCGACATCGGTGCTCGTGAGAGTGAAGTCGTCAAGGCTTGGAGACATTTGAGAGGACTCTGCGATGCCCGAACATCAAAGCTCATGGACACATCAGATCTATTCAAGTAAAAAAAATAAAATTCAAAAAATTCATGCAATTTTATCTCTTTAGGTTCATGAATATGGTTCGCGATTTGTTGTTATGGATGGATGAGGTGAAACGTGAAATGAACTCGCAAGAAAAACCGAAGGATGTGAGCGGTGTTGAGCTTCTGATGAATAATCATCAATCTCTCAAGGTATAGACACCTCCAAATTACAACGATAGCTAGCTTTCGTTTAGGCTGAAATTGATGCTCGTGAGGATAACTTCAACGCGTGCATCTCACTTGGTCGCGATTTGCTCAATCGCAAGCACTACGCTTCAAGTGAAATTGAGAAGAAGCTCATCAAATTAACAACCGAGCGTGCTGAAATGATGAGACGATGGGAAGATCGCTGGGAATACTTGCAGCTTAGTAAGAATATTGAAAAAAAAATTAGTGAAAAGAAAAATAATGTTTTTGCAGTTCTCGAAGTCTATCAGTTCGCCAGAGATGCCGCTGTCGCGGAATCCTGGTTGTTCGCCCAGGAGCCATACCTCATCTCGAGGGAATATGGAAGAAATCTCGAGGAAACCATCAAACTTATTAAGAAACACGAGGCGTTTGAGAAATCTGCCGCAGCGCAAGAGGAACGATTCCAAGCACTGCAGAAACTTACAACGGTCAGTTTCGTTTTCCATCGTTGTCTGGGTTTCCAACATCATTCCCTCGCCGGCATGTGTACTCGATTTTCGTCGTTGCGCTCACATGCGAGGGTGGTTTATCGCATTCTCTTCGGCCTCTCGCGTGCGGGGTCGAAGGTTCAATGCCAGGTCTCGGTGATGATAAACTCAGCTCACTCCGAGATACAAAATCGTGTGGAAAACTTTCTTTCCCCGTCTTAGAGACCTTTTCAAGAATTTTTTGAAATTTCAGTTCGAGGTGAAAGAGATGCAAAGAAAGGACGAGGAGAATGCCAAGAAGCGCGGAGGTCCTGCTCACATTGGAAGTCCGTCAAGATCGACACCAGCACCGGAAACCTCATTCTCGGCACAAGAAGACGGTAAATATTTAATTCATTTGTTTTCCCTTCCCTTTGCTTCTTATTTTCGTTTTCTTTGTTGTGAAGTGTGTGTGACATTTCAGAGGCCGATATTACCATGAGCAGTTTGGAGAGTCACCAAAAATCACTTGGTTCGATTTTGTTTTTTTTTTTGATTTATTGCTCTTTCGTGCATGCCTAACCAGAAGCTTATCAAAATACGATAATATTGTGTCGTGGTGCTAATTGTGCGTGAAACTTACAGAGCGAAGACCGCTTGCGCATTCGGAGTCGAGCAGCTGGCGGAAATCACTGGCGCGAGCGCCGAGATTCGAAACCAAGGATCCGAAAGGTTTAGAGGATTGTAGTGTTGTGATACTCATAAATCAACACAACCCTCAATTTATTAACCCAAATTGAATCAAAATTGATTTGAAGGAACCAAGAAGGGCGACACGTTCGAAGGAACACTCATCCGCAAGCACACCTATGAGACACTCGACCGAAAAGCTGCCAACAGGTCTTGGGAGAAGTTGTACGCCGTTCTCAAGCAGTACGAGCTTTCATTCCACAAGGATTCGAAGCACAAGTATGAAAATCGACATTTCTTTTTCCCGTTTTACAAAATTCTGAAATTTAAGGGATGAAACAATTCACAACGAGTCACCCATCGAATTACCGGGATGTTCGGTGAACGTCGCATCCGACTACCAAAAGAAGAAGAACGTGCTGTCGTTAAGGCTTCCAAGCGGCGCTGAATACCTGCTACAGTGCTCCAGCGAGGTTTGCACAATCGTCAGACATTGAGAAACTTGAACAAATTGATTATAGGAAGACATGCAGCGTTGGCTGACAGAGTTCCAACTCGCCACTGGGCAATCCCAATTTGAAGAAGCTAGTAGATCGCAAACATTGCCAGGTGATCCGAAAAGTGAAAAATATCACATTATCAATAATTGGTTTTGTAGAAGGCTCGAGTGCAACAAAATCCAAAAAGGGAGGATTCTTTTCCCGTGGGAAAAAATAGACGCAATCAAGGAATTTAGGAACAAATGAAGATTGTATTCTTATTTATTTGCAACTTATTTTACAGTATCGCTGTCGAGGTTCGTCAATTTTCAATTAATCAAACGTTGAACGTTTTGAGTTTAGGCGGTTAAATCGAAGCCTTGGGACTTTTATCGGCAAAAAGTGATCCAATGTCGAGTTTCTCCACTTCGACACTCGATTCCGTCTTTCTTCTTTCATCCCTCCATACAACTTCATCAATTCCGCTTTTTTCCCACTTCTTTTTTGAAATTTGTTGTTGAATGTTAGTCCCTCGTCAAAAACAAACCCGATCGATACGGTTTCCTTACCAAAAAACGCCCCCCACGATGATTTCATTTAATCAATTTCTCTATGAACCATGTAATAGGCATTAATATTTGAATTACGCTTAAAGTTTAATTTACTTGTAGAATATTTTATATTGAAGTGGTGTATGTGTTTTTGTCCGAAAAAGAATTGAATTTCTCAAGAAAAACAAAATATCGGCAATTTTGGTTTTTTTGGTTTGAATGAAAATTCTTCGAGGAACCCATCCCATACCACTTTATCAATTATGAGCTCGGTTATTATTATTGCTTAGTTTTAATTATATAATTATTGGAATCTTTCTGCTTCTCACTGCTTTTGTCAAAATGAAATCTCTCTATTCAATATGATGAGGCTCCTAAACAATTCGTCGAATTGTAGTCTAGCAAAAAATCCCCCGTCCTAATTGTGTTACTTTTTGTTTTGTTTTGTTTTATTTTGTTTGTTTTCTAACACTACTTGCTCCTTATGTTTTCCCGTTTGATAACTAATAATTTCCAGGGAAGGTTTTGACATAGAATTTTTGCAGAAAATTCGCTAGACTCCCCTTCCCTATGCGAATTGTTTAGGTGGCTTCTCATTCCCGAAGCTGCTTTCTGATTGCTTTTAAATTCCGGAATTTAATAAAACAGTCTTCAATTATAATTAGAGCAGGAAATCTCGTACATTGAATATGTTCTCGAACTGATTCTCGAACTACAGGCCAGCAGGTTATTTTTGTCTTCTTCGTTCTCCTGCCACGATTTCTCATTTATCGTACGTACTTTCAGAAAATTTGTGAAGATGAATTTAAAAAAACAATGGGCTCATACCACGTTAGTTCTGAACAGGTTCTACTCGCCCGAGACTAACACCGTCGAAGAAAATTTGGAGCTTCGGAAGAATGCCACAAGCCAGGCAGCTCATCAGAAATTATTGAAGAGCAACCATTCAGTTCATCTTTCGTCGACGTCGCGCGACTGCGGAAAATTGGCTAAATGCCAGAAAAACAATGGCAGTGGCCTAAAACTAAGTGTTAAAAGCGCGCACCGATCCCTTTATTGGCATTCAGCCAATTTTCCGCAGTCGCGCGATGTCGACAATATGAATGACGCCTTTAATATCGCCAATTTTTCATTCGAAGCCTGCTCGGTCAAGCTATAATCAATCAAGAACTACATTATTCGCAAAAAAATCACAATGGGTTTTTTAATCGTTATTGGAATGGTTTTTTGATGCAGCAAAGGTAGCTGTCAGTTGTCGACGAAGGCAAGCAAATGTAGGGAAATGGACAACTGAAAACGAAATTTGCATTTCTCGAATCTTCAAATTCGACATATTACTCTAATGAAAACAGGGCAAGGCATCTCTTGACTTCCCCGTTGGTTTCCTGTAATGCGGGTGTGTAGGAAAACGGACATGTTGGAGATGGGTTCGTTTCCGGAGTAGGAGGAGGAGGAGGAGTAGATGCCAACGAGATTTGAGGCTTAGGCTTGAAGCAGCACACGAATACATCTTCGATATCCGATTTCTGGCATGTGTATCCAGATTTTGAGCATTTCTCTCCTAATTTTGAGCACATTACGCTCAGACCGTCTTGAAACAAAGCCGGCGAATTGTCTGAGCACTTCAAACTGAAAAATGGTTTGATCTAAGCGTGAAAAATTGATTGAGTTTACATTTGATTTTCTTCCGGCTCTATAGTAGTCGTAGGAACTGGTCTTGACCCTGAACAAGCATTACTGATTAGTCCAATTTTGCGTTGGAATAATACCTTTTTTGACTTTCTCCTTTTTTGGACTGCAACAAATATGTTTGGTCTCTTCATAATTCAATTGGCACGTTTTTCCAATAGGGCAAAGGTCAAACGCGGGACTACATTGTAGCGTACTAACTTCGCCGTTGAGACACTTGTAATCTCGAGATTTCGCTTCTGCTAAAAGCGGACAACACCACATCTCATTTTGAATCGGAACACATTTCTCCGACGGAAGACACCCGGCGGCGCAGACCGACCGCGCGTGTACTCCGCTCGGACAAGTTGCCAGTGAGCAGCATACTCGAAGACCTGTCGGAGTGAGAGAGCACTCGTAACTGAAATCACTCGTGGCTTATTTTTTTCTAACTTTGATATGCTTCTACCCTTTTTCACATGGCTTCTTGGAGCAATCCCTAGGCACAAGACTGTCCATTAGTACCGTACTTCCAGCACCACATATATCGTCAGAATTCTGACAACACACTTGAACATTGCTGCTGCGAAATTCGGCACAGATTCTTTAAAAAATTATTCGATTTCTAGCTGGACCGACTTTTTACAAAAATTTACCCTTGATGGCAGTCTTTACAAAGAATCAAGTGTTTTCCATCATGTGCGATCACTGGATGTGAATCTCCAAAAGCTAAAATATTTTCGCGAGATGAAAAACGAAATACCAGGACAAATCGGTTCATATCGATTCGCTACTAAGCTCAAATTTTCCACAGACTTTGAAATTTTTAAGGTTTTCGGTGAGGATTTTCTGAAAAAAACGAGGAACCCCTCACATTGAAAACCAATTCTATAGACTTCGTCACTTTTTCTTGTAGGTGCTCGATTTACAGCACACCGACATTCCATCCAAGTTGCTTGAAGTGCATACACTGCCCGCCGGACAATTGTTCTTAACATCTGGTAGGCACGCAAATCCAGCGGATACCCTGGAAATCTTCAATTACGCAAACTTGCTCTTGAATATTGTTAGCCACCTCATAGCCGGATGCCTGCATTGCGGCTGCGGGACGCAACAAATTCCCCGATAGCAAAGAGCGCCAAGGGGACACACTGTGGCACAAGTGCGGACAGCGCGCGGCGTCGTCAATGGCAGTTGACCAACCGGACAAAGATCCCTCAAATACTCATAAATCGGCTTGTCGAGCGACGAGATGTGAGCCTGTGCAACGATTCCAGCACCGAATAAAACAATTCGAATAACATCGACGAGCATGTGTGTGTGTATGTGTAAATGTGTGCGCGGAATATTTTGGTTTCGGGAAAACGGGACGAGAGATGAGAATGGTGAAAGTTATTTACACGCCCTAATATGAACTGTTGAAGTGGACACGGAAGGGAATGCGATTCGAGTGAATGACTAGTTGTTGCAATGCTCAAAAATCGTTGATTACTTGGAATAACTTATTAAAATTAAAGAATGAAATATTTAAAAGTCTTATTTTTGCTTCTTCTTCGATGTTGACCGCTGTGTGTTCTTCTTGAGATTCGTCGGCGATTTTTTCTTTGAGTCATTATTGTTGATGTCGACTCGAAGAGACGTCATACTCTTCTTGCTCCCAAGATCTTTCTCCTTCTTCTCGTCGGTGGCAGTACTCTGACAATGATTGGTGTGATTCTAATAATGATCCATAGAACCCACTTTTTTCGTCTTTGGAGTAAAATAGAAATTGCGTCCTTTCGCTATAACATACGAGGCTCCACCAGGAACATCTTTGATGCCAGCCGGTTGGAAAGCCTCCTTCAGCGATTCCATTTCTTTTTCCTCATTCTTCTCCGTCACATTGTTTGATTGCAAGTTGATGTTGTATTTTTTCACAACTTCTTGAAGCTTCTCGCAATCTCCTGGTCTTAAATCGTCAAACTCCAATGGATCTGTGAGTTTCGCGCCGACTTCTTGCATTTTACCAATAAGCTGTGCAGATGTGAAATGCTCTGAATTTGAGTGCGTTAAATGTCAACCTACAATATTGAATATCATCAAGTAGTCTGGTCGATCCGGATATGTTAGAGTGCCTAGATGGTCAGCAACAGGGATCAGACTGCGTGTGATTGCATCCTTATTAAGCACAACTGATGTCAGCTCGATCTTCTGAATCTCAACTTTCTCCGGATGCAACGAGGCCGCCCATGGAAGTTCGGTGCGCATTTCGAGCGTCATGTATAGCCAAGACCATAAATCGTCAACTCGACCAAGCTCAACTCGTTTGTGCATGTTCACCGAGCAGTATCGAACAGTTCCACGAAATCGGCACTGTGATCTCGGCGCTCGGATAATCCATTGGCCTTCGTTTAGTCGAGCGTACCTTCGAGCCATTCCGAAATCCAAAAGAAAAATGATATTCGAATCGCGACGGTAGTCCAGCGCTAGATTGCACGGCTTCAAATCCCGGTGCACATAGCCAGATTCGTGCAGCTAAAACGCTATTGATTCTCCTAAAAATTGTGTACACCGACGCACCGTTTTTATTGCGTACAACGTTCTGATGGCAATACGCAACAGCGACGAATCGCTGAATTTATTGTTCAAGAACTCTGCGATTTTTGTCAGGTCCGGGCCGCATAATGTCATTATAATAAATCTATAAATTATTGGTTGCTTTTTAAGCAAAAATAGGAGAGACATACCTATAATTCGGTTCAACACCATCATCAAAAATTTGTAAAGCCGCTTTCTGTCCTTTCATTTCATTCATTACTTCCACTTCAATCTTCAAGACACTTTCTTGAGTTTTCTTTTCAATCTTAACAATGTTCCTTCAAGTAATTAATTGTAGATGTTTCAAACTTTCATGGCAGCCTCCCGTCCATCCTTGATATTACATACGTGATAAACTTTTCCAAACATGCCTCTACCAAGTTCTTTTACCGGCAGCCACACATCTTTTACAAGCTTTTTACAATCATTAGTGTTCATTTTTCTTTTTTAGTTTCTAATGTACCAGATTCATGTCAACATAAATATCGGACTGTTCTTCATGGTTTTCTTCTTCGTCGCTCATTGTTCAAGGATGATTCGTGCTCCAACTCCAATTCTATCGCGTCGTCAAAACGGAAAATATCTAGAAATGATGTTCAAACTGCTATTCAGTTTCCGTTTTTCGGCGTGACACACGCGAATTTCGCTCAAATCGCAATTTGAAAGCCGTGGACTGTGTTTTCCCCTGGCACAAGTTGCCCCTGCGTGTTTGCGGACCATAGAATGCGTTCGGCGCGGTAATTCAAATTTTATATTATCGTCGCGCGCCTTCAGAAAATTGCAGAAATGCCAAAAGAAACAAAGATAATGGTTTCGGTGTAAAATTAAAAATGTAGATTTACGGGCCTAAGCATAAGAATTGGTTAAAGGCGCATACCGCGACCTATCTAAAACAATTCAAGCAGACTTTTCACATTGATGAAAAAATCTTTTCATCTTCTTTTCAAATCATATTTTTTTATAGATGAAAACCATCATAAGACCACTTCTATTATCGTCATGCTGTTCGAAGATGTCGTTTACTTTGCTGCATAATTGCCGCAACTTGCTCAAGCTTTATACCAATTAGCCGGACCTTTATTTCATAAGTTGAAAGGCAGCAAAAAATTTTTAGGGTAGTTTTTTTTACACACTTGATGTCGCGAAACTATCAATCGTTTTCGAAGACAGACGAATGACGAGGAGGCAAAACTTGAATTGGCGACTGAAAGAGACGCCAAGTTGAAGAGACGCATGATCGAGCTGGTATACGATCGGCCGTAATGCCTCGTTGCCTACCCTACGCGGATTTGACTACATTCGCGTCCTCAATATCCGCCTATATCTTTTAGTTAAAATGCGTCGATACTTTTTACTTATTGCGTTCTCGATACTCCTGGGTCCCGCTACGTCACAGGTGAACATCTTCGGAAATTTAATATTTTAAAATTGATTCTACCAACAGTTTTATCCATATATGTAATTCTCTCATTGTTACTATTTTGTCTACTAGTCCGGTTCCAGAGCAATTAACTCGGCATAAAAGTACAGTTCCACTACATACTTTTTGGAATTTAAAGAAAAACTTGAGATTCAAACTTAGAATGGTTACGATATAAGTGTCACAAATTTGTTTAACATTCTAACAGAAATACATCGGGGAAGGCAGAATTTGGGAATATTTAAAATACATAGGTCTCATTTTCTTTTTTTGCTGCTAGAAACTAGAAATTATTGAATGTGAGCGCATCACCCTAAAAACCTGCATTCCCCAATCATCTATTCCAAGCCAACTTAAACATTTTTGATTTCCGGAGGTCAATATTCAACCGTTCCTGTCATTTCTAAGGCCTGAGAATATGAGAAGCATGGCTGAGCTGGCAGGAGAATTATCAACAATGGCTGGAGCCAATATTGCGAATAACGAACGAGATATACAGTTTGTTTTTTTCCCCAAGTTATTTTCTATGATTTCAAATGCTTCAGAAAATCAGTGGCGCCACCAAAACAAGACTTCAATCTCAACGCAAAACCTTCTCAAATGATTGGTGGTGGTAGGTACTCGTCGTTAGACAGATTAAAGACAATTTCAAATTCTTACAATTTCAGCTCTTTCCAATCTAGCCTATCAAAGTCGCAACTCGTTCATTGAAACTCTCGACAAAATCGAGAAGTCGCAAAAAGGAAACATCTCGACGCCTACTTCGCCGGATGCCGAGGCGCCGCAATTAAATGGAGAAGTTTCGGGAAGAGATATTCTCGGAGTGCAAGATTACAAAAAGCATCGACAGAGCAAGACGATTCGCTACGCCGAGGCATCGCCATCCGTCGATGAATCACAGACACCTCAAGCTGCCGAGGTCAACCCTGTCCCATCCGCAGCTGCTGCTTCTTCTGTTTCTGCTTCTGCAGCAGCAGCAGAAGCATCCGAAGGAACTGCTCCAGTGGCAAGGCAAGGCAATGCTTTAGAAAATAATCCATTCATGGCAATAGCTAAACGATTCTTACAAATGGGAACAGGGAATAACGGAGGAAACAATGGTACGTACTCACTCATATTATGTATTAATTTTTCTTTTTGCAGAACCGCTTCCGCAACTCGGAATTCGCGACTTCGTCTCCGGTTCTGACAACAATTTTGGTCTTCCTCATGGAAAAGGATGTTTGCCGTTCATTTCGGAATTCATGCAAATTGCATACGGAAACTGTCAAGACGTCGCTGATGAGAAGACGTTCGACGCTTGGGGCGACGAATTGCGTCGCGCCATCCTTCACGGGGAAATCGATTTGCTCAAGGCTAGTCAGGAGACATGTAGACGCGGCGCGGAACGCCAACAATGCGACGCACTTCGAGACGCGGTGGCCAATTGTGACGTGATGGCCAGTCTTGAGATCGGCTCGCAACTACAGCGGGCGATGAAGCGATGTGAAGACATTTCAGGAATCATTGATCAGAATCCGGCGGCCGTTCTCGGCCAATTGAATAATTTGATTAGCGGAGAAGTTGCTCAAGGGTTTTTGAACAATTTTTTGAAAAATGGTTAAGCAAGTTTGTTTTAAAACTTTGCCTATTTATAATTCTAATAAATTTAATTTATATGCAAAAACAAAACAAACAACAAAAAGAAAACACTCATTTCTAACCTATGCGAAAAGTAAAGCTACTTCCTACACATATTGGACGCATTTTTTACGATTAACCCCCATGAGTAGGATGTTGTTGGCTGGGCAAAAGGAAGACTTACGCCAGAAACTTGAACACTATTGTTTCTCGGTTTAGCCTAAAATTTCAGATGAAAAACCTATCATAATAGAAATAAAAGTTGCAAAAATTACCTGAACTAATTTATATTGACCAATTTGTGCAGTAGATTGTATAACAGGTCCGCTAGCAGCAAACACGTGTCTTCCCAGGCGCACCAGTAATTTACTATAACGAGTGGTGTTTTATATTAAAGTTTTAAAGAAGGTTCATACCAGTCTAAAGAATTTTCTTCCGCAATATGTGTCGGAACATTGATACATTCGAAAGGATGACCTTCTTTCAAGAATTTTTTCCCGAATGAATTAATTGTGGTGAGCTCGTCCTAAAACCCGAATTTTGTATTATAATTGTTAATTGAAGCTTTTAATTACATAGGAAATATTTTGTAAGTCCGAAACATTCACTGAGAAGAATCCGTCTTCAACTAAAGAAAATAATTAAATGTGAATTGGATTAATTCAATATACCATTATTTTCAACATTGAAATCAACAAGTAATTCAGGATAAAATGATTCTTTCAGAATCGCGCCTGTAGCAATTCCACAAGACCTCCAATAAGCTGCATTCAAAATGTCAGTGTATGATGTAGTTTGAAAATCAATTTTCGTAATTCTCGCTTGATCCTCTATCGGTTGATGAACGCAACAGATGTAATTTTCACCAACGGATGGCTCAACTTCTACTAGAACAGCATTTTCAGCCACTTGTTTGGAAATATCTAAATATTGGTGGATATTCAGAAATTTTCTGAAGGACATACGTGTCAGGCAGTGAAAAGGTGTCGACACATTGCGATTCACTAGAACAGGCTTCTGGGTTTCTGCATCAAGAGTGACATTGACAACCACCTTATCAATTTTTCGCGAGTCTCCATAGACTTGATGTTGGATATGTTCGAAAAATTCCGATGTCAAATTTTGGGTAGGCGGAACTTCTAAACTTATTTTTCAGACCTTTTTGAATCCATTTAATCTTACTTTGCGTCTTTTTTGATATGGCATTCGAGAGAAAACGCTTAATTAAACCCGCCGATGACCTCATCTGAATTACAAACCTTTGATAATTGAAAATAAGTTACTAAATTACGAAAACTTCAAGAAATATTTAAAAAAAAACAGACGGAATGTGTCAAACTAATAGTAAAATAAAATGAAAAATAGGAATATAGTAAAAGGAAATACGATAAATAGGCGACTTATATGTAAACATGGAATGTTGTACTTTGCGAGGCTTGCAACTATTTGCGCCGCAGTATGCAGTGGGCGTGGTTGTTGCCAGCTCGTTTCAAAAATTTTAAATAATTAATAAGATTCTCTAATTATTTTTAATACTTAAACATGTATTTTTATTATCATTGTGTACCGCCCACATAAGATATCTGCAACATTTTCAGGGTGCTAAACTAGAAATGTATTTTGCACGAAAAAAATTACAACTACTACGACTATGGCGACAAAAGTTTAATAAAAAATAATGTATTTACCAACTGTTCATAGTTTTTAGAGAATGCCGCCTATTAACATACCTAGGTGTTGCGGTTTTAATATTGGTTGGAGTGTTCTACATGAAGTCTGATAAGGTATATAGAATTTTGTGACAGTTCGGAATAGTGAACGTTTAGGAATTCTCCTCTCTTGATTTCAACAGTGGAGCTATGAAGTTTGATGAAATCGATAATATGATGAATAAAGAACTGCCTGGTGGTCCTGATCCGAATACAATTTTTACCGAAGACGCGTTAGGAAATTATGAGCCAAAAACCCCTGAAATTCCTTCTGATCAGCCAGGTAGATTTTTTCAGAAAAAAACACCACAATTTAATCCCTTTGTGTAGGCGAAGGAGGTATGCCGGTTCGAATTTCTGATCAGGAGGGTTTGGCATCTTCTCGCAACGCAGAAAGAGAATACGGATTCAACACATATGTTTCCGATATGATTTCCCTGAATCGCACAATTCCTGACATTCGTCCCAAAGAGTGAGTGTTCAATGCCGATAGTTTTTTTTGTTGAATTTACGAATTCAAGATGCAAACACTGGAACTATCCTGAAAAACTTCCCACAGTTAGTGTTGTCATCGTATTCCACAACGAAGGATGGACCCCACTATTGCGTACAGTGCACTCTGTTCTTCTGCGTTCTCCGCCAGAACTTATCAAAGAAGTAGTAATGGTTGATGATTATTCGGACAAATGTAGATCATATCACATATTTTACAACGTTATGTTTCCTTTTTAGCTCATTTGAAAGAAAAACTGGAAAAGTATGTCGCTCAGTTCAACGGTAAGGTCATTATTGTTCGAGCGGAACAGCGTGAAGGTACTTGTTGTATAGAGTGTAAAGAGAATAGTTCAATATTTGTATAGGCTTGATTCGGGCTAGATCTATTGGTGCGAAACACTCAACGGGTGATGTCGTGCTCTTCCTCGACGCGCACTGCGAGGTCAACACTAATTGGCTTCCGCCACTTCTAGCACCAATCAAATATAATCGAAAAGTGATGACAGTTCCAGTCATTGATGGAATTGATTCCAACACATGGGAATATCGCAGTGTATACGGAAGCCCGAATGCGCACCATAGTGGAATATTCGAATGGGGATTACTCTACAAAGAAACGCAAATTACCGAGCGCGAGACTGCCAACCGTAAACACAATAGCCAGCCATTCAGGTTGAACTTCAGTCAAGAAAACTTAAATTTTATTTTTTTAACTTAAGATCTCCGACACACGCTGGTGGTCTGTTCGCCATTGATCGATTATGGTTCAAAGAGCTTGGCTATTATGACGAAGGACTGCAAATTTGGGGAGGAGAGCAATATGAGCTTAGTTTTAAGGTAATTGGTAATTTACACTACTTTGTGTTCGAAACCTTCACAATCAATTCTAGATCTGGCAATGCGGTGGTGGAATTCTGTTTGTTCCGTGCTCGCATGTCGGTCATGTATATAGATCTCACATGCCATACACATTCGGAAAACTTTCGGGAAAACCAGTTATTTCAACGGTAAGTGAAGACAACCAACTATATGTAGTTTATATTTGTTCAATAATTTAGAATATGATGCGCGTTGTGAAAACTTGGATGGACGAGTATGCTCAGTACTATCTAATTCGCGAACCACAAGCGGCGCACATCAGCCCTGGCGACATTAGCCAACAATTGGCACTTCGAGACAAATTACAATGCAAATCATTTAAATGGTACATGGAGAATGTGGCCTATGATGTTCTTAAGAGCTATCCACTTTTGCCACCGAACCGTGTTTGGGGAGAAGCAAGAAACCCAACGACAGGGCAATGCCTTGATAGAATGGGTGGCATTCCAGGGCCGCTGGGCTCATCAGGCTGTCATGGATTCGGAGGAAATCAAGTAAATCTTAAAATCCCTGTATGACATTTAATGCTACCGTTTCAGCTCCTTCGGATCAACGTCAACGGGCAAATGGCGCAGGGTGAGTGGTGTTTGACAGCGAGTGGAAACAAAATCACAGCGAATCATTGCACCAAAGGAACTGTAAACGGAAACTGGAAATATGATGAGGTGCTGTGAAAATTTCGATATATATCTTTAATCTTAAAATTTAAGGTCACGAAACACATTGTGCATTTGATAAAGAAGCAATGCATCACAATTAACGGAAGTGGACAAGAAGTTTTCTTGTCGCCGTGTAGCGCGGACAACGAGCTTCAGGAATTCGTTTGGAAGGAGATTTACCAATCGGATTAAAGCGGGTTAATAGTTGGTAGGAAACCAAAGAATCATAATTCATACAAAAGTATTCATTTTTTCACATTGGGTTGTTATTGCATTTATTTATTGCCTGCACTTTATTTATTATCTCGCTGGTTGTTAATCAGATGCTACTGTGATACTTATTATTTTTTTTAATAAACGTAATTTATTGAACCAAGTTCTCAATACCGTATTTTCTCTTCAATCGCTCACGATCCACATCTGGTGGTTCGTATAGCGATTTGTCATCCATCAACAACTGAATCGACAACTTATCGACAACATACTTGCGAATACGAGAACCTGAGTAATTCGCTTTTCTCTCGATTTTTGCTCGAAATGAGCTTGATAGCAGAACTCGCAATAATCATATAGAGAAAGTCTGAAAAAGGAATTTCGATCGATGAAAAATTTCTCAATGTTGCACCGTTTTACTTATATATTAGAAATCCGATGCAACACCACCATAAGCCGTACAATCCAAGCTTTCCGGTTAATGTTGAACATTTTTGAATGGTCTTAATCAATTTTTTCACACAATCAACATTCTACTCACTCCTGTCAAACATTCGGGGCACGTATTTTTAACATTTCTTCCAACAATATCAGCACTAAAATTGGTTGCCATTTTTTTAATAATGGCTGAAATATTTGCACACGATACCAAAATAGTTCACGCTAGATGTACTTAAAACAGCCTTTCAATACTTGTTATCAATTTCAATAGCATTAAAAAGCAAAAACTGTCTTCTATTGGTGTCATGTTATTACTATTTTCAAGCTATTTGTTTGTTTTTCACGTCCTATCAACTCCTCTAGACATTTGCGTTCGAAATTACCAAAATTGTGAGGCATGTGTTAACTCGACCGACATTTTTGGACAGCGTTGTGTGTTAGTACGAAACAAAAAATTATTTTAAATTAGTGTTATACCTGCTTGATTATAGTTGGTGTATTACAAATAATCGATGCGGAACGATTCAATCAATCGAGTGTGATTCGGATGACGCCACATTACATGTTTATAATTGCCCCGGCGATGTCAACAATTTTATGTAGGCATTTTTCTGAACAATTTTTGGGAAAAGGAAATTAAGATATGATGAGCAGTTTATGAGGGAAATTGCGACGCCGTTGATCGCTTCAACAAATGCTCCAAACATGGAAATAGTAATTTAGTTGAAGTCAATTTTTTAAAATTATATTTTCATTTTAGCTGTCCAGTGTGTTGAATTCGTGCTTCAAAGATAATGCTAATGTTTATAATACTTATGAAATATTCTGCGATGAGGATAATGTTGTGAGTTATTATTTTTTATATTTTTTTAAACTATTTTTTTATTCTTGGGGGCATTGTCTGCGTCTCCATCCATCATCACATACACACTATCTACTTGAACACCAGAAATCATCAATTTTCAGACAACTTGCTACGCCTATTCGGTGTATCTAAAACGCGAAAACGCATTTGCAATGATATTCCGTGGAACCAGCACAATATTTCAATTGATTGACGAAGGAATATCGTTTTTTCTGCGCCGAAAAGTTGATTTTCTAGAAACCGGCGGTGTTGTGGACAGCTACTATCTAAACGGGTTTCGAAATCTCTGGAAAAGAAATTTAAAGAGAGATTTTGAAACATTATACAACAGAAATCCCGATGCAAATTTTTGGGTACGACTTTAAAAAATTGAAACAGATTTTAAAAAACAATTTTCAAGTTTTTCGGCCACTCGCTTGGTGGTGGCTTAGCCTCAATCGGATCAATGATGATCCAGAAGAAATACAATATTCCGAAAAATCAGGTAAAATTAGTGACATTCGGAATGCCTAGAATCGGCGATATTGAACTAGCAATGGCACACGACGAAGCAATTCCGGATTCAATTCGAATTGTCAATTCGAGAGATCCGATTCCCGCACTACCACCCAGAACCTATCCAGATACAATCAACAGTGGATCATTCCATCATTCCCGCGAAGTTTTAATATCAGTCTAAAGCAAAACTATTTTTAAAATATAAGGTATGGTACCCGAATGGGATGTCTCAAGGAGCAGTATACATAATCGGAAATCGGCCAGACACCAATATCGGAAGAAGCTTGATCCCTTTCAACATAGACCACCATTTCAAATATTTCGATGCAGTATTAGAAGATTGGTATAAAACCGGATGTCGGAAAATAACAATAAATTAAATTTATAAGAATATTATATAAAAATTATTCACAAATTAAATATTAAGCTTCTACATAATCCTGACATCTCCACTTGATTGCGAAACCTCGACCATCATTCGTCGGGTCGTCATCGGAATGGAATGTGATTTTCAACATTCGGAGTGTATCGGGTGGCAATGGAATTATTGAAGACTTCTTGCCAGTTTCCTAGAATTCAAATATATTTTCCACTATTCTATGCAACAAAAGAACATACAAAACTGCAATCTCGTATTCTGGCCTTCTTCGTGATTGTTCCCATCAACTCAAAGTCTAAGTATTCATCTAAATGTTTATAAATATTTATTTTTGGACAGATTGCCTTTTTGATAAAACCTTGAGCTTCACACTTCTGCACATCACTAGTAATTCCCAAACCGACTGAAACAATCTCGAATTCGCACGTATGACTGAATGGCGGATTGATGAAGAATCTTAAAATATCGACAAGATTCTTCAAGCATTTTCAAAAAATTTACATTTGTGTGCTGGATTTATTATATCCTTTCGGATATCCAATATTTGTCACAATTCCTTCTCGATCGTAATTCGCGTAGAATTGTACCAAATCGTCTGCAAGAATTGGTTTTATTGGAATTTTGACTAAAAGCAAAAATTACCAGCGTATTTCTCAACTTTGAAGTATGTTGCATCATATCCATCGTGCTCAGAAGAATGATCAGATTTGAAAAGAAACTGAAATGGAAAATAATTAAAGATGAGCGATTAAGATGTATAGAAATTACATCAACATTTTCCCCATTCGTGAAAATTGTTGGAACTGTCGTAGGTCCGCAATAGCGATTTGTGTTTTCAGATGTGGTTACCTGAAATTTCAATGCAAATTCTTAAAAGGGCCTACTCGGCAAACTGAAAAAATCTTTTGCCCTATTCAGCGACGTTAAAAAAATTTAAAAATCTACCAAAACTTCGTTTTTCTCAATTCACCAAATGGGTCCGATAAATGTTTTTAAAACATTTTAAACGCACCTCAAGATAATCAAATTCACACAATTCAGTATTAGGTGTCCGATGACCTTCCAAATTGAATTTCCTAAGAAAAAATAAATAAATTATTTCAAGTAGCAAAAATCGAAATTCCATACGAGAAAGCAATAAGCACTCGCGATTTTGTCTGCAATTTTGTGAGACATGTCGAATTACTAGAATACGAATTCGGATAGTTGGGACTTGTCAATCTTCCGCTCGGCTCTTCATCAATCACAATGGTTCGATTGCAATCTAAAAGTGTGTTTTACTAAAAAAAAAATGCATTAAAATGAATAATTACTATCGAGAAGCTCATAACTAAAGTTGAGCGCAGCTCTTTTATTAGGACGTATCGATGCAGCGACGATAATCTGAAATTTAATTGCTATATAAATATCTATAAAGTGTGTGATTAGCTCAACCTGGACAACGTTGGTATTCGAAATATGTGGAGGTGGTGCCATCATACCACAATACCGAGTAACTTTTCGTTGAGACGGCTCACGGGCGCATGCTGGATGTTGGCATTCATTCAGAGAACCGACATCACGGATTTCGACATACGACTCGGAGCAGTCGTCTTTCGACATAATGAATATGTGACTAAATCATTATTATTCGCCAAAACTGGCTAGAAAACAAAATTCTACTTGAATCGAACAATTATCGGCGCCATTTTATTCCCTTCAATCATATAACGGCAGCGTTGAATTTCATTGGTATCGTTTAGTGGTCTCGAATGGAAGACCACCGACCTTGGCTCGGATTGGGCAGTCAACCAACCACCGCATTCGGAATCCAAGGTGCGATAAGAGATGTTGAATCCTTTTCCACTTCCATCGTCATCACTTTCGAATTTCAGGAACACATGTCGATGAGATGACACCAAGCGGAGTGGCAGCGACACAGTGTCCTCGCAAATATCTCCTAATAACACTGGCGAGAAATTTTCGCGACCATCGTAAATCTTTAAAAATAATAATAATTACTTTAATTCAAGCCAAATGGCAAACCGTTAAGGCATCAATGCACACGGAATCGGGTCTTCCACCCGGTAAGAATTGAAGTGGTTCGGTGTCAATATTTTTGAGTATCATTTCGATTTTGCTATTAATCGGACCACTAATTGTCCATCCACACCTTAAACCACCCGGATAATCTCCATTCGCGCCTTTCGGTGGCGACAAGATGTTCCATTCATCAGTGGCCTTGAGGACACCACCGCAGCCAGCTTTCGGTCCAAGTGTCGCGGTGGCGACTAGCTTGAATCCTCCGCCTTTCACAGTTTCATCGGTAACAAATTGAATAGCCATCTCATTTCCAGTCGATTGGATTCGATCACTAATCGCTCTTAAAATAATCAGTTATTCAATTTCAAATATTTCTTTCTACTTTCGATTTGCCCAGCAAACTTTCGCAAGACTTTTGTTTCCTCGAACATCTGCAGAATCGAAGAATTCGACATAGTCTGCAGAGCAGTCATCGTGATATTCAAGATCCATCAATTCAATCCTTAATCCATTTATTTCAAATACGCATTATACTAAAATCTTACTTGACATCAATTATGCGATCCGATGGAGCTTTGATGGTCCAAACACAATTCAATGAATGAACATATTCCAGAGGAAATGCTGGACTGGTCAGTGTTTTTGAAAAGAACTCATCCTCAAATACAATATCACCTCCACACTCTTCAAATAATTAATGTTGAATTTTTAAATGCATTCCGAATCACTCACTGTTTATTGAGTAGCTTAACTGGAAGCCCCGATGCATTTTGTTGGGGCCATCTTTTCTCCAGTACTGCGATCCAACACTGAATCGAACGCCGACCGGCCCTCGAATGCTCAACGCCTCGGCGGGTGCATCTTGTCCGCCGCAAATTGTCAAATGTGTGCGATTTTTGAGCACCTCAATAATTTCGACGTAGTCGCGATCGCACGGATATCTTCCATAGGATGCTGAAAATCGAACAAAACATTACTGTCAAGAAGCTTCAACAAAATTTGGGACTTGTAAATTCGGAAAGATCAAAGTCCATAAATTTGATAGAGACGACCGAAAACAGGTCCCCATCAGCTGGTTGAATGTAATAAAGGCACTCCTTATTATCGTTCGGATATCCATCGGGATAGTTCGGCGATGACACAACGCCATGATTCAATCGGAATACAGTTCCACACTCTGAAATTGTTATTTTCTAAATTTCAGAATGCGGCTTCAAATTCCAACCTGCTTTCCATTCCACACGGAATCCCCTTCCGGTAACAAACTCATCAGTGGTGAAGTTCAATCGAACTCGATTGCTTTCCGATACGATATCCGGCGGTGTGATTATTCCACAAATCGGTTCCCTCTTTTCCTCGTCTTGGAATAAGAAATAATAATCGCCGAGAGGCGAATTGGCACGCGACGAGTGTTCTTGCGAAATCTGAAGAAATTAAAAATCGATGCAATTGTGGAAGATTTCAATAAAATTATTTCATTACCACCAATTGATCTTTAACACATTTTTCAGATGTTTCAACATCGAAGTGGGTGAAATGCAGATTGATGTGATAGCCAAGAGGGACTTGAACATCCCAAACACACTCTAGCTGATTCTCATAGTCTTTCTCGCCGAAATCCGGAGTGTGCACGACACCGCTCATGCCCTGAGTGTGGAAACCACAAGCTAAAACAAAAAATTAATATTTTCAAAAAAAACTGCATTTCGTTACTATTCTGCTCATTGACAAACTCATATTCCAATTCAAATCCGGCATCTTCTTTATCGTCATCAGTCGTCCATGTTAATGTTAGGTATCTTGAATTTGATTTAATTACCTAAAAAAAAGTAATTCAATGTATATTTTTTTTAGTAGTTGCTTTAGATGCCTTAAATCTATCATCAAGCTTCATCTCATTGACCCCATCGATTCGGTGGCAATATTTGTGAATCGGATTGCCTTGTTTTCCTTCGCCAATAATCAAATGATCTTCAGTGCATTCGTAATTGTATGAAATTTTCATTTCACGAATGGTGACCTGAAAAACAACAAAGTTATTTTCAAAACAAGTTGTTAGGAAGAAAACGAAAACACTTTAAAACCACTTGAAGCTAGGCTATAAATTCGAAACGACAGAATTACAGAATATCAAAAAGTGGAAACAATTCGATTTAATTATGTAAGTAAAATTAGTGCATTATTATTGTTGTTAATATTCCGATATGTTTAGGATTCTGCTCACTCTATTTCTCACACTCTTCATTGTTTCATTAATTTCTTCACAATATGTAAGTATGCCATTTAAAAAGAAATTTTTCAAATGTTTTAGTATGGCGGATTATACTATGGTGGTGCAATGCCGTATGCCGGATATGGATACCCATATGCCGCTTATGGCGGCTATCCATATGGGGCATTATATGGAAAATAATTTTTATATTAAAAAAAAATATTTAACCTTAACAATCTGGCCTTCCAGAGCTTCAATAATCCATTTGCATCGCGAGTTTGGCAAATAATTTCGTCCTGGTCCATAGTTTGGACTTGTGATTTTACCAGTGTTCGGACTTTTGATATATCCACCGCATTCTGAAAAAAAATAAAATAAATATTTTGTTTCTTTCGTTGGTTTTATTAATACGTTGGAATTCGACAATCAATTTGAAGCTCTGATCATGAGTATCGTAATTGGAATTCTTCACGTATACATCGATATCAGGGTTCACATAGACGAGTTCGGTGTAATTCGTCTTCATTATAGCTTCACAACTACGGAAATTGACGGGAACTGGCGATTTTGCTGAATTTCAAATTTTTTATCGTTTTCAAAAGTCCCAATTTAGTTACATTGAATATAAATCATTTGATCGAAGAACATGCAAATTCTGAGCTTGATTCCGTCGGGTCTCGGCAACATTTCACCAATTTTGATCCATGTGCTTCCAAACTTCTTCGGCTTTTGAATTTTCAAATGACAGAATTCTGAATGTGAGAATGTATTTGTATACTCGAATTAAGCAAATACGGGCAGTGTTGAACGTATTTGTCTTATTGGCAGGTTGACGAGTTCTAAAATTAAAAGTGCGATTCGAGTTGATCAAAGCCGAACAACTAGTAGGTGAGGTATCAGCAGGAATCTGCAAACGTTTCGTTTTTTTTTTAATTTATTATATATATACAAACTTGATCATAATGGATAGCAAATGGCGCATAGAACGTGCTATTTGGCGGCACCTCTCTGAGAGTCGCCATCAATTTTCTCGTCATTATATCATCGTACTCAATACGCCCAATATCGGATGACATTGTATACTGGGTTGATGTGTTGCAGAATTGATAGCTCATTTGGGTATAGTCCCCATCAATTGCAGTTCCTTCGAATATCTGCGATGTCAGGCTTCAAGACCTTCTATCAAATGACAATCACATACCGTCAAATCATTTAAGCAAAGAAGTGAAGAAACCATTCCAAACGAGACGCTTTTCTGCCAACCATCAGTATTGGTGAAATTCAAGCGAAGGCGATACACAAATCCAGGAGGAGCCTCGAGATTCCAAACGCACTTCACTTTCGGAAGCAGTTTTCCCGGGTATCCCGGCGGTGTGATTATTCCATTCTTGGCGCTGATTTTTCCGCCGCATTCTGAAATCAATCAATCATCTCGATGTCAATTTTGTCTGTGTTGAATTTACTCGTCTCGCTTAGCTTAAATTCAACATCGAATCCACACTTGCGATTCTTACAATATTGACGTCCGCCCTTCTGAAACAAATCCCATTGATTTGCTATCAATTATATTCAAACCGCTGCGGTCGAATTTGACTCGAATTGCATAGTTAATAAGCTCGAGGAGCTTCGAGTCCACACATCGGGAGCATCTCTTCCATTGCACAATGGCCGGAATAGTGGATCAGCAGTGGAATTGCCGTCACGAATCGTCAACTTGTCAATTGTACAATTTTGATTATACGAAACCCATAGATGATCAACCCTATTTTGGTAAAAAAAATATAACAATTTTAATTCCTAGAATTTACTTTGCAAGAAGCAAATGCGAATTGGGGCTTCTGATTGTCCACTGGCATTGCATTGGATTAGGATACGCTTCAGGATAATTCGGCGACGTCACACGAGTCGTTTGATTGTTCCGAATGACAACAGTACCACCGCACGTCGCGATCTCATAGGTGGCCTCCAGACGAGGGCTATTCTCGAACTGACTTGTGTGCAATCTCACGTAGAGTAAATTTGCCGACGAGTATATGGTTGACGGCGGGTGCACACCACAAAATGCTCCTATTAACGCCGATTCTGCTGTCGGACCATCGCGAACTTCCACGAAATCAGTGCATTCTCCGTCTTTCTCCTCCAATTGGAAATTTTCGTTGTTGAATGTTAATGCAACTCGGCGGCCATTCGGCGCGGCAATGACGTACTCGCATTCCGTTGAATGAGGAATCACTGAATATCAGACAAGATTCGATTTTCTCATTTTTTGAATATGCAATAAATACTTTCTGGCCAATTCGGTGATCGAAGATATCGAAGTGGAGTATTCTCGTTGAGTTGCAATACACCCGAAGGGCATTCGGCGATAACTTCGCTAATCAATATTTTGAATCCCTAAACACGAATTTCATTTTTCGTTGTAAAAATAAACTACGAACCCTCTTTTTCGAATTATGCTTGTAATACTTAATAAACAATCGTCCATCTTTTGTCGTGAATTTCAAATCTCCATAATCATTCATTCCACAATACCACTTCGAGTCGATTCGTGGGCCGCTCTTTTGGAATAGACCGGTAATTGAGCTACTCTGCAATTTCGAGAAACTCAAATAAAATTTCTACGAGTAATCGCAAACCAGTATCAAGGCATTGTCCTGTTTGCACGGCTCTTCTCCTTCAATATCCATATCAATTACGGTGACCAACAATTTTCGATTCGTTTCGAGAATCAAACTCCATTGACACTCGAAATCCCGATTATTATTGTTATCAGGATACGTCGGACTGGTCATGGTGTGTTCGAAAGGAGCGCCAGGACGAATATGCTCAAACGATGAGCACGCTAGAAATCGCAATTATCGAAGTTTTCTAATGTTTTTTTCGCACTTAATGTGTATTTCAGCTTAAATCCTTTTCCATGTCTCGACTTATCTGAGACAAAGATCACATTGACAAACTTATTGACTGAAAACGCGATGCTCGATGTTGTATGATGATTGCAAAACCGCTGTCCGACATTTGACAGTGAAGGCATATCGCTGAACTCGGGCATATTTTTTTTTATTTTAGCAAATTCCTTACTCTGCTTCATTTCCCACAACGAATGCAACATAGTCAAACGGACAATTGGGTCCATACTCCAAATCCAAAAACTCAAATTCAAATTTGACTCCGGCGAATAACGGACGCTCAATGATCCATCGACATCGCATATTCTCCTCATAACCGTAATCTTTAAAAATATTATTCGTCATCAACGTTTTCATTTTTTTCTAATCAAATTACGCTGTCCCGGTGGAAGTGGATTCGATATTGTCTGCCAATCCCAATTCGGCCGAAGGACACCACCACAGTCGTACTCATCATGATCCGTTTGATTCGTGTTGTTTCTCGTTTCTAAGTAATCCATTGGAACGTTATCCCATGTAAATTGGTAGTCGTCATTGACATCAAATTTCGCATAGACATAAACAATTGAATACGGTAGGAAAATGTCCGATCTTTCACCAATTCCGGTAACCTCTTTGTACGTTGAATCGCCAATATGATCATTTTCGTCAGATTGAGAAAACTGAAAAAAATTGTGTGTGTGCGTGATTAATTTGGCCTATGAACGTGTCAAACATACTCTGAGGAAAGACGAGGAATTGACGAGGAAAACTTTTTGGAATTTGATTAGAATTCCTAATGAACTATTTGGAGAAAGAATTGCAATTGTGGCCAGCTGTGGACGATCCGTGATCGGTTTCACAATTTTACGAGTAAGTGTCAATTCCGGTGTAACTAAATTTCAGATATTTCCGTTTAAAAACGTCAATTTTAAATCCACTTCTAAATAGTTTCGCCTCGAATTCTGCAGTTGGCAAATTACTACTCGAATCATAATCGTAGTCTGGATCGTCCTCATGTCGAACAACGTGACGCAAAAGAAGCCAAATGGATTGGCTCTGAAAAATGACTTGCACGAATTCTCAAAAATGCTGAAACACTTACAATATAATACTTTTCATAGTCGTTGTTGCAAACTCGACCCAAAAGTTTACCCGTCGAATTGAACTCTCTGATTTCCAAATAAGAAACCGTGCAATTTTTAGAAGGAGCCAATTTCAGTTTTCTAAAATTTGCAAAATACGAATTATCAATAAAATAATCGAATGGACTACTGTATTTCCAATTGAACCAGATTGCTATGGGTGTTCTCAAGAGTGTAGACACAATCGACATTCTCGATTCCGAACCGAGGTGGAAGACGAATCAAATTGCTGTTGTGACGAAGTGTTCCCCCACAAGATTTGATATCAGTGGAGAATGTGATGATTGCGGTATGAGGGGCACTCGCATGATTCACTTTCAGCCGAATCTCGTTTTTCGCGCTGAACTCTTGCATCCTTGTCTCATCGTCGATTTGAATGATGGCCCTACAAACCAAAATTCAAATAAATTCAAAAATGGAATAATTGAAAAAAATATCATACTTGGGAATTTCTTCCACAAAAACTTCAAGTCTGTCTTCTACGCTCACAGAATCCGCGACATTCATTCTGGTATACTCGTCAATCCTCACCAATATGTTTGGGTCCTCTGCGAAAAGCAAATCGACTTATTTAAAGAACTCGAATTTAATATACTTGGATCCTTTTTGCGAATAGTCACAATGCATTCCTTCTCTCCTTGATGATACATACTAATCGTTTGCGGTTCGGAATCGGCGTAATGAATTCCTCCGCATTTTGGTGTTGCGGTCAAAACGAATCCAACCTAAACAATTATTTGTTAGAGGACCGATTTTTCGTAGAACTATGGCCAAAATAAAGATTTGTTGTTTTTTTTTTTTCACGAAGCCTCGTAAGAATTGATCAACCTCGTGCGCCTTTAATTCTTGCGACGATTACCTTGTTCTTGCGGGTTTCGCCGCTCTTCGTTCCCATCAAATTGCTGGCACCCATGAATGAAACCAACGATTCGGATGAGTTCACCTCAAACGTTGTCGAATTGTCGTTCTCAGCGCAGAACTTCATCACGGCCGCCGATTTATCACTGAAAAAAATGAATTTCGTTATTGGTTCTCTCAAAAAACGCACCTCGAATTGAAATAGGCGGTCAGGAGGCCATCAGAGTACCCAATGTACTTATAACAACTTGCCGATTCGATTCTGACCCTCTGCTGTTTTTCCTCGTGATAATTTGGTGAGTGGAATTCCTTCAAAGTGTACTCAATATGATAGCCAAGCGGCGCTTTGAACAACCAATTGCAGACGATCGCCGGCGGATAAGCTTGAGGGTAGTTCGGCGAATGTATCGATGTGATTTGGCCAACTTTGACTAAAATGACCCAAAATTATATATATACATGAACATTTTCAAATATTACGATCGATTGTTCCTCCACAATCGTCCTTCTCGATATCCAAAAATTTAACCGAGGCATTGAAGAACACTTTCCATTCGGAGCTGATCAGATTATTCTTGTTTAACTAGAAAAAAATTGAGAATAGATATAGTGTAATTCTCTATAAATTGTTACCGATATATAAATGAACATTTCATTCATATGTGAATCATAACTAGTATTCTCGACAGATTCGCATATCGTTTTTGGGGCAATTCCCGACGAATTCGAGGTTCCCATGAAGAACTATAAAGAAAAAAAAATCAAAAAATGTGCATTAAAATTGTTTCTTTTTTACCGCAATTCCATTGATCCCTTCATTTTGAGAATATGTACAATTTTTGGATCGAGCAATTATTTGGAACTGATTGATTTGAATTTGAATCTTCTTGCCAATCGGCGCGACAATCTTGTACTGACACTCAAACTCGTCCGTGTTCTCCAAATCCAAATCGTCGTGCTGAATTATAATATTCTGCGGCACTCGGATATCGGCAATGCATCCAATCATATTCCAGCTCAGCCAAAATTTGTTAGTTTGCTGATTGCTTCGATAGGTCAATTTCATCACATTGTGCTTGGACTGAAATCCGAAATTGCTTCAAGCGCACTAGTCCAGTCTCGCCTACCTTTATTGTAATCGGACTTCCAGTGGAATCGCAAAATTTATTCAACGTCGACGTCACATTCACACTTTCTTTTGTGCGTACTTCAGCTTCTCCAAATGTGGTATCATCGATCTGAATCATTTCGTCAAATATATTTCGCCCTCCTTTTAAAATTCGTATATACCTTCAATCCATTTTTGTCACAATCTTTGGAATATACATAAGAATTATCAACCAGGAAATTATGGAATCTCGCCACAATTCGATTTCCTTTTGGTGCTTGAATTTGCCACGTGCAATACTGCACCGTGTACACTTTATACGGATATCCAGGCGATTGAATCGATCCAATCGGATCGGTAAGAACTATCCCAGTGCAAATTGTTCGGAAATGACCGAGGAATCCGAAAATTTTTCCATTTGTAAATCCACCGATTTGACGATATCTAATCAAAATCTCGTTATCGTCCGATAATATTGGCTCGGGTGCAATTTCCTTTCGACAGTATCGTCGAAGCAACTTTTCGGGACCATGCGGAGAATCGAGAATCTGAAAATTGCGTTCAAAAAAGCTATTATCGTTGAATGGTATTACATCAAGGCGATTCTGGGCAAACAGCGGGCAAAATCCTTGAGGGTCCGATGATTTCAAGTCATCGAGAGCGGCAATTGAGAAAAGAACGCGGTTGCCGAGTGCCACCGCCACCGTCCATTCGCAGAGCATTTGCCGTCCATCAGTCAGAGGATATTGCGGAGCAGATACGCTACCAGAGAGACCATCAACTCTTCCACCGCAGCCTAGAATACACCGTATTCCACCTTTTTTTTATTTACACTCTTTACCAATGGAAGCGACTTCATAGGAAATGTTAAAGAAATTTTCTCTTGTGTCAGTAGACGAGAATACGATAAGAACGCGATTCGAAAACGATCTGATCGATGTCATTGGGTGTGAGTTGCACACTTGTGAGCCCTCGAACAGTTCGCTGAACCCTGGTGATGTCTCTAATGGTCCATTGTAGATATTCAGACGAGAAGTGCTGCATGGCACAGAGATGTTGTTCAATTTAATCAGGATTCGCTGATTGTCTTCAACGGCAATGTGATAGACGCACTTGCTGAATCGGTGCTCATCGTCGTAGAACGTGATTTCGCCCGATGGCGCGGTGAATGTTTGATCGCATATCACATTTCGATCGACGGATTCGTATTTCGCCGTGAAGCCGACACCGGAAACCGAGCGATCCGAAATGAACACGACACTCATCGTGTTCGTGTCGCTGAACACCGCCGGCGGTAGAAGAGTTCCACAAAATTTGCCGATCAACTTTCCATGGTTCGTCTCATTCACGTATTTCGTATAAATCTCGACTCTGTCGTATAGGCAGTTAGGAGACGTCGTTGTTTCCAAATCAAACGTCTCAAATGAGAGCTTGACACGTCTAGACTGAACCAAAAATAAATGATTATGATTCGAATAAAGGATGAATTATGAGAAAATTACCCAAGAGGCGTAGATATCATAGACGCAGTGCATATGAGGATGGTACTTTTCGGGGTAATTTGGCGATGAAATCGTTCCAGATGAAGCTGAGAAGAAGCCGCCACACCCTATATCACTTCATGATATTTCAACTACAACATTCCAAAAACACATACCGACATGAGTGGTTGTGTATTCCATGGAGACTCCTTTGAAGTTCGGATCACCATCGCTGACCACGGTGATTTTAAGCGGTCTCGAAGCAGCCACAGTAACACTACTTTCACTCAAAAATGGATATTTTGGGCATACATAGCGGCGATTGAAGACGTTGTTGTCAACACGGCCGCCTTCAAACTGAACACTTCCAATTATAGCAATTATTTTAAAGAATCGATATATGTACCTCCACATAATTTGGATAGGTTTCAATAGGTTTCGTTGAATAGAAGCACTCGTGATGACGAAGCACTTGAAGCCCGATTGTTTTGAATCTAAAAAATTAAAAATTAATGTCTAATGGAAATTAATTAGTTCACTTCAAATGAATCACATGGGTTTTAGGAGCTCGAATGATGTATGTGCATTTTCCAGCTCGACCGCCAAGTGGGAAATTCCACGAACTGAACGAACCATTTCCACTGAACGTTTGTTCGCATTCTTCAAAAAAAAAGAGAAAATTATGATAAAATATAAATTTCTAAAGCTCACGTAATTCGAACGCCATCTTGAAACCCTTCCCTTGTAAGGCTCCGTTTGAATGGAATCTGAGGACAGTTTCCGAATCGGGAACAACAAATTCCGCGGGCAATTTGTGTGAATTGCAAGCATCATATTTCAACTCATGATTACTGTCGTAAATCTTGAAATTTGGAATTACATTTTGGTTTGACTTCATAAATATACCCGAAGATAGTCATCAGCGCACGATCTTGAATCTAAGAAATAGCGATTGAAACGATTATATCCAAATGGATGAATTCGGCGGTAGGAAAAGAATGGACCTGAAATTATCATTTGAATTAAATATTTAATTGCCATATTATTACCAGCAGATCTTGGCAGTATCGACAAATACGAAGAATTTACATCGAACAAATCGGTGGTAAACTATAAAAATTATGTTTTGAAAGAATAAAATTCTCAGCGAAATTAAAAAAAATACAACCCAAACTGGGCAATTCCCAAGAAATGAGAAATGCGTTTGAATGCCACAATAACAGCACTGTTTGGCGGCAAAATATATTCTTTGCATTCGCGCGAAAAAAATTTTCTATATTTTCACATTGATTTTGGGAATTTCTTTAAGGCAGTTCGCCTTTCTTCAATTCCCCAGAAGCCGATTCAGGCTTGTCGCAGAGAAGAACAATTTGGCCCCTTTGGCACGCAGAAAAAATATGCATTTAGTTAAAAAAAAAAGAAAACCTTAAGCTGGAAACCATCATTGTTCGAGAAATTGCTATGAAGGCTTGCGTTGATAATCCATGTGCAATCCATATTCGGCGGATACAAGCTACCAAAATTTGGCGATTCGATAACTCCAGAAAAGTCGAAATCATCATTAGTGTTCACAAATTCGCCGCCACAAACGCGATCAGCTGGAAATTCGAGGCAATTTGGAAAAATGATTTAACACAATGAAGCTTACGATCAACGAAACGATAACTCAAATGGAATCCTCGTATCGGCGAGGATTGTTTGGCGGAAAGAAGATTGGCGGCAAAAAAGGTGGCCACCAAATGCGGACCTGTTGAACGAACCTGAACAGAGAGAATAACAAATTGAGAATAAAAATCTAACCATTTGATTATCCAATGTTGAAGAGCAAATTTGAGAAATTCTATGAGCATCATATGAAGAATAACCATCATAAATCTGCAAAATCTCTTTTTATTTCTATTTTAATTCGAAATCTTCCTCACTTCTAACTTATTTCTCGCGCAGTTGAAACTTTGATTGGTGCTCATTTCAATCGAAGGAATTTTCACTTCAATCACTTTTGTTGCCGGCGCCGAAATGAACCACTCGCAATATGCATCCTCTTTGTTGTCGGGCACCTCAAGAATGCCTTCAGGCTTTGTTGTTCGGTATCCGCACGCTGAAATGTTGCATTGACTAGATGGTTTCGCTAGAAATTCGCGCCGAACATCTCTGCACAGTTTCCCACTTGATCGAGAATGTTCCCGATGAGCCGCGGAATCTCAAAAACGCCCTCGAGGCTGTCATTGTAATCGGATGGCTAATTAACGGAGCCTTGAAAAAGAGCACAGCAATTAAAATATATGCGTATGAGAGCGCATACCTTGACGCTATTATGATCACCGCAGAATGTATCAAGAAGTGGCGAATTGTCATTGATTCCATCGTAAAGCTATTCAAATTTATAATTAATCTATGTTCATATGAATAATAAAAATATATACTGTAAGATTTCCTGTGGTTTTTTGGCAATCGGTGATTCCTGGCTCAATTTGTGTGAATTCGTCGAAATTAGTGAAATTGATTTTCAGAACCGAGTCGATTGAGGGAATATCAAATGTGAATTCGCAGATTGAAGTGGAATTGTTTTCACGAGCAAATGTGAAATTTCCATTCCCCTCATTAAAATGTCGATCGCATTCTGAATCATTTTATCCAAAATTGATAGATTTTTGTGAATTTTTTTATTACCAATCTCCTCATTTTCGCAATTTTTTCCATAGAATCTCTCTGGGCACACGCATTGGCCAACGCCCGCCGTAACAACGCATCGTCCACCCGGACAACTTTTAAAGGCGCATGGGTTGGCTTGTTCGCAGAATCGTCCCGAATAATGCTCGCCACATTCGCAAAAGTAGGAACGATCATTCACCGGCTTACACTTGCCTCCATTCACGCAGTTGTGTTGAAGGCAAGCGCTGCTGTTGCTCTTTGTGCATCCCGATAATCCGAGACCATCCCCAACGTATCCTTCTGGGCATATGCAAACATAGCCTCCAGCATTCATGCTACTTTCGGAGAACTTGCAGGTCGCCAGCTCGTTGCATCTGTTGTTCGCACAAACATCTTCCTTGACACATGTGGTACCATCGCCACTGTATCCAGGTGGACACGGCTGGCACTGGAATGATCCGATTGTGTTGATGCAGCTTGAGAGCGGATCGCATGGCGGAATTTCAGCATCACACTCATTGATATCCACACAAGAGCTTCCTTCAGTTTTATACCCAGATGGACAACCAGAGCATTGAAATGAGCCTGGAAGATTGATGCATGCGACACCCGGATGGCACGGATTGGATTCGCATTCATTCACATCGACGCAAGTTGGATTATTCAGATCCGATGAAACCTTGTAGCCCCAGTCACAGAGGCATTTGTATTTTGTCTGAAAAAAAATCTCCAAAAATAATGTTTAAAGTAAAAAATGTAATAAACCGTAGAATCGGTGTTATCAATATCAACGCAATGACCGTGAGGACCACAAAGTTCGAATGTTCGAGAACATGACGACATTTTATATTGGCACAGTGGACCGTGGTAACCTTGTGGGCATGTACACCTGAAATTTCGATCCTTAGATCAAAAAAGATCATAAAAAATAATCTTACTCAAATCCGCCGGGTTTATTAGTACAGGTTCCATTGTTTTGGCATCCAGCAACAGTTCCATTGTACATTTCGCATTCATTCAAATCGCTCTCGCATGTTTTACCCTTTAATCATAAAAAAATATGAAGGTTCAAAAAAGAAAAATACCGTATAATGTGGCGGACAAAGGCAGGTAAAGCGTTTCCCAACTCCTCCCACACAGGTCCCGCCATTTCGACAAGCATTCTTCTCGCATGGATCCACCGTTAGCAACTTCTTCATGGATCTTGAAATTGGAATCGTAATGAGATAATTGATATCCAACTTACACAACGCTTTTGATAATTTTCACCAGCAATGATTTTCGTTTCATTTCTCGACTCGATCGCTCGCTTCTCCATTTCTTCAGCGATTTTATATCGTCGGTGCTATTTTTTGCCTAATTGAATAATTCCTATGAAAATATTGGCATTGTGGCGAATCCTACCAAAACTGTGAGCGATTTCAACGAGCCGACGATAACGCGGAAGATGTTGGTTAAAGACACAAAACGCGCTTTGATTTGTGCTATATCTTCCACCGCCGTTCCAACATTCTTTTTCAGCAATGCAAAATTGGACTGAAAGAAACATTGTATATAATTGAATCATATCTCTACGTGCTCATAATTATTTTAATTTTAAAAAATAAACAAAAAAAAAACGGTTCACGTGAACTGGGTGGTGTCATCAACGTGGCCGGAAGCACGGACGTCGCCAATATTCACTATCCAATACCAAAGGAGCAACAACAATGGCTAAAAAGAAGTCGGACTCGAAATCGGAAGGATCCATGCCGGAAGGCGACTACGAGAGAGGAAAAAAAGTTTGAATGCATCTGTTCGTTTCACTTATATTTTGAATTTTTTTTCAGATTTTCAAGCAACGCTGTGAACAATGCCATACGATCACCTCACTTCAAACCAAAACGGGTCCAACTTTGAATGGAGTCATTGGCCGAACCTCTGGCACTGTGCCAGGATTCGATTATTCGGCTGCCAACAAAAGTAAGGGTGTCGTCTGGAACCAGAAGACGCTTTTCGAATATCTCGCCGATCCGAAAAAATACATTCCGGGAACCAAGGTAGAACATTTCGAAGTGAACAAGACAATCTCTTATTTAATTCAGATGGTGTTCGCTGGATTGAAGAAGGCCGACGAGCGCGCGGATCTCATCAAGTTCATTGAGGTCGAAGGTGGCAAAAAGCCACAATAATTATCACTTCTAGTAGTAGTAAAGCATTGAATAAAGCATTTACCAAATCCGGAAGTTGCGAGATATCTGTTCCACCGAAATAGATTTTTCCGTTTCCTGAAGCCTTGAACGTGATGTTCCGATCGCGACCAGCAACTAGGAAAACACTCCCATCGAGCACCAGAATACGTGATCTGAACGAAAACGCTGAAACTATTAAAATCGAATGAATACCTTGTCTCGTATTCATCCTCAATTTGAATCTCCTCGTAATCAGTAGAGCCTATTGATAAAAATAGAGGAAATATTAAAAAGAATATGAGTGGTTTCATTGCTCATCAAAAATAATCAAATGACTAAATTTGAGTGTTTATAATATATTTGTTTATTCAATCGTTATAGTTTACCTGACTGCATCCATTCATTTGTTATTCGTTATTACGCAACTTGTAGTTCCCGCAATATTTGTTTACATTCTCAACTGTTGTATCTTCTACCCAATGTTTAATCGCTTAAAATATGGGACTCACAAACAAATCGAAGTTATTCTTAAACCTCTTTTCGATGCACATTTCTGATCTCACGGATGAATGGGATACTTGTAGATATGAATATCCAAGAAATGAATCGAATTCTTCTAGATCGATTCTCACGGATTTCCAGGCATTTTCAAGTAGATGTCAATTATTTTTGATATTTCGATATCAGTCCGTCATTCCGCAAACGATGGCGAGTAAAACCGCAAAAACTCAAACTTCAAATCGTAACTTAAAAATAAAAACCAAGACAAACACAAACAAAAAACCTCTGCTTCTGATTCTCCGCAGAACGTCCAATGACCTCAATAGTTTGCTCTCGGCATTTTTGTGAAGTAGGGAGTTGACACTGGCGAAAAAGTAAAGTAAATGGGCGGCTCGTCAAACGTTAGAGCCTATAAATACTGTCCTCCGTTTTGCGATTCTACATTCGGTCTTCGATACTCAAAAATGAACTCGTAAGTTTTAAATATCAAAAACCGAAATCAATCTCGGATTTTAGGATTGTTTTGTTGCTTTCTCTCGTCGCTCTTTCATCATGCCAATACTTGTATTATTATCCAACATACACGCCGATGTATTATTACTATCCAACTGCTGCCGTTGCTCAGACGACCCAGAATGATGGAACATACCAACAGCAACAGCAAGTACAGCAGCCACAGCAGTACCAGCAACAACAGCAACAGTACCCGGCTACCCAACAGCAGCAATACACCACCCAACAGCAACAAGGAGCTCAATACGATGTGACGAACCAGCGACCACAACAGTACAATAACCAAGTGCAGTATGACCCATCAACTTCCTCCTCGCAAGGTGTTGTTGCCGCACAGCCAGTCTACTACTACTACACCTCCCCATATTATTATTACACTCTTGGAAGAAAGTAGGCAACTATTTTCAAACATTCTTCCCCTCTCGACTGCCAATAAACGATTCGATCTTCAAATTTATATAACATTAATTAAAGCATTATGTATATCAGAGAGATCATAGAAGAAACCATGGAGCTGTCATTAGAATTTCACTTGAATTTCTTGTAAGCTTTCACTAGCTCATCATCCTCATCAGGTGTCAGAAGATTTCCTTCCATCAGGTGCTTGGCGGTCAATCGTTTTGGTCGACGACGCTCGGGTTGTGGCTCTTGGGAGATTTTGAAGAATATCAGGGCCGTCAGAAGGACCGCGGAAAATCCTTCAAATTTCAATTTAATATACGTATTCAAAAAAAGAAAGTAAGAGAAAATACCATTCAACGTAACTTCGGTGACAGTTACAACTCCATATGTCATGCTTCCAAAATAGAAAACTTCGGACAATGTGTGAATGGCAGTAGCAAGCGAAAGCAAAATATGAGCAACGTGAAGAGGTATCGATTGAAATTCGAAGATTACGACAATCCTGAAACCACTTTACAAATATCTCCCAAATATCCTTTTTATGAAACCATACCGCAATATACAAAGTAGTGCTAATGGTAACGCATGAGTCCGCGATAAAACTGGTGAGTGAGCAACAAAATGCGATTTGGATGTCTGATTCGAATAGGCGATCCAAATGCTACCGAGAGCTTGCACTACTACAATTGATAGCCATGCTCGTGCGCTTCGTTCGATCATCTTAATTTTCCCCAAAGCTAATGCGGTTCGGTTACCAGAAAAATGGAAGATGGAAATACTGTAAAAATCGAATATACGATTATTCCATTTTTCATAAATAATTAAAGACCATCAACACCGACTTCATTCAATTCACAGTCATGGTAAAAAAAATCGATACTTCGCAGAAGCTGATACAAATACTAAAAATAGTTTCTAAAAAAATCGGCAAGATAATAAAAATAAATAAAATCAACAATATTACGGAGAAAGAAACGGGGGAGAAACCGGTCATATCAACCTCGAAAATGAAGATGATAGAGGTGAGAAATATTGGGATGATTAATGAGCAAAGTACATACAAATCTCGAACAAAATTTTTAAAATGCTGTAGTGCCTGGTAATCGAAAAAATTGAATAAAGCTTTAAAAAAATTCTAGACGTAGTAGTTCGGTGAGATCAGCAAATCTCGCAAAACCATAAGCTGATCCTCGTTAAATTGCGTTTCATGCTCTCGCCACGAATCTTGATGGGTCCTCTTAAACTCCGATAATGCACGTTTCACAGTCTCCTGAAACATATTCCATTAAAACAAAGATATTAAATATTTCAAGAAGAAAGATAACAAAATCCTTACTCTGATGGTTCCATTCTTGCTATTAGCAAAACGGCAAATTCTCATCAAAGCATCAGGCAAAAATGGAGGAACAGTATACGGGAATGCTCGAACAATTGCCGACAATCCGAGAACTCCAGCATGAGCAATAATCGAATCCGTAGAATGGCTCGCAGTGGAGAATTTTTCCTATAATTATTGCTAAACTGTCGAAATACACATTGTTATAACGTACCACCAACTGCGGGGTCGTCTCGAAAAATCTAATCTGAATCATTGTGCTGAGCGCTTCAGCAGCCTTCTCTCTCACTTCAATTTGACAGTCGTTCATTGATTTCAAGAATAATGCTCCTATAATAAATATAATATTCAATTTTTTGTTTAGAGTGTACTAAAAAAACTTACCAATTTCATCACGATAGTGCTTGAAAATAAACGAATTGGTGAAGACAATCATTCTCAACGTTTGCAGCGCCATGACCTTGGCTTTCCACCAGCACGGAGAAGTAATACTCTGAGCCAATGTATCCAAAACCAATCGAGCAGTTTGTGGACCAACATAAATCGCAGCCAAATGGGCAACATTAAAGCTATGACATGATTTCGAGAGCTCCTCATCTCCCACATCATTCGCGTAATGGAAAAAAAGTGGTAGAAGTGGCACGACAGATTGTGGCAAAGCGACATAGGCTTGATTGCAGACATTATAGACAAAAGATGTCGTTGACTTCATTGCTAGACGAGCCGCCTTCTTCACTTCCGATATTTCAACAGACGTTGAAGCTGACGTAGACTGACTCAGATTCTGAAATAAGAATATCAAACGACGCATATTCCTGATAATAGATGTTTTTTTTTAATACAAAACTACGAGATTTTTGCTTACATCGCTTGATGAGCTTCCAATTGATGGTCCACTAGCGCATTCCTCCCATTTATGTCTCACTTCATCCCAACATGGACCCAACATTTCATTGTACCATCCAGCAACTACAGAAACTTTTGGAGGTTGCAATCGCGGTGGAAGATTAGGAGACACATATACAGAAGGCATATCAAACCACGTGGCAGACACAAGAGACCTGAAGAAGTTAAAAAGTGGAAATCATAAGAAATGTTCACAAAATCGATCATACACAGAGATACGCTCGCGGAGGTTCGCATATTGATGAACAAGCGACGTTTGAAGCAGACCGAACAGTTTATTCCACAACTCAACACCACGCCATTCAAATTGACACAACGCCGATTGAACAAGGAACATTCTCCTGAAATTGTGTGCTTAATAGAATTACTGTGTTGCTAGCAAGTAACTCTCTGAATTTTCTGTTGTAATCACGATCTTTTATGGTCATGGTGTCAAAATTTGGCTCTATTTATAAAAAATGATATTTCAAATACTCACGAGCTGGCTGCAAATGCATTATCCGTTGGTCTTTCAATTAACTTGAAAAGCAAATCAATCATCGGCTTCAGCATTCTTGCTTCCGAGCATCCACAAATTGTCGCAATAGCAACTCCCCAACTACGAAGACTATCCTCCTAACACAATTTAAATTTGTTAAATTTGTAACCCTTTTTTTTATAAAATACCGGAATTGTCTCAAAATTTTTCGACAATATTGGGGAAAGCCACAGCCACATTCTCTTCTGTTTTTCATATTTCCACAATTTCGAGCCATTGATTATGCCGGCCGTAATTTCAGACGCCAAACGTTGATCGGATTCTTTCGTGCTAGAGAAGAGGCTGATAAGCTGCTCATGAAAGACTCCACAAAGCGAGTCGTTCAAAACCCGGAAAAGACCCTTAAAAAACATTTTTTAAATAAAGGGAATTGGGAGAACCTGGAAGAGTGAAAAGTTGACCGCATTGAAAGTATCTTCATCTTTCTTCATTTCAAGAGAGAAAAATTTGCGGAAACGCTCCATAAATTGGGGATCCTACAAATTGTTGCATTATACTCAAAGGAAAAAAGTCCCTAATCACTTTGAAACAATCAACAATAAACTTTTCAGTTTCATTGAAATCTTCGTACGATCGATCAATGGCAGTCTGCTCTCGAAGTGGCGCATACCTAAACGTATCAATATTATTTATTATTCGCTCCATTCGTTTAATCCTACGTAATCAATTTCTCCGGCCATGTATAAACTCCCCAATGCTGTTTTCCACAGAACTGGAAATCGTTCCATTCATCATCCGTCTTCGGCAATTTGTCCTCCTCATACATCATGATACGATTGTCCTCACGAAATCCGCTTTTAATTGGAAATTTGGCACCAGGGCCGGTATTGGGCTCCTTATGTGGAATGACATATTCACGTTTCACTGCTTTCGGCTTCATGATTTTTAAGCAAGCCGCCACGACAGCTGTTGCTATGCGACGAGTCTTCACCGAATCGTGCACCAACAATCTCACGTACATCTTGATCACTTTATTGGGCAAAAGTTCGTCTCTAAAAAAATACAATTTTGGTCTAGAAATCCAAATGCCGGTATTCGAATAATTATTGGAAAAATATTCGAGTAATTACTAGTAATTACTCGAATAATACTCGGCTAATATTCGAAAAAACTATTCGAGTAAATCTAATTTTTGCTTAAGAAATGTTTTGCGCTGCCATATGGCTTGAAAGATCTTGTCTCTGTCTCATCAAAACTTGATCTCGACGACATAAAGTTACAAATTTACCTTCTAACGAGCATTGATAGCATCGAATGGGCCATATCAATAGGTCTCCAATGCAAATTCGGATCAATCGCAAGATCATATAGTTTGTCAATAAGACGATGATATTTCCTAAAGAAAAAAAATTGTATGATATTGTTAATATTCAGCAATATTCTAACATACACTTTGCATTTCTCAAATCGCTCAAGGCTATGATTCTTATATTTCTCCAAAAGCTCATCCGACGGCTGTTTCAGGATTTGCGGATCGGATAGAGGGCTCGATTCTTCCGCTGCTGTCAACAAATTCTTGGCAGCAACAACGCACGCCTCCGGCCAATCGTATTTCATACGATAGCTTTCATAATTGTCCACAATTAAATTTTGAGCAGACTCGAGAAGAAAGATAATCGATGGTTTCTCGCTGTGTCGCACACCAACAAGCGCCGGCCAAATGCGACTCTAAAATAATTTTTTTCGTAAATGTAAATAGTAAAAGAAACAACCTGTTGCTCAAACTCCATTCTCAAGCACACAGCTTGTTTCTTTCCATCAATCAATAAATGCAGAGCACCTTTCAGCTGCTCATGAGTTACTTGATTGTCCGGATTCAAATAATATAAGATATCGTCAACAATGTACTTGTAAGAATACGGATGTTCTCTGAGTTTTCCGAGAAGAATATTTTGGGCTTTGGCGCGATTCTAAAAAAAAAAGGCTCATCGCCGAATATTTAAACGTTCAAATACCTGACTATAAGAACTTGTTGCGACCCGTAAAAGCATTTTTAATATATCCGTGTGCTGCTTTTTGAAATGCCACCCTTGAACCGATGAAACTCGCTTCTAAATGCGGATTTATGAGAATATTCACAACAAAATTACCCTGTGCAGCAGCAAAATGTGCTCCTCGACAATCATTTCAATATTCGTTTTGTTTCCAGCAAGTTTATCGCAAAGCATCATTTTGGTGACAGAATAGTTCGCATTTGAAGCAGTATACAATTCCTGAATGGAAAATGCACGAAAATTATTATTCTTGGGCTTACCCTGCTGTAACCGCGGCTTGCCGTCAACGATTTGAAAATAGAGACGGCGTCTTGAATCGATTTAACATCGTCTGGTGAGTTTTCGAGTAGATAATCGAGAAGATTCAAAAGGCAATCGAGGACCATTTGTCTCACATTTTTGCCGTCAATTCTGATTTCCGGTGTGCCTTTCGGCTTAACAACCATATCAATTTCCTCATCTTGATTAATGGTATGCGATTCGGTAAGCGGCAGATTTTCTCCTTCAAACGGCGGCAGTGAGAAACAAGCTCCAAGAATTGTCGCACGAATCAGCCACAATCTGTGCAAAATTTCCTTCTTGTGAACTCCTTGAGGGCTGTTCAAAATAGCGACATTTGGAACAAAAAAGTCGCGAATGAGTTCGGTTGCTTTATCGATTGATTCCTGCGTTGGAACAAACCAAACTGGATTCCACGTTTTTTTATCAACGGGAGCGGACCAATGCTAAAAATTAAACCCATTCAAACATTAAAAAAAAAACACATTTTTCGAACCCGAACAGGCAAAAATTGATCAGAAGGCAAATCGAATAGGTCACCGCGGCGTGCCATTGAAATAAGTTGAATTGATGTCAACTGTTCCAGCAAAAATTCGTATATGGCGTTACATTTCTAGAAAAAAAACTTCGTCTTCTTCGGAATTATTCAAATTAGCCGTACCTCGGTAGCAATGCTACATTTTTTATATGGCATCACCAAGTCAAGAAGTGTTCTAATTTCTGCCCAATTATTTATCAAATAATCCGGATGAACCTAAACAATTACTTTCAAAGGATTTGCTAAGAATTTAGATAAAAAATTACTTTAACAACTTTCGAAGCCAACGTCAGCCACCACAAAACGCTAAAATCGACTTTTTCATCGGTGAAGAACTCAGCTGAAAATAAAAATGATAATTATTTTCCGATAGCACTGTCTTACGTGTAATCGAATTTTGCACACGTGAAAGGATGAGCTTGAAAAATTTCGAGAACGCGATCTCCGGATGAAATTTGCAGGAGACCTGAATCATGTCAGCGAGCACTTCGTTGACAATTTTACTGTCGAAAACATGCTCGCAAGCAAAATTGTACACTTTGTTCATGGCAACTTTGAACAATTCCGTGCTGCTGTTTCTACAGATTCCTTTGAACACCGATAGAGTTCCTCTAGAAACAAAAAAAACAATCAAAGAGAAACGAAGATGATAAAAACCTGTGTAAAATCTGATCTTCGAGATTCTGCATATTTTTCGCCGAAATCGCGCCATGCGAGCTAACCATACTTGCTGTCTGGCCACATTCAATGAGCATTTCACACATTCGATCCATGATCATCGAAATAATCGAATCAAAGTTTGACGTTGCCGAACAAATCTCCTTTTCATCTTCTGTCAAATCACAACGCGTGTGAATCGCATCCGAACAATCAACCAGTGGCACTTTATTAATTAGAACTCCAATAATCTGCAACCAATCTTTCATCTCATTTCATTATTTGTCTGAACCTGATACGTCTGCATGCACTTGCTTATATCATTGCAGTCCAATCCCGGCAACAATGAATTGAGAATTGTAAATACATGAATTCTAGAAGGAAGTAATATAGTCTATATTATCGAATAAACCTATTCACCTATAGGTTTTTCCATCAGGTCCGGGTTGATCAGAAGTAAGCGGCGTTAAAACATGAAGAAGAGTAGAAAGCGTCTGCTGCAGACGATGTGGTTCAATCAAAGTTTCAAGTGCCGGGTACACCCTGAACTCCTAGCTTATCACAAAAAATGCGTTATCTAGTTACATGTCAAGAACCAATGGTAAAATAAGTTTCGGTGCAATTAAGCCGGCAGCTCGGAAAGTAGGTCCAACAAGTCTGCAGATTAAAATTGTAATTAAATCACGGAGACTATTCGAACTCTTTGCTGGTTTTTGTGAATGCGATCATTTTTAATAATGGGAGAATAAGCTTAATGTAGCTATCAATTTGATCCTGCGATAATCTCATGTGCTCTGGAATAATCGGATTGGTTCTTGGCTTGTTGGGTGCAGCAGCCTCGTTTCTTTCTCGCTTCACTCGTGCCATCAATATTGTGGTAACCCTGAAGACAAAAAAATCAAGGCATCTTTTTATTTGATAATGACTAACTTCCCAACAAAACCAATAATACATTGAGTATGTGTTCCGTAGTTGGAAGGATGTAGAAAACCTTCGACTTGATCGAAAAGATGCTTCAAATGACTCATAATTCTGGAGAATGATATTAATCGATAAATTGGGTCAAATTTATAACTAACTCATCATGACAAGCCGTTCCAAGCATGTATACAATCCATCCGCATACGTAATCGAGATTCACGTGTTGTGTGAGTCCATTAACAAGAGCCAAACGTAATGAGCGAAGAACCTACAAAAAATTGTTGTAAAAATATTTCATCTTTATTTTTACTCTGGTGAAAAGCAAATCCATTTTGCCACTCCAGTCTATGCATCCTGGGCATTCTGCAGAAATTCTCATGAACATTTTCATCAGGGTGTTGTCAATCAATGAATTGTTATCAATTGACTCAAACCAATGCCATGCTTCTTCAAACCATAACGCGGTTCCTATTAAACGAAATTAGACAAAATAAAATTATTTTGTATAATTTTTACCATAGACCCTCTGTTTTTCAATTGGCATATTCATACAAGTGAACACCTCCATCAACTTCCATGCTCGAATACATGATTCGTCCCAGACGCACATATAGGGTCGACACTGGAAATTTTGCAAAATTTACAACTTTTAAATATTCAATTTTAAACCTCATCAAGTAGCTCCTGAACTGATTCCTCTTTAAAGTATAATCGAGCATAATAGAGCATAAGATGTAAATCTTGGCGGAAGTTCTCGGGAAGAAGCATTACTCCATCTTCTTCGAGGTTTTTGAACGTGACTTCGACGTACAATTCATAAAGTGGTCTCCAATCGATAACCAAATCTTCCCGAAGAATAAATCCTCTTTTGCTAAAAGCAAAATAGTATGCTATATATTTTATTGACCGTATTACTACTTCAGCAGAGTTGTTACAGCTCTAATTGCAATTTTAACATTACGGAAAATGTTTCCTTTAGTGATCATTGGAATAAGAAGTTGAACTAATTGAATATGTTCTTCTTTTGAAAACCGTCTACCATAATAATCGATATATCTTTCAAGTTCGAGAACAAAATGAGAGAATCCTGTCGCTGCGTCGTTTAAAAGAACAACATCTGCGAGACCTTTCTAAAAGAGAAAAAATAATATTTGAAGTGATTAAATTGTTGCGCCACCTTAATTCTAATAAAATGGATGTTAGCTTGTTCCTCGATTTCTTTATAATAAGGAAGTTTTTTTATCTGCCAGTATTCCTTTTGAAAATATTTTTCGGTTCGTTTATCAACATGTTCATCAGTGTCTTGTTCGCCTGAACAAAATCAGTTGTATTTTGAAGCAATGAATTGCGAATAACGAAATGAAACAAAGTACCGTCACTTGTCAGATTTTCGTTATCCAATACTTCTTCCTCTTCCATCTCACCTTCATCAATATCATCGCAATCCGTGATAGATCCAGAGGAGACATCGTCATCGCTGTCACTCTATGATAAATTATATAGTTTTATGCCTCATTTCAAATCCCTACCATTATCACAAAGTAGGGTTGACTATAAAACCGGTAAAAATCTTCTGTAAAAATTACGTTTAAATAATGCAACCGCAATGATGACAAAAATTTCAAAAAAAATGATGACTGACAAATTTGTACGTAATTGTGTCGTCAATTATGCTGTCTGCGGACTAAGTTTATTCGCAAAATTTGAATCCATGGTTGCGTACATTTCCATTTTTTTGGAAATTAACTTCAATTTGGATATTTTAATATATTCTTATCCCCGCAATAAGTTGTTTTTAATATTATTTGAACGTAAAAGCTGTCTATTTTACCTATTACTTTAATTTTTAAATTTTAAAGCTTTTTGAAATGGATTCTAAAAAGATTAATGTAAATTGTTGGATATTTTAAAAGTTTCTGTATCATAACTCTGACGGTCAATTTTATTCTTTCAAGGTGATATCGGTTACTTTGACGTTTTATATCCGTCGTCTCTGTCGAACGACATTCCTCTCATATTAGACGCTCGCAAAGATGCTCTGTTGAGAATCCAATTATTCGAAAATAATCCCCCCTTATTCAAATTAAAGGTTTTAGCGTTTTTTTTTATTATTTTTATTAATGCTTGTCTAATTAAAAATAACCATAGTTCAGTAATTATACATCTTAATGCTTAGTAGGGTTTCTTATTGAAATCTTCCACTTATTTTCTAATATTAATAGAAATTTCGATTTTATAAAATATCCACTCTTACTCTTTTCGATCTTTTTCATTTATCGTATTTATATTTCTAAATTGTTCGTCGTTAATTATAAGTGAAACATTCTACAATAAATTATAGAGATGAGCGACGAGGAGTCGGAGGTACCAGGAAATAAGCCAATGCGGCTGCCTAAAAAAGCGGCCAAAGTTAAAAATAAGGTTTGAAAAACAAATTCTGCAAATTTTAAGTAAGCTTAAATCTAGGCTCCTGCTCCACTTCAAATTACCGCCGAACAGCTTCTACGTGAAGCTAAAGAACGGGAGCTTGAACTTATTCCTCCAGCACCGAAGGCAAAAATCACAGATCCAGAAGAACTGGCTGAATATCAACGAAAGAAAAGAAAGGAATTTGAAGATGGAATTCGCAAGAATCGAATGCAACTTGCAAACTGGATCAAATACGGAAAATGGGAAGAATCAATTGGCGAACTTCAAAGAGCCAGATCAGTGTTTGAACGAGCATTAGATGTTGACCATCGTTCCATTGCAATTTGGCTTCAGTATGCCGAAATGGAAATGAGGTTTTTTATTTGAATTCACTGCGAAATTGAAGTAAAAATTTAAGATGCAAACAAATTAACCATGCTCGTAATATTTTTGATCGTGCCATCACAATTTTGCCCCGAGCTACCCAATTTTGGTTAAAATACTCGTATATGGAAGAAGTTTTGGAAAATGTGCCAGGCGCCCGTCAAGTTTTTGAGCGATGGATGGAATGGGAGCCTCCAGAGCAAGCTTGGCAAACCTATATCAACTTCGAAATCAGGTATTGAAAATTTAAATTGAATGAACCAAAATCTCTTCGTAGATACAAAGAAATTGATCGCGCACGATCGGTTTATCAAAGATTTCTTCACGTGCATGGAACAAATGTTAATAATTGGATAAAATACGCAAAATTTGAGGAACGAAACGGATACATCGGAAATGCTAGAGCCGTAAATTAAAATTTTGAATTTTAAACAAGTATCAAAAAATTATAGGCGTATGAACGAGGAATGGCCTATTTTGGAGAGGAGGATATTAATGAGACATTACTAATCGCATTTGCATTATTTGAGGAGCGTCAGAAGGAGCATGAACGAGCCCGCGCGATTTTTAAGTAAGAATTCGACTCTGAAATTTGTCTTTAAAAAGTGGTTTAATAGATTTGGGCTTGATAATCTGCCGTCGTCTCGGACCGAAGAAATTTTTAAGTTTTATACGCAGCATGAGAAAAAGTTTGGTGAACGAGTTGGAATAGAGGATGTGATTATCAGTAAAAGGAAAAACCAATATGAAAAAGTATGTCTTTGTAAATGGTTTTTGAAAAATTGTATAATTTTAGATGGTTGAAGAAAACGGATATAATTATGACGCTTGGTTCGACTATTTAAGGCTTTTAGAAAATGACAATGCCAGTAAAGAAGAAGTTGAAGATTTGTATGAACGCGCTATTGCCAATATTCCGCCGCATGATGTAAATATATTATTGAAATTTTTGTTTTTAAAAAAGACGTTCCAAATTTCAGGAAAAAAGATATTGGCGTCGTTATATCTATTTATGGATTAACTATGCGTTATATGAAGAATTGGTAGCAAAGGATATTGAACGTTGTAGGCAAGTTTATAAAGCTTGCCTTGACGTAATTCCTCACAAAATCTTCACCTTTGCCAAAATTTGGATCATGTTCGCCCATTTTGAAATTCGGCAATTGGATTTAGCAGCGGCTCGAAAAATTCTCGGTGTCTCGATTGGAAAATGTCCCAAAGACAAGCTGTTCCGAGCTTATATCGATCTCGAATTGCAACTTCGTGAATTTGATCGTTGTCGTAAGCTTTATGAGAAATTTTTGGAGAATTCGCCGGAGAGCAGCACAACTTGGATTAAGGTTTTTTTCTTAATGCGTTTTCTGGGAGCTACATTTTCGATTTCAGTTTGCCGAATTGGAAAACCTTCTGGGAGATACAGATCGTGCTCGAGCAGTATTCGATATTGCGATTCAGCAGCCCGCCCTTGACATGCCTGAAGTATGCCGTTAGAAATTTTTCAGTTTACTGAAGTGTTAGTTGTCTTCAGATTCTTTGGAAATCGTATATCGACTTTGAAATTGGTGCTGAGGAATATGAAAAAGCTCGCGATTTGTATGAAACTCTTCTACAACGCACAAATCATATTAAGGTATTTTTATCTGTAAATTGTCTCAGAATTCGATTGGTTTCAGGTGTGGATTTCATTAGCTGAATTCGAGCAGTCCATTGGAGAATTTGGAAGGGCCCGAAGTGTTTACGAAAGAGCTAATCGAGCTCTCGAAAATTCTGACAAGGAAGAACGATTAATGCTTCTTGAAGCATGGCTGGATTCTGAGAAGAAATCTGGCGACGAAGAAGCCCTCAAGAAGTAATAATTTTTTGTATCCTTGATTTGCAGGCTTTCTTTTTTTTTGCAGAGTTGAAGCAATGATGCCAAGACGCGTCAAAAAACGACGACAAATTCAAACCGACGATGGCGTGGATGCAGGATGGGAAGAGTACTTCGATTACATTTTCCCGCAAGATCAAGCCGCCAAAGGTTCTTTCAAATTGCTTGAGGCTGCGGCGCGGTGGAGAAAGCAAAAAGAAGAAATGGCTAAGGTTTGACAAAAATCACAAAATCGGACTATTGGTTTTTTAGGCAGCCGCCGAGAACGAAAATGTCATGCAGACGGGCAACGAATCCGATGAGGAACGAGATAAAAACGAGGAGAAAGAACGACAAGGTCTGATTTTTAAAATGCAATTGCTTATTTTATGCATTCTTCAGGCGACAGTGATACAGATCTCGACGACTCTTCCTCAGACAGTGATGACTCAACATCAAGTGATAGTTCGGATTCAGATGATTCCGATTAAAAATCAACACCGCCTTAATGATGTTGACATTGCCTCGTTTATTGTTGTTATGTTTATTTTGTCGCGTTTTGTTTCGCATAAATTATTGGTTTTTTTCATCAGCATCTCATAAATATTTTTTGGCGACGAGATTTTTGCTTCTCCATTACATATTTTTGTGAATTCCCAAATGCTAAATTTTGAATTTAATGATATAGGCGGGCTGGTGAAAATGCAGTATGACCCGTCGCCGGTGAGTTTTCTTACGTTTTTTTTTGTTCCAAAAGGCTTTGTTGCAAATTAGGGAAAGATTTAATCAGTATCGTCATTCGAAATTAGGAAGACGTCATTTATTATAAAGTCGAATAATGAATTTTTAAAATTTTCAATTATTTGGCGAATTATTTAGTTAATTTAAGAATTTTTAAAATTGATAAATATGTAGCCAGTTGTCGTTTCAAAGGTTTACCAAGTAAACCCTTTGTGAACTTTTGGCTTCTCGTGATGTGTTCTCCGATCTTGATAAAGTCTATTGTAGATTTTCATCTCGCATTCGGCTTTAATAAGCGGTGTTTCGCTGCCATCTCGTTTCATTCTCTATACTATTTGTAATCCGCATTTGAAAACGATTATATTTTTTATAATATTTTGAATTTGCGCGATAACTATTTCAATTTCCTCATTCATTGAATGGACCCGTTAGCATGGGGACGTGGCTGGTATGCGCCGGTCAAAAAATTACCTGAAAATGTGTTGGCCCTACTTTTAGAGGTTGTTTTTCCTAATTTCATATATATAAATATATTATTTTTTTTTAATACTCTAGGTGCGTGATAAATCGCCTGATGAACTTATTTGGCCGCTACGCTTGGTCCTTATCCTCCTTGGATATTCTACAGTAGCAATTCCGGCTGCGGTTTTAATTTATTATATCAAAAATAATAAACATGGTGAGTGCACTGCAATTGGGAGAGGATAAAAAATGAGTACAATTTGGAATTTTTTTCTATTATTCATCAATTTTTAACCATCTTTGGTGTTTTTCCATTAGCATTAATTATTTTAAATTATAGTCATGCCTTTAATGATTTTTTTCTAGAATTTGAAACACATCGATTCTCACTACGCCACTTCTTAAAGATATTTGCCATTGGTAGTCCCGAATATCAATTATTGCCGTTGGGCGAGAAAAGTTCGAACAGGTAAATAAAAATAATTCACGTTTTCAACTTAACTCAAAAGAACCACTAAATTTTAAAGAAAAAATGACCAAATACCTCATAATCAAAAGCAATGCGTTCGGGTGTTTTTAATTCTTCTTTTCTTTTTTGCGGGAATACAGGTATGCGCGAATCAGATGGACACTTTATTTTCATACATTTCTTTTTCCAGGTTACTCTTGTTACAATGGGATACCTACAAGAGAAAATTATAACAAAATCATATAGTAGAGTGGACAAACCCGAAATAGTAAAACTACAAGAAATATTTTAATTACAAATGAAATATTTCTAGGCGGAAAAATTTGAAGAAATGCAGTTTCTCATTTTCTGCAACCGAATAGTCGCGCTATTAATTAGTATGATTGTGCTAGGAAGGAATTGGGCAAATCAACCACCGCATGTCCCTCCGTTGTATGTGCACTCGTACACCTCGTTCTCAAACACAATTTCTTCATGGTGTCAGTATGAAGCATTGAAATATGTATCATTTCCAACACAAGTAATGCATGGTATCATGTTCATAAAATAAGGGAATTTCTTTTAGACCATTTGCAAGGCTTCGAAGGTTGTAGCCACTATGCTAATGGGAAGATTAGTGAGAGGTCAAAAGTCAGTTGAAATCTCATCTCAGGTTTTTATAGTCCCGAAATAAATTTTAAAGATACTCATGGTTCGAATACGGCTGTGGTATAACAATTGGAATTGGAGCGAGCATGTTTCTAATCTCTTCTTCGAGCAATCCTACTAAAATTACGTATACGTCGGTAAGATAATATAGTAAGCTTCTAAAACCCAAAATCCAATAATTTTAGTTCTCTGGGATGATCTTAATGGCTGGATATTTGCTATTTGACGCGTTCACTTTGAATTGGCAAAAGGTTCTTTTCGACACTAAACCAAAAGTTTCAAAATATCAAGTGAATTTTCATACTCCCTTTTTTAAATTAAGAAAGATAAACTTTAAGATGATGTTCGGAGTAAACTTCTTCTCTGCGATTCTTTGTGTCGTTTCATTTGTTGAGCAAGGCACCCTTTGGTCATCGTTTAGGTTCGCATTTGAGCATTCAAACTTCGCACGAGATGTCTTCTTCCTATCATTATCCGGAGCTCTTGGCCAAGTATTTTAAGTTCTTAATTTTTTATGTCTTTTATCCAATTATAGATCTTTATTTATTCGACAATCGAAAAATTTGGACCTATCGCTTTTGCCGTAATAATGACAATTCGTCAAGTATGCACTTTTAAACATTAAAAAAAAGCGAATTTGATGATTCAGATGCTTTCGATCGTGCTTTCAACTATAATGTACGGCCACGCTCTATCGTTATCGGCATTTGTTGGATTTTTAATAGTTTTTGGAGCAATCATTACCGATATTTACGACAAGTACAAGAACAGACGAGCAAGTTCTACGTAATAAATCGAAATTTCAATTATTTTAATATACGGGTGAATAAATTCTTCACTTTTTTAAAAGACCTTTAATGTCGAATTTTTGAATGTTGTTATATTTTTTCCTATTTTCAAGATTAATTCGCCCCAGATGCCGTTCGAGTTCTTCCAATAAATCGTCTCGTTCTTGTTCAATCTGAATATAAATTGTATTTTTTTAAATGACTAACACTACCTTTCCAAACTCTTCGATAATAATTTCATTCAATTCTTTATACTTTTCAGCTTCCTTCTTCATTAATTCGACATTTCGAATGTCTCTCTGAATCCGAAACAAAAAATGAGAAGAGATAAGAAAAAATACTTGAAATGATTCCTTATATGTTCTTAATTCCATTAATTCCTTTTTAGCTTCTTCAATTTCGGCTTGCAGAGCTCCCATTTCCGCTGCTTGATCTACCAATTTCAATTTCGAGCTTTCTAAGTTTACCGTTAAAGCTTCACGTATATCTCTGAGAGTAGCAGATTCCTTCTAAAATTTCTATTCAAGTGTTTTTAATCTTCACAAAAATTATTGACCTGCAGGAATTCAATTCGACCATGAAGTCTCGCCAGTTCTTCAGAATGTTGAGATTCTAGAGATCGCAGCTGTTCAATGTGTTTCAATCCGATTTCTTCCATCTCCAATTCACGCTCTTCCCGCATATTCTTCATCTGAAACGAATAAAACTCTTATCAGCCTATTTTTTCCCTAAAATAGACCTGACATTCCATCTCTTCTTTCATTCGCTGTTCAAGTTGAACAATTGCGTACTTTAAATCGCTTTGCGCATTTAATTTTTCCTTCTCAAGTTCGCTAACAAATGCCATAAGAAGATCATCAGATTGCCGTAGAAGACTATTCGCCTTCAATTCAATATAATATTTGACATTGTAGAAAAAATTGGAAATCACTTTTTCATTGGTAAGCCCATCAACTGTCTGGCTATCACTATTGATCAAGCTTCCAGTCGGAGGAATCGGATCAGATTGAGTTGATGCATGTCGATGCGTTTTAGCATTTAGAACCAACGAACGAATTTTTTGTTGCAATTTCTCCAAATTACTTCGTTTTTTTAATGTTTAATATTTCAATTGTTACCTGAACTTGCTCGGCTTGTTTCGTTTTTATCTCAAACATTATTTTTTCAGTATTTATCGCCCGATTCTTCTCGTTTTCGCCATGAATCTCCGCAACATTCCAAAACTGCTGCATTCGGCCTCTTTCCTATTTCAATGTTCGATTATTCAATAAAACACAATCGTTATTACCTGTATTGTCATATTTAGCTCATTTTTCACCGTGTTCAACTCCGTATTCAAAAATTCACTTCGCTTCTGAAGCTTGTCTTTCTGTTGAATTAAAATTCCAAGTTTTTTCTCGTGTTCCGCATTCTTCCTATGATCTGCAGCAAGTGTTGGCTTGCTTCGAGACATGTCAGCAATTGGTGAATCCGAAGAAATTTTTCCCTCCAAATAGAATTAATCTTTTTAAAATCTACGTTGAGGCATACCTTTACAGCTTTTGAAGGCACTATTTTCTTCATTCTCCTTTTTTCCATATTTTTACGAGAGTTCAACATAATTATCCCACTTTAGAATACAATATACAGGCTGAATTCTACTCTATACTACTCAGCCGCACCTTGCTAGGTTTCCAGTTGCCATGCCAACAACGCTACATTAATGCGCATCAGTGCACGCATACCCTAGCCAAACATTAATAAATTCACATTCTTATTTATTCGAAATTACAAAAAGAAACAATCCAAGAGAATCCAAGGGAATCGCAGCACTAGGCGGGAGGTTTGCGAGTTTGTTCTCGGCCTTTCGTCCACCTAAAGCAAGAAATTAACTCAATCCATTGAATAATTAAATCAACCTTGCACTGAGCGCATAATCTTCTTCTTGAGTTTCACATGGCTCCAACAAATTAAGATTGAAGTTAGGCCGACTTCTCGGATTATAAACAGGGTCCCCTTCCGGAATTATGCACAAAGCTACCAATGCAGTGAATAAGATCGAAGCCCCCAACAGTCCAAGAAACATTTCGAAATAAAATAGCTCAGAACATCCACTTTGCGTGAAAAAAAAACAATGGAATTGGTGTACTTTTATTAGCGTTCAATAGACATGAAATCAAATTGTGTAAAACTGCCATACGGCTCGGGAGATCTCGTTTAAATAAAAAAAAATTAAATGGGAATAAATTAGTCGACTTCTTCCATGCGCGACGCATCCTCTTCGGCACCTTCAATCTTGGCCTCAGCAGTGCACGATGTGGTGGCTGGCTCATCGATGTCATCATCTCCAATATCAAGTCCAAGCTTGATCATTCTGAAATCAAAATTGAATATAAAAACTTTATTAAATCCTTTTACCTGTAAATGCGAGAGGCGTGAGAAGCTGGTTCTTCAAGGGAGAATCCGGAAGAAAGAAGAGCAGTTTCGAAGAGAAGAATAACCAAGTCTTTGACGGTCTTGTCATTCTTGTCGACCTCAACACGTTCACGAAGAGTCCTGCAAAAAACTTAAATAATGAGTTTGAAAATTTTGAAACCTACTTCATGATAGCATGATCAGGATTGATCTCAAGGTGTTTCTTGGCAGCCATGTATCCCATGGTGGAGGAATCACGAAGAGCTTGGGCCTTCATGATGCGCTCCATGTTGGCAGACCATCCATATTCCGAAGTGACGATGCAACATGGCGATGAAACAAGTCGGTTGGAGACGGCAACCTTCTCAACCTTTTTCTCGAGGATATCCTTGATGACCTTGCACAAGTTTTCGTATTTGACCTTGTCCTCCTCGAATTTCTTCTTTTCATCCTCGCTTTCTGGAAGCTCCAATCCTTCCTTGGTAACGGAAACGAGCTTCTTTCCGTCGTATTCCTTGAGCTGCTGGACGCAGTACTCATCGATTGGATCAACCATGTACAGGACCTCGAATCCGCGGCTCTTGACGCGCTCGACGAAAGCAGAAGCAGCGACAACCTCTTTGGACTCTCCAGTGATGTAGTAGATCTGAGTTTGGTTCTCCTTCATACGGCTGACGTAGTCCTTGAGAGAAGTCGGCTCATCGGAAGCCGAAGACGAGTAGCGAAGGAAGTCAGAGAGCTTCTTTCTGTTAGTAGAATCCTCATGGATTCCGAGCTTGATATTCTTTCCGAATTGTTCGTAGAATTTCTTGAAGTTGTCTTTGTCCTCGGCGATTTCCTCGAAGAGTTCCATGCACTTCTTGACCAAGTTTTTGCGAATGACCTTGAGAATCTTGGATTGTTGGAGCATTTCACGAGAAATGTTCAATGGAAGATCCTCAGAGTCCACAACTCCCTTAATGAAGTTAAGGTACTCTGGCATAAGCTCTTCGCAGTTTTCCATAATGAAGACACGTCGAACGTAGAGCTTGATGGAATTCTTGCTCTTCTTGTTCTCGAACAAATCAAATGGAGCTCTCTGTGGGACGAAGAGAAGAGCGCGGAATTCAAGCTGACCCTCAACGGAGAAGTGCTTGACGGCAAGATGGTCTTCCCAGTCGTTCGACAAGCTCTTGTAGAACTCCGCATACTCCTCGTTGGAGATGTCATCGGGATTTCTGGTCCAGATTGGCTTGGTCTTGTTAAGCTCCTCGTCTTCGACGTACTTCTCCTTAATCTTCTTGGTCTTCTTCTTGTCCTCGGTCTTCTCAGCATCTGCATCTTCACCGACGTTTTCAACCTCTCCCTCCTTCTTCTAAAAAACAAACAATTTTTCAGAATCATTGTCTTGAACCAACCTCCTCATCTTTCTTCTCCTCCTCAGCCTCATCATCTGGGACCTCTTTCTCGCGCTCTTTCTCGACGACAAGCTTGATTGGATATCCAATGAACTGCGAGTGCTTCTTCACAATCTCCTTAATGCGACGCTCCTCGAGGAACTCGACTTGATCATCCTTGATATGCATAACAATCTTGGTTCCACGAGTAAGTTCCGGATCGGTGAATGGTCTGACGACGAATGAACCTCCCGCCGACGATTCCCACTGGTAGCTGTCATCATCGTTATGCTTCGAGGTAACGACGACCTTGTCAGCGACGAGGAATGCAGAGTAGAAACCAACACCGAATTGTCCAATCATGGAGATGTCAGCTCCAGCCTGAAAAAAATTCTTAAGATCAGCGTTAACAACCAGAGAAATACCTGAAGAGCCTCCATGAATGCCTTAGTTCCCGACTTAGCAATGGTTCCGAGGTTGTTGACCAAATCGGCCTTAGTCATACCGATTCCGGTATCCATGATGGTCAAGGTTTTCTCTTCCTTGTTTGGAGTGATCTTGATGAAAAGTTCCTTTCCGGAATCGAGTTCCGATGGCTCGGTGAGGGCCTAAATTTTTTTTCTGCTAAAATTCTTTAATCCATCGCCTACCTGGTAGCGGATCTTATCAAGAGCATCGGAGGAGTTGGAGATCAACTCACGGAGGAAGATTTCCTTGTTGCTGTAGAAAGTGTTGATGATCAAGCTCATCAACTGAGCAATCTCAGCTTGGAACGCAAAAGTTTCACTGTTATCGGACATTCTGAAAATAATTGAATGAGGATTTGTCTTAGGAAATCAAGGGAAAGTGGATATAATCAAACAAAGCCTACTTGAGCAACGGCAGACGTAAATCTGAAGTGTCAAGATTGGGCGCGCAGCGGCAAAATTTAAACGAGCGGAATTTTTCTAGAATATGGGCGTGGCGGACTTCGCTGATTGGCTGCAACCGGCAGGAATATTCTAGAATAGTCGACGGCGGGGCGCGCTTGCCTCATTTGTTTTGCATTTTCGCTCAATTTTCGAACTCTGGAACATTCGCGAAGCCTCGGTGTTATGCGGCGATGCACAGAGAGTCCAGACGTTTACGCGAAAATTCCATGAAAGCGAATAACATGCAAATACTTATTACAACTATAATCTCACAGAATTTATATTTTTGAAGCTAGATGTGCTGTGCATTTCTGCACTAATAAGATAATAAGACTGATCTATTGTCGTTTACCGGACTTTCATTTTATGAATGTCTCTGAAAAAATTAAAGATGTTCAATAATTTAGACAATGTCGAGAGCCGATGAAGGAAGGATTATTCATTTGGCGAAACAAAGAGAACGAGAAAAGGAAGATATTGAGAAACAAATTAAGAAAATCGAAGAAGACAAAGAGAAATGTAATCGAGCATGTTTTCGATTCAATATAAGTATTTTATTTGAAGGCAAAGCTGGAATATCAAATAAGTTCACTGCAAATTTTGACGCGGTTGAGGAATCACTTAAATCAAAAACCTATGGATTGGTTACCTTGGATGACATGAAAAACATACAAAAAAACGCCTTATCGAATAGGTTTGGGAAAAACGTTGGTAAATATTTTGAAAGAAATGCTTTAGAGACTTGATGGTAGCACGGGGCGAAGATTCTTCGAGCATAGGTTTCAAAAAGAGTGATACAGCCAAAGAAGATAAAGTGGAAAATGTGCAGGTATTTTGAGTAGTTTTATTTTTCTTTAAAATAATAAGGTTATTATTTTAATAGAAAAGGGTTCTTTCATTTGCCTTTGATGATGAAGAAGAACAAGATGAAGATCTGCCAGTGATACCGAAAAAGGTATTTAAAACAAGAAATAAACGATATATTAAATTATATAGAGAGTAGGAATGGACCCAACAGTCGATACAAGTTTTCTTCCTGACAAAGAAAGGGAAGAGGAAATCAGAAGGTATTTTTCTAAATATAACATTTAAAATTTCCTACTATAGGAAGAAAGAAGAACTTGCCGCTGAGTGGAGAATACGACAAGAAGCTGAAAAGAATGAGGATATTGTTGTTGCATGTGCCTACTGGGACGGATCGTCTCATCGAAAAAATTTGAAGATGAAAAAGGGCAATACAATATCACAATGTCTAGCTGCTGCAATTGAAGTTTGTGGATAAAACTTAGCTTAAAATGGAATAGTAATAATTTAGGGACTAAAGAAAGAGTTCACCGAATTGAAAACATGTACACCAGAAAACCTGATGTTTGTTAAAGAAGATTTAATTATTCCTCATTTTTATACGTAAGTTTTTTCACTTTAAAAATTTGACGATAATCATCAATTATAGATTCCAAGATTTTATAGTGACCAAAGCCATGGGTAAAACCGGACCACTGTTCATCTTTGATGCTGCTTCTGATGTTCGAATTCGCCAGGATGCTGCCCTGGATATCGGCGAATCGCATCCAGCAAAAGTATCGTTCTAATACAAGTATTAAACTATTTTTGTATTCAGATTGTTCTACGCAGTTGGTACGAGAAGAATAAACACATTTATCCAGCGTCTCGATGGGAGCCTTTTGTTCCTAGCAAAAAATACGGAAGGACTGCAGACGATCTCAGTGATTTATGATATTTCTTTTGTTACTTTCAATTTTGTATCATTTACATCTATTAATGTTGTATTAATTTTATAATTTTTTCTGAATCAATTAAGTCAAAACTGTATAAAATAAAATTTAGTTATGATCTTCGTCATATTCTCACACATCAAACCATTTGTCGTTGGAAGGTTTCTAATTTTTTTTAAAGAACAGTTAAGGGAACTTTTTGTTAGAATTTTGGTGCGGTATTGTTGTGATAATTTCTTGCTGTGAGATGTTTTTTTTTTTGCACAAATTTAACCAATAAAACATTTACGTTAAAACGCGGGCAATACGAAGCGTCGTACTGCACGAGTAATTTTTCCGAATTTTTGGATGGTCGTCATCCTATTTCCACAAATAAATGTTTTAAAGAATAATTTTTTCCATTCTTAAGATGTTTTATACGTAAGCGTACTGCTACACTTAGAAATCAAAACGGCATAAGGACTTTTATTTTTTTTTCTTCCTATTTTTCATTGAAAGTGATTAATGTGTTTTTCTCCAGAAATGTGGCACGAAGCGAGAAAGCAGGAAAAACTGCTTCGCGCAGTTATGGTTGATCAATCGAAAAGAGCAGAGCGAAAGCGAAAATATTTTGAAAATGTTAGAAAGGATCCGGAACAGTTCATGCAAGTCCACGGAAGAAAATCGGTGATTCACGCAGATCGAAACATTGCGAAAGCAGCGGAAGATTCTAATATTTTGTAAGGCAAGATTCACAAAAAACCCCTCAATGAAATATTTTATAGACGATCATGGCAAGGTGATCCTAGTATTACGATTGATCGGTTCGATGCAAGATCGCATTTATCAAAAATGGATTTAATGGAGGATGATGAAATTGTTGTCAATCGAAAAAATGAAGAAAGGTTTTTAAAATCTTTATTCGCCATTTGCATTATTAATACCTTAAGTGTTACGGACGATAAAGAAGAGCTTGTCTGTGAATTCGAACGATTTCGGGTGTTAGTTATCAATTCTTACAAAGGAGTTTCCGAAAAAGTTTGTTTTTTATATACACGTTTTTCATTTTACTATTTTAGAGTTATTTGCGCAAAATAGCAGAACGCGAATTTTGGCTGGAAACCAATGAATCAGCAAGGAAAGCTGAGATTGAGAAAAAAAAGTTAGTCAAATTATATTGTGATTTTAAATTTTTAAAAAATCGGCGTAATTTCTAGAAAAGTTGCTGAGACGAAATCTTCCATTGGATTCTCGTACGACAATTCGGAAGTTGTGAAAGGAAGGGAAAATGCGGACGAGGATAGTGATGATGAGCCCGCGGAGCCCGAAGACATTGGTTATTTATATGTTAGCAAAATGTTATTGATATCAACTTTTAGATATCGAAATTGATGTTAATAGTATGAATGCTGAAGCTCAACGCCGAATCAACAAGAATGGAGAGGAATTTGGTGTTAAACGAGGTCTATTTTGTGCTCTGCTTCGAGCTGATGTACAAGCTCAGCGAGATGCCGCTCAATTGAAGCAAATCGATCGTCAAAAAGCTCAGCTATCTGTCCGTGTTTCTTTTTCCGAGTACAGTTTCTTTCAATTGAAGCTTTATATCGATTCGTTCTACGAAATATTTGCGACAACAATAACATGTTTTAGGGTCGCGAGTCAAAGCATGAACGCATGCTTCTTCGTCGGCAGCGGACTGCAATCGTTGGAAAAGGATGCCAAGAAGGAAATGATGGCGCCACGGCGACTCTTCTCGGGTTTATCAATAGCAGTAGCAAGAAAAAGTCTCTTGATCGATTGTCTAGCGATTCGGAAGACTCGGGAGATGAAAAAGCGACGCCGGAATTTATTACAACTTTTGGCGGAGATGAAGAAAAAGGTACCAATTCAAGTATGGGTCATCTGAACTAAAAATTGTGTATTTAGAAAGTGACAATGATGAAGTGAAGTCGTGCGTTGGTCCTGAGTTGCCATCTGAACAATACCGAAAGATACTGTAGGTGATCTAATTTTACAATGAGGGCCAAGTTAATTTCAGAGAACTTTCAAAAAAAAGAAATAACGAGGATACGGTAGATTGGGGAGATGCCAAGATTGTTCACGAAGTAAGCGGCATTACTAACTTGGCATTTATTCAAATCAATACTTTCAGCAGCGAAGTCGTTTTCGAAGCAGAAGTCGAAGCCACGAGCGTTTGAGGTCTCCTAGACGTCGCAGGTCTCGGTCGCGTGATAAATGGCGACGATCTCGTTCGAGAAGTCGTTCTAGGAATCGTAGAAGACGTTCGATTTCATACGATAGAAATAGGCGGCATTCGCGGTATGCACTGCGTTCACTTTGTTTGATACTTAAAAAATTAGGTCTACTTCAAGACATAGACGATCAAGAAGCGGCGAACGACGTCGGCAAGAACGGAAAAGATCTCACAGCAGGAGCAGAAATAAGAATAGATCGTCGAATCGGAAGTCATCGAGCTCGTCGAGATCATCTCATAGGAAGCGTAGTTCAAGTTCGGAAAAGTAAACCATTGAATCCAACGATGATTATTGAAAGTCGCATTTTTAGGAAATTATCTGAAAAAGAGATTACGCAAAAGATTTCTGATAAAAGTTCGACGAGCGATGACAGCAGCGATGAGAAAGATAATGACATTAAAATGTTGGAAATAAGGTTTCATCTACTTTTTTGATAAAAAAAGTATAGACTTTTTCAGATCGAGTATGTCAGAATCTGAAAAAGAGCGAATCCAGATTGAAAATCGGAAGCGGCGCATCAAAATGACGAAAAAAATGGTGAAGGAGAAGAGAAAACCTGCTTCGAACAGTACAAGTGATGATGAGGAAGATAGAAAAGCCGAGCTTGCTCGGAAGAAGCGACAGAAAATGCTGAAGAAGACTAGAAGAGACATGGAACGCGAAGAAGAGGAGAAGCGAAGAAAGGCGGACATCGAGAAACGAGTGAATTTAGCTCATCATATCGCAATTTAAAAAAAAATTCAGGTTCGCGATGAAATCCGCTTCATTGAAGAGCAAGAACGTCTGGAAAGGGAAAGAGAGAAAAGAAGAAAAGAAGAGCGGAATAAGAAAGAAAAGTAGACGAAATCGATGTTAAGCAAATTCTTATCACTTTATTAGAATAAAACCATGGTTTGAAAAATTCAAAGAAATGTGAATAAGGCTTCGACAAAATGCTGTGATCAATATAATATCTCTATACTAGAAAAGAGAAAAGTGCGATGAAAAGAATAAACGAATTGTTGCCCTAAACCAAACGTTTTGGAATGCGTTTTTATTAAATTTTATAGTTTTTGGCAATCTGGAAAAGAAGAATGAAACAAAACGAAAATGTTTGACATTGAATAATACAGTTGAAATAACCCATCTAAAAGCGACCAAAGTTCACTAGCAAATACATTGAAAAAAACCAAACATTCAAATAACTTTAAAATAATTATTAAAAAAAAATATATATATTATATAAAAAGATGTGAGGCTTGGACATTAATAGTCATTTTGACCGCCTTTGATTTCGAAAGACCGTCGCCATGACACAGTCACTGAGAAAAGAAAAATCTGAGATTTCGTTTGCTTTTAAAGCGGCTCGGCTTTCACCACCGACATTACTGGGTCCAATTAAATTTTTGCTGAAACGCGCTCACAAATGCCGATTAATTGTTGGGCATATTTGAGGATGTCGGCGACGACGATGAACCCTGTTGTCCGACGTGCAAATTTGTTCGAACCGCATTCGAGAACGACGGGAGATTACCGGTCAAAAAACTTTTTGGACCTTTCTGGTTCACCTGAAATTCAATCGATTAATGACCAAACTCGATCATATCATTTTATTGTCCTCAAATATGTTAACTAGAAGAAGTTGCACGTGTTGAAAGTGGAGTTGTGAGAACATTCAGGAGATTTCCCTCAAATTTTCTCATTCTTCGTTCTTTTTCAAGCAAAGACTTTTAACAACAACATCACGAGTCGAAATGTGTGAGGTGATGTGAAATTTTTCAAAAGTGCTTTCCACATGCTCTCTTTCAACGCAATTTTAATTTTAAAAATGAAATAAAAGAAAATAGGTGCCATAATAAAAAAATAAATGCCGAAAATTTTTAATTGACATCCCTTTTATAGATTTCTCTGGTTCAATTTTTTTAAGATCTCACTGTGATCACTTCGAGATCAAATAAAGACAAATCGCATGTTTTGAGTTCTAAAAAGAACATTAACTAAAGATGGGTTAGTTGGAAATGTCATACAACGAGACACGCATTCAGTAATCAAACAACAGCAGAGAGCATACAGATTCGGGCATCGAGGCGACGACACAAGACAGCTCAATAAATCGGTATAGGTAACATACAGGTGGGAAGGCGGTGGGGCCAGTAGGTTGGGTGTCGCGTTTGTCGGAGACATGCTCGGCGCGCAGTTGTTATTAAGCGAAGCGCCGATGGATGGACTCGGCTGAATCGCGCCCGTCGTCGATTTGTTCCGAGATATTGTCGAGCCGATGCGGCGAGACGCTTTTCGGGCGATAAGCGACGTCAACGTCGTCTGAACCGAATCAATCTGTTTCAAGACGGTAATTCTTTTTTTAATGAATTAGGTTAAGACGTATTAAAATTTTTAAATTACTACATTGTCAAATAGTTCCAGTTTTGTTCGAAGAAGACCAGAAAAATAAATAGATCGTTGTAATACGAAAATTTGAAGTGCACAGCGAAAATTATTTAGTGTTTGGTAGAATCATGGGTTTTGTTCAGATTTCTAATACATAAACTAAAGTAGGGTGCGCAAAGCATGCATTAGTAAATATGAAAAAAATCGAAAGAAAATCTCGGCGGGCATTCAGGTAAAGCTCAAATCAATGTTAGGAAAGAGACAGAGGTAGAAGAAAAACAGAGAAAATGTGAGAAAAAAACGAGTTCGATTCAAACCTTTTTCCGCGATTGTGCAAGAAGATCTTTGTAAATATCCGAGCGCAGAAATCTTTGATAACTATCATTTTTCATTAGACAGTAGATATGGTCCTGTTAATAGAGAACATTTCCAAAAAATAAGAATGAAACGAAACATACGGCTGCTTCATCAAAACTCCAACGATTCGGATTTTTGAGGTTCTCCTCGGTGATGTCCATAACCTTGCAGTCAACGTTGACCGGCGACGTCGCCGCATTCGTGTCGATGAACTCGTTATAGATTTCCGTTACCATTACCGGCACCATTCGGCTGCTGCACTTGCGGAGTCGTTGCACTTCCCACCAGAATCGCAAGTTCTCTCCAGAGTATTCTTTGTCGAGAAATTTCTGAAGTGTTTCGCGACCGAGGGGATCGGCGAGCAGCTCTTCGAAACACTCTTCCCATAGCTTCAGCCGACGCGTTTGAATTTCACCCGTTCTAAAATCGAATTTTTGATTACGATAATGAAAATGTTGAGAAATGCTTGCTTACAATTTATCATGCTGCCAGAAATCAACCGTGTCGTTAATCCATGGATTAGGCTGCGACTGGAATGGATCAGTTGAAGATCCCGGCGGCGTTAGGAAAGGATCAAAAACTTTTCGTTGTTCATAGTAGGATAAATAGCTAAAAAAAAACGAGTTGAATTTTAAAGATATCATCCAATATGCTTACTTCTCTACAACTTTTGACGTCCTGAGAACATTTTTTGATAATCGATTGTTAAGCTGATTAATCTGCACATATTTTATTGCTATTATATTATTCTCAATGCGGATTTTGAATACCTCTAGTTTCAATGTATCTTGAACCTGCGTACATCGCCTGAGTCCCGGTCGCGCATAATAGTTATTCCTGAACGATCCGCTGCTTGAAGACGCGCCACTAAAACGATCATTGATTGGTGTGTGAAGAATAAATATAGATGTATTACGATGATGATGGAAAAACATTCGCCGGAGTTGGTGTAGGAGTGGACGGAGCGGTGGATGAAGACGGCTGCTGCGGCTGTTGCTGCTGCTGTTGCGTGGCGCTTTCATTCGACGTCGACGGTAGACTCGCATGCGCTGCGGCGGCGCTGGTTGAATACGGACTACAGCTAGGGAATACTGAAAGTATACATGAGACTAGCGAATCGATGCAGCGTCGGATTATGTGGACCATTCAGCTAGATATAAGCTGCGAGGTTGTGCAAGTGCTTCATACAATTCGCGAACATAACACGCCTTGCATAAAGGCAGTAAATCACATCCCACTCTCCCCGCAGAGGCACCCAATTCATTCTTTTGTTCTTTCTATACAATTTCGAGAATTAGAAGGGATTTTTTGACGCAACCAGAAATCGTAAAATGCCTTCTTCTTCATCTTCATCTTCTACGTCATTTTTTTCCGTTCGACAAACCTCCTGATGACGCGGCGGCATTCAGAGCCGCATGCCCTCCACTGCTATATTTCGGACGTCCCGATCGGGATAATTTGCGGAAATCGACCTCGGTGGTGTTGACGCAACCGGGCACTGGCCGATGGACATCCCAGAATGCTCGTTCCTGACTGTCAAGAATCTGGCGTTCGAGTCGATCTCGCTTCTTGTCCACCCTGTAACGAATCGAATGAGAAATTGCTTGGGCCCTCGCCTCCCCCCCCCCCTTCTATTCAAGAGACGTTTTCGCATTTCTCTCGCCAGCGCCACTTGCTCTATCTGTTCGCTTTTTTTTGGCTGGACCACGCGCCGCCGGCATTGGCTCTTTTTTTGGCCGCTAATGTTTTAGAGTCGAGCGATGTGTGCGCCCCTTTCCATTTAATTAGTGCGATTTGACGACGACGGCGTCTGCCGAAAAGAACGCGGGGCGATGGGTTGATGGCAGAAGCAGAAGAAGAAAAAGAAGAAGAAAAACGCACAATGTAAAGGCTTAATTTTTATACTCACTTGTATTGCGCTTCAGCCTGCATGAAAACAAACTCCCATTTTCGGGAAAACATCTTTTGAAGTTTCGCGAGATTTTCGGCTTCAAAATCTTCGAGTTCGAGATGCGCCTTGTTTTGCATTGTGCGTTTGCAAAGATACACAGCTGAAATTTGCAAGAGTCGTGCAATTGTAGACATTTCGGAAGCGGTTACCGTAGTCGGTGTTCTCAGGTTCCCAACAATTCGACGGCCAAAAGTATGGCGTCTGAAACCGATAAAACGTTCCATCATTCTTCACCGTCAACACGTGGTCGTCGATTTGGAAGAGGTAACCATGCGAAGCCACCAGATGTGCCAAGTGGAGTGCATCCGCTGTAATAATCCTCTTCATCGTCTCTTTTTTTTTCAAAACAATTTATTGTCATCCCCCCCCCATCTTAATAATTATACTAATTCTTACACAAATCCGACATCTCCAGATTTTTCATAATCCACGCGATTAGATCTTGACCAGTGAAAACCGAGGGAACCTGAAGATTAGGCAAATATTGTTTTGTGAAGATTAGCGCCGGATAACTTGCCTTCGACAAAAAGCTCTTCACCGTCTTGATCGGCACCCCATTCTCCGGATCCAGCATCAATTGAACCAAATGTTCCATTTTATGGTAAATCATGTGGTTGGGATGAATGAGGCGCTCTTCCGAGCTGGCGTTCACCCTGAACAACGTCCGATATTCAGAAAACACATTTCGGTGATTGTTATTCTCAAATCCCGAAAAATATATAGAGAAATATGCATGCAATCATAAGTAATGATAATAAATGAAATAAAACGTGGCATGAGCACACGAAAAAAATACATAAAATAAATGTCGAATAATAAAATTTTAATTGGAAATTTTGGAAATTCGTCAAAATTTTAAGTGACGAGATCATCGTGTTGTGACCGGAAGAAAATGACGGCTAACCTGAGTCTCGGAATTGCCATTCTGATTCGCTCAAACTGTCAGCTTTGTTTCAATGGACAAAACAGAGAGAAGAGGGACGGGTGAGAGGGGGGTTCTATCGGCGAATATTCACTCCTTCATTTCCTCACTGAAGCGGGCGCGAAAAAAAACCGACCGCAAAATTCCCGTCCTCCTGCAACAACACACAGAAAAATGGGCAATAATTGTGAGCGCGACAAAAAAGGCAACGAGATGTCGACAAAAAAAAAACGAGAGTATGCCAATGCATGCATGTATGTATGTATGTATGTCTTCTATGCTCTTTTCTCCTCCAACTCCTCCTCTTCCTCATTTTTCTTCTTTTTCGTTTTCTCTCCGAATCCCATTGATGATGGCAGTATGTCGACGTCGACTCGTCTCGTCGTCATCCGTATATGTGTCGAAATTTGAGATGCTTTTTTTTCGGGTTGGAGTAAAACTTGATGAGGGTTTTTTTGGAGGCACCATCAATAAATCACTTCACGTTGGACTTTATATTTCAACTGAGATAATCGCATTTTAGCAATAATCATATCAAATTCGAATTATGCATTTTTTATTTTTAAGCATTTTTAATCTATAAATATCAAAAATGGGTGATTTCTGCTCGAAAAAAAATGTGGTGCAAAAGTGAGAAATTGACAAAAAAATGGTGCAAAACGCGGAAGACATATAGACGTGCATGGAGTAACAAGTTATATTAAAATGTAAAGAGGAAGGAAAACGAGAGGCGAGAATTTTCAAGTAATGAGCAAATAGAACCGCGGAGAGTGGAGCTTCTCGCGCGTTTTTAAAAAAATAAAACGGCAATTGAAGCGAAAATAAGCGGTGGTTGAATAAAATTTGACTGCTCTTTATTTTTTTTTTTCTCCCGGCAAACCCTGCCATCAAAATTTGTCATTTTCGCATTGAAGCACCGAGACGAAACAAAACAACACGACGTTAAAACGGCACGCTTTAACACGAACGAGTTCAAAAACTTGTGCAAACTCGGATAACAACGACAACAAATAGAAGATGAGAAGGGGGAAAAGGGGGGCTTCGATTTTTTGGAAGAATGGCGGGTAGAAGATGCGGCGCCGCGCTCAACGCACACATACGAGTAGTGGGGCCGTCGCCGCCGTCGCCGCCGCCGCAGTGGCTCGACGTCGTCTCTGAAGGAGAAGACTAAGAAAAAGATCGAGAATAAGATGAAGAAACGGGCAAAGAGAAAAAGAGGTAGAGGGAAAATGCGAACTCTAGGCTCATTTCGAACAAGGCCTCTAAAGAATTGATTATTGCGCTCAAGCCGTCTCACACTCTCCTTTTCTCTTGGTAGGTCCGCTAGTGACGATCGATTGTTTTCATGTTTTGTGTTGCTCGTGCTCACGCCGCGCTGGCATCCTGGAGACAGCAGAGCGCGAGTTTTTCGTCGTCTACGCCTCGCGCGCCGTCACACTATTTTGTGATGTGCGCGCGATTGCGTCCCCTGGACACCCGTCGGCGACCATGTCAAAATAGAAAGACACTCTCTTATCTCTACACTCTCCGTTGTTACCCGGTAGTTGCTGCCACCTTTCTCGTATGCCCATCATTGGAGTAATTGTATTTTAAGGAGCATATTTACATTCCTTTAATTAATTGCGTAGTCTTTTCGGCCATAACATATAGCTACTCAGATAAATTGATAACATCACAACTGTTCATTCCGTTCGGTTAATTTACGGTTAATTCGGAGTGCAAAATGTGTATGGTTTCAAACTGTTCACAATCGCAAGTTTTTTTTTCATATGCAAATAAAATATTATATCGACGCATAAAACAGTCTCACCACATTTATTGATTTTTCGCAGTTACCTTGAATAGTTCTCTTTTTAGTTTCCAATGTTCGTTTTTGGACAAAATCTAAATCCTTAAATTATCTTAGTTTATTTAGGTATGTTTCATTAAAAAAAAGATTACTGTAAACTCAAGTGTTTACACAAATAACGTCTACCGTTTAATTTTGATAAATAAATATATACTTTTATCAAAAATATTGATTTCTTGAGCATTTTCCATAATTTGATTTGTATTGAATATCAATATTTTTCACGTGGGCCAATTTTTTGTGAAATATTCAAAATCGTTTCGATATTCGTCTCCATAGCTTCATTTCTGTCCTTTATGAGTCATTTATACACATGTTTTCGAATTAAATTTTCAAAAAGATAAGACTTCACCGATTTCGTTATCGCAGAATTTCTAGCCCATAACTCACTTATCACAAGGAAATATCTCTGTGACAAGCATTTATGATTGTTTTAAAACCAATTTCCAGGTTTTTTTATAAAATAAACATGAATGCACGAGTTGCAAAATCGTTCCACCTGCTTTCAATTTTTCTCCGCGGTGGTATTCCAAGCAGCTGTTTTCGTTTTCCCATCATATTTTGCTCATTGGCCGCACGTTCCATCTTAGTTAAAGCGCTACGCATTTCGTCTTTGATTCCTAACAATCGCGAAATATTTCAGCTTTGTATAAATAAATATTGTTCATTTTGGTACATAAAGGCGGTGCGATACATGACCAGTTGTTGGCCCGGCCGACATTGTTTACTTTGACGCTTTAACTTTCCACACGATTGTGTCAGAGACCTTCAAGAGGTTACTATCAAAAAGCGCCTCTTTAGTCTGTTTTCTCGTTTTTCGATTTCTCTGTAAATACAGAAAATAATTTGTGTAAAATTACAGGAATGGCATTATTTATGCTTTGAGGTAACGGGTCTTCAGTTGTACAGATAATCAGGAAACCCGTCACTTAATTATTTCAAAGTCAACAAAACCGTTTGAGAAAGCAAACTGGAGGTGAATATGTCTATGAAGTTCTTTACGGGTCTGCAGGTAATCTACGCAATGTAATTGATGGCTCATTACGTTTTCAAGGATTTTCTCGGCTTGTATGAGTCGGGATCTGCAACGTCGTCGCCGGCGTCACCCATTCCTCCGACGTCGCCGTCAATGTATTCCACACAATCAACTCATTCGGCGGCGAATTCGGTCCGTAAAAAAGTGTCGGACGCTAATAAAGAAACGACTGGGGACAAAATTCGACATTGCTCACATGATCGAATTGTTCAGTTTCCTGATGATGAAAAATTGATAACCGGATTTCATGAGCCACAAGTTTCCAGTTTTCATTCTGGAATTCTTGGTGAATCTGCACATTTTTGCTTAAAATCAACGATAGAGATGATTTTAGATGACGTCGTTAATCCGGCGCAGATCGTTGAGGCGTACCACGAAGCCTGCAAAAAACGAGATTGTCTGCCAAGTGCGAACGTCGAAAAACAGATAAAAGTAAATCGACATAATAGTGGCGGCGAAAAACAAATCGAATTAATTTCAGTGTTTCCATAAGAGCCCCGAAACTCGTCAGGAGGCAATTTCATTGAAGGGTGAACGCGTTTCGCATGCGCAGATGGAAGCCCTTGAAGAAATTTTCAAGCGCGTCCAATTCACGACCATCGATTTTGAGTATACATTTTTGGAAGATGATGTAATCGATGAATTGAAAAAATAATGTTAAAAAAAATACAATTTAGGCCGCGATTTCACTAGCGGAGATCATCGAGTACTACGATTCTTGCATTCGCCTTAATCTATCATTCAATAAGCAAATTGATGCTAGGGGATGGTCTGCGATATTTCGAGCTGTTAAAAATGTATTGATTTTTTGTCAATTTCAAAAATATCACAAAATTTTCTTAATTTTTTAAAGAGTTCATCGCTTCAAATGCTCAATCTGCGTTACACAACACTTGATGAGAAATCACTACCAGCACTATGCAAAACATTGCGGGCTACACCGTGTGCCGCATTGCGTTACCTTCATCTTGAGAACACCCAAATGTTTGGCAAAAATCTACTGGTTCTTATTTGCGCGCTTAAAAACAATACGGGAATCAAGGTATATAAAAAAGTGAGATTATTATTTCAATTCGAAATTGAAGGAGCTTTATCTCGGTGACAACAGCCTACAGGGAACCGACGGCGCGCATATCTTCCAGCTTATTTTGAATAATACTAGCATTCAATTGCTAGATTTGCGCAATAATAGTCTTGGGGTAATCTTGTGGAATTGCGTTTAAGATGTGTAGGAAATTCTTAAAGGATTCTGGCGTTCGTCATATAAGTGATGCTCTTCGACATCGTGAAACATTGGAGAAAAGCTCATTGTCAGCTCTTGTGTTGTGGAATAATCATATAACTGGCGCCTCAATGGATTGTTTAGCTGAAGCATTGGCAACGCATTCTATCCTTTCTCATTAACTGATTATTTTTTTTAGAAAGTCAACACTAAAATTGAAACACTGAACATTGGAAAGAACAAACTCGATGTTGACGGAGTTGCGCGTTTAAAACCGGCGATTGTTTCCAGTTCTCATCTGCATCGATTAGGCCTACAGAATACGAACATCGACTGCCAAGGTGCAATTATTCTGGCCGAGTGTATGGCGGATAATACAGCATTATTGAGAGTTGATATTCGCGATAATCCGATTGGTAACTGATTTTCACATTTCAAATTTGGAATTGTGCTTTCCTTTTAGCTCTCGCTGGACTTCTTGCTCTCCATTCTGCGATGAAATTGAATAAATCAATCACACTTCTGAATATTGATGCGAATTGCGTCAAGCTTAGCAGCGAGAAGGTAAGAATTTTGAATATTTGCATGCTCTCGAACATTCTTTGCTTTCTAACCAATCCAAATAAGTGGCCAATCAATTTTTGATGATGTTTGTGATGTGATTATGTTTTGGACCGCCAATAATCTATAGGTTCGCGAATATCAGGAGGAATTCGAGCGATACTTCAACGAGATTCAAGAATATTGCAATCGGAACAAGGAGGAAGCGAAGAAGCGGCTGACGGTGACATTTGATGTTGAAGAATTGGCGGTGGTCATCTCGAAGGCGTCAAATGTCGAACAAGAAGAGCCGAATCCGGATATTCCGGCAGGTATTTGCCAATTAGGTCATCGATTTCGCTACAAATAATGATTCAGAAGATGAGAAGGAACACGACGAGTCGGAAAAATCGCAGGAAAACAATAATAATAGTGAAAGAGTTGTTCTTCCTCGCAAAGATTTGACAAGAAAAGAGAAGCAGCATCAAAGATTTACGAGAAGCTCATCGCTTACTTGCACAGAAACGGTGCACGATATTCACGTAATTTTTAAATTATTGAAAATTTCAATAAAAAAGTTGGTTTTTTTTGTCTAGGATCGTATTCGAGAAATGTCGGGATCAACTCATTCATTGGATTCGAATATAAATCCGTCGAGTGCCCCTATAGATTCGTCCAGTAATTTAGATTCAATGAAGACAATCAAGAAAAGCTTTGTGGTTTCTCCATCGCCGGCGAAATTGCCAATATGTAAGTGTTGGCTGAAGGCGTTGTTTGAAATCAAAACCTTGCAGCTGAATGGGGATCCCTTCCGGCACTGCCGCAATCCAGTCCGACGTCTACGCCGGTGGTGCGGAAACTCCGTAGGTTCTCGGTTTCGCCATCTTCTTCGAATTTCGATGTGAGCTCGTCCCCTTCAACTGGTGTCTCGAGTCTAACAAAGCAAATGATTCCCGAAGTTGGCGCGACGCCACAATTGACGGTAACATCAAACAGCAATCAAAAAGGGAGAGTATTGACTTGAACAATTTAGAATCCTTTATCTCGTCCTACTAGCCTAGCAATTGGTATTCCACCAAGAGGATCAGTTTCAGTTGGGCCGTCATCAGCGCCGGTTCTAAAAATTGAATCCAGTGAAATCTGGTCGCCTACCAAGGCCCAACCGAAGCTCGTTGAACAAACGGATCAATCGGTTTGTGAAACTGACGAGGATAAAGAGAAAATTTGCAAATCGGTGGTGAATGATCTTCTGAATTATGTGGTACAATTTTGAAAAAAAGAAACTTGAAAATTGATTTTTTTAAAAGGAGTACGAAGAGAAGACGGTAGTCGAAAGAAAGGCGTCAATATTGATGAAGAATATGTTCGCGAGGCCAAATATTGATGAACTATTGAATGGTAGTGCAACGTCTGTCACAAAAACGAACATTGTGAGGACTCCATTAACTCCGTCGAGGTTTTTTAAATGAAATTTCAAATTCTAAAGAAATATATTTAGAGTCCTAGTGATTTCTGAAGAAATCGAGGAAACTGATGAGAATGTGATTCAGCAGGTGGTGCGAAGTTTAGTTCGCGATGTTCTTCAAATGGAAAAAGACCAAATTCGATCGACGCTCGATCGGCGTCGTCGTCATCAATCGAGTTCTGTGCGAAACTCGCCTGTATAAGATTATACTGGAGATCTCTAGCGAAATCTGCTCTTTGTTTTTTTCTTTGCTTTTCACATGCTTTAACATGCACTCGTCTTGGCAATAATGTTTTGCAACGAAAACTGGTTTCATTAACTTAACTACTCCCTATTAAAATTAGTTCAGGCTTTCTGGACTCTGGATTCAGGTCAAATTGAGTTAGTTATATTAGACAGGGGCGCGTGTACAGTACTGTTCTCTACAATTGTAAATAACCAATCGGTTCCATTCGTTCACTTAAGTTGTACAGTTTTCAAATAGTTCTAGAATGTGCTTTAATTTGTTACGTTAGTCCCCATTTATTTATCGAGAATTTTTTGTTAGCCCTCAGTGTATATATAATATCCGGTTTCCTATAACCTACCTTCCACAATTTACCCTTTCGCGATTTTCGGACCAATTTTTTCTTTTTTAAAAATGTGTTAACTAATTTTTAAAATGAATTTAATTATTTATAAAGTTATGTTTTGGCGAGTTTGTCAGAAGCAGTATATTATATATAATGAGATCAAAACTGTATTATATGAATAGTTCTTAATGACATCGCGGGATCCGCTCTATGCATCCGGATAATATGCAAGGGTATCTGTATGTCCAGTAAGCAAGCAAATATCACAAACGTCACCCGATTTGTTATTTGGAGACAGTGTTTGTGACTTGACAACGATTACTCTGAAAATATACAGATTGAGAGATATCCAACTGAAAAAAAAATACCTATCATCACCAATGACGCGGTAAAGCTTCGATATATCACAAAGATCCTGTGTATTTACATTTGTCTTCAAATCTCGTCCCTAAAATTTGAAAAAAAAAAACAATCGAGGTTTAAAAAAATTTCATACTTGGACTCCGTTTGAGTGGAATGCTAAAATCGACCCGTCGACAACGTGAAGATATTCAATGTGGAAATTGAATGTGAAAACAGAAGGTTTCGGTTTTTCGACTCCTTGCAAATCAGTAAGAACCACCTAGAAATTGAAGAATCTTTTTTTTACTTTAAAAATTGAAATTTACCTTATTTCGGAATGCAAAACACAACGTGTTTCTGTCAATTTGATGCATTTGACGAACTTCGAGAATCTCGTCTTCACCAAGAACCCCAAAGTCTGTGGCCGGATCGGAATTTTTTGGTCTCGAGCAGAAATTGATGATATTGAAGCGATATTCATCGGCGAGCGCCATTTTTCCAACGCCAATGCACAATTGCGGAAAGTCTGAGGTTCGGGTATTGATGAGCTAAAAATAGAGAAGAGGATAACTAAAAATTTCAAGAAGTTTCCTTTTTACCGCAAATGGTTTGATTGGAAATCTCATATCAGATTGTAGTTGTTCTGTGCGTATCAGGACAAACTGCTGCATCGGTTTATACCTTAATAATTGAAATTGTTTCAAAAATGTTTTTGCTTAAATTTTTATTACCACTGGAAAAGGTGAACAGCATTCGGAACCACGCAGCACAGGAAAAGTGAGTTCGCTTGGGCGCCTTCCCCTCGCTTTACAGTACACTGTACAGCTCCTCGGGTTTCAGGCATCCTCACAGTAATTGCAAGCCTTTTGGGAACATATTTCTCAGGAATTTTATTCAAATTTTTGCTCATTTTCAATGTTAAATTCTTTTGGGTCAATGCAACTAGATCGTGCCTGAAATTTGAATATTTTATGCATTTATTTGATGCGACTCTGAACCTATATAAATATGGTGTATTTCCTTGAATTGAAATCAATCTATCGGAATACACAAACATCCATGAGCATCTCCGATGATGAATCTGCATAATTCAGGCAGAGAAATTGAGAAAAAAATCGATAATGTTTACCTTAACCAAATTACCATCCATAGCTCCCGTGTCTAATGAATAAATCCCTTGCTCGGTTCCAAACAGCAGCAGATGTGCTCCACTCAATGGATGAACCCATGAAGCCGAGCAGTTCACTGTCAAATCGGTTCCATCGACAACTTTGAAGAAGCACGCTCCCATAGGCACCTCAAAATGCATTGTTTAAGCTCATTAATTTTTCAAGAATATCAACTTTTGGCGTAATCGGCATCCCAAAGAATGTCGTGGGAACGTCCTCAGTTGGAGTCAGCAGCGCCAAATTCATTTTGTTTTCCGCCGCTTTCTGTGCTGCTCTTAGCGTTCTTGGGGGTGGTCTTGGCGCACGAATGGTCTCATCGGGATCAAGAATGACTCCATCACCGCCTTGTAGAAGAGCATCGCCTCCAACAACATCAGGCAGCGGGGCCATTTCTTTTGCGGGCAATGTTCGGTCCGAGTGATAACCGTAGCCAATTCCTCGGTTTTCAATTGGTGTCTTAAAATCCACATCCGAAGATGACGAGGACGGCGAGGAATTTAAATTTTCGAGACATTTCGCGTCAAGGCGTAGCCCGTTCAAATGCGATGGAAGTCCGACGCGTATTGGAGCCGCGTCAGGCGTCCTTAATGGAGGAGGCCCCTCATCCAAATCACTTTCTTCCTCAGTTAAATCATCAACAGTGCGGGACATACGGTCATATACATCAGAAGAGCTTCCATTGACCTAGAATTTCTTAAAATACACAAAAAAGTAAATAGTATTGGGTACCTTGTCTAGAAGATCTCTCGTCATTCTGGAAGAAAGTGAGCCCAACACAAATGGGTGAGTCGTCAGCAGTTTTTCAGGCGACGGCCTTTTCTTGGGATTCTTCGTTAAACACTGATGTACGAAATCGTGGAAAAGTGGCGACCGGAAAATCAACAACATTAGACGTATTCGTTTTCATTTGCTACCATCGATGCTTGTCTTTGAGATGTGGCGGTTTGTAGCTGCTCTTTGTCATCAAATAGAGGACTTGCATCGGATGAAGATCGAATAACGGCGGCTGACATTCTCCGAGCTCGATCGCCGTGATTCCAGTCGCCCAAACATCGCATTGCATTCCATAACCGCCGCGTTTTTCAACACAAGCCACCTCGGGGGCCATCCTGTGATTTTTTTAAAGATTTTTCAAAAAAGCTCGAACTTACCAGTAGGGTGTGCCGATAAATGATTTTCTCTTACCAATTGTGGCTGTTATTTGCGCAGCCACACCAAAATCGGCTAGTTTCACATCACCGGAACAAGTTAGTAGAATATTCGCTCCTTTTATATCTCTATGGATTTTGCCAATTTTGTGTAGATAGTCAAGGCCTCGTAAAGTTTCGCGACAGACGAAAGCAATTTGAAGCTCGGAAAGAGGTCCGGTTACTTAAAAAACAAAACAACACATTCTCTGACGTTAGGAAACAAATTTACAGTGATAAATATCTTGCAAGCTTCCGCCACCGCAGTACTCCATTACAATCCATAAACGATCTCTATAATAGTTGTTAAGAATAATAATTTTAAAAAAGTGATAATTCCCAAATCACCTCCTAATATAACTTCCATAATAGGCTATAATATTCTTATGTGAACATGCCCTAATAACCATTATTTCTTGTTGAATAACCGCAAAATTATCTCCGGCTTCAAGTTTGACCACTTTCACGGCGGCCAACGATTGATTTCTAAACTCGACTGTGAAATAACAAAAACACCAATTGCTGGGAAACCTAATATCGCGAGCCTTATATACTTCACCGTAAGTACCCGATCCAACACGTTGTAGAAGCTCATAGTCATCAGCTGGATTTGACCTCTTAATCACATCTGCGTTCATTACCTGCGAAGAAAAATATTGATATTAAATTGAGCTGCGATATTAATTGATTACAATTGGCTGAGAAGAGAAATACACTGACGGCCATAAAAACTCGGTCATACCTTTTTAATTAAATTTTTAATTTTACCAAGAAAAATGGATAATTTGATTGCGATAATTGTGCTAAACTGATTGACTTTCCTATAAATTTTTTATTGAAGTTAATTAGTCCTACTAACTTTAAAATTTAAAGGTCATAAAATAATTGTTTTCTGTTTTAATGAACAAATAAACCGTTACAGCATAGATAATTCGTATTAGTGTTCATCGACATATAGAATGAGGAAAACAACAATACTGCTGTATTGTTTTACTGGACGAACAATAAACCGCAATCAATATTAAAAACGAGGGAAATGCGGGTGACTTGCACCAAACAATGAATGTGGGAATGAAGAAATGTGAAGCGAATGTTTGCTGACATAAAAAATTAGTACTGAAAGTTGAAAAGAAAGAAAAATGGAGCGGTTTGGTTAAAATGTAAAATTTGTGTGCAGTACTTCCTCATGTATCTCGCCATCCATTGACCAATACTCGCATCCGCGTATTTCTCTAATTCTCTCGCTTTATTGTCTCTCTCACGTCTCTCAAAAGTCGGTTCGCTCGATTTGAAATCGGTTACCCAGCAGGACTGGTCGCCAGTCGAACGTACACACATTTTTTGAGAACACGAGCACAAAATACTATAGAATATTCATTTCGTTCATTTTTTATTTGAAATAATACATAGAATATTTCATAACAGCATTTCCAGCATTGTTTCAATTATGAATCACAGCACCATTTTTTTGTTTGTAGAAACATTTTGCGAATGATTTTTACAATAAAGCTTTATAAATAAACGAAAATCATGAATAAAATTTTTATTAGGTGGCTGACAACAAATTCTGAAAAGAGCGATTGAGTTGCTCACAGTACATTACATCATCGTAGGAAGGAAGAGGTGAAGCTCGTGCAGATTCGAGCTCGGCGTATTCTAAATTGTCATCAATAGCTGTTAAAATGATAATAATATGAAACCTGGAGGGAGTTCTTCGTTGGCAAGCATGATTTGTGGAAGATTTTGTGTCGAATATACTGAATTTTAAGAAAATTCTAACAGGATTATTTTTTGAAAGATTCTTACAAGGCACGTCCATTTCAACAGCCATAAATGCTTCCTTCTGTGTGATTTTCGATTTTCTCGCAACTTCTTCGGGCTTCATCCGAACGTGCATCAATTCAATTTCGACGCGCTCATAGTGATTCTTGCAAATATAAAAGACGGCAATAAAACTCAAAATACACATGACGAATAGAATGAATATGGAGCAAATTGCTAGCGGTTGGATAAGAACGAGCATTTCAGCAACGGTAGAGATATCGTAAAGACTTATATAGAAATATGCATGTATGAAGTATGTGTGCGCATTTTCCATATTATCCCGAAAAGGCGGATGAAGGCTTATACTGATCTTCTCTGACGGCTCTTGACGTTTCACCCATTTCTTGTCAATAAGATATCTCTTAAACGGAGGTGGGATTCTATTAATAAAACAAGATCGATTGACGTGAAGAAAAAATTAAAACACGTTGGAAAAAAATGTTGGAATAAAGCCAAAATTAAAGTAGAAATAAACAATTGCCGGTGAAATTTTGTGTCGAAATTGAACTGAATTTGGGAAGATTTGTATACTAGCTAATTCTAGAAAAGCCATTTTTCGAGGTAAAACATTATTTGAATGATTTATTTTATTTTCATTATCATTTGATTGATCCTGATCCAAATATTATAGGTTTTTTAGTTTTGTTAATTGTCGAGCGACTTATTTTGAGTTTATCGTGTGGATTATTGTTAAGTAGGAGAGATATTCTTGATATGGCCCTTTTAATTGTCTTGCACACTGTTTAGATGTTTTTATCCGACGTTTCGATCTTTAGATAATCATCAGGGAAGGTCAATTTACCTACAAGATAATAAGTAATAGATTGGTAAAAAAAGAAAAAACGGCGAGAGTTAAGTTGTAAGTATTAATCAAAAAAACGTTTTTTAGTTGTGATAGTTTTGATATTTTTTTATTCAACTGGTCTGAAATTTCTCTTGATGATTCAAAAACTCGGATTTTGGAATGCGAATCATTGACAAATGCGGCCTTCCAAATCCGACAAACAAAGACAGGAAAAGACAAATTGGGACCATAATATACATAATTTCACATTATTATGAAAATTAATTTGTCGTATTCTGAATGAATTGCGCATTCTCAAAAAAAAAGTCAGCTTCTGGATAAACCGTTTTTAATAATGCTGATTCGCAAAATTCTTGGTTCCATTTGTTCACACATTCCACTCCCAGATCCCATTTGGCAAAATTTATTTATTTTTCGACTTTTAGTTGCTCCCAATTTGGCCCCATTTGGCAGGATTTGTCGATTTTTTGCCATATCCCTGTGCCAATATTTTCATTCTTTTTGTTTTTCACCCAAATGCACAGAGCCCTCTCACTATTCCTCACTATTTCCTCACAATGCACTTTTTGTCGTAAACAAGTCTGTTTACCAAAAAAAAATGGCGGCGATTGGTAACCCTTCTCGAAACTCCGCCCATTTTTTCCGCATTTTAAGGCTCATTTCGAGTTGGGCATCGCATTTCGTTTGTTTTTGTTCAAACGCGAAACCTATCGATTTGCAGCTAACCGAAAATGAGCATGATGGACAAGGTTAAGGAGTTGGCGAACACTGCCGCCGACAGTATCAAAGGCGCCTATGAGAGCACGAAGGAGGTGGTCAGCGACAGCTTCGATGGTGCCAAGCAGCACACGAGCGATGCCGCGAATGCCACCAAGAAAGCCGCTGAGGATACCTGTGAGGGTACGAAGAATTTGGCGGGAAAAGCCGGTGAGAAAATTTCGGAGACCTATGAAGGTGCTAAGGATTCCATGGGTGAAGCGTATGATGCCACCAAGGTAATACTCCAATTCTCATTCAAGAATCGACAAGCATTATTTTATAGCAAAAGGCTGCACATGCCTGGGATGGCACGAAGAAGGAGGTCGGCGAGAAAACCGAAGGACTCAAGGAAGCTTCTTCCAATGCTTGCCATCACACGAAGAAGGCTGCTGAGCACGCCTCGGACAAGACCAAGAAGGCGGCGGAGAGTATCGCCGACAGCGCCAAGGTTTGAAATTTCGCTCCCCATTCATTTTATACACTTTTTTTGGTAAGGAGTTCGGCAGCGATGTGAAGAAGGCGGCCGGAAGCGCGGCGGATCACATCAAGGATGACGTCGGCTACGCCTACAACAAGGTCAAGGGATCTGCTGAAGAAGCCGCCGATCGCCATTAATTTTGACCAATCACCCTATTTATATTGCTTTTTTTGAAACATTTGCTAAAATAAACCGAGTAATGCATGAATATTCATTCACTAATTACCATAGATTTAGTTGCATGCTCGCTTCGCCTGATCCATCGTTCGGCCAGCAGCTTGACGAGTGTTCTCAGCGGTGTCTCTGGCAGCACGTTTCACATCTTCCCCCAGTTCCTGACAAATGAATGATGTTAATAAAATGTTTAATTTTGAATATTTTACACTAGCGTGGTTGGAAATGTTTCTAGCGGCGTCTCTCGTTCGGTCGGCGGCTTCTCGAACTTCATTTCCACCTTCTTTGAGTCCTTCTTTCGCCCGTCCAGCTCGATTCTAAAATCAGAATTCATATTAAAAATGAGTGTTTCTTCCGACTTTCATTGCGTCAGAAGCGTCCTCCATTTTCTCTTCAGAAGCATCGATTCTTTCAGAAACGACGCTCTTCGTGCTCTCATAGGCGCCTTTAATATTGTCGGCGGCACTATTCGCGAGCTCCTTGACATTGTCCATCATGCTCATCGTATTAAATTCAAGAATAATAATAATAATTCGAAGTAAAGGATATTCGGAATTCCCATTCGCGCCTCCTTATATAGGTTCGCTGTTTTTCAAAACATGCCCTCATGTTTTGAACAACACTTGTACAAAGAATTTTCTGCAAAATATATAGTTGACTATTATTCGGTTTTTTGGGTTTTTTTTTTCAAGAAAAGTGCTATCATTCTAACTGTCGACAATTGGAATCAAATCTCCACCAATTAAAAATATATTTTGTGTGTTAAAAAAATTTGATTTCAGACAAATATCGTTCCTCTCGCTTCATATCTCTCGGCTTGCGTATAATGTTGTTTTCGTTATGCCAAAAACACGACCGTTGCACTTTCTGTTTACCGCGAGTAGAGCGATGGAAACAAAATAAAAAGATGGTCAAAGAACAAGCGATTCGCATGTTTTCGAAAAGCACATTAAATACGTTTTTTTAAACTCTTTTTGGCAGTTTTAAATTCCCCCAAAATTTGTTGTCTGCGTCTCCATTCACCGCATTCTCTCTCCTCAGTGCCTCTGCACTCTCTTCATTGCGTACACTATTTCGTAGAAATATTGTGAAGCCTCTTGGAACTCATAAGCTACAAGCTGCCAGAAATTCAATTCCGGAAAATTTTACAACAGTGTCTCAAAATTTACGGAAAAATATTTATGTTAATATTTCCAATTAATATGTACAGATTAAATCCCGCATGTTAAAGCATATCGGCTCTCGCACCCATTATCATATTCTGATATCCAATGAAAAACTTTTCCTCCTTGACTTTCTCTGTCGGCTTGCAGCATTTGCAGAAGTTGACAAATGGAAATTCTTTGAACAATTGCTCCCTCAACAATTGATATTATTCATCGCGTCCTTATTATTCTGCGATTACCTGAAGCTCGGACTGCATAGCATATAAACGAATATGCGGAGAAGACTGTTGACGGCGACGAGAATGCTGATCACATCCGATGAGAGGGTGTAGAATCGAGTGCTATCGCCATTCTCGTCGAACAGCAGCGAGTTTTCCGGCCACACATTTTCCAAAACCCCAATGAGCAATGAGAGCGATGAGCAGCACAGATAGGTGGTGGCAATCGACACCATCGTCCATGTTGCATACCGTAGCTCATCACGACGGCGTTTATTAGAAGAATGCGATTCTGCAAATGTCGACTAATTCAATATTCTAGTCATGAATACCTTTCCGAATAAGCTCGCTAACTTTCGGCATGTCAATGAATGTCGTGATCGCCCAACCGATTCCATTCAATTTTCGTTTTGTTAAAACCACTATTGAAATATTTAAGAGCAATAGAAGGGCGAATGGTACGAATATGTGAAGGACCGTCATCACATAAAAATTGAACATTTGATAATGCTCCCAACTAGCCAACATTGGCACATATTCATAATCCTTGTATAATGGGCAATTGGGAAGGTAGCGAAGGTAGTATTCGAAGAACGCGGGGAGCCTGAGAGCGATGACTACAGTGAACAAGGCTATCAGGGTACCATTTCGACCAGTCACTCTGAAAATCCAAAAGAATCGAGAATAGATTAGGAATCCACACAATGCTCACGAGATTAAAAAATTGAGGGAACTGATTTCGGCAACCACAATAAAGCGCTCGATGGTGGCACAAAGGATGACGTAGGCTGACGCAAATTGTACTGAAATATTTCGTTTTGTAATATTCGAATAAAATTCAAAAAATATATATTTGACCTACTCATTTTACTTAATCCAAATATAAACAGCGCGTACTGATTCCACATATAATACAGAAGTTCGTTTTCATGATAGATCGCCAAGGCGTCGACGGTGAAGAATGGAATGTAAAGTAAATCCATGAGTAAATCTGGAATATTTTGGGATTGAAGATTTTTGAAGCGAAATTTGTTACCTAATATGGCAAGAACTAGAAGATAGAGGGTCGGTGACTTGAGATTCTTCGATTTCAAAAAGAGCCTCTGAAGGAAATAAAATAAAAGTATAAGAAGAGATAAAGCTTACAAATAATATCCAATTGCATATAACTCCGGCAATCGCTATCGGCGTCCCGACATAGACAATCAATGCATATCTGTTGAAATCATAGGCTTCATTTCGATAGCATTCCACTGTCGAATTATCTTGAAGAACGTCTTCGGACATTCTGAAAAACGATACGTTGAAAATGTGTGAAAAGAGAAAAGCAAATATCAATTAAATAGATCGCCAAAGTGTGTAATAATCGACGGGGGAATCCATTTTTCAGAAGGTTTTTTTGGGACCAACATGTGTCCCATGAGGTTCAATGAAACATGCCAAATACTTCTGGAAACATCATTTATGCGTGCAGAAATGAAGCGGTTCGCGATGAATAATAAAAATTGACGCCAAATTGCATGTAGTGAATTCATTTACATTTCCCGTCTACTCAAATTGGTTTTCAGTTATTTATTAAAATGACAATAATATAAATTTTTGGGTTTTATGGAAAAAACGACAAGAGAAATTGATGAAGGTTTAATTTTTTTTTTTTTTTGAAAAATCGTCTGGTTTAAAAATAAGAGGACACGCTTTTGATTGATGGACTGATTGGCGTCGGAAGGATTTTTGACGCCCCGCTGAATTTCCGTAGAATGCTTCTCAAGGTTCAATGAATTGCAAATTATTCTTTTTACGATCGCCGAATTCATGAATAACGTGGGATGATGATGATGATGATCTCGAGATGGCATTGTTTTTTGAATGAGCAACAACAATGAGAAGGACCACAAATTTTTTCGGCTCGTCCGAATGAGCTTGAACAAAAAATGGAGGCTTTTAGATTGATGAAACCATCCAGTTAATTGGACCGAGCAGTGTGTAACACGATATTCCAAAGAAAAAAACCCATTTTCGGCAAATAGAATAATTTATTTTCAATTTGGAATTCACACCCCGAGGGTGGTTTTCTCCAAAACTGACTCAAATGGATATTGATGAATACATTTTTTCATTTCGCCACTGCAAATGGAGTTTTTTCGCACGTTCACAATAGGGTGGAGAAAATGCGGAAGTGAGATGTACATATACACATATATGTACAAAAGATGATAAGCGAGAAGACGACCTGACGAGGTGCACTGGGGAATTCGGCTCGCCGCGGGAAGATTGATATTCTCGAGGATAGTTGGAGAAGAAAAAAATGCGAACACGGCAAAATAAAAAGAATTGTGTGAGAAATATGACTAATTAATAAACAGACAAGCAAAAAAATGAAAGAGATAATCGGCAGCAAACGCATTACTAAATAGTGACGAGGATTCTGTATATTAATGATTAAACAACAAGAACCAGCTGCAGAAGTGATTGAAATCAACGTTTGCTGAAATTCTTTTCAACTTTTAAAAGAATCGCGAAGACCAAATTTGAATAGTTGAAAATTGATTCAATTTTGCATACTCTTTTTTTTTCCGGGAACACTTTTTTCTTATCGTTGAATCATAACTAAAAAGGCAGGATTTGAGAAAAAAATAAACGTTTCTGTTTTTAAAATCATGTTTTTCTGTTGTTGACGACAGGTTTCTAAAAAGAAGCGAAAAAAAATTTGACAGCTCCGGCGACGCAAAAATAAGATGTATTTTTTGTGATTTAATTTGATTTTAGGGTCGAAATGTTTTTTTTTCCTTCAAACACAAAATTTGAATATTAACTTTGCCACATTAGACCAAGAGCCGACCCGCTATACTAACAGGTCGTTTTGAAAAAAAAAAAAACTGTTGAACCCAACGTACGTTAACATATTTGAACCGGAAAATGCCAAAAAAGGCAAGTAATTAGCAAATGCGTTGTTCATTTACTCCGAAGAAAATCGTTGACAAAATATCTTAGCAAACGGCCATTTCAGAATGTGACGCGAAAGAGGGTTTTCGGATGAGCAGCGCCATAATTTGATTAGCCGTTGGGGCCATTTACACTCCATTCAATTACACGATTTCGAACTTATTGTATTTCGTGTAATCATTAATTTTTGGCTCGCGAATTTTGATAGAACACCAAATTCAATTAGGTCCGCAAGAGAATTCCAAGAAGACACATCTAAGACATTAAAAACGAGAAAATGCTCTAAATAAAAATATAACTCAGACTTGTCAGAAGTTTTGTTTCGAGATATCAAGACCGAAAATGATTGAATGCTTTTGTCACTAGGCATGTCAAATCCGAAACCGAACCGACCGAAAGGCGGACGGTTGCTTTCAAATTTTCAATAGACTCTGTTCAACCGGTCCCTACGTTTCTTGTTGGAATTGGGAATTTAAAGCCGGGAGTCTGAAAATTGAGCCAATATAAGCTCTAGGTGTTGGGTGACTAGTTTCAGTTTCCCACAAGTTCTATTATCTATATTTTTTCCGATGTTCTCCATGCAAAGTTTATTGAAAGAGAATTCACACGAGTCAATCCAGATTGACTTTAAATAATTTATGGACCGTTTCGTTATGACAAAAAACGAAAAAATGTAGTTTTTTCTTTTTTTTTCACGAAATCGGCGCAATTTATGTAGTTTGTAGCCTAAGCACCGCATTCTTAAAAAAAAACGGACGTTTTATGTAGTCTGTAGCCTAAGCACCGCATTCGTAAAAACAGTCAGCGCGTTTTATGTAGTTTGTAGCCTAAGCACCGCATTCGTAAAAATAGTCAGCGCAATTTGTGTAGTTTGTAGCCTAAGCACCGCATTCGTAAAAATAGTCAGCGCAATTTGTGTAGTTTGTAGCCTAAGCACCGCATTTGTGAAAGAAGCAGCGCAATTTGTGTAGTTTGTAGCCTAAGCACCGCATTCGTGAAAGAAGCAGCGCAATTTGTGTAGTTTGTAGCCTAAGCACCGCATTGGTGAAAGAAGCAGCGCAATTTGTGTAGTTTGTAGCCTAAGCACTGCATTCGTAAAAATAGTCAGCGCGTTTTATGTAGTTTGTAGCCTAAGCAGCGCATTCGTAAAAATAGTCAGCGCAATTTGTGTAGTTTGTAGCCTAAGCACCGCATTCGTAAAAATAGTCAGCGCAATTTGTGTAGTTTGTAGCCTAAGCACCGCATTCGTAAAAATAGTCAGCGCAATCTGTGTAGTTTGTAGCCTAAGCACCGCATTCGTAAAAATAGTCAGCGCAATTTGTGTAGTTTGTAGCCTAAGCACCGCATTCGTGAAAGAAGCAGCGCAATTTGTGTAGTTTGTACCCTAAGCACCACATTCGTGAAAGAAGCAGCGCAATTTGTGTAGTTTGTAGCCTAAGCACCGCATTCGTAAAAAAAACCGCGCGTTTTATGTAGTTTGTAGCCTAAGCACCGCATTCGTGATAATAAGCAGCGCAATTTGTGTAGTTTGTAGTCTAAGCAAAACACGTCATGTAGTTTGTAAGAAAATCGAAAATCAGATTATTTGAATATGAAAGTTTAATTTGATAAATCGACAAGATATTTAGTTGAAAATACGAAGTTCTTTGATTTCAAGCAGTATGAAAGTTAATATGTCAGTCAGAAAGACGGTAAGCCAATCTGCGATCCATCTACTCAAGTAGATTGAGAAATTCGTTTATTTAGAACCCATAAAGAGTCCATTACAAATAGGAAACTCATTTTTTACATTTGTATTTCGGTTCGTGTAGAAAGTGAAATGAATTCAATCCATTGCGGTTGCCAAACGGAATGAAATTTCCCGATTGAACGAAAGACATAAATTTTCCACTTTTTAGTGATGACGTTTCTATTAAAAGAATAGATTAACCCAAATTTGAAATTAAGTTCAAAAGACTACATTGTATTCTTATAAATATTGGTATCTATTGTTTCTGGATTATTATTGGAAAAGTATTTTCATTGCAACAATAAAGTTAAAGTCCAGAATTCGGAGACTACGATACACCATGTCGTAAGGCTCGATGTTTGCGGACATTACAACTTGCTGATGTTTGCGTATTTTCTTGCGGTGGAATTATTCGCACTATTTTATCAAGTTTTATCTTGTTTAAATAACAATTGTGTGATTATTTTTTAGAAAAAAATTAAATTTATGAATTCTTATTTTTTTCAGTATGTCGAACGAATGGGGAAATGATTGGAACACTGATCAGTGGAATACGGGGTATAATGCACCACCGCATCAACAAGCCCAGCCAGATCCACAACAACAAAATGCAAACTATGGGTAATCATTAAAAATAGTAATTTTCTACAGTCTATCAATGATTTTATTTTACAGAGGATATGGGAGCAACTATTATTCTCAAGGACCGGACAATCAGTATTCCGGCTATGGAGGACAGCAAGCATATGGAAACCCTCAAGGTTTCACACCGAATCCTTCTTTCCAGCAGCCAGATGGTAATTTTTAATTTTCTTTTCAAATGCTTTTCAAAGAAAACAATTCAGCATCCCAAAGTTTTGGCGGATTTCAACCCCAACAATTCATGTCGGATCCAATGTTAAATGCCGCTAAACAGTTCGGCGGGCAATTTGCTGAGCAACAAAAAGAAAAGGTGTTTAACAATTAAATGTTTTAATTAAAAAATTAGTTTTAGATCACAAAATATCTAGGAACCTTCAATTTAAAATATTATTTCTCTGTTGACAATGCGTATGTTGGAAAGAAGCTCGGAATTCTCTTCTTCCCCTTTTTGCATAAGGTAAATGAAATTTTTGAATCGCCATTTAATCGCAAAGTTTATATAAATAATATGATATGAAATTATCAATAATTTTTTAATAACAAAAATTCAGGATTGGTCTGTAAAATTCTCTGGCCCTTCCGAGCCATATCCAGCAAGAGAAGACGTAAATGCTCCGGATCTCTACATTCCCCTGATGGCGTTCCTCACCTACGTTCTAGTATCTGGATTCGTGTTGGGCACTCAAGGGCGATTCTCGCCGGAGATTCTCGGCATTCTTACGAGTAACGCTTTCATTTGGGTGATCTTGGAGAATATTGTGATATTTATTAGCAAATACGTGATGAACATTTCATCGGTAAGATATTTAAAGGCATTTTTTCTTCAATTTTTGAATTTTTTAAAGGCTCTTTCTGTATGGCATTCATTAGCCTATAGCACCTACAAGTTTACACAGTATGTTTTCTATACAATTCTATATCTTTTAAGATAAATTTATTTCAGTATGATAGTATGCCTTCTTATGTTCATGATCGGCGATTCTAAATTCTACTATTGCGCTCTGGCATATTGCTCTTTAGTTCTCGTATTATTCTTGGTAAGTTCTTGCAGATTTCTCAAATACAATTTCAAAAAAATAATTCAGCTCCGATCTGTATCGCACTTTATGTTCGATACCGCCGGCAACTACGGCGCCGAAGAAGGCCGAAAACGCAAAATCATTCTCGTTCTTTTTGTCATTGTAACACAGCCATTGATAATGTGGTGGTTGACCAGGTAATTCTGAAAATTCCAGCATGTCTATATGTCGTCACAAACGAAACTAACTAACATTTGCCAATTTTTAGCACTCAAATCACTACGGTAAAGCCAAAAATGGTGGTGGGCCATGAATGGCTTGAGAGAGGCGTCTAATCCAAACTTGTCCGTGGTTATTTTTTTCTTGTAATTATTCGGTTTGATTTCAGCTTTATTAATTAATTTATTGCAATGCCTGATTTCATGTTCATTGTCATGTCGATACTAATAATTTTTGAATTATTTGATTTTGTTGGTGCTGGGAAAAAAAATCGAAAATTTTAGCGGCGCTAGTAGCTATGATTACGGAAAATATTCGTTGGCTCAAATGGCTTTGAATAAAATGGGGAATGGCGCGAAATCGGCGTTTAAAAATGGCGTACCGATGACCGACGATGGAGATATTGACTACGAAGCTCTTCTGAAAATGCCGAAGGAAGAGTTTGAATAATTAATCTGTATAAATTGAAAAATAAAAATAACAATACCTTGTTCATTCAACAGAAATACTAACAAAGTTAGCCGGACAAGTATAAATTAGACGAGAACGAAAAACTACTTGTGATAGTTTTTTTTTTAAACGTTTGGCGGTACATTCAACGCGGAAGGAATGACGAGAAACAATAATTATGGGCAGCGCCTTGAAAATCGAATACGGGAATCAAAAAGACAACTAACACATTTCGAAAATTATGAATAAATGAGATGAAAATGCGTAAATTGGTCCGAAATACTAGAAATTTAACGATGAATGATGACAAAAAACTACCAAGAGTTGAACGAGAATTTTTGGGAGGAGGTGGAGGTATGATTCACGGTTGTATCATTTGCTGAAATCGAAAATTCTGCACGGAAATTGCTAGAAATGCTGAAAATGAGACGACAATAGCAGCATGAAGGAAATGGAATAATGCGCGCATGATAGACCTCGACGGAACTAAATCTCGACTATGGGGAATGAACAGCGAATTGACGGCGATTTGATTAAAGCTAGAAGAAGAAGAAAAAGCGCTACACGTATTTTATTTTAAGCTAGTACGAGGTGAGAATAATTTTAATGGTGCGCCGACAATTCGCTGAAATTGAGCAAAACCCAGGCTCGAGATTTTGAGGCGTCGATGAGCGTTTCAGGAGCGAGATTAATTAGGAATTATTAGCTTGCGACCTGGTTACTATTTGAGATGGTACCGGAGATGATGACTGAATGCGCGTCTGAAAAAAAAATTTGAAAAATCTAAAAATAACATGAATGCTTTTCAATCGCACCTCTACCATTTTATCAAAGTCGAGCGACGGGCGATGGCTATTTCGACGATTGCGTTTCGGCGCGGGCACGCGAATCTCGATGCTAGCTTCTTCGCGACAATCCGGACTCACGTCGCGAGCCGCCGCTGGTGTTTGAATCGACGGGCGGTTGTAGATCACGCGAACCGGTATTTTGCGAGCAGCGACTTTCACCGGACGAGAAGTGGCGTCTTAAACATCAAATTGAGCGGTCTTAAAAAGAATGGCGTCTACCATTATTGAAGCTTCTCAATCGCCAAGCGATTGGATGATCGTTTGTCGTCATACTACTGTAGCGACGCTTCTCACCACAGACACTTGCCGATTCTTCCTCGAGTTCCATTATTCGTCGACGGCTGGAGAAACATGAATTTTCAAAAAAATCAATATAAATTGCTTACTTGGGTGTTGGTGTAGAAGCCCCATCCGTATCCGAATCATTGTCGCCAGTGACAATACCACTTTCACGTCCAAAACTGTCCCAGCTGAAATTCAAAATTTTATTTTTTTCAATAATATACAATTTTCCATATTTTTAAGACAAAATAAAACATTTAATTTTGCCGGTGCACTATGCAAAATTGAGAAACTCGGCCACGTCTCAAAAATCATATATAACTGCGTGAAAATGTCTCCCTACTATGCTTGTTGAAAATTTCCCTCACAACACAAAAGCAAAATCCATTGTGCGGTCGCGAAAGGAAACGATCGGCGCGGCCCTTCGTCTTCGCATCCTACGCTGCGTCTCTGCCTCTCGGCCTATACTCAAGCATACGGCGCCTCTCTTTCTCTGCATCACCCCCTCCATTCACACAGTGTGGCTGCCCATTTCGACGATCAGTCATTTGAAATAAATTCGCGTTTTTATTTTGTTTGAGATAAAATGAGAGAAAGAAGAAAGGCGAGCAAAAATTATTGGCAGCACGAAGGTCGTCGAAAAATATCACGAATGTCTATTGCTCTCTTGTGTTGTACGAAAATGACGAAGAAATAACTGACATAACCAGCATAAATAAACATGCCGAGTGTCGACGCAGCAGTGTTCAGCTCATATTTCGATTTACTCGCATGTGACACTTAATGCTGATGAAAAGGTTTTTCGGGGCCCCACCGACGCAGTTGCGTCTAGACGCTTCCCGGCTCATTCGAATTTTGGCGAGCAAATTATCTCGACCACATTTTCGACATTCTTATCTCGGTGTGGCACACAACGCAAGAAGAATCTGATACACACAAACAAAAATAAAACACCTTTCGGTATCCGCGTCACGAGGGATTGGTGGCGAATCAGATAATGGCGGTGGACTGCCAAGCGACCAATAGTCATTGCCGTGAGTGGTATTGAAGAAGTCTGAAAAAAGAAGACGAGGGATATCGAATTTCGAATCGAGCTTCCGTCGAGCCCACAAATATTGGTTTAGCGAAAGTTGATACCACAAAAAAAACTTGAGGTCTGTTTTTTTTCCGTCTACTTTCGCCTTACCTGAGCCATTCATCTGGCGTGATAGTGCAATGCTCTTCATTTCCTCTTCGTCAGACTCGGTTCCAGAATCATGGACAGTTTCGTTCTGAATTCTAGTCTAAATTTCAATTTTTTCTAAATTTGAAAACCTTTTCGGTTTTGATGTTATTCAGACGAGCACTCTTTCGTCGCTCGGTTCTTCGTGAGCCGGCTTCTTCTAAAATTCGCAAAAATAATTCTCCCAAAGAAAAAAAATGAATGTTCGACTGACCATCGTTTTGTGACAACGCGCTCATCGCCTTCGTTAGCCGACTAACCATTTTTATTGCACGACTAGCGCAATAGATACCCGTATGTGAATAGAGCGGACTTCAAATTTGGCGAACGTTTGGAGTTTGTGTGGGGGAGAACAAATGGAGTGAATGGTGTTAACCTCAGCTCCTTTTGTTTATTGAGGATCCATTCCTGCAACAAAACGAAAAACGCATTTTTGTGTTGTTTACCAGAAAAATGAAAAGAGAGAGAGAGAGAGAGAGGGGGGCGAAACAAATGACATGAAGTGGATTCTGGTTGACTGACTGACTGGCTGGCTGGCTGCCAATGGTCTGGCACGTTGCCCAATATGCTAGAGACGCAGAATCCAAAACGGACGGCGAGACCGTCGCGGTAGAGCGATCATAGTGTAAAAACATTGCTAGACAATCACGCTGAGATGAAGACAATTTGATGATATCAATATTTAGTGATCTATGAGAAGTGAGTGTTGGGGCTGAATCGAAACGCACCGAGCCAAACAAAATCGCCCCCCTAACGCTCCGACCTCCACTCACTTTTTATGCACTCACACACATTGTTTGAGCGAGTTGTTGACTCGGCCGGGGGGGATATACGGTAGTTAATCGAATTTTGTTTCGAGCCGCATAATTCACATTTAACTTCTTTTTTTTTCTTCATCAATGGAATATTGCAAAGTGTGAGGGGCGAAGGAAACGATCTCATCGCGTGGCGCTCTGTTTGGTCGGAGGAGAGGAGCGCTCACTAATAAACGTGCGGAGGAATCGCGCGCCAGCATCGCATCGACGGCAATAATTGGCACGAGTCCAATTTTGGCGAATATTAATCAAATTGTGATGAATTGAGCAAAATTGGGGATTTTTTGTGGAATTTGATCGAATCAATTTTCCGTTTTTTTTTTCAAAATTCAAAACATGAGGCGAAATAGCGTAAGAATCTGGCAATTTTTGGGACAAAATTCCGAAATTCTATTCAATTATCTGCTAGGTCTTTAATTTAAGCCAAAATATGCGAAAATGAAAAACGATCGGACAGCAATCGAAAGAATATGTGAGCGAAAATTTGCCGCCCTCGGTGAGTGTTTGGGTGAGCGCGCTCGCCACACACAGCACTCACGCACATAAATACATAGCATAGACAAACCGAAGACAAACGAGACAGTGTTCGAAATCAAGAGAAAGTAACATTGAGGCGACGAAATAGTGTGTGGGCCGAAGAGGCGACGGACCATCTTGGCTTAAGAGACTGAAATTCGGCGGTCCCTGACTGAATCTCATTTAGCACCTATTATCGAGCGCAACACCGACTTCGGTCGATTTTTCGGTACTCCACTAAATCCGAGTGATCTCCTTCATTGTTTTTCCGGTGAATTGAACTCTTTGCTCAATTTTTTTGAAAAAAAAATTCTAATTGAGAAAATGGAAAACTATATAGTCTGGTTGAATTTTTTTTGAGGCAAACTTCAAAGCACTTACATATATTTGCGTGCCGAGGGCCCAACATTGTTGAAGTAGTAGTATACGCGTGTGTGTGTCTGTGTTTCTTTTAAAATTTGAATAATGTAAAATCGAAATTCTGAAAAATGTTTCGACAAGAGAAAAGGGAATATAATATTTCGCGATAATTGAGTTAATTCGCGAAAGGCGTCAAACAACTCGCGAAAAGGATGCGCGAAAGAAGAGAAACTGCGGTGGAGAAGAGCGTCGAAATTCGATTATTGTGCATGGACAAGTTTTCATTTGTACTAATATGTAAAATTGAGTTGTGTTGATGTCACATTACTTATACTTTTTGCCATAATTGGAGCGAAAACGCTAAACAAATTATGTTTTCCAATAAAAAAAACCAACCAAAAATCTTGTTTGTTGCGATCGTGACATTCAAAAACAAAAATAGCTTTTTCAAAGTTTACTAAAGCTTGTTATAAATTATGCATAACACTTTTTTCGAATTCAATTTTTCTGTGTAGTTTGATTGGAGAATCACAGCAGCCATTGAAATATGTCGAAGCTCGATGTTAGCATATTCAGGGCGAAACAAGACAATGTTAAAGAATTCATTTCAGTCACAGACAATAACATGCATTTTCTAGCAGCATGTCCTATTGTTCGTTCGGCTGCAAATAGAAAGTTGAACAGAAAATCGGGCAAAAATTATAAACAGCGTCGTGGTGGAGAAAAAAAACGAGGAAAAAGGGCAAATACCGTGCGGCGAGTCGTAAATCATTCAATGCACTGGCTAGGAAATTGCAAATGCGTTGTGTGCCGTCTATATAAAGAGACGAGCGTTTCCTTAATCAGCAATCTCATTAAGAATAATTAGAAATGATGTGAAAAAAAATTAGGCTTGAAATTGTATAATGTGTGCATGCACGCTTCACAAATCCTTTTCTACAGTATCCAACTTTTTAATTTCTAAATATTTTTTAAAATCGATATTCAACACATTTATTTATAGTTTAATCAATTATTTTCGAATTGAAACTCGATTTTAATCATTATATCAAAACTACAATCTACACCGATGACATTATCAAGAAAAGAATAGGTCAGATGCCCAAACTTCATTTTTCTTTTTAATCAATGCTGCCTGGTTTCAAAGAGTTCAATTTTCCGTTCTAATTCTGTTTTCTTCTTTTGGTTTTTAAGCGAAATATTGGCGGAAACGTGTTTTCAAACGCAGAAAAATATGTGTATACTCTACGAAATTTTCGAAAAGACGTTGTGTTGCTTGCTTTTCTCACTGGGATATCTTCCCGTGAAATCAGTAAAAATGTAGAAATTTTGCAAAACATATAAAATGTGGAAACTCGATAAAATTTCGTCTCGAATTTAAAAGTTCGAATCGCAAAATTTACACTTTTTTCTAGAAGAATGAAGTGCACGCAAGGTCGAAATTTCTCCGATAATATCAGTTATCACCATTTTTCTCAAGTGCATCTTTCAATGATAAAACTGAACAGACCGGCGGCAACGTGTTTCATCGACAAATTTGAATTGACTTTTCGATTTTCTCATAATATTAATGGGTGCCATAAAAATGCTCAAAAAATGTACGCAAACACCGATTTACCGCAAGTGCACAGCGTTTTGTTTTATTTTCCAAGGCGTTGTCTTGTTTGGCGCTGATTTTGATAAGATAGGGGCAACGAAGTGGCAAAACAATTTTGAACTTTGTCACTACCCATTACACAATTCGTTATATATATTTTCGCATTCGATTTTTCAAATATATTTTTGTGTAATTGACAAAATAACAACACCAGGTGATTGCTTTGAGTCACCTGCTAAGTTCGCCACGCGACGCATCCGTTTTTTTTTCTCGTTTGATTTGTTCGAATCAATAGCCCCAGTTTTCAGATATGTCGATTTTGTGGTTGATTCTACTCGCCGTTATCGCCGTTATTGCATTTTTGTCAAATATCTCAACGAAATGGAATTATAACATTAAAATGTGTTTCTATTATATGACAATTTTATTACACGGCGCAGAGTGTTGTATAACTGCGTTTCCTTCCTTTTTGCAGGGAAAGGTGAGCAGTTCTTCTTTTTCTCCGTTAAGCATTTAACATTTTAAGGGAGCCGATTATATCTTCAACTCATTCTACTATTGGTGCTACTGGACGGGGGTCCGAACTCATGTTCGAGGGCTCGAGCATACGCAAATTGATGGTCCCGCAGTTGTTATATGCAATCATCAAGTAATGCGCTTGTCAAAAACTATTTGAAAAAATGACGCTATAAAATTTAGAGCTCAATTGATATCATTGGAATGACGTCGTGTTGGCCGAATAAGTGCGCGGTGATGATGAAACGAATTTTGGCATTTGTACCTTTTTTCAATTTGGCTTCATATTTTGTTGAGTTAAATCGGAAATGCGGAGCCCATCAATCCCGATTTTAGGCGAACTCGATTTTTATTGATCGCTCAAACCGAGAACGTGCCAAGAATTCTGTTGATCACTGCGTTTCTGAGCTGAAACGCCGTGGATTAAAGATATGGATGTTTCCAGAAGGAACTCGAAATCGCGAAGGCGGACTAATGCCTTTCAAGAAAGGAGCTTTCAATATTGCCGTTAGGGTGAGGCTCCAAATTCGAAAAAATGAAAATAATTTTTCTCTAGGCTCAAGTTCCAATAATTCCAGTGGTTTTCTCGGATTATAGTCCATTTTATTCAAAAAATGAGAAATACTTTATGAACGATGGTGAAGTTATTATTGAGGTCCTTCCACCGATTTCGACTGACGGGGTTTGTTTTTTATTTATAACTCGTATATATCTATGATGGTCTTTGTTTTTTTGAAGCTTAACATCGAAGATGTGCCCGAGTTTTCGGAAAAAGTACGTCAACAAATGCTCAATGTCTATGAAAGAATATCTGTTGAAGCGAAAGAAATGATGGAGAAGAAGCGAAATATGCTCAAAAAACAATTATAACTTTAGTCATTTTTGTACTCAACGGGTCTCACGCTTAAAAGGTTTGATTTTCAATCATCTATGATCGAGCAATATTTTCAAAAAAAACCCCATGAACATTTTTGAACAATGCGGCTAAAAATTCTAATTAATTTGCACTTTACCTTATCAAAAATTTTCATTCATCCGAAAGTTTGAAACAATTTTTTGAAGCGCGTTCAACCAAATCGAATACGTGAAAACGACCTTCCTTGTCAACTGCAACAACCACACCAAACGGCACAAAATTAATACACAGTATTGTAATATTCTTGCATGCATTTTTATATTGTTTTTTACTTCATAAAAATTATTATAAAAGACTTAAAAGCGAAGAAAATGATCGGATGTTCTTCATTCACAAAGAATTTTTGAAGTGTTTATGGATAGCAAGAGAAGGAGATAAAGAAAAGAGACAAAGAAAAGAGGCAAGTATATAATTTACGCATAATAACAATAGTTGTGACCATGACAAATGTAATATTCATGATGTCATAATACAAATTCGACATAGGTCTTTCATATTAATGGAACGTATTCATAGAATAGTGATGAGGAGCGAGTCAATTACAAAATTGTGCATCTTCTCTTGGTGGCCCCCTCGGAGCGCGTCGAGCGAAGGGTGTCGGTGTTGCGATTCTTCGGCGATGGCAGGGTGCCGGTCTTCGAGGCCTAAATTCGGCATAACAACAATATTTCAAAGTGTCAATCATCATACATCATCCTCGGTGGTCACCTTCTTGGCTGGAGTCTTCTTCGCCTCTGGCTCGGGTTCATTTCGCGCAATTTTCGCCTATAATATGCGTTGGACTTGTTGAGAATCTAAGCGAATCGCGAGAGAGAAAACCGAACGCAAGGGGATTTCCGAGGACAAGCTAGAGTGTATGCTGTTAGCAAAGATAGGAAAATTAGAATCGAACTTCAAGTTTAATAAAAAAAATATGGAGAACAAAAATGACCCAAAAATTGGTTAATTGTTGGTTAGTAGTAAACATTCGTTGGGAAACGCACCTCCTCCTCCGCCTCCTTCTCCTCGTCTTGCTGCTGATTCACATGTTCGACGATCGTCGCCGGATCGTCTTTCAACGTCGGCCGAGCAACTGGCGACTTCTCGGGTGTCGAATAGAAAAACTCGCGCTTTTTTTCAAACATCGCTGCCGCTCGCTCGTTGAGCGCCTGCTTCGCGTCTCTCGTCGAACTCTGTGGTGCATCTCTAATTGAAACAACAACGAGGAAATCAACACAATATGAGTTGGTGTGTGTGTGTGTAGGTCGAGTTAGTAGTAGGAGTGGACTGGATTGGATTGATTTGGATTGGACTGGACAAGAAAGCCTCCCGCGTAGACACAACGTCGGCACGACGATGACGAACCCCTTCGGCGGACGTTGACGACACAAAGAGAAAAATAATACGTGCAGAACATTCATCGATCGGAATCTGCTTATGAAGCTGAACATTTCGAGGCGACTATTTGAAAAAGAAAATCTAAAAAATCCGGTCAATGATTGCGGGAAGAAGAAAAAAGAAACACACACGCGGACAATACACCAATAGAATAGAAGTGAGGAAATAGTTAAAGAAGCTTGCACATTGGAACGGGGCACAAATCGTTGAAAGCCCTAGTCGCTACGACTAGTTTAGGTTTATTTTTAAATTTTTTTTAGGTGGGTTGCCTAAACATGGATTTCTTGTGGCTCTCCAATCCCATTCATGAAGAGACCATTAGCTGATTGAGCAGCACGGACAATTGCGCATACGTACCTCGACTTCATCGGCCTTGGCAGCGACAGCGTCGGCGACATTCGCTGCCGAGTTCTTCGTCTCAGTGGCGAGATCAGAGGCGTGATGCTGGAATTTTGTTGCGGCACTTCTTGGAAAGGCGATCGATTCGGAATTGGTACCTGGGCCTCGTGAGCGAGATGCGAGACAGCCTCGCCAGCGTCGTGCAGCTTCTCACCAGCGGCTTCTTTGATTTCGTGAGCCTTTTCGTTGACTGTGTGGGCTGCAGAGCTGACATTTTCTGCGACAGTGTGCGCCACAGATTTCGCCGAGTCCTAAAACGTAAATTGAATTTCTTGATCTCGTTGTGCACTTACGTTGACATAGTGGGCAACTTCCGAAACCGTCGATTTCAATCCGTCAAATGTTTCTGACGCATTTTCGGAGGCCGTCTTCTCGGTCTCCTTTGCGGATTCCGCAACATCGCTGGCTGCATTCGACGCTGCCACAGTTACCTTTTCAACCTTCTCCTCGACGTCGTCTTTCACATCTTCCGCGGTATCTTTGGTGTTATCAAAAGCTGAAGCAATTGTGCTTCCAGCTCCCGAGAGAAGATTCTGAAGTGAATATGCTCACTAATCAAGTATTTCCTAATTGTTGTTCATACCGCCGCTCCATCCTTAAGACCTCCGAGCGTGTCAGTCTTTGTGCCAGCGTCGCTGGCAACCTCTTGGACCTTCTCGACGGCGCTGGCTGTCGATTCTTTGACATGCTCATATCCGTCGGCAATCTTCTCGCCAGCAGCCTCCACCAAATCGCTAGCCTTTTCCTTTGCGGCTTCTGCCGCTTCGGCGGTCTTCTCGTATGCGTCCGAAGCAGCCTCCTTAACCGATTCGACAGCGCTATGCGACTTCTCCTGAATGTCAGAAGCGGTCTCCTTGATGGCGTCTCCCGCATTCGAAGCGGTCTCCTTGATTGCTTCTCCCGCATTCGAAGCGGTCTCCTTGATGGCTTCTCCGGCATTCGAAGCGGTCTCCTTGATTGCTTCTCCGGCATTCGAAGCGGTCTCCTTGATGGCTTCTTCCGCATTCGAAGCGACCTCCTTAAATAAAAAAATTTTTATTACTACTATATACTTAATTGATAGTTTTCACCTTGGCCTCGTCTACGACACCTTCGGCGGCGTCTTGCAGCGCTTCCTTGACATCGCCAACCTTCTCCGCCGCACCATCGGCGACTTTCTCGGCTACCTCTTTGGCACTCTCGATCGAGTTGCTAGCCGCATCCTTGGCATCCGAAGCGGCCTCGACGACACCATGCTTGACGTTTTCGAACGTCTCTTCGACAGCATCAACAGCGTTCGAAGTAGCTTCCTGTAGAACAAGTCCGATTCAAATTAATTGAGAGTTTCTTACTTGAGCACTTTCGACGGCATTCTCGGCGCCGTCGACAACGCTGTCTTTCGCCGCGACAATTTTGTCCTCAGAAGCGTGTGCCAACTCAGAAGCCTTCTCGACAACATCAGAAGCATGCTTTTCAACAGCCTCGACACCATCGTGAGCGGCATCCTTGACAGCTTCAACAGCAGAGGAAGCCTTCTCGGAAATGTTTTCTCCCAAATCGGACGCCTTCTGTGCACCATCGGCCAACGTCTCCTTTGCGCTTTCAGCAGCCCCTTCAGCCGCGTTCGCAAGCTCGTCGACGTCTGACTTCACAGATTCCGCGACGTGGGAGGCAAGATCCTGCAAAAATGATAATTGTTCTTCAAGTCATAAATCGTTTGAATTATTCCACCTTCGATTCTTCGACAGCATCACTGGCAGCCGATTTAACGCCATCAACCACATTCTCAGCGGCATTCTGCGCATTTTCAGCAGCATCGTGAATCGACGACGAAATTGTGTCCTTGGCGTCTTTCTACAATTTGTTTGCAACTGAAAGTTAAAATCAAAAACGAACATACCAATGAATCCATTTCAGTGTTGGCTTGTTCGACAGTCTGCAAATACGTATAAAATAGAAAAACGAGAAAATTGTGTTTGTTGGAAGGATTTGCATAAATTGACTAGTAGAGGAGGGCTGCTCGGTTGCACTACTAAAATAGTGATACTTGGTACAATATGCATCATTCTATGAATTCCTAATAAGCGGGCATTGGCGAGAAAAAAAAAGAAAAGGCATTCCTTCTAACCAAAATTTAAATGGTTGAAACGAGAAGGGGCGAAAAAAAATGGGATGACAGCGTCGAGACTAATTGCGTCTTTTTTGAAAAACTCGCCACCAATTCATTTGGGTAGTGCCTGGAAAAAAGCGCGGAGAAAAAGACATCGAGAAGCTCGTGTGGAAGGCAATCGAATTTCGGAAACAAAGTGCGGAATGACATTGGTCAAAAAAAAAAGCGAAAAAAAAAACAATGAATGACAATTATGTTGAAAAATTCCAGGCGGGAAATGAATGCCGCGCGCGCGCGCCACCAATGTGTCATAAAACGTTCATAAACACCAACATGAGAATAAAAAAAAGCGAGAAAATAAAAAATTGGGCGACGGTGGAACGAACGAATTGGAAAATAAACCTATTGGTGGGTTGTTTTTCAAAGACGCACAAATTCTTTTTTTTCTCTCTCTCTAAAGGGGGGGGGGTTGCAAATGTTTTTCGAGCAGAAAACAAACACAACAGTCACATTGTGTTTCTGATTTCGAGAAGACGAAAGTCATGCGTCGATATAACAGCCGTTTGGCATTATTACATCGAAAAAGTGCTTCGAGAGTAGTATTTTGAGAAAGCGAGAAATAGAAGAATATTGGCATTTTTTGTGATCCCATTAAAACGCACCAATTCTGGAGAGACAGTTTTCTTCTCGAAAACCTCTTCGACGGCGTTAATGGCCTCAAATGGCGCCTCTTGCGCGCCTTCGCCAACGTGCTCCACGATCGAAGTGTCTTCGGGCGACGGGGGTGGGGTGACGTGTTTCTCGTCGCCGCCAAACGCCTCTTTAATGCTCTCAACGGTGTTGCTGAAATGATCGGACGCCGATTCCTGAATATTCAATGATCGCGATTTGTCATTTCGTTTTATCAATTACCAATTGGTGCTGAGCGGCCGGCAGAATTTCATCAACGAGCTTCCTGCTGATGTCACTTAGGATGTTGTCGCTTTCCTGACTCATCTCGTCGACCTAAACATTGTGACTCACAAAATGGAGAACAAGAATTGATTGCGTGCAGATGGTTGGAATTCCCCCGACTGATATGCACTTTGATCAGTTGGAAATAACAATACGAAGAATCCCCCCCCCTTGAAATGATAATTGGTCAACAATTTCGGGCGGCGACTAGCAGTCGAGCAAAAACGAATGAAAGAAACAATGTTGATAAATGTTTGGAATGTGTCTCGTCATTGGAAAACACATCTAATTTAATGTGACACGATAATCAGAAATCGATTGAGAGTACGATTCGGCAAGATAACCTTCAGGGTGATGGCTGGTGGCGATGGTGTTCTCGACATATCGATGGTGCAAGTTGAGATCCTAGAAATGAAAAAAGTCAATACAAATTTCGGCATACATAAATTGTCGATAAAACAAAAAAAAGAAGAAGGGGCGAAATCGGGCGAATGTGCACTTTTGTGCGGCAAGATTAGCTCAAATTAGATGGCGAAAAGACTGTACAAAAATTGTGAGACGATAGGTTTTCTCAATTTCACAATGTTTAGAGTCAGCCACTGGGCGTGTGTGTGTGTGTGCCCCGCAAAGCGTCCCCGCCCACCCATTCAAAGCCGTGTTGGTTCCCGCATGCCCCCCTTCGAAGAGAGAGCGCTTCGATCGCGGAGGCAATCGCTAGCGGGCTCTGCAAAAACCCCTCCCGATCCTTCGTTCGTCTGCTTCTCATCACCTCAACAACAAGAAGAAAAAAAAAACGAATCGCCGCACACCGCCGACTAATAGTTTTATGATTTTTTTTGGCCAAGTGCAGAGTTCTACGATGAGAAACAAATGGACCATTGTAGGAGATTTTTGGGGGATTTATGGACGAATCACAGTTTTGCAATATTATACGAATGATTTGAGAAATACAGGCCTATTTTAATAGGATTAGAATCGGAATGAATTGATTTGAGGGAAGCATCAATCGGAAGGCGGCAAAACACGATGGGATGTATTTTATTACCTACAAGCTTCGCAGATAAATCGGTGGCAAAGCATAAAAGAAGCATAATGAAACCATTTCAATGTGAAGGAATCCTGTTTTTTTTTTTTAATTTAAAAAATCAATTTTAGTCAGTTTCTTCAAAGTTGGTCAAACCGTTAGCGAACACCTGTCATTTCGCATGCGAAAAATTCCGGTTTTTTATATTTATAATTTTTCCCTCATTCTCACGTCATCCATGTTTTTCCAAAAAAATTGCTCGGCTTGTAGGGGAAGGGAATCCGATCAATTCTCTTCCTTGTGCAGATTTCGAATTAAAAAGTCATCTCAAAAAAGTGGGGGAAATTAATTTAAACCGTTATTTTTTTTTACTACAATTCTTCCCTTATAAATAAAAAAAAACATTTTTTTTTAATTCTTGATACACAGAAATTTTTTTTAGAAATTTGAAAAGCCTCTAATCAGTTAATTAGTATACTTACGTAATTGGTGAAAATCGATTTTAAGCAAAAATGGATCTTATAGCTCCGCTGTTCGATGCGCAGAAATGTGCATCTGTGCAGGAGCCGATAGTGAACAAATTATTACACCCCGTGGTTGTCTCATCGAACTGATTCATATGTTTCGCGCGATACCAACGATGACACATCGATGATATTGCGTTGTAATAAAATCGAATGTTCGATTTAATGAAAAAAATATGATGGAAATTTATATGAGAGCATGTTCCGTTGGCTCAAATTAAATTGAACCCTAAAAAAAGCACCTGCTAGACTTTGTCTGTGTCTAGCATATATTCAATATAACTGCATTTTTAAATTCATCATAGAGATTGTTTATATCCACCAACAGTAAATTGTTTATTAAAATGCTCGGCAAAACCTCGCAACTTCTGCGCAGACTTTGAAATATATAGGCGTAGATTAAAATGCAAGTCCGCAGAGTTCATGCGGCCGTGATTACACCACGTTTTGAAATTCATAGATTTCAATAAATAGGATCAAAGAAATTCTGTTTATTTAATTTTTCTTGAAAAATTAGTATTTCATTTCAGCGTCCATGTTTGGAAATGAGCGAGTGAAGCTTCGAAAAAAAAGCGGGCAGCACATAGGTAACCAATTGTGTTGAAAAATATATAGATATATGCATATTAATATCAATTATTCAGACGCCGTGTTGACTAATTTTCGTGGTAATTTCGAAAAAAAGTCTCAGAAAAGAGATACCAGTTCAAAGATGTGTGAGTTAAACGTTTAGTTGATGAGTTGTTTAGTTCATTGATGAATGATTCGTCAATGACAGAAGAGGCCGTTGTCGAAGATCTGTCGGAATATCAAGAGGAAGGATATGATATGAATGAAGGTTAGAATTTATGAAAATATAGCATTCTTAATGTATTGGAAACCGGTGTATGGAATTTTTGACCACAATTTTTTTATTTTTCAAAAATATTAAAATATTTTCGGCAGTCAAAATTGAAAAAAAAGCGCTATCTCGTTCTACGTATTTTCTCTTTTCTGGATCTATTTCCTATTTTCTAGAGAATTAAAAATTTTCAGAAATTATTTTAGCGTCCTCAAAACGAAAAAAATGTTGTAAAAAATTATGTTCAGAAACAAATAATCAGGGAAATCAACAGAATGCTAACAACGAATTGAAAGGAGATGAATTTTGTAAGATTTAATATTGTCGGGGCGGACAAATTTGATAAATTTGAATTGCGCGGGTTGCCAATTGGACTCACAAAACCAATTCGGCTCATAATTTGCCATTTGGCACTTTTGCTAATATTCGAACTACTTAAAATTAGATGGAGTTAATTATATTGCTGCTATTTTTGCATTTAACAACGTGTCAGGAACATTGGGTCAAGACATATTTGGAATAGCTAAAGTGTTGAATATTTTCTCTTCAATTTCTGTGAGTATATGTATTTCATCCTCTTCCTTTCGGTAATAAATATTTAGATATAGATAAATCGCATTTTTTTTTCAACGAAGAATGGTGATTTTAATTGGTGGACTGCTTCATTGGTGCCCAATCGCGGTTAGAAAAGATCAAATGGTTGATAGTTTAAATATACAAAAATGTTTTTTAGCAATGCTTTGGAAATGCGTATATAATAAATGAAATTGATATTTTTTTCATTATTGATGGAAATCATCAGATTCCTCTTTTCCTAATCAACCATTCTGAAAAGAAAAATGCTATTTAAATATTTTAAATGGTACGGTAGACAAATCTGCAATATCGCTGCACAGTTTTGGTTACCGTAATTTTGATTCTAAATTATGACAACTTTTCAGCGTTCAGTTTACTCATAGTTTTTCTTTATTCTCGGTTTATAAATATTTTGCGTTTCAGATGCTGAAAGTTTTCGCTGCACTTACAACAACTGCTCTTATTCTTCCAATTATTGGCGTATATTTCTTCGGAAGAAAGTTAACTATTAAAAAGGCAAAAGACGAAGACGAAATTGAAATCATTGATGATAATAAGCAATATTTTCTTGGAATTCCCTCTTTTGCTATTGGCGCGGTGATTGGGAAAAGAGGAAGCACTATTAGGAAAATTTCAAGCGAATTAGAAGTAATTTTTGTTTATTTTCAAATTTTACTTTAATTATTTAATTTTAGATTGAATGTATAATCAGCTCATTATCAGAAGACCAAGCAGAACGAGCAAAGTGTTATTTTCATTATTGATATCTTCTTAAAATATGGTTTTCAGTTTGGAAATCATTCAAGAAGGCTGGGACGAAAGTCCAGGGATTGATGAATGGGTTGAAAATGAAGAGAAGCCAGCAGATGGAAAATACCATTTTTTAATTGTTCGAACGAATAATAAGAAAAAGGTATTGGTTTTTGCGTAGATATTTCTCAGATAAATTTGTTTAGTTTGAAATGGTCCGACTCCGTGTCGCTGAGATTATCGATCACTCACGTGGACCCGTGAGAACCGTTGAACTCCTCATCGATCAGGAATTTGTTGGAATTTTTATTGGAAAATATGGAAAAAATGTAAAAACAATTTGTGATAAATACGATGTAAAAATTCAAGTAGAATAATTTTCCGTATTTCTTTTCATTAAATTACAAGGTTTAAGGTTGAAGAATCAATTCCCGAAGATCCAACAAAAGCGCGAATCAAAATCCACGGAAAAAATTTGGATTCCCTCGAAAAAGCAGGAATCGTTGTACGAAATGCGGCGATTCCGAAATTTGTCGCAATTGAAGGATCCGTCGAGCGAGATATTGAGGATCTTAAGAATGTTGCAAGACTTGTTGAAAATATTTCGTTTTAATAAAGCCTTAAATATTTAATTTTCGCTCAATTACGCTCAATATGGTGGTTTTCGTTAGATATTTATAGCCACGTTTGGTTGTGTGTGATGTTGGATACGGTAAAATAGACTAGTTGAAAAAAATCAAACGGAAAGGAAGAATATCCCCGACCTGCGTGTGTGTCGATTAGCCTGACTCGACCCACCATGAAAGAGAGTCGAGTCAGTTGATCTCCTTCGCCACGTAGAGGCTCGACACTTGAAGGAGAGGCTCACCAGCATCAGGCCGAAACCTGATGTGGGTCATCGCCGATCCCACCTTGGGGATCACCCAAGGACATCCCACAACTATCATCCGAGGATAATAGAAGTAGAAGTGGTTGGGCAAGCCACGTCTGGCTGGGCCCCGGGTCTACTGGTGATTCTGTAATGTGGTTTTTGTGTTCTCAGCATAGCATCTTACTACTAAGTAGTAGCAAGCCACTACAAAGTAGCAAGCTACTATGCCAAGAAGCACGGTCCATGTGCACCCGAAAGGCTGGACATATTGACATAGCTGGCCAATCCACGTCAATATAGGTCTGGGCCAGATGCCATCCTGACTAGTATGGAGGACACCCGGTGAAGCAAATTTCTAAAGCATAACCATCCCCGTAGCAGTTTCCAAGCACTCGAGAGTACTTGAAACGGGGGCGTTTGGGTAGGGTTCGATTCCCGGCTACGGAATCAGGGCTGAAGGGCTTGCCAGGCCAATCACCCGAATTTAGGATTCGACGGATAAGCCGCCATCCAGCCAGCGCTTCGGCACTACGATTGTGAGGGACGGGAAGCCTCGGCGCTTTTGGGGAGTAGCCGACTACGACTACGGGTGGCCGACTACGACCTAGGGATTGCCGACTACGGCGGGTTTAAAAGTTAGGGAGACTAGAGGTACTTAGAGACTTAGACTTATTGTGGGATGTGTGCCGGTGAGTCGATTCACCGGCAAGATCCTTCCATCGGCGGCGGCGGCAACGTCGATACCTAAAGATACCTAAAGATACAAATTAAAAAAAAAAGAAAAAAAAAGAAGGGGAAGCCAGTCATTAGTGGAATGACTGGCGTGGCCGTAAGTGGTACGACTTTCCCCGAAAAATACGAAGAAGTGGGTGGTCCCAAACGGTAGGACCGGAAGGATGTACAGACGTAAGTGGTACGAATGTACAGAAAGAAGAGAGAGTGAGAAGCCGCAAGTGGTACGGCAGGAAGGAGGATGGGGAAGCCGGCTTTCCCCAGAAAAGAAGGGATGGTCCCAAACGGTAGGACCAGGAGAAAGTACAGACGTAAGTGGTACGAATGTACGGAGAGAAGGGGGAATCCCAAGTGATGGGAGAAAGAGGGGGAAGCCGTAAGTGGTACGGCTGGTGCAAGTGAGTGATAATAAAAAATTAATAAATAATAAAAATAAGGCCCGGGCCTAAAACTACCGTGATCCGCGGATCAAATACTTCTCACTGGTGTCATTCTTCGTCGCTTTCTCCGGTCGTCTTCTCTCGATCCGTTCATCGAAAACCCTGCAATGAATCGAATTATTCCGATCGATTGTTGCTTCTTCGTTACCATTTGAATCCGCTTCCTCACTCTGCTCGACGCCCCGGGCAGCATCGACCTTTCGTCGCCTCTCCATCTCTTCCTTCATCACCTCGATGCCTCAGTGTAGGTTTAACGTCACCTCGAACCAACACTGCAGTACGCCCATTGAAGGGTGAGCCCTGACTAACGGAGCTGGTCGAGGCGAGAATCCCTCACACCTTGAACACTTCCGATCCGAAGGTGTCGATGGAGAATCGACTGTGGCTCATATCGGATCTGCAAAAAGAGGAAATCAGGAAAAGCGACGGCGATGAATGCGACTTACCTAGTGGATCCTTGGCCACAGCGAGCCCGCAGGTTGCGCGGGGGCACGTGGAGCCCGCAGGTTATGCGGGACACGAGGAGCCCGCTGGCGGGTTGCTCGCAACTCGGGGAGCTGCGAGAATGACCAAATTCCTCATTCCGCCGGCCTTTTATAGTGCCACTGGGCGTCGGTGCGAGACCTGCGACAGAGCGCATTTGACGACAAGAACTTCAAATTGACGCTAAGTGTTGGCACATTCTCTCATGTTAGCACACTCTCTGCTCCCCGACGCGCTTTCCCGATCGACGCTGTATTGCCCTAGAGCGCATTTGCCTCATGAAACAAACGCGGGGGGCGGATATTAGATTGCGAATTCGCGGCTACAATGTAGCAATCTCAACGCGAATAATAATAAATAAATCTAGAAATTCAATTTATGGAAATCAGATTTTAAACGAGAAATTCGAAATTCGTTGAATTCGCGGTACGTGCTTCGAGAATTTCTTTTGCCGAATGTTACTTTCCGTGTGTGCTTCAGAATTGCAATTACTCGAAATGAATCCCAATACCATCGTTATTGTCCTGTACGGAATTCCGTCTTCCGGCATTTTTTACTGTTATGTTTTCCGTCAAACACAGTTTTTATTGCGACTACCGTATACCCTCTTCCGTCAAAAAAGTTTCTTCTGTTCTTATTCTGTGGCCCACCAAAAATCATTTCTAATTGTGTTTGTTTTATTTTTAATTTATTTTGTGTGTTAAGATTGTCGATATTACGAAACACAAATGAAATCATTCTTTTATTTTTTAAATTCACTTTTTATTTACGTTTTTGAATTTAAATTTTATTTAATGGTGAAGAGAAGATTATGTGGAGACTACTTCTTGATAACTGACAAAATGTGGAAGAAATTCTCAAGTAGGCTCGAACTGAACTCCGTTTTCCGTCCCTTTTTTGTTACGCGTTCCGTCAAAAAAATTTTTTTCGTGAAAAAAATAAAAACGCTAAAATCTTCTAGTACAATTTCAGTTTTCAAAAAATTCAAGTCCCGTGCATCTCTGGTGCAGACGGCAATTATGATTTTTCAAATATTTTTCTAATTTTCACCATAGAGTGCACTTAAGTGCGCTCTATGGTGCTCTATTCATTGAGCAAAACTAACGTGTCTCTATAAAATTTTAGATTTTTCTCAATCAATTTTAGAACATATTATAAGATTTTAGAATTTATTGAGATAATTTAGAATTTGCTCATTAAATTTTAGAAAATCTTATAAGATTAAAAAAAATAATTTTAAGTTTATCGAGTCTCGATTAATTTTCGAAAATATCAAGAAACTTTAGAATTTCTCAAAATATTTTATTTGATTTGCCTGAGAATATGTGTCTTTTTTGTTTGTTATATCTTGTTTCGTTTGTTTTTTCTTGTATTTAATTCATTGTTTTCTTTTTTGTTTGAATAAAACAATTTGTTTAATCAAAAATAGTTTTTCAGTAGTGAGAAATGTATATTTCTATAGATCAATGAGTAACAGCTGGCAACTTTTGAATGATTTTTGCGCAATTTTTAAACCGACTCTGCGCAACTTTTAAACCGACTTTGCGCAACTTTTAAACTCGGTTTATCTAAAAGTTGTTTAAAATCTGCGCAGAAGTTGCAAGCAAAAATTAAAAGAAATATTTTTTGGCATTTTTTCTGTGATATTTGCGTCTCACACATTTTTGCGCGCTACAATTTTTTAAATTGTTTTCCCTTTTTAGGATTCAAATTTTAGTCAATCAAAATAGAAGGTTTCAGCGGCAATTCAAAAAAAAAAACACTCTCTCCCGCTTCTTGGAATTTGTCGACTCAATTTGAATTTTGTCAAATTAATGAAATCACATCGCGCGATTCATGAATTCGCCCACGCCATTGGGAATTTGATGGTGATATTTCAAAACGGGCCCCGCGCGGTCCCGCTTGGGGAATGCCACCATTTATCTCGGACACGAATCTCACGGACACAAAGGGCCTGGTGTGGCCACGAAACCAACCCACTTGCACCATTCTGCCACTTGAAGCACCCAGAATATCATTTTGGCGAGTGAAATGAACGTCTTACTATTTGCTTCATCCTAATATTTGATTTTTGAAAAAAAACGATGCCCGAAGATAATGAGGACAAGGAAATTGGGCTTGTCGGCGCCGATCGGCAATTATCTCGGGTCAACCGACTTCGGCAGTCATTCAGACATCGGGTAACGTTTTGCATTAATTTGAAAATTAAAAAAAAATTCGCTCAGGCTCAACACGTTCGCGAAGATATGAGTGAGCGTCTAAAGCGTGTGAGAAAAGTACCGCGTTGGCTTCGCATTCTTCAAACGGTTCGTTCAAGCTGGAGACGTTCGTCGACATTCGACAATCTTCCAGATATACTACGAATACGGATTGAAGCATATTTGTCTTATCACCTTGTTAGTGTTGTATCAATTCCTCGGCGCCGGCATTTTCTATTTCTGCGAGGCCGGCTACGACGAGCAAAAAGAGGAAATGTGGATTCAAAGGTTGCCAACAATTCATTGCACCAACTCTCTTGAGATTCATATGTTTAAAAGTGCATTTGTGTCAGCGTTTTGTGGATGTTCATCAATTTCAAACCGAATATGTGTGCGCTTTTTCAGAATCGCCGAGAATCGAACAATTTTCGTCAATGAAATTGTGCCGCGCCTCTTCAACAATACTCGATATTTATTTTTTCTATCGCAAAATCAAACCGACGAGGTTTCGATTATTGATTTTCGGCGATCAGGAATCGTTCGAATTTACAGGTTTATGATATGCTTAGCGAGTTGATAGTTGGATATGAGAAGCAGCTCGGGATCAAGTACACCGATCAGAAAATCAAATGGGATTTTTGGAATGCAATGCTCTATGCTCAGGTTGCCAAAAAAACAATGCATGCCGAACTGAACACAAATTTTTGAGACGATTTGCACCACTATCGGCTATGGGCATCTTTATCCGTCTACAGTGCCTGGCAGATTGTTCACAATGATCTACGCAATCTTCGGAATCCCTTTAGTGCTTTCTATATTGGATGACTTAGGTTCGATTCCAGCAATCAAAATGGACCAAAATTGATTTTCAGGGAAATTACTGACGAGATGCTTAAAAACACCGTGGTGGTTATTGAAATGCGGTTGTCGTCGAGCGTTCCGATATTGCACGAAGCAGACGTTGGCGGAGATTAAAAAATTGGACGATGAGGATAGAAGAGGTATTAACTATCAGGGATGTGCGGCGAAAATGTTCCAAACAAAAAAAATATAAAAAATTATCTGAAATTACCCAAAACCCGTCCAAAATTTTCCGACACTGGCAAATATACCGAAAAATTTGAATTCCCAATATTTTTCTAGATCTGGAAATATTCGATCTACCGATTCCTATAGCAATATTTGTTGTGATCGCATGGATCTTCATCTGCTCGGCGACATTCTGCATTTGGGAGTCCGACTGGGACTATTTCGTCGCGTTCTATTTCTTCTTTATCTCGCTGACCACAATCGGACTCGGCGATATCACTCCGACGCAACCCAAATACCTTTTGATGCTATTCATCTATATAATAATCGGGCTGTCGCTGGTTTCAATGTGCATCAATCTCATACAAGCCAAGTTGGAGAGGACCTACGAAGCTGGCCGCGTCGTTGAGACCGTTCTGAGTATTGTCGATAAGACGGGAGGTGTTCTGCTGCAAGCGCATCCCGAAGAAGTGAAGAGGCGAGGAAGCAGTTTAGGTCTGAATACAGCATTAAGCATTCTTGAATTCACCTTCTAGGAGTCTTCCGCTCATCATCGTCCGCCCATTCACTATCAAGAGAGGCCGTTCAGGCGATGCTGGCTGCCAAGAAGAAAACGAACAAAACCGCGCAAACCGTTTTATCATTTCCTGCGGGGACCACGTGCTCATCGACCGTTTGTCGCACCGTCAATAATAATTCGCGATATCGATTTTTGCCAAGAACATTATCCATCGATGACGTCATGCGAATGGTCGACACTGAAGACGGCGACATTCTGGTGTTGACCGATCTTGTTCGTGATGATTCAACGCTGTCGCAAATTTCGCAGCAATCGAAAACGATGAGTACGACTAGTTGCAGTGATGACAGCAACAGCCAGGTGCGAACAACAAAGTCCATACGCTCGATAATAATTCGGCCAGTTGTTTTCAGATTGTCATCTCAAAGTCCTTCGATGTGAACTTCAACTCCGGCAAACGATTCAATGTGCCGACGTCCTTGTCCGACCCGCAAACATCGAAACTGACGAGTTCACTTCATCGCCAACTCCCATCCGACGAAAAACAGCTGGAGGAAATTGAAGAAATCGAGGATCGAATCGCTCTTGGATGCGGACCATCGCATCTGGCGAACACCGTACATTTCCGTTCAAGACTATCACTCATCCCCGAGCAAATTCCATCGACAGTGGAAGAGGGAGAGGAGCCGAGTTGCTCGGAAAGCAATCCATTGACACCGGATGAGATATCAGATAATAATAACAGGTAGGATGTGAATTGAATCGAAAACATGACAAATTTCAGAAGGAAAGGATTTCAAGCAATGCTAGGAGGATTCTTCGTTCGACGAAAAGATCGCCAACACTCTCAAGATTCTGATGTAACATGAGCATTCCTCAACTATATTATTTATTGCTTCTTTTTAACTATCAATCAATTAAAACTGAATGCAGGCGGTGGACGCGTATTCCGCATCCCTTCTCTTGTTTTCTGTTCCAAGAGACTTAAATGAAATAAATATTAAATCGAGAAACCTGACCGATCTCGTCGTTATCCACGGGTCTCTCATAATTCGATATTTCTAGCCATCATACTCTGCTGGAAAATGAGTCCCGATCATATTGAATCTAAGTGCCTTAGCTATTATTTGGAAATGACTAGACGAAACCTACCTTATTCAATTCTTGAGTTTGTAGAGCTTCTAAAAGCCTCTGTTTGTTTTCGACTAGAATTTCACACATTTTTTTTTATTAAGAAAGTCATTATCTAGATTGCATCTCTTTTCAATTTCATAAATTGTCAATAACGCAGTGGTAAGTATTATTATATTTATGCGATGCGTAACGCCCCTAAATGGGCGGTCGATGCTCTTGACTCCGCCCACCTCATCGATTATAAAAGCGGGGGTATCCGATGAAAATGGTCAGTCGTCTGTTATTGAACTTTTATATCTGTATCTAATTTGCTGACAGTGAGTGTGTTAAGGATTCTCGCCTTCGATTCGGTAAGACTGTTCACGCTGATCGAGATTCGTCCTCAATCAGGCGGCTTCTCTACGAGCAAGCAAATCTTAAGTATTCCGAGACAACACATCGCTACGAAATTTAATTTTCTCTGGAAATTCTAAAAGAATATGTAGAAACTAAAATCTGAAACAATTAATAAGATTGAAATATAAAAATAAAGAAACGAAAACCACCCAAAAATCAAATTACAAAATTGTTTATTTTGGCCAAAATTATTAAGAAAAAATTAGGTAACAAACTGGGGTGGAGTTTTCTTTTTGCAAAACAAATTTCAATCAAATAAAACTTTAAAAGCGTGGCTTTTTCTTGTTGAGATCAATAAAAAAAGAATCGTACAGGGAAGGAAGAAGAAGTTTAGGAACTGAGCATTTCACAAGCAACATTTATCGTTTCGACGGTCATGTTTTCTTTTTGAATTGTTTCTATGAGCTCTTGTTGTATTCAGCTATTTCAGCCTCGTAGCGCTCCTTGTCCTTCTTGTAGATTTCCTCCCATTTCGATTTGTCAGGAATCATGCGCCATTCGGCTCCAGCAAGCTATAAGCATCAATATTCACACAGAATATTTGAAATTCAAGGGAAACAGGAAAATCACTATTTTGGAGCAATTTCACGGCATTTTTTGTGAGAATTAGCGATAATTCAAAAATTTGAAGGAATCACATACCTTGGCTACGTCCGCCACACTCATTCCCTCTTTTGTAAGGCGTTTTCGGTTTTCGGCAAGCCTTAAAATTTGAAGTTTCTCAAAAATCGGCAATTGCCTACTACTTACCAATGCATGTAAGCAGAAATCGGACGTTTTGGGGCGTTGGGATCTTTGACTTTTTTCACTTTCTTCACCTTTTTCTCTTTTTCATCGTCGTCCTTCTTTGGGCGGCCCATTTTTATTAGAAACCTGAATACGCATTGAATTCATATTGATAAAAATACCTTAAAGCAAGAAAAAATCAACAGAGAATATAGAAAACACGAAAAATGTGGAAGCTTAATTCAAAACAACCTCATTTCATCTCAATATTCGTGCAAAAAACGCAAAATTTGTCGATTAACTCGCCTTGTGACAATTTCCGGAAAAATAGATGGGAAACAAAACAATGACGTATAAATGTGAAATGATTATTTCAAAAATTGGTAAAATAATGGTTGTTCTTTTTTATTGTTTGAGAAAATTCACAAATTTTCTAGAAAAATATGAACGACGAAAGATTAAATCAAAATTGAGAATCAATTCTGCAAAAAGTAGGTTTCGTCGATAAAAATCAACAAGAATTTTTTTAAAATAAAATTCAAGAAAATTCATAAAGAAACGAATGAAAACCGATAATTTTCGAAAAAATAATTTTTCACAGAAAATCAAAGAAGATTCTAACCGTAACCCTATAATCAATTTCATATCAAGAGCCTATATAATAATTTTCTATGCGCGCCTTTAAATTACGGTGGTTTTCAACATTTTTAGTGAGAATAACGAGCAACTTTCGCAATTTCTTCACAGGAGGGGCCAAAATAAATGATGACAGCTGTTATTCCTCGTTTTAAAAAAAAAAAAAAAACAAAAATCAATTTTCTGAAGTAAAAAACGAAACACCGAGACGTGAGAAGTTTGGTTAATCGGGCAATCGAAAGATGATAAGATACTTGAATGATTAGAAATATAGTGTAGCAGGTTTTTAGGCGAAAAACCAACAAAAATATTCGATTTAAACGAGAAAAAAATTGTAAAAACTCATTTATTTTGCGTCAGGTGGCAAGAATCGCAAAAAAAAACAAGAAAATGAGTCCACAGGGGTGAGAGAAATTTTAAAAAAAATCATAAACTCCCATAAATTACAAAATTAAATATATATCACAATTAAATTTTTGATGAATAAGAAAATAAACATCTGCAAACCTATAATATAACAATTCTGAGCATTCAATATAATTTCAAGGCACTTTGTGTGGAGAAAATGATTAGAAGCACAACACAAGATAGTTCAGAATAAATATGAGGGAAAGAAACGGAAAAAAATTTGAAGAGAAGAAAAAGTAGAAGATGACCCGGAATTTCGAGGAAAAAAATCATGGTTGTCGTTAATCTTGCTGTTGCATTTTTTGCAGCTTCCTCCTCAATACAACAATGAGCCGTTTTTGCCTGAAAATTGCAATAATTGCAAAAAAGGAAATTTTAAAAGAAACTCAAATTTCACCGTTGGATGTACGCAATTTGGTGTCATGATGTACTACGTACATCGTTCACCTACAGTACCCACATAGGAAAATTGCATTTCTTTTTTTAATTCGAATTTCTTTTCTAAATTACCTATCGATTTCAGTCCGCATTTTCGTCAAGTCCTCGCAATCGCTATAATCAACCTGTGTCCAATTCGTCATCGACGACATATTCGAAATTGTGCGAGTTGACCGCGGCGGAGCCACCGGCGTATTATTTTGTAGTCTAAAAAAATATGGCATTTTTTAAGAATTTACAAAAATGAATCGAGATTATTAGATTTTAGTATTGGGAATTACGCAAAAAATAAACGCAAGGATAGAATAGAAATTTTCGTGCAAAAACCTAAAAATTTCAAATTTATCATTAAAAATTTTTTTCGAAAAATTTTCCACAATTGAAAAACTAAAAAATAGCCACATAAAATAACTTAAAAGAAAACAAAAACACACTGTTCAATCTGATTCCTCAGATTTTCACCATCTTGCCGAACGAGCTCCATCTGTCGAATATCTTCACGTCGTCTGGAAATTCATGCAAAAATCATGACAAGCAGAAGAAGCAGCGATTCATGCAAAATTGTAGCAATTTTTCGTTAGAAATTGCCCATTAAAAAATTGCCAATTGAAAATTTCAAAAGCCATACCGATTCTCGACAATCTCCAAATTTCGCTTCTGTTCGGCGAATTTGGTCTCAAGTTGTTGTAGTTCGGCGGCAAGTTGCGTTTTTTCGGCGCTCACTCTGCAATTCGCTGAAATTCGTCACCGCACCACACAATATCAATAAAAATCCACAAATTTTAAAATCAGGATAAACGAAAACCCAAAGTTAGACAATACATATAATTTTGAAAAATCACTTTCTAAGTCGGGGCAAAGCTCATTTTTCACTTATTATTTTCTAGTATATATTAATCAGGGAAATAGCAATTTTAAGCCAAAAAACAATTAGTTATTTCGATTGTTTTTTTTTTATTTTTACGAAAACCTTCAATATACATACTTTTTCAATCGCTCCTCGAATTGTTTCGCAATCAGCTCCCTTTCTTGTTGCATTGATTTCTCCGCCGTCGAGTGAGCTTTTAGGAGCTCACCAGCGAGTCGCGCGTTTTCAGCAACAAGCTCTTTCACCTAAAACAACAACTTGGCAAAATAATGAGAATCTCAACAAAAAAATTCCTCGCCTTCTCGTCGTCGTCTCCATTTTTGCTGCTCAACACTTGCGCCTTCATCTGCTCCTTCTCCACCTCAAGCTTCTTAATCTTCTCAGCTTCAGTATCCAACAGCTTTGTCATTTCCTAAATAGAAAATATATGTTTTTAGAAAAATTTGAGAAAAATTGCACACATTTTATTACTTTTAAAAAATTCTCTTTTTTTCAACGTTTTTTGATCGAAAAAAAATATTGATTCGCTATTTCTTTTTAATGTTCTATTTCTGAAAAGAAACCCTAAATAACCTGTATATTGGCAACCAATGCCTCATTCGTTTTTTTCGTTTCCGCGAGCTTCTCCTCCAATTCCGCCAATTCTTTCGTTTTTTTGCCACTGTTAGCGAGTTGCTCCTCGAAATCAGCCACCTTCTTCAACAACTCCGATTTCTCTTGGCTCAATTCGCCGACGAGCTTCTCCTTCGTTCGCACCTCATCCTGCAGTCCGTCAGTTTCTTCGCGACGCTTCACAAGCTCCTACAAGAATCGTCAATCATCATCATCATCAATTTGGTCGCGCTCACCTTCTGCTGCTCCTCGATGACCGCTTCCAACGAGTTATGCTCATTATGCGATTTTCTCATTTGCTCTCTGAGCTGCTCCAACTCCAAATTGTGCTCCTCGCGCATTTTGTCGAGCTTCTTCTTACCATCCTCCTGAATCTCCTCGATTTTCGCCGACAAATCGCTGCCGAGAATTTGCGCTTCTTTCAGCCGATGATTCTCCTCTTCGGCGTTTTGCAATTCCTCACTAATCTCATCATATTTCTGCAATTTTTCAGGAAACAAAAAATGAAAATCTTGAGCTGTCTCACCTTTTCAAGAGCTTCAGCTCTTTCTTTAAACTGCTTCGTCAGCACCTTCACCTCCTCGAGCTCTGTTGTCAAACTCGCGTTCTTCGACTTCAGACCCTCCAATTCTAGCGAAGCCTTCGCATACTTATCCTGATGCTCTCGAACATCCTTGACCAACTGCGATTTTATCTCGTCCTGCGATCCAATGAAACTCGACTGCTCATCTTGCAGCTGCACGATTCGCCGATTCGTCATTTCCAGCTCACGTTGGAGTCCCTCGCAGCGCTCTTTCGATTCTCGAAGATCTCGTTCAAGAGTAATCGTGTGTTCGGAAGATTCCGACTGAAACCCGTCGCAATGAATTTCCGAAATTTGGTTGTTTTAAATCAATTACCCGAACTTTCGAGAGTTCATCGGTCAATTCCCTCCGAATTTCTTCCCGCTCATTCTTATATTTCTCCGCGTTCTCCTCTAATCGCTCAATCTCCGATTGTAGTCGCGACATCGACGAATTCTGCGACGACTGGAGGAACTCGACCCTACAATAATCCGTCCATATAATCGCATGCTCCAACCAGAAACCGTCGTGCTCACTTTTGTACATGATGCTCAATGTCAGCTTCCGCTTTTTCAGCTCGCATTTTCCACGTGGCACACTCATCCTGCTGCTGATACAGTTCATCGCGAATCGTACGAATCTCGGTTTGCAGATTTCGGACCTCCTCCTCATACTGACTGTTCTCCTGTCGGACCGAGTTCAACGAGCTCATAAGAGTGTTGATCTCATCAGCCACCGACGCCTTAGATTCAAGCTTCTTCTTCTCGCCCTCAAGCTCGTCGATCTTCTTTTCACGTTCCGCAATGTGCTGTTTGAGTTCAAGCCTAAAAATTATTACAATAACGGGGTGGAAAATTTCAAAAGAAAAGAGCTCACAGTTTAGCCTTTGAGGCCTCCTCAACCTGTTGCTTCTCGTTCCGCAGTTTCTCGACAACCTCCTCCAGCTTCTTCGAGTGTTCCAAGTCTGACTCAAGAGATTCAGCACGGACTCGATACTCATGCTCTTTTTCCTAAACCATCCACTCATTTCATTTCTCAAATCAAAACGATGTACCTTCAAGGTCGCCTCAGTCTTTTGGAGACGAGTCTGAGCAAGCTGATATCGCTCCTCGGCCTTCTCAAGCTCTTTGCGTAGAAGCTCGAGCTGCTCATTCGAGTCTCCATGAGCACGAAGCTGCGCCTCGAGCTGCTGCTCTTTCCTTTCAGATGCTTGAACTCGAGATTCCATCGCTTTCAGGTCTTGCTCGGCTTGCTGAGCACGAGATTCTGCAGACAAAAGCTCGACTTTGATTTTCTAAATGTCAAAATTTCAGCAAAAAAAGCAAAACGGTCACAGCTCACATCAATTTTCGAGTCTTTCTCTTGCAAAACCGTCTCCAAAATGCGATTTTTGTCTTGCTCACGACTCAATTCATCGTCTAAATTGCTAATTTTCGACCGAATTTCCGCATCCTGCGCCTAGAAAAGCAAATCGTTTCACAAATTGATTCAACGCATCGATGAATTACAGCCAATTGGACATTCTCCTGCTTCAGAATCGTCGCGTCCTCTTCGAACTGCGACAATTTCGTCTTCAATCTCGACAACGACTCATCCGACGTCGACAACGCCGACTTCAGTTCTTCCGCTTGACTTCTAAGCTTCTCCTTCAATGCGCGCTCTTCGCGCAACTGAATCTCAACACTCTGAAGGCGAGTTTCAACATCGGACAGCTTCTCCTGACTGACACCATTTGCCGAATTAGCGCTGAAAATATTCAAATTTGGTTGATAGGAATACCAAAATCCATTATTTCTTTCTTTTTTTTTGGGTGAAAATCTTACTCTCTGAGCCTTGTTATCTCCGCCTGCTTCTCGATGAGCTCATTCGTCGAGCTCGTCAATTTTCGTCTGACCTCGTCGAGCTCCCTTCTCATACTCTCATTCTCATCGGTGAGCTTCTCCAATTTGCCCGTCTCATTCTTCGCAAGCATCATCGATTGCAACGACGCCGATTTGATTTCGAGCTGCTTCAGAAGGCCCTCAATCTCATACTCCATCGCTTCCTTCTCTTTGTCGCTTTCACGGTGGGCATTCTGCAAAAAAAAAACAAGAAATTGACAATTCACGCATGAGAAATTCGCAATTTTCAGATTTTATCTAAAAATTTGATTGATTTGAAGTATTTATAAAAAATATTGCCAAATTAATTTTTTGCGAAACACATTAAAATTGAGAGAATGAGCGAGAAAAGTCAAAATAATGGCCGTGGCCGAATAATTCGCGGCCGCCGCTTATTTCCCAACCTCAAGCTGTTCGTGCAACTTTTTCAGCTCCATGTTCAGACGAGACGATTCGGCTTTCGACGAAATCTGCAAAAACAACCCCAAATTTCCGGTTTTCTGCCAAACAAATTTCGTCATGATGGGATTTTGTCAGACAAAAATGATGACGAATTTGAGCGAAAAAAAATTCGTCTTATTTTTTTTCTCGCCAAAATTCTCCTACTTTCTCAGCGTCCAACTCGCGTTTGAGTGTGGTGACTTCCGCTTTAAGCCTCGTGATTTCATTCTGATCTCCAGCTTCTGCCAATTGAGCAATCATCGAATTCATCTGCAAAAAAAAAAACAAAAGATCAATCCCCCATTTTCTCAAAGCGCCTTCAAATCTCATGAAAACGCCAGACACGAAACCTGTATAAACAGCTCATGCTTCTCGGTCTGCTCGCGATCCAACTGCTTGCGCAGCTCCTGCTTCTCGGCCATCAGTGTCGAAACATCTTGCGGTTGTTTTGAGGACCACATTAAGCTGAAAAATAAATAAACATGGGATATCAATCGAAAATTCAAGTTTCTTTTTCAAATAAAAAATGCTAAAAATTTTGATAAACATTAAAACTCGCAAACATTTGAATATTTCATACACTTATGACCAAAAAAAACATAAATTTTTAGATTTTTGCATAACTTCTTTTTTTTTGTGAAAATAGCGACTAATTATGGAAATTTTAATAATTGCAAATCAAACCGAAAAATTTTTTCCCGAATTTCAAATTTTCAATTTTCTTAACATTTTTCGAAATTTCGGCCTAATCAGCATATTTTTGCGCTTTTTCTGGTCATCAAAAAATTAGTTTGAAGCCCCAAATATGAAAATTTGGAATTTCTTTAAAAATATCTAATAAAGTATGTAATATACAGACGAAAATTTGAATTTTTTAATGCCGCTAGAAAAGTCTTCGGTGTTTAAGCCATATTTTCAGCAGTTCGAGACATCAATTTTCGAAATTTCATTAAAAAATTCTCAGTTTTCCACAAAACAAACAAAAAATCCCGCAAAAATATTCTAATAATAGTTGAATATTTCAGGAAAAATCAAAAATTCACGAATATTGCGTGTAATGTGGCTGACACACGCCATCCACCGGAAATACGTAAGCTTCATCCCCCTCTAAGGCATCCGCCCATCAGGCGGTTATCATTTATATAAATTTATGCGCTATATAGTTAAGCATATATGTATCATTGAATATTTTGTTTCTTCTAATTTCTTCCTCCCCCAACTAACCGATCTCCTTCAGTCTTCGTGATCTGTTTTTTCAATTGTTCCACTTCATTCACCTTGTCCTTGAGCTGCTTCTGAAACAAAAAAAAGTATTTTTGTTGGTTTCAACAAAAAATATTGAATTTTCAGACAGTTTTAAGTTAGTTTTCAATCAAAATTCAATAAATAATCGCCAACATTCATTTTTTTCCTATTAGTCAGCCATCAATTTTCGATTCAATTTTCGGAGACATACACGCATTTCATCATCGGTGAGATTCGTCGGCTCGGCATTTTGAGCCGAGCCAAAAAATGAGGAAAATGTGTTAATTGTCGGGCCGGGAAAACCGAGGCAGCCGCCTGTAAACCATTGTTAGCACATATAGATAGCATAGTATAGTATTATACGGTAAGCAGCAAAAAAATGAACAAAAGAGTGTCGAGGAATGAGAGCGACCAAAGAAATGACTGATAAGACATTGTTAGCATAGTAGTAGTAAAATAGTATGATGAGTTGAGAGGACCCAGACAACATATAGTTAGTAAGATTATTTCAAATTTCCGGATTAATTTTCTTTTTTCAAATCTCCAAATTTGGGAATAATTCGAAAATCGCGAATTTTCTCAAATTTTATTCTCGAGACAAGATTTGAAAGGGAAGAAAATTATATATTTTTTAAGATGATTTCAATGATTGCCAATGTAATTTACAAAATATTTTTGGTTTTTTTTTTAAGTGTTAAAGTGAGTCCATTTCATTCTACGGGACCCGATTATCAGGCAGCCCGCGAAATTCAAAATCAATGTTGAGCTTTGACAAATCTGAAAACCGAAAAATATGTTCGAGGCCGATGATTGAAGTGTGAGGAGAAGGCAAAAGTTCGCCGTTGAAGGTGTTGAGGACGAGCGATGATGCATATCTCTAGGCAAAAATCGGGGTCGTCAAGAGGACGCAGACGTAAATGTCGAGAAAGTTAGGCAGATGAAAAAAAAAGAAGCGGAATGACTAAATGGAAGTCGGCAAAAGTTTTCGGGTTGTAAGAAAGACCTTTACATAGGCAAAAGGGGGGAAGGTAAACATTATCGATCAACATTCACTCGAGTGAGTCCACAAACACACTCGCTCCTCCACAGTTCCTCTCATTTCCCCCCAAAACCCTCCTCTCCAAAACGACTCAGAAAATCGATAATTAATCGACAAAATACACAACAAAAACGGGGAAAATCGTTGGGAGGGGGGACCATTTTGGCGTTTTTTTTCGGCATTTTTGAGAGTATCGAAATTTGTTGAACACTCCCACTTTTTTTTTCTCACGCCTTTTTTTCGATTTCAACATTCTTTTGTGATAAGAAAAAAAAAGCCGAGCACATTCCATATTTGTCGAAAAATTTTTGGAATTTTCCGAATGAAAATCGAAAAAATTTCTTCCAAAATTCGTTTGAATAATCTCAATTCAAAAATGTTGAAATTGTCATTTTCGGCAAAGGAAAAACTTGAAAATATCCATCAAAATGAAGGTTAAAAAGAACACATAGAAACCAAAATTTTTCGTCCAATTTATGCTCGAATATGGTAATTTTGCAATGCGAAAAAACAGCAATTTTCTGTAAAATGACACAAAAAATTTTTTTGTAGAAAAATTATTTGAAAATATCAACAAGTGGGAAAGAAATAGCAAAATTTGCAATCCAAAAAACACACATTCAAAACCCGAGGCGTGCAGCCGGGAGTTTTACCGGACCGGTTTACCGGACAACAAGAGGGCAACGAGACACCCAAGTAGAAGGTTGAGAGAGTGCGATAATGCGAGAGAGCCTAGACGAGCGAACGGCTGACTTCCAATTATGGCGAATGGTTGGTGACCCCTTCACCATGGAGGGGATTCAAGTGGTCCCATCCGCCAAATCGCCCTCCACCAATTATCCGAGGGCGGACAACAAACAAATCGCATAATTATAGTAGATTGTCGAGGAACTTTTTTTTTTGGAGAAGGAGAAGCTTCAATTTTGTTTTAAAGTGTACACTGTTTTAAAACAAAAAAAGCAAACTTTTAATCCTTTTCCAAATAGATAATGAATTTTTTGACCGGGGAAAAGGTGTCGAAATTTCGACAATGACTCAGTCGAAACCATTAAAAAAAATTGATAAAAGAACCCCTCTGGTCAAATTTTATTTCTACTGAATTTCATAACAAACAATGAACATATTAGAGGACGAAACTGAATGAAAGAATCAAAATAATATTAATATTCGATTCATGCTGCGGACATTCAAACGGGTTTTCGCAGCAACGATAAAAAATTGTTGAAAACTGATAAGAATACTCACTTTCAATGAGGAAGGGGAAGAACAGCTCGTCATTTATTGATTTGATGATAATTTTGTGTCGAAATTCAAACAGTTTGTTGAGAGATGAGAGACAAAACTAACTATGCTAACTATGCAGTCGGCGCCGAGCGGCGGCGTTAACAATTCAATTCCATATATGCATATGGTTGATTGTGACGAGAAAAATGTGACGTTAGTCGTCAAAAACTTGTACAATTTTAGCGAAAAGCAACAATTGTCACACTTGAAATGTGCCTGCCAATTTCCGTTTTAAAAACGGAAAAATTTAAAAGAAAATTCTCGTCAAAAATATAATTCGCTAGGGCTATTGAGGAAAAAAAATGTGAAAATTCCAAAATTTTCGACAAACAAAAAAAAATAAATGGCACAATTTCTATCTATTTCGTTTGAAAAAAATCTTCATAATTCAAAAAATCACACTTACCCTTTTCGATATCTCAAATTCTCTCTTTCTCAATTAAAAAAAATTGGAATTCAGAAAGAAAAACCAGAAGCCTCAGCCGAGTCCAATGTACGCCGAATATCGCCAAATCGAGTCGGAATCGCGAAAAGCGCGAAATGTTTGTTTTGAAATTGCGAAGAACAAAAAAATAAACAAAATTTTCCGCTCGAATATATTTTCAGCTTGTAACCGAAGCCATCACCAATGTAATTGATAGCGTCGACATCGGTTCGTTTGTTTATATCCCTTCCGGTTCGAGACCAAATGCCAAATGGGAATAAAGTGACAAAAGGGGCCCGCTATCACAGTGTATTTCTTTTCTTTTTCATATTGTCGGCGTCAAACGTCTCAAGATAGGCGGGACCTTCAAAATCGCGAAATTAGTGTAGATTTCAATTTATCATTGACTGAATATTAAATGCGCGTACACTATAATGCCAGTGTACGCAGTATCGCGTACGTTCAGACGCATTGGCACATAGCCAATAATTTTTAAATTTCGTCAAGTCATTTGACTCCGACAATATTTGGAATATATATTTTATATATTCTCAACAATTTTAAATAGCATGAGATTCTTTAAAATTTATTTCTGTTGTCAAATTGAAACGAATTCTGGGTATTATTTTTAGATCATTTTGAATTTCAGCCTTAGGTCTCGCATCGAACAATTCTTAGGAGCGCGTTTGTTCAATTTGACCGTATTAATGGAGAAAATTTTTAAAATATTTTGGTTATTTTAAAAAAGTGTCAAATGAACGAGTATGGGGAAATTTCATGAAAAAATTAATCGGCAACCCGCAAAATTTCAATTCAATTTCGAGATTTGAAAAATTGCCAAATGTGAAATCGAAAAATGTGTAAATTTTAAGTATCTGGCTGTTTTTAAAATCTCAAATGAAAGCGTATGGCTCAATTTTGTTTTACGCGTTCAACTCGTCGGTCTGATTCTCTATAAGAAAATTTTTCAATAAAAATTCACTTCGGCCCCTTTTGTCAGGTTCACATTTCAAGTTCTGTGAAATGAAACCATTATTTTTTCCCAAATCGGAATTGACCAAAATCGAGGAAAAAATTCAAACTAGCAAAAAATTGCTCAATAGAGCGCGTTTGCAGACACGCTCTCAAGAACACCATCGGATTTCAACAAAGATGACGGAAGCGAGGAGACCGACGTTGAAGTATGACGTTTGGTTATTACATTCAATTTTTGATCTACACAAAATTTCAATTCACATGAAAAAACCCGAATTTCAGCTTCTCTATGATGGTGATGAGGTTGAAGACGACTACGAGCTAGCGCGAACTCATTGGATTCAACTTCATAAATCCAATAAGCAGGTTGATGACAGAAAAAAAATTATAGCAAAATCTCGAAAATTCAATTTATTTGTTTTGTTTTTTTTTTTTGAAGAATTTGGTATTGCGCAGCTGTTTTTTGGTGATTCTCGACCAATATCCGCATACGCGCCCAATTTGGACCTTCGGAAAACGAATCGAGGAATCCGAAAAAGATTGGAAGGCCGAGTTCTCCGAAGATTTCTATTTTAGGCAAGTCAATTTCGATTAAAAAAAATAATAAAATAAAAACAACTCACAAAAAAATAAAAAATAAATTTGGCAGGCATCACTGCGCGACACTCCAGGCGGCGATCAACCTAATTCTCAAGTCGAAAGACGATGTTCACAGTTTTCGGCGGATGCTTAACGAAATGGGCGCCCATCATTTTTTCTACGACGCCTGCGAACCGCATTTCGACGTGTTCCAAGAGTGTTTCATCAAAGGAATGAAGCTCGTTCTCAATGGTCCCGAGGCGCTCGACGACGAAATCGAGGCCTCGTGGAATTCCGTTGGTCCAACAACTCATGACAAAATGAGTATCCTCATCAAATTTCAGCTTCTTCGCACAATTAAAATTCACATCGCCGAAGGGATCGCAATTCAAAGGGTCAACTATCTATCGCAGTGCCTAATTCCAAAAGAAATGGAAGAAGTTCGGTGGGTAGATCAAAAACCAATTAGCCCACATTCGGCAAGTTTTCAGCGAAAATTGGGCAAAAGTGATGGAATTCGGCTACCAAAAAGCCGGCGATATTCTATGCGACGTCGCATTCAAAGTAATGAAGTATTCAAGAGGACAAACCAGAAAAAAAAAGAAACTATGATTCCAGAGCTATACGCATCTTCTAAAGGAGTACAATCTTCGCATGTATCTTCCGCCGTCGACGAAAAGAGGAACGCCAGCATACGAGGAATTGAGTATGCAAATTATGCGGGTGATTCATTAATCAATTGTCGGGTGCCAATTGAATTCTTATCAAGGCCATTGGGAAAACCATTGAGAGCTACACAAAAGAGGACGGATTTTGTGGGCTCATCGAGCAAATTCGCGAGTTTGTCGTCAAATTTCTCATCGTCGACGTCTGCCCGCCGCTGATTCGACGAGCTCTCATTGACGGTAATTAAAGAATCCATCGAAACTCGATGTTAAACCTATGTAGTGTGATATTGAAAAAAAAAATAACGCCTATCGAAATAATCGCTTTAATTACCGTATCCAAAAATTCTAGGGTCTTGCGACGCTCAATTCTGGAAACCACTTCTTTTTCAAAAATCTACACTTCAATTTTTTGTGGAATTTTTTTCCGATTTTTTGAATGTTCCAAAAAAATCGAATGACAATGATATTGCCAAAATCAAATTTGAGACAATGCGCCACCATGCGGCGTAAATTGACACCCACGTTGCGAGACCCAATTCTACAGTAGACCGCACCAAAAAAAGACAACCGCCGCAAATTACAGGCCTCGTTCAAATGCTCTCAATCGTTCTCGACATCGAGCACGTCCGCGAGGATTTTGTGCATATTTGGAAGAAGGTCTACCGCGTAATGGAGCAATCAATGATCGCCAACATCATCGATTATTAGACGATTCATTAGTAAATGTCATTTTCCATGAAGAAAAAAAAACAACTCACTTTTGTGTCGGTCAATTCCTTTTTAATGAGCCCATTACTACTATTCGCCAACGTTTTGATCTGCTGATTCAGACGATGATTCTAGAAGAATCAAACTGCCAAATTTCGCTCGCAAAATCGCGAAACCTACACATTGTTGCGCTTCGGTCAATTCGCGTTCGAGTCGAACCACCAGCGACGTCTCGCGATCCGACATCCCGCTGCTCGTCGCATCCATGTTGCCGTTGCCGTTGGCCGAATAGCGAACAATCTGGTCATGCATCGACATGATCTGCAAAGATGGATCGCCGAGTTTACATTAAAATGAAACAACAACAACAACAACAACAACATTCAAGATGAGCACTATGTGCATTTGTTGACACAACTCATTAGACAATGTCCATCTCAAGAGCAATAAACGTCAGTGCAAATAATCAGGCGGAAACATTCCGGCATTAGGTACCTGTTAACGGGATCGCACACAATGCCATTGGCTGGATTTTTTATTCATCCGAAAAATTTTGAAAAAATATTTTTTTTTTTGGAAGAATTTTATCTGAAAATTGCAGCCTTCTAGAAAAAGCATAGGCAACGCAGAAATTCGGTAGAAAACGACGAGTTGTTTTCTAATTTCGAAAATGATTTGAGTAACCTAGATTTGAGATAATTCAGTTCTACCGTAACCAAAATTACGGTATGTTTTGTTTTACCTGCGAACTATCGCTGGCGACACTCCCATGATCCTCCGAGGTTCGTCGCGATGAATCCTGCAAAAATCGGAAATTGTTCTGGAATTTCAACAAAAAATCTAAACACCCATACCAAACTACGATTTGCGTTGCTATTCATATCGAAGCCCATTCGTGACGGGACCTAAATGTGCAAATCAGTTTCAATTGGAAATTGCAAAATTCGAGAAAAAATCAATCGGATCCGGCAAAAAATGCGACTCCGGAATCCGATCCAATCCGATCCGACATACAATAAAATTGTCTGATTAGGTTGGGTTTGAGTTAGCTGAGAATAAATCAATTAAAAAAGGCAACTATAAAATTAAATAAATAAAAAGTCAAAATTGATATGCATGCGTGTGTGTGTGTGTATGTATGCGTCGAATCGCAACCACACACACATACACACACAAATCTGGTTTGTTTTCGGAAGAAAAAAAAATGAGTGCTGAGAGAACGCAACGAAATTTGGAGAAAATCAACGGCCGACCATCATTTTATCATTATCACATCAGCTGTTTTCGCGTCCACCAAATCGATTCATGTACATGCCCTTTTAATGAATCAATTACGCTATCATTGGACATCTTTTTGCAGGAAAATAAATAACATTTAGATTTTCAAGCTTGAATAAATCAATGAAAAAATGTTTGGCGGCGGTCGTGAAATTTTCAAAAATTTCGTGACCAATTTTCAACTTTTTTTGATTTTAATTTGAAAAAAAAAACCACCGATGACCAAATTCTGTCATTTTTTTTCTTAAAAACAAATTTAAATTCATAAAACATTTGGTTCTGAGAATTACGCGCAATTTAGATGTCCATTTTAGAAGAAAATGCCAAAATTTTATAATTTTGTCAACAAAAATAATGCGCGTTTAAATATGGATTGTTTGAAATTGTTGACAAATTAATTTGAATCAATTATAAGAAAGGTTGGATGATCGCAAAAAGTCGGATTGCCTCAGTCTGAGGTCGAGCCGTCATCGTCAGATTGAGCTTCTGCTCAACCGACTACGAAGAATATAATTTTAGCGATCACTCGAACAATTAATTTTTCACTTCCACAAATTTATTTTTTTTTTCAGAAAATTCCGCAAAATCTCGTCACCGTGAATGCACAAATCTCAAAACTCGCGGGAAATTCTTCTTCGCGAAAAATTTTAAAAAAATGGAAAAATCGAGAAAAAAAAATAGAATACCATAGAAATGAAACAATGTCCCAAAAATTGTTCATCGTTTTCCCCCATTAAAATTGATGAAATGTGAACATTTTTCGGGAAACTCTATAAATGCAAAATTCGATGAAAGCCACGTGGCACTAAATCGTTTAAAGGCGCATACAGTCATTTCAAGAACCTGTCCATTCTCTCAATAAGCGCCCATCTATTTGATGAGTTTTAATATGTTGAAATTTCCAGTTCTTTTTTAATTCAAAACAAAGATTCCCTGTAAGTTTAAAGGTGCACACAGTGAAAAAATGAAAAATAAATGTTTTAATGGTGATATTTTCCAGAAAATTCTGAAACAATTTAAAAACGCATCAAAGAAAAAAATCAGCAACCATGGTTTTCGTGTTAAGAATCTTTATTTTTTCAAAAAAAAGTCGATGTCCCTTTAAATGCTATCATTTCTCGTGTCAGTTTAATAAACAAGTTTAAAGACGCACACACACTACAGCTCTCACTTTAAAGGCACATACCGTAACTCTGAGCCGCTTCGATTCGTAATAGCGCCAATCAGTTCGACACGACAACTCGCTTTCGTTGTCTGTAAACGAAACGCAATGTGAATTCGAATTACCCGCCCCCCCCTCTCTCTCTTAAACTATTTTCCCACCATTCTCATCATTCCTCGTCTGCACATTGATCGTCAGCGACGGCAATTCGTCGTCGTTTCGATGAAATCGCGTGATGACGTGACGACGGACGGGATTCGACGGTCGCCATAGATTCGCGATTCTCGACGACGTCGTCGTAGACGCAACACCATCGGCTTCGGGCGGCTTTGGACCCGAATTGATCCATATCGGACCACCTCGCACCAATTCCGACGGTGCCGTGATGCCGAATCGAACAATGTCAAGGCATTCTCTAAACCAAATGCGGTTTCAAACTACCCGCAAAAAAAATTCAGCTCACCGTTTCGGCGTTTCGTGAATTGCCTTCTTTGACGATGGCGGTGGCGGTATGATTCGAACGTGCGCCGTCAAATTCGGCTTCTGTTTCGTCGTCGAGCTGAAACTGTCAGCCGGTGTCACGCGGGTTATCGGATAGTGTTTCGTCAGACTTCCTTCGGCGCTGCTCGCGGTTCTGAAAATTTTCGAACAATGAAAGAATGGTTTTACAAAATGGAATTTGAGCAAACGGCGTATGGAAAACGTCTGGCGACGGCTCGACAAATATCTGTCGTCGTTTCTTCACAATTCCTTCTGGGATTTTCGCATCCGAATTTTGCTGCAATTTTTTTCTATAAACTATTTCTGTAAAACGAGTGGCTATTGAAATCGGCCGCCACAAGACCCAACTCATTTTCAGAATTATGCGCCTTTCATCAATTATTTATTTTATTTTAAGTTCGCGATTAAATCGCAATTTTAATTAAACTTTTTTTGCGGCTCGCCGCTACTCACTTGCGGCCTAGAAAAATTGGTAGGAAAAAATGCAAGCGCGGCACAAAATTTCCGAAGAAAACTGCAAGTGCGACACACTATCACAGGCTAACATTTTAAATTACATGTGTACTGCTTATTCGCGGTTTTCTTTTATTTCTACGAAGTTGTGATATTTATTCTGATTGTTGGTTTTTGAAATCGTAAACACACAAAATATATTCATTTAGTTCAACTTAATTAAATTAATTAATCCATCAAGTGTGGCCGTGGCCGAACCTAATTTTTTTTGAGAACAATTTTTCTAGGTCATGCGGCGAGCCCGAAAATATTTTTCACATTCGGTGTTTTAAAGGCGCAATACTTTTTGTTGAGTCTCGCAGTGACCGAAGTTTTCAAAAATAGACTATACAAATTTCGCATTTTTGTCTAGAAATTCCAAAATTTGGCTTTCAATTCTTCAAGAGAAAAAAAGAAAAAGAAATAAACGAACCGATGGGTAGAAGTATGAAGAGGCGGTTGTGCCCAATACGGGTTCCAACTGATACATTGGATTCCTACATTACAGAAAATACAGATTAGAAATTTATTTTCGAAAATAAATGCGCCAAAATATCGCCAATTGTAAAGTTAAAAAATTTACTTTGACAATAAAAAATGAAAATAATAGTCAACATTTTTATAAGCCGTTAAACACGTTGCGGTTTTTTCTCAAAAGAAAAATCAATCAGAATTTCAACATACCCCAGAATATAATTACCATTAACAGCGTCAAAAATTATTATGGTCCGTCCGTTGGCAACAGGAACCCTCAACCGCACGCGAGCCGCAACGCGCTTAACTACATTGATCTAGCCGCTTTTTTTCAAAAAGAATCTCAAAAAACCAAACATGGCTTGATTCGAACCAATCAATACAAAAAACGAGCAAAATATACTAAAAAAAAACGGGCAATATTCTCACGACGAACGAGGCAATAACCATTCATTCATTCATTCATATTCTTATCATTATTTACATTTAAGGTGACCCGCAGGTCGAAAAGCAAATAAATAAAAACAATATCAAGATTTTGGTTATCTTCGATGTTCATCATCATCATTCTAATTATTAGTAAAAATTGAATGGGATTCTCTGATGAATGCCAGCGATAAAAATGAAGGGGGTGGGGGGGAGGAATTGAAAAAAAACCGAGTGATTGCATAAATCGAATTGGCCGCAAAATGGATTTGAGAACATCCATTCCATGCTTTTTTTTCTTTTCCTGCGGGGGTTTTCCGCTGGCGTGGGGCGCACACGCAAATTGGTCAAGTTTTTACCAGAGACGACGTCTCACACAGACGAGATTTATTACTCAATCACCCAACGCCACACCCAAATTGCAAATGTTGCCAATTTTTTTCGCGACAAAATTAATTGTTTAATTAGGCGAATTTTGATTTCAACGCAAAATTCTAGACAAATTTGGAGGAGATCTGAAAAAAAAAAAAACGTTGAGCTGGGAAGCATTGGATTGCCCGTGTGAAGTACACAGACGCGTCTAGTTTTTTTTTCGCGAACCCTTTCTTTGAGTTTGAAAATAATACAATTTTTTGGGGGCAAGAGGTGATATTTTTCAGTTTGCTGGAAAATAACAAAATGTGTGCAATTTTGCGTGCGCGTGATTGCAGACCGCCCAACCGACAGATTTTTATTTTCTTCAAATTCTAGAATTTCCAATCATTTTCAGCCAACGCGTTCAACAAAATCTCTAGAAAATCAAAAAAAAACGGCGAACAATGCAAAATTTTGTGCAGAACAGAAGAGAAATTCAGGAAGAAAAAAGAACGAATCAATTCGTCAAGGCTAATTTTCTCATCGAAATTTTTAGAGAAAAATACACAGACGATTCCGGAAAACATAAACTATGTTGCGCAGTGGTGAAAAAAAGTGACAACACAAAAAAAAAACGACTGATAATCTGCGCGTAATTCTCGCGTCGGCGCGGCGGCGGCGGCGGCCGAACAAAAGAATCGCCAACGCGGCGCGCTTTTTCAGGTCCAACCGCAAAAACGCAATATTCGCATTACTTTGCGCACCTGTCTGCCGCCTTCTACTGTATGTTGTATTGTTCGCCTGCGTCGAGCAAAACCAATCTGCTCGCCATTTTTTGGTTCGCTTTTATTATTGACATTTTTGCTCATGCTGCTGCTGACTGATTGATGATGCATTCAGGGCCGCGTGTGAAATGAATTGAGCAACCACAATATATACAAATACCTTCAAATCAGTTGGGAACCCATGGGCTGGAGGAGGGGGAAGGTGGAGGAATCAAAATGAGGGAAGCTGGTGGAATCGGAAAAAAAAAGATTTGATACAATTTCTAATCAGTATTCAGTAAATCCCGATTTTTTTTTTTGAATTTTGAATTTTGAAACATTCGGCAAAATATCTGCTCAAGTACATACTGTCTGAATTCGTTGTACAATAAGGGGGGCGTGGCCTCAAATTGATACAGTGGATTCACATGCGCCTTCGAAAATTCTTGAGACGAAACGAATATATTGGGGGGGGGGGTGATCTCTTGCGATTCATGTACTTATATTTTGATCTACGACAGTATGAAAATCTGCTTCAAGAATGACCAAAATACGTTCAGTTCATATTTTAATTACACTCATATTTAATGTTGGTTAAATAAAGAAAAACTCACTCCAACGCGTTTTTCCATACGAGACTCAAGGAGCAATTCAAATGATACAGTAATCACATCCCAATTTTGTTCTTAACCATATATATAACTACGGTATGTGTATTGCTCCCGACTTCCGAGGGGTGGAGTGTAGAAGTATGCGCTGTTCTACACACTTTCTCTCGCAATAATTCCCGACTTGGCAAAACTACAGTATTCATTAAAGGCGCACGCAACATTTTGAGAAGGTATTTTTATAAATATTACATTCGCAAAAAACGAGCAGCCTGTGCCAGAGTACTGTGACCAAATTCCGACTGTATAAATTCGAATTTTCCACAATTTGGCGAGGCGCTCGATTTTTTAATATTTGAATTAATTCTCAAAGTTTCCAACAGTTGATTGTCGTGTTTAAAAAATGGTATTGTCACGGCGGCGAAAAATTGGCTAAATGTCAAAAAAGCCATGCCAGTGGTATTTACGGGCCAAAGTATAAGGATAGGTTAAAGGCGCATGCCGCGCAACGAGACCTCTTTATAAAATTTCGATTATTCAAATGTAAGATCGACGGACTACAAAAAAGATGAGGAAAAGAGGAATTCAAAATTTTGAAACAAAAAAAAAACTTCGACACGAACATTTGAGACTCTTTATAAAGAAAGGTGGTGTCCAAAAATAATCAATCGAAAATTCATGACGTAACTAGGAGAATCGTCGACCGGAAGGAAATTGTTTAAAAAAATTTCTGGTTTGGAAGACCAAATTTCCAGCGGGCAGAACTCTATCATCATGAATTATTTATATATATTTTTTTAATTTTTCATAATGAGTAAATTTTAATTAAAAATATCAAATCACCATGACAATGACTCACTGATTCTAATTCGACGACGTCTTCAGCTTTTCAATTGGCAATCCAACAAATATTCCATATTCAATTCAATTTTTGATCGTCATGGTCCGACATCTGCACTAGTTTCATTTCTTTTTTGTGAGCTTCTCATTTTTTCAAATATTACGTCACATTTTATCGTCGCCATGCATTTTTTTGGCCTCTGCGCTTCTAATCGAATTATTATGTTAGACGAGCCACGTCAGCACACCATCCAATAAAAAACAGCCAATGTAATGTGATGGTTTCCTGTATAAAAGTCGCACATTTTTGCAACCACAAAAATCATTCTCCGCCGCCGCCGCCGCCGCCAACCATTCCTACCTGTTTATTATTCGCGACGAGACCCTCAATCACAGCAAGGCGTTCATTTCGGACGAGAAAATGCGTCGTCTCAAAGATAACCTTGTTGTCAATGGAGGGTCCCTAGCGGGACCTCCCGTCTCGGCAAAGCTCTCATTTCAAGTTGGACCATCATCACACTTGAAAGAGACCTTCTCCGAGATGGTAGTGGCAGCCTTGTCGTTTCTTTTCACATTGGTCAACTTGAGAATTCCGCTATTCAGATTCCCGTCTGCTATCATCCAAGCTTCTCTGAACAGCATTTGTATCGTGTGCCAGTTCGTGTCAACTCGCATGACCATATTCGGCGCATCGCAAAAATCAATTATTTCTTCTTCGCTCTGAACGGAGACGCCCCCCATAAAACAATCATTTACATACAGTGCGTCGTCGACCGCCATCACAATCATTCGCGATTCCATATTCGGGCTCGCTAGCAGCGCCTCCTTTCTACTATATGTATTCTTCTCGAGTCGATGGCGATCTGGGCAATTCTGCATCATATATATGCATGGCATAATCGTCAGATCGCCTATATGTGATGAGAATCACCCGAATCGCCAGACCAAGCCGTGCTGCTCCTATTTGGGCCGTTCATGCCAATTGATTAGAAATTGACAATTAATTGGCATACCGCTCAAAGATGAGCTCGACACGCGCAATTTTCAAAGTGGCCAATGGTTTCTCGGGGAAAAAAGCCAACATCAAACCGCCATTTCAATATTTATTGAGAGCAATCAATAGAAAAAGATGGTCCGGGTGTCGGTGAAATGAGGCGAGGAGCTTCATCTTATCCGAGGTAGCACGATTGATCAGTGCGAGCCTTGAACACTTGTCCACCTGGGTTGCTGGCTGAAAATGAATATCAATTTAAAGGAGCATTGGATGCGACAACTCACTTCCACCCGAGGTTTGTCCTCCTCCGCTTCCTCCTATGGCGTATTCCTCACGAGCGTATCCTGACGAGGAGGCGTTGCTGCCCATGTATCCCGAGGAATATCCACCAGCGGACATGTATGCCGATTTGTCTCCCATTCTTCTTGGTTTGTGTGGGCGGTGCGACTATCTTTTTTCCGTTCCTTTTCTCGTCAATCGGAGCCTTTTATTCGCATTTTTTCATCAAGATTAGAATTGCCACCGATGTGTCACGTTTTATTCGAAACGCCGTCAACACAAATAAATAATCATGCGTTAATTTCAGAATTTAAAAAATAGTTTTTTTTTGCATTATTTCGATTTGGCTCAAACAATTAGAAGCATGCCGGCCTTTGTTTCCGCTACCGTATTCAAAGGTGCATTCAAAAACTTTTTTCCCAAGCCACGTCGCGAATGGGAGCCGAAAAAATAATGGTCATGGAATCATAAAAATCGGCAATAATGTGTGGGAAACGGTGGCGACGCGCTAACATTTTCGGCGAGAAATCGTGCAAAAGGAAAAAAAAAATAATTATTATTATTATTTGTTAAAAAATGAGGAGGGGATGGGGGTTGAAAGGGAACATCAGAATCTTTATTGAAGGATCGCTAATTTCCTGTGTGTGTGTGTGTTACGAAGAATTTCTAGAAAATTTTCGTGTATTTTTTTAACAAAAGAAAATAAATAAAACCGAATTAAAATGAAAATGTAAAAAAAGGAAAAACAAGTTCACAAAGGGTGTAACTTACAATCAAATTCACTTCGCAGTTTTTGAAAGTGGTGCATTTTTTCGTGATGGTGTTTGCACCAGCGGCTGTTCGGCGATCGGAAATTTCGGCAATTCGGCAATTTGAAAAATCGGCAATTTCGGCAATCGGCAATTCCATTGCCGCACAGCCCTGGTTTGCACTACTTTCATATTCTCGGAAGGCTCATTGAAAGAAATCAGACTTTTTATCATGTTCGGCGAAACAATGGCATGTTTTTAGGAGGAAAAGTGGAAATACAGTAAATTGATTGTTGACTTCAAATCTGCAAAAAATTATCACCAGCGCGTTGCGCCAAAACCGAAAAAAACCAATCATTTGATAGACGAATTTGTCATTTTTTTTTATAAATACTGAAGCATATGCGGAATGAAACAATTTTCCCTAGAATATTTCACAAACTGCTCTCTTCTGGCAATTGTTTTTACACAAATTATTTTGAGAATCGATAATTTTATGCAACGTGCATGTGAAAAGTGTGAAAAAACGATTTGTCATTAGAACTTCTATCAAAAAGTTCGCGATTTCGCTCTCAAAAAAATGAAATTAATTATTTCATACCCCATCCCCCCTTCAGTACAGACCGCATAGAAATGGGTAATGCCATCTGTGCATACACCTTCCACAAAAATGCACCACTCCAAAAACTACGGTGTGGATTTAATTGTAATTTAGATATCTGCATTAAGACATCGATGCGGCCGCGGCCGCGAACTATTAGGCCATGCCACGTAACACTTTCCATAATATATTAGATGTATTATTAAAACCATTCAATTTGAGGGTGTTTTTCTAAACGGGACTCAATGCGCCAATAAAAAAGTATCAAAATAGTGGCTGACGTTTTTTTTCGACCACATCGATGGTTTAGTCTCTATATGGAGTTCAAATGGAAATAATAAAAAAATTTTTTGATTGTTTTTAGGCAAACCTATATCGGATTAGTGGTCTTAAAATTTGCGAAACAGTATAAATAGTGAAATGTCCAAAAAATTCAGAAAATTTTTAATTTTTTCACACGGTTTTTTGACAAAATTTGAAAAAAAAAAGCTTGAATATGGAAAATATTCGGTGGAGAAGAAATCTCGCGCTTAACATTCTGAACATTTTTTTAAAGTTTTTCTTCTATTTAGTGTCATTTGCTCATTTAGTTGACGATGAACATTTCCAGTTAACCCATTGCGAGACAGTTTTGGTCTTTTTGGCTACCCGTCAGTTCAGACGATATGTATGAGATCGGCAACGACACACATCAGGCCATCTTCTACATGCAGACAAGCCTTTTTTTTTAAGAATCATAAGAAAAAGGTTGACAGCGATCATTTATTCGAAACACTTGGGTAGAGGTATTAGAAACGGACTTGTCGGTTTGCCAGTGGATTTTCTTATCCGAGGTAGCACGATTGATCAGTGCGAGCCTTGAACACTTGTCCACCTGGGTTGCTGGCTGAAAATGAATATCAATTTAAAGGAGCATTGGATGCGACAACTCACTTCCACCCGAGGTTTGTCCTCCTCCGCTTCCTCCCGAGGCATATTCCTCACGAGCGTATCCTGACGAGGAGGCGTTGCTGCCCATGTATCCCGAGGAATATCCACCAGCGGACATGTATGCCGATTTGTCTCCCATTGTTTTTCCGGTTGAATTGACTGGATGGACGCAGGTAACTGACTTTACCCTAGCAAAAAACCCGCCATTTATAGTGCATTTTATCAATTCACGTCATCATTTTGTTCGAATATCGTTGTAAAATTTAATCAATTTTTTTTCCAAATAAAATTCCGTATTTCCATTTTAAAACCCGTCAATGATTTATTGTCACAAATTTTGAATTGTCTTCGAATTGATCAAATTATGAGGTACAGTATGAAGTTCCGTCGGGATTTTCGAGGCGAATGTTGTCCACTGCTAAAAATTGGTGCTTTTTGACATTTGTCGCCACAAAAAACACCTAAAATATTGAATTGTAAGCAAATTTTTGAATCCAAATACCTTGCTGGCGCCAGTTTTTAATGGCACTTTATGCGAAAAATGCCAATATTCGTGTTTTTCGAGAGCAGGCGACGAATATGGGCAATCGTCGAACGAATCGATGCAAACCTTCAATTAAAAATGTAAATTTTGTTAAAATCAACTAAAAACTTTTAATCTTGGTGAAATAGAGCGCAGGTAGACGTCAAATATTAATACAGCGTCAGAATTCAGCGTAAATTTCGGCGATTCCATGACAAAAATGTTTTCTGCGTTATTGGCGACGTCATCTCCAACATAGACAAATCCCACTAAATTTTTCTTGAAATTATTATAATTCTTGAATTATTACCTTTGTCTTGATCCTCTACATTAATTCTTTGAATTCCCGTGTGCCTATTACCTACAAGTTTGTCGCTTAGAAGCCATGGCTGTCTGAAAAAACGAAATAAAATGATAAAAGAGTCAAAGATGCGCGCCGCACACTTGCTACAAATCGTGCGCCAATTGCTAACAATGACCACGCCCATCGAAAAATATTTGAAAATCTCACGTGCTTCCGATGCCGCTGAGCCCGTAAAAGCACGAATCGCCATCATTGAACGTGCAACGAAGTGCTGAGCATGGAGTGAGCTCATTGAATGATACCGATGAAGAATCAAGCGGAACAAGGGATTCTGTGCTCTGTAATTTTAAATTTTTTCCAGAAAAAACAAAAAAAGAAAAAAAATCCCTACTTTAATGCCATAAATTGACGGTTTTTCAGTGTCCTCGAAAAATTTCGCAACTTCGCTATCGGCAGCGGTTATCAAGCTCGGTGATGTGGTGGTAGTGGTTGTCGTCGTCGTTGCCTCCTCTTCGTCATCATCGACAAGCTCGCACACTTGCCCGTCATAGTACAAATTGTCGATCAAAACGATGTCCTCCGGTTGGACATTGACGATTTCGATTCGGATTTTGATCGGCTGCGATGTCATCGGAACCGTGAATTGCACAGGATTCGGCATTGGGAGAATGTCCTGAAAATAATTTCCGATGCCACGTGGCTCAGTTCATATTTTGATCTCCCACCAAACCTCGCAATTTATTTCGCCTTCGATGGTTTTCGTGATGCAATATCGAAGAATTGGCTTGTCTGAACTCGCCCACACACTGCAAAAAATTGCGAATCAATTTTTTGTTTTTGGCAAAACTCTCCGAACTCACTCGAATCGCACTTTCGCGTCTCCAAACTGGCAGGGAACCTCGGTTTCTAGTGCGACCGTTTGTTGCGCGATGAGCGGCTCACCACCAGCCAACAGGAAATTCTTCTCGAACGCGAACCGTCGCGAATTGATGCAATCGAATCGATCCAAATCGAAAAACTGATCGAATTTTGCGAGCCAGAATTTGAGCAACGTGTCGGCGGCGTTGTGCCAACTACAATACTCCATCTCATCGTCGAACCCGCACGTTATTCGGCCGCCGTCTTTCACGGCGAGCTGGACGACGTCGGGCAGCGGGAGCAGAGACGCCGACGATTTGAGCTCGGTCGGCGAATATGGTCTGACATTGACGCATCTCTCATCCATGGAATAATCGAGATCGATCGGGTTGCGATCCATTGATGTAACACCGCGAGCTCGGGCTCGTCCAGCTCCTGAATAAGTTGCACCTCCGCCGAATGAGTGACAACTCGAAGCACGACCTTCAAATTTAAAAAAAATAAATATAAGAGGGTTTTTAGTGATATTTACCAAATATTAGAATGAATAAAAGTAGAATTGAGGGCATTTTGGAATTGAATTCTCGTCCAGTGCTGTGGTAATTAGTCGTGAGGCGAGAGTTATTAGGCAAAAGTTACTTTCGCCGCCACTGCGAAACGGGTCAAAACACTTTCGTCTCTCATCGAAATGAATCGACCTCGTAAAGTTCTTGCGAGAGTACACGGATCACATTGTTTGAAGGAGCATGCACTACAATTTAAAGAAGCATGATTCATTTCATATGCCTTGTAGTGTAAAATTAAAAAAAAAACGTTTAAAAAAAGTTGAAAATCGAAAAATTCAAAACAGCGTCCGTAAACACGGCGCGCAAAAGTGCACACATTTTTTGGATATTTTTATAAATTCTCTTTTTTTATAATAAAAACATTTCTTCGAATTTTTCTCGAAGAAACAGCTAATTTTGTAGTGAATTATGTTTTTTAGTAAAAAATGGAAAATTTTCAATAGAGCGAAAAAAAGAAAATGAACAAACAATTTTTTTCTTACCCCAATTATTTGAAACTCTGCGATATCCAAAAATTGAAATGCCACTTGCGCCAAAATATTTGTAGTGCATATTGTAGGTATATTCGATCTTTTCATCAAAACCCAATTTTCCCGAATCTCGTTTTGGTCGTGTCAAGACCGTTCAGCTCAACTCACTGACATCACAATAATTCATCAATAACCGACCAGACGCGGTTGGCAACAATTCATTGAACATTTATTTTTTTGTGCACGCGCAAATAAATGATGTCGGGGAGGAATAAGTCTTCTAGTTTTTTTAGTGGCTGGCTGAGAGGGGGGGGGGCGCTTTCTTGTTAGGTCCAAAATGGTCCCACGCGATTCGTGTGGGCCATTCACCGAAATCATGTTAATATATAGCGTCGCGTGAAGCCTTCAGAGCCACCCGGAAAAGCAAACCGTTTCTCTCGGCCGCAACGACGATGATCTCCTTCCGCTCGCTCGGCTGGAGGTTCTATCTGGCAAAAGTGTGAAATACAGCAACACCAACAAAAAAAAAACGGCGGCACAGATTGTGCGCGGCGAGCCGGCCGCCATCTCGTCGTTTGTTTGCACTTCGGCCCATACGGATATTATTTTATTATTATTATGGAATCGCGGCGCTCGCGCCAATTGACGTGTTGCAAAACCGCGCAGTGCCGATGTTGGACAATCCTATTAGGCGCCGCGCATTTCTGATTTCATCGTTTCCTCGCGATTTCTTTAAATCTCATATTTTTCTTCTCGGCCTCCAATTCCCAGATGGACCCTAATTTTCGTGGCGAGAAACCCAATTTTCAAAAATTCCTATAGGGTACTGTAAGCTTTCGGATTACGGTAAATGGCGACAAAAATTGGAAATTTTACAGAGCTTTTAATTCCGTGGTTTCAAGATTTTGAAAATTTTTTGGTCTTTCGCGACGAGACCAATTTCAAGGACTACTGTTCAAAGTTCGAAATCTCATAGATCACAAATGTTTAGAATAATGGATTTTCCAATCATTTTCAAGTTTCCGCGCATCGAGACCAATTTCTAATAATTTTTCTCGCTTCAAAATCATTTCTGACGATTACTGTAGAATGCCGATAGTAGATCAAAAAATGTTTCTCGCACTCACCAAAATCGAAATTTTCTGCACGTCTAGACCAATTTCTAATCTACTTGTTTCGCTTCAAGACCATTTCCAGGATTACTGTAACTTGTGCTATTAATAAATTCAATGAAGTTTTTTGTGCCGCAAAAATCGTAATTTTTGAGTCCAACTTCTAACACCGCAATTCTTCGCTTCAAGACACTATCATCACGAATTACAGTACTTGGGACCCCCCCCCCCCAAAGAAAAAAATGTTTGTTGTGAAAACTGGTTGTTTGCTGGGCTGATTAAATAAACACGTTCGTAACAAGTAGACGGACGGGGCGTCGATGAGCCAACCGAATAACCGGTCGACGTGTTCATTATTCGTCTTAGGTCGAGCGCGCGCGCGCGCGAAAAAAAAAATAATAATGAGAACAAGGAAAAAAGTCGACGCGGAAGCTCGTGCGTGTGAATTTTCACGCCCATTCGACTGGCTCGCCGAGCACAAATATGTTACGCCATTGATACTTGCAAGCATTCAAACAATACCCCCCTCACTCCTTTTCCTGGGCCATTGCTGCTCTTTGATGTTCAATTGTTTAAAGGCGCATTCCAGGGGTCTTCTTGTTGCTACTATTTTTCTCCACACTTTCCAAAATCAAAATTTCTCATTTTGAAACCACATCTAATTCTCAGACATATCTATTCATTTTGTTCTTCTTGAAATCCTTCAAAGGGTGGCCGTGGCTGAACCTAAACTTTTTGTGGACACTTTTTTCTCGGCCGCGCCCCTACGGCATTCTCATGTCCTTCGCGTGCACACCTAAAACGATTGCTACCGTATTCCTTGTTTAAATTGGTTTCAGATTATGAGTTTGATACAGTTGACGGTGCTCACAATCTCGGTTGTCGGCGCCCAACACATGACACTTTGCGATTATTTTGAGAAACTTGGTAGCCAATCATTTTTATTTTTTTTCGGATTTCTCTCTGAAACGCTGATTGTTCTAGGAATCGCCAAACCCGAATGCGGTCATATCGTCAAACCGATCTACGAGGCTCCTCCTCCACCGATTTTCGGCGCGTTCTCATCGCGAAAAACGGTCAACGCGTGGAGCGGCGGATTGATGACGTCGCTGCCGTTGTGCCAAAACTATTTTCATAGTTGTATGGCTTCGACGGCTTGCGAGTCGGGCACAATTTGCACGTCGGGTTTGGCGCACGGCTCGTGTTGCACGAATCCGAATCGCGCTAGCTGCCCGACGGCGACTTCAATGAATATCAATTGTAGGAAAACGCGAAGTGTTAATTGGTAAGATTTCCTTTCTTATTGGCTCAAGACATCGATGAGCGCTTGTCAAAATTTATACGGCGTTTGCGCGCATCAGGGAGGCGTTGCACATGTGGAGCAGTGGATAAGCAATTTTTCTGCGGCGCAAATCACCGGCGGTTCGATTCCCTCCCCCCCAAACGCCATTCTATTGCAGGTGCAATACCGACACCGATTGTCGCGGAACGTCGACAACCGCCTCGATGTGTTGCCCGACTGGTTGTAATTATAATATGTGTGTCTACGTTGGCCACCAAATTGTACACCCGCGGCGAAGTGTGGTGTTCTCAAGCTTGCGGAACACCCAAATAAATGATGGTACCGAATGCCCGGACCCTTATACGATGGATATTAAATGTTTGGCGCCAAGGGGCGCCAATTGGTGTCATACTGATGACGAATGTCTTAGCGGGATTAATAAGAGAAAGTAAGGGATCAATTTTGCTGCAGAATATCCAATTTTTGCTCTTTTTAGATGCTGTGCTACACTTTGCGGGTACAACACGTGTGTAATGCGTCTTAATAATAACAAATGGATTATCGCATGAGATTTGCTTCTTTAATTTTAACATGCTATATTTTGTCATTCCTTACAAATATTCAGTTTTCTCGTGTATGTATAAATTATATTGAACGTCACCAGTCTCTTCAAGTTTTTTTTGAACAAGAATAATATTTTTCCTAGTTTAATCGTGATACAAGATATTGAAAAAAATTGCAAAAAGCGACTAGGGGGCACCCGGAGTTGAACCGGGGACCTCTCGATCTGCAGTCGAATGCTCTGCCACTGAGCTATACCCCCAGACGGCGATTGCGGTGGAAGCAGCAAATATGTTTTGGGCGCGCGCCTGTACATATATATATCGCATTTCCGCGCCCACCAGTGGTTTTCATAATGCACACGTGTGAAAATTTTAAGACTTGCGCGAAATAGGTTGCGGGTTCAAGACCCCGCCGGGCGAATAGTGTTTTGCATTGAAATAAAAGATGGGTTTTGAAGTAATGGAACAACTGTGCACGCTGCGTCTCGGCGATTCGCACGCGATTTTCGAATTCTGAACTTCACAGGTGTCTCCCGGCAAAAGCCGCTCTGCGTTTTATTTACACATAATAGTTGGAAATTTCTTGCGTTTTGAATAATTTCCGAACGACGCATCGCTCGCACCGTATAAAGGTCATTTCGTGTTTTCGGCCTTGCGATTTCGCGCGAAAACGCACAATTTCATCGATTTTTGTCCGCGTGTTGTTCGAAAAAACTCGGCGTCCCGCAGCGATTTTTGGCTGTTGAGCGCAAATTGATGAATTTTTCATTCGCCTCCGCATTTTTGAGTGTGATAACGTTTGGTTGGAGCGATTTTTCCGAGAATTTCGGTTTTTTTTTTCATCCAAACTCACATTTTCGCCGAGTTTTCATGCAAAAAATCGTGAACATGGCCACAATTTTGTAGAAATTCTTATTTTTTCGGGTTTCAACACAAAAAAGCGCCTTAACTGATAAACGATGATAATCATTCGAAAATTGTACAAAAATAACAAAAATGGGCGGTATTGTCTTATTGTCTTAAAAATTTTTGCAAAAATTTATTATTATTTTTTTTTCAAATTTTTTTCCAACGAAAACGCTTGTTTCAAAAAATAATTTAATTTAATTTTCAGGAAATGCCCGAAGAAGCCGAAGAATCGAGTTCAGCTCGTATGGCTTGGACCAAACGATTGTCGAGAAGGCTCAATAAACGCTCATCGAGCTTGATTGCTTCGTTGTTGGGCTCCAGAAGCGGTGCGACGTCGTCGAAAGCCATCAACGACGTTGATGATGATGACGAAGACGTCGATGATTCAGAAGCCGATTTGTCGAAGGCTCGACGAGCTTCTGCCGCTCCAAACTTAACAGTGAAGGCAGTTAAAGAGCATCGAAGACGTTCGGTTGATCGAATTCTATTGAAGGTGAGAATTCTCGGGATACGTTTTATGTTAAGTTCGACTATTCTTTTTCAACAATGAGATTTACTAATACGGAAAACAAGTATTTTTTTCAAAATATGATGAGAAAATGCAAAACTTTTCGCTCCCGGGTGGGCTCGAACCACCAACCTTTCGGTTAACAGCCGCACAGATAAACGGCGGCATAGGCACAATGGAAGCATAGTGGAACGGCTGTGGATATCATAGGAATCTTATATGCAAGTTATATGGAAGCATAATGGAAGCATTTTTTTGCGGAACCGCGTGTTTCGTATATGGAATGAGCCGTATGCCTTCCATATGGGAAAATAAGAAAACAATTTGATTGCTGTATTCAAAATTTATTTCATATTAACACATTTATTTAATTTAAAATAAAAAAAACAACAATGAAATGAATTTCAATTAAGATATAATCAAACCATTAGTTACTGGCAACTGCCGAACTATTCGAATCATTGTCAGTACTGACATCGAGCGGGACGCTGTAATAAGTAGATTATAATGGGCCTATTAATTTGAAAAACTTGTAAACCATTGTTACGTAAACTAAATTTTTCGAGAAAATACAATCAGTTTTTTTACATCAATAATTTTCTTAAAAATAAAAATAATTTATTTTTATTGCATTTTTGGAAACCCTTTAGTGCACAAAATAAAAAGTGAATTGGCGGAAGAAAGAACAACTCCAAAATTTGAAGCAAAAAGGCATTTTGGTTAAAATTTCAAAGACATATGAATACTCACATCTGAGGGTTGCTGGTAGAATCAAGCAGCTTCCTTAATTGCGCCGCGAGCGCTTCCGGCGCTACACCAAATTTCCTTTGAAGTCGTTGGCGCATTCTATCGCTTAATCAAATAAATAAATTAATAGTCATAGTTCAAAATCTTACAGAAGATTATTCATGACTTCTCGAACCATGCGTAATGCTTTCGCTTTGAAGTCATTTGTCGGTTGTTGCCCAAAGCCATGGATAAGAGCATCTGTAATATAGATATTTGCAATAAAGTATAGGATCTTTATATAGTCGGCGTCTGGCGACTTCTGTACTAGAGCCCCACTTAAAAAGATAAATGCCACTGAATGATATTGGTACGAAGGCTGTACGGCAATCGGAAATTTCGGCGATTCGGCTAATGGCAAATTACCGATCGAAATTTTCTTCGGCAATTTGAAAAACCGGCAATTTCGGCAATCGGCAATTCCATTGCCGCACAGCCCTGATTGGAACCAAATAATCAACAAGCTTTAAACTTAGGAAGTACTTTATAAAGACTTCATTGCGCATATTTTTCTAATTGAAACCATTTCTGGAGTCGAACAGGCCAATTTTTGATGATAACAACTTACAAATTGGGCGTACGAAGGTTTAGGAATTGGCGTTGATTTTGTTGTTTGTGAGGACTGTGGAGAAAAATTTTTTTGCTGAGTTGGCGAGTAAATTGGACTATCTGGATCTGAAGTGTCGAGCGAATTTGGTTCCATGTTAGGGACTTCTGGTTCTTTGTTATTGACTTCTAGAGCAGTTTCAGTTATATCTGACAACACTCTCGATCTTGTCTTCATCTGTAAAAAATTTCAAAACATTATGTTTTATTAAAAGAAAAAAGCGAGCGATAATAAAAAATATGTTAAAGTAAATAAAAATAAAACGGATTCGATGAGAAATTAAACACAATTCGATTGAGAAAATATTTAAATTCGATTTTAAAAGTGTCGGAAACGATTTGAAAACATCGTATCGATTTTAAAATTTTCGAATGCTATCAATTTATTTTTGGTTTCGATTTTGATGATAAATATGAAAATTTTTCCTTTATTTTTTAAAAACATTTTTCCTTTAATTTTGAAAAAAATTCTTTAATTTTTGACAAAAAAAAAACAAAAAATCTTGAAAATTCATTGAGAAAAAGCAAAAGGACAAAAATTTTGAAAACGAATTTCGAAAATGTGAGGCGTGGCCGCATTGTGCAAAGCGGCGCACGGTTTTGCAATGCTGCGGCACGCCTCTTCTACGCGCGTCTGCTACCAGTTTGGAGCAAATTGTGAGTAGTTTGCGATGCCAATTTCGGAAAAACCGGCAAAAATATATTAATACGACTAAATTGTAGTTGGCAATCTTTAAACAAAGTGAGGAACAGTTGACTGAATTAACATAAATCTGAGTAACATAAGTCATTAAATGGTAGAAGCTAAATTTCGTCCGTTGTGTATCATGTAATTTTCAAATTTTCATTGTTTATATGATAGCATAAGTTTTTTGTATTGATTTTTCTAGAAATTGTCTTGGTCTGCCGTCCAGACGCCAATTGTATAATGTTTATTGACATATGATTATTTTATCCATATTCCATCCATATTTGTTCCACGGCTCGCAAACACCGGAAGCATATTCATCCCGTTTTCATTCCATCCATATTCGTCCCATAATTCTTCCACAGCCACTAAGAATTACATTATGCTTCCTATATGGAAGCATTATGCTTCCGTTCCACAGATTTCCCACAATGCTTCCATTATGCTTGCGTCGCGCTTAATCAGTGCGAACGCGCTGCCTATTGCGCCACGGAAGCAGATGACAGCCGCCATTCAAAAGACGAATAAGTTTGTAGCTGCAGCCTCGTCGCCTGCGTCTCTCCAACTAAACACACAAAAAGAGAATTCTCGGAAATTTTGACGCAAAAAAACGTCAAGTTTAGTGAAGCGAAACCAAATTTGGGCATTCATACACCCATTTTCCCGCTTTTTTCAATATAAAAGAAAATAAAACGAAGTATTTCGCCCGTTGTTCACAAGCAAAAAAAGTTGTTTGGCGACTTTTTCGCGTCCCTCTTCGTCTCTAACCGCCTCCGGGTCCCTGTTGCAAAAAAACTATCGATTTTTGCGTTGAGGAGCCGCTTTTTACGAAAGAAACTTGCTCCGTTTTTTTCCAGACGACTTTCTTGTTGTTATACGAATTTTTCATGTTTTCTAATTGCCAAAAAGAAAGACAAGGCAATTATTATTTCCCAAACTTTTTTAAAATTAAAACAATCATTTCCTATTCCGAATTTTGTAATTTTTGAAGAATTAATTTGAAAATTATGTTTAAATAATGAAAAAATTAAAAAGAATCTGCCAATATTGTGGTTTTACTATAATTATAGATTTTGGCTCCAATTAAAAAAAAGAAATAATAATTTTTTTTATTTTTTTTTATTTTCTCTGCACCGAAATTCGATAACTGCATATATATTACCAAAAAACGACGACATTGAGTATTTGTGGACCATTGAATTTTATCGGTGGGCGGTAATTCAAGTTTGTACCGTACTGCGGCTAACATGCGAATCAAACTCACCGTAAATCTACACAGAGACCCCCCCCCCTTTATCATTATTGCGATGTCATTTTTTCTCAATTTTCCCTCCGAAATTCTCACATGTTTTCGGCGAAAAAAAAAAGCGTTCGATATTGATCGATTTTCTGTCGATTTTCGAGTGTTTGTCCAACCAAATAATCCGTTGTTTCGCTCTTTTTCCTATCTTCTTTTTCTTTTCCATTTTTCTTCATCTTTTTTTTAGTCTCGCATTTTTGCCCTGCCCAACTTTTCTTTTCCAGCGCAAAACATTTTTATAGGTAAAACGCAAAATGAGCTCGACGTCCGTGGAAGAAGCAGTGAGTTTTTGCGTTGTTCTCGTGTGAAAATGCACCAAGAAAAAGTGAAAAAAATATTCTAGGGATTTGTTTTGCGTGTGCACGAAGAAGAATTAGACTTGAAATTTCAGTCTACTTTTTCAGTAAATATTCAATAATCAGAAAAATTTTTTGTTTTTCAAAATTAAAAATTGTTGGTGCGCGCTTTCATATACGCCAATAACTGTTCTGTACTTCGGTGCGCGCTTAGCGTGCTCCTTTTGATTTCGCCCGTCGCGCACAAGGCCACGGGTTCGAGGCCCCTCCCAGCGAACATGCATAATTAGACGCCGCCACACCCAAATATGAAGGTCGCAATTCGATTTTTCTCTCATTTATTCATGAGTTTTTCCCGTTTTCGCCTCTCTCTCCTCCAGTTTCTCGTTTTTACTAGTAGTTGTCATCGACATTACCCCATTTTTGTCCAATTATGACTAGTTTTAATCTCATTGAATCACTTCAATTTTTTTTTTCGATTGAATGACCAATTTATGCAAATTTTTCGCTGCAGATTTTTGGTCAAAAATTCATAATTTTTGTTCAATGTTCCAGGGCTTTGAGGCGGAAGTTAAAAAATTTTTTGAATTCAATTTTACAAATAGTCGCCCTGACGCAAAATTGCAGACTTTCCCATCAAGTACTTTAAATAATCGAATCATTTCCCCAGATTTGTCGAATTAGGTTAATCCGCAATCACATTACACAAATTTGCGGACTTTAAAACATCTTCCTCAATCAGTGGTGAGTAATTTCAGTTTTAAGACATTCAACATTGTCATATGGCTGAAAAATTGTTTCCTCTTCTAAATTTGCCCAATTAAATAATACAATATGCCGAATGACTGTCAACCCTTGCTAAATTGTCATTTGAAACGATTTATCATTGGATTTTGCATTGAAATCATCTGTCATCAGGAGATGATCGATGGATCCCGAAAACCAGTACGATTCCCGCGAAACCCATACACACCACGATAGTAGGCAGTCAGCGAAATGGTCGAAGCGCGAGAGAGCGAGGGAGATGTCCCGGTACGAATCGTACCGCAATTTGAAGAGAACACACGCAAATTGTTTGAAGAGGTGCCTGCGCGGAACAATACAAACAGTCATTTTTGTCTCGTCGCCTCGCCACGTCTCTTCGGCGGCGCCACACTATCTCGCCGCCGTCTCGTCGTCGCGCCGCTCTCTCGCCGCCGCGCGCTCTCTCGCCTCCCGATTATTCGGGACACGGGCCTCCGCGTTTCGTCCGGCCCGATGCCTCGTTTTCTCTAGTTTTCTCGATTTTCGTGTAGTTTGTAGTGTTTCGGCCTTTCGGCCCCGCCGGGCCCCTCGGTTCTCCACCGAGACAAACCCCCCCCCTTTTTTGCCTTCCTTCTATTTCGTCGTAAGACCCATGCTGATGAGGATGATGATGATGATGAGATGACATTGATTGGTTTTCTCGTGTGTTTCTCTCCCCCGTACCCCATTCCGATTCCCACCCTGAATCGCTCTCGATTCTTGCTGTTCGACGCGTCTATCGATTTTCCGCGTGCGGTTTTTTCTCTCAAGGATTTTCGAAGCGAAAATCGAATATTTACCGTCGACGCTGATCGTTTTCCCTGGGATAATTGAGAATTTGAGCGAAATTCGAATCTTTCAATGACTCGTTGCCGAAAAAATCTGTGATTTTCGCAATTTGAATCCAACGATTTCGAAATAGGCATCTTGAAAATTGAGTTTCACCTGTTTGTGACGAGGTTCCAATAGGATTTCTTGAAAAAAAAAAAGAAATAAAATATTGGTATCGTCAAATTCTTAAAAAAAATCACGACTTTCTTTATTTCCAATATAAACATTTTCTTAAAATCTGCATTTCCTTACGTTTTCCAAATAATTGAATGCGTCATTGTCATTTTCGCCTAATTTTGGCGATTATTACCTGAAAACCCGCATTTTTCCATGAATAGTGTCATTTTCTCATATGAAATTTGCAAGATTTCATTTATTTTTACCCAATTCCGGCTATTTATGGCCGTTCAATTAGCAAATTGCGTAATTCCCATGGGAATTTTTGCGGTTTTCCAATTAATTAGCCGATTTTCACATAAAATGCCTTGAAATCCATCATTTTTTTCGCCTAAAATGTTCGATTTTCAATTCAAACGATGAACTTGTTTCAGGAGCATGTGAAATCGCCTCAAACCGACAAACAACAGCAACAAAAGGACAAAATTATTGAAAAGGTTCGATTTTCATCCGAATATGGTCGAGAAATGTTTATCAAGTGTCAATATTTGTTCAACTTCGACGTTTGATTTATAATTTCGTTGAAACGCTGCCCACTGAAAGATAAGAAATTAGCGAAAGTTAGCGGTAAATAAAAGAGGAATAAAAATAACGGTCTAAGTTTTGGTGGCCGCGACCGACAATTTTCTAGGCCACCGGCGTTTCTTTTTTCATTTTCAATTTTCACACATTTTGTTTTACCAACAATTTTCGCTGATTTGTAGGAACGAAAATCGTCGTCCTCGACACAGCCAACAACAGCGAGAAAGCCGAGCTCAAGTGCACTGAAGCCGACAAACACACCGGTCTCAACTACAAAGGTTATTTATTTAAAACAAAAACCCGAATTCGGCACCGCAAAACATTTTCGAAGTCGACGAGCAAACACGCTTCAACAATTATCAAAAATTGCTCATCATTATTTTCACAGGTTCCTTGCGCCATAATTGTACGATTTACGTCAAAATTTTTGAGCTGGCCACAAACTGATAGCGCTTATCGTGTGAAATACGGGTTTTCGAGTTTTTCTAACCAAACTTTACTATTTTTGGTATCAAAAATCATCGATTTTTCGGTTTTTGTTAGAATTTCGTGTTTCAAAACTATATTTTTTATATTTTTATATTAGATTCTGTTAAATATTGGATTAAAACACCGATTTTACGTGAAAATTCGTTAAAAAATTGTTCATTTTTTGTATGGAATTGCCGAAAAAAGCGTTTTTATCAGCAATCCGGTAACTTTTTTCAACATTTGAAAGACAGAGAACAATTAAATATGATCCGAAAGAGTGAATGCACTTTGGAGTCGATTGGAACGAATTTTTTGTGCGATGTTTGAGACTTAAGTGCAATTGCACTTTTTTTTGGGGGGTCCGACCTTTTTCATTGCAATATTATGCATTTTTCAGCGTCCGTCGACAAGCAACACAATGAATGGAACATCAGGAAGCAGCGGACAAAACGCGGGCGGCGTCTCATCGTCATCATCGTCGTCGGCGGCCGCGAATCAGCCACCGAACTCGGCCCGATATACGCACGCTCCAGCGACGAGCGTCAGCAGTCGATCTCATCAATCGGGAAGGTGAGATTATTTTGCGAAACATTTGAATATTACTCCAATAATGAGCTGGAATTGCAATTTTTATTTCAAAATGACAACTGAAAATCGTTGGTAATAAAGTATAGTAATAAATAAATAAAAATATTTTTTGGGTAGTTGTTTGAGAATTTTCGAAGTTCAAAAAGTGCAGTATCGATTAATAGTGTTCTTTGCTCTCTAAAAAAATTCAAATTTTTGAGAATTTTGAGAAAAATTTCGATTTTTCGTCATTGAAAATTGAAATTTTTTACATTTTTCGCTGATTTGACGCAATTTTTCCAAATTTTTGTGGCGAAAACCTTCAAAAGTAAATAAATTGAACTCTGTGAGGCCCATAGTTAATCTACAGGGTGTCATTTAAGTTCCCGCACAACTTTGAAGACGTATATTTCTGAAACTAAAAGTCCAAATCAAACGAGACTCAAAATATTATTTATCTATAGTACAACAAATAATTATCTATTAACTCTTTTCGATTCGGCCTCCTTTCGCAGCTATGACTTCACGGAGACGCTTCGGGTAGGATGTGACTGTGGTACGCAGGTATTCGATGGAAAGATTGTCCCACTCCGCCAGTAATGTCCTCTTCAGAGCCTCTACACTTGAGTGGGGTTTTGCGTTGACCTTCTCCTGCAAGACCCTATCACGGAAAAGTCAAGCGGTTTCAGATCTGTGGAGCAATCAGGCCATTCGGATGACTTGATGAAGTCGGGAAAATGGGTCTGGCACCACTCCTGAGTAGTTTTGGCAGTGTGGGCGGGTGCTCCGTCCCGCTGAAAGACCCATATCTGCCCACCGAAATGCGTTTGGGTCCAGGGCATCACATGCTTCTCCAAAATGTCCCGAACGTAGACTTCTTTGTTCATTTTCACTCCCTGATCCACGAAATCCTGGGGGCACATCCCGGTTGAGCAGATGGCACCGAAAACCATCACACTGGCAGGATGTGAGGCTGGATGATATGTTCTTCCTTTCTCAGAAGCTTGCTGGGATGTCTGGGCAAGTACTCAATGGTTTTGTGAGTAGAATGCCGTCTCCACAGTGAATAGCTTCTAGTCGGAGAAGACAGTGACGAGATCTTGTCCAGACCGCGTGCGAGCAAGAAGTCGTTTTGCTTTTTCGAAGCGTCTCTGCTTGTTGACGGCCGATAGAATTGCCGCTTTTTGGACACGATATGGGGTCAGTACAAGCTTCGTTTTGACGATTTGTTCCAAAGCGAAGATGCTCATTCCCATGTCTGACGCTATCTTTCTCATGCTCCTGTGGGGGTTTCGGCTGATCCTCGATTTGACGGCGTTGATCTTCTGAGGAGTGGTTACTGAGACGAGTCTTCCTTGTCTGGGACGGTCACTGGTCGTATTTAGCTCCTTGAATCGTTTGATGGTGTCATAAACCGTTCTACAAGGCACACCGACCCGTTGAATGATGTCTCTCGGGCTCACATTTTGCTTATGAAGTTCGATAATGGTAGCGCGATGGATGTTAGCCTTCGCCATTTCTCGGAAACACATCCGAATGAGGTGAGACTTGGAAAGTAAGTAAAATATACCTTGTTCAATAAAAATAAATTGTATTGGTGTACGAAAAGTGCGTTAGCGAAGCTCTACATGGCGTCAAACTTTTGTGCGGGAACTTAAATGACACCCTGTAACTGTGAGGTATGAACATTCTGAGCTTCTTCCCATTATTTTTTGGGTGGCGATTTTTGTTTGCTTTTCGCCAGACTGAGTTTACACAAGAAATTGAAGGGTTTTGATTTCAGTTTTATAAAAGTTTTTTTCAACCGGAAAATGTTTGGAAACAACATTTTTTGTATAAAAATGACGGGAATTGTTGAAAATTTCTCATTTTTTCGCTGAAATCGATTTTTTTTTTGCAAAAAAGAGAGAAATGCAATTTTGGCTCTTGAAAATCTCGAGTGTTGCTCTTCTGAATTGAAGCAGTTGCCAATTTTTTGGACTTTCAAGAGAGAAATTGTATTGAATTCAAATTTTTGCGATAAAATCTCGATAATTTCGTTATTTCTTTTCAAGAAAATTAAATTTCAATCGGTTTTCTCTACGAAATTAAATTTTTTTTAAATAAAAATTCAAGTTTAACCGAAAATTCGAATGATCATTTTTTCAAGAAGGAATTGGAATTCTTCTCCAAATTAATCGTAAAATTGCGTTTTCTCGTTCAAAATCAATCATCAAAAGCTAAAAATATCAATTTTGCCGTTAAAAGTCAATAAAAACTCATTTTTTTGTTGGCAAAAACACGATAATTTGAATGATTAGAGCCCAAAATGCCCTTATTTGCTGTCGATTATTTTGTGTTTTCTCATTCTTTTGCGTTTCGTCAGCTTTTCGCATCTTCTCGTTGAGCTTTTCTTTTTTTTTTCGTCCCCTTCTTCGCAAATTCGCCGTCGGCTCCCCTCTTCCGTCCCAGATTTGCCCATTTTTGGACACGAAGTGCGTGTGTTTGAAACATTTTCCGAACACTTTCATCATTTTTCGCTATGTTTTCCAGAAATTTGCTGGCCCCAACGATATAAATTGAAAATTGAGATTGTCGCCACAAAACAAATTGTCTGTCTCACCGAAAAATAATCGAAAAAAAAAATTCCGTCATTTTCCGTTGTAATGAGCAATTTTCGTCATTTTTTGACCAGATTTGGGACTCGTTCAACCGAAAAATGTTCTACTTCCCAATAAAAAAATGTTCGGCATTTTTTTTTTGACGTAAAATTTTGGATTGTGAACGTTTTCACATTAAAAATGCCAATTTCAAGATTTTGCCCGCATTTTTTTTTAAAAATTTAGCATTTCGATATTCATTTTTTAAAAGACTTTTTCTGCAATTTCCAATTTTTGTTGTACACATATTTTTAAAGAGTTGTACTAAAAAAAAGACTATTCTCACCAGTTTTTTAAGAAGTTTTGGTTTTCGTCGAAATTTTCCAATTTCAACCCGAATTTGATTGAAATTCACCCGTTGTCTCATCAAATTTCAAGCGTTTCTCTCTCGATTCAAACAATTCTTTCATTTATGATGTTCGAACTCTTCACTATTGTGTTTCTTGACTGGTTCTTTGTCCCTCTCTCTCTCTCTTTTTTTTTGACCCGATTGAAAAATGCGAATTGTCTTCTAATTCACACCTGTAGATTTTTGTCTCTCTTCGTCACCTTTTGATCTTCTTCCTTCCTGCCACGTGTCATCATGAAATTCCTGTGGAAACCGCCGCCCGAGTGAGTTTTTCTATACGTTCTCCTCGATATTGCCCATTAGTTTCCGGGCCATCCGAAAAAAAAATGGCAATCAATCGCCACATTGGTCTTTATTTTTGTTAATTTCGTGCTGTCGGAAATCGATGAGAATTGTGATTTTTGCCAATAATTGCTTAAAATCTACAAATTCCCCATTTGAACTCAAACGCTGAGAGCGAATTAGTCGATATTGAAACAAAACATTGCAATTACTATCCATAATTGGAGTGTTTTAAGTCCCCCCCCACCAAAAAAAAGTACAAAAAATTGAATACTGAAGCCTCAAAACCTTGTAATTTTCGTGAGAAAAAATAAAACCCATTATAAATGAGAAATTTGAATGGAAACTTGTTCTCGATGACAAAAGGCAAAAGCTCTGAACGGGTGTATTATTATGGCGGAGAGGGCGCCGACGACGGCCGCCGGCCGAGTTCGACAGTTTCTCGTCTGCCCGCCTGCGTCTCTCGTCATCGACGTGTTGTCTCGCGCCGTTCGCCAATGTCTGCGTCTCGTCGTGTTGACACTGTCTGGATGAGTCATTCAATTGATTTCGGCGCGGCCACCTTCATTTTTTTGCCGGCGACGATTTCGATACCCACACCGATCGTTTTTTCTCCTGACCCTATTACAAATTGTTGAATTAATTTTGATCAGAGGCCAAATTATGTAAATTTTCAGCGATTTTTGACCTATTTTCACATTGTTCCACTTTTTTTTGGCCGAAATCTGTCCAAATTTCGTAGCAACTTTCGTCTAGAAATCCTCCAATTTATGATTCAATTAATACGATGAAACATCGCGTTTCTTATGCATCCGCGCTGGATCATGATCCAGAGCATATTCCGATATGCTCGGGATTCCTTGACGGCACTAATATATTATTTAGGCAGAATTATGTTGAAAGGTGGGTCAAAAAGGAATTGTGGGTTTTGAGGTTTCTCGTCGGCTATTTTTTTTTTGAGAGGGGATGGGGGGGGGCTTATGCCCAAAAAAAATCTAGCTGAATTTTGTCGGATTTATTCGCCCTGCGGGGAATTTGATATTTTACGAGCGCTGACTCATCGCTTTTCTTGACATTTTCGCTGCGAGAATCGAACGAACATGAAATATGATATATAATGCAAACTTTTCGCTCATTTTTTTTGTGACATGCCAAAAAATTGAGTCATTTTTTAGGGAGGCACTTTTTTTTCGAAGAAACAAAAATTTAAGTCTATGTGTTTTTGTTGCAGTTCATCGCACGGTCGCTCATCGACATCGGGAATGAGCGGTTCGAGTCGATCGGCGGCCCGTCGAGCCAATGAGGATGTGCACGTGGGAAAGTACAAATTGCTTAAAACAATTGGAAAAGGCAATTTTGCCAAGGTTTGTGCTCAATATTTCCTAAATGTTCGATCTTCTGCCTCTTACTCTTGTTGAGTAACGCGGGGGAAGATCGAACATAATCGCATTGGTTGTTGAGTTGAGTGTTGAATTGAGTACAAAAAAAACGACACCACCCATTGTACTCGTGTTCACACTTTGCGCAAATATTTGAGCTGTAAACTGTCTGACACCGGTTTTCCGGAAGATCGAACATCAAGCTTGAAATGATATCATTGGCGGTTTCGAAAGACATTTCCGGTGAGATTGGTCTTATCTCTCGTGGTTTTTTGTTGCAATCTAGTGGTTTTCGGGCAATATGAGTAATTGCTATGGTTTATTTGCTCGTCTGGAACGTACAAAGTTTTGATAATATTTTAAACAAATAATGCGGGGCACAATTTTCACCGGAAGATCGAACATTTTTGGGACATAGTTGACTCAGAGGAAGATCGAACACACTAGCAGAACGCAATAATCCAAACTCGTGATTGTCTTCAGGTAAAACTTGCGAAACACATCATCACTGGACAAGAAGTGGCCATCAAAATAATTGACAAGGCGGCATTAAATCCGAGCAGCCTACAAAAACTATTTCGAGAAGTGAAAATCATGAAGCAGCTCGATCATCCCAACATTGTCAAACTCTATCAAGTCATGGAAACTGAGCAAACGCTTTATTTGGTATTGGAATATGCGTCGGGCGGTGAGGTGTTCGATTATTTGGTGGCACACGGGCGAATGAAAGAGAAAGAAGCGAGGGCGAAATTCCGACAAATCGTCTCCGCTGTTCAATATTTGCACTCGAAGAATATTATTCATCGGTTAGTCATTGTAAAAAAAATGAAATTCAACGTTTTTAATTGTTTCTTTTCAGAGACCTGAAAGCTGAAAACCTATTATTGGACCATGATATGAATATTAAAATTGCCGACTTCGGATTCTCCAACACCTTTTCTTTAGGTAGATTTCATTTTTGTTTTTTTTTTTTTCAAACAATTTTTACATTTTAGGCAACAAATTGGACACATTTTGCGGTTCGCCGCCATATGCGGCACCGGAATTGTTTAGCGGAAAAAAGTATGATGGTCCCGAAGTTGATGTGTGGAGTTTGGGTGTCATATTGTACACGTTGGTCTCCGGAAGTTTGCCGTTTGACGGACAGAATTTGAAGGTAGAGAATTCGAGCCAACATTGGCAATTTTGAAGCATTTTGATAGAATAATTGGAATTTTTAATATCGGATTATTAGATTTGAGGTGTTTTATTATTTTAATCAGATTCCTGTTAAAAAAAATCTTGAAATATGGAACAAATAATAGAATTTTAAACTAAAATTTATCCTTTTTTCAACCTATCAATTTTGTTGCCAATTTTCAGGAGCTCCGTGAGCGCGTCTTACGCGGAAAATACCGTATACCATTCTACATGTCAACCGATTGCGAAAATCTACTCAAAAAATTTTTGGTGTTGAACCCGCAAAGGAGAAGCTCATTGGATGTGATCATGAAAGATCGATGGATGAATGTCGGATATGAAGATGATGAGCTGAAGCCTTATGTGGAACCGCCGAAAGATCAAATTGATGAAGCTCGAATTGAGAAGTTGATTCAGGTTTGACGACGAGAAATTTGAATTTTCCGCCAAAAAAACAATGCCCATTATTTTTGCAGCTCGGATTCAATAAGCAAACGATTTTGGAAAGTGTTGAAAAGGAGAAATTCGAGGACATTCACGCCACTTATTTGTTATTAGGAGAAAGAAAATCGGATGTAAGCTTTTGATGATTTGAACAGATTTTTTTCTCTCTTTCTCGCTCTCTAACAAATATAAAATTGAAATTTTTTAACAATTTCACCACTAACGAACAAAAAAGTTGATTCAGTCTCGCCGGTTTTTCTTTTGGGTTTTTTGAATGCGCCTTTAAAAAATATGCGATGTATCATTTATTTACTGTGCTTATTTTTTTTTTGAAAAAAACCAGAACTATCGCAAAAGGCATGATTTTTGATTTTTTTTTTTCAAAGAAAATCCAATGATTCATTTTTCTTGTACTAATTGCGTGTTCAGATGGATGCGAATGAGATAACGATTGCACAATCATTGATAACTCATTCGTCGATAAATGTCTCATCGAATATTGGCAAACATCCGGCTGGTGTCATCACAAGGGACCATATTGGTAGCTCGGCGAGCCCGAATTCATCGGTATGAGTTTTCTGGTGCATGGTGTGCATGGTGTGAGCTCAAATTGCCAGTTTTTGTTTTTGTCACGAACTGTCTTCTTTTCTTTCTCCACCTCAACACTAAATTGATATTTTCAGCCGTCTCGATACTCTCGTTCGAGTTCGGCTCAACAGTCGGCGAATGGAGCTGGACAAGGTGGCGGCGGTCAGTCGAAGCCATCATCGACGACGGCGTCGAGGCGAAGTAGTCAGAACGACGCGGTTGTTGGGCATGGTCCGACGGTGGTGATGTCGGGCACTCGGCACGGCGGTGTACAGATGAGAGCTCAGCCGACGAGCCGGCATCCAGCTATCAGTCTTCTTCAGCCACCTTCGTATAAGCCGTGTAAGAGCAAAATTTTGCGCCGCGTGCACTTCAGCGTTGGCATAACCCAGAAAATTTCAGCATCAACCACGCAACAACTGCCCCAAATTCCGCCGCTATTCAATCGCAACTCGACGGCATCGGGGGCCGCTTCGACGACCGCTGGCGCTGGCGCCTCTGTTCGAAAATCGGTTGATCCGAAGGGCCGAATGCCGCTGAACGCGGTGGCTTCCAGCGCGACACATCGTACAGCGACGGGCGCGGCGGCCGCCGGCGCTGGTGGAATTCCGACTGCTGGCAGTCATCGAGAGTGAGTTTCGCCGAGAAGAAAATTCAAAGAATCTAGGAAAAATGCGAAATTCGCCAAATTTTTGCGTGCGCCTTGAATGTATACTGTAGTTTTACATATGCTCTCGATATGCTGCCAAATGGTAGTGGCGCGCGGTTCAAATTTTTACGCTCCGCCCACCTGATGTCATCTGTCTTCAACAAAACTAAAGTTTTTTTTGTTTTGAAATTCCCTCCGGAATTTCGCAGCCCTCAATCTTTCAATTGCGACACTTTTTCTTTGCTAGTTATTCTCGGGAACGCCTAACGAGGGACCAAAATTTGGTTTTTTGTAGCATCATGCAATTATTTCAGTCAATACATGAATCAATTGACATCATCGGCGATGATGTCGAAATTGGTGAGCAAAGTGCCGCAATCGTCGTCGACGCAGCAGAATGCTCCTCCGCCGTTACAGGTATTTTTTTGAATTGAAATGTAGAGATGAAAAAATCGATTTGAAATTGTTGTTTTTCGACGAAGAAAGTTGGATTTTTAAGGGGGGGGTTTGATCCCAAAAAGTTCAATTTTTGCCCTTTTCTAGCCATTTCTGTTTCAGAAATCTGGATCGCAAATCTCGCATGCTCCAACAGAGCCAGCGATTCGCGAAGATGACGATGAGACGAGCGAATCATCGAATGTGCCGATTATCGGCGGCGCTCCGCCATCACCATCGGCGATCTCCGCCGATTCCGATGAGGCTTCGGAAAAGGCGGCATCGGAAACGCCGAAAGAGAACAAGTGAGTCGATTGGTTTCTTCATTTCATTTTATTTTTGGGTTCTCTAACGCTTTTTCAACACACGAGTCTTTTTTATTAACATTCCACCCGGTTTTCTTCATTCATTTTTTTCGTCGGACCCTACCCATCTAACTATGTAGAAGATGCTTGGGACCATTGGAATGCACCACCACTGTTTGGATTTTTCGACTTGGAGATTTCCCGATGTCGTGAGAACCTTGATTATTTGGATTTTTCGACCTTCTAACTATTAACCACAGCTTTTGCCATTTAAACCACATAGCAAAGTCGAAGACGACTAGAATCTAAAATCACGTTGAAAATAATTTTGTTTTGCGAGATTCGCACGACAAATGCACCAGCTTGAATTCACTTGAAAATTTGAAAAATCGATGAAAAAGAAATTCTCGAAAAAAAACCCGTACTGCGCAAATGTTGTGTGTGTGTGTGTGTGTTCTCTTGATTTCGACAGGTAAAACAAAAATCAGACAATTTCTTCATTTTTTGTGTTTTCATTTTCTTTTTTGTCATTTTTTTCTATATGTATATTATTAATGTAGTTTACATTGGCTGTAAGGCATCGCACACACGTACCTTTGAGCTCCGCCTCCCTAGGGACCCCATTTTTCTTGTAACAATGACCCCTCCCCCCCCCCCCTTCCCATCCCCCATTTCCGCCCTCTTGTTGCCTTATTGTAGGCCACTCCCACTTTTTACAGGCCCCAACCCCTTCGCTCGACATTTGCGCACTTTTTTGCTTTATTTTCCTCGATTTTTTGAATGTGTCTGTCCATTTTACCATCATTTTTCAATTTTTTTTTATTTGGGTACATGTGCGATGTCTGTTTTGCATGAGCTTGTCTGTCCCCGATATTTTTTGAAGTCCATGTTTAGACTGAAATTTTAGACCCGCATTTTTCATTCCCAATGTTTTTTTAAGATATGTGTGCGTGTGTGTAAATGTGAATTTGATGCCAAAATTTTATTCGAACGATTTTTTTTCTCGACTTATTTGATTTTAACAGCATGTTGTGGCGCAATCAAACGCTTCATCTCGATGAGAATCTGATGCCGACGACGCCGACGACGACGACGGCGAAGCGTGTGCCGGCGCGGCGAAATCCGCGACGAATGACCGTCATCGACGCGACGCCGCTGTCGGCGGTACGCCTTGGCGATGTGGCGAGTGCTGATCGCGCCGGCATTCTTCACCAACCGCAAGGGACCATTGATCGGCAAATGGCGGCGTTGTACGTGGCGACGGCGACGCCGCGGCGATTCAATGCCGACGTCGTCGCCTCGCCACCGACGACGGCAACGACGACGTCTTCATCAGCGGCAGAATCACCGAGAAGCAACGCGTCGACATCATCCTACTTCAAACGGACCATTTCGTTTCGAATGGTTGTGTTTTTTTGTTTCTCTTTCTTCTTCTCTTCTCAAACTCTCTAGACTTTCCACACGTTTTCTCGACTTTTTATTCCAAAATGTATTCTGTATATGGTAATGCAGTGGAGTGCGGTGTTTGACACAATATTTGCGCAGGGTTAAAAAAATTTTCCCAATTTTTTGATGGTCTTAAATAAAAAGTGCCCGCTAATGTCGAAGTTTAGATAATTTGCGTATTGAAACATTGATCTACTATAATTTGCTCGTCTGACGAACGAATAATGAGGATTGTTTGATTGCAGGCCGTCGATGATCCACCAATCGCCTTCGATGCCGCCGCAGGCGATGATGAATGCAATGGAATCGTTGACGATGGCCGAAAATGCGCAGAGCACGCAAGTCGGCGCGGCGGCGAGCGCAGCGCAACCGCAACGCGCCGCTTCACAACAAATGTCGCGCTCAGCGACGACCAATAACGCTTCGGGAGCGGCAACGTCAACGAATTCATCAGCACCAATCACCACAACTACGGGACCATCTAGTCAGGTTCGTCGCGTTTTCTTTTTTCGGCTTCATTCCCTTAACGAATTGAAGTTGGGCTCACTTCAATTGTTGCTTCCCCGCCCCCCGAAATTCCCCCAGTGTTCAGGCTTCTCCTTTGTCGAATCATCCCTAATTAATTATGTCATCTTGTTGAATTAATTATTTAATTGCCGTTAATTATGATGAATTAGAGTGTCAAAATGAAGGCGTTTCGCGCGAAACCCTACGCGAGTGTAGTGAGTTGATTGGTTTGGAATTGAAATTTGAGGACACTGTCGTTTCATTATTTTGTGTTTTTCGTATATTTCGACTAATTTGATTTATTTTTCATTTCCTCTATGATTTAATCTGCCGCCTGCACGCCAACTTGCTCAACTACTCGTTTTCTTTTTCCTCTATCGCTGAGTTGCTCGTGAATTGCGAGAAATGCGAATGGATTTTTTTGGTTTTATTTATTTTTTTTTTGCAAATATTGATTGAAGTGGAAATTTAGAGCTGAAAATTTGCGAAATCTCGAATTTTTGCCAGTTTTTTAATGTATAAATTTTTTGAAGCCACACATTTTTCGTGTAAAATTGAAAAGAAATTATTTTCATTTTTAAAAGTGAAATTTTAATGAAAATGGAGAAATGCATGGATTTGGGAGAAATCGGGCTGTGAAATTGATGAGAACGCGCCAAATTTTCAGCAATATTCGACGCAACATCATCCGAATCCGATATCGCATCCGATTCCGCCACAACTAACCCATAACGCATCGTTCACGACGACGCCAATCGTCGTCGCTTCGTCTGGCGCCGCGCCGTCGGCGTCATCGGCGGCGTCGTCGACGGCGTTTCCGCGAAACACGCGCAATCGTCAAACGTTTCACGGAAAAACTGAACGGGACAAGGTAAATTCACAGAAGTTTTTCTTTTTTTTTTCTTTCTCTCTCACGAGAAACAACAAACGTCGGCTTTTGTTTGGCTATATATATATATATATACATATATTATTTTTTTGCGCTGAATTCTTGATTTTTTCTTTTTGATTTTCTTTATTGCTCAAATTTCGAGTTGTTCTAACCGAGTTTCGCTTTTTTTTTCATTTGTGTCAAACCCCGAACCGAAATCCCGATTTTTGTCGACGTTTTTTGTCCTGTACGTTTTGTGAAGTTTTTTTTTGTGAGAAATACCCGAAATTTTGATATGAAATGGTCCCGAAATGCATTTTTTGCTCATTTTTTTAAGGGGTGATGAAATTCCAGAAAAGTGTGAAAATTTCAATTTTTTCATAGTTTTTTTTCGAAATGCAATTTTTGTTCGACATTCGAGAACATTTCTGAAATTCTTTGTTGTTGCGAATTTTTTCGGCAATTTAGCCCAAAAAGCACTTTTATTTTTCGAAAAAAAGAGCAAAGATTGGTTTTGCTTGAATTGTTGCCCAACTTTTCATCGTTTTCAGGGCGGCGATGACGACGACATCAGCGATTTGCCGGCGAATGTTTCGATTGGCGCGGCGTCGGGCGGCACCGGCAACGAGAGCACACTGTGGAGCAAACTCACGAAATTGACAAGACGGTTCGTCAAAAAAATTTGAATTGCCTCCAATTTCTTTCCATTCACCGGAAAACAAAATCAAGAATTTGTTTTTTCCATTTTTTTTTGAAAAATCGAACCACTTTTATGTTTTAAAGGAACATTGCGCCTATTAAAAAAACGTCACCACCCTCTACCCAAACGACTAACTAACAAGGGACGGGTTTTGTTGCTGATTTTTTTCATCCTTTCTCCTAGGGACCATGGAAAATCTCTTGCATGCCTCGGTTTCTTAACATTTTCGTTTGTGTTCATTTTTTCTCTCAACTAACTCTTTGAGTTTATTGCTCGTTTTTTGTATATAATTTTTAAATATACTACTAATAAATCGAAAATTCGAGTTTGTTTTTTTCTTTATTTATCTTTTTTTTCGTTGTTTTCATGAGGGATTTTGTAAGAAAATCTCATCGGTTTTCCTCAAAACTCCCCAAATTTCGTTTTTTTTGCATGCTTTTCTCGGTTGACCCAAGCACGAATTAACCAACCTTCCCGAATTGTTATGGCATGTCTGTGGTTTTCATTGCAGTAGTAGCACGGCTTCATCGGCGACGTCGGCGGCGGCGGCAGCATCGGCGGCAGCGTTTCGTCAGCGCAACCAGAACCCCCAGCTTCATCATTCGATGTCGATGACCCAAAGGTACTTCGCTTTGTTGTTCGTGTTGTTATGTGCTGCTGCTTTTTGTGGTCCCTTGCGGCATGCCCCTCCTCTTCCTCCTTTCAACTTCCCCGCGTGTTCCTCTCCAATTTTGAATGCCATTCTTCTGTTGTTGTTGTTTTTTGCATTCTTCTCTACATAATTTAGCCCATCACAAATATCTTCAAATGGACCGCCGGGTACGGTAGCCGGAACTGCTGGAGCAGGTGGCCATCATCGCAGATATGGAAGGCATGAACTTCTTTTCTTCTTCTATTTGTCACTTTCCTGTTCTAGGGACCATCTTCTTTTTTTACATGATTTCTTTGCTTGTTTAGGTCTTTTGAATCCGAATTTAGGGATCATTTCTAAGCAGTTAGGGACCATTATTTTTATTATTAGGAACATTCATTCATTATACCCCCCCCCTCCCCCCGGGACCCTTTAAATCGAATTTCGTTTTTTTAAAATTTAATTTTCATTTTTAGGGACCATAACCGTGAGAGTATGACTCAGCCGGTTAGTGGACGAGCCGGAACGATTGGAGCCACAAGAGGCCAACAGACAGCGGCAGCGATTGCCGCGGCAATTAGAGAAGGACAAGTGGTATGAGCATTGAACGACCATATTTGGGCAACAATGCGTATTTTTTAGAGCTCTCCAACGACACCGCCCGTCACGAGCTCCGGTCAGGCAGATGACGTTAAACCAAGATCGCTGAGATTCACGTGGAGCATGAAGACGACGTCGAGTTTGGCTCCAGATGACATGATGAGGTGAATTTTTTTTTTGCCATTTTTGCTTTTGGACTCATCTCTATTTTTTTTCAGAGAAATTCGCAAGGTTTTGGACGCCAACAATTGCGATTACGAACAACGTGAACGATATATGATACTGTGTATTCATGGTGATCCGAACACCGATTCGTTAGTTCAGTGGGAAATGGAGGTGAGAGTTGAACTTTTTTATGACGAAATTTTGATGGATTTCGGAATTTTTAAGATATTAAACGATACTCCGCAGTTTACACTATACCCTTTGTTTAGCGTAATTGTCTCTCATAGGTTTTTTTTAAATTTCGGCTCTTCTTTCTAACTTTTTGCGTAATCATGCCAATTTTTCAATTGCTGGAATAGTTTAGTTTTTGTAGCGCTTATTATTATTTTTTTCTAATATTGAAGAAAAAAATTATAATTCCAGGTGTGCAAATTGCCGCGTCTCAGTCTAAACGGTGTGCGATTCAAGCGAATTTCGGGAACATCGATCGGATTCAAGAATATTGCGTCGAAAATTGCCCAAGAGCTCAATTTATGAGCGAAAATTGTGCGATTTTTTTAAAATCGAAATGCACAATTTTCGCACCCTATTCTATTATTTCGAAAAATAATTGTCGTCTTGCAAAATACGGTTGATATTTTCCTTCATCCCTCAAAACAAAATTTGAAATCGCGAAATTGTTTCGCTGGACCAATTAACTAAAATCCCCGTCCAGACCCCCATCATATTTCTTCTATTTATATTATATTATACTATTTTTTATATATTATATGTTATATTATATTAAATGCTGTTTTATAATGTGCGCTTCTATCTCTAGAAAACATCACTGCAATTTGATGATAATTATTATTATTTTCTTTTTGGTTTGTTTTGTCCTCGTTTTCAATTTTTCGAAAGCCCCCACCCTTATCGCACTGTGATCAAGAAATTGAATTTATGAAATAAACGTTGAATGAGTTTTTGCGTTTTTTTAGAATTTGGATGCTTTTATCCCGAATTTGCCGCAATTTTTGTGCTTTAGAATGAAAGATTGAATAATCTTTTTGTGAAATTTTGATTTTCTATGAGAAAATATAATTTGGCCATTTTCTCTGTTGAATAATAAAAATCAAGGTTTTAAGACGAGATTGTTTCGCCGATGTTCGGCTGAAATTTGGAAAAGATCCAACGACACTCCGCAGTACACTCGTAATGCCCTTTGTTTATATTAAATAATGTCTCATAAATTTTAAAATTCGAATTTTTTCAAATTTTCTTCTTTAAAAATGCGTTTTCACGTCATTTTTCATTTTCGTCATGCAGAAAGAAGGCGAGTTTTCAATTTCGGCAAGTTTTCCATAATTTTGTACAAAATGCATATTTCTTCAATGTATAAACGATATGCGCTTTAAAAATAAAATTTTTCAATGTTTGGGATAATTCTTTATATATTTCGATTTCAGAAATTGCAATGGAGTCCACCCAACTAGATTCGGAAGATTCTCCAACAAAATTTGCACCAATAGTTAAAGAAGTCGAATTACGCGATCATTTCAATTTGATTTACATTGTTTTCCTGTTTTTCGGCCTCAGTGGGCTAATGCCGTGGAATATGTTTCTGAATTTCTCGTTCGACGTATGTTAGACGCCAATGACGGGTCGATTTACGAGCCGATGCTGATACCTAAAATTCTCGTCGTAAGGCCCAGGTTTCAAAGCCCAGCTCTGTAAATCTACCCGAACGAAAAAACACGCCCACATTGCTTTTTTTCTGTTAAAGTATTATGAAATGTACAAGCTTCGAAATGGCACCGAGTCCACGTGGTACTCATCGAATTTCCAGGTACTATCATATGTAAATATACTGTCATACTGTAGATTGCTTTTCACAGTATGCGATGACGATTTCCGCCCAGATTCCGAAGCTCATTTTCACGTTTCTGAACGTCTTTTATTCAACAAAGTGAGTGTTTCAAAAAAGAAATAAATGAATACGCGTTGGGAATCGAATTTTTAGGGGTGATTTAACGAAGAGACTCATAATTTGCTATTCAATTACCGCATTAATTATCGCGTTTACGTTGGCTTTCACGTATATTGATACCGTAGAATGTTGGTATATGAAACGTTGAAACCGTTTTCGTGGAATTTATTTATATTCTTGATTTTTTTTTTCCGTTCAGACATCGCAGTTTTCTTCTTCATTACCCTCGCATCAATTGTTCTGTTGAACTCGGCGAATGGAATTATCCAAAATAGGTAAGATTTCCAAACGATGCGCGTCGTGACTCGATTATTTTCGGTTTTTTTTTGCAGTACCTATGGCATGGCGTCGCCATTTCCGTTCAAATACACGAATGCGGTGATAATTGGCGAAAATTCTTGCGGGATATTCATCACGTTGCTCGCGGTGATCACAAAAGCTGGTAATGTTGCTCTTTTCGAATTTCTCAAATGTTCTAGAATGTTCCGCGTAATTCCATAGCATTGCATTGTCCGTGTGGAGTACACCGCCTATCATTCCTGGCATTTTGATATCGGTCATTGAGAATTAATATTTTAGACATTGGATACATGATTTCTGGATAGTTAATCAATTAAATACAATTTTCAGTGTCATCAGACATCGTCATGCAGGCAACCCTCTATTTCACGACGGCGTTCATCATAACCGCGACTTCGGTGATCCTTTGCGCGTTGATCACCAAAAATGTACCCATTACTCACCATTCCCTACAATTTTTTTCTCGACAGCTGATTTTTGTATTTGCAGAATTTCTACATGCGTTATGGAATTGTCGGCGACGAAACACGCACCGATTCGGAGGCGTCGGATGAAGCGAACGGCATCGATTTGATCGTCGTGTTCTCGGCGTGCAAATTTCAATTTATCAACATTTTTCTATTGTTCTTCGTCACTTTGAGCCTCTTTCCGAACGTGACGATGTATGTCGAGGATGCGCAAGACTCGTTCATTCCAAGTTTCAATTTTTTTTAATTCGAAAACCGCGAACATCAATTGCTTAGAGGAGTACTTCATGGATCTGGCCACATTTCTAAATTTCAACGTTTTTGCGTTTTTGGGAAGCTTGTCGGCCAATTGGGTACAATGGGTAATCATTTTTCTATTGGTTTCTCTAGCTGCCGTATAGAGCTGCTACAGTAATCTGGCAACTCTACACAGTACGTCGAAAAAAGCGACTTCTTTCCAGCCGGGACCTGATTACATATTTGTGCCGGTTGTGGCGCGATTTTGGTTTCTCTTCTACTTTCCGATGTGCAATTATTTTCCGACCAGAAGGTAATTGGATCAATAATTAGTTAATTATCTCGAATCATTTAATTATAGGCGATTCCCGATATTATTCCAGTCGATTTTGGGATTTGTGCTCAGCCAGACGATATTGGCATTCACCTCGGGATATTTGTCGTCGCTGATAATGATGTACACGTCGAGGTGAGGCGCCAAACAATTTATGGTCCCACACTGTCGGTGGCCCAGTGCGCTCTAGAAAATTGATAATTTGCTGCTGTTGTATTCAATGCCCGATTGCAGATTATTGGACGAGCCGCATTGTCAGCGAATGGCCGGCATGATAGCGGCGTTTTTTCTGATCCTCGGCATTCTAGTCGGCCTCGGCTTCTCATGGATCATTCATATCATCGTAGTTGGTGGATAAATGTTTGAAATGACGAAAAATCGTCGAATTTTACGGCAGACGATTCGACGTACGGTGGAAGGGGGGGGGGTGCGTTTGGTGTAGGCAAACCCGTTTTTCGACGTATGCGTAGTGTTGCGTGAAATTTCGATTTTTCGCCAAGTTTTTGCCCATTCGGCGGTCTCAACTCAAAAATTATATTAATTTTGGCGGATGGCACGGTCTGTTCTCAGAAAAAAACTTGATTTTTGGAGATAAGCCGGATCGGAACCTAATCGGATCGGATCGCCGTCGGATCATTATCATTGTTATTGTTATTATTATTATTATATAATTATGCAGATAATTGCATTTAGACACCATCTGATAATATTTAAATAAACAAAGAGATGCGATTGCGAGATTATCGGCGCCGCCGTGAAAACGGGTCTCGGAAGGGCAAAATTTCGAGGAAAAATTGAAATTTTTACTCAAAATTAATGTTTTACTGATTTTTTGAACTCTTCTGTTTTAATGATCACATGACTTATTGGTACACTTTAATGCCGAACATGAGATACAGGGTGTCATTTAAGTTCCCGCACAAAAGTTTGACGCCATGAAGAGATTGACTGTCGCACTTTTTGTGCACCAATACAATTTATTTTTGTTAAATAAGGTGTATTTTACTTATTTCCCAAGTTTCACCTCATTCGGATGTGTTTCCGAGAAATGGCGAAGGCTAACATCCATCGCGCTTCCATTATCGAACTTCATAAGCAAAATGTGAGCCCGAGAGACATCATTCAACGGGTCGGTGTGCTTCGTAGAACGGTTTGCGACACCATCAAACGATTCAAGTAGCTAAATACGACCAGTGTCCGTCCCAGACAAGGAAGACTCGTCTCAGTAACCACTCCTCAGAAGATCAACGCCGTTAAATCGAGGATCAGGCGAAACCCACACAGGAGCATGAGAAAGATGGCGTCAGACATGGGAATGAGCATCTTTGCTATGGAACAAATCGTCAAAACAAAGCTTGTACTGACCCCATATCGTGTCCAAAAAGCGGCAATTCTATCGGCCGTCAACAAGCAGAGACGCTTCGAAAAAGCAAAACGACTTCTTGCTCGCACGCGGTCTGGAGAACACCTCGTCACTGTCTTCTCCGACGAGAAGCTGTTCAGTGTGGAGGCGGCATTCAACTCACAAAACCATTGAGTACTTGGCCAAACATCCCAGCAAGCTTCTGAGAAAGGAAGAACATATCATCCAGCCTCACATCCTGCCAGTGTGATGGCTTTTGGTGCCATCTGCTCAACCGGGAAGTGCTACCTGGTTTTCGTGGATCAGATGGTGAAAATGAACAAAGAAGTCTACGTTCGGGACATTTTGGAGAAGCATGTGATGCCCTGGACCCAAACGCATTTCGGTGGGCAGAAATGGGTCTTTCAACAGGACGGAGCACCCGCATACACTGCCAAAACTACTCAGGAGTGGTGCCAGACCCATTTTCCCGACTTTATCAAGTCATCCGAATGGCCTGATTGCTCCCCAGACCTGAACCCGCTTGACTTTTCCGTGATGGGGTCTTGCAGGAGAAGGTCAACGCAAAACCCAACTCAAGTGTAGAGGCTCTGAAGAAGACATTACTGGCGGAATGGGACAATCTTTCCATCGAATACCTGCGTACCACAGTCGAATTCTACCCGAAGCGTCTCCGTGAAGTCATAGCTGCGAAAAGAGGCCGAATCAAAAAGAGTTAATAGATAAATATTTGTTATACTATAGATAAAAAATATTTCGAGTCTCGTTTGATTTGGACTTTTAGTTTCAGAAATGTACGTCTACAAAGTTGTGCGGGAACTTAAATGACACCCTGTAAATGACATAAAATAGCGAAAAGCTGCGATTACGAGCGATTTGGATTACTATAGGTTCTTAATTTGAGTCGATTACTGTATGAAAACAATTTGAATCCGATCCTAATAAGACCTAAAGTCATTGATTATGGTAGACATTTCTTATCTAGTGATTACGGTGGCTTACAGTAATCTAGGCTATTAATCAATTCCAATTATTCTTTGGAACTTGTCGAATTTGAAAATTTGAACTTCGTTCGCGGGCTGCAAATTAATTGGTCTTATTAAATGAATAATTTTTCACATTTTAATATAGAAAAATTGTGCTCATTTTCATTTCGTTGGCTGAATTGAATGAAATTCGCTGCTTCTAAGAATAGTTGAGACCCAAAAAGGCAATTCAAATGATAACCCAAAAAAATGGCTTCTTTCCACGACTCCATATGGTTCTGATTTTTTAAATTCACCTCCAATCATTCTGAGAAGAGATGTTTCGAACAAAAGCGAAAAGTGGGCGTGGCTATCTTTAGGCAAAGGGGGGGGGATGGACGCCGAAAAAAAACGGGATTTCTGGCAAAAGGTGTCCCCCATAAAAGGAGGCCGAATCGTCTCAATTTCATTCAAATTTTCCCATTTTTACGTGTCGGGTTTTTTTCTTGCCAAAATTGGCTTTTGCTCCGCGTTTTTTTAGAAGCTCGTTTACCGTCGATTCCAATTTTATTTTGCAGAACATGAGAACCTTGTTGGCTGTCGCTTGCATCGCTTCCACCGCTTCCGCCTTCATCCTTCCGGGACTCAGTCTCCCAGGACTCGGAGGAGGTGGTGGCGCGTGCTGCGGAGCTGCTCCAGCTCCTGCTCCAGCACCAGCTGCCGGTGGATACGCCACCGCTCCAGCGGCTCCCGCCTACGCCGTCCCAGCCGCCCCACAGATCCCAGCCGGCGGATACGCTCAGGCCGGACCAGCTCTCGGAGGATTGGGAGGACTCGGAGGCGGATACCAGGCTGCTCCAGCTCCAGCTTTCGGAGGAGCCCCAGCTCAGGGAGGATACAACGCCGGACCAGCTCCAGCTTTCGGAGGAGCCCCAGCTCAGGGAGGATACAACGCCGGACCAGCTCCAGCTTTCGGAGGAGCCCCAGCTCAGGGAGGATACAACGCCGGACCAGCTCCAGCTTTCGAAGGAGCCCCAGCTCAAGGAGGATACAACGCCGGAGCAGCCCCAGCTCAGGGAGGATACCAGCAGCAAGCTCCAGCCCCAGCTCAGGGAGGATACCAGCAGCAAGCGCCAGCCCCAGCTCAGGGAGGATACCAGCAGCAAGCTCCAGCCCCAGCTCAGGGAGGATACCAGCAGCAAGCGCCAGCCCCAGCTCAGGGAGGATACCAGCAGCAAGCGCCAGCCCCAGCTCAAGGAGGATTTGAACAGCAGCAGCCAGCTCCAGTTCAAGCTGGAGGACAATACGACGCCTCGGCCGCCGCTCCAGTCGAGCAAGCCGCTCCAGCTCAACAAGGTTAGTTCCTCTTTCCTTATAAATTCATAAATTGGTGTTTCAGGTGGATACCAACAACAGGCTCCAGCTCCAGCTCAAGGAGGAGCCTACCAGCAGGGAAAGAAGCATTAGATCAGGTGCTCCAACTCGACCTCGTCTAGCTTCAATTTATTTAAACTAATTTATAAGACACAAATTTCTCTCTGCTTTACCACACTTCAACAACCTCGACAATAAAAAAATATTGTTTTTTTTTTCTTCTTTTTGTTAAGCTTTTGCATTTCTGGCGGTTGTTTCCGTTTTGAGTGTCTGAAATTTACATTCTCTGCTCTACAATATGCTTTCAGCACTTACTAAATGCACAACGTCCGCTGGAGGTTTGACAGTAGCGTTGCCGGAACTTTCAGTTCTTGTTGGAGCGAGAGTCTAAAACGAACAATCGTTGGGGTACTGTAGGTGCAGTACCTTATTCTTTTTGAATGACATTTCATCCTCATGCCTCAGAGACGTGATGTCATGCAAAGTGTCATCGAGGACATCATCGTCGCTCGGCTTTTTCCTCGGCGCCGCCACGCATTCATCAACCATTTTCTGGCGCGCGATCTCTTTGGCTTTCTGATAGATTTCTTGCTTATTTTGCGCTGAAAATGATCAAATTCGCGCAAAAAAAAACCATCGAAATCGTCATACAAGTTTGCCGTTTTTTGGAAATCAGCTTCACGTTTCCAATGTCTTCGGTCAAGCCTGGTGTTCCGGGCGTCGATGGGATTTTCCGCGAGGTGTCGGTGCTTCTTGTTCCAGGCGTTGCACCTGTTTGAGGTGGGCATTCGTCTTCAGCTTGGGTGGCGTCGAGCTGCGAATTTTCGATTTTTTTCAATGGATCTTCAAATTTTATTCGAAACATACACTATTCATTTTCGGTTTTTCGCTAATTTTCGATGCCTCTGCAGTTTCAACAACTTCTTCAACTTTTGCTGGCCTCACTGCCTCCATGCGATCATCATAATAAATTGGATAAATTGGCTTGTCTACAAATAATATTAATAATCGCTGAAATGAACTCTGGCACCTGTTTTCTTTTTTGCGTTGTGGCAAGAAATTAAAATCGAAAAATAGGCAATAAACGGGATGAGATAAAAAGCGAAATCGGCAGTATAGCACATTATTGTTGATAGAAATGAGCAATTCTTTTGCAGAACATCGAAACCAATCAGAAATTGGAAATTTTTTATCGCGTGAGCACAAAAATAATGTTGTTTGGAAGCGAACAATTGTACTACATCGGCTACTAGTACAATTACCCTAGTGGAAAGGGGTTGTTTACAATTATGCCGTTTTCCATTGGGACGCTAGGCCAATTTTTGCCATTTCTGAATTAATCGCGTCATGGGTAAGTCGGTGATTTAATGATTTTCGCGTTGGGAATGTCCGGATTGCATTGAGCTCGAGCGAGTCTCCGCCCATTCCTATTTTATTGTAGCCTACAAACAAATGTTGTGTGCTTCAGAGAAGCGTCTCAACATCACTGAAATGTGCTCGGCGGCGACGTTCAACGTGCGCTTCATGACATTCCTCAATTCGACGGTAATTCGTTGCGAGGGTCTCGGCACGATCATCGAGGCATTCTTAATTGTCGAGATTGCATTATTGGCATTGGGGTAAATCTATACTTTAAAAAATAAATCTATTTTTCGCAGAATTCTCGAATTTCTCTATTTATTCTATTTGTTCCTCTTCGTTCGATCGATGCATTTCAATCTGACATGCTTGTTCATGCATTACGGCGGCCAATATTTCTTCTCGGTGATGGCACGATGCGTCATACTGTATCAGCAGTTCGGATTCCACATTCCAGGTTCGCGGCGAATTCATATTGTTAACTATCGTGAATTTCAGACGAATACTTGTTTTATGCGAATTACATTCGCACAATTTGTCTTTTCATCGCCTTCTACATTTTGCCGATTTTTATGGTCGAAAGGTTGCTGAATCGATTCCGCATCGCGTCGATTCGATGAGTTTATAGGCTGTTTGCGACGATAATGGTGAAAACCTACGAGAAATCGCGCCATTTTTGGGTGTCGTTGGTGATTTTGGCGATTTTCTTCCCATTGGTCATCACATCTGGAGTTGCTTATATCAATTGTGCGCCTTTTCGAATCCATAAAATGTTCAACAATTTTCATTTTAGGTTGGATTTCGTTGCCGATTCACGTCGCAACATTCATTATCGTCAATTTGACCGGCTATTTTGGTCTCGTCGCGATTTACAATTATAATTCGAAGCGGCATCAGTGAGAAAAATGCCAAAGCGATTTCCATTTCTTGTTTTTTTTGTTTGAAAATAATTTCAGAAAAACGTTGAAATTGCCGAAAAATCGCAATTATAATCTGAGTGAGCGATTCCAATTGGCTGAAAATATCAAAATGTGCGAGGTGGGCTCAATTAAGGGACCATCAAAATTAAGGGATCATCAAATCTGCTGATATCACAGGTCTTGCGACGCGTTCAAATCTCAATAATATTCTTCAACGTGTTCTCTACTTCGATCCTATTGCTTGATCACTTTCCGATCTCCCCGAGATTCCTAAGTTTGGCCTATGTGTTTTACAACATCCTCTTAACAATGTGAGACTAGATTGTCTTGTAACCATCATTTCGTTTCTTCTAGATACGCCATCTCGTGTCCCATTATATTACATCAATGTCTGCCGGAATGGTGCAAAAATACGAGAAAATTGGTTGGCGGTTTTAGATGTTCTTAAAAAATTGAATTATTTAATTGCAGATCAAGTTGATTCTTGGGAATCGTATTAATGAGGTTCGGCCGCGAACAACGTTTGGTGAAAAAATGATTTATGACAATCATAGGGACCTCACTAATATGTATTTTATGCAGTTTGATAAAGCTTTGAGGTAAACTATATTTGATATGACATACGTACGACCAACAATCAAAAAGAGCGACGTTGGAATCCGATTAGCCGGGCTCTACCGTAGAAGGATCGAGTCAGTCGTTGTTCTTCGCCTAGAAGTAGGCCGACGCCTAAGAAGGTCTTCCCTGATTCCATCATAGCCACTTCCATGGCTTCTCGCACCTGAAATGCGAGGGTAAGAAACGGATGAATAGACCCGAATGGCCATAAAATTTTGCCGTGGTGGATTGGCTTGTTGGTCATTATTATCGCCGTATGCAAATTTCGGAAAAAATTGAAACCCATTAAAAACCATTAAAAAAACCTAAAGAAAACCCATTAAAAACCTAAATACATATTCTAATTGTAGTAAGAATCGTTATTAAACTGCTTATAACCAGTTTTTTAGGGTTTTGTTTATTCCAAAAAGTGACGAGCGTCACGAACTATTTTGCTCCTTTTGAAGTGATCTCGCTGCGTGTGAACGCTTTTTTGCTGTTTTCACGTCTACAGTTCATTTTTTCTTGATGAGTTTCGAATTCTTATAATTTCGAACGTCTTTCCATTCAAAAATTATCGAACCCACACCTAAAAACCAAAACAACCAATGAGTAAGACGAAGGTCCCATTGCCATCAATCTCCAATTTTCAACCGCTGCCCCTGTTTTTCCACCCTTAAAATTTAACCCCTATTATTATTTTTCTACCACTCCCTTATTTTCAACCCTCAGATATTGCCAGTGTTATATGGGGGACGGGGGTCTTAAGGGGTACGAATTCGAATGTTTTTAAAATCTCAGAAAAGGATCCTAAGTGTTCATTGTTTAAGAAAATGATGCTAGAACGTAAATTTTTTTTACCAAATTTTGTGTTCTGCTCGAACGTCAAAATTTACAGTTTCTAACAGTAATTTTTACGTTAATTTTTTTTTTAATATCTGCAATAATGGGCTCCTGCCCGCCTTCCATTCGGACAATCCTGTGCATACTGAAACAGGTCGAACAGTAACAGTTATTTCGCTTAGTTTGCATATTTTGGCGTTCAATTGAATACGGATTTTCCGCAACAACTTTCGATTTTTTTTAACATAACATTTAAAAAAATTCATGGAACATGATTAGGAATAGAAATCTTACAATAAAGTGTGCATTCTGTGCATGCGGAAGAACAATCATAAAGAAATTCATAAGTCTATAAATGTAAAATTGGTTTATTTCATTTGTGTTACACGTGAATGACAATACATTGAAGATCTTTGGCTGAAAGTTGCCGATATTAATTGCCAATATCTATAATAAAAGGGGATTTAATAATTTTGTTGGATTTTAATGATCACCCCTCATTCGCTGATTTCGGTATGAACATATTTGGTCTGCGAGAAATAACCAGAAGGAATTGAGAGTTTCAACAAATGATCCTCGTTAAATCTAATCAATCGATGGTGTCCGAAGTCAGAAAATGAATCCATCAATTTCTGAATATTACATTAATTTCAATCAACATATTTTGCATATTCTGTCTTCATCCTCCGTGCTCGTTTCTCTCGGGTTGCATCAACTTCTAAATTTATCTTTCAAATTGAAAATTCTCATCTTCGATTTACCCATATTTTCGGATACACTTGATTATTCGGTAGCGCGAATTCTTCAAGGAATATCTCGGAATATCTTCCCTAGGAATAGCTCAAATTGAATATATCTGACTCGAATTCAACGAAAAATGAACTAGAATATGGGTCTTCTCAGGTAAATGAAAATCAATCGAATTCGAAGATAAATGAAATATAAATTAACAATTAAAAATAATTAAAAATCGAAGGAGAAAGTGTTTAAATTCGATTTGAAATTTTGATTTCGATTCAAGAACCTTCAAAATCGATTGATTTATTTCTCAATTTCAATTGTTGATATTGAATGCGATTTGAATTCTGGAATAACTTGTTTAAATTTTCTTTCATAAGAATGGTCTACATAGTTTCTGAAAAATCAAAGTTAGAGAACAATTCTACGAATCTCCTCTTGATATAAATGAATTATTGGAAGTATAAATAAATTAAGGTAAAAATTACTGTTAGAAAAAATTTTTCCAAGATTTCGTTTGTTAAAACAACCAGAAATATTATCGTATCGTTTTTTTTTTTTGAAATTTGACAGCTATCTGAAATGCCCAAATTGAATCTCACAAGTAAATTTGGCATTTTTATTTCCGTGAGCCTTAATGATAATTGATTCTGTCGCTTCCACTCAAATGATCCATCGTCCGAATTCTTTAAAAAAAAAGGGTTCGTCATTTTTCAGGACCCCGCTAGTACTGCCCTTCAGTGCGGCCAATCAATATATCCGCACAGCTTAATCCCTCTATTACTACTACTGCTTTTTCATCTCGCATACGCGATTAGTTTGTATTAAAAATTGTAGGGTGGCACCACATAGAAGAAATGCGCGTAGCCGGTAGAAAAGTGTGCATGTTAACCGGAGTGTCGTGTAATGTGTGACGAGAGCGAGAGGAGGCCGAACAACAGCATCTGCTTAATTTGGACATTTTTCGTATTAGCTGACAGCATTTGCCACCCCTCTCCCCCCTTCACCCGTTTGCCTTCTATTCAAAATGGAATCAGCCATTGAACGCGTGAGTTATATACATACTTTTTTCAATAATTCATCAGAATTTTGATTGAAGGTGTCGAAAAAATCGCTGCGAGACATCAAATTGTTTCTGGAAAAATCGCGCGCAGATTATGACGATGTCGCGTTTTTCGACGAATTGTCGAGGATCGTCGAGAACTCGTCGTTGAAGACGAAACTCGCCGCTCTGATATACTTGAAGGATTTGGATATGAAACAAGAAGCTGTGCGAGTTCTAGTCAAGAATATTCTTATTCTGATGGTGAAGGAGAAGAACACGACGGCGATTGATGTCGTGTTCAACTACATGAAGATGTACGCTGGCTATCTGAAGAGATCGTTGACTCCATGCGAAATTGGAGAAATCACGCGAGAAGCGATATTCAGCTTCCATCGAAATGACAGCGAGAAATATGAAATATTGTTCAACTACGTGAAAGGTGTGCTTCTCAATTCAATTTCTCAAATCGATCCAATTTCAGATAATAGACGGATAAATTGGATATTTGATGATGCTATCAAATGCCAATTAGACATGCTATTCGAGAGTAAAGTCAAACTGCATTACAAGGATTGTTTGGATTTTCCGGAGCTTCATGCTCTCCAGCTTCTGATCCGACTTCAACACAAATTCGATGCTTCGAGTTTCCACGCAATCTTTTTCCAATCGTTTCCAACGATTCTGAGAAACGCTAGCCTGAATTGGAAGGATAATGCGTTCACGAAGGCGATGAGCCGACTTCTCGTAAAACTCGACGCCAACCTTATTTATAATTGTCTTTATAAGACGTGCGAGACGAATTTAGTGAAAATCGATGAGCTTGTGGATGGCGTCAAATTAGTTTCCCAGGTCAGCGGGTTAATCGAAAAATGAGAGAATGAAATTTTGCGATGAGGTCCAGATTCTGATCGGCGTCATGAACCCAATGTCGTCTGTCGAAAGAAACTACGAGAAGCAGTTCAAATTGGTGAACTTGCTCGTCAAACACGTTAACAATGACTACGTTTTCGAAACATGCAATATGGAAAATATCAAGGATATCAATCGCAGTATATGCACTTTTGTTCAATATTTTGAGGAAATCAAAAGTCGTGATGGTGATGATTTTTGCGAAATTTGATGAAGCTTATGGGAGAAATTTCAGAAATTCGCGGGAAATTGATGAAACTCTTCATCAAATCGATTCTGACACTCTGCGAATATTATTCGAAAAACCCTCGGCCGGAAATGTATGAGATGTTCGGATTTGCCGAATGGATCATCGTCAACATTGTTGGCAAATATCCGAATTACACTGATACGGAATTATACCAGGAGAAGTTTTTGATGCAGCGTCTTCTCAGAAGTATGATGAAGGTGGGAGAACGAAAACAAAAAAGAAACGGAATGTTTTGAAAAATTCTTGAAATTTTGAATTGCAGATAATCGATATAGATGAATGGATGAAATCGGTGAAAAGCGGAAACTTCGATTATTACGATTTCGAAGCCAGAAAAAGCCTATTATGGGTGATCTGTGGGCTGTACCAACAATGCCTCGAAGCTCGAGCTCATATCGACAAAGTTCTGAATTTCGACTTTTATCGGCCAAGTAGTACACCGCTATTCCGAGAATTATTGAGCTACGATGATAAGAAATATATAAAAGACTCGAGAATCTTGGAAAAAGGCGCCGAATTGTTGTGGGAGGCTTTCAAGCAGCTCAAATTGATGGATGGTCTACAATCAATTGTGCAATTTATTGGAGATGTGCATAAATTGATAGCAGAGAATGGAAAAAGTTTTTTGCGCGAGATCATCGAGCATGATATGAACACGAATCCGTTTGATGACGAAATCAATGAGGCAGGATTAGAGTTTTTTAGACTTTGCCCTATTTTTGATGAATAAATGTGTTACACATTCGATTTGTTGTTTAGATTTCTCTAATTTTTGACATGTTTATCCTTTAAAAAAATACCAGATAAACGTGGTCATTTTAGAATTTGGTTTTTTTTCTTCGCCAGAGCACGCAGATCACTTCTAATGCAGGGTTGTAAAAAATACACCATTAATGTAATTTTTAATTTTTTTTTTCTAAAAAATTGCATATCATGAATAGGTTCGTTTTTGGAAGAATGCGATATTCCATTGAGCAATGCCCGAAGTGACCGTGGTTTTTACGGCCGCGCACTGCCCTAGGCCACGCGAGTCGGAAATCAATTTTATTTTTCCAAACTTCGTTTTCGCCGGTTTCCCCTTCTATTTTCGATCGTGATTATTGGTTTTTTATCAGCAGTTTTGTGTTGCTTAAAAACCGAACCAAACAATTTGTTTTATCAGTTTATTTTGCGACAAAAATTCACATTCTAGCAGCGGCTGATGGCCGAACCACAAGATGATGCTCCGACGCCGATTAAACAACAAATTGTCAAACTCAATGTTGGTGGAAGGCATTTCTCAACGAGCGCGAATACATTGAACTGGATCCCAGACACGTTTTTCACAAGGTTTGTATTGTTGACGTCGCGCGATTGCTGAATTTTCGAAAATTGTATAAACAATAAAAAAGAAAACAATATATGCAGCGGTCTTGACGCGAAAATGATTTATGGATATTGAAAATTCTTTTTCATAATTCCCTTTATTATTTAATTTGTTGCAAAAAATGATGAAACTAGACAATCTGCAAATTTTTTGGCAATAAATGTTAATTATATACCTCAATTTCAGCCTTCTCAGTGGTCGAATGCACACGGTTTGCGATGAGAGCGGAGCAATTTTCATCGATCGCGATCCCGACGTCTTCAAAGTGATACTGAATTATCTCCGAACGAAGCAAGTCGATTTGAGCTCTATCAGCGTTTCGACTTTAAAGCATGAAGCGCAATTCTTCGGATTAACGCCGCTCATAAGAAGGCTGACGTTATGTGAAGAGCTCGATGTTTCTTCTTGCGGATCAGTGCTGTTCCATGGAATGCTCAGCCCGCCCGACCTTCCATTTGCAGCGTTATCCGAAGAATATGAAAAGAAGGAGGGCCCCAGGAAGAAGGTGTCGTATGAATTGAGCAGGTGTTTGAAGAATGAGCTCAGTCGGCTTGCTGATTCCAAGACAATGCTTGATCCAGTAAGAGTCCGAATGATCCGATCACACAATACTACCTTAATTATTGCCTACGCCTACTATGTCGTGGTCTTCAAGTGCGATTTGTGAGTTCTTTACACACGTTTGGTTGGCTAGAAATGTTTTTCAGGGATTACAACGGCTGGGCCCATGTGTGGACCTCGCCGCGAATGAAAAGCGTTGTGAAGCATATCTCAGTGAACTCGAAAATCAGTCAGGCTGGAACCGACCGGTTATTGTCGGTGGCGTTTGAAGACGAGACATTGACGCTTTGGAGTGTTGAAGATAATGGGAATGCCAATAAGAAAGGTACATTGGGATTTTCCACGAGAGACCCAATTGCTTTTTAATTTCTCAGGATCCTTCACCATGGCAGTGCCCATCGATAATTTATTCTTTGTCGGAACTCAGATGGTCGCTTTGAGTCGAATGGGCAAAGTAGGCATTTGGCACTCGGCGACGCAGAACTGGCAGGCGCAGGATGTCGCGCCGATCTCGTGCTATGATACTGCTGGATCTTCTCTACTCCTTGGTTGCAACAATGGATCATTGTATTACATTGATATGCAGAAATTTCCGCTGCGAATGAAGGACAATGACCTATTGGTCACCGAGTTGTACAAGGATCCGTCTGGCGACTGCATCACATCGATTTCGGTATTCTTGACGCCTAAAACGTGTAAGATTCGCCACGTTTTGCCCAACTAGCAACAAATTGAAGAAATATGAGAGCGTTTTCAGCAGTTTGCGGAAATTGGATCGAAATCGCGTATGGCACCGCCGGCGGCACTGTTCGCGTCATTGTGCAGCATCCCGAAACGGTTGGGCATGGTCCGCAACTATTCCAGGCACGTTTCAATATCAATTACAAAGCTACCGTTTTTCGCGGAAAAGTATGCTCAGGTGACATGTTATCATCGAAAAATAGAGCAAAAGCTCGTGATTGTTTCCAACAAACAAATAATGATGATAAGGAGTTTTGCGTGAAGAAATCACAATTTTTAGGCCAATTACAATTTTTTTAAAACAATTTTTAGGCCAATTACTCAAAAATTGAACATTTTTAAAAGAAAAATAGCGGCAATTTGCATATTTCTGGAAATGGGATTAAAATTTTCAGACATACAATGTCCATAATTCGGCTGTTTCGAAAATCGCGTTGACAACAGGACATTTGATAAGCGGTTGGTTTGAGATACCCTCATCTACCATTAATTTCTTTGATAATATGTTTCAGTTTGCGCTGAGTACAATCATGTCCGTTCATGGATTGTCACGAGATTCCGCGGAATGATCAGCACACAGCCGGGAACCATGAGTTTGGCATCGTTTAAGGTGCTCACGTTGGATTCGACTGATGAAAGTGTTGATAGACAGTATACCGATCCAGGTAATTTGAAATTTCCGATGAAATTTTTATAATTTTCTTTCAGTAGAATCGTTTTTCATTTAAAAATTTTGCTCAAATTTTTCGATTTGATATGAAAAAAATTGCTGTAGGTGGCCGTGGCCGTGAAATTTCCAATATGGTTCGCGGCCATGGGTATTTCGAATTTTGAAAATTGCCCAAACCATGCCTTCATTTATTTTCGAATTCGTTTTTTTCTCATTTTCAGGACCGTATGGTGATCAGGATTCAGAGCAAGTGTTCATTCAGCGCATAGTGCCAAGCTCCGATCAAGTATTCGTGAGAGCCGCCTCGACAGGCGAACGCATTTGCATTATCAAATCGATCGATGGCAATCCGATATCGGCGTTTGCTGTTCACGAATGCGACGGAGCATCGAGAATCGGAAATCGGCCGAGGCGGTTCCTCTTCTGCGGAAGCACGAACGGGTCGATCCAAATGTGGGATTTGACGACGGCACTGGATCAGTTCAATTCGAGAAACTCGCCGAACAACACCGCCGCCAATTTGCTTCAGACGTCCAGCAACTCCTCATCAGAGGTGATTAAACCATCATTGGCGCAGACGGTCAAAGTGCCGCCGAACGTTTATCAGGGACTCGGTGGTCCGTCGCCGCAGGAGTTTTTGAATCTCATTGATGATTGCGAGATTTGCTGCAACTCGCTGAGCCCGACGCCGTGTTCGACGCCGATCGCCAAATGACGAGCACTTCTCTTTGTTGGTTTATTTTATTTTATGAGGGTTGACGGGACAGAAAGTCGATTTTTTGACCATTTTTTCAATAGATGATTTGGAGAAAAAATGAGGTCGAAAATTGCGATTTTCTGCGAGTGAATTTTTTTTTTCGAAATCGTCAATGCCGAAATTCTCCAACCCATTTTAGAATTTGAACCAACAAGAGAGAGAGAGAGAGAGAGATCCGAGTGTGCCTTTCAATTTCCAGTCGAGACCCGACACATATCTCTGTAACTTCTAGTCAATCAAATCCATGTCAAAATTTGTCGAAAAATCGCATTCCCATCCAAAGATTTCCTTATTATTATTTTTTATCATTATTTTATTTGTATGTACATTGTGTATTTTTCCTTTTTTTTAATAAAAATTTTTTTGAAAATATTTTCCACTTTTTTTAATGGTACATCGAGTTTTTTAGCCTTGAAAATTAATATTTTTCCCCACTTGATTACAAATTTTCTTTTTCCCATTTTTTTAGATGAAACCCGGCGTCAATCCATATACGGTGTTGGGAATTGAGCGAGGATGCACGGAAAAGGAAATTCAGAAGGCTTATCGATTACAGTGCCTCAAATGGCATCCGGATAAGAATTTGGATAGAAAAGAAGAAGGTGTGGGTGTGGAAAAATTGGCTGAAATTCGTGAAATTGAGATTTCTGTTATTTTCAATACGAAATTTATGGATTTCAGAAAAGTTTGAGTAGTGATGAAACATTTTTCTTGTAAAAATTTGTATTTTATTAGTTTTTGAAAATTTAGGCGAAAATTGATCGATTTTTCTCCAAAATGTATTCATTTCTTTTAGCTGAACGCCGATTTATTGAAGCAAAAGAGGCTTTCGAGTTTCTATTTGATAAAACTAAGCGAGTAAGTTGAATATTGTCGATTCTCCCTGGAAAAAATGCGCATTTTAGGAGGAATATGACCGGTCGGCTGAAAGGGTCCGAGTGGCCGAGGAAAAGCATCGAGAACGAATGGAAAAAGCCGACGGAGCAAGAAGAAAGTGAGATTTTGATTTGATAATTTTTTTATTTTGGGTATCTTGTGCACATCTCCTTTGCAGGTTCATTGATGATTTGGAAAAGAGAGAGAAGGCGTTTGCGGAGAGTTTGAAGCGGCCGAATGGAGGCGCGCCTTTGAATCCGGCGCAAGAAGCGAAGAAGCGCAAAATGGAGGAATTGAGGATTCGAGAAGAAATGGAAGAGATTCGGAAGCAGCTCGAAAAAGAGGCGAATGAGGAGGTGAAACGGCAAATGGAACGCGTTCAGAAGGCGCATTCGACGCACAAAGAAAAAATTGATGGTGGGATTTTTTGTTGAAAAGCTTGCCTTGTCTTTGACATCGATATTTCATTTCACCGATTTTTCTTTTAGAAAATGTGACACCGAAATTAATGGTTAAATGGAAGGCGACGTCTGATGAAGATTATGATGAAGCAGCACTCAAAATTATCTTTGAGCCGGTGAATTTTAATGTCTCCATTTTTACGTGCTCAAAATTATATATATTTTTTTAAATCGAATTCGAAATGAGAATAAAAAATGTTTGATTTGAGCAAAATCGATGAAATTTTGATTTCAGTACGGCAAAATTGCGAATATTTCATCGATCATCGTGAAAAAGCAGCGGCGAAAGTGCATCATTGAGTTTGTGCACGGCGAAAACGCGTGGGGTGCTGAAACCGAGACGGGCATTTCGTCAGAATTGGAAATTTCCGCTGAATGGATCGATCCGCCGTCGAAACCCGCCTCGAATAATCCGATTATTGGTGAGTTGGGGTTTTTTTTAAGAATCAAATCCATATTTGTTGCTTCTTACAGATTACGATGGAATGTCGCTGGAAGATCTTGAAGCTAGCATTCTTTAATTTTTAAAATTGCAAATATTTAATAAACGGGTTATTTTTTGAATTCTGAATTCATCTTTACCGGTTTTTTTCTGCTTGCGATACTTACGATGTTCCACTTTTGACGCGTTGCCCGCTGTTTAGCGTATTTCGTTCTGTGTGCAGACCTGTCAGCTTTTCGCCCATTTTTGACCAATTCTCGGTCATTTGCTTTGAATTTTCCAATTTTTATATTTGAAATAGCTCACGTGAATTTTTTAGATTGATTTTACCGAGATTCTTGATTAAATTTGCTCAAATTTAGTAAAAATTTTAGAGAATAGGTCACACCAATTGATGTCGCTTTTTGCAGATTTCTCCAAACGCGACGGGTAATTTAGAAGCTATGGAGAGCACGAAAAACATTTCACATGAGTTTTTCAAAAAATGTGAAGGTTTGTGGTTATTTTAACTGGAAAATTATATTTTACAAATACGCACTTTTTTCCTCAGCGAATCATTTTTTTTTGCATTTAAAAAGTCTAGCTTTTTTCTTATGAAAACGAAGTTTCAGACAATTTAAATAAAAAATTATTCAAAATTTCGAGTAAATCTCTGTTTTCAATCCATGTTTGCAGAAATCGAGCTCGGCAAACTGGTGGCAGTTGAGAATTTCAGTCTAATTGAAGCAATGTCGGTAATCGAATTAATGGATCCAAAAATGGATTCAGGAATGGTCCGAATGAAACAGCACACCAATTTGGAAGAATTAATAGTCCAAGGATTATATAATGATAACCTTCAACGACAAATTGCCACTATTGATGCAACTTTTGCCTTATTGGTTGCATGGCTCGAAGGTGCTTCCTTGCCTACTACGGTAAGACGCAAATTTATTGACTTCTCAACGGAAAAATGTTTTTTTTCGCAGGTTTGGACGAATGTGCTCATCGCCAACTCGGAAGATGTCAGTCATGACGTCTATGGACCGTTTGCTCAATCTTTCATCCATATTATCAAAATTGTAACGCATATCATTCAAAATTCGTGTACTTTTGAAGAAGTCAGAAATTCATAACTCAATTTTAGTTCTCATTCGTCTATTTCAGGAGGATTTCAATTGCCATGTGCCGTTCCATGTTATTACTAGCACTCCGCGCGAGGTGGCCGTTCGCCAATTGCGTGAGGTGATTGCAAAATTGGCCAAAGAGAGCCAGACGATTACGGCGACCGCCGGCGAGACCGATCAATCGAAACATTTACTCGCGATCGGCGCTCGTTTAGAAATGTGCTGCTTGTTCATTGAAGTGCTCACTTGGTTGGCGCCGTCGCCGAGAGACGACTCCGAAGCGAAGAAAAAGAAGAAGAAGGGAAAGAAGGGCAAAAGGGTTGAAGATGAGGAAGAGGAAGAGTATGAGGAGGAAGATGTTGTCATGTTCCAGTAAGTTTTTTTCAGCAAGACAATCTGATTAATTGATTCTGTGCAGACCTCAATTCCCTCAAGCGCAAGCTTCATCGAAACGACTTGAGAAGGTGAGCTACGCGATCGCGGAGACGGTGAACATGGGACAAGCCGCGCCAGATGGAGTTGACGGTACAAATTTGGGGGACAAATGACATCTAATATTATCCGATTAAGGGAATTTCGATTGGCTTCTCGCCATTGAGCCGGATCTCAATAGAGCACATCTTCCGGTGACGTTCCCACGCAAAATTGTGGTGCCGGATAGAAAAACGGCGCTCAATTATATCACCAAATTGGCGAAAAGGTGAGAGATTTCTTTTTTTTTTCTGCACGAAACGCTTTGAAGCATTTTGGAAATGTTCAAGAATTAAATGTGGACTCGCCACGAAATCGAGTGATTCCAGAATTCATCACATCTGCGAGACAGTTCCAACAGCAACCAACGATTTGACATCGTTGTTCTATTTTGCACGCAGCTTTAACCTCGACAATAGCTGCGTCTTGACGCGGTCGCTGGTCCAATTGGTGATTTTCCCAGTCGATGAGCACATTTTTGGCGATATGAGCCGAACAATGGCCGAACCATTGACGATATCGCTTAGAGATAATTTTGCGCCGTTGGTCCTTCAAAAAGGATCGCCGGCCTATCAGGATCCGATATGTGTGAAACTACTCGAATATTTCATATCAGCGATGACGAAAGTTGCTCTCAACGTTTTTCAGCTGTTTGGTGAGTGAATTGGAATTGGGGGCTTGCCGCCTAATGCAACTAAATTGCAGGATGCAATTTGGCGCGACAACGCGATCGTCTCGTGACGGCGATTTCGCAAATGGGCAATTGTCGGATTCAGGCGAATCAGATTGAGATCCGAACCGAGGAGCTCATGAGGAAGCTCAATTCATGTGAGTTGTTCAAGTTTGTTGGTAAATACGAAATTTCGCAAAAATGTTCGCGTTTAATTTCCGCAGAATTTTGCACGAATTTCAGCGGCAGATGCACCACATCATTCGTGCTCGACGTTCGTGTTCAACAATCTCATCGCACTCATCACTCATTATTTCGAGCTCTCGCTTCGAATGGACCTGTTCGTTCCGTATGAGTTCACGTACATTTATTGGTATATGGGCGACATATTGGCGAGATGGCAGATCGGCACGATGGAGAGAAGTCAGGAGATGCAAATGGCTGGTTGGAAGAATAGTGAGTTTTGCTGGGAATTCGCGAAATTTTTGAGAATTTTGAAGGCATTTCAATACCCTTGAATCCCTATGATAGTCCAGCATTGTTCAAATTTTTTTTTTCCAGAATTTGAAACATTCTTTTTTGAGACATATTTTGTGTTGAAAAATGCTGAAAACTTAGATTATTCGAAATTTTGGAATTGCAGATCCATTGTCGAACTCAAGTAATCGGCGTTCGAGAGAAAGGGCAAAGGGAGAAGAGGCGCTGAGGAAACGATTGCAGGTCAATCAGTATCAAATGATACAACAATACGGGATATGCCAGTTGTGCGAAGGAATCGTCAAATTGAGCATCATTTTGATGCGAATGGCCAAGATCAAGGTGAAAAATTCGATTTTGTTCGAGATATTTAAGGAAAGAAACGTTGCAGGTGCCTGCATGGTCGGTCGACTCGGAAAAAATTCGATATGAAGCGAGAATGGCGCCATTTAAACCACTAGGAAGCCCGTTGTATATCAATTATGAGCAATATAAGAATTTGTCAAGGTTCGTACAAAAAAAAGAGAAATTTAATGTTTGTAATTTTGGTGATTTTTTTAGTGTTGAAGAACACTTTCGTTCACCGCCTGAGCCACTGATGGAGCAGACAATTGAGCATTTTCAATCGGCGATATTGCATTTTGAGAAAATTCTTGATAAACCTGAAGTACAAGAGGATAGCGCGTGAGTTTATTTTCTGGCACATTTTTGTGTTTGTTTTTTTTTTCTTCTCTCATTCCCCACAATTTTCAGGACTTACTTGAAAGTGGCAAAAACTAATTTGGTTGGTTCTCGTCTGATGAGCAACCGCGATGTGAGCAGCCGCAAAGTCGAATGGATATTCCTTGATGAATGCCCAATATTTCCGATTTTGAAGATTTCCTAAATAGTCCTTTTTTTCTTGTTTTTCGTTTTTCCTAATCAAAAAATGCCTATGCACCTTTGAATCTAGTTTCAACGCGATTTGTGTAAGGTTTTCTCGGCGCCTGCCGCTCATTTCTTTAACTCTAGATATTAACAAATGCTAGACGTATGCTCGTACCCAAAAATGATTTAGAGTGATATTGCCAATTGATTTGTTTCTTGTTTTCGTGGTGCATTTTCGATGATCTCTTGCGTCTCGCCTGTGAAAAAAAAATGCGCGAAAATTGAGTTTCCCTTGGTATTTTTTCTTCCCTTTCTTTTAGGCTCATTCTTGTCTCTGAAATCATATTTATTGATTTTTATTTTTTAATGCAATAAACCGATGTTTCTAGCGTTTTTTTTTTAGATATTTTTAATTTTGGGTTCATTCTGCCCAATTTTTATCAAATATTCCCTTTGATTGGTTTTTTTTCATACCCTATTTGGGTTTAGATGCGCCGAGCTTTTCATACCGCCATACTTCGACAATTTTCCACAAAAATTGCAACGCAGGTAGGATTCTTTTTTTTCTGCCTCAAATCGATGGATAACTGAAAATTAAAATAGAAAAAAACATGGAAGCTTCTCTGTTGAAAAGAAAACTTCAGAATTGAAATTTAAAATAAAAAAATTGGACCCCTCATTTTAAATTTACGAGAAAGCCTTGATATTCAAGAAATTTTTGGAGTAGTTTTCTCCAAAATTTGCGAAGTATCACTAATTTTCGAGTTAGTCATCCTAAAAAAGTTTTTCTTACAGAAACCTTCAACGTCTCTGCCGACGCGATCGATTCTAGAAAAGGGTACTGTCCAGCCGACAGTCTTAAAACCTTTCGTGTCCGCGGCCCTCCAAAACGAGGACCTCTTTGGTTTTGAGAAAATGGTGCATATTGACGAAATGTTCAAAGCTCGGCTCCATTTTGGGCACAAAATTGGGACGGTCCATAATAATATGAAATGGGCGTTATATGGCGAACGATTGGGTGTGTGTGTGTTCGATTTGGATATCACCAAAGCTTATTTGGTCAGGTTAGTGCAGATTTTTGGCTGTTCAATTATTTTTATAAGAGCCAAAAATACGTGATTACAAAATTTTTTCTTTCTAAAATGGGCAATTACCTCGACAATTTCTCACCAATTTGAAATGAAATATGAATTTTTTTTCCAAATTTTCGAAAGTTAAATGAGGCAAAATTTGTTTTCATCTAGTTTTTGCATTTAAAAAAAATCCGCTTTCAGAGCACTAAATTTCGTTGCTCATGTCGCGATGCGCGGCGGAATGCTGATGTTTGTCACCTCGAATCGCGACACAATGTTTGAGGTGGAAAAGACCGCTGAAGAGGTGAGATATGGGCAATTGGCACGTTCACGGGGGTACAAAGAGAATGGTCGCCGAATCGGACCCCCCTCGATGGCTGTGATGACGAAAATACTTTGATCCGAGTTAATTGCCCAATTAGAGAGGCGCAATTAGTGCGGAATTAGCGATCCTGAGCTATCGTTTTGGATTTTGCAGGTTGGGCAATATTCGCACGTGCGGAAATGGCAGCAAGGCACATTGACGAATACTAGGTGATTTTTTTTTCATTTTTCTTTTTTTAGTGGTATTCTGGTTTTAGACAGCTTCTCGGCGCTTCTGTCCGTCTTCCAGATACTATCATTTTCATGTCGACGCTAACTTCACTTGGTGAAAGCCATCCAGCGATTATTGGTGAGTTCAAACTGAAAAAATAAGGGAGGATTGGCATTTGCAGAGGCTGCAAAAATGGCGATTCCGACGATTGGTGTGGTGGATTCTAACTCGGACCCGGCCTATTTGACCTATCTAGTTCCTGCGAATGACGACACGCCACAATCCGTCGAATATTTGTTGAGATTTTTCAAACAGGCGATCAAATTGGGGCAAGAAGAGCGAAAAAGGGTTCAAAAAGAAGGCGTTTAAAGTCAATTGTAGGCATAGAAATAGAGATTTTCGTTGTTTTTGTTGATTTTTCAAATAAATATTGATTTTTTGGGCGTTTTTCCTTTTTTCCAACTGTTTTTGACAGATTTTTACTACCTGATTTATTCATTTTTTGGTTTTATCCAAGAGTTTTTAGAAATGTTGGCGCGACAACTCCGAAATTTGTGCATTTCGCGTCATTTTTCTTCAACACTGGTATTGGACACCTCGTCCGGTTCCTCTTCGACGTCCTCCAGCTCCGCTCAGCATGATCTGTCGAATTTCAAACGTGAATTGTGGAGGAAGCCGGACAGTCCGTTCACCGAGATCCCACAAGTTTGGATATCAACACTCGAGACGGTTGAAGACGAGAAAATTGGACTTGTCGATTTGCATCCGGACATTTTTCGCGTCTCGCCGCGAATTGATATTTTGCATCGGAATTTGACGTGGCAAATGAATTATCGAAATGTGCAGTTGACGAAAATGCTAACGAAAGCCGAAATGCCTGGTGGAGGTTAGCAATTTTTTTTTGAGAAAAATTATCGAAATTTTGTCATTAAATTGCGATGTTTAAAGGCAGAAAACCGTGGCCGCAGAAGAAGACCGGCCGAGCACACGTCGGCTCGATTCGATCGCCGCAATTCATTCGTGGAGGGTTCGCGAATGGCGCGCGCGGTCCGAGAACTTGGTTCTACATGCTGCCGGATCCGATTCGCGTTCAGGGGCTTTGTGTTGCGCTCACGATGAAGCATGCTCAAGATGATTTGCATGTTGTCGATAATATTCAGAATTTGAGCAACGGAGACCCCAAATATTGGATTGATGTGAGAATTTTATTAAAAAAAAAACAAAAGCCAAAAAATTTTACTCGCGGACTTTGCATTTTATTTGACGAAATTTCGTTTTTTTTTTTGTCATTTTTCTTCGAAACTATAAAGAAATCCTGCTTCTGAAAATTTATTTTCTCTTTTCTTTAACATTTCTTTCTATTTTCAGTTATGTGAAGCACGAAACTACGGATATTCGGTTCTATTCGTCGATGATTGCGATACGCTCGTCGGAGGATTGGCAGAAGCTCAAGAAGCGCTACCATGGCTCAACGTGATGCCCGTTTATGGATTGAATTGCTATTCGCTGATCAAATATGACACTGTTGTACTCTCGAGAGCCGCTTTGGAGCAAATTGAGCAACGATTATTGAGGAAGATCCATCAAGCCGGAAATTTGAACCAGAAATACAGATATATTGATTATAAGGAGAAAATTTTGAATGAGGCGAAAGCTGAAGAACATCCTGAAATGCCGCCAGTTGTCTAGAAAATTTTCCCTTTTTTTTCTAGGTTAGATTGTTGTATTTTATTGTTTTTGTTTATAAAATTATTCAATAATCGCTTTTCATCGATTTTTATTACATAGTTTTGTGTCCGTTTTATTACTTTTCTACCCATCGATGTTTTTTTTTAAATTGAAATTCTAGGATGGAAACGGAATTTAAATTTGACCCTGATGATTATATCCGCAAATTAACGGAATTCATGTTTTCGGATTCCGACGACTCCGCGAACCAGATTCATGAACTCGTTGAAAAGGTGAAAATTTGGTTTTTTAAACAATTTCGACTATGAAAATGGAGAAATTCAAAAAATTTAAAATATCAACGAAATTTTGGTGAAGAATTTTGTAATGGAAAAATTATTTGTTTGTGCGTCAAATAAATTGTTGTTGATTCTGCGGACTCGTGCATTTTAATTGACGACAATTAATTTTTCAAAATTTCTTTAATTTTTTTTCAACATTTTAACATGTTTCACGATTTTCTTTAATAATAGTATATGCCAGATTTATCATTGCAGGTTTGGAGCCTTCCATCAGAAACGAATTTCCATTCGGAAGCGTATTCAACCGACTGCTCGACATCTAGTTCAAAACTAGGTAGCTCATTGATTGGAGCAAAACGAATATCGGGAACTCAACGACTCTCGAATTTTCCGGGAATCAAAAAACCCACCGAAGTTGATATTATTGCAAAACCGGGAACAACTTTAACAGTTCCGCCGCTACCGGTGAGAAATTTCAATTCAAAAAAATGTTTGTTGATTTATTTGAAATTTGTAGAAAAAAGCCAAAAAAGTTGTGCCAGTTATTGATGATTCCATCACTGGAACTTCCGATCAGGTTCGAATTTCCATGAATTATAAAATTAAGTTTTAATTTTTAATTTCAGCCGTGTAAAACTTGCAATGGTGTATCGATGGCTGCAAATATGGTGTTATCGTGCAATGGATGCAAAGAGTCATACCATATGAAGTAAAATTTAAATTTTTGGCTAATAATTGGGCAATTAATTTAGGTGTAATCAGCCTCCAATTACCCCTGAAGAAGCGTCAAACGCCAGGTTCATCTTTTTATGCACAAGCTGTCAGAATCCAAGGCACATGACGAAGGTTTCATAGAAAATTTTATGAAATGTTAATTTAGTTCCATATTTAGCCGTCTTCGCGATCATCAAGTCCTCTAACAAAAGCGGAAGTTCCGGAGAAGAAATTCAAAAAGTTGGACAAAAAAGTGTTCAATGAGTCTTTGGAAGAATTTAAGAAAAAAAGTAGGAATTCAACAATTTGTTTGTTTGGAAAATTTGTTGATTTTCAGAGCAAATTAAGCAATCGCCAATAAAGCCGTCGGGAAATTAAGTTGATTCGAGCAAAAAACCAAATAAATTATTTTTTTTTCACTACAATTTTTGCACTTCGTGGATTCTGAACAGTCAACGTCGCAATTATCCAGACTCAGCATTTTTATATATTTGCGAGGTTTATGTAATTATAAAAAAACTCATTTCGTTCTTTTTGTTTGATGGAATTATAAGTTATAATTTGAGAATGCCCATGGAATAAAAAGCATGGCCGTGACCTAGCTAAAAAACTAGTCCATAGAAAAATTAAAATATAAATTTGAAGTTTTTTGATGGAATGTATAAAAAATTATCAATTAAAAATTTTTTTGTATTTCATGAAAATAAAAAAAAATAAATAATAATTTTTAGATGAATTGCCGAAACAATAAAATATTTATTCTCGATTATGGGAAATTGGTTTGATCAACCGGCAAAACAGTGCATTCGCATGCGTCGCCGTGCGGGATCTTGACAAATCTGATGGATTCTGAAGCGCCGACGTCGCAATCATCAAGACGAATCGTTCGAATCGACGTTTTCACCAAAGTGCACGCCGAACTGTTTTGAACGCGTGGCGGAAATCCGTGAGTGCCACTCTTAAAACATTTTTTAAGACAACTTTTTAAAGAAAAAAAATTGAAAATGTTGATTTTTGGTGTTTGTATACCTTTTTAAAAATTCGCGTTTTTTTAAATAATATACAAAAAATAATTCATTTGATTTGCAAGAAAAAGGTTTTACCTCGCTGGTTTTGCAAAATCCTCTACAAAACGGTAATTCGATTTTTGCGCGGCATTCTTTTCCATTCGAGTCGCGTTGAACGAATGGATTGAAGCCGGGAATCAGGCGCATCGAGAATTCGCACTCTTTTCCGCATGAGACCTGAGATTTTGAAATTTTGCGCATTTTAAAGGCGCATATGACATACAATAATGAATAGAATTGAAATAAGGAGAAGAAGGCGCATTTTGTTTGTCGTTGGCTAGCCGAGCCCGACCAGATGTATCGGAAAATTTGGCAAACTTGATAAACATGTGGTTTGGGACGACATCGGCGAACAAATCGCTTTTTCGATTCGATTTAAACTCGATTTTCGTGGTCCGATGAAAGAATTACGAGAATTCCCTTTATGTTCCAGGGTTTTCTCGAAGAAATTCCGATGTTTTGTTAAAATGAGAAAATATCTCGATTTTTGCAATGAAAATTGAGGGAACAGAATTTTTTTTAAAGAGAATCTTCCAAAAAATTTTGCTGAAAATTCTTGAGATCAAAAATTGAAAAAAAACTTCAAAAAGCGATCAATTCTAGGTTGATAAGGTGTCCTTGGCGACGGCGTCGTCAGTCATTTTTTTTTTTCGTTGTTGTTGTTCTCGTTCATCGTCTTTGTTTCCGTCGTTTTGAAATATAGTCGATTTCTGTGGGTGCGGGGCACCGAGAATTGATACATTATCATTGAGACGCGAGAATCGCAAGAAATTGAAGAGATTTTCGAGAAAAACCCCCGAGACGATTCAAGTTTTTTTTTTTCGACGTCGTCGATTCAACTAAACAACCCGAAATATATCGCAGTTTTTATACTAATTTCGGCATTTGCTTTAATTTTCCGCGGAATTTTTTTCATTTTTCACCTTAAATTTCACCATTTTATTGAATTGCGCAAATTTCCAAACAAGAATAATGCAATTTTTGGAGATTTGCCGATTTTGACCCCTAATATTGAAAATTTTGGGCATTTTTTTGCCCGAACGTTTAAAGAATTTCAACATTTCCACTTTTTTCTTTAAAAACAATTGAAATATGGCAATTTTTGAAAGGATTTAAATTTCGTTCTCTGGAAATAATAATTTTTGGGTTCGAAATTTTTTATTTTCTAAAAAATTACTTTAATTTTCTCAATCTTTTGAAGATTTTTAAATTATGGTCCCTGGAAATTCTCAATGGAAGCCGTTGTTTAAAAATTTAAAAAAAGAACTTAAAAATTTCCGATATTTTCTTGGAAAATCTCCGTCCAAAATTCGTCTAGCCTATTCATCAAGTGACCATCAACTAATCCCCCGTCCCCCCGCGTCCACTTCGAACCCTCGAATAATTTATTCTCGAATAAATTCGTAGGCCTTATCGGACCGGCGAATCTCATCAATTATGGGCCACACGAGAATCGTTTCTCGACTTTCAACGTTTTGCTCATTCATTTCTCAAATTTTTCCTCGAATTCCCACATTTTCAGGCCATGATGCTTCAACTTGTCCGATTTTTTTTGTTGTTGGCGGTGTTCGCCGGAATGTCGGCGGCGGATTGTCCCGACAAATGCGAATGCGATGGAATTGTGGCGGATTGCACGAATTCGAACATTTTCGAAATTCCGCGCAATATTCCCAAAACCACAAAAACGTTGATATTGCGCAATAATCGCATTCGGCGAATCGCCAGAAGCGCACTGAAACATCTCGAACATCTTGAAGTGCTCATTCTCACCAATAATCGCATTTTTGAGATTCAGGAGGTTGGCGGTTTTTTTCCACAGGTTTTTTGTTTCTCTAAAAACATTCTTTAGAATTTTCTCGATGACATGCCGAATCTTCGACGATTCTCGATTGCCAAGAATTGGCTGTACTTCATCCCTCCATTGGCTTCTGTTCCTCATACGCTGGCGTCTTTGAACCTCAAATATAACAAGATCAAGACTATTGATCCTGAAGCTTTTGAGAATCTACACAAACTTCAGCAACTTGACATCTCCCATAACTTGCTTCAATCGCTTCCAACGACGTCGCTTCAGAATCTGAATTTGCTTGACAATTTCGACCTTCATCATAATCCGTGGAATTGCGATTGTCGGTGAGTGGTTGCAAAAAAATCTTGTGCCTCATGCTGGAATCGAACCAGCGACCTTCTGTTTACTAGACAGACGCTCTGCCACTGAGCCAATGAGGCGGATACGCAGAGTTGAAAGGATTGCCTATAGATGTCGTAGTATTGCAGTCTGCCGCCGATTGCATCTGCGTCTCGAACAACCAAATCGGAGCGCGCCGCGTTTTGCACGAACCCGAAGCAAATTCGGCATTTGCCTTTGCACCAGGTTTTATTTTACCGAATAATTAGAAAATAGAACGAATAATAAATGATTGAAAGGTGTATGAAACGAACGTTCACTGTGAGACCCCGGAAATTGAGGAGCACGTAGGCAATAATTTGAAATTGACGTGTAAATCGAATGGAAAAAATATTACATGGCTTTATAAGTAAGCTTTATCATCTCGAATGACTAAATTTGGCTATTTCAGATATATTGAACTTTCGTCATCGGCTTTAGACGCTTTTACTTTATCTCAAAATGATTTAATTGTTCCGAAAACCACACCAATTAAATTTATTTCATGCACATCGGATTATTTGGACGTAAGAATTAACAAAATATATATTAAATTCATTAATTTTTTTATAGATTCCACATCATAGAAGGGTCCGACATCTCGCGAGAACTATTAAATTCACATATAAACCCAGAGATAATAGCTACAGGTAGTTTATGGTCCCAAAAAAGGTTTTAAAAAATTATTATAGGGAGGGATCTGAGGTTAAAGTGAATTGTGAGGTTATCGGTGAACCGAAGCCGAAAATCAAATGGTATTATGATGGCAAATTGCTCACGTCGACGAGAAAACGCCAATTGAGCTTGTCGAACAATATTTTGAGGATTTACCCGTTTTTGGAAGAGGATGCTGGAAGGTACATCATTAATCTTATACATGGTTACTGTAATATGGTAGTGTGCATACACCAAGGACGAAAATTGCACGACTATTGATTTTTGCGATTTCTGACGAATTTTAAAATGGTTCTGAAAGAAACGTGTAATTGAGGAATTTCTCTCTCATTTGTAAATTTACCGCTGGATTTTTTGATATTTGGAAAAGGAAATTCAAATGATAAAATTCAGTTTATTTTGTTTCTTTCTGGCGTTTTCTGCTTTTTTTGGGAAACGCCTATAAAAATTAATTGCACGTACGCTAAAATGCAAAGTACTCAAACACGCGTACCCCTCGAGACACCTGGTAAATAGACAATTGGCTTAATTCTTTCATTTTTTGAATTCTTTCAGTTGTTTGACGCCGGCAATAGTTTTTTTTTTAATTTAAGAAGAATAATTTCCCTTTTTTCAGATATACTTGCGAAGCTTCCAACGAATTTGAAACTATTCGGCACGATTTCAATTTGGAATTGATTAGTAGCGTTCCGCCCAATATATATCAAGGACCGGAATCGAAAACAGCGAATGTTGGAGGCCAGGTGCGTGGAGAATTTTTATTTGAAAAGGAAAAAAAACTAAAAATTAAATATTTTGCAGGTGAAATTCGTTTGCAAAGCTCGCGGAACACCAATTCCCGACTATACGTGGTCATTCGATGGAAGCACCATCGGACATATCAAAGGACGAATAATGGTGTCGGATGATGGAACGGAGCTCACAATTTCGAACATTGAAAAGAAAGATGAGGGCTTCTATTCGTGTATGGCCGGAAATCCGGTGGGAGCGATGAGTTCCGACGCGAAACTCACCGTTATTGGAGATTCGGTGGGTTTTCAACATCAAACGAAATATTCGAAAAAAGCAATTCGAATTACTATAGAAATCTGGCGAAAAATTCGAGCTCACCGATGACGCGTTGGAAGGAATTGTGAAGAAGGCGCGCGAGAATGTTGAGCGGGCTGTCGAGAAGACGCGCGTTCAACTAACACAGGATCGCGTCACGAACACCCAGGATTTGAAGCGACTCTTCCGATTCTCGGTGCCGAAACAGGCTGTCGAGTTGTCGAAGGCGCGAGAAATCTATGAGGAATCGGTGCGTCTCGTCAGAGAGCACGTTAATCGCGGCCTGATGCTTGACATCGATGAGCTTCACCCAAAAAATATTAGCTACGAATCGGTGCTTCATGTGACTCACATGCAAACGCTGATGGGAATGAGTGGCTGTCATAGCGGGCAATTCAAGAATCCGTGCACCGACGTCTGCTTTCATAACAAGTATCGATCGTTTGATGGGCAGTGCAATAATTGGAAGAATCCCATGTATGGTGTGTCGTTTATGCCGCTCAAGCGACTTTTGAAGCCGGTTTATGAGAACGGCTTTAACACACCGGTCGGATGGGATCCCAAGAAGCTCTACCACGGCTATCCGATGCCGAACGTTCGAGAAGTGTCGAGGCAGCTTGTCGCCACTGAGCGCATCACACCGCACTCGAAGTTGTCGGCGATGGTAATGCAGTGGGGACAATTTTTGGATCATGATCTGACGCATTCGGTCAGTGCGCTGTCCAGACACAGCTACAGTACTGGCGCATTCTGCAATCGGACCTGCGAGAACATCGACCCCTGTTTTAATATTCAATTGCCCAAAAATGACCCGAGATTGAAGGGTGGAAAGTAGGGGATTTTGTTATTCAAAGCAATTTTCAATTTATTATTTTGTTTTCTGAATATTTAGCGTCAAATATCCTTGTATTGAGTTCGAGCGAAGTGCAGCGGTTTGCGGATCGGGTGAGACTTCGCTGCTATTCAACCGAGTCACCTATCGAGAGCAAATGAATGGGGTAAAGTAGCCATATTTGAATTTTTAACAAAAAAATGCCACCTTCAGCTTACTTCGTTTATCGATGCTTCAACGGTGTATGGAAGCACGGAAGTTCAGGCTCAGGAGCTTCGAGACACTTATAATAACAAGGGAACACTGAGATATGATATAACATCGGAGTATGTCTTTTTTTTATTTTTCGCCAATTTTTTTGTTTCAGTGCTGGGAAGGAGTACATGCCATTTGAGAAGGATTCCAATATGGATTGTCGGCGGAATTTCAGCGAATCCAATCCGATCCGCTGTTTTTTGGCTGGAGATTTGAGAGCGAACGAGCAGGTTTTGCGCCACGTTTTTGATTTCAAGAGAAACAATGAGAAACAATTTTTTTTGAAAATTTAGTTAGCTCTTGTTTCGACGCACACAATTTTCCTACGAGAACACAACCGAATCGCCACCGAATTGTTGTCGATGAACCGAAATTGGGACGGCGAGGTGATCTATTACGAGACGCGCAAAATTGTTGGCGCAATTGTGCAACACATCACCTACGAGCACTGGCTTCCGCACGTTTTTGGTGGTAAAGTGAGTTGCGTGGGAAGAGAATTGAAATTGTTGAGAGTTTTGCTTTGATAGGACCAGCTGATGAAATACATTGGTACATATAAGGGATATGATGATAAGATTGACGCATCGATTTCGAACGCGTTCGCCACTGCCGCGTTTCGTTTTGGGCACACACTGATCAATCCGACGCTGTTTCGGCTCAACAATGATTTTTCGCCGATTTCCGACGGCCATATTCCACTTCATAAGGTGAGATTTTAATATTTCATAAGCGTCTAGCCTTTTGTGAAAACTGTGTGCACCTTTAAATTACGCTAGCCAAAATGATAGAAATTATTATTAATTTCCGATTTATTCAATTTTTGTGTCCAATTTTAAGTTTTAAACTTTTTTTTGATATTTGAAACAAGACAATTTCGATGCAGTAAAAAATATATTTTCTATTTTTCTGAATTGCTTTGATTTAAAGGCTCATTGGGTCTTATGGCGATCGACTTTGGTACTCATTTTTGTTTTCAAAAACCTAACAATCACCTAAAATTTCGAATTTTTTGGGCCTTCTTCACACCGGAATTGGTGTTGAGCCAAGGTGGAATCGATCCGTTGCTTCGTGGACTATTCGCGAGCCCTTTGAAACACCCAATGCCGACGCAACTGCTCAATATGGAGCTCATTGAGAAGCTTTTCATGAAGGGCCACGAAGTTGCTCTCGATTTGGCTGTTATGAATATTCAACGATCGCGGGACCATGGACTGCCGAGCTATACCGCTTATCGAGAGTTTTGCAATTTGACGGTGCCGAGAGATTGGAGCGATATGAAAGACTATATTAGGGACGAGAGTGTGCTGAAGAAACTGCAGGGATTATATGGAGTACCGCGTGAGTTTGTACTTTTAAAACTGAAAAAAATACATTTAAAAATCATACAATACGTATTTTTACGATTTTAAATCCATTTCCCTCTATTTTTTAAAGAATTTTTGAATTTTTTTCTATTTAACTTGAAGGGGCGGAGTCTGACACGTGCGAAAGATAGAGGGCGGCGAGACCCGTATGATGTCGGACGCTTCGCGAGTGAGGGTTTTATAAGCGACAAGTTGTTCGCCGCATCGCAGCAGTCATGTGTTGCGCGCGATGAAATCATTACCATCTTTCGGCTGAGGTCGCCGCTGATGCCATTCTTTGTTTGCTGAGCGCCTCTCTTTTGGAAATTTTTAAAAATCAAATTTGAAAGCATTAAATAAAATGAGTTTTTTATTATTTGGAATTCGAATTTTATTTTAAACAAAATTTGATAGAGAATTGTGTAATACATATTTTCCAGAAAATATCGACCTTTGGGTTGGTGGAATTGTCGAAGAAAAACTCGAAAATGCGCTATTTGGTCCAACATTTGCTTGTATTATTGGAGATCAATTTAAACGTCTTCGAGATGGCGATCGTCATTGGTTTAATTTGGATCAAAGCTTCTAAAAAAATGTGTTTTTCTCCTATTTAGGTACGAAAAAGAGGGAATGTTCACGAAAGAGCAATTGAGAGAGATCAAAAAAGTGACATTGGCTCGAATTTTGTGTGATAATGGTGATATGATTGATCGTGTTCAGGTTTTGTTTTTGATCGAATTTTTGCGTGAACGAAAAAAAAATGGACGAATTGCAGAAAGACGTGTTTTTGTATCCGGGCAAAGACATTCTGTCGTACAATCGATGTTCGGACCATCCGAAAATGGATTTGAGGGAATGGCGAAACTGTTGCGACAATGTGTGTCCGACGATGCTCGATCGAATATTGAGAAGTCGTCATCGGGGATCGAGACTTCATGGATGCACGGTTGAGGGGATTTGGAGACCCGAAGGGGCGAAATGGATTCCCCGAAACGAGTATTGCACCGAATGTGTGTGTCAGGTAGGGGGCGAAAATGTGAAAAAGCCGAAAAATTATGATATTCGAAGTCGTGTGGTGTAAAACGCAAATTCAGCTGCCGATTATGGGTTTTCGAAAATATCGCGACATTTTGGCGAAAATTGTGGGTTGAAAATTGGCAATTATTTTTCTAGACTTGAATAAATTTGGCATTTTTTGAGGTTAAAAGCATTAAGTTTTTAGTAATTTGTTCAAAAAATTTTTTTTAGAAATTCGATTATTTCACGGGCGGGCCGCGATTTGATCGCTTGACGCCATTTTTTAAATCAATACATTCGCACGTAGCCACCAAATGCACTCTGGGATTGAAATTTTAGTCGCGATATGGGAAAATTCAAGATTTTTGGCTTGTTTTTCGTCAAAACGCGCCAAATAATTGGGTTTTTGTCGATAATTTTTGACGAAAATACCAATTTTTGGTGAGAAATGCCCGAAAAAGGGCACATTTTTTGAATGTAGTGAATTTCGTCACGTTTTTTTTTCAGGGTTCACGCGTCTGGTGTTCGATCAAAGAGGATTGTTCGGATAATCGGAGCCCGTTTTAAATTCACAGCACCCAGGTTGTGAATTATAGATTTGGTGAATTTTTTTGAATTATTTATGCCCATTTATGTTATTCATTTTTTTCTGTTTGCCATAATATTAATAAGAATTAATTGGACGAAAAAATGAACGAACAAATAATAATATTTATTGCGAAAATGAAAAAAAAAGAGAATTGAAATGAAAAATTTTTACGTTTATTTTTTTTTCTCGTCAAAAATAAAATTATTTTGGTTTTTTTTTTTTTGAAAAATCGGGTTCAACAACAAAATGATGACCTGAGAAATGGCGAGGAGATTTGCGAAAAATTTCAGGTCGAATTTGACGTTGAAGCGGCCGTCGACGTCGTCTGTTTGAGGGTTTCTTTGAATTTGCGCAACTCGTCCTGCGTCCGACTCCATGGTCGAACCGTACACGATTTTTTGTCGCACGACATTGTGCCGTCGAGAAGCGGCAATTTGCACGTCGTTGAGAACAGCGAGGCGGTCTCGGAGCGAACCCTGCAATTTGTGGACATTGAAAAAAAAAGGAAAAGTTGGTTTCGAAAAATGCACTTTTTTATGGCTTCTTGAAAGGCTTACCGTTGAAGCGATTGCGGTTCGCCGACCGTCAACAATGAGCTAATCGACGATGATTTTTTCATTGAGAGATTTTTAACGGGAAAGGGAAATGGTTTGAAATGAGACTAACGAATTTCTGGTGGTGCACCTGCGTTTAGTCATATGCTCCGCGAGCGTGCGGCCAAAAAAAATCGAATTTACGCGCCGAGAAATTTTTTTGGAATTCCCCGTGGGCTACACTATTGTTTTTTTTTTTTTCAAAAATTAATTAATTCACTAACAACCCCCGAAATTTCCCCCGTCGAAATGAATCATGATGAGTTTTTCGACAAATAATGATCGGAAATTGGATATCATCGCTCGTCGTTGTTTTTTTTTCCCCGAAATTTGGTTTGCGGTTTTTGATGAGATTGAGAATTTCGCGTTAGATATGATTCATGTCTGTGAATGCTCGTCAAGTTCAATATTTTGAGTGGAATGCTGGGATGTCCGCAATTTTGCGTAAACTAGTGGGTATTTCCAATAATGAAAATGCAAAAAAATACTAGAAACCAAGAATTTCGAGCTAGATATGATTCATGTCTGTAAATGTTCGTCAAATTCAATGTTTTGAGTGGAATGCTGGGAAGTCGGCGATTTTGCGAAAACTAGTGGGTATTTTGAAAACTATCCAATGTCCGCAATTTTGCGTAATTTGTGATCTAGAAAAACCTTTGTTTGAAAGTGAAACCTACAATTTTGGGCGTATGAATGCGGACGGTGTTGTCGGCGATGACATTGTTGGCGAAAAATGCCGACAAAATTGAGTAAAGAGGGTGGAAATTAGGCTTGAAAGTGGGCGGAGTTTTTTGCGGAACGAAAAATGCCAAAAATAATGATGGAGGACGAAAAAATTGTCGATAATTTGTTTCTTTTCTTTTTTCCTCCGTGTGAAAATGGCGAAATTGGTGAGAAAAATTATCTTGAATTTTGACGATCCGCGAAAATTGAGTATTTCGTTTTTAATGGGTTTTTTTTTCTGATTTCCTATTTGCCGCCCTCATTAGAATCTCTCATATTTTGTTGTATTCATGTGTGTGTGTGTTTTCACCTGTATGACATAATTTGCAGGTGTTTTTGGCGACACATGTAAACCGAAATTATTTTTGTGCGGCGATTTTTGACGCAAAACAAATTTTGTTGATTTTCGTTTTTACCTTCGTACGTCCTCGCTTCGACTCATCTCGCTTCGTGGTCCGCTACTTCGTGCTCTTGGCAGAAATCCGTTAATCGCGTCTAAATATGGAGATTGGCACGCGGCAAAAATGAGGGGAGGGGTTTTGATGGAATGCGGACTCGAACTCGCGACCTTTCGCGTTTAAAGCCAAAGAGTTTTGATAAAGCCACTTAGGACTCGAAGCGGGTTTGGCTAAATCGCAAATAAGAAACCTTCAATGCGAAATTCGCGTAATCGCTCTTCCTTGTTCGAATCCAAATGAAAAGTTTGATTCAAAACTGATTTTTCTTGAGATTCCAGTTTATTTTCGAATCTGAAATGGTAAATTTAGTGAATTTTCAGCGACAATTAGTATTTGATTAGATTGGCGGGGAATTTTTTGACGCGAAAAAAATAATTGAAATTTTCTTGAGAATTTTGCCCATTTTTTGAGGGGTCTCGAAATTTTCGGCAAAAACGATCCAAACCAATGGTTTTTTTTTCGTGTTTTTCCATCCGAAAAAAAATGAGTTATTAGTCATAATTTTCTCGAATTATCCATCGAATTGTGAGAAATTCAGTGTGCGAAATGATTTCGATTTTTTTTTCGAATTCATCGAATCGCCAACGAAACAATTTCGATGATTTCATTTTTTTGAAGCAAATTTTAGCGACAAAAAAGCGAAAAATTGGAAATTTTCACGAAAAAAAATGAATTTGAAGCCAAAAAATGCGTTTTTTTTTCAGAAAAATGAGAAAACCCACGTGAAATCGAACGGTGCAATATTGTTGTTTGGAACGACGTTCCTCTTAATGGATGGTCCCGCGCGGAATTCGTGTTTCGCCTTCTCGACAGCCTTGAGAGTACGGTAGTCGTGCATAAAAACAACTGACAAAACAAAAAGTTTGTGATTAATCGGGGTGGGAAAAAAATGAAAGTGAGAAGCCCGACAATGAGCAACGCGCGGCGGCGGCGGAGGCAGTGTTTTACGTTGTCATGGAGCATGAGCTCACACGAGCTCCGGCTCAGGCTCAAAGAAAAATGGCAATAAATTGGATTTTTTTCATTCGGTCGCTCAAATTATTCTAGAATTGCAGTTTTTATGAACACCTTTGCTCAAAATTGCCAAATTTTTTTGTGGCGTTGGAAAATTGCCACGTGTCGATGAGAAGAACACCAACAGTTGGCCAATTGCGATTTTTGCAGATTTTCAATAAAGTAAAGTCATTTTTTGTTGATTTTTGAAAATTTCAATAAAAAAATGTCCTTAAATTGTGGGAAATTTGAAAAAATCGCATAGGAAAAGGTGCGACAGCGTCAATTTTTTGAAAAATTGAAAAAAAAATGGGAATTTGGAAAAACAAAAATGAAGAAAAGAATAGTGAAAACCGGAAAAAAATCATTCTCTTCGATTTTTTCGGGATAAAATATAAAATTGCGGAAAATTTGAAAAATAAAGCTGAAATTTGGGCACGATTACGGTATATCGTTTTCGGTGTACTGCGTACCAAAACACTTGGCCCTACGACATTAGCGAGTTTCTAGAAATTGCGAAAAAAAAATTGGGAAAATCGACATTTAAAAAAAAACATGTTTCCGGTGGAAAAAATTGAAAATTTTTTGTCGACTGATTTTGACCAAGACTACAGTAGTCATGAGAGGTTTTCAGTTTCGCAATTTTTTTTCCCACAATTTTCAGTTGGTGTGAAAAAAATATTGGCGGGGGAGAGGAATTTATAATTTTTTTTTTCTCCGAGGAAATTCCGGGGGAGTTGTTTGGTTGGCGACGGAAATTGCGTTTGCCCCCTCATTTTTATGTTTGAGCGAAATTTTCGAGAATCGTGTAGAATTACGGTAGATCACCATTGGACCCCAAACGGCAGTGTGTGCTCTCGGGAGAGAATTTCCCGAGAATTCCCTAAACTACCCAGAAACAAAATTCTCGAGACTCCCGGAAGCACCGAGAAATTTCGAAATTATTAGTCTCGGTACTATACGGGTAGTCGCGCGTACGGGAACCGAGAGTCTCGAGACTTTCTCGGGAATTTTTCCGAGACTCCCGAGAAATTCTCGGGAGTCTCGAGACTTTCTCGGGATTTTTTTATTGATGAAATTCAGTAGTTAAATTGATAACTAGTAGGGTTTTGAAAACTAGCATAGTCAACATATTTTGAAAATGTTCGCCCGTATAAAAAGGGGATTAATACATAAGTAAATCGTTTTTTTTGCATACGATTGTTTGCGATTAAAGTTATGTCTAAGGTTTTCGTACCATAAGGTTTTAGTGCCATATGTTTCACCAAGACCAAAATTTCAAGTTGGCGTGTTTAGCCGACCGCGATTAACAACCGAAACGCGACGCGTATGCGTCGCGGTTAAAGCGGAACAGCTATTTTTTTAGTTTCGAAAAAATTCACAAATATGTAGGAAATATCTTCATTCGTTTAAATTCTTTCTTTATCTGATGCGTAATGTGACTATTTAGTTTGGGTGGCATATCAATCACTTTTAACTTACAAGGGAGGTATTTTTGCTGTCCGTTTTAAAAGTTGTCAATTTTTTGCATACAGATTTTTTTTAGAAAATTTCCAATCGAATGAACTAGGTCCCAACCTGCGAAAACTTCTAGTTATCGAGTTATGAACCATCAAAGTTTTAGCCCCACCCACGTGAATTTTGCGTACTAGATGTTTTCGCAGGTAGGGAGGAACTTAGTTCATTCGATTGGAAATTTTCTAAAGAATCTGTATGCAAAAAATTGACAACTTTTAAGACGGACAGCAAAAAGACCTCCCTTGTTTTCATTTGTTAGTATTGAAACGAACTTAAAGGAGAAAAAATAAATTTTTTGTTCACTAAAAAAATTCCCGTGAAGGTCTCGAGACTCCCGAGAATTTCTCGGGAGTCTCGGAAGATTTTTCTCGAGAAAGTCTCGAGACTCCCGAGAAAGTCTCGAGAAATTCTTGCAAGTCTCGGTACTTTTTGGAAAGTCTCGGGAGTCTCGAAGACATTGTCGAGAGAAATTCTCTCGGTACCGGTTAATTTTCTCGATTTTTCTCGAGAATTTTTTCTCGAGAGCACACACTGCCAAACGGTACAATAAAAAAAAAACTGTATCTAGATAGTGTCTACATATATAGGTGGCCTCAACAACAAAAAATTTGCAGAACTCAAAACCATGGCATAGAAAGCGTATCTCAACGGAAAGTGGTCGGATTGAGCTGAAACTTGGCTAGATGTTTTCTACGGGTCCGAAAACCCCAAAAATAATCAAATCAGGTAATTGATAACCCTCTCATCTGAATTTCACTAGCCGAAACTCAGACGATCGCTGCTGACCTACAAGAACAACCACACGCACCCAGGAGTCCCGCACATTCAGGTATTGCATTCCGATTTTTGTTAGTTAGCTCAAGAAGGTCTCTAGGGACCATACCAACTACTAGAACATTACGACCCACCATCGCATTCCCCTTTAATTATCCGTATATGGTTCTTAATATTAACTCACAGTCCCGCTTCCACTATCTTCTCGTAAAGCCATGGAATACTTTATTCGAATACGATATGAATATGATAGTGGGTGGCGACTCGAGAGGAGACTTGCGACCTACTCCAGTAAAGGGAAGGATAGAATGGATATTTATTCCATCTCAAGCTTGTTGCACCGTCGATGGGCGGAGTCTATCGGTCCGCATGTAACAATCCGTACTACAATCGGAATTCTGCTTTTTCAAATTATTCAACAAATTATTGTTCTGAAAATTTGCGTCAAATTCGGTGTTTGACGCACACTTGCAGATTTCGAAATATTTCGTTCTATTTATTAGGCGGATATTCGCATTCCGCTCAACACTGACTAAAATTCATTTTTTTTGAACTACTCTCATTCAACCAAAAAAAAAACTGTAAGCGGAAGTCGACCTCCCCCGAATCGACCGACCTACTATCATATCAATCTTGAAAAAGAAAACATTACACTCGACAAAAACATTACACCTCCACACACCATATACGATCAACCTCTCGAAATAAATCGGTCCATAAAATTTGAAATTACCCGTTTGTCCGTGCGAGACCAAGAGAAAGACGCATCTCCGTAAATCAACCCGCGTACAGAAGTCGCCGGACGCTGACTATAATCTCGAATAAGCTTCTTTCGCCTTCAATACTCATCCATCAGTACGTGAGTATTTGTACACCCACACTTAACGCGTAGGGTTGCAATCAATTAACTATATCATAATTTTTTATTACTTAATTGGCCCAAAAGGGGATTACTGTGGATTCGATTGATCGAAAAGTTCGTTGGAGATCGCTGGAATTGCACACAACCTCGTTTTTTTTTGCTTGCAATGATTAATGTTTGACGATTAGGTTGTTTCAAATCGCCGTCGGAGCCACACGACAGCTGTCGGTGTGTGTGTGTGTTCCCTCTTGGCTGTGTTGTGCCCCTCAACGCCTCATTTCGATATCGAATGCGACGACGGCTCGCCGCCGAGCTTCTTCTCGCCGTCGCCGCGCTTCTGCCGTCGCTTCAATGCCGCGCGCATTTCAGCGTTCGCGTCATGACGTTCAACGTGTGGAATTCGGGCGCGAACGTCGAGAACGGCCAACAGAAAATCGCGAAGCACATTCTGCTGGTGCGGCCCGACATTGTCGCGTTGCAAGTGCGCCGTCAGTTCGCATCGACATGTGATTCGTGTACGATTCTTTCAGGAGGTCTACGCGAACGTCACCCGAAATCTCACGATGATGCTCGGACCGCCGTGGATCGCCGTCGAGAATCCCGATCCCGAGTATCCGGACACGGCGATTTTGACGAGACAACTGGTCAGACTCCTCGATGGGACGATTAAAAATGAATTTTTCGATTTGATTTTTTTTTCTAGATTCTTCCCAACACGGTTGTCCACACTGACTATGGTGTCGGCGCGAAAATTCTGTTCCGCATGGGACCCGTCATCCATTTTTGGAATGTGCACTTGGATTGGCGCTCGTATGGTCCGTACGCGGCCTTCAACAAACTCGTCACTAGCGAAAATCAAATTTTGGCCGGCGAGAATTCGGCGCGCGGTCCCGAGATTCTCGACGTCCTTCATCATCCGATGACGCGATTGTGGTTGTCGAAGACGGCCGACGTGCCGTTGATGATCGCCGGCGATTTCAATGGTCCGTCGCATTTGGACTGGACGAAGCGCGCGAAGAAGGCGCACGGCGACTGGGAGATTCGTTGGCCGGCGACGAAGCACCTCGACGATTATGGGTTTGTCGACTCGTTTCGCGAAATCAATCCCACGTCGAATCCAGGTTGGATTTTTATTTTTTTTTTTGATCGAAAATTGCAAAAATTTCGAAGTTACATTTTTCCGAAAAAAAGAGCGTAAAATTCTTGCAAAAATGCAAATTTCGAAAAATAAAAACATGGAATTCAAATTTTTTTGCAAAATTTATTTAGAAACAAAAAAAGGAAACTTTTCGTGTGCGCCTTTAAAGAATTTAAGAGAAAATGAAAATGGAAAAAAAAAGATTTTTTAATTGATCTTTTATAGATTAAAAAATTTTCAAATTGAATAATCATGAAAAAAAAATTTTTTTGAAAAGGTTTTTTGAAATTTCTAGGCTACACCTGGTCAACCGTCAATAAATTCAATCCGGAATGGAATTACACGATTCCAGAACCACAGGATCGCATCGATTTTATTCATTATAAAGGTTGGTTTTTGAAATTTGAAGTTTCTTTCTTAAAACTCTTCGATTTGATTTGTTGACATTGAAATCGCCTCAGGACCCGCGGTACCGTACCAATCATTCACATATGCGGGAACCGAGCGTCTCCGACGAATTCCGTATCATCAACAGAATGATTATCCGTCGGACCATTATGCGGTCGTCACCGATTTCCACCTGTACTGATTCATTCAACGCCAACAACAATAAAGTGTGGCAATTAAAAATTGAATAATTATGCTACTAATTGTACTTAATTGGCCGCCGACATTGCACAAATCATCGCGGCAGCAGCAGAATTCCTGTTTGAGATTGTTCTCATAGATTGGCGGATAGCAGCTGAAATCAAATGTTTGGCGGTCTCGACGCGACTACCGTACCCCTCGTCGTCGTCAATACAATAATCGTAGACATTTGTGCACCCGCGCGATATTTGGGTCCCGTTGATGTACTTGAGGCACCATAGATCGGCCGGCTCGCAGTTTTCCACCTAAAAAAAAGAAATAATTTTTGTTGTGGTTTGTTTAAAGGGGGTTTCGTGACGCAATATTGCGGACTTTGTTTTGGAGGGTGCGTATGATAGCAATTGTCGCCTATAATTTCAGAATATGGTAGGTAGCTCGTGAGGAGGGCGTGGGGTTACTGTAGATCACGCAAAATTGCGGACTTGTGAATTTACGATTGTAATTCTTTTAAAAGAAATGCTGTGGCTTGTAATGTTATATTACTGTAGTCGGATTACGCAAAATTGCGGACTGCATTTTTTTTTGGAGCCGATTACTGTACATGACGCAAAATTGCGGACTTTTCGCGTTTTTATGAAATTTTTTACGAATTACTGTAGATGATTTGAGAAATTGTGGACTTTCGATCGGTTTTAATTTCACGAAAATTTCGGCCCAAATTGGACTATAGTAGGTTGACGCAAAATTGCGGACTTGCTGAGGGCTACAGTAGGCTTACAGGAGGGGGAATTTGAGGACCATCTATGAAGATTGTCCTCAAATTTGCGGACCACGTCATATCTACGAAAACTGTGACGCGAGATTGCGGAACTCGACAAGAGTGTTGCTAATCTCTTAAAGGGGGTGCCGCCGCCGCCGCTGCAGCTTGTGGTGCAAGTAGAGGTGGTGACGATTTCAATGAATAATTCAGACCTGCATGTCGGACTGGTAGCATCTCAGCGCATCAATTAGTCGAAAACCGCATAAAAGAATAATTAAAGAGAAGACGGTTGGATGTCGACGTGTCATTTTCATTAATCGACTCGTACTGATAACGAGCCAGTGAATGTTTTACAACCTTGGCAAACAGTTCTAATGAATTTATTGGTTTGGCGAGATCGTTAATTTATATGAGAAATATCGATTATTTTCTGCCGGGACTCGCGAAGCTCATGAACTTGTTCTTCTGAAATTCATGGTCCCTCATTGAATGGTCCGTTGTTGTTCGACTCACCTGATTCTGGGCGGTTATCATGTCGGAGAAGTCGCAACCTTGCGAGAGTCCCGCGTTCAACATGCACAACCGATTTCGCTTCACCGCTTTCCACAACCTGTAAGTATATGCGATTAGAGCATTCGCTGTTAAGCGCCCTAATAGCGCAGTGGTTCGAGTTTTGGCTGGTGAGCATTTTTGAGACATGGGTTCGAGCCCCTCCCCTTCATATAGTGTTTTGCGGGGCTTACTGTTGTTGCTCATCCATGTCGTTGAAGAGGTACCGTGCTTGGAGCATTGAGCACAAGGCGGCTAGAAAAAGAAGCAGGTAGCTGAAGGACGCCATTACCTATAAACTGGGATTACTGTAGGTTACGATTTTTTGATTACGGGATTACTGTAGCGAGGGGTACTATTTTTTAAAGGAGTATGACGAAAAATTGAATTTTTTTTTTCTAGATTTTCCGGTGGAATGAAAATAAAAAAAAACGAGAAATGACGAGAGGATTTGCTAGGAGAAAATGAACTATTCTGCGATTGCCTACGAAAAACAATACAAAATTTATTGGATAGAAAAGGGATTTTTTTAATCGTCTTGTGACGGCGAATTGGGTATAATCGTAAAAAAAATAATGGGTTTTCTGATGTTGATTTTCGCGGCTCTGGCGGCGAAGCGAAAAAAAATCTGCTGAAGAAAATGAGCTTTTCGCCTAATGAGACACCCATACATTACCGATTCTGAGTAGGCGTGGTGTTGTTGGTGCACAACGGCGAAGCTTTGGATTTTTCCAAAAAAAAACCAAAAAAAATTTTTTCTGCGACTTCAAGTGGCAAAATCCCCAAATTTTCCCAGAATTGGCCATTGTCTTTAAACGAGACTCTGAATTGAAGGAGATAGATCAAAATCTCGAAAATAATGAATAATGCGCCTTTAAATAGTATTGTTTCGAGTTGGCCACGCCTATTGAGGAATTTTGGGGAACAATTTTAAAGGGGGGGGACCACAATTTCACGGCTTCACAGTTTTTCACAATGAAAAGAAAAAAATGCAATTCCATTTTTTTTTTCATTTTTTTTTGGGCCGAAACGTCGTTTCGTTTTCAGGATTTATGGTTGGAAATTCGAATGAGAACCATTTTCTCAATTTTTTTTCAATTCACACGAAAATTGGGCACATAAATTTCGTGACGAGCTGGTGAGGAGAAATGGGACGGGATTACGGTAGATTGGATTTCAATTTTTCAAGAAGATTCCATCAATTTTGTGGATTACGGTAGGCGAGAGAAACACCAATAATTATAGGTGGGGAAATTCCATTTTTTAGCTTGTTTATGATTTTTGAGGATTACGGTAGCTAGGGTTTTTTTTTGAGAATTATCGATTCTTCAAGGTTACTGTGGATTTCTCTAGATTCTTTAATATCCGTGGGGCTATTTTAGCTAAGATCAATTTTGTCAAAATTTTGACCCTACGGGGATTACGGTAGCTGATACTGTATGTCTCTTTTAGGCCAATGCGAACATAAGAGGATTACGGTATCACGTGATTTTCGAACCGCCGAAAAATGTTCCTTTTGAATTGTTGATTTGTTTTTTGGGTCTTGGGACAAAAATTTTTATTGAACTAATTGGGACACTCGAAAATGGGTACAGTGACTTTTGAGTGTTCGAATTGTCGTATGAAAAAAAATGCGAAAGTAATTTCATACAAATTGATAGAATTTAGAAAATCTTTAAAATTTTTGAATTTGAATAATAAATTTTATCAAATTTCGCCTTAATTTAAATTTTAAAATGAAAAGGATTTTTTTTCGCAAAAACCAAAAAGCGGCGAAACTGAAGGAGAAGAAATCAATTTGTGTGTGCACAGGAGAAATGTGATCGTGTTTCTATTAATCGCTTTAATTAAATTGTTGGTTTTTTTTTTTCAAATTCTTCAATTTTCTCGGATTCACAGATATCATGATCTACAATTATATATTTTTAGGTTTGAAATTGTTTCATCTCTGTTATGGACTACGGTAGGTAGTCAATGTGTGTACACGGTCACGTGAAGGCGCACAATGATGATTTTAGTCGAATCAATTCTTTTTTCTATCAAATTTTCCAAATTTTTCGATTTTCTCTCGACTTTTTTGCCTCGAACCGCTTATAAGCAGTTAATCTGGCTTAGATATGTTCATTTTCTCAACACTACTTTCAATTTTTCTAACCGTATATTTCAGATTTTTTCAATCTTTTAAAATCAATTTTTAATAAAACAGATTCATTTAATAATTTTATTTTAATTTCCAATGTTCTTTTTACTAAAATCAATTAAACGGCACGCGAAAAATTCTTTTTTTTTTTTGCATGCGTGCAGTTTTCAGGAAAATTGTATAAATTGAGGCAATCTGCACTCTTCGACGCCCGACGATGAGCTCCAATATTTGTTTGCTCACACTTGTTTTTCAATGGCTCCCCCCTAAAAGGAAAAGGTCTCGCCAAACCGAATTTTCGCGATGAGATGTGTTTTTTTTTTTCTGACGGTCATTGCTACCTGTCGCCGGTTGTCGCTGCTGGTTGCCGCGAAAAATCGCCGTCGCGGCAACAAAAATAATTCGCGCGGGTTTTTTCGTCGCAATTTGGCAACCCGAAAAAAACCGCCAAAAACATGATAACAACGGCGTGGTTTGTCTTATCAAAAAAAAAACAAAATGTCCCTCTAAATATCGCTTTTCGCCAATTCGTTTCGCTCTTATCCCAACATTTTCAGGCGCCAAAACAATAATGACGGGAATTGTGAATCGGCCGCGATGCAGCGAGTTTCCCGCCGTCGAAATGGACTTTGCCCTTCAGCTAATCGAAAAAACCGCCGCCAAACAAGAGCAATGCACCAGAAACGTGCCATTGGTGGATGTGGCGCCGGGAATGGTGTTGGCGGAGCGCATATTGGCGCCAAATGATATTCCCAAAATGCCGACTTCTATGAAGGACGGTTATGCGGTAAAATGTACTAGCAGAATTTTTTCGTACTTTTTCGAAATAGTTTCTTTTTTGCAGATTCTGATTGTCCGGGAACCCTGAAAATGGTGGGAGTGTCGATTGCAGGCGCCACCAACACTAGAACGATTCTTCCCGGCGAGTGTGTCAGAATTAGCACCGGCGGTGTGGTCCCTTGTGGAGCCGACGCGGTGGTTATGGTCGAGGACACCGAAGTCGAGAGATATGAGGTGATTTTTTTTTGCGACAAATTCCCCTCATTCAAATATTGCAGGGTGACGAGGAATTGGAGATTCGCGTCCTAAAATCGGTCGAGCCCGATCAAGACATTCGGCAAAAAGGGTCCGATATGAAGAAAGGCGAGATGTTGTTGGATGTTGGCTGCGAAATCGGACCGTCCGAAATCGGATTATTGCGATCGTTTGGAATTTTTGGCATCAAAATTTACAAACCGCCGACGGTTTCAATAATTTCCACAGGCAACGAGGTAATTTACTCGGATTGTTTTTCAAAAATACATCGAAATTTTTTATTTGAAGCTCCGACGATGGCAAGCGCAGGAATTGGACGATGGCTTCATTTTTGACTCGAATGGTCCGCAATTGAAGGCGCTTTTCGAAAGTTTTGGATTTGAAGCGATCGAGCCGGTTATTGTGGCCGATAAGTGAGTTGAAATGTGCTCTAAGCTTTTCCCCCAATGTTCCCCCCCCCATACACACAACATGCTTGACAGCCAAATATGGGCACCATTTTTTTTTGGGCAGCACCGCTCTCAAAATTCCCAAAGGAAGCACTTTTCATCTCAACGAAATCGATTTTTATTTTCGCGCGCAAATTTTCTAGACAAAATTTTCCAGGCCGGATTGCATTGAAAGCGCGATTCGTCAGGCGGCTCGCTTATCATCGGTCATCGTCACCACCGGTGGTGTGAGTATGGGCGAGAAGGACCATCTGAAGTTGGTGCTCAAAAGGAGATTGGGACTGCGGATTCGATTCGGCCGCGTTTGGATGAAGCCCGGCTTGCCGTGCACGTTCGCCGACGGCGAGATCGCCGGCAGACATGTCACCGTGTTCGCGTTGCCCGGAAATCCGGTGTCGTCCTACGTTTGCGCCCATTTGTTCGCAATTCCATTCTTGAAAGGCGTCTCCGGACACCGAAAAATTCATGCGACTGAGATTAAAGTCAAGGTTTCTAGTCGAAAATTCGATGAGTGATTTCAATTTTTCGAAATTTTTAGATTTCTAGAAGTATTAAGTTGGGCATTCGTCCGGAATATTGCCGCGCTTGGCTCGAGCACAGCCCAAAAGAATTATTGCCGATTGCGCATGTCACTGGCGAGCAGGTCTCGTCGCGATTGGCGAGTCTCGTCGGCGCCCAAGTGCTATTGAAGTTGCCGTCGAATGAGAAACAATTGGAAATAAATAGTGGAGAGATTGTCGATGCTTTGGTTATTTCGCGATTTTGAAATGGAAATAAATTCGAATTGTGTGCATTAACGCGTCGCGGTGTACGCACCGCGCACACCACACCCGACGACACCTCGTTTTTCTTTGTTCTCATTTCGATTCGTTTTCGTTCGCAATTTTTTATCTCTCGCCTAAAAAATGTTGATTTTTGCCAATTTTTTGCAGGGTCAAACCAAGAATTGTATCCTGGGAGTTTTAAAATGACCCATGCGAATGGAACCGAGCATGTTAGTGATTTGCAATTCAGCGAATTGTTTTATTCAATTTGTTTCGCACTCGAATCATTTTTTAGAATCTCCAATGCCCGGTGGTTAAACGTCCGAGAGTCAGCGAATGGCCCGCGGTCACGATGAGAGAAGCTCTGGATAGCATCGATAAAGTGTCGCGGGATTTTCTTCCCGAGACCAAAGCCTATCCGGTTGCCGCTCTACAATGTGGCCGTATTCTCGCCGAGCAAATTCATGCATCCGAGAACATTCCGATTGCACGTGTCTCGACTAAAGACGGCTACGCGGTTAGGGCGGAGGATGGAGCTGGAAAACGAAAAGTGCTTGGAGCGTCGTTCGCGGGAGCGCCGTATGACAAAATCGTAGGGGAAAATTGAATTTCGAAAATTCGCGCCGTATTTTTTTGTTTTACAGGTTGAGCCGGGCTTTTGCTCGAAGATCAGCACCGGAGCCATTCTGCCACCCGGATCCGACTCGGTTGTGCCAATCGAGGACACCAATGTCGACGAAATTGAAGTACGCGTGCCTTTTTTCATGGAATTTCTTATTTGAACTTAATTTTGCCAAAAGAATATGTTAGAGAATTTGTGCAGTTTTTGCAGGGCGATCGCGAGAAAGTTATCAACATCTCAGTGGTGCCGCTAGCTGGTGATAACATTCGGTAATTAGCCTAATTGCCTCATGCCAATTATCCGCCGTTGAGTTTTTTAGTGAGCCCGGATCGGATGTCGAGGAAGGCCAATTGCTGCTGGACATTGGTTGCGAGCTGGGCGCCGCTGAAATTGGGCTATTGAATTCGTGCGGAATTCAAGCCGTCGAGGTGTTCTGCAAACCGAGAATTTGTGTGGTGAGCACTGGCAATGAGCTCGTTGAGGCGGCCGAAGAGGCGGTGCCGCTCGGCAAAGTCAGAGATTCGAATCGTCCGCAGCTCATCTCGCTATTCCAAAGTCAAGGATTCAAGCCGATCGACGTTGGAATTGTTCGCGACACGTGAGCTTTTTCTTTTGTTGGAATTGTCAAGACCTCAATTGGTGGTCGATATTTGTAGACAATCGGAAATTGAGAAGAGCCTCCGCCTCGCTTCGCGTTATGCATCGGTTATTGTGACGACGGGCGGCGTCAGTATGGGCGATAAAGACTTCATGAAGGATGTGCTGCGAAAAATGGGATTCCAGGTTCCATCAAATTAAATATTTTTGAGGAATTCCAATTTTTTTTAAAGATCTTGTTTGGCCGCGTTTGGATGAAGCCGGGACTCCCTTGTACATTTGCAACTGGTGAAATCGATGGCAATAAAGTTGCGGTGTTCGCTCTTCCCGGTAGCTCTTGACGATGGCTCCGTTTGTATGAATGATGCCCCGTTTTAGGCAATCCGGTCTCGTCGTTCGTCTGCGCTCATTTGTTCGTCACACCATTCGTTCGCAGTCTTGCTGGATGTGTCTCGAATCAGCCGAGTGTCATTAAAGTGCAGGTTGAGTGTTATCATTAGTGACCCATATTCGGAAATAGCCGAGACCCGAATTTGATGATATTTTTGGAGGACACGAGAGATATTTGAAAAATTTGGGAGATTTGCAAACGCAAAATTGAGATTTTGTTGGGAAATTTGTCAATTCCAAATAAGACATGCCGATTTTCTTATCGATTTTTTGCGAACATTTTGAAATTTGGGCGCGAGATTTTATTCGAGTTTTCCCATTGAAATTTCTAATCTGATGTGAAAAATTCGTTGAAATGGCCTTGGTTTTTGTGCGTGGCTAGGTGAAAACTGGTTCTTTTTCTTCGTGATCAGTCGAAATTTTCGCACAAAAAAAGTTGGGATCGAATTTGGAATTGAACACAAGCGGCGAAAGCCTGAAAATGTTGCTCCATTTCGGAAGGTGCTGGAAGTTGTCGGGGAAAAACCTCTCTTAAATTTTAAAAATATATTTGATTAGCTCTTCAATCGATAATAAAAAGAAAGAACATTTGTACTTGAGAGGGCGATAGACTATTACTCTGGTAACTCAAAACCAATCGGATCCGACAAGATTCGGCTAAGGAATCAACCTTATCCGATTGGTAATTCTACGAATAAGATTGGAAAATTGTCGTATCCGATTGGTTTTTTTTTGGGTATTTTCGTATCCGATTGGTAATTATTCGAATCCGTTTTGTTTTAATATTTCGATTCGAATCGGATTCGACAAATAACCAACCTTATCCGTAGAATTACCAGTAGACGAAAACACGAGAGTGTGTTGAGGTTCGAGAGAGCGCCAGACAAATGACAAATTGACATTTTTGAGGCGCGAACAGGAAATTTTGGCAGTTTTTAGAAAAATTTAAATATTAATTCATGTTTTCTCTAAATGGAACGCAATTTTAAGAAAGTGACTGAAAATTTGAGGGAATTATACGAAAATTGTGCAAAAAACACAATATAATTTTTTCATGAATAAGTCCATTAGGTTTTCGCAAAATTAAATTATTTCCTAATTTTTCTCGCAAAATACTTGCTAATTTTAAGCCGTTCATTATACCCTTTAAATTTATGAAAAAAAAAATTGAAATTTCATTGCTTCTAAACAATTATCTGTCATGATTCGTTGCAGTTATCGCACGGTATTACACTCGGCCCGCGTCCGGAGTACTGTCGCGGTTGGATTGATTCGAAATCGTCGCCGCCGTCATCGTCGTCGTCGTCGTCGATTCTTCCAACTGCAACAATCACCGGCAATCAGATCTCATCGCGTTTGATGAGCCTCGTCGGCGCTCAATTATTGCTCATTTTACCGGAGAAGACCGGCGAGAAGACGCGAATTGAGCGCGGCGAGACCGTCGACGCTATTGTAATCTCGAAAATTTAAGCAACAACCAGCCGTATTATAATTGGCATTAGTTGTATTATCGCCTATGATGATTATTATAATTATTTTCGATGTATTTTATGCATAATTTCTCACTCCCACCCACTTATTTTCTAAAATTGGCTAACATTCAGGTTTTTCGCATAATTTTTGCCTTGTATGATCCAATTACTTCAACTAATCATTCCCGAAAATCTCAATTACCTTCATTTGTGAAATAAAACGAGCGCATCGCACAAATAAATTAAACAACAAAAACGACTAATGTATTTAGCTTCTAACGAATCCTCGAATTTCATCAATACCGTATTCGGCGCCCTCGATTGATGAGGAAAGAACGAAATCGATTTTTTGCCTTAAAAAATATGAATGAATTTTAGTTGATTTCGATTTTGACACCAACTTTTTCAAATCGCCCCATTTGAAGTCGGCGCCGGTTTGGGTGAGCGTCGAGCTGCGAGATTCGGAACCGTCGGTCGATTTGAGCGAAGCCGAACGCGAATTGTTAATCAAACCGAACTCCTTTTCGAGTGTTGATCGAATTACCTGCAGAGGTTATTTTTTTTTCTCATAAAGTTTTTTTTGGACTTCTGATTTGCAATAAAAAGTTGCTTCATAGGGGCAGGCTTGAAAGAAAATCGCATTTTTATTTTTTGAATATGAAATTTAGCTTTATCAAGCTAATTTTAAAAATTAATGTGAATTAATTTTAACATTTAGTAAGCTATTAAGCTTTTTCTAAATTTAAAATTTTTTAATTAAGATTTTGCTTTTTTGATCTACACTTGTTTCGCGCGATGGGGAATTTTAATTCCATTGATCCGAATGTGAAAATAAAATCGATTTTTCTCCATTTTTGGTGTCACAATTCAAACAGTTTCTATATTATTCCAAAATGAGCCCTTTAAAGGAATTTTTTAAGTGAAAACGAGAAAATCACCTGATCAGTTTTTGCCAACGCGTGGTCTTGTTTGTGGCATGCAACGAGAATTGGGGCCTAAAATTTGAGAAATATTACAAAAAAAAGATCGAATCCGACACCGCCTACTTTTGCCTCATTTTCCAAGCAAACATCGTATAAAAGCTCGGCGACATCGCGCGATTTCTTCGAAAACGTCGCCGAATCCACAACGAATACGATTTTGAGAATGTTTTTCTCCTAAAATGAATTAAAATCGGCAAAAATTCGAAATTTTCAAACGAACATGAAGCCGATTGATCAATTTTCGGCGCAATCTGTCGTTTCCGGGGAAATCGACGAGCTGAAATTGGAAAAACTCGCAAAAAATCCCATAAAGACGGCGGTTTTCTTACATTTCTCACTTGTCCTTTGAAATTCAGAGTTAGAGAATTCTCAACCATTGAGGTGAAGGTTTTCGGCTGAGCGCCCTTCATCACAAGCTGTGAGAATATCACAGTTTTGCCGGAATCGGAAAGTCCGGCGATCAAAATTGTATCGCGCTTTTTTCCTTGGAAAAACTGCAAAAAACAGCCAAATTAGATAATTTTTTGCTGAAATAACCCAAAATGCAGCTCCAAGTATAGTAATTAGACCTAAAATTGCTGCTATAAGTATCTCAATTGGCAGATTATTGATGTCCATTGCTCTAAAACAATATTTTAGATAAATAGTCGCGATTTAATAAATAATTGTTGGGTTCAACCAAATTATTTCTTGAGAAAAACTGACGACAATTTTGAGACATTCATTTATTAGCGGCGAAAACAACTAGCTAATTCTAAACAATGAAAAATTTCAATTTTGAATGTTGTACATCTCTTTGATTCGTTTCGGCAGATCTGATTTTCCTTTGATTCGCTTGGATTCCTCGAAAAGACATTCTTTGCCGTCTGAAATTAATTTTATATTACATTTTTCCTAGAAAAATATTTTTTTTTGAAAATTACATGCTGGATCGAAGAAAATTCCGGAAAACTTCTCGGCGGCCCTTTCACGAACCCAAACGCGTGTTGAGCCGGTTATCACACTCGCTAATTGCACAACTACATACCTTGAAAATTATTTTTTTTTTTGGAAATTTTTCAACATAAACGACTTACTTTGACTTGGCTCCCATATTTTTTGAGGTCTAATACTCTGCAATAATTGGAGTAAATACAATTATAAATTATTTTCATTTGAAATATCGAAAAATGTAAAGAAAAGACTGCAAAAAATGAAACAAATTGGAAGTTGAGCCAAGTGGAATTTTTGGCAATACGCCAACTACAAGAAATGTGCATTATTACGTGGACGTGTTGCAACTCCGCAAACACCACACTTCACGCGATGCACGTTCGCGTTGTTTTATTCGAATTTACGTTAATTTTTCTGGTGCATTTCGTGTGGCTCGCTCATTTTTTTTGAACTTCTGCAAATTTTCCAATTATTTGCAGTCCAAATATAAAATTAAATGTAAAAATAAAATTAAAAATTCCGTTTATGGGCAAGTTTTAGGAAGGCCCCGTAAAAATCGATAAAATGTTGGTTTCTTATTCACATTTCGCGCACTTTTATGTTATTCTGATTGATTTGAGCCTTTCCACGAATAAATTTGAATGTATTTATTTTAGAATTAATCAGAATTTCAAAATGTTTGTTTATTTTTCAAAAATTTTAATTAATGAAATTTTGAAAATTTCCTCTTTTTTACATTCACGTTTTTTTCAAATATGTAAAATTTAAAATTTACACTAATATTTTAATTGAACAATTTAAATAAAAATGCTAATTCGCGATAAAATTATTGATTGTTCTTATCGAGTTTCGAAAAGCGCATTTCTATGCCATTTTCTCGAGATTAATTTTATATTCTTTCTCATTTCCTACTAAAAAGAATCAAATTTTTAGGGAAAATGGATAAAATGGTAGTTGAAGAGATCGATACGGATATAAATGCGATCCGTGATAGCATTCGAAGTACGGATGAGCAAATTGGTACACTTTCCGGAAGGTTTGATCATCAATTATTTTCTGACAAAAAAAAAACGTTTTTGTTTGCAGATTGCCACGTCATCAACGGATTTCCTATGCGGATAGCGACGAGCCGGAGCCGATGAATACGTCGGTTGACCGCAAGTCATTTGGTCTTGATGATCGTCGAATTTCGATGAATCGTGATTATAAGCGAGATTCGACTGGCGGAGCAATTCGACGACGAATTTCCACGTAGGCAATTTTTTGTCGGCAAGAGAACGCTTATAGATGCATTTTTTGCAAAATTGATTGATTTGTATTTTTAAATTGCGGAAATATAATATTTGATGAATTTTTGGAACAAGTATTAGGAATACTGAAAATATAATTAAAAAAAAATATTGATTTCCTTGTTTGGGTGGATTTTTCTCATCAAGATTTTTTATTTTTGGGTGAAAATTGAAAAAATTCTCTATACTAATTATTTTCAGAGTGGACGATCGCCTCGAGCCAAAACGCGGGTTTGCTGTGAAGCGACAACGTACCGATTACCAAAACGACGACGATGATGTAGACGATGAGCCGAAACGTTCGAAAAAGTAGGATATAATCGAATTGTGTGAAAATTATGTGGAAAATTTGCAGAACCATCCAATCGACGGTCATAATGCCCGCATTGGACTCGAAAGGTCGCGAAGAGAAAATCGAGAAACTGAAAGAATCGGAGAACAAAGACGTGAAGAACCGAAATCGTCGGCTATTCTCGAATTTGCTCATCGGAACGCTGACGAATTTCAAAAAGTCGGAACGCAAAACGACGCAGCAAGAGAAACAGGAGCTTGTTGAGAAGAAGCTTGAGGAAAGCAAAAAGAAAGAGGAGGAAATTGTGAGATTTTTGTAGTTTTGTTGCCGCCCATCAATTTTTTAGCATTGTTTTGTTTTTTTTTTTTTTTCAGAGATCTCAAGAAAAGAATGAGTTGCTCAAAAAGCGCCGAGAGCAGGAACGAGAATTGCACAATTTGCAGCGTAAAAAAGCGCTCATCCAATATGTAATAGCATAGTTTCCCACCATTTATATTCAATTTTTCTTCAATTTTAGGCGGAAATCAACATTAAGCAGCTTAAAAACATGAAAGGGGCCATCAAGACGTCATTCGGACCTTCGATTTATTGGCAGCCAGCGAAACACACGGTCAGATCGATGGAACTGCAGCAGAGCACTGAGAGATACATTGACGGTGAGCGGTATTTGTTGGTTTTTTTTCTCGACGGCACAGGTTTTCTCTTGAAGTAAAGAATTATTGTCGAATTGCGACGAGCGATTAGAATTTTTGGGAAAATTGACGAAATATCACAAATTTGCAGCCGGGAGTACTGTAGAATTCATTGTTTTTTTTTTTCGCAATGATTAATTTTAGGCTCATTTTAGCCTTTGAATTATTGCTTTTAGACGAAATTAATCATTTTTTTCTCGTAACATGACCTAACTTAAAGGTCCCGTCGCTTAAAGGGGGCATCGAATAAAATTGGAGGTTCATGGAGCGATTCTGGAACTGCAGGATTCGAAAAACCTGGCCGTAGCCAAGGTTTACCCTTCCATAATCATTACCCTTTGAGATATTGCCGATTTTCATGTTTTCCATCGGGGACTTATATTAGAATACCGAAAAAAATCGAGTGAAATTCCTCGAAAATAATGCCTAAAAATTTTCAGATTTGATCAAAAAACGCGAAGATCAATTAAAGGAAGATCTTGAAGCGAAAGAGCGCAAGAATGAGAACGACGACGACGACGACGATCATGAGAATGGCGAAGACGAGTATGATGATGGTGGCAAAGAGGAGATTGAAGTGGTTGTCGATGGTAGCGAAATAAAGCGCGATATAAAAATTGAGAATGAGAAGAATGTCGGAAACGGCGTTGAGGAGGAGGAAGAGGAGGAAGAAGAAGAGGAAGTCCACGTCGAATTGGACTGATTCTGAAAATGGTTGGTTTTTGAGAGATTGGTTGAGAAAGAAACTATTTTGCGTCGATCTCGTTTTTTTCTTTTCCTTTACATTTTCCTTCATCATTTTTTTGGACTTTATTTGATCGTTTTTTTTTTAATTGTTTTAACACACGAAACCAAATTATTGTTAAGAAAATAATAAATATTTATTTGATTTTGAGATCTTTGAATTGATGATACTCGTCGTTGAACTCTCGTTCATATTTGGCATCAGATGAGCGTGTGCGGTGGCGTGTGATTATTTGAGACTAATGGTGTGTTTTCGAGGTTTTTTCGCTGATATGGTCCGTTGTTGGCGTTCCTTGGCGGATGTTTCACCTGGAAATTTTTTGCGAATTTTTGTTGGTGTTATTGTTTTTGATTACGTGTTGAGCGACTTGGTCCATTGAAAGAACACCGCGACGCTTTTTGGGCATTTTCGAGCGCGCTTGAGTGTGCGAGTAGAACATGGCGAAGTTTGAGACGATGACCTGCACAAGAAATTGAATTGATTTTTGAAGGCAATTTAAAGTGTTTATTTTTTTTTGCAATTTGGCCAATGGACTTCGCATTAGGGTCTCGTGTGGAAAAGTCTGAATTTGAATTGCCGCCATGGGTCTCGTGTGGAAAAATGAGTGGTGGAAGCGAAAGGGCCCAGTTAGTTTTTCTAAAAATAATTAGCAAATGTGGCAAATTGGGAGAATTTTTGCGGGACCCAATTAAATGGAAGCCAAATTTTATAGTAAAATTGAATATTTAAACGTTTGATGTGAAAATGTCGAAATTTTTGAAATTTAAAATCAAATTATAGGCAAAAAATTCCAAAATTTACGTGATTTGCCATTTTTGGATTTCAATTAGTTGAAAAAACGACGTAAATTTTTGAATGGCTCTTTTTTTTTTCTCGAGATTTTGCAATTTCTTGATATTGTTGTTGCAGACATCTCACCGGAACTGGAAGTGCGATTGTCAGCACGCCGGCGAGCGCGCAAATCGAGCCGATGAGCCGTCCCAAATAGGTGTGCGGCGTAATATCGCCATAGCCGATTGTGGTCATTGTGACAATCTGCAACGGTGAGACGTTATGCGCCTTTAAAAATGAACGAAACAAAAAACACTCACCGCCCACCATAATCCGATGGGAATCGATTGGAATTGATTGTCCTCGTTGCTCTCGACGCGCTCCGCGTAATAGACGAGCGACGCGAACACGACGACGCCAAGGACGAGGAAAAACACGAGAAGCATTAGCTCTTTGGCGGAAGCTCTGAACAATTATATTGTAGCCGGGCGAGGGCGCTATTGTCGAAAAAATCTATTATCGGTGTCAAACGACGACGAAATTTGAAAAATTATTGGCAATGTGCGAATCTGTCTCGAGACAGCGAGAATTACGCGAGACAGCGTACCTTGCATTTAAGCGTACGCGCGTTTAATATTCAGTCAAGCTAAAATTTAAATCTACACTAATTTTGAAGGCTTACAGGCCCCCGGCCTCCCTTGAGTCGTTTGACGCCGACAATAATAGTAATAATAATAATAATTGGATACCTAAAAGTGTGCATTAGAATTTTCAGGCCGGAATTGTGATGTGTCAACTTGAATAGTCGCATGATTCGAATGATGGAGAAGAATTCGAGGTCGGCTGTCGCGCCGAACATGCTTGAGAGTAGATCGATGTACAATGTGAGCGTCGCGACGATGTCGATGATGTTCACCGGCGCCTAGAATATGCGGTATGGGTTTTGAAATGTCGCTTTTCACATTGGAATTGTTCTCAATTTTTTTTTGGAATCCGCCTTTTGGAAATCGAATTTTTAGAAAATCAAAGGGTATTGGAAAATTGCGACAAAATGTTGTTGTTTCTCCGCAATCCTAGTTTGGAATTTTTTCCAAAAAAAAACTCATAAAACGCCTAAAAACCGGCATGTAGAAGCCTACAGTACCACAGATTTTATCAAAACGCTGCAAAAATCGTAAAATTTTGTTGAATTCGCCTTTAAACCATTGGTTTTTTTTCTAAATGTACATTGTTCTATTACGGTTAAAGACGCATATAATAAAATTTTATATTAAAAAAAGAGCTCTCGGTGCGCGGTGCGCCTTTAATCTATCCTTACACTTAGGCCCGTAAATCTACACTCGAAGAAAGGCCGCTGCCATTGTTTTTTTTAGGCATAATATGCGCCTTGAAATTGTTGATTTTATTTTTTTTGTGCAATTTTTTCTGTTATTGTTAAAGGCGCATAATAAAATTTAATGGTTTCTGAAAAAAACTGACCGTGGCCGAGGTTTTTTGGTGTATATTTACGTTCATGCGCCTTCGCTATGGTCTCGCATGGACTAACTTGTTGTCATTCCGTTAATTTTTAATTTCAATCATATTAAGGATTTAAGCGAATGATATGCTCCTCAAGAAAAATTAAAAAATAATCATTCGCACGTGGCGAGACCATTTCGAAAGACGCATCCCGTAAATCTAGCCGCGTCGCAGGACGCCGACAATCGTGCTTTTTAGCGTTTCTACAGTTTTTTTTGTTTTGTTGTTTTTGCGAAATCTGCATAGTGTCATTCTTCAAATTTCGATGGTCCCCATCTGAAATCCATCGCTCTTACCCGAAGATACTCCAATCTTGATGGGCATGACATGAAGCGCGCAATAATCTCTATAGTAAACCATATATTGCATATCGTTTCGATTCTCTGTAACATGATCGAATTTCAACTCGTGTGCCTTTAAATTGGGATCGCTCCGCGTACCATGAACGTTGGATGCGGTCGCGAATTGTCCTTGACGACGCCCAATGTCGGAATTGTATTGATTCGATGATTCGGTAGGCTTCTGAATAGTAGCGATCGAAATTTGTTGGCGATTCGCAAATAGGTGGCGATCGTCTACCTATGGTTCCTTGAAAAATTGCCGGCAATCGTGAGCTCCGGTATTCGGAGGCCCGGATGCGTTTTGAGGCAGAACACAATGATGGCGGTGATGAGGAAGAAGACGGAGATGGCGGCGATGATCTGAGCGGCGCGCGACGACGACGGCTCGTCGAACAGCCGCCAGATTTTCGGCTTCATTTTCTGCCACGCGCTCAGACTGTCGTTGTGGTAGTCGTCCTCCCATCCGAAGCGTTTGTAGAGCTCCTAGAAAAGAATCGATTGGTTTCGATTGTTTTTTTGTTTTGTCCATTCCACTCACCGGCCCTTCTGTTTGGTCGACTTCGATGTCGAGCTCGTCCAATGTTTTGAGAACGTCCTGCGTGTCTCGTGTGCCCGACAACGTCATCCAACAGCACGGCTCGCATTCGTTCGAGTCGAGACCCCAATACTGGAAATTGTTGTTGATAGTCGACGTCTGTCGGAATGCTTAATTTTTTTGGGCGTACCTTGAGCTCCTCCTCGAATAATGGTCCGCAAACATCGAGCGGATAGTGCAGTTTTCCGGTACGATAGTAATTGAGAATTTGCGCGAACACACCCGGATGACGATCGAAGAAATACTCGTTGAGAACCGGATCGTAGTTGGCCAAATTTGTTGTCAAACGCGATAATCTACAATGGTCCATCCCATGTTTGGGTTCGTCGTTGTATTTTTTTTTATCTACCTCGTCGCCGGAATCTTTTTGAGCGTATGCTTGTAGGTCTCGTGACGAACACCGCCCACATTTAGAATTATTCGATATTCGCTGTCCATTACGGTTTGTCTAAAGAAAAAATAATGTGGGGGTGTTGGTTTGTTTTTTTTAATTGAAATTTGTTGATGTCACCAATCTTAATTATTTTTGATTGCGAAAATTGAATGACGAGACTGAAAAGCTGAAAAAAAACACACAATTTTTTTGGTTTTGTTTTGTTTTGGGTGAGAATAAGACGAACAGGGGGGGGCAACATGTGCGAATTTATGGCATTGGATTCAAGGGTCCCACCGACACAAACGAAAAGCAATAAGCAATCCCGTCGACGCGGCGCCACTCATTAAAATTGATTTTGTTTTTCGTTGATATGAACCAGAAGGCAATTTAATTGCACGTTGGCGGGTTGTGCGGCAATCGGGGATCGGAAATTCCGTAAATTGAGGAAAATCGAAATTGCGGCAAATTGGCGAAATTACAAATTTCGGAAAATTTCGACTATTCACTTTTTTTTCAATGATATAACTACCGAATTTTTGCGATATTCGTCAGCATTTCACTAAAAATGACAACTTTGAAAAAAAAATTCTTCTCAACAACTAATTCATTCAGTTTTTCGGTGATTCTCGATTGCCGGATTGCCAAAATTGGGGATTGCCGAAATTTTGATTTTTGGCAATTTGTTGAAATGAATAAAACAGTTGTAATTAAATGTGAAATGCTGATGGATCGAGCGAAAAATCGGTAATAGTATTACTATCGCAAAGAAAAAACACGAGGCGGTAATTCAATTTCGAATTTAAACAGTGTGAATTTGGGTACCGTACTCTGGCTTCTCGTTTTTTTTCCTTGCGAATGTAATATTTAGAATTATCGTTGCGAAAAATTTAATAGACGAAATTTTGACATTCGGCAATTTGTCGACTGCCGGCACATCCTATGCCAGAGGTGTGTGGCGATCGGGAATGGCCGGAATTGTTTTTTTTTTTGTTAGATTCGGAAATTTGAAATATATAATGGAACTGTGTAGATTCCGCAAGAAACCCACTAAAAATCGCTATGTAGATTGCAGGAAAAAATTTCAAAAAAAAAACTCGGTCACGGCCCGATGTTTCGAAGCCTACAGTATCAGAATCGATTGAAGAACCATGAAATTCTATTATATGCGCCTTTAAATAAATCGGGAGAAAATGGAATAAGAAAAGATGAAATCGTTACGGTTAACATGATTCTTAAAGCGATTTAATAAAAACTAAAAAAATATGCGTTCCATCGTGGCGAGACCCTCGTAAATCTACAGTTACTGGACGTCGAAAATATTTTTAGAATTTAAATTGAAAAATTATTTTCTGCAATTCGCCACTGTAGGCGATTTGAAGGCGCACGACGACGAATTTTGAGTTTCGCGCGATTCCGTTCGAGACCCAAAGAGCAAACACATTGAACGTTCGAATGTTTCTGATTTACAGCATTCTTCGCGAAATGGTCTTAGACAGAAACATCGACGGATTACGGTAGGAATATGTGAATTTTCGCAGATTTTGTTTGTATTTTTTGAAGAGTCGTCTTTTTTTTGTCTCCGAGTGGCAATGTCGGATCGGATTACAGTTATGCGCCATTTCCGGTCGAAATTCTAGGCGTCTCGTGAATTTCATTTTTTTTTGGTGAGCATTTGTGGACCATTGCCACATTTTGTTTTTGTGATGGGTGGCTAATTCAAATTTTGAAATTGCAACAGTAGAAACCGAATATTAGAAATAATAGGAAAAAAACACACACACACCCAATTTTTTTGTGCGGTTGATTAATCGGAAAAGTAATATTTGGCGAGAACATTTTATGCGAAAATGACGCGATTTTCACATTATTTTGTGCGAGAGAGAGAAAAAAACTACGATTTTGCATTCAATTTTTGTTTTTGCTCTACGAGAAAATATTGCAATTCCCCCGTATTTATGTATATATATATATATAGACTGATTGAGGAGAATTGGCTATCGAGTGCGGCCTAGAAAATTTGTCCCCAAAAATTAGGTTCGGCCACGGCCACGCTTGATGGATTAGTTGATTTTATTTAATAATAGGAATATTTTGAGTGTGTTTTCGATTTCAAAAAAAAGCAAGATAGCAAAATAAAAGAAAATAGTGACTAATGTGAGCATTACACAAAATTTTAAAAATTAGCCTATGGTAGTGTGCGGCGCTTGCAGTATTGCTCAGAAATTGTGTGCGGCATTTGCTTTTTTGCTTTTTGAAAGTCTCGATCACCGCGAGAATGTCCGCAGATGTTTGCAATGAAATTTTTCTCAATTAAAACAAGATTTATTGCAGAAAATTGGGCCCGATTTTGACGATCTAAACTCAAACTTTTAAAAAATTTCTAAAAATTCATTCTAAACGAATTATAAATTTTAGGCGCCAAATTTGAAATTGTGCAAAAATTGTGTTTTTATGATTTTTGAGTGATTGGTGGAATTTGGAAAAAAGCGGACGGGAGGTGGGGAGTCTTGGATATGAAGTGGTCACACACTTGCCGAGCTCGAAGAAATTTGATACGTCGAGTTTTGTAATCGAGAAGAGTTTTTGGGTTTTGCCCCGGTTTTCTTCTTTTTTTTCTTTGGTGGCTTGGGATTCTCGTGGATCGCCAAAAAAATAAAAATAAAAATAAAGAAGGCAAATTAAAAATGTTGCAAAAATTTGAGGTGAAAACGGCGAAAACGCGAATTGTGCACAACCGCTCGGCGAGAAAATGCCCCTCCTCCTTGTTAGGTGCGGGCGGGCCGCTTGGGGGGGGGCTTAATGTATGTAATTATAGTGGGACCCCTACACTCCTTATAAGGAAGCGCTGGAGAGCACAGAGGCATGTATATATTTGGAATTAATTAGAATTCTTGAATTTCACGCCTAAACCGACACACAAAAATTTGAATGTCCCTCGTTGTTTTTTTTTTCTCGTCATATTCGAAGAAATTTTGATTTCGTTTTTTTTTTCAATGTTTAAAAATGTCAATTGAGAGTAGAGAGGCGCAGAGAAAAAAATTCTCGTCTGGAAAATTTTCAGCTATTTTTTTTTGAAAGAGAAATTTGTGGATTTTTGAATTTCGCGTCAGAAAAAAAATGATTTCATTTTTTTAGAGATTGAGAGAATTTTAGAAACGCATAGAAAGAAAAAACGATTTTTGAATTTCGCGCCAAAAAAAATTTGATTTAATTTTTTTAGAGATTGAGAGAATTTTAGAAATGGCGAGAAAACTCGATTTTTGAATTTCGCGCCAAAAAAATTTGATTGCAAAATTAGGCGAAACAGAGAGAGCGAGAGATTCAGAGAAGCAGAGAAATGAGTAATTGTGTGCAAAAATGCATGAGAAATTGGAAATTCATGAGAAAAAAAACAACAAATTTTGTTGTTTTTTGTTTCCGTTCCATTTGTTTTTTGGTTGGGTTCTCGCGACGAAATGCAATATGCATTTGAATACCCTTTATAAGGTTAATTGAATGCGATGGAATTTGATTTTGCTCGTGGAAAAGCCGGATTTGCATTAGGCCGATTAAATGCCAAATCGAGTTGCACATCGAAAATTTGTGCTACAGTAATCCGAGTCGAGAAAAAAATTTTTTTTTTTGGATTTGAACATTTTTACCTGTGAAAAATGAGATATTGCGAGTGAAAAGTGGGCTAAGGTGCAATTTTTGTTTAGCAGATTTTTTTTCGCGAAAAAATGCGCGCTGAGCGAATTTGCAATTCAAAATCGAGAAAAAAAAGAGGGAAAAGAAATTTTTTTGCGAAGAATAACAAGTTGACGTGGAAATTTGTACGTTTTGTTTTCGAAAATTGCCTTCATTTTTGCATTTTTTTTCATTCCCTTTCATTTTTGTGCGAAACGAAAGTACGGCAAATTTTGGTGCAAAAAATCACCAATTTTTCGCCACAAAACTTGCCACAGGCTTTTTCTTTCCCGAAAAAATTGTGATTAATTTCGTTTGATAATTAATTGATGATACATTCATAATTGCCTTTAACAAATCTCAAAATTTGCCCTATAATTGATGAGCTAATTAATGGTAATTAATTACTACACGTGTGCCGAAGGGAAAACGAAAAAGATGTGGGTCTCAGAGCGACGGAATGAAAAAAAACCGGCGCGAAAAGGTCGAAAAGCAAAACGATGGGAGGGGCGGGACGAAAATAAAAAGAGAAAAGGTGTCCGACGGGTGGGGTCGCAGTGCATTTCGGACATAGTATATAAACAAATTGAATAAGCGCCCGGCGGGGAATCGAACGAGGAGGCGAAAAAACTGCGAAGAAGCTCGAGACGGGCGGACAGCTCAAATTGCTTGATATGATCGGATGTCGCGCACTTCTCCTTCTTTTTTTGTCTTTGCTTTTTTCTATCCGATTAGCTCTCATCATCATCATCAGCATCATCAAGCTTCTTCTTATTTTGGCCGACCTCGCATTAAAAGATCGAGCGAACTGTTCGAGGTTGCAACTTTTTTTGGGGGGTTGCTTTTTTTTTCGAAAATTTGATTTTTAAAGGCGCATGACATCCCCCATTGAAAATGTGCAGGTCTCAACGTGAAAATCGCGTTTGAACAAATTTTTGATGGGCTTGATTTTTCAATTCCGCCCACACAAAAATAGTCTAGACAAAGGGTCCGCAGATGATTTGCAATAAGAGTTTGAAAATGGTGGGGGCACTGAAGAGCGTTAACTCAGTGGCGGAGACGTGGATTTTCAAAAAAAAAGAAAATTTAGAGTATTTTATAGTGTTATTTTTTGGCATTTCTGATTACTTACCCAAAAGCGGTGGTCGCCGTTGTTCCATTATTGTTGCGTCGTCGAATCGACATTTTTTTGGTGCCACCATAAAAGGAACTATAAAGGGTGAATTGAAAGAAACGCCGAAACACGAGCAAAAAAAAACGACGACGAACTATTCGGCAATGCGAAATTTGACGAGAATTCTGTCGGTTTGGCAACACGATTTCTGTTTTTTTTTGTTGTGTCTGTGTTTGATGAGAAGACGAATGAAAAATTGTCGTCGAGGAATTATTAATTTGCACACACACGCACTCACAGGAACAAGGAAAAAATTTCGATGACAATGACCTTTTTTTGTGTGCGCTCGAGATCCATTTTTTTGGTTGGAAAATTGCGAATATTTAATGGGAATTGGTGTCGAATTTTTAGTTTCTAAACAACGAAAAAAAAATTGAAAAAAATTCTTTCATCCAAAAAAATTGATAACTTTTCGCTTTTTCTCCCCTAGTTTTTTCTTTTTGAACAAAACAAAATCACGGCAAAATTAGGTCTTGTAGCCTACTACTTTATTTTTGTAGTTATTTCCATATAAGACCCAAATGATTTCTAGTGGTTTGAGACGTGTTGTCTGCGTCTCGCGACACAGCACGCTATTTCCTAGGCGATGGTATTTTTTTCGGTATTTTCTTTCTCTCTCACGTAGTTTTTTTCTCGCCTAATTAGAGCATTCTCGTTTTTCGATTTGGGAAAAACAAAAGAATAAAACGCGGTCATCAGATTGCTTTTTGAAGAAAAAAAAATGTGGGCAATTAATTGGCGGGAGGAAAAAAACGACTGCAAACCGAAGAAAACGCGGCTCGAGAAATACTCGAGAGTTTTTTCTTGTTGGAATATTCAATTAAGTTTTTTTGAAGTTTTTTTTCTCGAAGAAAAAAGCCGAAAAATCAGAGGCTAGCATTTTGTGTGTATAATATATTATGTGGATATTTGGAAACATGAGAAACATATCCGAGCACACACACGCAAAGAGAGACGACAAACCAAATTTGATTAATTAAAATTGCCTTTTTAGGTCTTTCTCATCTGCTTCATCATCTTATTTTTCGGAATATTTGTTGAGAAAATCTTGGCGCGAAATTTGCGCATACAAAAAATGGGGAAAATTTGGAGCGCGGGGGGGATCCTGGCGTCTGGCAAAAATTGAATTCGGTGCACTTTTTGGGTCTTGCCACGAAAATACATCCTTCCCAGTGGCATCAATTTTTCTATTTTAGAAAATTTCAATTTTTGGGTCTTGTATGGAATCAAATTAAAAAAAAAAGCAAATGCGTGGGTTGAAATTGATTTGCAATGAAAAACATTGCTTGTAAAAATTGGAGAACACGAATTTTTGAAAAATTTTTGGTGTGATTGGTGTGAAAAACAGGAAAAATGCCGCACATTGGCGACACACACACACACACACACACACGGAAATGCACACTTTTTGCGTGGGAAATTTGAGGGGATTTTTGGGAGCTTGAGTGTTTTAAAAGTTTAAAATGGTCCCGTCTTCTTTGTTGCGCTCATTTCATGTCGACACACCCCGCTTCCAAATTGCCTTTTCTCTTTTTTTTTGCAACCCCGCCCCCACCCTGGTGAATTTTTGAAAGAGAAAGAGCCAACGACACTCCGCTTTTGACACACCGCCTTCGGTTTATCGTATTCCATTCTTCGCACAGATTTTTCTTTCGTTTGTCCATTTTTTGTGATTTTCCGGAAATAATTTGAAAGAATATATATTGTAAATTATTTTAATCTAAATATTATTGATTTTCAAATTTTATATTGAAAATGTTAAGGATATCTGAAATTATTAAGTTTTTAAAAGAAACGTTCAATCCATTGTAGGTTCTAATTTTCCTTTATTACCCTTCGAAATTAATTAAAAATTCAATTTTTCAAATTATTTTTATTTTTATCGAATTAAAAACAATTCTTTCAATTTCTCGCGAGTACATTTTTATTTCCAAAAATTACAACGACACTCCACTGTGAGCATATGACCTCGTTTATCGTATTCCGTTTTTGTTGTCATATTTGAATTTTTTTCGCGTTTCTTTCAATTTTTATAATTTTAGGGAAAGATGGCAAGGAAACAACGGCCACAACGCTTCCAGGAATGGATTTCTGGTGGAAGTTAATAAATTCACATGAATATGAAGAAGGTAAGGGAATTTAGAAGATTTTCATGGAAATTCCTCGCAAATGTCCACTGCGAACTCGTGAATGTTATCAAATGCAAACGCGTGGTTTCTATTTAATATCCATAAATGGACACATCCGTGCGTTTCTAATCATATTGCGTAATCCATCAAAAAACACGCAAAACGGCAATAAATGCCTTCTCACCTGTTGTTGGCTTCATCGCGGCCGATTTTGTCGCTGAATGTCATCTGAAAATTGGGAAATGTTGCGCTATATTTGGTATATTTATCGCATAATTACACAAATATCAGAGCGAACAAGTTCTAGAAGAATTTGTGGAATTGGCATAAAAGGGCTAGTCAGAGAGGAATCTGTGGATGGATTTCACCTTGTTTTTTTTTTCTCGTGTCATATCCATGTTGGTTTTTGAACATTTTTGCTTATTTTTCGAAGCGTTCTGGATTTGACGTTTTTAGGACTCTCGAAATTCCTTTTTTAAGCTAATTTGACGAATATTTAGAATTTCCTAGTTTGACTCTTCACATTCAGAAAAGTGAGGAAGAGCAGAATCTACAAATTTGGATTCCTCAAACCAATTTAAGAGACTTCGATTTTCAGGTTCGGTTTTGATATTTCTCTTCATGCATCTTATTTTGTGAGTCAAATGCCACACTTCGTCATTAGAATCCCGACGGGAATCTTGAAATCTTCTATAAAGCCCCCTTCGAACGCTTTGGCTCTTGTGATCATTTAAAACTTCTCGATTTGATCGAATGGATTCGTCGAACAAAAACGAATTAAAAGGGCAGAAGCTTATCGTCGAAAAAAAATGCGATGAAATTGCTTGGAAAACGTGATCACCTATTGTGTTTGATCCACGCAAAAATTTCGCTTATCAAATGAAGCGAGAAAATCGAATGGAATGAGACATTTTGAGGAGGCGAATTTCCAATTCGCCAAAAAAAAACTCGATTTTTTCTCGCTCACTTGTATCCACACTCGATTTTAATGGGGCGCCGATAGTGAGCGGGTGGTGAGGGCTGTCGTGGATGAGAGGGCGTCATTCGATGCGTCGCAGATTATATTGTTGCGCATAATCTTCGACGTATCACCTTATCACCTACGGCCATCTCCGTCGCCGACGACAATTCCCGACAACCACCCCCGCCGGCATTCTTTATGTTATATTTTATGTATATTATGTATTAGTATTATTATATATTAACCACAAACGCACTCAAATTGCCCTTAATTATCGCCTAATTTGACCGTTTAATTAACCCTCCCCTCTCTCGATTTTTAGGTTTTTATTTGAGATTTTCTCATTTCGAACAGCTGAAAATTCAGACGTCAGCTAACTAATCAATTAGGGACCTTTTAAGTGTCGGATTAGAATTTTCAAAGATCATCCCTACCATTTTTCGAACAATTTTTAGATTTCCCTCTCTTTTAGATTTTGGACAATTTTTCTACAAAAAATCTCTGATCGCATTTTTTTGGCGATTCGAACTTGTTTTTTTATGAAGGCGAAATTGCTCTATCTTAAATTCCAAATTATTGATTTTGTTTGCAGATTCCGTTGTCAGAATCTTCTAGAATGCACAGCTACCTTCTATTAGCAATTTTACCGATTGTGATCGCTTGTAAGTTTTTTGTTTTGTGTTTTGGGACTATTTTGCGATATCGGGACCTCGAACAATGTCAGCAGATGTTGGCAATGTCGATTTTGAAATTTTCCCGTTGCTTTTTTTCTGCCAGTGATGACTCAATTTCAAATTGAGACAGAAAAAAAGGGAAAAGCTGAAAGAAAGAACCGGCTAGCGAACAAGTTTGCCACTTGATGATATAAGCTTATCAATTCCAATTCGGACAAGCACCGTCGCCGCCGCAATCGAATATTTCGCTCTTTTTTCGTCTCGCCAACCGGATTTTTCGATATGGATGTTGCCTGATGTTGATTTTTTCTTTGTGGATTTTATTGGAAAATTTGGACCAGTAATATCGTGGAGGTTTTTGAATTTGGAAAAAACCCATTTTTGAGTTGCCGCCAACGCTAAATATCCGCAGATGTTGCCTTTTCTCTTGAATGATATGAAACATCAGCCCCCTATAGGGTTCTGAGCTAAAAAATGAATGGAAATTGATTTTCGAAAAGAGAAATATAATTTTTTTCAGCGCCAGTTGTTGTCAATATCGATGATCAATCGGTAAGAAGAGGACTTTAAAGAATTTTCGAGACAAATCAATGATAATACATTTTTCTAGGCGGTGAATTTGGGAAGCTATGATCGCGCGAGATTCGACCTCGGCGAGACGTTCCATCCGCTTCAACCAGCTTCGGCAGTTACTGGTAGGATTTTGCAAAAATTGGGTTTTTTTGGCATTGTAGGAGTCGGTTCGATAATTGTTAGTTTAAATGACGTTAGAGATTCAAAACTCATCACGAAAACGTTAGCAGTTCGCGCGAAAACAAAAAATAAGCGTTCACATGTGGCGAGACCCATTTCGAAAGGCGCACCCCGTAAATCTACCCGCGTACTGCCAGTCGTCGGACGCGGACCATAAATAAAATAAACAAATAGTGAAAAACGGGAAAATGAAGAAGAAGACAGAAAGTTTCTATTACGATCCGAAATCTCATAATTTGTTTTCGGTGCCAAACAAGAAAAAATATAGACGAAACGAAACGCGAAAAGAAATGTGATATTGAAAAGCCGGTTGCGGTGGGAGCTCCAACGCGAGGAAGGGGGGGGGAAGCTTCTCGCCGTCGCCACCTCCTGATACCTTCCGCCAATATTTGAGTGAAATCCGATTCTTTTTCGAGCCTGTTACTACATAGTATTTAATTGTGTGCAAATATTTTGCGCCTCAACATTTTTTTGCATATGATGCGATTTGAAATGATGCGAACGTTTTAGTTTTTTTGTTTGGGTGCGTTGTGAGACCCACTCGAGTGTTGCGATTATTGGTGGAGGTGAATTGAATGCGACGCGTCCGCGACGCGAACGAAACAGTTGATAACATGGAATAGGTGGTAGGTATTTGAGAGAATTAGAGATAGAGTATGTTGTTCGCGATAAGAGCCTATTCGCGAGACGTCGTAATTCTATCCAGTCATCTCGAAGGGTAGGTCTTGATGAAGTCGCCAGGATGTCGATAGGATAGGAGTAGATCAAAGCAAATGGAAAATTAAGGCGAGATTTTGAGGAAAAAAGCTTAGAATTGTCTTGCAGAGAATTTAAAACAAAGAAAAGAAAAGCGAGACGCTGGAGGTTTTGTTGCACCTAGGTTCTCTAATCAGAAATTCTATTCAAATTTTGTGCAGTGTGTTTGTCGGAATTTTTGAATTCGGGAAGGCGAGAAGCATTGTTCTAAGGAGGGAAAAACTAGCGAATGAGGGGGGAAGGATGCTAAATATTTATTTTTTTGAGGGGTAGATATTGGTTTCGAGAAAAACTGTTGAAAATATTTGTGTTTGACACGAAAATCGGAATTTTTGCGATGAGAAATGCAAAAAATAATGATTTTGTTGTTTAGACGATCAAATCGCATCGGCTCTTCGAGCAAAAGCCGCCGGTGTGAAGAACAATGAAGCGATCATCTCAATCGACGTGCCCACACAGACGTTTGGCGCTCCAGGACTTCCAGAACGTAAGTGTTTTTTATTCTTGACACGAAATTGAAATTCGAAAAAAAAATACTAGCGGGGTTTTTTTGCTCAACAAAATTGTTTGACAAATCCGACTTGGATGACTTACTGATGAGCACAAATCGAGTTTTCTTGCACATTTTGAAAAAAATCTTGGCGGCTCGAAATTTGGGGGCGTTAATTTGAAAAAAAAAACTGTGATTTGTGTAGGTATTCACTCGAAATGTTGATTTTTTGTGCGAAAATGCTCGCAATTTTAAACGAAAAATATTTTGTCTTAAAAATTGGACATTTTTCGAATTTTCACCATACAAAGTTATTAGAAAGTTTTGCAGTTTTTTTTTTAAATGAAATTTGAGTTTTCACATTGAAAAATTGGAAATTGCACTAAAAATGGTAAATTTTCGGGAAATTTTTGACTTTTGACTGAAAAATTCGAAATGTTCAGTAAAAGGAAAATTTATAAAATCAAATTTTGGGAAAAATTTGAGAAATTTTGATAAAATGAAGAAAAAATACAATCGGAACAAATTTGGAAAGAAATTGTGAAAGAACCCAAATTTATGGATTTTCGAGAGAATTTTGAAATGAAAAAATTTTTGGAAAACAAAATTATAAGAAAATGTCGAATGTTCTTGTGTGTCTCGTGGAAGAAAAACGATATTTTCAACGAGAAATAAAAAAAAACAACAAGAAAAGAAAGAAACTGGTGACAAGAAATACATATTAATAAGGGAGTGCATGCATAAATAAAATTTATGTGGTGGTGGCGGTGGCGGTGGTGGTTGAGATAGCCGCCGCCAAACATGGAGAATGGCGAAATCGAATTTCGACGAGATTCATTGGCAGAAGAGTGTCCTCACAAAAATTTCGTGTTGCAATTCGAGTTTTATGGGCAGTTTCCAGGGTGAAATACACCCCAATACACACACACACACACGAACAAAAAAAAGTAGTCGGGAATTTTAGATTTTCCTTTTTTTTCTCGATTTTTGGGGTGTTTTTGTTCAATGCTACTTGTGCCTAGCGATTTTTACGGAATTCTTAATTTTTTCTTTGCTGCAGCTTCTTTCTGCTGTTTAGTTCGAGAGCGACGACACGAATTTACTCGACGTTTGGTTTTGTGAGAGTTGATAATTGTGTCTCCCCTCCCCCCCCTCGCTCACTTAATTGTCGGATAATTGCGATTTAGATTGTGCGCGGGATTTAGTTTTCGCCCTAATAGATATAGTAGCGGAATTTAAAGGCGCAGGACACCAAGCGGCGGGGCTCCCACAACGCAGAGTACGGTGCGGACATGGAAGGCGAAAAAATCGGAAAACTAATAATGTTTTTCTTTTGCGCAATTTTTTTCAGACCCGCTCTCCAGCTGAAAAATGCCTAGAAATTTTTTCTTTTTTCTTCAATATTGCTAGAAAAAAAATGTCACAGTTGGAATAATTAGCATAATTATCAACATCCGGCTAATTTCCTATTTTATATTAAAAATGATTTTTTTTGCACACAGGGTGGCAAAATTGAAGGGAAAAGGAAAACAATTTTTGGGTATTGCTGATTTTTAGAGATAAAAGAAATACTCCTTTTTCTCAAATTCTGTTTATTGCAGGCCTCGCATTTGGCGAATGGACTGAATGGACCGCCTGGACGACATGCCAGAACGGAGAACGATCGCGAGTGCGAACATGCGTCTCACGTCGTCCAGCTCTTCGTGTTGTGTGCCACGGCGAGTCGATTGAGATCGAGAAATGCTACGTCGATGCCGGCGAAGGGCATATTCCGGTTGCGGCCGATCCGTGGAGCATCGAACGAGAGATTAGTGGCGATTTCAAGGCATAATTGTGATAATTATGACTAATTAATTAATTAATTAATAATTTATTTGATGTTTTTGACGTTAATAATAAGGTTTTTTTCACGATTCTTTGAAATTTTGGTTTTCTGAATTTGGTTTTTTTTTGCGGAACTCAAGTCCGCTTTTTTAAATGCTTGTTGTTTTATTGGAATTTTCAGAAGTTTTGGGCATGACTTGCAGGAATTTGAAGCGAAAATATTGGAATTTTCAATTTTACAATATAATCGTATTAAATTGGCCAATTAACGTTTCAATTTATAATTAGAAGGGCGAACCAAGTTAAACGTGATTTTTGCAATTTTTAGGCAGATTTTTTGCAATTTTTTACGCATCTAAAAATAAAATTAATTAATTTGTTTTTTGGCAATAATTTTTCAGTGAGTGAGTTGTAAATACGCAGAAAACCAGGGAACTGAAAATTATGAAAAAAAATAAACATGCGCGTCAAATGTAATGTGATTCTGCATACCACTGCGACGCATATTTACACCATGCAGTTTAAATTTTCGACTACGTTGATCCCATTTTTTAAATTTTCCATACAATTTAGGAAAAAATCAAATTTTTTTTTCAAATTTTCCATATTTTTTCAGCATTTGACCTATCTGATTGATATTTGTATTTATTTATTCTTGAATTAAATTGATTTTTTCACCTAAATAACTTTATTTGAGCTAATTTCAACTGGTTAATGTATAATTAAATGTTTCCTAGAATCTTTCTAGTCTTCACTGCACTTCCTCGAATGCTTCCTTGTTTTGCAATTTTAGGTATCCGCGGATCATCAGACTTGCAGAATTCCGTAAATGAGAATCTGTCAAAACGAATATTAGGTAATTTTTTGAATATCGATTTTAAATCGATTTTTTTTCAGATCTGTAATTGTTTGAATTGATCATCTGTATTCATCTGAATTCCTGTAATACTGTTAAGAATCAGGTAGTTCCGCATTTAAAAAAATTTATGAGAAAAAAATTGTGCATCTAATTTAATGCAAATTAAATGGATACTTACCAAAAATTTTTGTTTTTTCAATGTTTTGAACTAAAAAAATTAATTTTAGCTATAATATGACGGTTAACGTACGAATCTTTATAAAATGTTTTGTTTCAATCCAAAATTTTTAGAATAATAGATTTCTCGCAATAAAATGTTTATGTGCCAAATTTATTGTCAAATTTTACATATTTTTCGACTTTTTACATTGATTTGAAGTAAAAAGTTGAGAAATTCGCTTTTTTTGGTCGACCTATACTTGATTTCTATCGAATTTTGCCATGGCTAAAGGTAATTACGATTTTTTTCTGTCAAGTTTTAAAAAATATTTTGAAAATTAAAAAATTAAATGACGTTTATTCAATTTTCTGGCAAAAAATGTGGGTTTTACGGGAAAATTTTAAAATGCGGAAGAAACCGAAAATTTGTATTAATAATTAGTGTTTTGTTCTCGAATTATTGCATAATTGCATAAAAGGTATTGATCTTTTTTGTTTTGCAAAAGAACAATTAAAAATCGAATATTCTTAGAAAACTTTAAGTCAATAGCATTTTTGATGAACATGCAAGGTCCATTTTTTTTTGTCTATTCGCCTAGAGTGCGCAAACGGCCGGCCAAGGACGCCACTTGTAAATCACCGCGAAACGCGCGCGATTCAAATTTTTTACTTGGTATGCGTCGACATTTCCCGTTTTCATCGGCAATTAATCACCTCGTGTCACTTTTCTCGAGAGTTTACTTTCAATTTTTCGACGCAAAATTACCTTAGCTTTCAATTTACCTGAATTTTTCCTCAATTTTTTCAATGAAATTTCCATTTTTTTGCCGGATTTTCCACAAATCGAACTCAGTTTTTCATGACGATCGCCATAAATGTAAGCGGGTTGACCCAAATTTGGATCGTTTATGAAATCACATTAAAATTTACGAGGATTTTCGCCAACTGTCTCGAAAAATCGCCCATATTTGGTCAAAAATAGCCCTACAGTAATCAAGTTGGGGGCGCTCGTAAATTAGTTGCATGTCGACAATGCCGAAAATCACGAATTTTATTTGGTGTTGATTACATAAAGTTTTCACGAATTTGCAGTTTTTTTTTTCTAGAATTCTCGAATTCTCCGAAAATTTAGTCGAATTTTGGAAAAATTTGAATTTCATCGATTTATGAATCAAGATTGTGCGTTTTTTGCTGGTTTTTTATTTAAAATAAAATTGAAATTTTCCAGCGTAGAATTCAAGAAAATCAATTTTCGACTATTTTTGCCAAATTCTTTTTTTTTTTTAATTTTCTTGACGTTTCCGCTAATACAGTGCGTTTCACATTTATAAGGGGCCACCCCAATAGACAGCCGTAATTTTTTTCACAGTAAAAAATTCAAATTTTCGATTTCGACATTGAATTCATCGCATTGAATGACATATGTGTACCACTTTTCACATTGATCAACTGAAAATTGGTCTCTGGTAAGCGTTTCACATTCTGACTAATTTGGTTTTTTTTGGTTCGACCAATTTTACAGATATCAATGTGAAAGGTGGTACAAAAATGTAATTTAAAGCGTTGAATTCAATGTTGAAATCGGGAAGTTTAAAATTTTGATTGCGGGAAACGTTACAGCTATCTATTGAGGTGGCCTTATAAAAAATGTGAAACACACTGTATTTCTGGATTCGCTGGATACGGTAGCGTTGTGGGCCTACGTGTCGTCAAACTCGAAACGAGAACAAACCAAGTTTTTTTTTGTCTCGAACATCATCATCATTTTATCAGTTGGCCGACGACGACGACGGCCAAAACCAAACAATAACCCGATTTTTGCAGAATGTTTGCAAGTTGTTTTGGTTTTTTGCCGAAAAATTGGGGGGTTTTGTCGAGTTTAATGTCGAAAATTTCGGTTTGTTGGCGATATTTTGTTCTCGAACCCCCCGCTTCCCCAATTTTTGAATAAAATTATCATTTTTTTATAGGAGCACCGTTTTTGGTCATTCGATTTTATCAGTTTTTCCGCCAAAATTGTTGAAATTGTTCAAATAATCCTATTATTTGAAATTGATTCTTATTAGCTATCATTTTTCTCATGTTTTTTTGTCGAAAATTGCTCGTAAGAGTGTTTTTTCGCGAATTTTGCGTGAACTTGACATTTTGAATTCAAACATTAGCATTTTTTGTGTTATTCGAGAAGTATTTGGGCGTGATTTTCTATTGCAATGGTCCGAGGTAATTTTTTCTTTTGATAATTTCATTTTTTTTTGTCGGGAGGGGACTCTAATGGAAATTTAAAAAAGAAGATTTTAAAAAATCGAATTTCATCATTTTTCTTCAAAAACTGATTTTCAAAACCTTTTTTGGGAAGGTCGCTAAAAAAATTGAAAAATTACTAGTAATTTTCGTTTTTATTAGAAAATTCGTGGATTTTTCGCATATTCTTTATGAATTTAGCTTGATTTTCTTCAAATAATGCAATATGCAATTTTTTAAGAGGGATTTTGCGCTAAAAAAAGTGGAAAATTGCTAGAATTTTTTTTCCATATTTGGAAAATCTTTATCTGATTCACTTGGAAAAAAGCAAATTTTTTTATTATGGAAAAAATCTAAAAATTAACAAATTGAGGGGTTTTATGGCTCGAAAAATAAAAATTGTTTATTTTTTTCCTGAATCGACTTTAAAACTACGCATTTTTCTGAAATTTGCACGTTTTTTTTTCTCGCCAGCCGAATTTTTAAAATGGAAATTCCACGCTTTATAGGTTTTTTTGTTTAATGGCGGCGCCGGTTTTGCGATGAAATTTGAATTTTTTCGCATCTCAATTCATTTTTTTCCTTCTTTTCTTTAAATACTGCTATAAACTACGACAAACCCTACAATTTATTGGCGCCGCATTGTGTTTTTTTTTGGTTTCAGAGAAATTTTTTAAAAAATTGCGATTTCTCACCAAAAAAAAACTGGATTTTTTGCATAAATTTACCAATTAAACTAATTTTCCGCCGATTTTCGGTGTTTCCCACCCAATTTAATCGGTGAAAATTGATGGTCATAAAAGGAGAATTGATACCGTACAAGGCACGCCCCATTTTTTTTTGGCCGCTTAAACGTTTTCGCGTTCATTTCGACGCGCAAACTTTTTGGATTCGACCAATTTCAGCCATACCGCGATTTGGAGCCGGAATGACGCGAAAGAAGCCGAATTCGAAGCGAAATCATAAGAAGAAATCGAAAAGTTGGTTGTTTTTTTGATTTTGGACTTCAAAATTGTTTAATTTTTCTTTTCAGATGGGCTTTTGACGATTGCGGTGTGTAGCTCGGATTCGAGTCGTCCGCCTAGTCGAGTTTCGAATCATTCCGATGTTGAGAATCATTCGCGCGTTTGCGAGAGTTTTGAGAAGCCCACGTCAATTTTGGGATGTCGATCGTCGAAATTGAATAGTCGCGTAAGAAATTTGGTTTATGCTGATTTTTTTGGGAGAAAAATTGAGAAAAGAAAGATTTTCTTCTTTTTTTTCAGAAAATCTCAAATGTTTAAAAAAATCGAGATCATATCGCCCCGAAAACCCTTTTTTTTTACCACATTTCTTCGAATTTTGCGAATCTTTAAAGGCGCTTCTTTTTTTTTTTAATTTTTTTTTACCGGAAAGAATTGCTGGATTATTTGCCGATGATATCATTTGTTATCGGCGGTGAACATCAAAAAAAAGAAGAGCGCTGGAAATTATTATGACGAGCTGATAATGGCGAAAAATTGCTGAAATTTTTGTGATTTCAATTTCTTGTCAATCAAAAAATTAAAAATAATGAAATTAAAGCATTTTGGGGATGGAAATGGTTTTAGGGCAAAATAAGCATTTTTAGGCCAAAAATGGAATTCTGATGAGTGAAATTTGATTTTTTGTTTTCAGCCAAGTGTCCCTTCTAGTCAACCGCAAGAAACTGCTGAAAAACTGGTGACACCATTGGATTCGAGCGGATCGCCAACGAATTTGAAAACTGAAGAAGATAATCATATTCGGCATATTGTCGAGGAATTTAGGTTATTTTTGTGAGATATTTTCAAAAAAAAAATAATTTTTTATTTGCAGAAATTGTGAAAATAGTGAAGAAGTTCGAGCAAAAGCATTGGCGGACTTGAATTTTTTGCTTGGAAGCACGACGTCGTTTATGAAGCGCTACTCGATTCGCAGCAAATTGTATTGTAAGCTGATTTCGGCGAATTTCGTTTATTTTTTGTGGTGTATTTGATGCGAAAAAAAACGAAACAACAAAGAAAAGTGAAAATTTTTGTGATATTTCGACAGGTTTTGGCATTTTCGAAGCGATTCTCGAGCAGTCGATTCGAAATGAGAAGCTCGTTGAACGAGAAGCTGAGACGTTTCTGAGATTGCAGCGAAATGATGAGAAGGTGTTGGGAATCGCCGGCGACGATCGGGTTCCCGTCGATGTTTTGTGCGGTGTGCTCGCCGACAAAAACGATGCTCAATGGATTTTGATGGTCTCGTTTTGTCGATTTTTTGGGTTCGATTTGTTCAATCGCGTGTGTTTTAGACGAACCTGCTCGAACGTCTTCAGAATCCCGATGAGTTTTCGAGGATTTTGAGCGAGAAGAGCGTTGCCGAGAAGGAGACGCAGACGATGATTCGACGAGCGCCGCCGATGCGATTCGACCCAGCGTTTCAGGATATTCCTGAGGTTCCTTTTTATTTTTGTGATATCAAAATTTCGATTGTGTAGTTTTTTTTTTCTTGACCAAAATGTTTTGAAGTTTGTTTTTTGACAAATTCATTTTTCGCACAAATGTGCCTTTAAATTTCGTGTTTGAATTGATTTTTCATGGATTTTTTTGAACAAAAGTGATTCCAATCGCAATTTCTTATTTTTTGAATCTATTTTTTGGGAGTCTCATGGGGAAAGCATTTTTCTATAGAAAAAGGATGCTCGAATAAAAAAAATGAAAAATTTTCATTATCCGATAAATGAATTGAAACAATATTATAAATATATAAATTTTGTCGTTTAGGAATCGCCATCGGTACAGGATGAATGTAGCGTATTTAATTTCTCGCCGAGGTTTTATTTTAATAATTTTGCAAATTTTAATTTTCTTATTTGGTATTTTCAGAACAATCGTCCAGATAAATGATTCGGGCCTTTGTGGAAGCGACACGATTCAATGTAAGAATTTTGATTTTTCGGACTTTTTTTTTAGAGGAATCACATTTTTTTGTCCAGCTTTTGTTTATGCCACCTCTTCCTCGTCGTCGTCGTCGTCGTCATCGCCGGATCCCGAGAGCGCTCCACAGAATCTCAAGAAATGGGCAAACGCGTTGAATTTGCCGATTGAAAGCGAAATGGGTTATGGTGGGTAACGAGAGAGAGAGAGAGAGGGGGGGGGGTCTTGAAGTGATGGTAGGAAAAAATTGCAATTTTGAGACACTCGAGCGACGCCGACGACGATATTCTCGGATGACGAGGTGACGAGCACACTTCGGACTGTTGAGAGCACACAAACGAGTCCCGACAAACGGCGTCGACGCGTTTTTCCCGAGATGTCGTTCTCCGAGATTTACACGGAATCGTTTTGGGTCGAAGAGACGCGGCCGGTTTATGAGCGCGCTGGAATTGCGCCAATCTCGACGAATGCGCCACCAGCGCCGCCGCCACCACCACCACCATCAATGGGTGTTGCAACTGATGGAATTGCGCCGATCTCGCTGAACGCTCCATCGCCACCACCACCACCACCGCAACCATCAGTGGCTGGAACGTCTCGCATAGCACCAATCTCAGGATGTGCACCGCCAGCTCCACCACCACCATCATTTGGAATTGCGCCAATTAGTCAGAATGCCCCGCCGCCGCCACCCATGGCGCCGGGAACACTTGCACCAATTTCTCAGAATGCCCCTCCGCCACCGCCGCCACCACCTCCACCACCAATGGTGCTGAATGCCATTCCACCGATATCGGCAACGGCGCCACCACCTCCGCCACCTCCATCGGGAATTGCCCCAATTTCCGGTAGTGCGCCACCGCCGCCTCCGCCCCCGCCGGGACTTGCTCCACTGTCTCGAGCGCCACCACCGCCACCGCCAATTGGTGGATTTAAGGGTGCACCGCCACCGCCACCGCCACTATTGCCCATTAATGGATTTGCTCAAGGTAAATTTTATCGTGTTTTGCATTTTTTTTTTGAAATGAAATATTTTGGCAGGCGGACCTCCTCCTCCGCCACCACCACCACCACCGGCATTTATGATAAATGGAAAACCAGCGTTCAGTAAGATTGGATTATCTAGAAAAGGTTGGAAATTTTTCGAAAAACAGGTCCCGCCACGATGAGTTCTCCGGTGTTGTCGCCGGGCGTCGTGAAGCCGGCAGTGGTGTATCGAAAGGAGAAGAAGACGGTGCTGGTTCGTTGGCAGAAGCTGAATCCGATGCAGATGCAAGGCGCCGGCACGGTGTTTAACGACAATCTGTGTGTCGACTTCAACGAGGAGGAGCGCCATCGAATGGAGGAGATATTCGAAGAAGCGCCGGCGAAGCAGCATCAACAGCCGACGCGAACGGTTGGCGGTTCGGTGGGACGGGCGTTTGGCAGCAAGATGTTGAGGACGTCGGCGTCGGCGTCGGACACGGCGACGAATAGGAGTTCGCCGAATTCGCAGGTGTTGTGCTCGCCGAAAGCGTTGACGATTGAGATTCTCCTCAAAAAGTTTGTGTTGTTTTCTTTTTGTTATTTAAAGAGAAAAAAAACTAGAGAATTTTCAAATGTTCCTCATTTTTTCTATTTAGGCTCAAACCATTGGATTTCACTGAGCTTATAACCAAATTGGAGACGAATGATATGGACGGTGTGAAAGTGGATTTGATGTCGACGCTTCATTCGAATTATCCGGAACCTGATGAGGTTTTTTTTAAAATTGTTTAAGAAAAGCAATTTTGATTCGTTTTTTTTCAGCTCGCTCCATTTGAATCTGTCGAATTGAAGAATTTGTCGCACGCGAGCGATCAGTTTTGCTGGCATCTCTGTCGAAAACCGACGCTGAAACTTCGAATTGAGCTATTCATAACCAAAGAGAACGCGGTCGCTGAGGTATGCATTAGGAATGTGCGAGATTCCCGGATTTCCAGGGGAGGCGCCGTGCAGGCGGGGGTCGGGACTTATTTAAATTTCTTGGACGGTTCGAAATTTTGCGAAATCGGGAGATTTTGGCAAGCGAAGATTTAATCAAGATCTACAGTAATCTTTAGTAGCAGTGAAAATTAGTGTAGATTTTAAAGGTACATGAAAGCTTAAAATGTTGAGCAACAAAAAAAAACATTTGTTCGTTTTTTTCCTGTATTCTAAACCAAAAACATTGGCTTCGGTTGAGAAATGGGGTTTTCGTCATATTTTTCGGAAAAAAATTTACTGAAACTTTTAAAAATCAAACAAAAACGAAATTTTTCCGGATTTTCGGCAAATTTTTTTGCAAGCTTTTCAAAATTAAGAATAGAATTTTTCGATGATCTCGCGTTTTTCTACCTTCTGTTTCAACTCACATTTAATTGGCTAATTTGGGGCGCTTTTTCGTGTTTTTTTTCGTGAAATGCAATTAACTGAAACTATTTAAGACTTCTAGAGATTTCAAATATACCGGATATTTGAGTCGGGGAAGAATTATACCGAAAATTTTCCCAAAAGGTCTTTTCGGTCCATCACTGGTATATTATTTTTTTGCGTCAACTTTTTCCCGTGATTTCATCCATCTCTCTTTCTCGACAGATCACCAAATTCCAAAAGCAAATCGAGCGTTTGATGGACGCGGTTGAATTGGCCCGCGGAACGGTTGTGCAGACGGTGCTTCGAAAAGGACTCCAATACGGGAACTATCTGAATCAGGGATCGATGTTCGCCGAAGCCGCCGGATTCTCGCTGAGCTATCTGCAGACGTTGTTGCAGTTGAAGGGAAAAGTGAGAATCGAATGGATTTCGAGCGAGAGAACCAAAAAAAACAACATTTTCAGGGGCAACACTCGTCGATTCGCCTTGTCGATTTGTTGGTGTCGTTCAGTGGATTGGCGATTGGCGATGTTGAGAATGTCGTCGTCAAATTGGCGGCAGTTCGGTGAGAAATTTGCGGACTAGTTTTTGTGGCCGCGAAGGCAATTTTCGGCCATTTGAGAAGAGATCGAAGTGTTTTTTTTTTGTTTTTCAAAATTGATTTTTCATTTTTTTTAATTTTATTGTCTCAAAAGCTCATTGCAGATCGTTGAATTTGAATGATTTGTCGAGTGCTCTTGATCAGATTGAGAGGACGGTCAAAAAATTGCACAATGCGTTGGAAAGCACGCGCGATGCCGTTTTACTCGCTGAGTATCGACCGTTTATTGAGGTTTGCTTTTGATTTTTGGCGTTTTTTTTGGAAAACAAGGAAAAGGAAGCAGAAACATTGAGTGATGATGTTGAATTTTGATAGGGTCCGTGCCAACACGCGACGCACAAATGCAGACTATCAAATTCAACATCATCAATCGCAAAGAATTGAGAAAATTTCGATTCAACTAAAAAAAAAGAAATGAAATATTTGGTTATTTTTGTATCTTTTTCTTTTGAATTGAAATTTTTTCGATGAAAAAATGTTTTACCTGCATTGGTCTATAAAAAATAGAAAGTTTTGTAGAGAACGAGCGAGGAATTGGCGAATGTTCGGAATGGTGTGAATGAATTGAAGGCGAAAGAAGTCGAATTGCGTGTTTATTTGTGCGCCGGCGAGGCGAATCTTCAGCAAATGTTTGAAATTGTGGAGAACTCGATGAAAATTGTGCTCGACGCGCTAAAGGTTGGCGTGGTTTTTTTTGGTCTTCTTTTGAGCTTGTTTCAGTGTGAATTGCAAAAATTACAAATATTGTCTGTTTCAGTGTGAATTGCAAAAATTACAAATATTGTCTTTGGATAAAACTCCCCGCTTTTTATGCGTATTCTAGTTTTTGCAAAAAAAACATCAAAAATCCAGTAAAAATTCTGAAAATCTTATAAAGATTGCGCAAAAATTCGTTTTTTTTTTTAGTTTTATTCCTGAAATTTTCATAACACTATAAAATGCAAATAGAAACTAAAAGAACGATTTTTTAAATCTGAAAATTACATTAAATGCGCATTTTTGTTGCATTAATAGGTAAGAATTTTTCGATGAAAGAAAAAACGTCTTCACGATGATTCAAAAATTCGAGAAATCATGCCAATCTCCATTTTTTTTTGTTGCAGCAAGCCGCCGCGAAGGCGAAAGTCCAACGAGCGACGTCGATGATGTCGTTGTCGACGACGTCGGCATCGCAACGATCGCTTCGCGACGGCGAGATGTTGTCGCGAAAATCGTTGGCGTTGAAATCGCGCGATTTGCCCGTCGAGGAGCTCACGAAATTGTTCTCGAACACGTCGATTCGTGTACGAAAAGAGGCCACACCGCCCAATACGGTATTTCTTTTTTTTGTTTCGATGGTCCCTTGCCAGCCAATCACTATCACACGTTGTTTTTTTTTTTCTTTTTGCAGAACTCCGAATCGGCGACGCGCACGATTCGACGTCGAAGTGTTCAGACGCCGAAATCGGACGAGTCGGCGGCGTCGCCGTGCTCGCGTCGTGACCTCATCATTGATTTGTCATCGGACATTGGCAGTCCCGTCTAGAGCGAGACGTTTCAGCAATTTTCTTTTTCTCTTTTCAATTGTTAATGGAAATCGTCGATGTGCCTTTGAACATTGCGATTCTTCCAAATTTGGTCAAACTAGCGGTGTATGATTCGATTTTCGATTATTTATTATTCTTGTATATCGCGTATCGTGTATTTCTTTTATTCATTTCATCGTCACGATTGCTCCACCCCGCGAAATTCGTTATTTTCTCTTTCTCACTCAAAAATGTTTGTTTTGTAGTGCCATTTCGAGCAGTCTCACCTCGCCAAGAAAAAAGCCGGTAGCAGTGTGATACTGTTTTGTTTTCTTTTTGTGTTTCCCCGAAAACGGACCAATATCCTTTTCTTTTTTAATTTCTTCTTTTTTTCTTCGCTCTTGTGAATAGTGAAACGCTATAAAGCCATTTTTAATTTAAGCTTTTTTTTGGAAATGAGGTTTTATTAAGTAGAAAAAGTTATGTACATTGTCTATTTGTTGCTGTTGTTGTTTTTTCCGACATTTGTCAATTTAGGCCCAACTTCCGCCGCCGCCGCGATCTTTGACCTCACGTGATGGATATAGACCGCCACCGCCTGCAAATTGGTAGGTCGTGTTTTCGAGATTATTGCGAATTGAACTACCTTGACCATTATTATCATCGTAGACTGGCGCGTCTGGATAAGCTCCGCCCCCTTGGTATTGTCCCATGCCGAAGCCGCGATTGCCTCCGCCACCGCCCATTGGCATCCCGCCACCACCACCACCGGTATTCCGGTTCGACAATAATCGGCCGAGCATTGAACCGATGCCGGCGCCGCCCATGCTTGACATGAAGCTTGAGAACCCGCCGCCGCCGCCGCCACCACGGCCACGGCCACTACCGCCGCCACCACCACCACCCATTGGTGGATATCCGCCGCCGCCGCCTTGATCATTGGTGGGCACCCGCTGATTGCCGCTGCCGCCCTTTCGACAGCAGCAACAATAGATGCAACAGCAACAGCACAGCGTTGGAATGATGACGCCCAATAGGAGAAGCCAGAACCAGCTGGGAATCGATGGCATCTTGAAGGCGGGACCTTTGGCGCCGCCACCACCATATGGTGGCGACGGTCCGCCGCGTCCGCCGCCGGACGGCTGACGAGGTGAGCCTTGTTTTTCGAGTGCTTTTTGCCTGAAAAAATGTCGATGTTTGGACAAAGGCGACATTTTTTTGCTCCACCCTATACCATGTTCCACGAAGAATATTGGTCAACGCTTGCTGATAGTTTTTCTGTTGGAATAGACTCCTCTGCTCCATGAACAACTGTGTGAACTCATCGGCGTAGACGGGAACCTTGTCATCGCGAGCCACCCAGAATTTCATGTCGTCGGTCGAGACGACAATGACGACCGCCTTCTTGCATTGAGCATCCAGCGTCCATTTGCGCAGCATATCGTTGGCCATCGTCTCGACGGCTTCGGTGGTGCCGCCTTTGACGTGTCGTGCGATCGCCATCGCCGCCGTCACGCCCTTCTTGTCGCAAAATGTTCGCGCGTTGTCCTAGAATTTGTCGTTTGGCACCTCGACACCCAATCGGATCCCGTTCGGGATTTTACGGATGAGATTGGAAAATTGTCGGATTCGATTTGTTCTTTTTTCAAGATTATGGGCTCTTTGGTTTTTTTTACGAAATTTTCGAATTCAATTTGTTAGAATTTTGTTTGGATCACTTTGAGAAATTTGTTCATCTCGAATCCGATTGGTTTCGATCCCGGCTTAATAGAAAAAAAATCGCAAAATTTAAACCTGTCTCGTTCGACTTTCGAGTTGCCTCAAATCGTGATCAAGTCGATATCGCATTTTTTTGTCGAGAACCTCATCCGGATCGCAGATGTTGGCTGAATTGTCCATTTTGCATCTGGAAACTCGCATTTTAATCGCAATTTTGTGTCATTTTTCTAACGTTGGCATTTTTTTTCAAATTTCCGTGGGAAATTGTGTTTATTTTTTGGTCACAAGATGTTTTGATGTGATTTTGAGAAGAAATTTTTTTAGTTTTGGGCTTTTTTTACAACTCAAGCCTCCGTCAACTGGCGCTGTCGAAATCGACGACGAAAATAAAGAACAGAAAAAAAATCGTTTTCAACTTACTCTCGAAATTGTCCGGCGGTGGGATTCGGAAAATTGTAGGCGTCCCATTCGGTGGCATAACCGCCAACGATTGAGGCGACAAGCAGACAAAAAATGAGGCGACACCTCATTGAGCCTGAAAATTGAGGAAAAAAATTGAGTTTTGAAAAAAAATTTGACGAATTTCTTCGCGATTTGTTAAGTCAATAGTCGGCGTGTGGGGGGCCAATGAGAAAATTGTTGTACAAGTAGCATTTTTTGTTGTTGTTGCGGTTGTTTGTGTTGTTTGGTGTGGGTTGGAAAAGAAATGAGAGAGTGGCGACCCCCGGCAAGCCTCACCACCACCAATATGCGAAATGGACCCCTCCGACCGAGTCGCAGTTGGCAGACGGCGAGATGGACGAGAGATTATAGAGCCGGCAGACGCGCGAGACGATTGTAATTCGTTTCGCACGAGACGAACGAATGATAACACGAGACGACAAAAAAGTTGCGTGTTTTTATCTTTTTTTCGAATTACACAAAGAAAAATTTGGCATAGAATTTTCGATTTTGGGTTGAAATTTTGAAAATAAATCGATTGTTCAATTGATTTTTGATGAAATGAACGCGGAACGAAATTTTTCGCGATGTTTGCGCTACAGAAACAACTCAAATTTGTTGAATTTAACAGAAAAATAGGCGAATTTTGTGGAATATGGGATTTTTGTGAATCGCGTCCGCGAACACCGAGGCGTGTGCTTGCGGACAATTGTCCCTACAGTAATCTATATTTAAATTCTTTTTGCAATATTTTTCAAAATTGTCCTCGTCAGTGATCTTACTGTTTTTTTTTTTTGAAAATTGCGATTTTCGGCGAGAAATGAAAACCAAATGCATTTTGGTTTGAAAATGTTGAAAATTCCATGAGAATAATCGTCCAATCCAGTTTTCTCATTGAACTTTGAAAAAAAATGGAACACCCCCAATTGTTTTTTTTTTCAATTATGACAAAATTAATCGATTTTATTCCGGATTCAAATCACTTTTTGTAGGAAATTGAGAATGTTCTCGAGTGCTGGAAGGAACGCCTCGGTCGAATCGAGTCCGATCGACGCCCAACGCTTGAATTCGTTGCAAACGACGCCGCTTCGAATCTGCTCTTCGATTTGCTCGAGTTGACGTCGAATGAGGCCGTCGGTCTGACAGCGAAATAAAGGTACCAGCATGCATTTTGTTGAGAAACCCAACTCACCGAATTCTGTTGGCTCGACACCAACGACGCCAAAACCAATAACGCGAATAGTAGAAATTTCATGTTTTTTTTCTGGATTTTGACCGACAACTTTTGATTTTATACCGAGATTTTCATGAATATTCATTGCATCGATGTTCCCACACGTTTATTGAAATTAGAAAAATGTTGAAAAAATCCGCCAAAACATTCGTCTGACGCGTTTCTCGCGGCTTCTCTTTCTTTTCATCATTTAAAAAAAGTTTGATTTGTTTTATTCGGTGGAATCACTTCCAGCATAGCAAAACGCAAAATTAAGCTTACCAGAAAAAAAACTGGATTACAGTAGGATTACGGTAGCACAAATGTGATGCGTGTGCGCCGCTCACCTCTCCGTCGGCTTGATACGCGAGAATCGGATCGTCGATCGGCTTCGGCATCTCGTGCACATCCCAAATCAGCGCCTGCGAATCATCGCCAGCCGTGCAAATATGCGAACCCGAGTGCGGCGCCCATGAGATGCCGTTGACCGACGCCTCGTGATTCCGTAGGCGAGCCACCGGTGTGCACGGAAGTCGCAAGTCGAGAATGATCACCTAGAAAATTGAAATACAAAATTGGCGCTAAACAACGGGCACTGGCGGAGTGTCGTTGGTTTGAAATAGAAAAAAAAAATCAATTTCAAATATTTCGAAAATCCGCTTCTACATATTTCCATTTTGGGGAAAAATTGCCAAATTTCTGTCTACCTCTTTACTATCCTGCGCAAACGTGGCAATATAATTGTGATCGTTTCGATTCCAGGCCAATTTCAGAAGCGGCGTTCTCATCGGATCCTCGTACATGATCGTCGAGTGCTTTAATTTAGTAATTTTATATTAAAACTATTCACCTGATATTATTCTGTGTTTTAGAAATTTGATTTTAAAAAAAATGAAAAATTTTTAAATTTAATATTTGACCGATTTTCGTAGAATATTCACATTATTAAAATATTTGTGATTTTAATTAATGTTTGATTTTTTAGTTGTTCAATACTAATTTGATCTATTGAGTTTTTTTTGTCGCGGAAAAAAGACACCAATTTGTGGACGCCGTCAGGCGGACTACAATGTAGCTGACGAGAATTTTGACTACGTTGTGTTCGACGTTGATCATCGATTTTTTCTCGGCGTCTCTTCAATCGACCCAATTCCTATTTGTCATTGTTCTTCGTGTATTTTTCGATTTCTCAGTGTTCTTCTTGAATTTCTTTTTGTTTCAGATCGACATGCCAACAATGCGAGGATTCCATGAATCCGTCGTCGACGCCATCTGAAAGCCGCGGACTTCTTGCCGGTGAGTCCCGATTTCGTTCTGTCGTCCTTGTCACCTCATTCGCCGAATTCTGTGTGTTCCCGGTGCTCTCGTCAATGCAAATCGATTGGATTCGAAAAAAAAATTACCAATTTCGAAAAGTTCTCCAAAATTTTAAATCGAATACGATTTCAAAAATTGAAAAATCAATCGATATCATCGAATTTTATTTCATTTTCAATTAATTTTTATTCAATTTTTCTTCGAATTCGATTTATTTTCATTTACGTGAGTGAGCGCCAAAGATTCGCCATGGCTTGATGAGCGACTTGTGTGGAATATTCCTTATTAGGTATTAGATTGACCCTAGGAATGAATTGAGCCGAAAGCGTCGTCTTTAACAATTGGATTGGATTCAAAAAACCCTAGAAATTTTTAATTAGTGTCTTAATTAGATAATTTTCTACTAGGTCTTAGTTAGTTTTAACTAGTCTTCATGATAATTTGAAAATTTTAGAACGAATTTTTAGGTAATTCAGAGAAAGTGGGAGAAAGCTTAGGAAAAATCTAGTTTTTTTTTGGCCAATTCGCCTATTGCCATTAGAATTCACAAATTAAATTGATTATTTTTTGATAAGTCAAGGAATATTTCACGCATCTCGTCGAAATCGCTCAATTCTTCCCAATTTTGCCTATTTTTGTTTTTCGCGACCAATTTGTGAATTTCTTCTCATTTTTCGTTGAATTTTCTTCATAAAAAGTGATTGATTCATTGGATTTCTGGAAAACGCGAGTTTGATTTTCATTTTTGAAAAAAGAATGTCGAAGTGTTTCAGCATTTGTCTGAAAATCAAAATTCTTCTATAAATTTTTGTTTTATTTTTGCATAGGGGGTTTGATTTTTTTCTTCTAATTTTGCACTCAAATTGCTCGTTGAAATTCCAATTATGAATCTTGGAATCAAAAATTTCAAAAAGTTTTTTAACACCAGGAGATGTGCGCCTAATTCCGCGGGAAATTTTTAGGAAAATATGATTTTTTTTTAATTACTGTAGATAATTAAAGGTACATGAAGAAAAATCGAAGATTTTAAATCTTGCAAAAACAAATTTTGCTTAATTTTGGGCCATTAAAGGATCACTACGAAGAAAAATAAAAAATATTTTTTTCTGCATTAAAATTTGGTTTTCTTTACATTCTTCCTTTAAAAAAAAATTAAGCTGTGAAAATTTTTGAACTTTCAAATTTTTATACGGGTTTTCATTTTTTATTATCAGTTTTAGTTGGCAAGAGGGATTTTTCGCATTTTTTTAGAAAAAGAAATAATTTAAACTACAAAAAATCAAATAAAAACGAAATTTGCTGGAGTTTTGGATGAATTTTTTCGCGAGAAATTTCTCGAAGTGTCATTTTCGCACAACTCTGCCAAGTTCATTCGAAAGTGATTATCACGAGCAATTTGTGCGCCGCAAACTTGAAAAAATTTTCAAACCCCCTGCAAACGCACATTTTTTGAAAATTGTGATCAATTTGGGTGATTTTGCCATGTTTTTTTTTTTTTGAAATTTTACTAATCAAATTGGTTTGAATTTTCTTAATTAGGCTATAATTAGACTTTAGAATTTTGATAATCGAATTTCAACAAAATTTCAAGTTTGAGAATATTTGGATGTTTGTCGTTAGAGATCAATTTTTATATTTTCAACGAAAAATTTCATAGGCAATTTAACATAGATTATGAATTAGGATAATTAAAATAATTTATTATTAGGTTAATGTCGAATAAATAAATTGAGAGGCTAATTGTGCCAGTTTAATTAGAATTTATCTGCAATCCAGAGTCTAGGCGTCAATTAAGGATTAATTAACAAATAAATTAAGACATATAGTCGGCGTCCGGCGACTGTTGGTATGTTTACGGAGATGCGCCTTTCTCTCGGTCTCGTGTGGCGAGACCTTTTCGAAAGGCGCACTCCTAAAACGACCCGCGTACAGTAGTCTCCGGACGCCTATATGAAACCGGATTACGGTAGATTTTTGTCTTTGGCTAGCAATCAAATTCTTAAGCTTCAAAGAAAAAACTTTAAAAAGAAAACTTGTCAATATTCCTCGAATTGGTCATGATTTTCTCGCTGTTTCCAAGATCTCAGTGAATCAAAACACTTTAATGTAAAAAATTAACAAAACAACGAAAAATGAAAAGAAATTATTAGAATTGGTCGTGAAATGAGGCAATAATTGGGGAAGATTGAGCGATTTTGTCGTCCAAGCCATGGCAAATCGATGGGGCCAATGGGGAAAAAACACAGAATTCGGAGAAAGAGGGGCTGGGGGACGCCGGGGCGGAATTGGGACTATAGAAGGCCGGGAGGAGCCCGTGCATCTGAATAGAAAAAGGGGGGGTCTGATTACTTTTTTTTTCAAATTTTGCGAAATGACCGTCTCTCCCACTTAACGACTCCTCGAATTTTTTCGGCGCCTCCTCCACCCCTCGTTTCCCGAGCCAAAATCGCAAAAAAACGTAATGCACAAAACAGCCGAAAAATCGCCCTATTTTTGGCCATTTATGGTCAATTTGAATTTTGTTCGATTTTGCCCAAAATGGAAATTCGTCGTTTTTGAGACCTCTCGCAACCGGGTGTCAATAAGACTTGCACAACAACCGACGCATTTTTGCGGACCGATCAGGAGTACTGTGAGGATACCGTGGAGTAGAATCCTACAGTAATCCATCACGGACCAATGCACCAACTGGAATGCAAGCTTAAAAACATTCGACTCAGAGATCAAACGACGAACTTCTTTTTGACCTTCGCTACGAGACTCGCACGATCAAATATTACAAATTCTAATCTACAACTAATAGCAACAAATTGGAATAACCCACTAAACTACAAACTATCCTCCGGAAAATCTCAATCGACGACAATTTTAACAGAATTTGATTGAACATGGGGAACAATGAATAAATGGGGTACCTTAAAATTAATTGGGCAATTACTAAAGATTCTACACACCAATCATTTTGGGAATTTTTGGATTTAAATTATTATTGACCGAATTTGATTAAAATCTATTGTATTTTCAACCCATTTACAGACCCAAAATAGCTCATTCTCAGGACTGCAAGCACACAATGTTTTAAAATAATAAAAATACAAGGGCTTTTGAAAAATTATGTTGAAATTACTATTATCGGCGTCAAACATGTATCAATTGATGCAAAATACGAAATAAATTATTGTAATTGCCTAGAAACCACAAAAATTATCTGTAGCCAATTGCCCCAACACTTGAGATTTAATGTTTAGTAATTGTTACAGGGATTAGAATATTAAGTTCAATCGCAATTATGGTACCGCAATTAAATACTAAAATCACCACGCTTTAAAATAATTACCATCGCAAAAAACGAGCACCTTGAGAAATAGTGGATCATTTTTTCGATTAGGAAAATCAAAAATAAAATTAAAACTGTGGAAATGTCTGCGAATCAAACTCAATAAAAATCGACAAAAAATTGGTGTAGGTTTTTTGCGATTGTAATATCATTAACGGGTTTTCATCCATCTAGATCATAATTTTTTGAATATTAAAATGAATAGCCAACTCTTTAGATTCGAATTTAAGCAATGCGCTGATTTATTTCTCAACTCTAAAATCCCCAGTTAATCATAGCAGAAAATCTAATTGCTTCCTAAATATTATAGTCCACAAACGCGCCCTATAGAAATGTCTCTCTCTCTCTCTTGCACTCTCTTACTCTACCTCTATGCTTCTCGACATTTTTCTCTGCGTCTCCCATATTTCTCTACTGTTCGTATTATGATCCCGGAACACTAATTAAGCTCGAGTCCCCCTCATTCTGGCCGTCTAATAGATTGACTCAATAAAGTCTTTTTTAATACCAAACCTCGTGTACCACACACATACACACCTACAAGCACAACACTAAATATTACCCTAATTAGCTTAATTGCTCAACGCTAGAAAAATCGGTAACGGTTCCCGTAGCGAATATCACCAGGCAAAATCGAACAATTTTCAAAAAGAGCAAAAATGGCCAAAAATTACGGGGTCATTTTAATCAGCTGCTTTGTGCATCATGTTTTCTCGCAATTTTGGCTCGGGAAAAAACGAGCTTCGGAAACGACGAGAGAAATCCGAGGAGCCAAGGATTGTTCTACCGATCAAGCCGCTTCCAGCCGTCGCACAGAACACTCTGAAGTTGACAATTATTTTGATTAAAATGCTCACAATTCAATTCGCCCACCGTTTGAGATTCTTCGTCTAAAATCCATGGCGAATTTGCATCGTACTGAATTGAAAATTCTAGAATAAAAATAATAACGTCTAGGATTTTGTAGTATTAACAAACCTTCGACACTCCGCACGGGACCATCAGTGTCGTCGCCACAGGAAATTTGTTGAGATATTTTCTGAAAAAAAATATCAATATGCAGGAAAAATGAGATTAAATATATAACGCTCAACGAAAAAAATTAAGATAAAAAGAAAGGGATGTGAGGAAGAATAGTTACGGATCAAAACACACACACACAAAATTATTGATTAAATTGTAATTTTCTAAAATAATCGCTTATAAATTGCTCAAAACGATCATAGCACGGAATTTAGGCATCAGAACACACAAATAATTCGATGATGAAAATGAGAGATCAAAATACACACAAAATTTATCGATTTTTTTTGCTAATCATAGCACACCGATTTCAAAAATAGCAAAAAAATCGAAAAATAAATCATTTGAATGGCGTAATTTCAGTGAAATCATACCGACGATACAATATAGAGCAAGTTTGATCAAAAAATTAACGAAAATTTTGTATAGAAAAGGTTAAAACCGGCAAAACTTGCAAAAAATTGATTATTGATTCGATGACGGGCGGTGTCGCCAAAAACGCGTCATCGAATGTGTGATTGGCGTATTTGGCGGGCGGCTGACGCAATACTCGCAATTTTTCAAATTGGATATTGACAGAAAAAAATCGACGAAAATTTTTAGAGTGACTCCAAAAAAGTTTTTTTTCGTTTTCTAAAGATTTTTAATAAACGTAATAAAAATGGTCATTTTTGGAAATAAAGCGAAATTTTCTGCAAATATGGCCAATTAAAAAAAAACATTCTGCAGAAAAAAATATGGGATTTTTTTTTCAATGTCGAAATCATCGAAAACTGCAAACGAGTTGAAGGCTACAAAATCGCAGAGTCGCTCACCAATTTTTCATCTTCAAAATTTTATATGCGAATTTTTGCTGAAATTGTCAAAAACCACCGAAAACCTCATCGATCATCATTTCTATTTGCACCGCAAACACACAAACCGGTCATTTCTTATCGATTCTCATTTAATTATCGCTCATTTTTCGATAAAATCCCTTTTTTTTGAGAGGGGGTAAACATTTCCATACAAAATCGTCAATCGTGTAAGAATGTTTTGTTGAATTTTCTGGAAAATTCTATTCAAGAAAAAAAAACGTCAATGACATTAAAAAAATACATTTCCATATAATCGATCTCGAATTTTCAATTTCCGCTCTTTGATTTGATCCATAAAATCTTAAATTCGTCATTTTCAGTTAAAACGAGAAAGTGAACCAAAAATGAACGAAATAGACGAGATCGAGTCGCTTCAAGGTGAACACAAAAATAAAAACGTACTTCAAACAAGAAAAAATTGCGTTTTCAGACGACGCGCCAAAATTGAACGACGATCTCCTCAAAATGGGCCGCTATTCAATTCTAGTAAGCATTTTTGTCGAAATCGCGATGCTCTCGCAATTGTCGAACACAATGTACACGGTTTATGCCGGTAAACGCAACGAACAAATTTAATTTCCTAATTTGTTTAAAAAAACTTGAAAAATCTGCGTAGAAAAAGTTAAAACCGGCAAAACATGCAAAAAATTGATTATCGATTCGATGACGGATGGTGTCGCCAAAAACGCGTCAGCTAAATTGTGATTGGCGTATTTGGCGTGCGGCTGACGCAATTCTCGCATTTTTTAAAATTGACAGAAAAAATTGATAAAAATCTTTGGCAAAATTATTAAAGTGGCAAGAAAAAATGAAAAAAAATCAAATTATCCTATAGTGAATGATATATTTCGGTTACGCTCACGCTGGAAAATTTGTTTTTTTTTTTAAATTTCTATATCTATCAATCACCCTACATGCTGCCTCGCATATTTCTTCCAAAAAACCTCACCAACCATGATGGTCCGTTTGTGGACATTTAAGGTTTTCAACCAATGATCTAGGTAAATTTGGCACGTTTGAAAATAAAAATAATACAAATTTGTAAACTACGTTAAAATATGAAAAATTCAAGGTTTTGTAAAGAATAGCGAAAAGCATCGAAAACGTGAAGAGAAAAGACTGTAATTCTGAAATTCTGAAAACAGTTCTGATTCAGAAAAATAGGTTTGCCCATTATTTTTGCATCAATAATCGCAAAATAATAACCAATACATGTATAGCACCATTAGAATATTAAAAATCGATTAAATGTGAATAAAATTATAAGAAAAAATAAAGAATCTGAAAGCACACGAAAACAATTGAGCATTTTGGTGGGGGTTGGGGGTTGGGTCAAAGTTCACATAAATGACACCTAGTCGTTTAAAAAAATTGCAAAAAATGAGCATAATTTACGAGAGAAAAAAGCGTATCCGAATTTCTTCTTTGAAGCGGGTTTTGTGGGGAAAGGCACTTGTTGCTATTATGGTTAGTTCTATTCTCTAGAAATTCTACGAAAAAAAAATTGAAATATTATTAAAATTGTGGTGGTCCCGACAAGAAAACGTGGGCGTGGCTTCTCATACCCTGAGAATTTTCAATTGATTGCCCGAACATATCGATATCCAGTCCGGAAAAGCGCCGGACCAATGAATTTGATTCACCTGAAATCGTCACTAATTGAAACTAGGGTTACAGTAATCCACAGATCTACAAGTACAGTAGCCAATCGGCAAAGAGTTGGCAGATCTCGCAATTTTTGCTACAGTACGCTAATAGAGTACAAAAAATTAAGAACCCATGATTACGGTAATAGGTGCTACAGTAATCCAGAAACTTCCGAAAGAAGTGTTGCAAGATTGTAAATCCGGTGTTACCGTAATTCAAGAAAATCAACAAACACTAGATTGCTGTAGGATTACGGTAACACAAATGCGATGCGAGTGCGCCGCTCACCTCTCCGTCGGCTTGATACGCGAGAATCGGATCGTCGATCGGCTTCGGCATCTCGTGCACATCCCAAATCAGCGCCTGCGAATCATCGCCAGCCGTGCAAATATGCGAACCCGAGTGCGGAGCCCATGAGATGCCGTTGACCGACGCCTCGTGATTCCGTAGGCGAGCCACCGGTGTGCACGGAAGTCGCAAGTCGAGAATGATCACCTAGAAAATTGAAATACAAAATTGGCGCTAAACAACGGGCACTGGCGGAGTGTCGTTGGTTTGAAATAGAAAAAAAATCAATTTCAAATATTTCGAAAATCCGCTTCTACATATTTCCATTTTGGGGAAAAATTGCCAAATTTCTGTCTACCTCTTTACTATCCTGCGCAAACGTGGCAATATAATTGTGATCGTTTCGATTCCAGGCCAATTTCAGAAGCGGCGTTCTCATCGGATCCTCGTACATGATCGTCGAGTGCTCCAACCGGCGCAAATCGAACAGCCGAAGGCTTCCGTCGGCGCCGACCGACGCGAATATATGGCTGCTGCCTCGCGAGAACGCAATGTCGAACACTTCTTTGTCGTGCGCGATGAGCTGCGTGCGAACCGTGCCGTCGACGGTCGCCGGACGCGTCGTGCCGAGAGCCTGACCCGTCTCGAGTTGCCATACGGTGCACGTCGTGTCGATCGAGCTGGTGCCGATCAGATTCAGATCGAGCTCGTTCCAGTCGAACGACGTCAGCGGCGCACAATATTCGGCGGTTCGGTTCGTGTTGAGAAGCGACTCGATGCGAGCGCTGTTGTCGGTGCCGATCTTCAATTCAAACGTGTTTTGGATTTTTTTTTTTTGAAAAAAATTGTTCGAAAATCGCAATTTCGTGCTTTGGGCAAATTTAAAACGAAAAAATTTCACAAAAAATCGAAATTTTAAGCTTAAATTTGAACAAAACGTGAAATTTTCAATTTTGGAGGCAAAAATTATCACAAAAATTTGAAAAAAAAAGAAACTCGTAGAAAATTGGCAAATTACCCATATTTTGTGGTGTTTGAGCTGATCAAAATTTTCATATATTTCCAGCGATTTAAATTTTTACAAAATTTGCATTTTTTGTAGGCAATTCATAAAACCAACCCGCCATAATCGTAAATAATCTCCACTTGTCGCCAACAAATCCGGATGCGATCCTTTCTGATCCGGAATCCACATGATTTTCGTCGCTGGATACGGATGATCGAACGTCGATCGATGAGCCAATTCGCCAATTTCCTCATCGAGTTGCACTATTGAGATCTGCGAATCGAGGAAAAAATAAATTTTTTCAATCAAAATTGTGATTTTTTAGGTTTTATTTCGATAATATAATAGTTTTTTATTGGCTAAAAATTCATAAAAAATCCATATTTTCTTTAAAAAATCGTAAAAATTTCAGATATTTGTCAAAAGATTCCACCTTATTCGAATATTCCTCAATGAAACTCGAAACGGCGAGGCGAAATTTTCGCGACGGATCCGTCGCCGAACTCCAGCCGTGCGAATACAATGTGTAGGGTGCCGTGTACGCGTAAATCTCTTTTCTTTTCGGATCATCTCGTCCCGATTCCGATTGTCCCGCCTCCATCGACTGCTAAAAATCGCATCGTGAGATTTGAATTTCGCGACCCCCCAAAAAAACGAAGCTCACCTCATAATTATCCGTTGGCGGCAATTGTTGGCCGGATGTCGAAGCAGTGTCTGGAAATTCAAAGGAAAAAATCTCAATTTTCCGCCTATGACAACGACACTCCGCAGTGCCCGCGGTTTACCGTAAATCGTTTCCAGCTTTTTCCCAAAAAAAATTATAAAAATATTGCAAATTTCTCAGGGAATTTTCTTTCAGTTTATGCCAAAAATAAAGTAATTTTGAATTTGAACGCGATTTTTCCTTTTAAAATTCATTTTTTTTGTGCTCAATTATTGAAGGAATTCAATTAAAAATTCATATTTCACGTTTTTCGGCTCAATTTTTACTCAAAAAAATCGCAATTAAAATAATTTTTAGAGAAAAAATTAAAGACACTCACTATGCGGCTGCTGGAACACCGAAAAATGCGGCTGCATTCCAGTGACAAGCGATCCATGCGGCGCATTCGTGTTCCCATGGTCCATTATTTAAAAATCGCGAGGCACTGGAAGACGATGTCGCGGGAAAACAAAAAATTGGTCCTAAAAATCTGAAAAAAAAGCGAAACGCTGAAATTTGATTGAAAATCGCACAGGAAATTCGATAAATTTCGGTGGAAAACCGCAAAAAAGAAACAAAATTAAAAAAAAAAAACCAATGAATTCATTTTTATTTGAATTAAACACAAGACAAAAAAATTATATCACAAAACGTCGTTATTTCGCAAATTTGAGATCAGCACAATTTCGATATTTGATAATTATAGGTAATTAAGTAATTATAGGGTACACTAGGTTAGTTAGCCAGCCATAATTGGCTAGTTAGACTCGCAGAATCTCGAGCGATTTGTTGAAGCAAATGCAAATCCAGTTGCTGTGCACAAATCCCCAATGCACTTGATTAACCTGCAAGGTGATTAAGGCTAATTAAGCGGCGACGCATAATTAGGGCCAGAAAAAGAAAAAGAAGCGAAACCTCTCCGGCAGCCGAATACGCCAAAATCGGATCTTCGACGGGCCTCGGAATGTGTTGAATGTCCCAAATGAGCGCTTGCGCGTCGTCGGCCGCCGTGCAAATGTGATGCGGACTGTGCGGGGCCCACGCGATGCCGTTCACCGCGCCGTTGTGGTTCTTCAAGCGCGTCAGCGCGTTGCACGGCATTCGAATGTCAATTATCACTACCTGCAAAAAGTTGGAGCTGAATCTCTAGCAAAAAAAATTTGATGAGACGCGCTTTTTTTTTATCAGAAAATCTGTAATTTTTTTTATTCTCAAAAATTGAAGGGAAAATTCTGAAAAATCGCAAGTTTCGACGCAGAATTCTCGAAAACACGCATTTTTTTTCGTGGGAAAATATTTTGAAACAATTCGCAAAAATCATAAATTTCAGATGAATCGAAAATTTTCAACCCAAAATCGCAATTTTCAGGCAAAAATGCTCAAAATTCTATCCAAATTTGAAAATTTCCGCTTAAAAATTCGTAAAATATGCATTTTTTTTTTAAATGAAAAATGCCCATAAAATCACGGAAATATGGCCTAAAAATCGAAAAATTGACAATTTCTTGAGCATAATCCTTTCCGCGTCAAATTTTTGCCAAAAATTAGCAATTTTAAACTAGAAAAATTGCGAAAAAATCTTCCAAACATCTCCACCAACCATCTTCTTGCCACTTTCGTTGGGGCGAAAATTAAAAAAAAAAAAACTCAAAAAATTCGAACCTCATTCGAATCCTGGGCGAACGTCGCCAAATAATACGGCTCCTGTTTGTTCCACGCCAATCTCATCAGCGGCGTCTTCTGCGGATCCTCATAGACGATCGTCGAGTGCTCCAATCGACGCAAATCGAACATTCGGGCGCTTCCGTCGGCGCCGACCGTCGCGAAATGGTCCCGTCCGTTGTTGACCTTCGAGAATCCGATGTCGTGCACCGGCTTGTCATGGGCGATCAATTGCGTCTTGACGGTGAATGACGTCGGCTTCACTGCCGCGATCGCAGTTTCCACCTTCAATTATCATTCTAGGGACCATTTTGATCGAAAATCGCACGATTTTTAGGCATAAAATTCTAAAAATCAGTCATTTTAGGGACCATTTTGATCAAAAATTGCGATTACTAAGCGGAAAATTCTAAAAATTGATTATTTCAGAGAAAATTTTGATCGAAAAAATTCAACGTTTAAGCGAAAACTTATAAAAAAAAACATTTTTGGGACAATTTTGATTTTAAAAAACTCAAATACTTCGTCTAAAAATTGAAATTTTACAATTTTCCTCAGAAATCACGTGTTAAAAAAATTCAAAAAAAGAAAACATTCGCAATTTTCAATAAAAATAATCCAAATTTCTTCAATTTTACATTTTTTCAAAAATCGTCAAACAAATTGCAATTTTTTTCTATGAATGAAAATTGAAAAAATCGATTAAAAAAAACTCAAACCTCGATATCATAAATGGTGCACGTCGTGTCGATGCTCGACGTTCCCATCAATCTCAAATCGGTCTCGTTCCAATCGAAATTCGTCAACGGCGCCGAGAATTGTGTTGCCTTCAATTTGAGCGCAAAAATTTCATCGAAAAAATGCAACAAGAGAAAAAAAACCCCATTTTTCGCAGGTGAAAACCAATAAAAAAACCTCAAAATTCAAAAAAAATTTCCGCAACTCACATTATTGAGCGCCACATCCTGTTCGACGTTGCTTCCGTTCACCTTCCAGATTCTTAAACAGTCACCGGTCGTCGCCAAAAGGTCCGGATAATTGTTCTCGTGGTCCGGAATGAAGCCGACGGCGTTCGCCGGAAAATCGTGATTGAAGCTCGCGATTTCGGCGAGCTCTTGCGTTTCCTCTTTGAGTTGAACGATCGAGACCTGCGAAAAAAAAAACTATCGAACTTTTTTGTCGAAAAAGCATTTTCTAAAAGTGTCTCTTCGTGATAAGACGCGCCCCCTCATCTGTGAGGGTCCCTCCCAAAAGAAAAAACCGAACCTTATTGCCTTGGGCCATTTCGACGCACGTTCCGACGGCCAAACGGAATTTCGAATCGGTTCGATACGACCACGCGGCGGCATACAACGGCTTGTCGGAGGTGTACCTGTAAAGCAAAAATTGAAAAAAAAGGAATCGATCGCGAAAATAAAAATCCGACATTTTCGCACGTTTTATGCGTCGTTATTTTTTTTCCCATCAAACATTTTTATGTGGAAAAATTTTGATTTATTCAATTTCGAATTGAATTTAAATATTAAAAAAAAAACTACAAAATTTGCGCGGTATTTTAAAAAATGCGCATTTTATTTTTTGAAATTATTACTTTTTTTTAAAAAGGAACATGGTTTAACCAAATTTGCAAAAAAAAAATGGCAATGCTTTTAAATATTTATTTCATTTTTTCTTCATTGCCCAATTTAATAATGTCCAAAATTCCAAAGAAACTTTCTTTCTTTTCCAATTTTCAAAGTCTCAATTTTTCGTCAAAAATCGGGGGACCATAATAATCAGAAAATCGCTATCCCAATTTATGTCAAATATTTGAATCCAAATTTCTAAAAGAAAAGGACCACAACGATCAAATTCGATTTTCCCACGAGGAGGCGTTCGTATAAAAATACAATTCTAATAATAACAATTATGATTCATACCGATAAATTTCGCATCGTCGCTCTCTCTGCTGCGCTCCGTTCGCACCGCCTCCATTCTGTCCATTCGTCGCCGCCGCCGCTGCCCCATTGTTCCCATTCGCTCCTTCGGATTGCGGCGCCGTCGGAGCTGTCGCTGTCGTCGTGTCTACTTGTGCAGCTCCCGTCGAGCCGGAGCTATCGCGCTTCTGGCCGTTCACAACCGCGATCGATGTCATTGCTGATGAGAAAAAGAAAAAAATTACAAATTGTGAGGTTTCATTTCATTTTTCTTTCAAATTATGTGATTTAACACGAAAAATCGGCAAGATTTGATTTTCATTTTTCAAAAAAAAAACTCTCGTTGAAATTCAAAATTCTTCCAATTCCCTTGGAACCATTCACGCCTTAAAATTGTGGGACCATCTCAATAATTCAAATCAAAATAGCCATAAAAGGCAATAAAATAATTGTAGTAATAAATTGTGGGAATTCGATGGCAAAAAAAGGAAAACGAAAAATAACCCGAGCGGTATTCGGCGAGAGACAACACGACATCGAGAGGGCGCGCAGACGGCCAGACAAAAAAGCCATGCACAAATTGGGTGGGAGGGGGGACCATAAAGTTGTCAATGTGGCCCTGTCGACCCCGATCGGCCGTCGCCGACCACCGATCGATCGATATATGCTAATTGTGTAAACTGGTGGCAGCGAACAGCACGACGCGCGAGGAGGATGAGGAGTTGAGAGAGAGAGAGAGAGAGAGGTGAGCACGAGAAATGCGCCAGCGGCGATTTGCCGCACGCGAAATGCGCCAATCGGATAGCGTCGATCCGATAGGACCATTTCGGATATTTTTGGGGTGCTTTTTCTTTTTTTTGAAAACAGTTGTTTCAACAAAAAAAACCAAAAATTTGCTGGCCAACAGACGAGATCCGGATAAATCGAGCACATTATGGGTCAAATAGAAAATTTAAAAAAAACATGACAAAAAAAATTTGAATTGAGACATTTCTCCTGCGAGCAGATTAATAATTACATGAGCACAAAAAGAAAATGACGTAAATGTCTGGCATTTGACCAAATTTGGCCAAAAATCGCAAAATTATGCGCGAAAATGCACCTGACGATGTGCAAAATGGCACCAGGTGCATTATTGTGGCGTTTTTTTTCTTGCTACAGACAAGACGGCGACGCCGGATCGATCGGACCATTCATTGAAGATGTTGCCTTTGGGAAAACGGGACCATCGAGAAAAAGAGACCCAAACAAAAGATTGTTGCAATCAAATAATTGGGAATTTTGAGCAGTAAAAATTTCATTTGAAAACTTCAAAACGAGAATTTTGAAATTCTCATGAAAAAATTGGAAATTTTCACATTACGAATTGAACTTCGTAATTTTCAAATAAAAAAAAAAGAAAAAGCGAATTTTAATTGAAAACCTCGAATTTTGATGGCAAAAAAAAAGAAATTCCGGAAAAATTGGGAATTTTTTGGTGAATACTCAAAAAAAAAAAACATTTTTAAAGATTTTTGATAGTTTTTTTTTCAGTTTTTTGCGAAATCCGCATATAAAATTTTTTAAACATTATTTAAATTTTGATTTTCCATCAAAGACAGCAGCACACAATTTTATGGGATGCGCTTTTGAAAGAAAATTTAAAATTCGGTTTAAAAAAATACCCAACCCTTTTTCGCGTTATGAGCCTTTAATAAATTATTTCTTTTTGATTTTTTATTTAAAAAAATTAAAAAAAAAAAAAGAAAATTCCTACCAAAATCGGCGTTTTTTGAAGAATCTTTATTGTCAGAGTCAAACGACTTGACAAAATAAAAAAAATTATTTTCTATGTGGCAATGCGGATTAAGGCAGCGAGAAGTACGCGAAACTGCGTACATTGTATTATAGTGTACGCGCATTTAATATTCAGTCAACAAAAATTTAATTCTATACTAATTTCAAGATTTTGAAGACCCCGCCTCCCTTCAGTCGTTTGACGCCGACAATAAGTTACAATTTCATTTTATTGGGTACGGTATTTAAAGGAGTATAGCGTTTTCGACGTTGAGTCTCGCACTGGCCGGTTACTGTAGTCGGTTTTCCCCCAAAACACACTATAATTGTGATTAAGCTGCATTTTTTGGTGATGGCGAATAGGAAAAAAAAAACACAGAATAACTACTTAAATGACACCCTGTAATGGTTTTAAATTTTGTAAAAAAAATTATAATTGAAAAAAAAACAAGCTAAAATTTGATTATTTCGAACCAATTTTGGGCAATTCCGAGAATCTCGATTTATATTTTTTAATATTCAAATTTCTCTGGGGTTTCAAGCCGAAATTGCGCAACCACAATTTTGCGGTTAACTTCAAAATTTCAAATTTCAGACAATTTCAAGTTTCCCCCGCATCGTTGAGAGCCCCCACTTGACCAATTAAAATCGAGCCGAGTGGATCGGCCCCACTCACGCCGTCCAATTGAAGCTTCATCCAAACGCAGTCAACGAGAAGCAACAACTCGTCGTCGTCGTCGCCAACACAATCAACAATGCATTTCCTCTCTTCTCGCCTTCGCCCCAAAATGGTCCGACATTTCTCAAGTGGTCCAAAGAGCCCGGCTCACTTATCAAAGCGAGCCTAACGAGCACTCATCCCCAATTAGATACCAGCCGAAAACCGCGCTCTTCAACACATTCGGCAATCATTCATTCGGCCGATATTCGTTTTTAATTTTTTTCTTTTGCAATCATAAAACTGTTATTTCATTTTACTGTTCCATGTTTCTTTTTCGGCGTGCACCTTTAAACAAAATTACGGTAGCAAGATTTTGTGGCCATGTACTGGCGGAATCTATAATTATCAAGTGGGGATTACGGTAGCTTCCATTCGAGACTGTGTTACTATAGAAAATTCTAGGCCAAAATAAAAACGGGCTGCTCGAGTGATCCAGGCGTTTCGCCTCAACACCCAAATAAAGGCTCTCGCGCGTCACAAAACGCATTCGAGAGGATTACGGTAGCAGAAATGCCGCCATCGAAATGTCAATTTACAACGGGGGGGGGGGCTCGATCGATCGGGTGCCCCCCCCCACATGTGGCGTCTTCCGGTAGAACTAAAAAATGTGCACTCATCGGAATCGTGCTCAAGTGGAGTAAAATAGGAAGCGAGAAGCCAGCCAGCAAGAACAACTAAAACAAGGAACAAGAAAAAAAAAAGGGGGCCCGCATACAGATCGACAAACATACTTGAGCGTGTGAATTCCATCGATCAAGATCGATTCGAGCAACAAATTGTGAACCACGCCGACTACTGTAGATGAAGCCTCTCAAGTAGCTCTTGATTGTTGGATTTTCGACGCCCTCTGGCCAAAAGTTGTTGAATTGGGCACTTTTGATTGCGATAAAGCCCACATTTTTGTTTCTCCCGGGCAAGGTTCTCGTGTGATGAAGCATAGACGTGTCGAAAACGAAAATACCGACTATTTTCGGGGTTTTCTCAATTTCTCAAGCGAACTTGTTCACATCTTAAAAATCGTCCCAAAATACGCCTTATTTGTCGAAAATTTTTACGAAGGACCTTGACGAGACCGCCGATTTTGGGACCACTGATTGGCGTTTTCAAATGCAATTATCTATTCCAAAACTCTCCTCTCTCTTTCCCTTCGCCAAATTGCTCATTGTTTTAGCGTTGAGACGACGACAACGACGACGACAACGATGCTCGGGACCATCTCAAATTCAATTTAGGCCACGCCCCTCCCTCAATCAGCCGCCACGTACTACGGTAGCGAGACGCAATTTATTTCGCACACTTTTGTTTTAAACTCGCCGTGTCCTTCACAACCGCCACCACCATCATCATCTGTCGTCAAGATGAGCGAAAAAGAGGACGAAAAGGTTTGTGATTAATGCGCAAAAATTCCATGTCACCGTGTGGGCTTGAACCCGCGACCCCTCGCGCGCAAGACAAAAATTGGGCCACTACGCTTTTGCTCACCTCAGGCCTTATTGCGCAGAGAGCGGACATTTATTGGAGCCTCTCAATTTCTTCTCAACACCTTCGCAAGCTTAAAACTAGTGATACCGTAGTCTTTAGACCACACCCACTTATGCAATACATCAACCAATAAGCGTCAAGTGACCGCAAATTCAATTTGCTCATCTTTTCGCTACCATATTTGGATAAATTGCGACATTTCCAATTTTTTTCTCTTGTTGAATGCGAATCTACACAAAAAAGTCGAAAACCCGAAATTTCATTTTAAATTTAAGTTTTTTGTTTGAAAAAAAAAAAAAAACAATTTTGCTCAAAAAAGCGTATTTGAAGCTTAAAATCGACGTTTTCAGAAGCCTTCATCACCATCGTCGTCGTCAAAATCCGAATGCAACGATGAGAAGGCGTCAACTCAGATTCCGAAATTCTCAATGTCGAATATTTTGTCGCCATTCGAAAATTTGGGTAAAACAAAATCGAGCGCAAAATAATGAGAAAAAGAAATGAGGGACCCTTGATTTCAAGTATATTTCGCCCAACAAAATGCTCATTTTCGGTCATTTTTGGCGAAAATTCGAAATTTTTCGTGGAAAATTGTTGAAAATTGCAAGAATTTGGAATTTTTTAGGAAAATTTGATTGAAAATTCACAATTTTTCTATTAAAAATTTTTTACGACGACTGGGATGTTAAAATATTCAATATGTAACTTCTATATATTTTTTTTTGAAAAAAATTTTTCATTTCTTCAAAAATCAAAATAAAATTTAAAAAATTCGGAAATTTTCGTTTCTTTTGCGATTTTCAACAAATCTACTCGAATTTTTGAAAAAAATTGCGCTTTTTTGGCAAAAAAACTTTAAATTTCTTCAAAAAAAAAATCCACAAAAATTCAGAATTTTGCGCTTATTGCAATTTTCAACAAATTTCAATGTTTTTTTTTTTCGCAAAAATTTCCAAACTCTTCAAATATCTTCAAAACTCAATTTTTGCCACAATATTCTCGAATAATGCTCAAAATCATTGCAATTCTAGCTCGAGTTCAACAACAACTCCTCCGAATGGCCGCACAGTCAGAAGCCGCCCGTCTACAGTACCCAGCTTCATCAACAAATCGTCCAATTTGTTTCCCAAACGCATTTCCAAAGTTGGCGCGCGAAATTCAAATTTTTGAGTAGTCCTCAAAATATTTTCGTTTGCAGTAGTTACGCGATGGCCAACTGGTATAACGGCTCGGATCCGAGATTCGGAGCAACGCCATCGCCATGTAAGTCTATTGAGCGATTTTGAGCAAAATTTGAGAAAATCTCGTCGGAAAATTGACAATTTTAAAGGAAATTCCATTAAAAAAATAAAAATTTTCAATTTTTCTTAAAAAAAAAAAAAACAAAAAAACTTGCAGTACTTCCATGCTCGATCGACCCAACTCGTCCGCCGATGCACACATTTCCAATGGCGTTGAGTCAACGGCGAAAACGTCGTGTTCTGTTCAGTCAGGCTCAAGTCTACGAGCTCGAGCGTCGCTTCAAACAGGCCAAATATCTTACGGCACCTGAACGCGAACAATTGGCCAATTCGATACGGCTGACACCAACCCAGGCAGCCGCGTGTCGGCCCATTCTCTCGTTGAACCATCAATTTTCAGGTGAAAATCTGGTTCCAGAATCACCGGTACAAGTGTAAACGGCAGGAGAAGGAGAAGGCGATGAGCGGCCTCTGCCAGACGGAGGGCAGCTCGCCGAGAGCCGACAACGACGACGAGGATGAGTAGGCGACGCGTCTAAAAAAAAGTATTTTTGGCAATTTCTAGAAAATATTCGATCGAGGGCGATGACGAGGAGGAGAAGAATGAGCCGAAGGGAAAATCGGCGATTTTTTCGGTGACACTATTCAAAAATTGAATTTAATTTTAAAAAATTTCAGATGGCTTATTCATCTGCCGCTTATTACGCCGCTGCTCAACTTCGATGGTAGATGGCTTTTCGAATTTGCACAAAGATCTCATTTATTACCTCAAATAAGGCTGAAAATAAATATTTGGCGCCAATTTTTTTCCTTCTCATTGCGTTTTTCAAAAAAAATGAAATGCTCTCAATTAATTAATTGAAAATTAGCACAGAAATTTTCATTTACATGAAAATGAGAAATATGGAATTATTCATTAATTTCTTCGTGTTTTTCTTTGAAATTTATAACATTCAGATTCGCTTTTTCTACTTTATATGAAAAATTTTCGATTTTTTGACATTTACGACCACGGATTATCTCAAAAATGAAAAAATAAACAATTATTAAAAAAAAAGTAATAAAATTTGAATTTCTATTGATTTCGCAATGGAGCACGTTTGCACTATTGTACTTCGCATTTTAAATTTCAAAAAAATCATCGCGTTTTCTCGAATTTCGTATTAGTTTCAATTTTGTTCTTATAAATTTTTTTAATATTTTACAGAAAATGAAGGAAATTCTCACGGATTGAAAGAAAATTGGAAGTGAAAAACGGATTTTTCTCAATTAAAAAAGCCCCTTTTCCGATTTTTCATCAAAATCCGCGTCATTTTTTTTATTTTCATAATCTTTTGACAAACAATTGAAAAATTAATTTAATATCAGTGGCGAAATTCTCAATTTCCGTGCGCCAAAATCCAATTTCCAACCAATCACGATTTCCATGAGGACACGCGAAACGCGTCAATCCCCGATCGCTGGCGCAATCGCGGTGGTGGCAGCTGTGCGCGCACAACAATTGCGCCAGCCGCCACCGAGCACCAATTTCATTCAATAATTTTACGCTCTCCTCGTCGTCGTCGTCGCAACCAACAAAAATAAAAAAATACACACACGCGCGCATTTCTTTTACAGAAACAGAATGTGGTCCGATGACGTCAACATGGAGGACGATGAGCCGCTTCAAATGACACCCGAACAAGAAGCCGAAGAGGTAATTTTCATTATCAAAAAAAAAAATAAATTCAACATTTTCGCACCATTTTAGGATATGTGCCAAGACCAATCAAGCAGTAATTACGATTCGGAGTTGTCGAATAACGCGCAGGACAAATTATCAAGGTCCGCGATGCGAGGGGCAAATTCGCATTGAATTTCATTATTTCTAGAAAACTGGACCTTCAACATGATTTAACGGCGTCGCCGTCGAGGCCGACGAATCCCGACGTCGAGCATTGGATCGAACTGTTTCGGAGTATACCGCAACGCGATCAAATCGAAGCGCTGACGAGATTGATACAGGAGACGAGCATGGACAACATTCGACATTTGAAGCATTTAATAGAGCCGCATTTTCAACGCGATTTTCTTTCGTGCCTTCCATTGGAGGTGATTTTTTCGAAATTTTTGAATATTTTATTGAAAATCGCTGCAAAATTTCATAATTTCTGCCCAAAAAACCCTCATTTTTCGGTAAATTTATCGATTTTTTTGGGGCGACTTTCTGAAATGACGCGAGTCAAAAATCGAATATGAATTTTTTGTAGTTGGGCGTCAAAATTCTGACGAACATGGCCGGCTCGGACATCATCAAATTGGCGGGCGTCTCGCATAATTGGAAAATGATCACCGAACTCGACCTTATTTGGCGCCGACTTTGCGATACGAGCTTATTGAATTTGCCGCCGCCGACGTGAGAGCATTTCGTCGAAGCGTTCGCGACAATTTTTCTTTTCTTCAGAAATCGCGTTGAAGGCGCCTGGGAGAATACCGCGATCAGCGCCACCGTCGACATACCCGATCATATGTCAACTGCCGATTTTCAGCAATATCGAACGTTTAAAATGATGCACAAACAGGGGCCGTGAGTTTTTTTTCGAGATAAATTCTTGAAATTTCGATTTTCGGAGTTTTCCCTTGAAAAATTTACGTTCTGAAAAATTTTTTTTTGAATTTTTTGATATCAAAAATTCGAATTTTTAGAATTTCGCAATATTTTTGTCTACAAAATTTAATTTCTTTTTTTTTGGTAAATTTTGTCTAGAAAAAGGGTGAAAATATGGTATTATTAAATTTTTCTTTTTTTTTCAACACTGAAAGTCGATTAAGAGAAATTTGATTTTTTTTTAAGTTCAGAAAACCAAAAATATGTAAATTTGTATAAATCATTGATAGTCAACTTTTTCATCGAAAAAGTGCTGAGAAGCTGAGGAAAAATGCTCAATTATTGGCTGAAACTTCAAAAATTGCCTAGTTTTACGCGAAAATCTCTCTCGAAAAAAGAAAAATTTGAAGAATCTTCGAACGCGCGCCGGACAAGGCGAAATACATGCGATCGGTTCGAATCGCGCGCAATTGGCGCGAGAACTCGATTCACGGCAGCTGTATTCTACGCGGACACGAGGATCACGTGATCACGTGTATGCAGATTCACGACGATCTTCTTGTGACCGGATCCGACGACAACACGCTGAAAGTGTGGAGCATTGATCGCGGAGTGGTGCGTTTTTGGCGAATTTCGACGGGTTGGACGCAACTTTTTTTTGTTTCAGTGCCTTTTTACACTAACCGGGCACACCGGAGGGGTGTGGACTTCTCAAATATCCTCATGCGGACGGTTTATAGTTAGCGGATCGACGGATCGCTCGGTGAAAGTGAGATATTTGAAATTGTTTCTAGAAATTTCGCTGGAAAAAATTCAATTTCTCATTTTTTTTTCTACTTCTTCTTCTTATCACAAATTTGACTGTCTCTGCAGGTTTGGAGCACTGCTGATGGCTCATTACTCAACACACTACAAGGACATACTAGCACAGTGAGATGTATGGCGATATGTGGAGTCACGTAAGTAGTTTTTTTTGCAATTTTTCAAAAATTTTGAGACTGCGCGATTTTTAGAATTTTTGGTGCTCGAAATTTGCTTTTTGCCAAATTTTCTTAAAAATTTCAAAAACAAAATCGATTTCCCATCGTCGGACAATGACTCATTGATTTGTAGGCTTGTGACCGGCTCGCGCGACACGACATTACGCATCTGGGATGCCGAAAAGGGCCATTGTCACGGTGTGCTCGTCGGCCATCAGGCGGCGGTGCGTTGCGTTCAATTCGACGGTCACGTCGTCGTTTCGGGCGGCTACGACTTCACGGTGAAAGTGTGGAGCGCGCGGACCGGATTGTGCATGAAGACGCTCATCGGACACGCGAATCGCATTTATTCGCTTTTGGTGAGTCGAAATTGGCAAATTTTCTGGTGAAACGCATCAAATTTGCGCGAAAATCGGCATTTTCTCTCAAGAATTTTACTCTCAAAGATTTTGACGACCTCGAAAAATGCAAAAAACAATTTTACAGTACGATCGTGAGAAGGGCATTGTCGCCTCTGGCTCACTGGACACCACAATTCGCGTTTGGGACCTTCGACGGCAAGATGGCGAGGAGTGCATCGCGGTGCTTCAAGGCCACACATCGCTGACGTCTGGAATGCAGCTGAAAGGCCACTTTTTGGTGTCGTGCAACGCCGACAGTCATGTTCGGGTGAGAATTGAGCATTTCGAGGCTCGAAAATTGGAAAATTTGCCCAATCCAATTTTTTGTAGGTTTGGGACATGCGCGACGGAAAATGCGTTTTCCATTTGAATGGACATCGATCGGCGATCACATCCCTTCAATTCTTTGGCGAAGACACGATAGTGACAAGCAGCGATGATGGCACCGTCAAACTTTGGGACATTAAGAAAGGTTTGCGATTTGTTTAAAAATTGTAGAAATTCTACCAACGGAATTCGAATTTTATCTGAAAACCCAGATTTTTAACTCCAAAAATTTTGAAGAATTGAAGCTCAAAAAAAGAAATAAAAGTTTTCAATCGAAAATTGTCGTCAAAAAGAAAACCCCTATCATATATAAATTTTTTTTCGAAATATAATAATTTTTCCGCCAAATTTTCCTAGGTGTCCACATTCGCGATTTGGTGAAATTGAGCTCCGGCGGAAGCGGCGGCTGCATATGGCGAATGTGTTCGACGCCGACGCTGCTCGCGTGCGCCGTCGGCTCGCGCAACAACACCGAAGAGACGAAAGTGATCCTTTTGGACTTTGATTCGGTTTACCCGTGATTAATTTGTAATTAGCACTCCCCACCACGAAAACAAATCAGTTTTTCCACTTTTTTGTTTTGTTTTGAAATCCGCTTTATGACGAGTTTGCCCTTTTTTTATCATCTTTTTGTCGGTTTTTTTCGGGTTCCCGCCATCTCCCCCGATTAATTATTGTTTTATTTTTAATTAATTATTTAATTAACGCGGTAATTATCTATAATTATCAATATGACTGTTATATATTATTATTATTTGAAGCCATTATATAGGGTGAATGTCATTCGTGTACATAATTATATGAAGGAATTGTGTGATTAATAGCTCTGATTGATTGTCTGGTATCAATTTTGACCCAATTATATCAATTTTTGGCGTTCTTTTTTTTTGTTTTCGCCAACTTTTCGAAATATTTAGGTTTATTTTTTAAAGGAGGGTTTTTTTTTGGTTTATGCGACGAATTTTGAGACTATTGTCGAGTTTGCCGAAATATCGAATGGAGACGATCACGCCGGTGACGATGAGGATTGAGAGCGACGCGTTTCGCGGACTGTTCACACCGCAACTCGAGAAATTGCGGAAAATGTTTGAGAAGAGGAATTTTGAGATTCGGTAACACCTTTTTTGGGACCCTTCCATTTTTTTGGCGGCTTAAAATTTTTGAGAAATTTTCTTTTGGCAATTTTTTCTGAAAAATTGAATTTCGAGCAGAAACCAATTTTCGCATATTGAGCTTAAAAATTGGGATTTGAAGAAAATTATGCTGGGGCAGATTTTTTTGTTGGAATTTTCGGCTTGCAAAAAATTTTGGGAGATTTTCAATTTTGAATTTTCGCGATTTTTTCCATCAAATTTTAAAAATGCGAATTTCACCAACTGATTTTTCATTTTTTTTTTGAATATGAAACAAATTGTAATGGTCCGTAATTTTTAAGCCATTTCATCGCAGATTTTCGAAATTAATATTTTAAAATTCAAAAAAAAGCTGAAATTTTTTACCTAAAAATTGAATTTTTTCGTGGTTTTCGGTTAAAAATTGATTTTTTTTTTTGAAATCATCCCGAATTTTCTAGAATGAAGCTTAAAATTCCAACATTTTGAGGGGAAAAAAGCCACTTAGCATGTGTTTTTTTTTTCGATTCAGAATCGCCGGCGGTGCGGTTCGAGACATTTTAATGGGCATCGTGCCAGCCGACGTCGATTTCGCGAGCACGGCGACGCCGACCGAAATGAAAGAAATGTTCGAGAGCGAAAATATTCGAATGTTGCACAAAAGAGGCGAAGAGCATGGCACGATCACGTGTCGAATTGACGACGCCGAAAATTTCGAGGTGATTTTTGACGAATAATTCGCTTTTTTTGGATTATTGAGACTTGAAAATTTCAAAAAACGTGATTTTTGAGGCAAATTGAATGAAAGTTTGGAATTTCGCTGCCAATTTTGTCGAAATTGAACAAAAATTACGATTTTAAACCAGAACTAAATAAAATTCTGGATTGAAGTCAAAAATTTTGCTGAAGCCAAGAAAAAAATGTTTTTTGAAGAAAATTGAATTAAATTTTTAGATTTAAGTGGAGAAATTTTTCAAAATCGAGCAAAAGTATGTTTTTTGAGGGAAATTGAATGAAATTTTGGAATTTCGCCGCCAATTTTGTCGAAATTGAACAAAAATTACGATTTTAAACCAGAACTAAATGAAATTCTGGATTGAAGTCAAAAATTTTGCTGAAACCAAGAAAAAAATGTTTTTTGAAGAAAATTGAATTAAATTTTTAGATTTAAGTGGAGAAATTTTTCAAAATCGAGCAAAAGTATGTTTTTTGAGGGAAATTGAATGAAATTTTGGAATTTCGCTGCCAATTTTGTCGAAATTGAACAAAAATTACGATTTTAAACCAGAACTAAATAAAATTCTGGATTGAAGTCAAAAATTTTGCTGAAGCCAAGAAAAAAATGTTTTTTGAAGAAAATTGAATTAAATTTTTAGATTTAAGTGGAGAAATTTTTCAAAATCGAGCAAAAGTATGTTTTTTGAGGGAAATTGAATGAAATTTTGGAATTTCGCCGCCAATTTTGTCGAAATTGAACAAAAATTACGATTTTAAACCAGAACTAAATGAAATTCTGGATTGAAGTCAAAAATTTTGCTGAAACCAAGAAAAAATGTTTTTTGAAGAAAATTGAATTAAATTTTTAGATTTAAGTGGAGAAATTTTTCAAAATCGAGCAAAAGTATGTTTTTTGAGGGAAATTGAATGAAATTTTGGAATTTCGCTGCCAATTTTGTCGAAATTGAACAAAAATTACGATTTTAAACCAGAACTAAATGAAATTCTGGATTGAAGTCAAAAATTTTGCTGAAACCAAGAAAAAAATGTTTTTTGAAGAAAATTGAATTAAATTTTTAGATTTAAGTGGAGAAATTTTTCAAAATCGAGCAAAAGTATGTTTTTTGAGGGAAATTGAATGAAATTTTGGAATTTCGCCGCCAATTTTGTCGAAATTGAACAAAAATTACGATTTTTAACCAGAATTAAATAAAATTGTGGATTGGGGTCAAAAATTTTATTGAAATCAAGAAAAATAATGTTTTTTGAAGAAAATTGAATAAAATTTTTGGATTTAAGTGGAAATTTTTTTCAAAATCGAGCAAAAGTATGTTTTTTTTTTTAAGAGAATTGAATGAAATTTTGTCAAAATTACGCCAATTTGTCAATTTTTTTCGAGCGAAATTTTCGACAAAACAATTCCAGATCACGACACTTCGCGTCGACGTCGTCTGCGATGGTCGTCGGGCGACCGTCGAGTACACGAAAAACTGGCAGCTGGACGCGAATCGACGCGATTTGACGATCAACTCGCTGTTTCTCGACCTCGATGGCACCGTCGTCGACTATTTCGGCGGAATTCGCGACATTCGCACGCGACGCGTCGCTTTTGTTGGCGACGCGCGACAAAGGATTCAGGAGGATTATCTCCGAATTCTGAGGTTGGTCGTCGTAAAAATTTTCAGTTTCTCATGGAAATCGAGCTAAAAATTTTGTAGAAAATTTGAATTTTTGACTCAATTTTGGGTTTTGAAGACATCCGGACCAAAAGCGACGATTTTTTCGCGAATTCGAGCCAAAAATATGTTGGAAATTGAAATTTTTGGGCATTTTAACCCAAAATTGGATAATTCTTTGAAGCACATTATTCAATTTTAAATTTCAGACGCAGAAATTGCTAGAAAAATCGAATTTTGTGAGGAAAGTCATCGAATTTTTCTCAAAATTAGATTTTTAATCAAAAATTGAAAAATTGAGGTGTGGAAATTTATATAAAAATCGATTTTTCATTGAATTTGAGACAAAATTAAAAAGAATTGCATTTTTTTTTACTGAAAATTGACCGAATATCTCATTTTTTAGACATAACAATAGGAAAAATTCGATATTTTTTGGTCAAATTTCGAAAAAAATATGATTTCTTCTAGATATTTTCGATTTTTTGGCCGAATTTCTAACACAACCGAACACGAGCCGGACACGTTGAGTGCGATAAATGAGAATAAAGACGGTATGAAGGTTGGAATTTGAATTTGGCGCCAAAATTGGGCAATTTTGATGATTTAGGGCCTTAGCGCCGAACGAGTTTGGACAGAATTGAAGAAAATCGTCGTCGGACGAATGGCTCCAGAAGTCGTCAAAACGATGATTGAGAATTGCGCGTTGAACGCCTATCTCGGATTACCCGTAAAATGCAATATTCAACGATTCAAACAGGTTCGTTTTTTTTTTTTGGCGGCAATTTGAATTTTTTGTGGAATTTCGGACCATTTCTTGAAAGACTTTGGCGGGAATTTGAAAATTCGAAGGATGTTTTTGGAAAATTTTAAATGTTAGACTATTTTTGGAAGATTTTTGCGAGAATTTGAAAGGTTTTTTTAATTTGTAGGATTTTTTTGGATAATTTTAAATTATAGACCATTTTTTTGAAAGATTTTGGAGGGAATTTGAAGTTTTTTTTTTGGAAAATTTTGATTTTTTGCGAAAAACATTGGCGGGAATTTGAAAATTTGCTAAAAAAAACTGTATTTTTGAAATTCTCCTTCAGGTCTACAATCGATTTCATGGAAAATTGGAGCCGATGACGATGATCGCGTGTTTATGCGAACGAATAGAAGAGATTGAGGATTTTCACGCAATGACCAAGGTATTTTCGTGGTGTTGGCGCTCAAAATGCCAATTTTTCGCAGCTTTCGAACCAGGAGCGCCTTCTCGGCGAATTTCTGCTCGCCGAACGAGGCGAAGCGATGCGAAATTTGGAGAATTCGAAATATTGGACGGATCGGATTGTCGAGCTCGAAGTTCGCCCGGGACATGGTGGGATTTGTGGCAAAATGTCGAATATTTATGGCATTTCTGTCTTTTATCGATGCAAAAAAATTTGAAGTTCTCGATTTCTCGCAAAACTATCAAAATTTGTTGATTGAAAATTAATTTTTTTCTAAATTTTTCGAAAATTTCCACATTTTTCCTCGCGGAAAAAATAAATCTTACATTCTCCACAGATCCCGACATTTCGCGCCTCCGCCAACGGACCATTCAACTTGCGATGAGTGTTCAGGCTCCCGACGAGGTCCTCCAGCTCGTTGAGACCTACAAAACGCCCATATTTGGTGTTTCAGGTTTGACACCCAAAAAAAAATTGCCGCAAAATTCCGTCTTGTTGTTTTTTTTTGCAGGAAAAGATTTAATGGAAGCCGGCGTCAAAAAAGGTCCCAACGTTCGCAATATTCTGCATTATTTGTTCGATATTTGGAAAAAAGTGAGCGAAATTTGAGAGTAGCGATAATTGGCGATAATTAATTTGAAGAGCAATTACGAGATGGGCAAACGCGAATTGATGGAGCGCGCGAACGACGAGAATATTCCGCAGATTGCCAGGAAGCGATCGAAAACGCCGCCGAAAAAGCGGAAATGCTAAGATTTTTGTTGAGTTTTGAATAAATTTTTGCAATTTTTGAGATTTTTCAGGAAGAAAATTGAACTAAATTGCACATTTTTTGCGAGTTCTGGAAATTTGAACAAAATTTTGACGGTCATCGGCCTTTTTTGGACTTATTAAAAGCATGCAATCAAACATGCAAATCTAAGTTTTCCATTTGAGACCCAAAAGCAATTTTCTGTTCTTTTTGAAAATTCAATTTAATTGCGGACGTGTGCAGCTGATTTGACGACAATTTACACAATTTATTTCTTGTTTTTTTTTTCAAATTTTCAACATGACAAAATGCGCTCCCAATTTTTTTTGGGAATTTTATTCAAAATATTCGCAATCAAATTAAATATGGTCGAATAAATAAATAAATAAATACATTTGAGATTCTTGGCGTTGTTTTCTTTGTTTTTGGTGTCGTGAGATTATGCGAAACACGGAAAACGATAAAATGAGCCGCGTTAGTGGTAGATCAAAATTCGCGGTCGGGGAATAACGCCGGCGCAACCAATGTCCACGCGTACAACGCAATACAGAACCATGATGAGATGAGCTTCACCCAAAACGAGGCCATGTTTGAGTTGAGATGTGTAAAATCGCTGTCGGGGCTAAAAATGAGAATGTTTTGATCAAAATTGACATTTTTTTTAATTTAAAATCGAATAAAACCGGAATATTTCACATAAAATTTCATTTAGCCGCGAAAAATTGGCCCGAATTCATCATTTTGTTCTTGAAATTCGCGTAAATTCAAAATTTCGTTGAAAATCCGATATAAACCCAGGGCAAACGACACTCCATGTTGCAAATCGCCCGCGTTTTATCGTATTTCATTTTTAGAAAAATTTTAATTATTGTCAAAATATTTTAGAAATCTCAATATTTTGAAATTTTCAACAAAATTTTTCAATTTTTTGTCATAATTTTTAGGTTTTTGATTTTACGACTCTTTACTGTAACAAATTTTTCAATTTCCATCAAAATTTCAAAATTTATCAATTTTTTGCCATTTTCATGCAACAAAAATCCAAATTCTGATAAAAAATTTTCTAAAAATCTCAATTTTCATCAAAAATTTTGCAATTTTCACCAAAATTTCAAAATGTATCAATTTTTTGCCATTTTCATGCAACAAAAATCCAAATTCTGATAAAAAATTTTCTAAAAATCTCAATTTTCATCAAAAATTTTGCAATTTTCACCAAAATTTCAAAATGTATCAATTTTAGGCCATTTTCATGCAACAAAAATCGAAATTCTGATAAAAAATTTTCTAAAAATCTCAATTTTCATCAAAAATTTTGCAATTTTCACCAAAATTTCAAAATGTATCAATTTTTTGCCATTTTCATGCAACAAAAATCCAAATTCTGATAAAAAATTTTCTAAAAATCTCAATTTTCATCAAAAATTTTGCAATTTTCACCAAAATTTCAAAATGTATCAATTTTAGGCCATTTTCATGCAACAAAAATCGAAATTCTGATAAAAAATTTTCTAAAAATCTCAATTTTCATCAAAAATTTTGCAATTTTCACCAAAATTTCAAAATGTATCAATTTTAGGCCATTTTCATGCAACAAAAATCGAAATTCTGATAAAAAATTTTCTAAAAATCTCAATTTTCATCAAAAATTTTGCAATTTTCACCAAAATTTCAAAATGTATCAATTTTAGGCCATTTTCATGCAACAAAAATCCAAATTCTGATAAAAAATTTTCTAAAAATCTCAATTTTCTTCAAAAATTTTGCAATTTTCACCAAAATTTCTGAATTTATCGATTTTAGGTCATTTTCATGCAATAAAAATCCAAATTCTGATTTAAAAAATTTCTAAAAATCTCAATTTTCACAGAAAAAAATGTTCAATTCCCTCTTACCTATACCACGAAGTGAGCGTCATCATCACATACAATGAGGCCAAAGCGAACATGAAATGGAAGAAGCTGTATGAATAAGCGACGCCGTCCTTCTCATTATCCCAACTTCTCGAATTTTTGGCACCTTCGACGTCATCTGAAACGAATATTTCAATTCTTCTATTGTTTTTTTTTCTCGTTTCCACACGCACTCATCGGCAAATTTTCATCATGAGTCCCGCCGGTGATTTTTCCCAACGACGTGTTCGACGAATTGCGAATCGACGCATAAATGAGGCATATGAGCCAAATGAGGAGAGAAACGATCGATTGGGCCGGCAATGGAACACCGAATTCCTGATGAAAAATTCGCTACATTCCCCAATTTCGCATAAAACTCACTTTTTTCGTCGAATCGATCGCACCAAGAGTGATATTATGAATCGACGGATTGCAATTCCCATCTGAAATCGCGTTTGATCCAAAAAAAGGACAAGAAGCGCCTACTTGGATTGCTCGAGAGTGCGGACCATGTCAAATAAATGACATACGACGAGATGACGACGGCCTGAAGGAGTCCGGAGCGCGGCATTCTGCAAAACCCAATCGATGGACCCACAATCATTTTTCGCCACCCACTTTTCTTGCACGAACGGCGTTATCGAGAGAATGCTGACGGCGACGCAGAGGACGAAATTGAAGATGACGGCGAATTTCGGCAGCGCGCAACCGTCGCCGACGGCGTAGAACACGAAAATCAAAACCAGCGCGGCGATGGCGATGAGGAATCCGCCGAATGTGGTGATAATGAGGCTCGCGTAGCAAAGACGCGAGTCGCTATCCTCATAGCTTCAAAAAAAAATTACACTGAGCATTAGAAAAAAATCGAGAAAATCTCACGATGACACCCAATTCTCGGCCAATCCGTGCGCAAAATCGACGATTAGAATCAATTGGATCAAAATGAACACAAAAGCGCCGATCATTCCAATGTACATAAGCGCTGAAAAGGGAGGCGAGTCGAAATTGTGAACGTCGCTGACTCACGTGTTGACAATCCGTCGCTTCTCATGAAAAAGAAGCCGAGAATCAAGCCGATCAGCAATAAATATTTGAAGAACCAGAATCCGTTTTGAACGGTCGAGCGGGAATCTTTTGACGATTTCACGCCGAACATGAAGCACATGAAGATCAGGAAAAATGAGGCGGTTCCGCCGCAAACTCTGAACAGCAACAAAAACAGAAAATCAAAAATGTTTGGCATAATTTTACCTATACACTGCCTGATATCCAACCGCGTGCGCGCAATTGATGCCGGCGTACTCGTTCAATCCCTCGCAAAACCATTTGTTCTGCAAAAAATTAATTAAAATAATTTTAGCCCAAATAATTCCGCAGTGTGTCGTCGGATTCGGCGTATTGCGCCTACCGTACCACACAAAAATAATAATTTTCGAAATTAAAAATATTTTTTCTCAAAAACAAAAAAAAAAAGAAATTCGGCGATTCCCAAAATAAAATAAACTTATAAGGGTCAACAAAAATCAATTTTAGGCACAATTGTTCGCGAAAATTTGAAAAATTAAAATGAAAATTTGTGATTTTAGCGCAAAAAAAAATATCAAATCTCAAATTTTCAGCCACCTCCGCCAATTTATTCTGAATTCCCGGCGACAGCATGATCGATGCAATTATTGTCGATGCGAAAAGCATTATGGCGAACATGATACGAGTGCTCGTCGAATTGCGATTCGTCGGACACGCCGAACAGCACAACGAGCACGCGGCGCTTCCAAAACAGCATGCCGTCTGCAAATTGGCAATTGTAAGTTTTTTTTTTGTGATAATTGATTAATTGCTTACCGATGCCGCGCAAAACGGCGCCGCCAAAAGTGCGCCCATCGTCAAAAATGGCTCGCTGAACGCCGGATTCGGCTCGAGTGCAATGGAGCGCACATGCCGCACTCGTTTTCAAAATTCAAAAAAATTTCACTTTATTTCAATTTTTATTTATTAAAAGTGTTCTAGAAAAACTGGAAAATGCCCAACAAATCACCCGTCGGTTGGAAAAACAAAATCCCCCGTCTCAAATCCTCATCGGCGAGCGTCGGCCGTTCTCAAAAACCACAAAAACATCGCCGGAAAACATGGGAAATTGCGAGAAATGAAATGAATAAATTAGAATCACGGTGAGGTACTCGAAGCTCGCAAAAATCTCGTAGGCTGAAATCGGTTTCGAACGAGCGACATCAATTTTTTTTCTCATACCAAATTTCACACAAAATCCGTTGTGAAGCAAAAATGCGAGGAATATTGTTGGAATGCAAATCGCGAGGGAAATGAGCAGCAACAATCGTCGATTTTTGTACAAATCCTAAAATTTTTGGCGTTTTTTGTACGAATTCCCCCCATTTTTTACGTTTTTCGTCATACTGTACACGGCAAAATTGAGAATTGTCGTCGAGGCGAAGCCGCAAAAGAATGCCACGTGTAAGACTGTCAAAAAAAAAACGAAATTAGGCGATTTCCAGAGGCACACGCGTTTTTGCTCACTTCCAGACTCTCTCTCTCCAACCGTCGCCAATAATGTGATGAACATCGCCTGCAAAATCGATGAGCCCACCAAAATTCGACGAGTTGCTCCAGAAAATTCGAAGAAATCTGGAAAAAAAACTCGCATAAAGAAGAATGGCTGAAATTGTAGCGTTCTCGCAACATTGTCTCAAAATTATGAAAAATTGAAGTGGAAACGCCGAAATTGTCGCCAAGTTCCATGCGATTCGCTCGATTGGAAAGTTCAAAATGCGAGAAATCGATGGCAAATGTACAATCTGAAATTTTTTTTAGTTTTTTTTTTGTTGGAAACACCCTACCCGACAACCCCAAAAGTAATTGGTCATATGCTCATAATGAAGCCCGTATCCAATTATAAATGCCAATAGCACCGAAAATCCAGGAAGACTGAGCCAAAAATGGAATACCACCTTCCACGGGATCTTGGAAATCAGTACCGGTGTGGTTGCCGGCTTAAACACAATTCCCATGATCTGCAGAAATGTTTTCGACCACGGCAGGATTCGAACCTACAATCTTCTGCTCCGTAGGCAGACGCGTTATCCATTGCGCCACGCGGCCAGCTGGCATGGGCGCCACGAATGGCGTTGATTAAGTAGCAGGCAGCACGCACAATGGACAACAAAGTACAGTCATTTTTAAGGAAAAAAATTGAATTTGAGAATTTCAAAAAAAAAAAAACTTTTTGATTGTGATAGTACAAAAGAATGGTGATCAAATGGTAAAACTGGTCGGTGACCTTCTCAAAGGCACGCTCACACAATAGAACCGCCATCTTTTGTTGTATTTTGTGTTATATTTGGGAGGGGGGGGGGGAGCTTTGTTGAAATTTTTTCATTTTTTCAATGGTTTCGTGTCAAATTTCCAAGTTCGATACGCTTCGCCAGTCGAACAATTCCATAACTTTCCTTTTTTCCCAGTAAAAATCTAATTTCACCGCGCCGATTGGTGCGACGAAACATTTATCAAAAATGCATAGCTTGGCATGTCACGGAAGGCAATTATCGTGTGCCTCGCAAATATATATATCATTCATTTTTAATGACAAATTCCAGATTTCTGCACTTTCCGTTTCTTCTAAATCATTCCAATAACCGCGCAAAAAAATGCAAATCGAGGAGATCTCGAACTCCAAAACCCTCTTACTCCAAACCTGCATTTATTCAACTGCTCCACACGGACACCAGATGGCGTGGGGTGAAGTGCGTATAAGAGGCCGCGGGCGCGCGCGATCGTCATCCGCCCACACATTACACCTCACAATGAACCACGCCCATTCCCAAAAATGGTATTGTTCGAGAAGTCGTCGCCGAAAAAATTGTTGTGTTGTTTATGATAGTGTAAAAACCGCGCAATTGGTGATTTATCACTTTCTCTCTATCTCTACCAAGACAAATTCTCGCGAGAATTATTTCGAACCCCCCCCCTCTCTTCATTTTTTGATTAAATCTCAACCACCATTTGTTCACCCACTTCTTCGTCGTCGTCTTCTTCTTCTACACCATGTTGACTTTTTGCCCTTTTTTGGGAGCCATAGTGCGTCATTGAATGCGCGTTGTTTGCCTAGAAAAAAAAACCTCATGCCACTTTCAATTTTTACCACAAAATTACATTTCTTCTGGTTTTTGATCATTTCATTCAGGGGCGATGAAACCCGTGAATTGTCGGCAGCTCGAAAAGGGGTGCTCCAAAAACCCTGGATTCTCGGCGGCTTGAAATTGAGAGCTGCTGAAACCCGTGAATTGTCCGCAGCTGAGAAAGCCGATTACCCAAAACCCCTCTGAATTGTCGGCAGCTTGAATCTGAGATCTCTCAAAACACGAGAATTGTCCGCAGCTGTGAAAACCTACTACCCAAACCAATCATCACATGTCTTTTAGGAGTAATAATGAATGAATGAGTCATCAAAATCCCGAAATGTCCAAATTCATTATCGAATTACGTGAAAGAGAGAGAGAGAGAGAGAGAGAGAGAGGGAGAGAGAAACCCGGAAGTTTGTCCGCGTATGGCAATTTTCAATCAAACAATTACAATCCCGCAACGATGTCCGCAGCACTCATCGATTCGTAGACCAGCGTCATCAGAAAGAGAGGCCGTTAAAACAAATTCTCCAGCCCCGTGAGGTGTCCGCAGCAAAAAAAACCCATTCAAATCCAAAAACAATCCCCAAATCTCTCAATTCTCGCCTCTCTTGGCAGCCTGCCATGAAGCAAACAATAAACAAAATCAAGTCTTCTGCCCGAATGGTTTATTCGACCGCCCAAATCGCTTCTCGCCGGCCATCTCACATATAAATATAAAATATAATATAATGTGCGATGATGATGATGATGATCATCATCATCACAAAAATATCGGGTTTCGGCCGCTTCGACGGCGGCGGCTTCTCGTTTCTGCTTAATCAACTCGCAGAAAAAGAACAAAAAAAAAATTGAAAAATTTGCGTTTTTCGGCGCACTCTGCCATCAGAACAAAAAAAATTCTTTTTTGTTTACATTTTTTCGCCGGCATGTCGGGCCCCCCTTTTAACAACACTTTCGACGGCATTGTATGCACAAATAAATGATGATTGATAATCCGAGAGAGGAGTGCTTCGGTAGCCACCCCCCCCTCCTCTCCCCTCTCACCTCCGAGGAAGCCGACACATGCTCATGTTGCTCATTCCACTATACTACCACTACTGGTTTCCACCCTATCGAGTATGTTCGCCCTCTCATTTGCTCACACCGGTTTTCCAGATTCCCCGTAACCTCAAGCCATCCTCTTTGAAACATTCATTTCAAGTTTTTTTTCCGGGATTCCAAAAATTCGGCTAGATCCAAAGATCCGATCCAATCCGATCCAATCTCGCAAAAATTCTCAAAACTACCTGGTTTGATCAAGATCAGATCGTTGTTGCGAGATAAATCAACTCAAAAAAAAAACGGGGCCACCCGCAAATATATTTGGTTTTCTTCGATGTTGATCCAATTAGGCCCCAATCTTTTTTGATCTACGCCTCATTTCTGAACTATTTTTAGCGAGTCCTACCTCAATTTTTAAACTTTTCCCATTCCAACCAAAAAAAATCGATTTTGATCCATCTGAATCACATTTTTCAATTCTCAACTGTTCGATTTCCTATCCAAACGCGATTCCACATTTTTCTAGGCAATTTTTCAATCGCCAATTGTGTGTGTGTTTTTTTTGCGCTGCGCCAATTTCGAAAATTGGAAAAATGTGTCGGTTCGACGTTCGAAATTGCCCAATTCACATTTTTTTTCAGAGAGAAAGAGAGAGATAAAAAAAAAAAGAAATTTTCCCAATTTATTTTCGTCAATGTCTTTTTTTGTGTGGCAAAATTTGATCAATTTTCGATTTAAAATTGGCTCGAAAAAAACCCAGCAAAAATTCATTTTTTGGCAATTCAATATTAAAAATCCAATGAGAAATTAAAAAAAAACTCTCAAATTTTCACAATTTCTGATTCGAAATGCTCATTTTACAGTTCCAGCTAGACAAAAACTGCAAACCGCAAAAAAAAAATTCAAGAAATCTCAAATTTTTGCCCCCGTCAAAAAAAAAATGGTGGCCGAAAAGTCGAAGGCCAATTCCCAAAGGGACCTTCCTTGATAATTTTTGTTTTTCGGCCCCCCAAATAAGGTGAAATTGAATTAAACGCAACGAAAATGAGAATTTTTGGGCGGCGGTTTTTTTCTTGCTCGTCGGTTACGCGATGGAAACAAATAAACCGCCGGAAAAAAAAATGAGACAACCGTCATCAGCCAAACTGGTTACTTCATTTAGGCCCCCAACACACACACCCACAAAAAAAATAACAACACTAGCATGTGTGTGTAAAACTACACACTTTCGCTGTTTTATGGCTTTTTATGGATACACCTTTTTCGCTTCTCTCAATTTTGGATCAAAATCCACTTGATCCAAGGGATGATCATTAAAATATAGGGCAAATCTCCTAAAAATCGATTCCTCAGGATCCATGGATCAAAATCGAATCTCTCAAGGATCAAATCCAATCAGGATCAAACCAACCCCTTTTAATCCACTAGGCTTTAAATATTTTTGTTCTTCTAAACCAACCCCGTCAACCTTGATTCTCGTCAATTCGCTCGCCTCTTCTTAATTCTACTATCAAGTTTCAGCGAAAACCGTCGAGACAAAAAAATCAAACGAGCGGGTGAAACGCGACAAACAAATCGACGAGAAAACAAGAAACAAAAAAAAAAACGTCTGAAAAAAGAAATCAAAGCGAGCGATTTTCGTTTTCGAAAGAACATGTTCATTAACAATCAATACTTGCAAATTGGTAAGTCGACAATTTTTGTGTGTGTGTGTTTTTTTTGTCCCCCATCAAGAAACAATTTTTGCAAAACAAAAATAGTGGCACGCGGGGTCGAACCCTCGATGGTGGTTTGAGAAAAGCTGGGAATAATGGCATACACAGCCGAAAATGATTAAAAACCTTTGAAACGAGAAAAGAGATACGGAAATTGCGCCAATTTCCGTTGGGCCCCGAAATAATATAACAAATAATCAAAACCCTAAAATTTTTTTCGACATGACGAGCTTCGACTCTCATTTTTTATTCATTGCACACACAAACACACACACACACAATAATAAAAAAAAAGACTTTGGGAAGTTTTCAAGAATGGACGCGGTTCCCATTTTTTTTCGCCTTCAAATTCGTTTGTGTGCTTTAAAGGCGCATAGTTCAATTGAGGCGGGTTTTGAAGCATTCTCAAGCCCAAATTTGGAATCTGTGCAAAGAAAAATTCCATTGACTTTTTTGCTGCCGAAATTTCATACGAATTCCCCACACCAACCATCGAGGGTTCGACACCGCCCGGGGGAGGTTTTCATTTTTGCAAAAAAAAAAATTGCGGTGTTTTTTTGTGGTTTTTGCGGCGAAAAAAAAAAACAAAAATGTAATAGACGAGAAGAAGTGTTTGCGTTTTGTTTTTTGTTTTTCGGCTCACTCGAAATAAAAAAAAATTTCCACACAAAAATTTGAAACTCACCCAATTTTCAGAATAACATGCGGTTACAGCTGCTAATCTTCGTGTTGTTTGCAAATCTTGCCGTTTCGCGGAGGCACTACAAAGGTCGAAAATACGATTTAACACTTTTTGTCAGGTAATTTTCATTTTTTTCCGGTCCAAAAACTCCAAAACCTTCAATTTTTCACATCTCAAAACCCTAAATACATCAAATTTCCATTAATTTTCGCAAAAAATTGTAGGAATCACAACGTCTCGGATGCCACATTTTTTCGGCTTGTCGGCGTCGACAATACCGCTGATTTCAACGTGTCGGCTGGCAACACATTCGAGCACACATTTGAGGTAGGACGAACCATCTGCGGACAATAAAAAACTAGGCAACATCAGAATTGTGAAAATGAAATCTCGAGCTGCGGACATTTTTTGTCTTGGCTTTTAAATGAATATATATTTCAATATGCGGACATCGTTCGGGGTTCCCCAAAAATCAGAACCTCAAAAATCGAGATTTTTAAATCAACATTTTAATTCCCGGATGACGTGTGGGCTCTCAAGAACATCAAAAATCATCTGGATGCGAAAAACGGTTCGGGAAAACATCGAAAATCTTGACATTCAAACGAACGTTTCAATCTGCGGACATTTTTGCGGGCTTCTCGCCGCAAAACCATTCAAACATTCTGAAATTCTCTAGCTGCCGACATTTTCGCGGTGGCTTCAGAATACGAAACATTGAGAATTTTAGCGCAAGAATTCGGATATTTTGAGTAGTTGAGAATATGGCGGAGGGTGGAGACAGATATTTCGAGCTGCGGACATTTTTCGAGGTTTGAAACTCGGAAAAATCGCAATTAAAAACCAGCGCTGGAGGGTCTCAAAAGCAAAATCCAAAAAAACAATTTTTTTCTCAGGTAAATGAAGATCAATCGGACTCGAAAATAATTTCTTTTTCAATCTAAATCGAATGTAAATTAATCTGTTTCGAATAATTCCAAAATTTCGATCGAATACGATTTCAAAATTGAGAATGAGAAATAAATCAATCGATTTCGAAGTTTTTCGAATCGAAACCCAGATTTCAAATCGAATTTGAATTATTTTTCAATCGAAACCGGTTAATTTATATTTCATTCTTTTTTCGAATCCGATTGATTTTCATTTACCTGAGTTTTCGAGCCACCATCAATTCTCGGGGTTTCCAGGTGCGACGCAAAGGCTACTGGACGCTATTCGTCGAATTTCCCGGTGATCGATACGCGAAATCGCCAAGAAAAGTCGGTTTCGACAAATTTCTTGTATTTTTCGTTTCATTTTTTTACAGATAATCAGTCGCGATTCATATCGTAAATGGGTGATGGAGGTCTATTACTATCCGGGCGCCGTCGGCTTCTCCGAATGGCACAAATTATCGCGACGCGGCGAATTGCACATTCATCATGGTTGATCTCGAGATGAAAAAAAAAATTCAATTTCTCTTTTTTTTTGTTTGAAAATCAATTTCAGCTCTTTTTTGGCGTTCCATCCCACCACAATTTCACTAGTAAAATTCGCGTAGAAGCTTTATTCTAAACTGCCCACCCGAAAAAAAAGAAATCGTTGGCCCCGTCAACAATTCCAATGTGATGTGATTACCCCCCGCAATTTTCTTTCGACGTTTTTTTTCACCCACAAATAAAGCATATTTCCACTTAATTTATTCGCTAATTGCCTATTTTTCAGACCATAATTGAGCACTTCCGTTCGAATTTTTATTTGACCAAAAAAATTAAAATAACAAAATGATTTTCCGGAAAACCGGTGCCAAATTTTTGATTGCATTTTGATAGATTATCGGCCACTCGGCAGCCACGTCAAAAATGATAAGAAGTGCCGCAGTTTTATTGGCTTTACGTCCGCAATTTTACTATTTTTCGCTATTGATTTCAAATTTTGCTCAATTTTTAGCTATTGTTGAATTTTTAAGGATATTCCTTTACCGAAAACATTAAATTATAGCGATTTTATCATTTTCAATTAATTTTGACAACTCAATTTCTTATCATCTAGTATGAGAAAATTTTTATTTTTTCTAACTTGGATGAGAAAATTTTTATTTTAATTTTTTCGACATTAAATTTTTTAAATGTTACCTTTTTCAAAATCAATTTGCCGAATTTTTAATTCAAATCACATTTCCATTGAATCTCCACAATTATCGCTGACATTTTCCTGTAAAAATAAAAAATTATTGTTGAAAATTTCAAAACTCACGCAAAACTCAATTTTTGGCGTTCGAATGCGAAATTGCTTATCGAAATTCCCTAAATATTTTGAAATTATTGATTTTCTTCAAAATTTTTAAAAAAATTATGAGAAATACCGACAAAACTTCAAGAAAATTTAAAAAATCGAAAAGCAAAAAATTCGAAATTGAAAAATTCCGCATACACCGCTACTACTTTTTGTGTTGCGGACTTTGTCAACTACAGTATACCCAATGCATAAAATGCCTTTTCAAGCAATCGTTATAGAATTTTCAATGAAAAATAATTATTTTCAAGGCTCATGTCGGAAGATGAGGATCAACCAGTGGTGTAAGAGGCCAAAAATTCAAAAAATCCTCTGAAGCATCTATTTTTTTGTTTCAGACGTCGCGAAATCGACAAGAGGCGCCTAAAAAAGAAGCGCGAAGTGGTTTTTTACACAACGTTTGAAGAGGTGCTGCAAAAAATCGGACCATTTGGTCCATTCCAAATTTTTTGCTTTATCGTCATTCTCTACGCCTCAATTGAATGGGCAGGTACGAAGTTTCGAATATAACATCAATTGCATTATGTTCAATGGAGCGCAATTGCCGCAAACCCATCTCTTACAGGCAATTCGACATTCATGTACGTGTTGGGATCACTGGAACCCGACTGGAATTGCACTCATGTCGACAACAGTACGACGACAAGTAAGCGGCCAAAACCCCGATGATTGTCCGCAGCTAACCAATTATAGTTTACGCGCCGACCAACTCCACCTCATGCGAATACATCAAACAAAACTGCAAATCGTTGAACCCAATAGTAAGCTAAAAAATCGAAGGAAAAAAGGACGAAAACAAAGTGAATTTATTTTTTGATCTACAGCGCGAGAACCTTGAGTTCTTCTCGGTCGTCGCTCAATTCAAGCTGATTTGCGACGACGATGATAAACCGGAATATATTGAAGTGATAATGGCGGGAAGCTCGCTGATTGGATCAATATTCGGCGGTCATATTGGGGACCATTATGGTCGGCAGACAATTTTCTTCACCGGCCAATTATTGATTATCATTACCTCGATGATGACGACGGCGGCGCGCGGTTGGATTTCGTTTGCCGTCATTCAAGGCGCCAATTGCTTCCTATATGGAGTTATTGAGGTAGATCAAATGGCGCGGGGGTTTCAATGGTCCACAGAAGCGGAAATTCCGCATTTCAAAAATGCCCAAAGAAGACGCTAGAAGCTACCCCTTTGAAATTTCGAAATTGTTTCCCATTTTAAAGTCCCTTACACTTGGTGGTCCCTAGAAGAAGGTGGAGGTGGTACACTTGAAATTGTTCGAATTTAAAAATCTGGTCTAGGGCATCTCTTAAACAATCTTGTCGGTCCCCAGATTTTCAGAATCCAATTAAATTTTGTTTGAAGCCCTGGATCATACCAATTGAATATAATGGTCCCTGACCAGCCACATTTACTCAGGGACCTGTCAAATTCTTGCAGACGACCTCGCTGACAATGATGATGGAGTACTCGTCGAACAAATACCGCGTGATCATGGCGAACGCGTTCCAATGGCCGATCGCCTACATGACGATCGCACTGATCGCGTTCCTCACGAAAGGTTGGCAAGTCTACTTCGTGTTTCTGAATCTCGTCTCCTCGCCGCTCGCCATCTTCTTCATGCTGTTCCTCGAGAGCCCGCGTTGGCTCATCGCGCGCAACAATCTGAGTCGCGCGTGTGACGTGCTCAACGACATCGCGCACGAGCGTTGGAACAACACCAAAGCGGTGTTCACCACGTCCGACATCTCCGCCATCCACCAACCCGAGAAGCAGGGCTTCTATTGGTTCTATCATTTGTTCAGCACGCGGCGCCTCTTCAAACAATCGTGCCTTCAAATCCTGTCGGTGCTCACCTATGCGATGGTGTCCAACACCTATTTGTACATCGCCAACGGGTTGCACCATTCCGCCATCATGTTCACGTTTCTCGATGGCGTCTTCCGATTGGTGGTGCCGGTGGTGATTGTCATTCTTGACTTGATGATTCCATCGTTTGGAAGGAAGATTCAGATTCTCGGATCGCTCGGTGCGTTTTTTGATATTTGAAAAAACAATTCCACATTTAATAACTATTGCTACAGTAATCGAGGCGATTCTATTCGGCATCGTGATCGGCCTAGTCGCCAGCGGAACCTGTGAGTATGATTCGATGGCGGTCACCATTCTCATCATCATCACCACAATGATCAATGATTGCGTGTTCTGGATCAACATCATTCAGATCACCACCCAGCGTTATCCGACGGTCATCCGATGCATCGCCTTCGGCTCATTGCACTCGATCAAGTGGGTCCAACTAGTCGAGCGTCATTTTGATTGCTTATTATTTAAAGGCACATCGGCTCGATCATCGGCTTCATTATTCTCCGCCCACTTCTCACGTCAGGCTTTCCGACGTGGTCGTTCATCATTCCGGAGATTCTCATCATCATCACATTTGTTGCCAGTTGGATATTCCAGCCGGAGACGAAAGGCAAAGCGCTAATGGACCAAATGAAGCAGGCGAATTACGGTAGGACCGAGAACGAGCTGCCGCGGGCGCTCATCAGGTAATGCGCCTTTAAATCGGCCGCCCATTCGCGTTTGATGTTTTGAAGGCTCGCCGCTGGCCACAAAGTCGCCCAAATGGAAATGCGCCAACAATACCGAAAAGAGATGGAGCAAGCGAAACAGGCGGCCAACGCGGGCGTCGTCATCGACAGCCCGTGGGTGTACAAGGGCGAACGAGCCGCCAAACCTGAGAATGGTGGTCCGAAAGCGGCGTGGTCCGATGAGAAGAGCGAATAAGTTACTCGTCAAATTGTTCATAGTTAATTATATACAATACATATAAATACTATTAGCGTCTTCTTTTTGTTTTCGGAATTTCTAGTCGAGACCAATTGTCCTTGTAAGGAGGTTGAGACGATGGACGGCCTGCTCGAAGAGTCCTGGCTTGCCTTCGGGAAGCGACGGATCGCATCCGGTTTTGCCGTACGGCGGAACCTGGAACCCGTGGAATGAGATGGCGTGTCGTCGGTCACACCTCACCTTGACACCGAAATAATGTCGATGGTCCCAAACGTAGCTGTCGGATTGGTCGAAGAAGAACTTGATGCGATCCGAACATTTGAAGTCCTCGTTTTTCGGCGCGCCAAGGCATTCGACGTAGTGCGCGCCGCGGCTCATCTCGTCCGGATACCTACAATTCATTGATTTCAAGTCCTTGGTAATTGGGGCCCCTGGAATTTTGATATGGCAATTTGGGACCTCTATCCTCCCAGCCCAAGGAAATTGGGACCCCTGGAATTTTGATATGGCAATTTGGGACCTCTATCATTCAAGTTTGGGACCTCTATCATTTGGGACCTCTATCATTCAATAGGGACCCCTGGAATTCATGCATGCTTTGGGCCTCAATCTTTCAAGTGGACATTCAATTGCTAGTTGGGACCCACCAAATCTCAGTTCCATGATGATAATAATCGTCATGATCGGCATGACACGGCTTCGACGCGCCTTCATACTCGCCGATGAACGTGTCGTTCTTATGGCACGCCGGCAAATGGGGCACAATGTCGCGTCGGAACACCACTCGATAGGCGTTCGGCACCAATTCGTCGAAGCTTCTCGCGTACTCGATGGTGCCGACTCTCGGCTGTCCGAACGTGATCAACTTGATCTGCTCGCGTTTGCGATAGCCCTGTTTGGCGGTTCGCGCGGCGCCCAGCGAGGCGAGCGCGCCGCCCAACGAGTGTCCGGTGAAGGTGACGCCGAACGACGAGTACTGCGCGTCGGTCAGTATCTGCTCGATGTCGGGCCACAGCACGAGATGGGCGTTGAGGAAGTACTTGTTGACGGGTCCCATGCCGAAAAAGTCGGCGCCCTCGTTGATCGACTGCCAGCCTTCGAGCAACAGTTGCGTTTTGGTCTTCGTGCCGCGAAACACAACAATGATGTGTCGGAGGTTCTCGGAGACTACTGAAATTCGATCGATGATGGTCCGAAATGAAATGGTCCGGTGTTACCGACGAATCCCTCGCATGTGCTGTCCAAATTGTCGCAATTCTTTTGCACCATCGCTTTGATATAGTAGTTCTCGCCGTTTCCGAAGCTCCTGAAATTGAGGTGCTCTAAATTGTGCCGTAATTGGGATTTCAAGCACCGCCCATTTTACAGGTATCCGAATTTTGAGCCTTTTTAAGTAGTACCAACTATATTCTTGGATTACTGTAACTAAGCTCCGCCCCATTTTGAAGGCGTCTGGGCAAAGTTAAAAGCTCCGCCCACCAGGTACGCTAAAAATCCGATAAGCCCCGCCCCCTTTTTTTGGAGTACTGTTCTATGAAAATCGATGTGCAGACAACATTTTAGAGACTTACAGTAACTGCCATAAGCCCCGCCCACTTTTCGAAAAAAAATTATATGATTTTAAGGCTTCTACGAAAAGCCCAAATCTGATTTTGAGCCCCGCGTCCCGTTTTTTTGGAGTATTGTACTCTAAAAAAAATAATACAACATTATTTTTTAAAAGAACTACAGTAACTGTCGCAAGCCACGCCCCGTTTTCGAGAAAATTTCGGCATTCAAGAAAAACAAATGCCTTGGGTTTGCTCGAAATTTTCACTGTGTCGCCTACCTACCTATTGATACAGGAGACGTGTTCGGTTCCATAAGCGGCAGCGGCGAGGTCGAGCAATTTGCGAGCCTCCTCATCATCATAGCCCGTCTGTTTGCCGAGCGGAATTGCGCGACACGTGGCAATCAGCGAGACGATCAGCACGACGTCGATGATCATCGCTGAATTCGACGAGCACCTCAATTTTGATCTGACGGTAGAAAAGCACAAAAGCAAATAAAGCTAGTTAATCCTTAAATAAAACGATTATCATCGCGAGGTGCTTTGAGTAATTGTGGACCATTGCACTTTTTCGAGGCGGCAATTCAAATGCGAATTTAAATAGTGGAAATTTTTACACTGGGGCTATAAAAAAAGAGGAATTTGATACAATATATAAAAAAAGACCCTCATAAAAAATATTCGCATATGGATTATCAATGGTCCCAAAACCCAAAAATTGTAGGGTAACGATGGAAATACAGAAAGAGAAAAAAATCGATGAGACCACATGAATATTTATTAGGAGATTCTCGGTGTTCAGCTATGCTGTTTTTTTTTGGTTGAGAGTGAGAGAGAGAGAGAGATTAGAGATAGAGAGAACCGGTCTTGTTTCAATCGACTTTTTGCGATTGATTCGGCCTTGGCGTGGTTCACAACTACTCATCTTGGTCGTTGACCAGACCTGAATGAGTCATAGCATTTTGAATGTGCCTCAAAAAGGCGGGTAGGGATTTGAGCAGTGTCGAACCATTTTTTCTTCGAAAATGCTTGAAAATTCCATTTTTTACTATTATTGACGAAAAATGCTGAGAAATGAATGAATTTGTCAATATGAACAGATAAAAATGAAATTAGTGGGTGGGCGTGGTCTAGTATTTTCCCGGCCGCGTTAGCCGTTTACTCAATTGTTCGAAATTCGAATACCGTAATCAGTGGGCGATTACGGTAGAATTTGAATTGCCATCTTGGGTCTTTTGTTGGAAAAACTGAGGGAAGAAACGCAGACAGCAAAACGCTTAGCTCCTAGGCAGAATCGAACCAACGATCTTAAGAATACAAGCTCAAAAAAAAAAAATAAATAAATAAATAAATCTGAGCGGGAGCAGTTCGGGCCCAAGTCTGCTCCCATACGAGAGCAATTAGACGTCGCAACTTCTCCCGTATTTCGCCCGATCCTGTGCACCCAAGCCCCCGAACGGGAGCGGTCACAATTACATTACTACCAGTGTAGATTTAAATTTTTCGTTGACTGAATATTAAATGCGCGTCCACTATAATGTAATGTACGCAGTCTCGCGTACTTCTCGCTGCCCGAGAGAGACAATACAATTGATATAGATAAATGTAGAATACAGCACGCTTCACATTTATAAAGCTACCCCTGTGTTTGGGTATTTTCACAATTGAATTCAGAGCTAAAAAAAATGCATATGTGTGTAGTTATTTTCGAGTTCGATCGAAATCTGCCAGAATATTGGTCCCAATTTTCAGCATTTCCCTATAATTCAAAATGATTTTCGCGTTTTCGCGTCGATTTTCGATTTTTTTCTAATAGACCCATTTACCGTGCTCTATGAGGCGGTGATAACTTGATGGCAAGTGCCATCACAGCGTAATAATATTAATAAATTTAATCGCGTTGAAATTAATCAAACAATACCATCAAATGACGTGAGATGAATGCCGCTAGTCGAGCTCAGTTTTGAAACCATTATTGTTGTGGAAAAAATGCGTTCAAAATTCATTCTTCTCGTTTTGTTCGCGTTCGGCTGCGACGCCGACAAATTAAGACTCGACGGTTGGATTCATTGCAGTTTGTCCGATCGCCAATATTTCGAGGTCGGCATCAACGCCTATGAAAGAGACTACATGTAAGTCGAATTTCGATGTAGATCAATGAATTGACGGGTGCAAATTGAAGGTTTTTGCAAAAAAATGATTATCTCGGCTATCAAGGCTTCATCGCCGAAGCGCCCGGCACCCACTTCTTCACAATTTTCGGCGCACAAAATGAGGACGAGGGCAATGTTCGATCAATTCGTTGGGTTTTCTTGTCAAACAAACCATCGTTTTATAGGAATATTACACATTCGTTCTCGTTATCAGCCATGATTGCACCAGCGATCGGAAGAGAGTCACATACACTGTCATGGACGACCGATACCAATGCAACCTCGGTAGGCCGATTCGACATTTTCGGTAGCACTAAAAAAATTTGTTGGATTTAGGACATCATTGCCAGTATACCGCCTATGTGAATATTACGGGGTCGTGGGGAACAGTATACACGAATAATAATGGCGGCTCAATTCTCTATTTGAAATGATTTGTAGCATAAATGCTATTCTAACCAAAAATACTTTAATTATCAATTACAAATGTTGTTTAAAGGCACGGCATTTTCAAATGTTCAAACTGGAAATATGCAAAATTGCAATTTTTTATTTTTTCAATTCAAAATTTTTAGACGTGAAATTGTTGGCGACGAAATACTTGCATGCGCCTTTAACCGCGTTACTGTAGCATTGTTTGTTTTCGATTTTCGAAACTCAAATTTTTAGGCAATTTTTTCCAATTTTCTCGTAAATTGTTAAAAATAATAAAAATGAATTATTTTACAGGCTGCCATCAATCACGGGGCGATCGAATTTGCTGGAAATTTCATTGAGAAAATTGTCAGCTTCAAAAGTTACGCAAAAATTCGAAGCAATTATAATAAAATGGAAAAACAAGAAAAATTTATGGGTGTCGAGTTCACAATGTGCCAATCTCCGAGTACATTTCGGCAATTTCCCTCTCAAAATGTTTTTGCAGAATTTTTCGCCGATTTTTCAGCGTCGACGTCACAAGGCCATTCTCTTCGGTGAATTCCTATAATAATTCCAATAATTTTCTTTCAAATCAATTTCTTTTTCAGCAACCTGCAACGTTAGCCGAATGTTTTTCACGAGCTCAATCGTCTGCAATCCGCACGTTCGTCCAAACTCGTTGAGTTCTTTGAGGAATATCTCGCGAATCTCGCCAGTTGCCAGCAATTTCTCGTCGTCGTCGTCGTCGTTGCCAAGGCGCTTCACCACCCCCGCGTGGTCCCGTTTGAAATCTTGAAAACGACATCGATCGACGACCGCGATGCCGACGAGGAATGAGCGCTCCGTCGAGCCGGTCACGAACATCTGCAACAACACTCAATCAATGAGGTTTTCCCCCAAAAATTTCGACATTGTTTTCTATGCGCCTTTAAACTCTACACTTTTTCTCCTATAAACCATAGAAAATAAAATTCAAAATCGATTTTCTTCCTCACTCGAGACTCGTCTCACCTGTATGACGAGCGGCGAATTCGTGTAGATGGCCTCGATCTGAATCGGCGAGACGAAATCGCCCTGCGACATTTTGAACATCTCATTCTTTCGGTCGACGATCTGCAACGCACCGTTGTCGAGCCAACGCCCAATGTCGCCGGTGTGCAGCCAGCCGTGCTCGTCGATGGTCGCGCGCGTCAACTCGACGTCTTGGAAATAGCCGGTCATGAGGGCGGCGCCGCGGAAACACACCTCGCCTACAAGCTATGCGCCTTTAAATCGCGATTCAAATCTCGACAAACCTTCATCATTCTGCGCAAAGTAGCCTTTTTCGGGCACATCAACGAGTTTGACCTTTAAAAAAATATACGTTATGGGGGGGGGGGTCCCTTTTTAAACCTGAGCCCATGGTGATGGTCCGCCAACATTGCCATACGTGGTGTCCCATGGTAGAGTGAGGGTCCCGCCGGCTCCGCATTCGGTTTGACCATACCTGCAAATTGGTTAATTAGCTATAATTTGACACACAAAATTGACTTAATTACCCCTCAATTAGCGGGCATCCATAGGCGAATCGCGAGAATTGTTTGACTTCTTTGGTGAGTGGCGCGCCGCCGGTGGTGAGCACCTTCGCTCGTCCGCCAATCAATTTTTTGAGGTTTTTGAGCACAAATTTGTCGATGAGACTATCGTAGCTCAAAACGCCGGCTTCGAGTTGTCGGATTTTGGTCTAAAAAATTTTTTTTTGAGTTTTTCAAATATTCCACAAAATTTCTGGCCAACTTTTTTCGCGTAATCAAACAATTTTCGCGCAATGATATTCTTTTTCGCCATTTGAGTGTGGACGCTCTCGTACAATTTGTTGAGGAGTCGCGGGACCAGCGAGATGATCGTCGGCTGAAGGGCCTGAATTTGCGGCACCAGCGTCGACACGTTGCCGTCGTAGATTCCGATGCGACCGCCGAAATAGAGGGTGAGCGTCTGAAAATAATCGAAAATCGACGCGAAAACGCGAAAAACATTTTGAATTATAGGGAAATACTGAAAATTGGGACCAAAATTCCGGCAGATTTCGAACGAATTCGACTAAAAATTTTTTTTTAATTTAAAAAAATACCTGCATGAGATGCTCATAAATGTGCGCGAGCGACAAAAAACTAAAATAGACGTCGTCTTGTCCGAATTTCCAGCTGAAAATCGAAGTTTTTAAGCGGGAAATTCAAAAAAAAAATTCGCACTCATGTGCCACTGTCCATGATGTTGCGACGCCGGAAACAACGGCGACGAGCGCTCGATGCGACATTTCGACGCCTTTCGGTTTTCCTGCAAAAAAAAACCATAACAACGCATAAAACTAATTAGATAATTGACGCTAAAAAGGCGATTCGCTGTGATGGCCTAGAAAAATTGTCCTGAAAAATTAGCTTCGGCCACGGCCACACAGTGAATTAATTGTTTTAATTTAGTATAATTAAATTAATTGTGTATGTTTACGAACTAAATACGATTAAAATAAAAATCCGATCCTCGTGAAAATGAAAGATAATAATTTTCAAGTCAGATTTGTCTCAAATTTTCCAAAAATGTTACCCGTCGTTCCGCTGGTATGACAAATCACATAAATCGATTCCGGATCGGGTTTCGGCACTTCGCGCAAATCATCAACGCCGATGTTTCGCAATTTCTCATAGTTGAGCACGTTCACCGCCGCGTCGCAGTTTGTCGGCGTTTCGTCGACGCGCTCGAGTACGATCACCGATCGTAGGCTCACCAGACGAGGGTCACCGCGGTCGCGCGCCGCCAAAAACGAGTCGGCTCGCGATTTGCAATCGAAAAATATCAGCTCGAGTTGGCAGCTGGCCACGATGTCGCTGAAATAAAATGAATCCAAGGATCCTAGATTGATCCATGGATCTCAATCTAGGATCCAAGGAATCTCTACCAAAGTGTATCCAATTTCGAGTTGTGATACAACGGGACCGCCGTCAAACCGAACGCCGAGATCGCGTGAATACAATTCATATATCGAATCGATTGGATGCCGGCGATGCCGATGAGTTTGGTGGTGCCGCGGAGGCGCTCGATCGCCGATCCGATGATCCGCACCTCGTCCATCGTCTCCTTGAACGTCGCCCACCGGAATTCGCCATTGGCGGACTCGCCGAACGCGGCGCCGTCGGGATGCATTTGCGAGGCTCGCTGAAGCACATCGTAGACGGTTTTGATGAACTCCTCCTGCGGACCTTTTAGCGGTTCTGCAATTTGCCATTTTTTGACGACGACAACGGACCATTGAGATCGGGCTTACTCGCGACCTGCACACTTTCTCGAATTCTCTCGGGTCCGTCGAGAAGACGCGAGACTTGACGAATCTTCATTGGCGTCTGTCTGCAATGATGATGCGCCTTTAAAGATGCTCAAAAATAAGTTCCAAAAGAAAATCCGGCTGACAATGTGCGCCTTTAAAAAAAAGAGGTCTCGCGAAAAAAAAATTGCCACTAAAATTCTGGCCCGGCAATTGTCCGCAGATGGTCATATATATCGGATTGCGATTCTAATTGAACGAGCGCGAAATTGAGGACACAAACATTGAGGAGGAACGGAAAACAAGAATTTCGAGGGTCTAGCTGACGACGATAGATTGAGGTAGCTGGGGGGGGGGAAGGATGACCTCGATTGAAAGTTGCCGCGGCCGCCGCCAAAAATGGGCGGAGCGATCCAGATCGGATCGCGATCCGCATCTCGCTTACCTGAGATTTTGCGGATCGTCGATGATCGCGAGCCGGTCATTCGACGACGACGACCTCGTCGTCAGCATAATTCCTTTTTTTGGGGGGGGGATTAATAAATTTAAAATGCCTCGATTTTTGAGGAGAAATGAATTTTTTGGTTTTTTTGGAACACGTTTTTTTCTTTTCATAAAACTTTTACTTTTGTTGGTGGAACCGATTGTAATATTACTGTGGACTACCGTAATCCGGGTTACTGTAATCTTGTGAGTTCCATGAAATGTTGGCAATAATTATTTGCAATACCCTCCTTGGGGGATTTTTTTCTAGAGATTCTTACCAAAAACATGAAGTCCGCTATTTTTCGTGCATTCTGATGAATACAGTAATCCAACAAGTCGGCAACACTTTAAAAACAAAAAAAAAGATCTTCCGCATTTGTCAAATATGGTTATCAATTGGTGGGATCAGACTAGAACACATCAATCATCGAACATGCCGTCGCGTGTGTCTCTTTGTGTGTGACCGTGACGGATTCCCAATGTTTATTACATTCTTTCAACAATTTGCCATCAAGACGGGGGGGTCCTGGGACCCCCTTCCCCCAGCAAGTTCTCAGATTTATGAATTTATTAATTACAATTCTCATTTTTCAAAAAAAAAAATAAATAAATAAATAGTTTAGGCGTGAAATAGTTGACGACGAAATTTTCGCATGCGCCTTTAAGCGCGTTACTGTAGCAATGAGTTGTCTTGAATTTTCCAATTTTTCAGGTGATTTTTTTCCAATTTTCTCGTAAATTTTTCAAAAAATTGAAAAATTAATTTTTTACAGGCTACCTAGGGGGCGATCGAGTTTGCTTTAATTTCAGCGATTTTTTTTGTCACGGGACTCCTTCTCGCCAAATGGTCACCAAAATTTTATTGAATGTGGGGTCCTTGAAAATAGTAAAAAAAATTTCTCGGTATTGTGCCAAAATTAATTTTTTAAATTTTTCTCAGAGGTCAAGAAAAAATGAAAAAAGTACCCATGGCTATTGCAATGACTCAAGTGGTACCCAGCCCTCATTGATTTGCCTCCGTGCCAATTTCATTTAAAATCAGAATAATTGAAATCATCTGCGGACAATTTAGCGGGGGAAAATGTCTCTGAAATCCAATTTTTAAAAAATAGTTTATTATTGGAAAATACTTAAAAGAAACATACGTTAATACTGATTATTGGCTTCAAAAATACTGGAAATTCGTTGAAGTGGGAAAAAATTTTAAAAATAAAAACGAAATTAGAGGAATTGGTGGGTTGAAAATGGGACCCGTTTGAGATCAGCTCATGTGCGACGACGACGACGGTGGCGAAGAGAAGAGGAAGAAGAAAAAAAAACAAAATCGATGCCTTATTTAGCTGTTGAAGCCGTCGAGGAGGTATTTGAGGCAGAATTGGAAGAATTTGCGAAAGAGCGTCTCGGCCTTCTCGTTGAAGCGGTCTTGAAGCACAAATTTGACCATTTGGATGAACGGCTCTTCCATGTTTTGAAACGAGATCGCCTTCATGCCGGCGACCTGCAAGAAAAGCATTATTCTCGGTGGAGCTGATTGGTCCGTACAGACACCACCGTATATATATAGCCATTTCTCGCCGCTATAAGTGATTTCCGATTGGTTACCGCTGGGATGTGAGGTAACCAATTGGACGACACTGATTAAAAAGAGGTATGCCGCAGCCTTGCGAAACAGTGCGCTGCTTTGCACAATGCGGCCACGCCTCCTATTTTCGAAATTCGTTTTCAACACTTTATTTCATTTTGCTTTTTCTCGATGAGTTTTCAATATTTTTCAGTGGTTTTTTTTTCAAAAATTAAAGAAAAATTTTGTCTTTCGTCTACTTTGATTGATCCTATATTTTATTGCGAATATCCATGTTACAGATGTTGCGGAAACGCTCGCTGCACAATTCTAGGAGCTGATCGATTCTACCAGTAATTCTAAGATGTGAGTATGCATATATCTTTTAAATTCTAATAAAAAATTTTTCTTTAAATTTTGGAGTTCTCAACACAGTTTTTCTGGTCTATTTTACGCATAACTGGAAAATTGAAAATAATGGTCCCATTATGGCGCATAATTCATCAATTATTGAATACCCGTTTAATGATTTCTTAGAAACATTCTATCGAGTTGAGTGTTTGAATCTGATAGGTACATAAACTGAATTTCAATAACGCCTAGAAAATGAGATGTCGGTATTCATATAGTCGGCGTCCGGCGACGGACAGTACACGGGGATATTTACACGCATGCGCCTTGAAAAGGTCTCACCACGTGTGAACGCTTATTCTATTTTTTTCGATTCACTCGCGCGCGAAAGGTCGATGACTCGAGCCCTTCCCAAAGCCTTCTTCTGTTACTGAGCCTCTTCGTGGCGAAGAAGATAAACTGTTCATGCTCCTCTACATAACTGGGGATTTCGTCACCCCAGTGGAACATGCTCAGGCTAATCAGTACACTGTCCCACGCAGGCCGAGGGTAGAGTCGAATACTCCACATCCGGGCGGCTTCGATTCGGCCTAGCAAGCCGGAAGAAGTAAACAGGGACCCAGTCCGCTAAAAACAGTATAAAGCGAAGAAATGTCCCGGACCCGAGCTCTGCCCCTGGATTGACAGTTACAGGACAAGCAGAACGGGAGCAACCCGGGCCTGATGGCAACTGTCTGGTCTCGGTTAATGGAAAATCGCCCCCAAAAACACGAAAAGTTCACTTCAGAATTGGCACTTTCAACTGTAGATCGCTCGCTACAGAAACCAGACTCTCTGAGCTCCTCAATGAACTCAATCGAATCAAATTCGATATCATTGGACTCAGCGAGACGAAAAGGCCAACTGAAGAGCATATGAAACACGTTGATGGGACAGCGATTTTCCTAGGCAAACGTCATGACACTTCTGTTGTTGGAGGGGTCGGCTTTGTAGTTCATAGCACCCTCGCTCCCCGTATAGAAGAAGTAAAATTTCTTAGCCACAGGATCGGCATGCTAACATTCAAGGTCGGAAATAAGCTTAAATGCACAGTCATGCAAGTTTATGCTCCAACCGCCGACGCCGATCCTGAAGAAATTGAACAATTCTATGACGCTGTGGAAGAAGCTTACCGTTCTTGTAGGAGCGACTACAAGCTAGTCATCGGTGACTTCAACGCACGCGTAGGGGCCAGAAGTAATGAGAATGAGCGGTTCATCGGAGTCAATTCGATGGAACCGCGCAATGACGCTGGTGAACTCCTCGCGACCTTCTGTGAAACAAACCGCTTATGGCACACAAACTCGCTTTTCCAAAAGCCAGCTCATAAGCGTTGGACTTTCATAAGTCCAGATGGCCTCTTCAAGCACGAAATCGATCACATCCTCGCCAACGGGAGGTTTGTAACAGATACTTCGGTGCTACCATCATTCACAGTAGGAAGCGACCACCGCCTTCTCCGTGCGAACATCCACTTCAACATAAATTGGCTGAAGTACGATAAAAGCAGAAAGAGAAAGGCGCCGAAGAAAGTATTGGACCCGGAGATGGCTAAAACAATAAGCTCGATTGTTAGTCTTCCAGTAGCCAACAGCGTTGACGAAGATTACTCTAATCTAACAACGCTACTCAGGAAACTACAAGACCAAGCCATTGTTAAACCATCAAACCACCGGACCAATAGGATCTCTGTCGAAACACAACAATTGCTCTCGCGCAGACGAAACATGAGCAGGTCCGATCCCAATTTCAAGAACCTCTCAAAACAGTGCCGAGAAGCAATCGAACGAGATCACAAGGAGTTCACCAATTCCCGGTTACTAGGAGCAGCCGATCAACGCAAAAGCTTGAAGAGAGTAGCGCGAGACATGAACGAATACAAATCACTGATTCCATGCCTCAAATGCTCTACTACAGGCAGAACTCTCACCTCTAGAAGAGAAATGGAGAAGGAAGTGGAATCGTTCTACACGAAGCTCTTTGCGAGTAGAGCCCCACAAGCGCCTACGCCTACGACAGCGCAAGTCAAGGATAGGCCCCTTCCATTTCTACGAGAGGAGATCGTTTCGGCACTTCGGTCCTTCCCAAATGGGAAATCAGCTGGTAGTGATAAAATAAGCGCAGACTTCCTCAAAAGCTGCCACGAAAACACTATCGCGCTGATAACGGACCGATTTAACCGCTACCTAGAAACCGGATCAATACCGAGACTGTGGACCAAGTCAGAGACAACATCTTCAAGAAAGGTGATAGATACTCCCTGGAGAACTACAGGCCAATCACGGTACTCCCTGTTCTATACAAGGCTTTAACAAAATGCATCTTGAATAGAATCAGGAGTAAACTAGAAGCCAATCAACCTGTAGAACAAGCTGGGTTCCGCAAGGGCTTCTCAACAGTGGATCACATCCACTCTGTCCAAAGACTGCTAGAAGTGGGACGAGAATATCAAATCCCACTCACACTTGTCTTCGTTGATTTCAAGAAGGCGTTCGACAGTGTTGAGCATTCAGCAGTGTGGCAGAGCCTAAGAGACCAAGGCGTTGAAGAAGCGTATATCCAGCTACTCCAAAGTTGTTACTCTGACTGTTCCACAAGCATCACGCCATTCCATCGACAGGTAGAGATACCTGTTCGAAGAGGAGTAAGGCAAGGTGACCCAATCTCGCCGAACCTTTTCTCCGCGTGCCTGGAGCAAGTTTTCCGTGAATTGTCTTGGAGTCAATTCAAAAACGACTCAGAAGACAATACGAACACTCCAGGATTACGAGTGAATGGCCGCAACCTCACACACCTGCGGTTTGCAGACGACGTCGTGCTCATAGCGCACAGTCCGCAAGCGGCATCCGAGATGCTAAGTGAGATGGTTGCGAGATGCGAACAAGTAGGGCTCCAGATTAACGCTGGAAAGACCAAAGTCCTACGTAACCCCTTCGCAGACTCCGCCAAGGTTACTCTAACGCACCAGAATTCGGTCAGTATCATTGACGATGTTGACGAATACGTGTACCTTGGAAGACTACTCACCCCCAAAAACGAGCTAGTCAAGGAGATCTTCCGAAGGAGAAGAGCAGCTTGGGCAGCGTTTAATGGAATCAAGAACACCACCGATTTGATTTCCTGTAACAGAACCCGCGCACAGCTCTTCGATTCCATCGTTCTCCCAGCGCTGACTTACGGATCAGAGACTTGGACCTTCACCAAAGCTCTTGCTGAGAGAGTCCGAATTAGTCACGCTGCGCTTGAGCGAAGATTGGTTGGCCTCACGTTATCACAACAACGTGAACAAGATCTTCATCGAGAGGACATCCGCATCATGTCTAAAGTTCGGGACCCCCTACACCACATCACGAAGAGGAAGATGACCTGGGCTGGACACGTTGCTAGAAGAATAGATGGAAGATGGACTACTCTTCTAACGGAGTGGCGGCCGTGGAACTGGACCCGGCCAAGAGGAAGGCCTCCCATGAGATGGTCGGACTCGCTTCGGAAGGAGATCACTACAAGAACAGCTGAAGGAGCCGTTATCACCCCCTGGTCCACCCAAGCCAAGGACCGAAAAGCTTGGAAAGCTGTGGTTCGCGCCTCAACAGGCGAAGGACGAACCGACTAAGTGACTAAGTAAGTTAAATTTTGGAGTTCTCAACACAGTTTTTCTGGTCTATTTTACGCATAACTGGAAAATTGAAAATAATGGTCCCATTATGGCGCATAATTCATCAATTATTGAATACCCGTTTAAAGTTTTCTTAGAAACATTCTATCGAGTTGAGTGTTTGAATCTGATAGGTACATAAACTGAATTTCAATAACGCCTAGAAAATGAGATGTCGGTATTCATATAGTCGGCGTCCGGCGACGGACAGTACACGGGGATATTTACACGCATGCGCCTTGAAAAGGTCTCACCACGTGTGAACGCTTATTCTATTTTTTTCGATTCACTCGCGCGCGAAAGGTCGATGACTCGAGCCCTTCCCAAAGGCACATGTGATTCCTAATTAAGTGACTCACTTTTGTTTTGTGCATTTTTCCAACCGAACTCAAACGATCGCACGCCTGCTGCACATCGCCAGGCTTCTCCTCGACGGCGGTGATGACGTCATCAAACACCTGAAATCGCATTTTCGGAGATGAAGGAAGCAAAAGCGAAATGGTTACTTTGAGATAATTGGCGGCGAGCGCCTCGAATCCCGGATCGCTGCAATTCATGTCGACCGTGTCGGCCTTGACGTTTCTCAATTTGCCGTAGAGCTCCTTGTTCTCCGGAAAATCGTTGAGATATCTGTAAACGACACCGACATTTGTATTTTTTTCTCTCTCTCTCTCGTGTTTTTTTTTTGGATCCCAAAAATGGCGACGACATTCCTTACTTGGCGAACATCGTCTTGCCGCACTCCTTCTCGTTTCGACGCACCGTCTTCCAATAATTTTTGAGGGTGAACAACTCGCGAAAATTCGGATACGGTAGACGAGCGTCGAGTTGCGGCGCCTCGGCGGCCGGCTGTTCCGGCTCGACGACGACGGCCGCCTTCGACGCCTTCGAAGCGCCGCTGCCCATCGCCGAACTCGAGGGTCGATGAATATTTTGCCGGAAGACGAGGTGTGAGCGCGAAATGATTGCGTAGGCTCTCTCGCACAACCTCCCCCAATCACCAAGGGAACCGGCTCGGCTCAATTGTGAGCCGCACGTATTCTGCTCCTCTCTCTCTCTCTCTCTCGAATCTATTCTCACAAGGCTTTCGCCGAAAATGAAAATAAAAGAAAAAAGTCGACGCCTTATTGTTTTCGTTGGTTTTTTTTTTATATGATAGTAGTTTTCTGGGGGCCTTTCTTACATACTCCCTATGATCCATTCTGATCCAGGATCACTACCATCTATATAAGGAAGAACCCCGGATGTTTTATTTTACAGCTTTTCGCCGGAATTTTTATGATCCATTCTCGATCCGAATGGATTATTATTTTTGGCATTTATTTTTAATCGCAATTTGGCGATTATTCAGAAAAAATTGAATAGATTCTTGATGATCCTCGCGATTTGATCCATGGATCAAAGTACATAGAGTTTTGCTGGCTCATTTTTCCCACCGCCATATTATTTGCCGCAGTTTATAATGTGTTTCGATGAATTTTGTTTGATCCAGAATGGATCTTGGACTCTAGGACAAATGATCCGAATGAGGATTTTGACGGAATTTGAGGCCTCAAAAAGGGGTCGGATTGAAAATGGAAGAGAAAAAATTGAAAAATTTCATTTCTTTTTTTTGGAAATTTTTTGAAACAAAGCCGGAATATTTTCCGAAAATCCTCAAAATTTGCGTTTTTCTCGAAAAAAAAAAGTGAAAACCCGCAGAAATTCAAAATTTTTGCGATTTTTCCCATAAAAATAATGTTTTCGCGTTTAAAAATGCCCAATTTTCGAAAATCTGAATTTTTTTGGCATTTTTCTTCAAAAAAAAATTCATATTTTTCGGAAAATGCTGAGAATTTGCGGTTTTCTCGAAAAAAAAAACGCGGAAACCCTCAAAAATTCAAGATTTTTGCGATTTTTCCCATAAAAATAATTTTTTTCGCGTTTAAAAATTCGCGATTTTGGTTTTCGAAATGCGAAAAAACTGAATTTTTCGATTTTTTCAGCCCAAATTTTCACATTTTCTCAATTTTTGAATGGCAAAATTCCAATTTTTGCTCTTTTCATGAACAATAGGACCCCCCCCCCCCTCGTCGGTCTATATCTGTCTAATTGTCGTAATTGGATTACGGTAATTGATGATGAAGCTGGCCGGATAATCCGTCTTCGGATTACTACAATTCGGATTAATCGTTGATGAATTTGGCAACTCTCAAGAGGTTTCCCCCAATTTTTTGAGGGACCATCTTTTGCCTCCCAAAAAAAGCAAGGTCCCAAGGCCCATTTTATGGACCATATAGAATTTTTCGGGTCCTTCTTCGTTGTTAATTAGACGCGCGGTTTATGGGGGGCCGTTATTTGGAATTTTTGAACATTGAAATTTTTGGCGCCAATTTCAAATTTTATTTTTTTTTTGACGAAAGAAATCGGCGAATTTTCGCCAATATCACAATTTTCTATCATAATTAGTCACCAATTATCAAATACTCGCTAATTGGCACCAATAATTAAGCGAAAATTCCGAATGAATCAGCGATAATTTGATGAATTGAGCCCAATTATGAAGTTTTCATGAGAAAACTCGATATTTGATGATTTGGTGATCAAAAATCGTCGAAAAGTTGAATTTTTCGCGAAAAACATTGAAAAAATGGAGAATTTTGGCTGAAAAATCGAAATTTTTCTCAAAAAATATGTGAAATTTGAGATTTTTGAGCGAAAATCCAAAAAAATAATGGATTCGAGTGAAAAATTGCCGAATTTGTCGGGGGTTCGGGACTAGAATTTGAGGTTTTTCGGAGAAAAAACCTTCGAAAATTTCAATTTTTCGAGTCAAAAATGCCCAAAAATCACGAATTTCAGCTCAAAATCTGATTTTTTGGAATTTCTAATCCAAAAATTGCTTAAATTTACGGGTTTCCGGGCAAGAAAATGGCAAAAAATTCAAATTTCCGGGTCAAAAAAATCGCAAAAATCATGAATTTTTGAGAAATTCTAGGCTAAAAATCGGCAAATTAACGGATTTCCTGGCGAAAAATTCAAAATCCGTGTCAAAAAATCGCGAAACTCACAAATTTCAGTTCAAAACCTAAATTTTTGGGAAACTCTAGGCTAAAAATCGGCAAATTAACGGGTTTCCGGGTAAGAAAATGGCGAAAAATTCAAAATCCGGGTCAAAAAATCGCAAAAAGTGCTCAAAAAGACGGAAAAAATGAGGTGAAACTCGTACTTGCTTAGCATAAATTGGCCCGAATCTTGTCGCTTTCGATCGATGGCCTTCCAATAGTTTTTGAGTGTGAAAAAATCGCGATAGGTGTCCATTCCGATGCGTTTGTCGAGCTGTTTGACGGGCTCCGGCTCCGGCAGCGCGGCGCCCTTGTCTTTGCTCTTTTTGAGACGCTTGAACACCGCCATTCCAGCGCGACCGCGATCGGCGACCACCCCTTGAAATATCAAATAATAAAAATTGAAGGACGAGGCCAACACAAAATCAAAATCAAAAAAATAAATAAATAAATAAAGAAGAAGAGGAATGGAGGAGAAGGACTTGAAGGATGGCGAGGAAGAGAGGAAAATGTATATATGGACATAATAGAGAAGCGAGACAAATTTGGGAAAGAGCGCCGACGAGATGGAGATTGGCTCAGAGGCCCCCCCCCCCCACCCCAAGCCGCCCGCTCAACTAGAGACGCAGACATTGAGGATCAATGAAGTCGGACCCCCCCCCCTCTTCCCCCTCTTCTCCTCTCATCCTTCCTCGCGTGATGACTAACTAAACAATTCGTTGATTATGGTGATAAATCATCATCGAGCTAATTATATCGATGTTTAAAGGGGGTCGCGCCGGCTACAGGGGGGGGGGTCCGCAATTTTGCGTGTCGTCGAGATTTCTGCTTTTTGAAAAGTGCGCAACACAACGAGACAAACTTGTTGTTTATTTGGCGATATTTTTTTTGTTGGTGTCTGTGCGTGGGCGGATGTGAGTGTCTGTCGTCGTCGTCGTCGGCGCTGACGATGTCTTGATTGACAGCGTCGTCGTCGGCGAACGCACCGCCCGAGGTGTCTTTTGAATACAGGATGAACGTGTGGCGCGAAAAAACTAGACGAATTGAGTCCACCTCGATGTGTGTGTGTGTATTTTTTTTTTATTTGCGCGTCAAATGTGCTGTTTTGTGTTTTTTTTTTGTTTCAATTTTGGAAAATTCCGCAATTTCGCGTAAGATTTGCCACTAGACATTTCTTTTTCGAAAAGTATGCTATTTTGCGTCAATTTACATGCTTTTCAAAAATTGAATCCACCCCCTTTAAACAAAGCCAAAATTCCGCAATTTTGCGTCAATTTACATGCTTTTCAAAAATTGAATACACCCCCTTCAAACAAAGCCAAAAGTCCGCAATTTTGCGTCAATTAACATGCTTTTCAAAATTTGAATACACCCCCTTTAAACAGATCGAAAAGTCCGCAATTATGCGTCAATTTACATGCTTTTCAAAAATTGAATACACCCCCTTTAAACAAAGCCAAAAGTCCGCAATTTTGCGTCAGTTAACATGCTTTTCAAAAATTGAATACACCCCCTTTAAACAGATCGAAAAGTCCGCAAATTGGCGTCAAGTGGAAAATCGACGAAAAAAAAACGAATTAGTGTTTTTTTTAGCACATGTGTACAACATGTTTAGCGTGAGCCCAAAAAGAAAATATTTGCGTTTTCGAAGAAGCAGAGAAGAGCCCAATAACAAACACACACACAAAACTGGCGAACTGGCAACTCGAAGGCCGGTTGGCATGGCAAACTGACACCCAAAACATATTAGTTAGACGCATTTCGCGCCAATTTGTGGCCCAATTAACGTCGACATCATTTTCTGTGCATTTTGTCGTCAATTATGGTGTTTTTATTTAGCGCTCAATTTTGATTAAAATTGCGCGACTTTTTTTTTTGCTTAAAGGGGGTGTCGCTCTTGTGTATTTTGTCGTCAATTATGGTGTTTTCGATTTTAAAGAGAGTTTCGCAATCAGACAACTCCAACAATTCTCGATGCTCGCTTTTCTGCAATTTCTCGTCAAATGGGGTGTTTTCTGCGCAATTGAGCTCAATCGATCGAAATTCGAAAGTCTGTGTAATTTTTCGTCAAAAATTGTACGGTCTCGTCGAATTCGCATCGTTTAAAGGGTGTGACCATCGCCAGTGTGCAAATTGGCGTCAATTATCGCGTAATTCGGTTAGTTATGCATTTGCGCGTCGATTAGAAGACCCCCCTCTCCCTCGACGCAAATTTGTTGCCGTTTGTCTGTTTCAAAACCGAGGGAGCTGGGCGGGGGGTCGTTGTGTGCAATATGTCGTCAGATATGATGCATTAATTGCCATTAATGGAACTATTGCAAAGAATGTGTGCAATTGTGCGTGAAAGTGCAATCTGGCGTCAAATTCGATGACGAATTGATGATGAGCGACACACAAATCAAATCTGTGTGCAAAATGTCGTCAATTAAAGCGCAAATTCAATCAACGTGCAGAATGTCGTCAATTATGGTGCAAAGTCCGCAACAAACAAAAAAGTGCAGGCAGGAAACAAAAAAAGCGAGAAATCATGAAGAGGAAGTCGTCGCGGAAGTCAATTAGTGTGTCGATTGGCTCACGGCCAAAACCAACCAAAAAATTGGTGACCAGCGAAATCTTTTATTTATTTTTTTCTTCGTCGAGCTTCTTCTCCCCGATGGGCGTGGCCTAATTTGACGCCTCCGATCGCCGAAATCTCGTTAGCGCCACCGATTTTTTTTTTCTCTCTCTCTCTCTCTCTCTTTCGGACCACTGACGTCCGCGTTGATTGCCTTTGTTGATGACGACGTCGGCGAAATGAGATTGGTCTCAGCGGATGGATGGCTATGCGCCTTTAAGTTTGAGATATGCATCTTGGAACATTTGGGTATGCGCCTTTAAATTTGAGATATGCATCTTGGAACATTTGGGTGTGCGCCTTTAAATTTGAGATATGCATCATGGAACATTTGAGTATGCGTCTTTAAATTCTAGATGTACGCTTTCAAATTGCGGCTATGTGCCTATAAATTTGTGATATGCCCCTTTAAACATTTGGGAATGTGCCTTTAAAATTCTAGCAATGCGCCTTTAAAGCTCCCTTCTTTACTGGTATCATTATGAACCTTTAAATTTTGAACCAAAAAAAAAACAATGCGCCTTTAAAATTGGCAAATTCTCGTCGAAAAATTTGTTTCGCAAAATATTTCAAAACACAAAAAAATCGATATTTTTTAGCCAAACTCATTAGAGCGACAAAAATTAAAAAAAAAAAAAAGAAAACGCAGAAAATCTCAAATTGCGCCTCTCCCGCCGCGAAATAATTAGCTTTTCACATGTTGGTTGGAAAAAAAAGCGAAAGTCGACAAAAAAATAATAATAATGGTCAAATTTATTCTCAATTAAAAAAAAAGAAACCGGGACGAATCTAAAATTAAAAAAAAATCTTTTGATCTATCTTTATGAATTTAAAGGAGCAGATGCTTCTCGAGACAATCGCATCGTTTTTTGCCGTCGGATTTGAATTTCGATTTGTTGAGCTGCACCATCTTGGAGTTGGACGAGCTCATCGTTGAGTTGGCGTAGATGCGCTGCATTTCGCGCAGCTTCTCGTTGTAGGGCGCGCTGCGACGCGCGCGGGTCTCTAAAAGACAACGGCTACTGTAGAATGTGGTACGGTATCACTAGTGGGTGTGAGTTGGGCTACTGTAGCACTAGTTCAACGCCTTCCTACTGTAGGTAATTACCGAATTTCGACGTGGTGTACATCTCGCTGTGCGCCTCATTCAGCCGCTCGCGTTCCTCCAAATAAATCAACTTCAATTGCTCGGAGAGAGCATCTGAAAAGAAGGGACCATCGAAAAAAAAGTGAATGGGGGGGGGGGGGACCATTGGAATTAAAAGGAGTCTCAATGTTGAACGACGAGATTTGAGGAAAATCATTGAGAGCGGTAGATCAAATGAGAGATTCTCCGAAATTTGCCCTCGATTTAGTGGCAATGCAAAAAAAATCAATGGTAGATCAAAATTGGTGATCTCTAAATTTCGCGTTTCCCCCTCAATTAAATGGAATCGAAAAAAATCAATTGTAGATCAAAATTGGGATTTTCCAAATTTGGGTGTTTGCCCTCAATTCAATGGCAATGCGAAAAAAAAATCAAAGGAAGATCAAAATGGGAAATTTCGCGTTTCCCCTTAAATTCGGTCCAATTGAAACCACACCAATTTTGAGGGTAGATCAAAAAAATAAAAACTTGGTTACCGTACAAGAACTTCTCCCACGCGTAGAACGTCTGGAATTTGAAGTTTTTCGCGTCCAAATTGTGCATTTTGCAAAAATTGGAGATCAACGAGCGCACGAGGATCTTCTCCTGCACTTTGCCGTATTGGATTTGCATTCGTTTGAGATGCGTCAACTCCTGGAATATCGCCTTCTCGTGAATGTAGCGACCGTTCGCCGTGGGACCTGAAATCATTTTGTCGAGTTGGCCTAGCGAAAATGGTCCCGAAACGTTGAATTGTTTTTTTTTTTTTGAAAATTTTGAAAAGCTTCGAAATCTTCCGAACCGAATAATGACGGCGTTCCATCATCCTCATCATCATCGAAATAGAATTCGACGTCGCCGCCGTCGTTGCCGATTTCGGGCTCGCGTCGAACTCTCAACATGATTTTGTTCTTCTTCGGCGCCTTCTTCTTCTTCTTCTTCGCCGACGACGACGACAATTTCTTCGTCTCATCGATTTTCACTTCTTTTCTTCGCTGTCTACCATCATCATCGTGCTCATCTTTCTCGGCTTCATCGTCGTCGTCGTTGTCGGACAACGGCGGAAGCTCCTGAAAATATTGAAAATCTCATCACTCCCATTTTTTTGGAATTTTGATTTTTGTGCTGCACGCTTTCAGCCAGCACCCCTCTTATCATCGGAGTTTTGCGCTATCAAAATTGTGCGGCGATCACAGGTAAAACGCGGTGACTCTGTGGTGGGTAGAAAGTGGGTAGCCACATCTATAATTAAATATAAAATAATATAGAAAAATACTGAAGAATTCGAAAAAAAACGAGAAGAAAACGAGTGAAAATAATGTTTTCGAAAAATTAAATAATTCAAATCCACGGCACGCAACGCGTCGCTGTTCCACCGACACGCGTTGCGGTCCCGCCGAGTGCGCTAGAGCAGAGCAGATTCAAACGCTATGGCTATATTGTGGCTGACATTCTACCCATTTTGGACCCATCGCGTACACTTACCCACTTTCTACCCACCACAGAGTCACCGCGTTTTACCTGTGATGGTTGAGAGGAGAGCGTATGCGCTCTCGCACGTTTTGTGCGGGTTCGATCCCCCTCCAAACTTCGCCCTATTTTACAACTACTCTTGATCTCAAATTTCCCTATTCACTCGGTAAATCACAGCGGACGCCGCGCGGACGCGTTTCTATAGAAAAAATTGGCGGACGCCGCGCGGACGTTGTAACGGACGAGCAGCAGAGTCAGAGCGGACGCCGATGATCGAAAATTCGCGGACACCGCGCGGACGCACATATCGGATACCGCGCGGACGAATGACGGTATCCGCGCGGACGATATCGTCCGACGGACGCATATCGGACGCACAGCGGCGTCCGCTCTGACGCTGCTGCTCGTCCGTTGAGCGTCCGCGCGGTGTCCGCTGTGATTTACCGAGCACCTTCTGCTAACCGTACCTCGAAATCATCGTCCAAATCGATTCCGTCAACGTGCAACGGCTCGACGTCGAGTTTCGTCGGCTCGTCGACATCGCCATTTTTTTCGCCGCCATTTTCCAGACTCGTCACCGACGTCGATTTCGACACTTTTCGCTTCAAACGGCTCTCGTCCGCCGATTTTGTGGATCTCGTCTGCAATTTATTTCCAGGTGGATTGCTGTACGTCTAGTTGGCGAGAATGCCTCATTTGAGAGCAAACTCCAATCATCGGATTACGGTAGGCTTGAATTCGACTACTTAATTTTTTCATCCAATTTTAGGCTACATTCTATTTATGCTACAATATTTTGATATTTATCGTCATCATCATATGATATATAAAATCTGGCTATGTGCAATCCATAGAGTGCAAAAAAACGAGAGTTGGGGGAATCGCAAACAGCAGAACATTTCACCCCGAAGCGGGATCGAACCCACGACCTCGAGTTTATGAGATCCAAAATTTCAGCCACTGCGCTATTGCGCCACCACAAGCAGGGTGCTCTAAGGCGGTGATAAACTGGCAACTGGGGCACTTCAAATTTTTAGCCAATTTTCCGCTACGATTACAATTCGCGAAAAAAGGTTGATTTTGATCTACCGTCGTGTTGACACCAACGTCGGCGATCTCCTTCGAATCGCCGACGTTGTCGGCCGTCGATGGTCGCCGCAAATTGTTGAGGCGCTTCTCGCGTAGTTGCTCGATCATCCGATCGCGTTCCTGTTTCGCTTCAAACCAATTGATTTGCCATTATCATTCTTTTGGATTTCAACCTTTTCGAACGGTCGCCTCGAACGAGTCGCGCCATTCGCGAATCGCCTCGGGCGTGAAGTCGTCGCGCGATTTCGCGCCGTGCACGTTCCGCAAATAGTCGACGACGTCGGCGTGCTTCTGCTCGACGGCGAGATCGAGTGGCGTGTAGACGTCGTTCTAGAATTATTGTGGTTTTCTACCGACAAAAAAGAAACGCGCCCTATTGAAATGTCTCGCTGTCTAGCACCCTCTCACTCTCTCTCGCTCTCTCTGTGCTTCTCGCCCTCTTTTATTCTCTGCGTCTCTCGCACCCAGCACTCTAATTTCTCTGCGTCTCTCGCACCCGGCACTCTAATTTCTCTGCGTCTCTCGCACCCAGCACTCTAATTTCTCTGCGTCTCTCGCACCCGGCACTCTAATTTCTCTGCGTCTCTCGCACCCAGCACTCTAATTTCTCTGCGTCTCTCGCACCCGGCACTCTAATTTCTCTGCGTCTCTCGCACCCGGCACTCTAATTTCTCTGCGTCTCTCGCACCCAGCACTCTAATTTCTCTGCGTCTCTCGCACCCCACACTCTAAATTCTCTGCGTCTCTCACACCCCACACTCTAAATTCTCTGCGTCTCTCACACCCCACACTCTAATTTCTCTGCGTCTCTCGTACTTCTCTAGTGTTTCTTGTATAATGCCGGGGGGGGGGGGGCACTTTCTCCCACATCAATCTTTGGGACCACAATAATTTTTTTCGGGGTTTATCCACCTTTATCGTCATCAATGGCTGAATATAGCAGTTTTTCGAGCAGAATAGAATGATGAGCTCGAGATTGCCTAAAAAATCCTAATTTTTTCGGGTTTCATTCATTTTTTGACCTGCGGCGGCGGCGAGATGCATCGCCGTTCGGCCGTTGTGATTCGGAGTGTCGAGCACCGAATCGTCGCGCGACAGAATCCATTCGACGACGTCTACAATTTGAGAATGCGTTTTTTTCCGGCCAAAATTCGCGCATTTTTGCACATTTTCGCCACAAATTGCGATTTTTGAGGCATTTTTCATAAAAAATCGACATAAACTCGAATTCTTGGTGATTTTCGCCAATTTTAGCAAAAAAAAACATAATTTATTTTTTTGGCGATTTTTCAACGAAAAATTGTTGTAAAAATGTAAAAATAATTCATTTTTCTTAATTTTTCAAATAAAAAAACCAACACTTTTGGGAAATTTTTCGATTTTTCCACATTTTGTTTGAAAAAAATCGCATTTTAATGAAAAAAAATTCGATTTCTACAAAAATCTCGCATTTTATCAGCGTTTTCATCGAAAAATGCTGCGATTTTTGACAATTTGCCACAAAATTCTTGATTTTTGTCGATTTTTCGACGTTTTTGTCAGATTTTTCAAAAAATTTGTCGAAAATTTCAATTTTTCGCGCATTTTCTGAGAATTTTCGTTTAAAATAAAAATTTTGCACAAAATTTTCGATTTTTCGCGCATTTTTTGAGAATTTTCGTTTTAAATGAAAATTTTGCACAAATTTTTCGATTTTTCGCGCATTTTTTGAGAATTTTTGTTAAAAATAAAATTTTTTTTCTAAAAACTTCCGAAAATGCTACCTTTGCTGCCGGATTGAACCGCTTCGTGAAACGGAAGATCGCCGCGATAATTCGAAATGTCGAACGATGCATTATAGTGCTTCAGAAGCTTCAGCATCCTCATTTGGCCTTTCGAAGCGGCACAATGGCACGGAGTTCGAAGGCGTTGATCCTGGAAAATTCAAAAATCTCGGAATTTTTGAGCAAAAATTCAAAAAAATTGACGTTTTTTGAGCCAAAATATGCCAAAATTGAGTTTTTCGACAATTATTGCCAATTTTTTTGTGAACCTGAAACTTTCGAGATTTTTGGGAATTTTTCTATATTTTATCGAAAATTGTGAAATAAAAATCAATTGTTGGTCAAAAACTCAAAAAATAACTTTTTTTGAGTAAAAATAGATTTAAAAAATTGTCTTTGACTTTAGAATCCCAAATTTTCGCAAAAATCTGAGATTTTTGAGAAATTTTCAATGAAAATCGAGATTTTCACCACAAAAGTCTCAATTTTTTGCAAAAATTCACATTTTTAGTGGGATTTGCCGAAAAAATGAATAATTTATCTTTAAAACATCCGTTTTTGGTTAATTTTTCACGGAAATTAAGCTTTTCATTCGAAACTCTCATTTTAAACTCAAAAATCGACAATTTTTCGAGATTTTTCAATTTTTTTCATCAAAAATCGTCTAAAACAGGTATTTTATTAAAAAATTGTCAATTTTTGCGCAAAAATTCCAAAAAATGACGTTTTTTCGAAGAAAATGGTGTCAAAATTGAGAATTTCAAAAATATTGTCAATTTTTTCGTGAAATCCTCAAATTTTCGAGATTTTCAATTTTTTTTCCGCCAAAAATTTCTCAAAATTGCCAATTTTTGTGCAAAAATTATAAAAAATGGCGTTTTTTCGAGAAAAAATGCGTCAAAATTGAGAATTTCAACAAATATTGTCAATTTTTTCGTGAAATCCTCAAATTTTCGAGATTTTCAGTTTTTTTGCCAAAAATTTCTCTAAATTGTCAATTTTTTAGGCAATTTTCAGTCAGAAAATTGAAAATTTTTCGCCGATTTTTCGCCGATTTGCTCACCTGATGATTCGGATTCGCTCCATTCTGAAGCAATTTCAACGCCGACTCATAATGGCCGAAGGTGACGGCGTAGAAGAGAGCCGTGTGACCGGCACGATCCTGATCATCGACTTTCTCGCGCGAAACTCGACTCATATAGTATTCGATGACCTGAAATTGGGCAATTTTGGCGGGAAATGGCGAAAATTCGCCACCTCGTGATAGCCGTGGCTCGCCGCGCAGTGGAGAACACCAAGGTTGTCCTTGTCCTTCGCCATTATGTCGCCACCCGAATTCTGGAGCACCTTCATCGCCTCGACATTGCCTAAAATGGTCGGTGAGGCTTCATCTCATTCCCATTTTATTTTGGTTCGCTTGCCATTACTGGCGCACCAGAGGATCGGCGTTCGATGGTCCTTATCGCGCGCGTTCGCGTCGCCGCCGTTTCGCAGCAATTTCACGATGACCGCCTGCTCGAGCTCGACGCCGATCTCGTCGGACACCGTCGAATAGTGGATCGGCGTCGCTTCTTGCTGCAAAACCAGAGTTTTTTGAATTGTCGTCAATTCTGGCCAGGATTGGCTTAATGAAAATCATCTGCGGACAATTTTCGGGGACACATTTTTACACTTTTCGACATCCGCGTGAAAAATGCGATTTTTTGCGAAAAATTGCACGAAATTTGGGATTTTCAGCGAAAAAATTCCATTTTTTTTTCAAAAAATTGCATAAAATTTAATGATTTCACCGAAAACATGCGATTTTGGCGAAAAAATGCAAAAAATTTGAAAAATTCATCGAAAAATGCAATTTTTTCGAAAAACTGCTCAAAATTTGAAATTTTCGTCGAAAAAATGCGAGTTTTGCGAAAAATTGCACAAATTTTGAGAATTTCGTCGAAAAAAATGCGATTTTTGCGAAAAATTGCACAAAATTTGAGAATTTCGTCGAAAAAATGCGAGTTTTGCGAAAAATTGCACAAATTTTGAGAATTTCGTCGAAAAAATGCGTTTTTTGCGAAAAAATGCGCAAAATTTGAGAATTTCGTCGAAAAAATGCGAGTTTTGCGAAAAATTGCACAAATTTTGAGAATTTCGTCGAAAAAATGCGATTTTTGCGGAAAAATGCTCAAAATTTCAAATTTTTGCACTAAAATTGCGTATTTTGTTTGAAAATCACGATTTTCTTGAAATTTTCCAATTTCAACTACAAATCTTCAAAATTTCTTGCGTTTTTTGCGCTAAAGTGAAAAAATTTGGAAAACGCTTTTCGAATATATTTTCCAATCTGCGGACACTCATCGAGGCGCCTCAATGGGAGAGTCGAAGTTTGATGAATCGCATCTGCGGACAATTTTCGCACCGATTTGTCGCGTGCATTGACGGCGACGTTTTTGTCCAACGCCCACTGCAATCCCGCCAATTGTCCGCACACCGTCGCCCAGTGCACCAAATTGTGTCCGTCGTTGTCCGAATGGTGCACGTTGGCGCCGCGTTGCGCCAAAAACTCGGCCACGTCGATTCGACCCACCATTATCGCGTTCAGAAGCGGGGTGTACCTGAAAACAAAATGGGTGAAGCTCAAACAAAAATTTGACCAGGAAAAAAACCCATTTTTGTCGGTGCTGTCCAAAAGCGTCGGATCGGCGTCGAAGATTCTGGTGAACGTCTCCACATCGCACATTTCGGCGGCGTAGTGAAGGGCGCTTCGTTGATCGTCGTCGCGAACGTCGATCTCCTCCTGAATTGCGCATTTTTCTCATTTTTTTTAGTCTTGTCAATATGCATCTGCGGACAATTTCACGCTTTGTTAGGTGAATCTCAAAATCGGCGTCAATTCGACTTGAAATAATGAATCAGCAATTTTCATGAAGCGAATAAGACCGAAGCGAATTTCGACGATTTGCGCTGCGTTTTATCAATTCCCATCTGCGGACAATTTTCGGGTTTTCAAAAATCCGGAAAAAACGCAATAACTTACCGGCATTGTGTCGAGAATCCGCAAAATCTCATCAGTCTCGCTCGAATCGATGGCGCGAATCAGCGACATCGGGGCGGAAATTCGAATTATTCCTGAAAATCGCGAACGCGATTAAACCGATTAAGCCAAATCTCATCTGCGGACAATTTCGCGGGAGTTGATGGCGAGAAAAGCATAACAAAATGAAATCAGCATGCATCTGCCGACAAATTGCGGGTTTCGAAGTGGCAGACTAAAAAAACTCGACGAATTTGGCGAATTTTTCCGATTTCATTTCAACAAAGCCATCTGCGGACAATTTTCGAGGTTTAAGAGTCTTGACAAAAATCATCTGCGGACATCTCACAAGGGAAAAATTCTTGCGATTTCCTTTTGTAGCAAGCAAGATAGACGTCGCTTCAATTGAGAACTCGCATCTGCGGACAACGATGCGGGTTTTTGTCCATATGCGATTTTCGCCGAAAAAACGGTGCAAGACGGTGAAAAATTGCGAAAAATATCGAATTTTTCCGACGAAAACGCCGAAAATTGGTCGAAAAACGTAGTAAAACACAAAGTGAGCGGCAGAAGCTCTCTTTCTTTTCTTTCTGCTCACACGAGTTGGCCGAAAATCGGTTGTCACGACAACGTGTTGCGTGATGATGGCGGCGAGATGAAAAATTCATCGAATCATCGACGCTTTGACGGCAGTTTTGCGCGAAAGAGGAAAATTGAGAGCGAAATTCGCGAAAAATGCGGTTTTTTTTTTGAGAAAAATTGCCCAAAATTTGACGATTTCGGAGGAAAAATGGGATTTTTGCGAAAAATTGCACAAAATTTGAGATTTTCGTCGAAAAAATGCGATTTTTGCCAAAAACTGCTTAAAATTTCAGAATATCGTCGAAAAAAAAAATTTTTGCGAAAAATCGCACAGATTTTTTTTTGAGAATTTTCGCACTAAAATTGCCAATTTCGTTCGAAAATCACGATTTTTCATAAATTTCTTGAAATTTTCCAATTTCAGGCTGAAATTTTTCAAATTTTTGGAATTTCTCGTGATTTTCGTGCAAAAAAATCAAAAAAGTTGGAAATTTTGCATTTTTTTGCATAAAATTGCGAGCAACGTTAAAAATCAAAAAATCTTCAGCGGGACAAGAATATTTATTATTTTTTTCGAGTTTTTTCAACGAAAAATTTAAAAAATCACTTAATTTTGCTCAAAAATCGCCAATTTTCATTCAAAAATTGGTAAATTTGTAGTTTTTGTACATTTAGCATCGGATTAAATGTCCTTCTATTTGTGTATTCGCTTCATTGTTGACATTTCAGCTTCAAGACAGCACATGTCGCAAAAAATGCCGCTTTTCTCATTTTTCTCAGGTAAAACTTGCAAATTTTTGCGTTTTTCTTGACCCCGAGTTGTCCGCAGATGGAAATATTCGAATTTTTTGCAATTTTTCATTTAAAAACTCACTTTTCGGCTTTTTGAAAACCTCGAAAAATGTCCGCAGATGGAAATACTTGAATTTCAAAAATTTGCGTTTTCCCTTAACAGGATTTGCCCAACATTTTAAACCCGCGAGTTGTCCGCAGATGAGAATATTCGAATTTTCGGCAAATAATTGGCGCAAATAATCAGATCTTCATCATTTTAGATGAAAAATCGCAAAAATTGCCAATTTTCGACAATTTTTGGTTATAAATCCCTCAAATTCGACACATTTTCGATTTTCGACGACAAAAAACAGATGGACGCCGCCGACAACCAGATGCTCGACCTTCACCAACACATATGAAAGCAGATTTGAATTGCCGCGCTTGGCGTCGCGCCAAGACTCCGCCCATTTCGCGCGGGCGCCACATTTGAATTGTCCAATTCGTTTTTTGGACGCGTCGCCGGCCTAAAATGCGCATTTTCGATGGGTTTTTGGCGATTTTTTGCAATTTTTCGTCGAAAATTGGAATTTTCGTCGATGGTTCGAGCTGGGGACCATGAAAATTTCGCGAAATTTCTCAGTGAACCCCATTTGCCGGATTTTCACCGCAAAAAATTTTTTTTGGGGTTTTTCGAAATATTCAAAAAAAAATTCGAATTGCACTCAAAAAACCGGTTTTTTTGTGCGAAATTTCATCATCGTTCCGTTTTTGCGCGAATAAATCATCTAATTTGTCGATTTTTCCATTTTTCGACGCCCGAAACCCTCAATGGTCCCTAAAAATTTGGCAAAATTTTAGTCGAAACATTTCGCAATTCATGATTTATCAAAAAAATCGTGATGGTCCACAGACGGGGAAAAAAGAGAAATTGGGTCATGAAACACATGTCGCTTCGAATTTCATCAAAAAATAGGCGATTTTGACGCTTTTCGGCCGAAAATTCGCTTTTTCCAACAATTTTCGCTTAAAAATGCAAAAATGCCAACCCGCAAACTTGTCCGCAGATGGTTTTCTCCAAGTCAATCCTCTAAAATTTCTTGCCATTTGCGCTCCACATTTTTCAAAAACCCGCGAGATGTCCGCAGGTGAAATTTCTCATTTGGATTTTCACATCATCGGGGGAATTCTTGAAAAAAATAGCCGACAAAGTGCAATTTTTTGGCATTGATAAAAAATTTCTATTTTTAAATCTGTAATGTTTCGTTTTTTTTTGTGTCATTCTGCAAAATAAAGAAAAAGAAAACGTCCGACGTTAATATAAATTGTTGTCGTTCTTTTTTTTGTGTTTTCTCTCGCTGATTCATCGCGCTGTACGAACGAATGCATAAACGCACACCAAAACCGACGACAATATTTGCGTTCGCTTTTTTTTATTCGACATTTGGTTTTTTTCGAATTTCTATTCGAATTTCCACGCGAAACGTCGCTGGATCGATGCCGCCTTGAAATTTTTGCACTTCCTCCCTCCCGCGTGCTTAGGTGTTTTTGCTCGGTGGTCCCGCGTGAATTTGAGATTGTCAGAGAGGACTCGAGTGCAAGAGAGAGAGAGAGAGAGTATTGCTTTTTAGGAGACGCAGACACCCATGATGCCCTGATAAAATGAAAAGGCCTCGAGTCCTCATGATTTTCGTGCATCTCTCATGTTTCACTCGGTGGTCCCCACATCCTACGCAATTTTAGCCCCCACCTGCCTCTCCAGCGGCCTATTATTCTTTTCGGATTGGTATTGTCTCTGATAATTTGCTGTACCAATCGGTGCGACCGAAAATCTGTCGATAATTGCGGCGATTAGGCTCGAGCGCTTTTTTGGATTATAATTGCTCATTTTTCGTTATTCTTTTGAGAAAAACCAATGGTTTTCGATAGAGTTTTAGTTTTTAATAACAAAAATCACAAAAATCAATTTTATTTTAAGAAAAAGACCAAAAACAAGATTTAATTAAAAAAAAAATAAAAGAATAAAAAAGTCGGGTACGGTATGCGTGGGAATCTGCAGTACACCGGCGCGTCAAATTGCACAATTATTTTTCGAAGCTGTTTCGATTTTTTCGAATTTTTTTCGTGTTTTCCCCAAAATTTTGCAAATTTCTTTATTATTTTCAGTTTTTTTTCGTCGAAAATCGAAAATAATTTGAAAATTAGAATATTTTAGGTGCAATTTTGCCGATTAGTATCAATTTTTCATGAGATTTTTGAATGTTAGCCTAATTATTTATTTTTACTCGCGAAATGTGAAATTATGATTGGATTTCAAGCAATTTTTGAAATTTTCAAAACAAATTGCAATGTTTCCATGATTTTAAGGAGAATCATGTTGGAAATTTTAATTTTCATGGTTTAAAATCGAAAAAAATCTCGAATTTTGCGCTGAAAATCGACGATTTCCATCAAAATCCGCATAAATCATTAGACGAAGCTGCAAATTGGTTTGTTTTTGTCGACGACGCTGTTTTATGCGTTCAATTCATCGCCAATTCGGCTCCTCAAATCACCCATTTTATTTTCCATTGGTTTTCTCGGGTTTTCGCCGACTCTCTGACCATATATGTCGACAAATTGATGGTTTTTCGACGATTTTATTGAATTTTTGATAGTTTTTCGTTGAAAATGCGCATTTTTCTTTCGAAAATCCGCAATATTTGAATTTCTCATTCATGCCCAGACGCATTTCCCACACATTATTCGTTTGTTGATGACACTCGTACCTTTTTTACTCATTTCCCCACGTTTTATTCGATTTTCAACCCAATTATGGTCATATTGACGTAGAAAATTTGAATTTTGCTCGAAAATTATGGCCTATCTTCAATGTGGCATTAGCGATTTCGATGAATTGCAGGTTTTGAACGACGACGACGAAATTTCTCGGATTTTGACGAGAAACGCAACAAATTCGACGCATTTTTCAAGGTAGGAAAATTTGATTCGAAAAATCCACAAAAAAACATCGAAAATCATCAATTTTCGTGTGAAATTAGATTTGTACTTGAAATTTTTAAAGTTTTTTGAGGAAAATGGACACGAAACCCCTATTTTTAAGCGAAATCCTTGATTAAATTGATAAACTTTGCAAATATCAATTAAATTATGCTTTTATTTAAAAAAAAATACAGTTTTGCTACAAATTGACAAAAAAAAAGGAAAATCAAGCATTTTAATTTAAATAATTGGAGGAATTTGCGATTTTTCATCAAATTGCTGGATTTTTGCTGTAAAATCCAAGAATGTTTGTGGCAAATAATTGAAATATGTTAAATGGGCTACAAATCTTCAAAATTTCTCATAAATTTGGATTCTTATGAAATCATGAAAGGTGTAATCGAAAAATTGAAAAATTTTGGGCAAATTAGCAAATTTTTTTTGGGGGAAAATCGCAAAAAAACTAAATTTTAAAAAATTTTACCTTCAATCGAGTGGGAAAAGCCCAAAAATGTTGATTTTTTTGAAAACTCCCAATTTTGATTAAAAAAATTTTTGAATTGCCGAAATGTGGCGATATTTGTAAGCCGATATTATTATTTTTTTTTTCTTCTTCGTTTTTTCTTTTTTGATTATTTCTTGCATGCATGTGAATGCGTTTCTCGCTGTTTTGCCGCGTCGTCGCCGTCGTGCAAAAAAAAAAGAAAGAAATTGTGTGTTTTCTTGCTTGCTTGCTTTCTTGCCTGCCGTTTTTTTTTTTGAGTTCTTCACTCCTTTTTTGGCCTACTCGGTATGTATGGCGCTTCTCATCGCGGCGTTCTCTCCTCGTTTTTCACACCCATTTTTTTGGTTGGCTATGTTTAATTCGAAAATGCCCCGTCGCGATTTTTGAAATTCGACCTCAATTTGCTTGAAATCGCCTTCGAAATTCGAGTTTTTTTGAATTCTCGCAATGTTTTGCAGAGAAAATCCAAATTTCAACGGTATTCTTTAATTTTTGCGCTGAAAATCGGTGCCAAAATGCTGAAAATCGAAACTATCTGCACGAATTTCTTGCTTTTGGCGATTTTTTGTTAAAAATTGCGCGATTTTTCTTAAATTCGAAAATTTCAACAAAATTTGGGTGGAAAAATTGAACTGAAATTTTCCACAATTCAATTTTTAAGCATCTTCTTTCAAAGTGTTCAAATTTGAAGTTTTCTTTTTTGTGATTTTCTGTCAAAATTTGCTATTTTTGAGTAAAAAAAGCTCATTTTGGAAAATTCTTTTGAAAATTTCTTGTTTTTTGATCAAAAAAATTCATATTTATCGATTTTCCTTCAAAAAAATGCTGTTCATTTCGGATTTTGGTGCTTCGACCTCAAAAAAAGAGCCGAAAATTGCCCAAGCATGCTCAGAAATTCATTGAAATGAACACGTTTTATTGTTATTTGAGGTTCGACCTTATTTGGCCTTGAAACGAAATCAAATTTATTCAAGATCGTCATCTTTTCTTTATTCGTCGCCATATCTGTCTCGTCTTGCAACATTTCGGGGCGTCGCCGCCTCGTTTACACTTCATTCGACCTCGCCGTATCGTTTCATTCAAATTTCCCATATTTTGGACCATTTTCGCATTTTTCCACAAGAAAATTGTAGAATTTGCCGAAAAATCGCCACTTTTTCAATCAATTTCGTCCAAATTTCAGTGTTTTTTTTTTGAAATCGCATCCAATTTTGAGAATTTCCGCGAAACACTCGAGTTTTGTTCTTAAAATTGAGCTTTTCGTAAAAAAAAATGCGCATTAATTATTCGAAATCGACACGCCAGCGGTCCTCTGGAGAATTAGTGGTCCGGGACCCGCCGCTATTTTTTTTTTGTCTTTCCCACCAAAAGCTCAGATTTTGCACGCGCGCACTGATTTCCACAGCGTTTTGACCTTTTCTTTCTTTTTTTTCACGATTTTGATGAAAATCACCGAAAATTTCGGATTTTCGATTAAAATTTGCCGAAATTTTGTCCAATTTTTTATAAAAGAATCACAATTGATGGGAAATTGCGCACTAATGAACCGTTGAATTGTTGACGATCGTCGCTGTTTGACCTCGAACACCAATTAAGGCGATTCGAGAGGAAAACAGATTGGCGTGTTGGATTTTCGCCAAAGAAACCGCGAAAAATGACGAATTCGGCCTCGAACAATGTCAGATGGCGAAGCCCGAAAGATTGTCGGCAGCAAGAATATGATTTTGCCTGGGGGCACGCGATTTGTCCGTGTGGACTACACGGACCGTTTTGTCAAATTTCGATGTTTTCTCGTCTTATCAATACGCAAATAGTGAAAACGAGCAATATTTGCGAGTTTTTGGAGGAAGATTGAATAAAAATGCCAGTTTTTGCGATAATTTCGCGCTTCAATCAGAATTTTTCGTTTTTTTTTTTTTGTGGATTTTGTGCCGACACTTTCGAATTTCTCCCAGAAAAAAAAAAGAGCGAATCTAATTAAAAAAGTTGGTTGAGATTCACCAATTTTCCGACGAATTGACGGCGAAAAAAAAAGAAAATTTGATTTTTCGCCAAATCGCATTTTTTTTTCGTCTTGTCGGTCGCAAAATTACGATTTCCAGCCGCATTTTAATTGTAGCGCTCGTTTTCACTGTTTGCGTTTTGATAAGACGAGAAAACATCAAAATTTTCTCGCCGATGCCTAATTTTTAATCAATCTCGTCAAATTTTTTACCTAAAACATATTTTCGACAAATTTTTGCCAAGTGTTTTATTTTTTTCCCCCGCCGATCTGCCGACATTCTTCCGGGTTAGAAACGAGTCATGTGCGTTAAAAAAAATGGGCCTGCGGACAATTTTCCGGGCCAAATGGCTCATTTAAAAAAAATCAATTTTGATTCGCAAAAATATGTCAAATTTTGAATGCTATTGGGAAATTCTTAAAATTTATCCATCTGCTGAAATTTTTTTTGCATTTTTGCCAAGAATTCCCAATTTTTTTTTCAATTTTCTCAACCAGTTTCATGATAGGCGGTTCGAAACTGATAAGATTCGATGATTCATGCGAATTTCTTCCCAAATTTTGCAATTTTAATGAAATTCTCTGCAGGTATTCATCAAACAGCCGGTCCATCGTTCCAATCATGCGCTTCATCATCGCCGTCGCCTTATTTGCACTTGGTATGTCAATATTTTGATGAGTCGCCTTGAGAAAATGGATTTGGTGGAGAAATATTGAAAACATCAAACAGTTGATGCGGGTTTTAAGTGAAATTCGACCAGGTCCGATTTGTGACGATGGAATTGCTGAAAAATTTTGAAATTCTCAATTTTTGACATTTTTTTTCCAAATTTTTTGAAAGTAATTCTCAATTTTTGACATTTTTTCCAAATTTTTTGAATGTAATTCTCAATTTTTGACATTTTTTCCAAATTTTTGAAATTAATTCTCAATTTTTGGCATTTTTTGCAAGATTTTTGTCGAAAAAAAATTGGTGTTGACATTTTTTCGCTGAAAATTACATTTTTTTTCTACGGTTTTAAGACGAAACATGCTATCAGATAGAAATTTGCCTCAACTGAAAAGTGCGTTTTCGGGTCAACAAAATGGTGTTATCAAATGCGAAAATCTTGCGCCAACATTTTCGCGGCGCAATGAAAAACTTTTTGGATTGATGAATTTTGGGCGAAAATGCGCCATTTGGAGGCATTTTTGGACCGAAATACTAAAATTTTCGCCAATTTTTGATTGAAAATCCCGAAATTTGCAGAATTTTTGCTTAACGGAGCAATAATTGATCAATTTGAGGTTTTATGGCTAGTTTTCGACGAATTTTTTTTTGGCAATTTTCAGAGAAATTGCCCAAAATTAGCCTATAATTGGTCCATTTAGAGAAAAGTTTTTGGGAAAATTCAAAATTGCGTCTTGAAATTATCCATCAGTTATCCTAATTGGCCGATAATTGAAAAATTGTGAAGTTGATTTTTTTTTGGAAATGTTTCGCGCTTGGATTTTTCACCAAAAATTGGCATAATTAGCCAAATATGGGAAAATTTTTTGACACTTTTAAGTTTGGGTCCTGAATTTTTTAAATCAATTCTCCTAATTAGTCGATAAATGATTAATTGTGCATCAAAATTTTGTGGCGTCGCCCAAATTGGACTATTTTCTTTGGAAAAAAAGGAAGAAAAGTGGATTTTTTCGAGAAAATTGCCGATTTTCAGGCGTCCACGCATCGAAACACGTCTCGGATGTGCGCGCGATTGGCAATTTGCAAGTGGTGATCGCCGGCGAGACGCTTTTCACCACCGACATCGACGAGAATCGGCCGCCGACACCCGATTTGTGGTATTTTCGCACGAGAGAAAATCGTTTTTGAGCAATTATCGACCAATTTAGGTGTCAAATCGAGAAGCACAAGAGGGTTTTGCCGGCGGATTGGGCGCGATTCGTTCGCGCCAAGGACCACAAAGTGTTTTTGGTGGGGAAATTTCGCGAATTTTGGATCAAATTCCAATTTTTGAGATCAGAAAACAATTGAATTATTGTAAAAAACTAAGATTTTCAGCAAACTTTTGAAATTACTCAATTTTGGTTGAAATTTCGTTTTTTTGCCGTATTATTTAGTTTCGCATTTTTCTCATTTCAAATGTTGTTTGCAAAAAAAAAACTAGTTTTCTCAAAATGTTTTTTAATATGGCCAAATTTTTGCAGAAAAAGTGAGATTTTGCTTTGTAAAAAAATTGATTTCTTGCAAAAAACCATGATTTTTCGCGATTTTTCAAAAAAAAAAAATTCTGAAATTCAAATTTTTCGCAAAAAACTCGAGTTTCGACAATTATTTTCACAATTTCCATTCAGGCTGACTATCTTTCGCACGAGCACAAGGCGTTCCTTCATTTCGGCAAATCGTCGGCCGAACACGCCGGAGTTTATCGTTGCGAGATCAAAGAGCCGAACGGCAACATCATCATCGGCAACATGTTCGCCTATTGTAAGCGCCGCCCGCGGTTTTCAATGGTCCGCTCTCATTTCAGCGCATCCTGTCGTCAAAAACGACGAGAATTGGCCGTTGAAGAAGTCGGATCAAGAAGAGGGACTCGTTTTGGTTGGTTGTTTTTTTCAGCCGAAAAATACGATAAAACGCTTGCAATTGAGGAGGGGGTGTACACGTGGAGTGTCGTTGGGCGACGAGAAAAATCAATTCTTTTGTTGTTTTTGTTAGAAAAAATAAACGATTTTGCCAATTTTCAGGCGCCATCGGTTTATGCTTCGTATCAGACGACTGCTTTCATCAAATGTCCGATTATCGCCTATCCGGAGCCGAAAATTTTCTGGTATAAGAACAACGTGCCGCTCGGTGAGCCAACAAAACCGCATTTTTTTCTCCGAAATATGAAAATTGAGTTGTTCTTTTTCAGATTTCAACGATCGAATCAAATACAACGCGACGGCGCAGGCCCTTCAGATCAGCGATGTTCAGGAGGAGGACGCCGGCGTCTATCGATGCAACGCGACGAATCAATTTCCGGTGGTGATCGACGGTCCGAAACAGGAGTTCTCGGTGAAGCTCGAACAAGAATTGCGCGTCGGAGGTGCGGTTGAAAGCAAAAATTCGCCTATTTGAATTGACAAAAAAGTGTTGACGACGACACTCCGCGCGGTACACCACTGCCCGCGGTTTATCGTATTTTCACAAACTTTTTTTTTTCAAAATCGATTTATATTTTTCTTCTAACATTTTCAGACAATTATGGCTGGATGCTCCCATTGGCGGTCATCATCATCATTCTCCTCATCCTCTTCTTGGTGATTTTCACGTGCCAACGTTGCGCCAAATACAAGGCGGACCATTATAATGTCGCCGAGAGAGAGTATGTTGGGTCTCGTCACGACACAAGCCAACGATGCCATTTTCAGACGCGCGCTCCACAACGATCAAGTCCCATTGAAGAACAGCGTCTAGGAGTTTTCGAATGATTTTGTTTTCACCGGTAGGATATTGATTTGAATTTGCCGCCAAAATCCTAATTTTTTGCAGATTCACCGCCAAAATTTAAGGGACCATCAAACTCGATAACCTTCCGCCCGTGCCTAACTCAATAATTTATATTCGCCCCGTTAAAAAAAAAGAAGTAATAAGAAGCACTGCCGTAGATATTTCTTTTTGTGTAGCTTTAAAAGTGTCTTTTGTTTTCAGTTTTTTTTTCCACGCAATTATTTTTTGTGTTCAATTTTTAAGCCGGTATTTCTAAAAATCAAGAAAAAGCCCACCAAGAAACTAACAAAAAAACCCCCCACCAATTTTTCGTTTTTGTTGCTTTTCCAAGGGGTCCAACCCCTTTCTCTCAATTAGACTTTGCCTTTCTCAATAATGATGCTAATTATATGATGCTGATGATGATAATAATAACAATAAAGCTTTCAATTTAAACAACAACAATGAAATTCAAGTGTATTTGATTGAAATCGGGCAAAAATTGTCCAAAGCATGCTTAAAGAGGAGAAAATGAGAACATTGCGTGAGAACAACGGATCGTAACAATTTCGAGCAAAAAAAGAGAAATAAAGAAAACAAAAAAGGAAAAGCGGTGGAAAAAAACGAGAGAGGGAAAAGCTGGAATTAATGCTGTTGCGGAAGTCCGGGCATGGCGCCGCCGGATGGACTTCGAACATTCTTGACAGTCTGGTCGATCGAGAGAACAAGACACACGGCTTCGGTGGCGGCGGTGATCGCGTTCTGCAACAAATCAAAACTTGTACGGTCGGTCAAAAATACTTGGTGTATTGAATATTTACTCGCAAATCGAATTGTATTAATTCTGGGATACTGTGATAACCAAAATTCATGAAATTCACAAAAAAAATGATATAGTGTTAGAAATTCGAAGCATTGGCGCCAAACGCTTGAGCAAAACATACCCTCTTAACGATGCTTGGCTCCCAAATACACGCGGTGAGATTATTGCCAACCGCTTCTCGATGAATATCAATACCGGCCCATTTGTCACCTTGACTGTGGCGATGTCTCAATTTGTTCAAAATATCCATTCCGTCGATTCCAGCGTTCTGGCAAAGCTGTTGAGGGATGATCTGAACAAAAATATGACAATTCAAAGCAAGCTTCTTCATAATGAATACTTCAAAGCTTCTCGCGTACGCCAACCAGAAGAATTGCTCTTTGCCGGCAATCGATTTCGCCTTCTCGCGCAACAATTTCGCCAATTCCATCTCGATGGCGCCACCACCTGTAATTAAATCAATTTGCACAATTTCAACGATACTCCACACGAATTCGATTGATTTTTCATTAATTTTAAAATTTCAAAAATGGAATTTTACTCAAGAAATTAACGATTTTCATTCCTAGCGTTTCGAAACTCCTTCAAAATGAATTATGTCCAAATTAAGCGATTTGTGAAGTAACCTACCAGCAACAATCGAGTCATTTTTCTTGGCCCTTCTCACAATCATAATAGCGTCATGAAGGGATCGTTCAGTCTCGGCAATGAATTGCTCAGCACCTCCGCGAAGTAGAATAGTGCAAGCATGCGCCTTGGAGCATTCCTCGAAGAAGTTGTAGCTGAAAATATAAGCGATTTTAAGCATTTTCAGTAAAATGAAACGTATTACTCACCGTTCGCTTCCAACTTGCTGCTCATAGAATTTTCCGCATTTACCCAAAACCGAGTCGTCAATCTGCGAGACAGTGGTGAGAACCGAACCGCCGCACGCCGCCATGAGTCGATCAAGATCGTCCTGCGGAATTCGTCCTGCGCAGAACATGTCGCGATCAGCGAACCATTGAGTCGCAACATCGCCAATCGGCAATTTCGACAAAACGACGTTGGCTCCAGAATCGGCAATTTTTTGCAATTTCGAGTACAAAATGTTCCATTCAGCGTCGACGACCGATTGGAAATCGTTGACATTCGTCAGCCGCATCTCGGCATTGTCCTTCTCCGCCTTCAATTCGAGCTCGACGTTGAGAAGCGCGATTTTCGCGTTCGCGTATTTCTTTGGCTGCATTTCGAATCCGGCGTAGCTGAAAGCCTTCTGGAAAGCGACGCCTTTGATGAGACGCGAATCCTGAAAAATGAAATGAGCAACTAATTCAAGAAAAATTTTGCCGATAACTTACATGCAAATTTCCTCCGCTGACTTTCTTGATTCCGATCATGTTCAACGGAAGCGATTCATCAAGCGTATTGACGGCGTCAACGACCATGTTGGCGAAAAATTGCCTTTCCTGGCTCACCAATTTGCTGCTTAATGTGGTCGCCGCGCATTTGACAAGCATTTCGCGAAGCTCCTGCTCGCCGCTGATCTTGATCTCAAGCTGGCTGAGACATTTCAGCGCTTCTTCGCACGCCTTGGAGAAGGCACGAATGAGAAGCTGCGGGTGAACGCCGTCTTCGATGAACGGCTTCACGCGCTTCAGCATTTCGGCGGCAAGAACAACGACTGAATGAAAATTATGTGATATTCAATTTTGGGTTTTCTTGAAGCCTACCTGAAGTGGTTCCATCTCCGACTTCGGCGTCTTGCGATCTCGCAATATCGACCATAACCGAAGCGGCTGGGAAAACAATGTCCAAAAGCTTCAGAATCGTCGCTCCATCGTTGGAAATTGTGGTTTGACCTAGAAAATGAAAAAACATTTGCGACATGTTGTGGCAAATTGCTACCTTTGCTGTCGACGATCAATTTGTCGAGTCCACGAGGTCCGAGAGTTGTGCGAATGCTGTCAGCGACGACCTGGCAGGCGCTGATGTTCGACAAAATCTGACCTTTTCCTTGCTTGTTCTCTGTCCCGTCTTTGAGCAGAATAATCGGTGGACGCATCATCTTGCTGAAAAAAAAAGAAAATTTTTAGGGAAAAAACAAAAGTAGCTGCAATTATTCTTGAAAATTTAAATGAGCAAGTTATGAAAAGCACAATTGCAGAAAACGCAGATATTAAAAAATCACGAATTCATGTTGAAAAAAATTTTTCTATATTTATTCCAAATATTTAAAAATTAATTCGGTAAATTTAATATAACAGTTGTATTTCTTACTTCTAATTAGCGGCAAATTTTTTCGTAAAGCATAATAATATAAATGCGTAAGTAAAAAATTGAAATTTCGTAAAAATCTCAAGATTTCCCATTTTTTAAATTTTTGCTCAATTCAATGAACATCCAACGTTTGAAATTGAGATTGTCTGCTAAAAACAATACAATATTCGATAAATTAAACAATATTTGTGTAAAAATGCGATGAAACATCAGGGAAAACGGATAGAAGACGATGGAAGGAGAATTTAAAATTCTTTCTCGAAAAATTGCATGCCGCACACTTTCTGGCAACCCGAGCGCACACTTAATTTCTCGGCCGCGGCCATAGCGAAAATTAGAAAAAAATTGACGGAAAACTTAAAAACTATAAATCCATTTTATTTTTTTGCAAAATTTAATTAAATTCCAGAATTTTTCCTTAAGACGAATTTCTTTGTTATAATTATAACAAGAAAAGGGTTTTTTTTTTTTCAGAAAATTGGGCTTTAAAAATTCGCTTTAAAATTCGTAACTATTTTCCCATTCATGTCCAAAGTAGTCGCACTCAACGGCCGCGGCCATCGAAATCAAGTGTGCGAAGGAAGCAAGTGTGCCAGAAAACATCAATAGCATAAAGCATGGAATGCAAATGTAGCCGAAAACGAGCGCGAGAGACGAATGTTAGAAATAAAGCAGGCAAGAAATATATGAAAAGAAGGCTTAGAAGAAGACGGAGTTTTTCTGCTCGGCCCGACACATTCATTCTTCGATTTTCGCCACCATGGAGAATTTCGAGTTCAAGATTGGGCTCAAAGAGCACCAGGAGGTTGTTCATCAATTCCTTTTAAACCATTTTCGAGTTTCCGAGCCGATTACGGTATCACTTGGTAAGCGTTTTAAAGCGATCTTCAGCAAAAATCGACATTTTTCAGATTGTCAAGAAGCCGATGTTGAAAAATTCTTTGCGGATTTGGCTTCTGGAGGCCTGAATAATGAAAAATATTCGATTTTAGTCTTTCATAATGAGGTTTTTTTTCGCAATTTTTGCATTTTAAATGCTGAAAAGTTATAGAAATTGGTGGCGGTTTGCTTGAATTCGGTGAAAATCTCGGAGAAATGGAAACCCGAATTTCAGGAGCAAATTTATTTTAATCCGCATTTTGATTATGCCAAAGGCTCGTTGGTTTTTTCTTCTTCTCCTCTTCGCAATCTCAATTTTTCTCCTTTTTTGTAGAAATCGCTTCGGGACCCTACACTGAGCCAAAAGCGAATCGACTTGTTTCATTTGTGAACGCTCTTGAATATTATCTGGAGCTTCTCGCCGATTATCCGATGAAAATACTGAAAATTGATGTGCTTTGTGTCTCCAAGGAATATCAAGGGTGGGTTTTAAACGGAAAAATCCACCAATGGCGCAATTTTCTTTGCAAATTAAGAAAAAATGTGATATCTTAATTTGAAAATCATTCTGAAATTTGAAATTTGTCATTTTATCATTAATATGCATGGAAAACCTGAAAAATAGCAAAATGATTTGAAAAACAAAGTGAAATTATAATTTATATTCCGCAAGTGTAAAAACGGTGTTTACGTACATTGTTTGGCTACAGTACCCTAACCTAAAATTTTAATTTCTAATTTTTCGTTTTTCTTCAACTTTTTCGCATTGCTGCCATAGAATTTTTCAAATTTAATCAATATTATTAAAGGGAATTTCCAAATTTTTTCAGACAAGGTCTCGCCAAGAAGCTCGTCGTCGACTCATTGGCAAAAGCCGTCGAAAATGATTGCGATTTTGTGGCAACAGTGGCGACAGCACGCGCGAGTCAATCGATTTTCGCCAAATCTGGTCTCGTCACACTTCAAGAGATGCCGTTTTCATGTTTTCGCGAGAACGGCGTTCCCGTATTCCAGAATCTTCCGGACGATGGCGTCAGCGGAAAACTGATGGGCATCAGTTTAAGCGGTGAGAAGGCTAAAATCAACGAAGACGATGAGGATTTACGCTAGTAAAAGTTTTAAACGACAATGTTGGCAATATAATTAATAATTAAGAATAAATTATTTACAAAGAATTCTGTAGATTAGCCATCGATATCGAAGCTCGGTTACCTCGATTCGCTCAAGTTGCTGAAAATAATTGAAAAAAAAAAATTGAAAATCCCCTCTAAAATTATTAACCTCTAGATTTTCGTATTCCATTTTAGCTTTCACGTAAGACTGATCCAATTTAAAATGATTTTCTATTATTATCAGAGCAATTGTTCCAGGTTTGCAGCTAAAAAGTAGTAAAAATAAATAAATAATACAGAAAAATTTCAACTTACATAGCTAGAACATTGAAAAATCGCTTGAATCTTTGATCAAGAAGGTCCGGATCGGAGTGATGGTCCGAAATGATCCTAATAAGGACACGATCGGCTTGTGCGAGGATATGCTCCTCTGAAAAGTCATCTGGTTTTCGAATTTCCAAAGAAATGGTCGATTACGTTCAATTGGTCCCACTAAAAAATCGACAGCCGGAAAGCTTCCGCAATTTTTCATAAATTCCTTTTGATTTTCTAATGCAGCTTGTTTCTCCAGTCGTGAGCTCATAATTCCATAGCATTTACACTATAAAATTATATTTTTAAATAAAAAAAAACACTGCTGAACCTGCCGAGTGGCGGCGACTTCAAGAAGAAACTCTCCGCACAATGGCTCCAAATCGACGACAATCATTGTCGACGAAATTCTCGCGTAGAGCACCAGTGGCACTGTGGTGCAGTCGACCAAACGCGTTTCAAGATAATACGGATGAAAATCGAGGAATCTGCAAAAGAAAATCTTCAAAATTTGATAAATATGCCCAAAATTCGATATTTTAACACCAACTGGTGATTTTCTGCAAATTGAACTTCAATAATAAAAACTTACTTTAAAATTTCTAATCCTGCAAATAAAAAACGATCAAACACGAAGACTAAAATATTCACAACTCCCGTATTTTCAAGCGTCACTTTTCGCTCTCCAATGTTCCAGCGAAGGTTCGCCGCTTCAGCTTCAGCCGACAAATCGGAATACAAAAAACGTTCGACACTGTTCTTCAAAATCAAATTCAAATTAATTATCTAATTAAATCATTAATTATACTCTCAAATTTAATCGGCGGGTATTTGTGATAACGCGAATGAAAAAATTCAACGCGGTGTCACTGTAAACGCCTTGGGCGCGATTGATCACATTTCCATAGTGCTTCAAATAATATTGGATTTTGTCGAAGAAATGAAAATGGGTCGTCACGTAGTTTGAAACATCTGAAAAGAACTAGATTTCACCCAAAAATGGTCTTTAAAAATTACGATCATCGGTTTTGTCTGACTCGTACGCAACACATCCCAATTTTATGCACAATCCATTCGCAAATCGATTCAACTTAAACTGATCTAAGTGCGTTTCATTTAAGGGACCCTTATGCTTAACTGTGGTGAAATTGGTCCCATTTACAGAAATTTGATCGTCGGCCTGAAATGTTTTTCCCTCAATTTTTCATTTTTTAATAAATTTGATTTTTACGTAAAATCCGCGGATCAAAGGATATTGGTGTTCCCTTAAAAGTGACGAATGACAATAGGAGAGTGGGACTGTGACAATTTCGTCGTCTTCTTCATCATCCATCTAAAAATTTAATGATTTTGAAAAAAATTTGAAATTTCATGAAATGCGCAAATCGCTATTCATTTGCGCTTTTCGTGTGCACTGCTGACGCTTTTCTGGTGTCTCGTTTTTGCACTTTTCATTTTATCAATTTTTTTTCAAAATTTACTCTTTCAATTTTTGTGAATTCTCATGAAACTTTTTCTGAAAAATGTGAGATTTTTAAAAATTTCAGGCGAAAAATGGTAAAAGACCGAAAAGGACGAAAATCGACGGTAGTTGCCGAGGACGCAGAAATGCCGATGGTAAATGGCAATGAAAAACTGCAGAATGGAAAAACGCTGGTAGAAAAACGTTTTCCCTCATTTTTTTAATTACAATAATTTATTTTAGGTTAATGGACAAGGGAAGAATGTTGAGAAAAACTTGCCACTTGGAGTTCGGGTTCAAAAGTAAACCAAATTTTTGAAATTTTTTTAAAGTTTAGCTTCAGAAATTCAAAAAAAGGAAGCCAACCGGCGAAACCGAGTCAGCCGACGCCTGGCGGCTCTCAATGCGTTCTTCTCACTCAGGGAATTATGGCAAACGATAGCGAAAAAGTCGATGCGGTGCTTCGAACCGTCCAAAACGATATTATCCATGTAATTCTTCCTCAATTTTTCCTGAAATTTGCCGCTTTCAGTCCACTCTTCGTGAGTTGCAACCAATGCACGTTTTACCTTTGCTCAAAGAGATCGAAAATCGTCTCAGGACCCGGAAAGCCGCCGAGTTCGTTTAGGGTTTCAAATTGTTGAAAACGGTTTGATCAATTTTCAGCATTCGACCGACAATTCGCTGGGCTCAGTGCGTTTTCTCGGTGCACATGGCTTATCTCTGCTCGGTGAGTGCCGAAGTGTGACAAGATTTCGTAATCTTACCCAATTTTTCTTGGCAAAATTAAACCAGATTTTGCACGTTTCGTGTTAAAAAAAACCGGATTTTGTATGAGATACTGTTTTAGCTTCCAAACTTGGATAAAGAAATCGGCGGTCTGCTGAGTTGGCTGCGCGCGCGCGTCGATCATCAGAAGGAGTTGCTCGCGTTGCACGGCAAAATCTCGCTGATCGCCGACCAAATCAAAAAGCGCACGAATACGGTCGTCATTGCCCCACAGCCATTGGTTGTATTCAACAACGACTTGGATTCGGATTCGGAGGAGTTCGAAACGATTGGGTCCGATGAGGACGCGGAAGGAAGTGAGGATGATTGGTGGGAAGACAATGAGCTGAAGGAAGGCGATGAGGATGAGAATGACAGCGATCAGGAATCGGATGACAGTGATAATGAGGAAATGATGAATAGTGGAAACGAATCGAACTCAAGTTCGGATCATGTAAGATTTTTCGAGATTTTCACCAAAAAAATGCGAATTTTGACTCTAAATGTGGTCTTAAATTTAATTTTATGATTTCCAAGCGCAAAATGAAACGAGTACACAATTTTGTGAGTTTGATTCGCAGAATATCCGTGTTATTTGATTTGAAATTTGAAAATGGCGCGCAAACACCCAGGATCCTTGTTGTTTTTGCGATTTTCATATTAAAAAATTTTTAAATTTTTAAATGAGATTTGAGAGAAGAAGAAAAAATGGTTTGATTTGATGTTTAGAAGAAACCATTTTGATTAGGAATTAAAATATTCAAGATTTTAAGCAATAAGTTCTCATTTCTGTCTCTCATTGGCCCACGACGAAAACTGATTGGAAATTCGACAAAATCGGGCTATATCGTATAGAAAATTCGGCGAATTTTGGTATTCAGCTTGCCCGAAAATCGCCTAAGAACCTGTTGCGTCAAAAATTGTGTAATTTGATCGAATTGAGAAAAAAAAACAACAACAACATGCCGATATAATTCCGTGTTCAATTTTTATATTGAATATAAATTAGGCGAATTCATTCGAAGCCCGTTATTACTGTGTTCGTGTATTTTTTTAAATTTGATACATATCTTGATCGCAGATGATTGTGCGAAATTCTAGAGATTGTGGCCTGAAATGTTGAAAAATTTCGAGTTCGCAGGAATTTTGCTTGAATTTTGAGTTGTGCCACAAAATTTGAATTTTTGGAAGAATTCCATAAAAGGAAGGTAGATTTCCAGAAATCCGTCTCCTCATTTTTACAACAGAATCAAAACTTTTGCTTTCATTAAATCCGCATAAAGAATGTTGAAGTGAAACACCATGCGCGAATAGGTGGAAAAAATCATAAAGATCTAATAAATCAGCATAGATTTGAACGATCCTCGCGCACTGGAATAGTGTAATAATATATATATATATATATGTATATCGGGTTAATTTGAAAAATTGTTTCGTGTTCGGTTTTGCGTAATGTTAAACTAAAAGCCTTTCTCATTCTCTCATTCTCTTACTCACCCACATTTCTGCATATATCAATTAAATGATTGATGTCCCGAAAAACTGGAAATGAATAAGTATTTAGGATGACGAGGAAGAAGAGGATGAAGACATGGAAGTTGGATAATTTGTTATGTGTTGTTGTTGTTTACCCGTTTTCTTTTTTAAATCTTGTTGGTTGGTTTTATTTTCTTATTTTTTTTTTCTGACCTCGTTTATTTGTTACCATGTTGTTGCGTTTTTCTTTATCAATAAATTTTGGTGCCTTGCAAAAATGGGCCGGAATTGAGTCCGCGAGCCTTGGTGTGCAAAGAGGAAGGCTTGGCATTGCTCCAATGCCACACTTGGAAGTAATGCCGTTGAGCTGCGCTTATCAACTACCCCATCACTGCGTCTATCTGTTATGCACACTATCTCGTGGTCAGATGCAATGTTTCAAGTTTTCAAAATCACCGATTTTTGATAATTGTCGAATTGCGTCGATGGAAGCAGCGACAAATTGACCAGGTCACCGAAAACATACAGTGGATACCGAATCGAATTTAATTGAAATCCCATTTACCCGTCGTCCCACTTTTTTTTTCGTCCGCCCGAATTCGATTCATTCAAAACTGGACATTTTGGTCAGTGCTTTTCGAATTGGGCCCGTTGGCGAGAAAAAATTATATATATATATATATCCAATTTCTTTCAAAATGTTTTCTTTTTCGCTATCATATCGAATTGCATTCGTCGAAACCTTGCTTCGATTTCAATTTCAGTTGATTCTAGAAGTGTTGGAGCCGAGTGGGTTCGAGCCCTCCGACCGCCGGGGCCAATTGATGTGTGTGTTTTTTTTTTGGTCGATCCAAGTTTGGTTGTGTATTCACCCAAACAATGTTTCGCGCGCGCCTCCCCCCTCCTTCACTTCTTCTTCTTCTTCTTTCAAAACCGAACAGGCTTTTCATTCGGCCGGCCGCACATCCCCACTCCTTCCCCCCTAAAATCTCCTCCCACAATTCAACACTCTTTTCCCTCCTCCAACCCCCATTTTGCCTTCTTTCAAACATTTCGCCTATTATTCGAAAAATCTTATTATTAATAGTATTCAAGATAAATATTTTGTGCTGCCCTTCAATTCTTGTGTGGCCTTAGTCGTCCAAAAAATTATTTTCGCCTCGCGAATTGGGTCAACGGCCTAATTTTTGCGTCGCGCGACGTTTTCACTCGTTCTCTCTCTCATTTTTTTTGGTGACACTCGCAAAAACCATATTATTATTATTATTGTTTTTTTTTGCAACCAACCAATCCACCAAGTGCGACATTTTCTAGGAATGATCGCGACGTCGACGCCGAATCCCGACGCGATTATCATCACGAGTCTGGCGCCGGCGCCGAATATTCCGAATCCGCGAAACGCGGGCCGCAAAAAGAGTAATCCGGTTTGGGAATTTTTCACCGACTTGCGAACGCACGGCCTCGCCGGCGTTCGCTGCCGGTTTTGTCATTGGGTGACCAACGACAGAAGTCCGACGACGATGAAATTCCATCTGAAACGCAAACACGACACCGGTAGGTTTCTCGTTTGTCCATCTGGCCAGTTGCCACCTATTTTTTTTGTCGTACAGGTCCCGGCGGGCTTTGGGCCATTTGTGAGGAGAAGATCAATTCGCAAGCGCCAGCAAACTATGCGCCAAGAACGAAAAAAACGGTGAGGGATCGAACCTGCAAAACCACGCGTGATGCTACCGCGCGACTTGCCACTACACCAGCGCTGCTCACTTTTTCGCCCTCGGAACGCCGTTGATAAAATGATAAAATACAGCGCGCCGCCTCTCGATAAGCTCCGCCCCTTGGTGATGTGGTGAAAATGCGAACCTTGCGCCCAAAACCCATTCCATCCAATTTTCGGATCATCGAGAAAGAAAAAAAAAACGCCGGCGATTAGCTGACCTAGAATTGTTTTGCGCAAAAATTCTGCGGGGGTTGCCAATTGTCTGCGCGAAGTTTCCGAAATCCGTCGACACAAGAACGATTCAAAATAAAATAAAAAAAAAGCACCCAACGGCGAAAAATGTGGCGGAGTGTGCGAAACGAGAGAGAGAGAGAGAGAGAGAGCACGCGAATTATTGGAGACAACGAAAATCCAGTTTTATCCCAAAAACTGCGCCGCCGTCGCCGCGCGCATTTTTTTTGTGGGGCGCCGACACGCTGCGCTCTCTCAAATCGCCGTGCTCTCTCGTCGGTCAGGCTCCAGCTGAAGCTTCCGAAAAAGCTATTATTTGTATGTGTATTGGAGAATTCAAAAGTTTCCAAATTCGGTCACCCAATTTGGGAAAGTGAGGGGATTAACGTCGAATACCCGCAATTTTCGGACACCCCAATTACACATGTACACGAATTTTTTTTTGCGTTTGGCGAAATTGTCCGCAGAATCCAAATATAGACTCAAAATTGAGATGGGCAAAACGATTAAATGATCGCAAAATGCAACATTTTTGCCACAAGTTGGGAGGGGACCCTCTTTAAACGCGCATAACTCAACGAATTGAGGCTTCAAAACCAAATTTGGACCGGATTTTTGGAATCTGGAAATTTCCAGCAAATCTAGACACATTTTCAACAATGTGAGACGATGAAATTTCAGCCGGAGGACATGTTTTTGAAGGCGCTCTCGCAACAATCAGGCTTGTCGTCGTTCAATCCGTTCGCGACCGCCGAGGTCAAAATGTCGGCCGGACAAGACGATTTCCTTGCGGCGCTCATTCAACAAGCATCGCAGTACGCCAATTCGTCGACGTCACCGTCGGCGAATTCCAATGTGAGTCGTCGAAATCAAAATGATTCATCAAGTTAGCCATTCCAAATTTCGAATGTCACCATTTTGAAATGGGCATGATTTTAAAGAGAATCTTCTGACGATTTCAAATATGTCATTGAAATCGTGATAGGACCATTTTAAGCCGAGTTATGCGCAGTGTATCTACCCGGGACAGGATTTCCCGGGATCCCGGGAATTTCGTTTCCCGGGTTTATCCGGGAAATCCCGGGACTCCAATCCCGGGTCTCGTCCCGGTTTCGTCCCGCAACTACCCGGGATCCCGGTATCTCGGGATCCCGGGATCCCGGGAAATTCATTTCCCGGGATGAGCGGGTTCCCGGGAAATCCGGGAAATTCCCGGGTTTCCCGGGAAATTCCCGGGAAACCCGGGACAATCCCGGGACAATCCCGGGAAAGTCTGCAAACACCGCGCGCGCAAACGCACACTCTTTGAATATTGCGTATTCTCGTTTCTTTTTAATGAATTTTCTTATTTTAAAAAGATTCCAATGCTTAGAAAATGGCGTAGGAAGTCCCTATTTGGAATTTTTAAAATTTGGCAGAAAAATGAGTACAATTGAAATGTGCAAATAACGATTTTTCCAAATTAGCAAGAATTTTATACGAAATAATGGTTTTAAACTTTTTTCAATATACTTTTTTCAACGAAAAAACTTATTGAAGATCGATCAAGTAAACAATAAATTATAATAATAAATAATATCGCTGATTCGATCTGAAAAGACTGACTGAAAAGATTCGATTTGAATATGTCGCGAATCAGAATGACAAAGAAAATAAGAAAACTCATAAAATTTCGAAAAAAAACGACAATACGCAATATTCGAAGAGTGTGCGTTTGCGCGCGCGGTGTTTGCAGACTTTCCCGGGATTGTCCCGGGATTGTCCCGGGTGTCCCGGGAATTTCCCGGGAAACCCGGGAAATGAATTTCCCGGGATCCCGGGATCCCGCGTTTCCCGGGAAACGAATTTCCCGGGATCCCGGGATCCCGGGAAATTAAGTTTCAATGAGTCCCGGGTCCCGGGAAAATTTTCCCGGGAATTTCCCGGGAACCCGGAAATTCCCGGGAAACTTCGTCCCGGGTAGACACACTGGTTATGCGTCTTTAAACACTTGTTGGTGCTACCGCGAATTGTCCGCAGATTGAGTTCCTAATGTTTTGAGTCTTGATAACCGGGGCCTTTTTTTGAAATTATTATAATCTAACCCAATCAGGACCATTTTGAGGCTAAATATTCCCAAAAAATCGCGTATTCCATTCTCTAGGAAGGCACGAATTCGAACGAAAACGAGACGATCTCGCTGGCCGATTCGGTGTTTCTCAACAAACTCAACAACATCTACAATAATACGGTAATTCTCGTTGTGTGTGTGCTCGTTTCGACACATCATGCTCGAATCGATTTCAGAAGGAGGAGGATTCGTCGTCGTCGTCGGTCAGCGGAATCACGACGAACGCCGATTTCAATTTGACAGACGGCTCCAGTATTGCCGCATTGTTGCAGGTGAGTGTTGGGATTGGCGAATTTTTGATTTTTCGACGAGATGGGTCTTCGAATTGCCACGTGGATGTAGATCAAACAATTTTTTGGTCTTGACGCGATTTTGGAATTGCTACGTGGCATTTTTGGGTAGATCAAACAATTTTTGGTCTTGACGCGATTTTGAAATTGCTACGTGGCATTTTTGGGTAGATCAAACAATTTTTGGTCTTGGCGCGATTTCGGAATCGCCACGTGGCTTTTATCATTTTTCTGCGCGAAATCTGGGTAGATCAAAAATTCTGAGTCTTGAGATGCTTATGATTTTGCCACGTGGCTTTTTTCATGCTTCAACCTGATGCCCGGGTAGATCAAATCGATCGCATTCAAAAATTTCAGATCGCCACCGATTCGGATTTGATATTCACGTTCAACTCGCGAAAAATCGGCGAATATTGTTTCGAGTCGAATGTAAAAAATGTACGGCATTTTCGTGTTTAAAAAAAAAGCAAATTTGATGATTTTCAGAGCAAAATGGTGACGTTGATCGATTGCGGCAATGAGATTCGTGTGGCGCAACTCGAAAACGACGACGAAATTCGCGTCGAGATGTGGCGAAAAAGCGATTGGCAGCAATTCACGTGGGCCGTACGTGGAACGTGCCTGCATTTCCTCAAAGCCGATGAGACGACGACGACGACGGCGTCCGTCGCCACCGATTCCGACTAATTCGCCGGCATTGTTACATTTTAATTGTTATCTCTAAGTCATTATCTCAATCCCAGTGCTATGCTTGTTTTTTTTTTCCCCCACTCCTGTTCACCGTCTTTCATTCCATTGTTTCCCACTCCAATTATTTATCACTGAAGCGGGTTTATTTATTGAACGATTCCAATAAAACATTGTACAGTATTGATTCAAATGAGCGCAAAAATGGTTTTCGATGTTTGGGGTTCGAGCCCGCCACCTTCCGCGCGCCAGCCCAAAATTTACGCAACACACTTTCATAGAAACCTTTTTTGCTTTACAATGTCGCGACTATCCAACACTCATCGCATTCTCTGCGTCTCTCAAAACCCTAACACTATTTCGACGAGAGGTAAATTTAAACATTTTTATTTCTCCCATGGAAACTTCCTGTTCGCTATCATATCCTTGCTGTACCAGCTCTAAAAATCGACATACATATTTGCGCGCCAAATTCAAATATGCATCACCATTAATTCAAAATGCAACAACTCATCGATTCCTTTGAAATTGGTTTGCGAGCACGAGAACACGAGCTCAATGAGTCTCGCCATCTAAAATAGGCTTGTTTCTCGCGTTTTTTTTTCAGAAGCCTCAAAAATTCCTACCCGCTTTTCAACCGCTTTCACACTGTGCCTATAAGTGACCAAAAAAAGCCATTTCGAGTAAAGCATTTGAAGTGGATTTCGCTCTTTCGCCCATTTCAACTTTTCCTAAAAAGAAAGTGGTGAAAAAATTGGATATTGTCATTTTTTTTTATCTACCGAATGAACAATCTCGTATGCCATGAATATCCAAGATTCGAAATCATCCGAAACGCCCCAACGTTCGCCTTTTTGAAGGCGTCTAGACGAATAGCGTGAATGTAGAAGGCTTTTATGGCGATTTTGGCGTTTTCTTCTATCGACTGAACTTTGGAAAATTCTTTGAATCGCAACCGCCTACTCTTTCTCTAAAGCCTCATAATTGCGAAGATAGAACGCGCAATGGAACGAAGAAGCTTGAATCCATCGAGGATCGCCTCGTTTGAACGAGAAACTGCTCGGCTGAATGTCGAAATGGGCGCAATGTGTCTGCAAAAAGTTGAAAGCGATTGATGGACTCGAACCCGAGACGCAAAAGCGGAAGCGCGGCGCCACTTAGCCACTGCGCCAACACGACGGCGAAATAGGAGGGTGTTTGCTTACATCATGAATATCGCGAATTGAGAGAAATGTCTGAACAAGAATATGTAAATAAGCATACGGCTCGAGTTTTTTGTGCTCCTTGAGCACATCGGCCAAATTTTTGCCCATCTGAAAATATTTTCGATATTGAAATGAAATTAAAGAGGCATTATTCCGCTGGCAGAGTGATTGTTTGAAATTTCGATGCGAGATTCGGAATCTATGGAAAAATGAGTGATAATTTTTGTGCAAATATATTTAAAGGCGCATTTCGCCTCGAAAATTGGTCCCAACACGATTTTGTGAGCAGATTCGGAATCTACGCAAAATTTCGAATAAGATGAACGTCATTTCAACAATTTTCCGGAATTTTTTTTAAAGGACCATGGCGCCTCGAAAAATGGTCCCAACACGATTTTGTGAGCAGATTCAAAATCTGCCGACATTTCCCTTTCAATTTGAGCCCAATTCCAATTTACCGCCGTTGTCACAATATACTTGATGCCATTGATCTCGCCTCGATTGTAAATGCGAACCGCGCGCGTCGAGCCGTATCGAAGTAATCGAACGATCATCGACGCCTCATTCTTGATTCGATTCCGATCGCCGATCGTCTGCTCGAATCGAAATTCGGCCAATCGTTTCGAGACGAACGCCTTCGCCTCGACTTTGCCGAACACGCCTTTGACGTCGTCGCGAAATCGATACCTTCAATGTGAATGGGGGGGGGAGGGCGTTTTGATCTACCGCTCGCTTACGCTTCATTGTTCAACAACACTTTGGTCTCTTTGAGAAAATGCGTTTCGATCTGGTCGTCTTTGCCGTTTCCGGCGCTCATTGTTCGAGGTGGTCCGCGAAAATTTCGAAAATCCTCAATTCAAATTTTTTTTCGATGCAATTCTTCTCGGCGATTCACTCACTTTTTGAAACAAAAATTTGAGAAAATGCCATTTGGTTGCCAAATTTGGTCACGTGCTCATCCAAAAATACACCATATTTGACGCGAAATTGCAGAATTCACCACAGACGAGTTTAATAGAAATTCTCGCATTCTCACCCATTGAAAATATTTTGGTGATAGGGTTTTGAATCTGCGGACAATTCACGGCATTAATATAGAATGTGTTTAAAGGGGCATAACTCGACTTAAAATGGTCCTATCGCAATTTCAGAGCCATATTTGAAATCTGCGAAAAATTCCAATCAAAACGAGCCAAATGCAATTTTTTGGATATTGTCAAATTGAGCCAAAACAGTTGGAATTTAAAGGAGCATAACTCGGCTCAAATTGGTCCTATCACGATTTGAAAGATACATTTGAATTCTGCAAAAAATTCTCTTCAAAATGATATGTAATTTATAAGATCTAATTTTCATAATTATTCAATTATACATAATTAATGCTAATGTGTCGGGTGCTCAATTTCCCAGACGCGATGCAAATTATTGAAGTACAAATTCTGATTCATCGACGTCACAATTTCCTGTCCGGAAACGTTTTTGAGCTTCAATGCTTCGCGAACCGAATTTGATATCGACATTATATTGACGTTGCGAATCTGCAAAGTTTAAAGGCGCATAGCGGATGGGTCCTAGAGCGATTTTAAATTCGGCAAGAAATCAAAAAAAAAGGAAATGATCACCTTTTTCCCGTAAAATCGTTTTCGAAATTCCTCGGTCATTTTCGGGCACATTTTGATGATCAAATAGGGACCGATAAACCTGAAAAAATTTATTGCTAGACAATCTCGAGGATCTCATTCGCGATTGATCTACCCGAAGACAATTTTGAGAGCATCGAAAAGCGTGTTGGCCAGTGAGTCGACGCCACGCGAAAAATGCGAGCAAAAAATCAAAATTGGCAAAATTTTGAGGAATTCGTAGATCAAAATCAGCGCTACAATGCGAAGAATCACCTGCAACGAAAATTGTGCATTTTTGCGTGCCGGTGAACCGCACACACACACCTGCCCTTTTTTGATATTGTCGGCCAATCGGAATCGTTCGCTCAGCGAGTAGAACGCGCTTTGACCGCCGCCGTCGTTGTACAAATGCACGTTGACGCGCAAATTCGCGTAATGCGCCTTTAAATCGACATGGTGAGTGTTTGGCGCGAAATTCGAAACGCCACCGGCAAAATCGTCGCCAATGACACCACACTGGCGGCGAAATAGCAATAGATGTCGAGAGACGCCGAGACGACGGTGAGAGTTGTGGCGGCGACGAGAATCGCCGCGAGAATCCCGTAGGCGAGCCGCTTATTCGTCGGCTTATGCCGGAGTACGGTAGCAGTCGTTCGTTCGAGTACGGTAGCTTGAAGGGAGAGGGCACCTGGAAAACAAAAAAAAAGGTTCCCATGGGATGAAAAAGTCGGCGTCATTTTTTTTTGGGTCTGCGATTTGCCGTCAAATATGATGTACGACTCACCAGCAAACATGCAATATATTCGAAGAACACACAAGCTATGAAAAATTGCGTCGTTTTCGAGCTCGCTGCCCTCTGCAATTAACGCTAATTAGCCGTCCAATTAGGGGTTAGGGCTAATTAAACCGGTGGTATTGAAAATTTGAATGGTTCTTTGCATGACGGCGACGATAGCATCGAGAATTTGAATGGCGTGAAAATTGACGAAAATCGCGTTGAAATTGCGATTGAATTGGCGCGAAACGCGACAAATTTGAATTAATATGAGATTGTGCAACACCCTTTAAACGGACCATCGATTCGGACCTTTTTTGTTTGGACCTACCCGATTAATAATAGTGGAATTAGCAATAATTGAAAGATGTGGCCGAGTTGAGTGTCGAAAAAAGTGAAAAAATCGAAAATTGTCATTCGAATTTCGAGAATATTCCAGAACGCAATTCAATTTGAATGTCTCAAAAATCTAGAAAAATTGTTATTAAGCAAAAAAATTGAATGGCACTCGGCGATTTGAACTAACAATATACATAATGAGCGAAAATGATAATCAGCTTTGGGGATTTCGGTGCACATTGTGCACCCTCATCTATGATTTTCAATTGCCGACACGATTACGGTATGCGCCTTTAAAGTGGTTTCATGTTTTACAAATTTAAGGTTTGAAAAGATTCTTTTCTTGATTGATATGTAAAGCAACAAAAATTGCCAAAGTGTCTGTGTACTTCACACGGACAACTCAACAATATGTAGAGAATCTTATATTTCAATTTTTGAGAGTATTTAAAGACGCATGGAAATCAATTTTCAATTTAAGGTAAAAAGAGAAACTAAAATAATAGAACTTTGATTTCTATTCATCGGGGATTTTTTTAATCCAAACCTCGCTATTATTCGACCTTAATCTTTGTAGAGATTACGGTAGATAAGGGTCAAAAAAATAGTGAGCCATGAGAAAAAAGAGAGAAGGCAAATCAAATAAAATTTTTTGAGAATCAAATATTTTTGAATAAACTCGAAAATATAGAGAAATTCTAAAATTTATTGAGCCTTATTCCAAATTATTTCAATAAATTCTAAAAGACTAAAATAATTTCAAAAGATTATTGAGAAAAATCTGAAATATTCTCAATGAATCTGAAAAATATTTGATTCGATTTATGTCGAGTGGATTCTAGAGATGTTTGATTTCTCGAATGAACGCATTGTGCACTTTTTTTGATGATAATTGTGCGCCTATTTCCGACACACGTATCTACAGTACCCCACCAAATTTCCGGGTATGCGATCTTTGGCATTTTGCGTTTTTTTTTTTCATCTTCATTGTTGGGAATAATGGAATCAAAGAGAAATAATAATGAATATTCATGAAAAAGTTTCTTATAAATTTGGCCGTGGGCAAACCAAAATTCGACAAAATGCGAGCCTTCATAATGGTTTTGGCGATTTTTGTGAGCTTCACTTCAGCTACGGTAGGCGTGTTTCGTTTTTCCACGAAAACTCCCAATTTTTTTTGCAGATTACCGAAACCTCGGAATTCTTGAAGACGATTGTCGAAGTTTTTCGGAATACTATCAATAGACCGGATTTTTGTGTTGACTTCAACGATTTTTTGATTGCTACGATCGAGAAAAGCAAAAAATTGATACCGAAATTATTGGAAAATATTAGAAAATAAAGATTTTTCATTTTTTGCTCCACTTTTAACATTCTGAAGAAATAATTGCTTTAAATTATAGCTTTTGAAATATCGGCTATCTTTAGAAAATACGTCGATTTCTTTTTTTTGGCGAAAATTTGAATTCGAAAAGGTAAAATTGCGCGTGAAATTGTGCGCAAGTGTGCATTCACCGCTACGACGTAATACGGAAGGTTTCCGACACAAGCGCTTTCAGAAAGCCACTTTTTTTTCTATTTTTCGATGTTTTCTATAATTTTATTAAATAACATTGATAATTATATATCTTTTATTGAAATACTAAAAATATAACGAAAAAAAAACCAAATAAAATATGCAAGAATGAGGAGTAGTGAATTACACCATTTTCTCTTAATTCTCACCCCTTTTTCATCAATGTATTAATTCTGCGAATAAATTTTCGAGCAGATGTTTTTGGTAGGGTGGAGTAAGTTCAGAATTTAACCCAAATTGGTCTCGAAGGTAATCGATATTTTGAAATAAAAAACGAGCACTAGGCAAGCTACTCGTCCAGAACGCCCGTTTCTCGAAAAAAAAAATAGCAAAATTAGATGCTTTAAAAATAGTCTAATATATTGGTTTCGCTTAAAATCGTGAAAAACCCCCCAATTTCTCGGGTTGTATTCCAAGCAGGTCGTTGTGTGCAATTGCGCGTCACCGTGCACCGCACAGTCGCGCGATTCAATTTCAAATCGCCCATCAGTTTTCATTCAGAATTTCGCAGTTCTCCGCAATTCTCATAATTTCTTTTAATTTTCCAATGATTTTATGGTTTTTTTTATTTTATTCAATGTTTTTTTCATGCGAATTACAGATATTATGCTAAAATCGACGAGGAAATCCGATTTTTAGGTGTTGGCAGGAAATTGCTAATTTCTTGCTATTTTTTTTCGTCAGACTTCGAAAATTAATCGTTTCCCCATTCTTACGATGAAATCAATTTATTTTTTTCAGGAAATTTGCTTTTTTTGCAAAAATCAACGAATTTTCAATTTCAAGGCCAATTGAATTGATCGAACGGTTTTTTTTTATCGTGAATTTTTATTTCCGTTTATTCATTTTGCCTATTGCCATTTAAAAAATCTTTTAAGATAATACTTTTTTTTTAGCATTTTCAGTCAATTTTGGCCTCAAAAAATGGAAATTTGTTGTGTTTTCCTTCAAAATCTTATTGATTTTTCGTTTTCCAACAAAAATCCATAAAAAGCGGTTCGAAATTTCGATAAATCATGAAGATGGGAGGGGGCGCGTCAGACACACAGACAGCTAGACGCGACGACACAGAAAGGGACGCGCGAGCCGTGTGCGGCCGTCGGCCGGTCACCGTCGTTGACCTCGCCACTCAATTTCGCCCAATTTTACACAAAAATGGTCCCAATATTATCGATTTTTTCGCAATAATTTTTAGTAAAATTTTTTTTGAGACATTTAAAGTTTTTGTTGAGAATTTGCCATTACATCATAGTTTCGATTTTAATGCGAAATTTTCGCTTGCCAGATCACATATCGTCCACAAACCGCCCATTTTATTGATTTTTTTTTGCAATGTTTTGTAATAAATCCAAATGGTCCAACTTTTCGCGAAAAATTTGAACAAAATATCGATATTTTTGCAGAAGGTTGTCTTTGGTGTTGAATGGTCCCTACTCTTTCGCAATTATTTCTAAGTACTGCGCGTGGTATTATTGATTGCTTCTTTTAAAAAATTTCTTTTGTCAATTATTCATCAATTTTGAATAGAAGGGAATTTTATACCCAGGACTCTTACCATTCATTAAAACCCTAATCAAATCAGTGTTTTTTTGGATTTATAGGCAAAAATTTCAACATTTTCGATTAAATTTATTATTCCCAGAATAAATGGAAGGATGATTAACTGTTTAGATGTATTTTTGGATTTTTCTAATTTAAATTTTTGTATTTGCTGCATTTTTCTCTTTTTAAGCCGTAATGTTTCGTTGAAAATATTCAGAATTGACGTTGCCTGCTGAAAAGGCAAAATTCATCCAACTGCAATTTTATTGATTTTTTTATTGCAATATTTGCGAAATTGAATTTTTGGCCGTTTTTTAAATCGATTTTGTGCTGGAAATGTTTTTTTTTGGTATTTCAGAAGTGGCCAGACAACCGAATCAGGTCACTTTTCCATCAGCAAATTGGAACGGTCAGGCAGCTCGCGACCGCGCAGGTCTGCGGACTCGAAAAACACCGGTGGCAAACGAAAACGCAACCGGAATACCCGTTAGTATTTTTCGCAATTTGTTTTCAGATATTATATAGTAGAAAAACGAGAATCTTTAGAAAATGTGCACTTTATTGTCACAAATAGGCCAATTTTAAGCGATTTTTAAATTATTTTTTAGGCAAACCAATCATGACAACTGAAGAGCAGAAATTGAATGCGATCAACGTGAATCTTTCACAAACGCTTTTTACACGTGAATACGTGGCACTTGACAAGAAGGATTCGTCGATAACCGACAAGTTTGATCAGAAATTTGTAAAAAAAAATTTATTTATTACTGTTAATTTAGACTTATCGAACAGTTCAATGAAGCGAATTCGGGAAGATTGGAAGCAAGCAAAATTATTGCGCAAATTGGCATTAATCAGATTAAACAAATCGCGTTGGGACCAAGTCATTTGGCTATAATGCTTGAAGTACGAAATGATGAAAGAAATTTTGATGGCATTGTTTTAAGAAGAAATATTTTGATAGAAATTGATTTGTAGAAAAACTTATTATCGGTTATTTGACTTTTTTGAGCTGAAATTTGATTTTTAAGAACTTTTGTCAAGGAATTTGAATCAAAAATTCAGGAATTTATTTTTTTTGGAATATAATCGAGAAAATTTGACATTTCAGAATCATAATGTGATTCGTATCAAATATGAATCGGAAAAAATAAAAGACGGCACGAGAGAGGGCTTCAATGAGATGGTGCAATCGATGACCGGCATTCCGCCGCCGTCCAGCGCTCATCAATCGACGAGAAGCAACAGCACGAAATATCGACGAGTGATGATCGGCAGCAAGTGAGTCGCGAGAATTGCCAAATTTGAGGCAATCGTCGAGATTTGGCGATTTTCGGCCGCCAACATTTCGTTCTAGCCCGTTTTTTCCAATTTTCAGCTCGCGGTCGTATTGTCGAATTCGGTCGGCGACCGGCGGCGACACGAGAAGTGTGATTATTGGAAGCTCGCGGAATCTTGTGCCGGCTTCCAGCGTTCCCGAGGATTTGATCGCGAATGTCCAACAAGTTCTGCAGGGCAAATCGCGCGAAGTGATTGTTCGCGAGCTTCAACGAACTGGATTGAATGTGAATGAAGCGGTTAATAATTTGTTGTCGAGAGAGGATGGAGACGGTAAGTGAAGTTTATGAAGGATTTAAAAAAAATCGAAATCCAATTTTGAATTATTTTACACCGGTTTTGGTCCAAAATTAAAGAAAAACCTTTTCATTTTCAAATTCAAATATTTTTTCACACTTTATTTTATTAATGACTATGATAAGTCGAGATTTAAAAAATTTGAGATTGTTTCAAACTTTATTGGTCACATTTTTTTTATGTGTCTGAATTTGGCCAAACCAAAAACTGAGCGTGGCCTGCCAAAGCGAAAATGATGTTTTAGAAGGAATGGATTTGGCAAATGACGGACTCCTTCCAGAAGAGCTCATCCAGCTTCTTGAGCAATCGAGCAGCGCGATCACTGGCGGACACGTCGGCATTTCTTCGAGTCTGGACCCGACGGATGATCGCTACATGGAAGCGAGCTACTATCGATCAGGACCATCATCGTCGAAGAGGAAAGGTGATACTGCTGGGGAAAGCGGGAAAAAAATTATTTTTGACAAATTTTCAGACAAGAAAAAGAAGGAAAATGAGACGATTAAACATGATTTCCATCTTGGTGAGACGATTGAATGGTGGGGCGGAGAAGAAGGCAAAGGATTGCCCGATGATCTATTGTAAGTTTAGGCGTTTTTATTTATTTTTTTTGGAAATTTAAATATTATGGGATTTTAGGAACCAGCAGATTCCGGAATGTGATGGAAAGGGAAAAATGTGAGTGATTTTTTATTGGGAATTTTTGTAATCGAAAATGAGCGTTTTTAGCGCTCCGATTGTTGGAATAGCCGCTACCAGCTGGAACTTGTATGTTTTGCACAAAAATGGCCAAGTCTATACATGGAATTGGAACGAGCCGACGGGAAACAATGTGCCGCATCCGATTCTTCATGACGCGAAGGCGACGACGTGCAAAGAAGCGTTGAGCGCTGGCGATTTGAAGAATCTGGTGGTGATGTTGTCGACGAGCAACTTGCGAATCGCTATCATCACGCAAATGGGCGCGATGGTCTCGTGGTTGGATGAGTACGCGGTTGGAATGAGAGTTGCGACGGCAACGGAATGCATTGGCATTCTGCCGAGAGAATCGTTACCCAATTTGCAAAATTTCACCACTAGCGATAATATGGCGGCGGTTCGGGTCAACAATACTGTATATTGGTGGTAAGAGGCTATTTTTGTTGAATTATTTAGTTTTTTTCGAGAATTCCCGAAATTTAATTAAATTTTTTCCAAGAGGAAATTTTGAGAAATAAAAAGTAAATAAATTGTTAAAACGTTTTTTTTTTTCAGTGGTTTAATTCCACCGTCGGATCGGGTTAAAGCATTTGAGAAGGAAAAGAGCGGGCAGAAGAAGCACGTCTCATTCGGCGACTCCAACTCGTATTCTTGTTCATCGTCAGGAGTCCATGCTGATTTTCCGATTGGATCACAGGTTCAGCTCAAGAAGTCGCCGATTTATCCCGCGGGAAGTGTCGGCGTTTTTCTGGATTCGTGTGAGCCAATGGTATTCGAATGATTGATCGGAAAATGGATAATAATTTTTATGCGACTCGTTTCAGGTCGGCGTTCTTTTGGAGGATTCGTGGACGGTTGGCGAGAGCTGCAGATTCCGTGTGCTCACCGTCGAAGAATATGATTCGGAGCAGTTGGGCTCTTCTGTCAAAGAGGAGATTGAGGAGGATGAGCAGCAGCAAGTAGAACCGGTGCAGCAGGAGCGCGATCAACAACAGCAACAGGGTGAGCTGCAGGAGGATATTCTTGAACCGGCGCCCCCAGTACGATTGCCACACGCCTCCGGTGACTCTGGTGCGTTTTTGGCGAAAATAATGAATCTATTCCTTATTTTCAATTTAGGACGAATATCGCGTAAACGACGATGCGGTCGCTCGTTCAACAACTCACCTCATCATTCGGCGATCAAATCGGAACGACGGACCGAAATGTGGTCGGTTGACGATGTGACGTGGATTCACGAGCATAGGAAAAGGGATGTGCTCACTGTTGTTGTGGTAGGCATTCATTCAGAATTGTCAAATAATATTGATTTTGTGAGTTTCAGAACGATAATAATATGGTGGCTGTGAAGTTTGATGATAATCGACCAATGCCATTCGCTAGTTCTTATAGTGATCTATTGGAGGAGGAGGTAGGTCGCGATTTTTTTATTTTCTAGAACTTTATACTCATTTTTTTTGGTAGACTTTTGTCTTCCATATCAACATATGGAAGTCCATAGGCTCACATTCTTCATAAAATTGATTTTTGCTTAATTTGGAATTCAGAGTGCTGTTGAAACGAAACCTGTCACCACGTGCCCTGGAGCAATGCGAATTCTGCGCAAAGAAGACGTTCAACCATATCTGAAGAAGTCTGATAGTCGTTGCCCTCGAGTGATGCAAAAAGAATTGGCGAAATTCGTGTTCGACGCTTCAAAATCAATTGTTTCGATGATTTCGGATCGACACGGATTCCGAATACTGGCGAAATCACGAAGCGAAAAAGAATATTTCATTTGTCGAATGATGGCCACCGGAAAATTGATGTCGAAACGAAGATTGCCGATGTATCCGCCTTCGGTTGAGGAGAAACTTCTGACGAATGGTGTGGCGCCGGATTTGTTGAGTTTTGGTGATGTGAGTTTTTTGATTGTGGTTACAGTTATAAAAATTGAAATGCTTGCAGAATCGCACTGCGTTCCTTCGCGATTCGACGGGTCAAATCATTCCATTGGTTCGCGATGCGATTTCGGGCTACCGCGAGCCGCCTGTTTTGCACGCGCAGCCGATTGCGTTCATTTCGTCGATTGCGCGGCCGATAAGTAGGGTGTCGAGCGCCTGCGAGGTAGGAACTGTACGTTATTGGGCAAATTATGAGACACCATTGAAATTGTGCCAAGATTTTGCTCGTTGAAATTTTCAGAAGGGCTCGTTCTGGGAAGGATCGGTGATTGTGATTCCGGGAAATCGCAAGCCGTATCATACGCGATTCATCCGCGATGGATCCTCATTGATGCAGTTGATTCTGTTCGGCGATCTTGAAGGCGTTCAGATGTTTCTTGATCGAATGCTTCAGTTAAAATGTGAGCTATTATTTGAAATTAAAGAAATTACTAAACTTGTGCGATTTCAGTTAGCAATCTATTGACTCCTCACGAATTTCGGTCGATTATGCGCGAGCAGTTGTTCGAGCTCACTTCTGATGGTTGCTCCAATGTGCTCCATGCCGCTATTCGAATGTGTGTACCCGCCAAGAACTCGATGGACCATGACAAACGCAAACCGGATTCCGAAGAGCCGCCACTATTCGCGTCGAGGCCCAACTCGTCGTCGAGCAGCAAGGAGACGGACTCGTCGACGGGCGGAGAGGTTCATCCACCGGCGCCGGCGCGATGGAAAGGTGTTTTGAGAGGACGAAGCCGACGATCGGGCGATAATGATTCCGATGATAGACGAGCGAGCGGTGGAAGTCAGGCGGATGGTAATGAGCGAGCGATTTCGGAGGAATCGGTGTCGTCAAACTCGTCGCTTCGTGAAGAGGGATTTGATATGCCGTTTGGCACGCATGTGAAGACGCCGGAGAAGCGGCAAAAGAATGCGTTGGAAATTGTGGATCTGATTCTGAAACATTCGTCGATTTTCTTTGATAAAGATGCGGCGGAGGAGACGCGTAATCTATTGTGCTTTTTTTAAAGAAAAAATATCTGGAGTTTGCAGAATTTGCCGAAGAAGCTGACATTTTGACGACAATCAAGGCGCTTTTGTCGGCTCGCGATATATCGGGAATGACTGCGTTCATGCTTGCCGTGAATTTGCGAACTTATGGTGCTGCCTATAGTATTTGGAGGGCGCTTTTGCAATTGGACATTCGCAATATGGTTAGTGTGTTTTGTTGTTATTGTTGACAAAAAAACTGAAAATCCCAATTTTTAGGAGCACGAGGAGCAGCTGAAATACATCTTCCCGGCGGCGATAACTGATGCTCACTATAATGCCGATGATTCGCCGTTGTTCCTTTTGTGCTACAATGACAATTGCTCGTTCACTTGGACTGGTGAGGATCATATTAATCAGGATATCTACGAATGCCGCACGTGTGGACTCACTGGATCGTTGTGCTGCTGCTCGGAATGTGCGTTGACTTGCCATCGGAATCATGAGTGCAAGTTGAAGAAGACGTCGCCGACGGCGTATTGCGATTGTTGGGAGAAATGCGCTTGCAAGTCGTTGGTGGCTGGAAACGAGGCACTTCGTGAGGAGCTCTTGGAGCAACTGTTGCAGCATACGAAGTTGTACGAGATGGCCAACGCGCGATACGAGCACATAGTTCTATTTTTGACGAAGACGCTCGTCCGACAACTCAAAGAGCAGGGCGGACAAATTGGATCGCGCAAGAAGCGGAATGCGGCGGCGGCGGCGGCTGCTGTTGCCGCCGGAAGCTCGTCGGCAGCGGCGTATCGACGAATGGAGGCTTGGTCGTTGCGGATTCATGATGATCGTCCGGTGGAGCATCCGAACGCGGAGAACATGCCCGAACACGACTTGAAACCGCCGAAATTTGTGAGATTCGCATTGGAAAAATGCCTGTGCCGGCCGAATGTGGTCAAAAGTGCCATTTGCCATGGATCAAAACATATTGATTTGTGAGTTCTTGGAGTTTCCTCTTACTGGGGAATTTGGTATTCATTTTTTTTAGCGACAAACATATGAGCCGCGATCATTTGCATTTTGCGATTCAGAGCGGAGCGTCGCATTTGGATAAGCTTACATATTATTTGCTCAACAAACGTGTTAAAGAGGTTGGTTAGAAGTTTTTCTTTATTTTTTTTTATACACAACATATATTGTTTTAGTATTGCACCAATTTTGTTAACACACTAAACATGGAATTGACGACTCGTGGTGAAACGAGAGACGATTATGTTGAAGATTATGTTGCTCGATTCGTCAGAAGTGTGATTCGCGTCATCACCTTGGCGGTGAATGTGTCACCGGCTGCCGCTGGAGTTATTTTAGTCGGTGAAGCGCCGCCGGAGGCGACGAACAACGCAAGCTCTAGCCAACGTGACTGCCAATTTCGATTCTTCAACTCGATTCCGTTTGGCGGCATTCCGTTGCCGATCACGAAGAAGGATTCGATAAAGCATTCGGATAAGACTGCTGGTGTGATGGCGTTGGTTGGATCGGCGATCGCAATGCTTCGACAATTCCCATCGTTTGCGATTCTGGAGCTCGCCGCGCTTGCCGATTCCCTATTGGCACCGGTGAGATTTGGCCTGGTGCGACCCATCTCGCCACCGACACTTTCTTCGCATCATGAGCCGCTGGAGTTGCTTGAGAAGTTCTTCACTAGTGATATGTCGTGGCCGGAGGCGGTTCGCAAAATGAGAAAGGATGAGAAGAAGACGAGAGTGGAGGCGATGAGAAAGAGAAAGGTGAGAGTTTGATTTAAATATTTGGCAAGAATTTGTTATAGCAATTCAACAAGCCTCCGAATGAGCGCGAGCGTGCGGATAGTATTGATATTGAACCAATTGATAATGAGGAACTCCCGCAGGATTCACAAGAAAGTCAAGTTCGTCATCGTAACGACTCGACGAGCACACACCGGGCTCGGCGAGTTTCGTCGATATCGGGAAATGAGGAGAATGACGAGAACACTGGACGGCAAGGATTCGAAGCGCCTGCACAGGACAGCGATGGCGATGATGATGACGATGGCGATGATGACGATGACGACGATGACGATGATGATGATAGCGATGAGAATCAGGTGAATGTCGTCCAATTTGTTGGTGAGGATGAGGAGGAGGAAGCGGCACGTGCTGAGAACGAGCGCAATTGGCTTTACGATCCGTCGAGTCCATCGGAAGGCGATGATGATGAGGATGATCGCGATCAGTCGTCGAATGAGGAACAGCAGTTTGCTGAGAATCCTGATGATCAGATTCAAGCGGGACCCGCCCTTCCACCACCAGAAAATGCGGACGATGGGGTTCGGCAGTTTGATCAGATTCCGGAGGTTGAGGAGCCGCAGGCGATGGAAGTTGATGATTCGTTTTTAAATCGGCAACAAAGTGAGTTTGACTTGTTGAGAATCTGAGTTAAATTGCTCTTTTTCAGGCATCGCTCGCGCTATCAGCGGTTCGGCTGCTGCTGCTGCGGCTGCCGTTGCCGCCGCCGCCGCCGCTGTCAACGAATCGGCGCCGGTGTTCATGTCGACGAGCTCATCGTCGTCGTCTCAGCAACCGGCTGCCAACGATTCGGCTAATGAGGAATCGTCAAGAACACGTGGAACACTTCCATATTCGAGAAGTAATCGAAGCGCATGGGCTCGAGGGGTTCGATTTTCATTGATTTTTCTTTGATATTGATTGTTTTTTTTATTTAGCGCCTTTTCCTTGGCTCCAATCGCAGCCCGCCGCGCACTTCATCAGGAATGCTCCGAAATCCGTTTTTGGATGATGATGGTCAGTTGCTTTTTGTTGAGAAATTTTGAACGGAAGCCAATATTTTTGCATAATTACTCTGGAATTATGCCGAAACGCTTTCGAAAATGATCGATTTGAGGCAATTATCGTTTTTCAGTTCCTGCTGCTCCAGCGACCTCGTCAAACAGCGTTGCCCAGCCGGAATCGGAGTCCTCTTCAACAACACCGGCCCCAACTGGAACTAACAGTGGAACTAGTAGCGTCACTGGAAACGCGAGCGGAAAGAACAAGAAGTCGGGCGGCGAGCCGCCGAACAAAAAAGACGATACGAAATTCAGCGAGCAAACTGCGAGACACCAATTGGCGATGAGTTTCGCCCTTTTGGTGCGACTGGGATGCGATATTTTGGGGAAAATGCGTCAGCCGGTTGAGACGGTGTTCGATATCAAGGATCAGGAGATGATCATGCATCAGAAGCGGCTTTATGAGGGATTCAGCGCGATTCTGAAAGAATCTTTCGATTGGATGCACGTCGTCATGGAATCGACTGAAGCGAAATTGAGATTCAATGAGGCTTACCTTCAGCGAGTTGATCCGTATACGCAGACTGATGAGAAGTCCGGAAAGAAGGAAGCGTTGAATTACATTGTTTCTCTGATGAGGGAGAGTCGAGATGAAGCTCAGGATAGGCTGCCACAAATTGATTATGAAGTAGTTTTTTTTGATTTTCGGAAAAATTTTATTTAAAATTGTCGCGTTTTTTGTTTCAGATTCTTGAATCTGTTGGATTTGTACTTGAAGCCTACCTGGTGTTCCTTAATTGCAATAATGATAGAAATATTGTAAGTTTTTGTTTCGTTCTCGACGTTTTTTGCTAAATCTTGGCCGTTTTAGGAGTTTAAATTACTTGTTGATCAATATGATGATGCGAATAAAAGATGTTACAAGTATCGATGCAAAACGACCGATTACGAGCTTCTTTGTGGATTTTTCATGGTAGGAATTTGGAAATTTGAAGGGGTGTTGTGTTACCCGCAAAAATGATTGAGGGAATATTTTGAATTTCGATTTTCAGCGTCCTTTGTCGCTATCGTATCCTGGCGACATTTATGATGGAGCTTGGAACACGATTCGTGGGCGAGATGGAAAAATGACACTTAACGCTGATCAAGATGTGAGTTTTCAACCAAAAATGATCAATTGCGATTATTTTTTTAAAATAAAATCAATTTTTTCACAGATTCCGTACATTTCGAAGCCGCTTCTTCTTGATATGGACTGGTCACCATCGTTTTTGTGGCGAAACTCCGATATTGATGATCAAATCAAGCCGTTTAAAAAGCATTTGGTGGTGGGAATAGTTTTGTGTTGAAAAACTCCCAAAAAAAAAAACACGGATTTCAGAACAATGTTGAGCAACTCAATCATCATGAGTCTTTCTCAATTTTTAATCGAAAATCGACGTATGCGAGCATGGCGATTCAATTGCCGAAAAAGGAATCGAGATCGGTGATGATTATGAAGAGTTTGAGAGAGCAACATCGAAAATGTATTGGAAATGATCAGCGAGTTCATGATTGGCCGGCGATGAGACAAATTGATTGGCGAATGACGAATTCGTATCCGATCGAGCGAAATTGTGCGTCGAATTTTGAATTGATTGTGTATGTTCTTTTGTGGTATTTTAGGTCCTCGCAATCCCGTTGAGCAGCTTCGCGAACGTTTACTCGAACTTTCCTCCGCTTATGGCAATTTTGTGTATTCGAAATGGATGCGAACAATTGATGTGATCGCTGATCGTTATTATGACACGCTATCGGATGCTTATGGTCCCGAAGTTGCGCTCGAATACTCGCCGTTTTTGAAGAGAATCTCGAGATTCGGCGTTCGTCATCAGCTTTTCCTTAAAGCTGCTGAGAAATATCGATCGCTTCATTTGCCGAATAAGGAGCTGAATTTGGAGGTGGGAAATTTCTTTTTAAAAAAATCGTTTGAAATTATTGCTATTTGTCGATTTTTCAGGTTCACCGCGATCAGGAATTGCTTATACGTGAGACGATGTACCATTTGAATCATTTGTTTATCAAAAAGATGCACAATTGGAAAGCTGGCGATGGTCCGGTGCTCGCCGGCACTCGACTACGCGTTCGATTCGTTGATGAGCCGGGAGAGGGAACTGGAGTTACGAGGAGTTACTATACGGCGTTGGCCGAGGCGTTGATGCAATTGGAGCAGTCGCCGTTTAATGTCGAAACGATGGCGGATAAAGAATCGCTGATGGCCTCATTGAATGTGCCGCTGCACAGTGAGTTGCGGCGATTTTCGGCCGAATCTACTGAAATTGTTTGCAGATTTGGATGTTCTGAGTCGAGTTCGACGCTTGAATCGCGACAAAGCGCAACGCCTTTGTGTTGCCATCAAAAAGGCCAACGTGTTTCCGTTGAATTTGCGCGCGCCGCGCGCCGACGTCGAGGCGATTCTTGGCGGCGAGGATTGGATTCCGAGAGATGAAGCCGAACGAGCGTTTATGAATTCGGCGATGCTCAAACAGAATCAGGAGCGATTGCGGAAATTGTACAACGAGTAGGAGTTTAATTTCTTTTTTTTTTTTCATTTTTTGAAAATATTAAATTTTTTGTTGAATTTCAGCATCACAAAAATTGTGAAAATCTCATCGATTGTTGGAAGAATCATTGGAATTTTGTTCCAATTGCCGCCGGACAAATTTAATGTGTTCGACACGAATGACGACACGTTGAGGTGAGAAGTTTAACAGAGTTTTTTTAATCGATGGAAACTTGCAAAATATTTTACAGACTTTATGTGCAACACGCGTGGATCGAATTAAGAGGCGCTGGTGAAGTTGATGATCCGATTGAAGCGCCGGTCGCGAAAATGACGGAAGGATCGACGAAACTGGAGGATTTGTGGAACGAAGCGAGCAATTATGACTACAATGAAGCGTTGTTCGTCAAAACGCCGGCTGGAAACGCGTATATTCCGAAAGAGGGCAATGCGTCGCCGCTTCGTGTGTCGGCGTTCCGAAATGTCGGCCGAATAATGGGCGTTTGTCTGGCGCAGGGCGACATTTTCCCGCTGAAACTCGCGAGACACGTGTTCTCGTATATTTTGAAGTTGCCCATCACTTTCTTGGATTTGGCGTTCTTTGATCCGACGGTGAGTGGTTTATTTTTGTTCTCGAAATGTCGAGAAATGCGAAATGGAAAAATTATTGTGAAATTTTGCAGCTTTTCAACTCGATTCGCTCGATTCTCGCTTGCGATCAGGATGATGAGACGAATTTCGATTGTATGGACTTCACCGTGTCAACCGATCGACCGAATATGGTAGGATTTTTATTTTTTTTCTTTCTTTTTTCATTAAAATCCAATTCTTTCCGTTTTTTAGAGTGTTGTGACGAGGGAATTGCGAATGCATGGTTCTCAAACGCCGGTTGACAAGAATAATATAATGGAATATGCGTATTTGTACGCGGATTTCACGCTATTGGGAGAGAACTTGGCAGCTTTTGAGGTGTGGAATTGCAAAATGTTGTGCGAAATTTTGAGAGATTCGTCAAATTTTTTAAGGCTCTCCGCGAAGGTGTTCTTGACGTGATTCCGGAGACGATGCTTTGCGGTCTGACGCCGGAAGACCTTCGCCTCATCCTTTGCGGAACTGAGAAGATCTGTGTGGAAACGCTTCAATCGCACACCACGTTTTTGGACGAGAGCCGATCGAGCGCCGAGACGTTGACGCGATTCAAACAGTGGTTCTGGCAGGTTGTCGAGTCGCTCACCGATCAGGAGAAACAGGTACGCCCCGCATAGTGTTTGATTTTTGCTCAAAATTGAGATGCTAGTGCGAATTTATAGAAAATTGCGCTGAAATATCCGAATAGTCGGTTATTCCCGAAAAATTTCTGAAATTTTCATATTGAGCGAAATTCTTGAGATTTTTTGAGGCGGCAATTTAAATTTAAATTCAATCAGTGGGAACTTGTATGCTGTCATCCCCGCGAAGCTAATTCGTTTTTTTTTTTTGATGTATAGTATAAACACGAGATTTTTTCACAAAATTGAGGAAATTTTAGTTTTTTTTCGGGCTGAAAATTTTGCTCTGAAATCGCATTGTTTTATAGGATTTGGTATTCTTCTGGACCGGCACACCAACATTGCCGCCGTCGGGCGAATTCCAGAACAACGCGACGGTGATGCTTCGGCCTTCGGAGGACATGTTTCTGCCGACGGCGAACACGTGCATTTCGCGCCTCTACGTTCCGGTGTACTCGTCGAAGCGGATTCTCAAATCGAAGTTGTTGATGGCGATCAAATCGAAAAATTTCGGATTCGTCTAAATTGGCCGCGCTTTATTATAATTATTTTAAATATTTCGTTTTTTCTTCTTTTATGTTTGTTTTGTTGCTTGTTTGTTCCTGCAAACCAAATACGGCTGCTCTTCATTTGAATCTATTAAAATTAAAAAAAAAAAAACAAAATAATTTATATGGATTTCAGAAGTCCCAATTAGAATTTTGTGCGTTTTTCTCTCTTTTCTTTCTCATTTGTTGCTCGTTTTTAATTCGCCGCCTTTTTTTTGTATAAAAAAATCCATGAAATTTGAAGTTTTTTTTCTTCTGTCAACTTGGAACCTCGCTGATCCATATGGTTTTATTTGTACGGAAAAAGTGTAGGAAAATTTTGGGTGAAAACGTGCAATATCACAAAAAAAAATGCAAATTTAATTCGGACCATTATCGATTTCATATTTGGAAAGCGATTCCCAGGCAAGCTTACGGTATCTGCAAATATTCATTGAATTGGAAGAAAAATGGCTAGAAATCGAAATTCCAATAATTTCTAATTGAAATCTGCTCGCAACACTCACCGTTTGAGCTGCTGTACGGGCTCCTGAGCGGCGGTGACGCCCCGCCCAACAATGATGATATCATTCTGTTGAATCTCGACGGCTTCGTCAATTCCACGCCATTGCTGTCCGGCTTTGTCGGTGGCGGCGTCGAGATTCACGCCGGGCGTCCAATTGAGCAAATCGGAGAACGCTGAGATACGCGTTTGCGCAATGAAGCCCGCCACCGTATCGCGATTCTCCTCGGCGATTCGGACGGCTTCTGAAAAAAGCAAACAAGCAGTCAAGCAAAAATTGCGTTGCGATTTACCTTCGGTGTATCCCGAAATTCCCGTCAGTGCTCCTTTGCAGCTGAGCTGCGCGATCAACAGGACACCTTTGAGGCGGTATTCGGCGTTTTCGACAAACTGCAAAAATAGACATGTTGGCCGGCGGGTCTCGAAGCGATTATGGCACCTGTCGAAATAGTGGCGCGATGCTCTCGTCGCCCTGTACGGCATGCACCGTAACCAAGTCGGCCCATGTGGCAATCTTCTGAAGGCCGAGTAGCTGAAGTTTCGTCGTGTTGGCAGTGTCGGCGAATTTTCTGCAAACGCGAGAAATTTTGAAATTTCTCATTGTTATTTTTTTTTATTTGGATTTTACCTATCCTCCAACACGAGAAATTCCAAATCTTTCGACAATTTCGTCAATTTTTCAACGAAACTCTCGGAAAAATCGATGATGGCGTCGGCATGAATCTTGATGGCGACGACGAACGGTCCGGCTCGTTCGGCCATCTGCAAAAATCGGCAATTCGGTTGGTCGAAATAGACAAAATGCAAAAACCAAATGTCACCTGCAAAATCTCATCGGAAGTCGTATAGTCAACCGCCAAACACAAATTCGACAATTTTTTCCTCATCATTCCAATCAATCGTTTGTTGAGAGCCGATGAGCAAAGATCGGCGCGCTCTTGAAGGCTGGATTTCGCCTTCAAAATAATTTTACATTTTATTGTCCGCAAAAATGCGTTAAAATTTGAGTTAATCAATTTTTACGATTTGGCTGCGTATCAAAAATATGCAGTACACCTTTTTTTTTACTTACAATTGACAATGGAAACTTTTTGACATCCTCGAAATCCTTGGAATACTCAATTCTCATTGGTTGCGTGTATTTCAGATTGAGCGCTTGAACGATTTCGGTGAACACTTGGGCGGTGATCAAATTGGCGGCGTTCAGCCATCCCAAAACCATTTCCATGTTAAGAAGATTGTGCAAATTGATTCCGAGCTCGTTGAGCTTCTCCTTTCCGCCTTGTTCGCGATCGAGAATGCAGTAGACGTGTTTCGCGACGAGACCCTCTTTCGCCAATTGTTCGATCACCTAAAATTTCGAGCGCGTTTTCGAAATATTTTCCTCTCGCGATAATACTTCCAAAATACTTCCACCGGTGGTGACAACGTCTTCGATGATCGCCACCTCATCGCCATTCTCATATTTTCCTTCGATCAACTTTTTCGTGCCGTACGATTTCGCCTCTTTTCTCACAATTAACAGTGGTTTTTTGAGGAAATGACCAGCGGCCATCTGAAAATTTTTGCCCCTCAAATCGATTGGGAAAATAATAAACGCCTACAGAAGCGTAGGGAAGCGCCGCATAGGGGACACCGACGATCCCTTTAAAGTCGATTTCGCTTTCGGCAATCATCATTCCGAGCCCTTCGGAAATCATTGTCTGCAATAGCAATTAATAAAGCAAATAAATTTCGATGATTTTTTTTCGCTTACGAGAAGCTCGGGATGCGCGAAACACTCGCGAAGATCAATATAAATCGGCGAACGTTGCCCCGATTTCAGTTGAAAATCGCCAAATTTGAACACACCAGCTTCAACCATTTTTCGAAGTAGATTGCGCTTCGTGGCGCCGACGCGGGTGTTCGAGTTGAGGTCGGCACTCATTTTCGGCTGAAAAAAAAACGCTAAAAAATGAAGAATTTCGGCGAAAAAATTGCAAGTCGGACGAAACAACATTTACGATAAATCGAGGGCATTCAATGCGTAAAGTGTGGAGTGACGTTGCCCAAAATTGGAATTCTCAAGTTCGCTGAATTTTTCACCGAAAAATCGTATAGTAGCGAAAAAAAAGTGATAAAGAATGGCAATTCGGAGTGGACAGCGGTCAAATTGATAAAAAAAGTGATAGGAAGATTGAATTGAGGGGAGGGGTGTGTTCGCCGCTACAAACTACACATTTTTTCAATTTTCCCAACAAAAATTTCTATAAAAACAAAAAAGCGCTATGGATATTAAATAACGGTTTTTTGCAACAATTTTCGCTCATAAAACATTCAATAAATGTATGAGAATGCATTATTCCAGCATTTCTAGCCTTAAAGAAAAAACACTGTGTTCAGATTCGAATATTTACGAGAATCTCAATATAATTAATTAAATAATTATATAATTGGCTAATTAATTCAATCCATAAATCCGTTTGGCGTTTTGTGTGGTAATTTTCGCAACTTCTTCAGGCGATTTTCCCGAAAATCCGGCAATGAGCTCACAAACCGCTGCCAACGACGCCGGCTCATTTCGATTGAAAGAAGAAAACTATAATTAACGATTTCGATGCTGAATTACCCTACCAATTAATTACTTTATGTAGTCTTTTGGTTTCCTCAGTGATTGCATCCCGAATTTCCTTCGGCAGCTTCTTGTCAGTGATTTTCGGGTACATGTACGGCGCGTCCGTCTCAATAACCAATTTCTCTGCAATTATCTAATTAGGCAATTAAAAGATAATTATCTAACAACCTATTGGGATATCTCCGCTTCGTAAACCCGCTTGAACACCATTTTCCGACTTGTCTTTCCACAAAAATCCTGAAAAACACAATGTGGCCGATTATTTGAAATATGGCGTGGCCTAGAATTTTGACGGCCACTCAGATAAATTTTTAATTTTCAAACAATTCTGTTCCCGTAAAAATGGCGTTTGCACAGCCGCGTCGCTCACTTCCAGTAGTCGCTCGGTCATCGGCACGAATTTCAAGGTAAATTTTGATAAAATTCTTAAAATTTATTGAAAAATCGTGATTTCAGCTTGGAAAGTCACAAAACACTTGATGATACACTGCGAAAACAGCGTAAACTCAAACAATTGGATGGTTTGGAGCAAGATAATGCACACGTAGGATTATTTTATTGGAAAATTGATTTTTTTGGTGGTGATTCTCAAAAAAAGTTGGTTTAAAGCTTAAATAGCCATTATTAAACAAGAAAATTGTAAAAATATCTCACAGATTGTTGAAATTTATCGCCAAAACAATTTTGAAGTCTCGAATTTTAAGCATAAAAGTCAATTAAAAAAAACGAGTTTTTCAATTAAAGGACGACCCACACGCAAATATAATATGGAACAAAGCGGCGCCAAAATTCGAAGACGAGCCAATTTCGAAAAAATCGCGAAAAGATGGTAATTTTTTGACGATTCTTCTAAAATTCAACCAAAAATTTGTGTTTAGACAAAATCGGCGGCGGCGAGAAGTCGCGAAGGCGTCGCTTCAATCGACCCGAGTTCAATAAGCAACGATTCAAGAAATCATTCGCCGTGCACGTCGCCGAGCACAGTAAAGTCATCGCGGAATCCGCCGATCCCGATTTTCGAAGGTGTTTTATAGAAAATATTTCAAAATTTCTGCATTTTTTAGTGGAAAAAACTGGATTTTTGAATCCAAATCGAATTTTTTCAACATTTCAGAGTCGGAGCCTTCGATCGTGCTCTAGCACCACCGTCAAACAAGCCGCAACGTCGTTTTTGCGCTGTGTGCGGACACTTCTCAAAATATTGCTGCACAAAATGTGGCGCTCGTTACTGTAGTCTTCATTGTCGCGATATTCACAACGATACGAGGTGTATGAAATGGATGGCTTGATTGTTTCCCAATTAATTTTTTTTATTGAATATTTCAGCAACTAATTTTACTTTTTTGAAAAAAATTCGGGTAAAAATTACCTGTGAGACCAATGAAAAATCCCATTTCAATATATTTTTTCGCCTCATCGACGGTTCCTGTGAAACAATGAATGACAGCGGGCGGAAGTCTGCAAATTTTCCCATAATTGACAATTTTTTTAATTGAAAATTCGCTTTTTTCGCACATTTGCTCAATGCAGAAAATGCATAAATAGTTGTTTTTTTGCGCAAATTGAATGCCTCTGGCTCAAACGCCATGATGTGCAAATTATTTTACGCGTTGGGTTACTGTAGACGTGCGATGTCTGTGGTACACCGCGACGCCAACTCGCAACTCTATCGACTTTTTCTTTTTCAAATTTGATTAAAAATTTCGATAAAAACTCGAAAATTCAGGCCCACTTTTGTCCAGCTTCTTCAAGAATCTTCACCATATCCTCGGAAGCTTCGCGCTCATGAATAAACAGCGGTTTTTGAAGCTCAATGGCGAGTTGAACTTGTTTCCGAAAGACGTCTCGTTGGACATCGCGCGGCGAGAAATCTCGATTATAGTCGAGACCGCATTCGCCGACGGCGACGCAACTCGGCGATTTCTGCAAACAGAAAATCGAATTTCAAGAAATTTTCAGCACATTTCAAATGCCTGAAGTCGTCGTAACGTCTCCAGTGTCGAATCGTTCCAATGCTTTGCGTCATGCGGATGAACGCCTTAAAAAAAAGAATTAAAATGGAATTGCGGTTTTCAAAATTCCAGAAACCTGCCGTAAAATATAAAAATCCCGGATATTTCTGGACAAGCTGCTCGCACTGCTCGCTGATAATTTCGCTGGTCCCAGTCACCATGATCTTGCCGACTCCGGCTTCTTTGGCTCGACTCAACACCTCATCGATGTCATCCTTGTACGAGGGATGCCCCAAATTCGCTCCAATATCCACTAAATCGTAGCCGGTGGCGCTCATTCGTTTCAAAATTCGCCTCAAAATCTGTCAATTTAGGAAAATTTGTATTTTCAGCGAAAAAAATGAACGAAATAATGCAAGATTTGGGACTTTTTTGCGAGAAAAATTAAACAATTCTTTAAAAAGCTTTTATATTTACACAACAACTACTAACAATGCTAGAAAACCCCAAAAAAAAAAAACAAAATTTTGGCGTGCAATTATTCCCATCCGAGATTTCGGCGAACATTCGGATCGTCGAGCGCTTTCAGCTCCTCCTGCTTCTCTTTCAGCAGCAAATCTGGAATGTAGCGGTAGTCTTCATCGGCCTTCTCATGCTCCTTCACGGTTATCTGCAAAAAAAACACACACAAACAAAAATTGTGAGCTGAAAATTTCAAATTTTAGCGCCTACCGTGACTCCAACCGGAATATGCGCTTGCAAAATTTGCGTGAAGAGTGAGAGTCGTGGAGCAGCGACGGCGTCAAGTCGCACAACTCGATCATAAATCGCCAAATCGATTTCTCCTTCAGCCACTGTCGAATGCGGCTTATAAGTAACAGCTCGATGGGTTTGCGCGGCAACTGCGTAGCTGAAAATCGCAAAAATCGATTTCTTATTAAAAAAAAACTGATTCGAACCTGTCAACAATCTTAAAATCGAATCGTTTCGCCGTTTTGTGGACGTACGATTGGAATTTTTCCAAAATTTTGAAATCATATCCTTGCAATCGAACATTTATCGTATTATATCTGAAATTTGGTTTATTTCTCTCGAATTTCAACCAATTTTCTACTCGGGAAACTCTCGTGTGTCGACAAATTTTGGCTCATAAAGAAGGCTCGCGTCCTGCTCGCCGGCGATTTCTCGCAAAGACGCCAAATTTCGTGTCTGCACATCAAAAACTATCGTTTTCTTTATAAATTATTCAATTTTTACCTGTTTGAGCCCATTTTTGCTGAATTTTGAGGCGAAATTAGCCAACAGCATTCTAAAAAACGAAAAATTGTAGGCGATTTCGAATAAAAATAATAATTTTGGATGGCCGTGGAAAAAAAACTAGTCCACGGCCATCAGAAAGAAAAATTTTAAAAATTAACAATTTCTGTTCAAAAGTGATAAGTTTTGCGTAATTTTTCATTATTTCTGAAATTTTGACAAATATTTTTCACAACATTTGATAAAACTTGGCATTTCGGGACCCCTGATATTCTCCCTAGACGATATTGAAAAAAGGATTTATTTTTTGCACATATATTCGAATCGAATTTTAATTTACATCACAACAATTGAATAGAAATTAGAAGAATGGATGTTTAGATTGCGGCGGATTGCCGAATCCAGGATAATTTGAATATCCTGATCCGAAATTTGAACCAGTGAACGTCGGCATCATATTATTCGTTGGATAGGCGGGCGTCGGGGCGGGAACAGGCATTGCACGTGAAGGTTGATTAATGGTCCCGTATTGTTGTTCCCTTAAAAGGGCAACCAATCGATCGGATTTGATTTTTCTGAAAAAAAAAGAGCAATTAAAAAATTTATGAAATTTTCATTAAAAATGATAAACGTCTGAATGTTTTCTATAAAAAAAAACCCCTACCTTAAATGGGCTAGCGTCTTTTTCTCCTTAAACTGCTTCAAAAACAGATCGGCAGGAATCTCTCCGTCTTGAAACTGCTTCATAATAGCTTCAGCATCATCGTCAGCCTCCTGAGCAGCAACTTGCATCAAATTCGAGGTGACATCCAAAGTTTTCGACGAAGACACATTGTCCAGCTGCTCTTTTAAAGCGGTCACTTCAGTTTTCAGCTTCTGAGCTTGATCCAAAAGCGTCAAAGTCTGAAAAAATTCAAAAATGATGTCGAAAAACCAAGAATAACTGTCTACTTGTGCTTTAGCTTGCTCGATTCTCGGCTGCTGGGCCAAATTCCATTCGGCTAGCGATTTATTCGAAGCCAACGCCGACTCTTTATCAGTCGGCATTGATCGAATCTGTGGTAGTGAATCAATAAATGAATCCAGAAGAGCGTCATCGTCGAGCATAGCTGAAAGCTGCTCGGTCGTCATCGATTTGCAATTTGTCTGAAATTTCGCAATTTTTGAAATTCCCCGCTTTTTTAATCACCATTGCTGATGAAACTGCAAGATCCACTAGGCTTTCATAAGGACTTTGACTCGAATACATTGTGTTTTTGCTGAAAAATGAAAGATTTTGCGGAAAAGGAAGTGAGAATATCGAATCAAGTGACGCGATACGTCTTAAAGTAATTACGCTAAACTGCGGGCGTTGTGTACACGCGGAGCCTCGTTGGACCCGCATTAGAGTTTCTGACCAGCAGCAGAACAATTAAATATGAATTTCAGCGATATTTTAAGGTGTAAAATGTTTTATTATGTACTATAGTATGCTAACATTAAAAAGCGGCACTGCCAATTTAGTGAAAAAAAATTGGCAAAGTGTCAGGCTCTCAGTGAGATTTTGAGAATCTCAAAATCAAATCGTTGGAAAAAGGTTCGTTTTCGGAGTTTTCAGACGCGCTGAATTTTTTTGGCAATGTTGAATCCAAAAAAAATGACATCATTGAGCCAATAGGACCACTATTCACTAAAATTCTTGTATAATCATGCAGTCGCCAGAACTAGATGTTCCATGTTCAAAAAGTGTCCCCGAAATTGTCATTGTGCATAAAAACTAGGTCAAACTAGGTGTCACATTTGTGCAAAAATTCGGCTCCGTCATATGTTGGGACGTCGGTTGGCGTCGTCTCGTCTCGACTCTCGCCTACTGTGCAATGTCTAATCGTTTTGTTGCGAACACCCCAAACCATGCTTCTGAAATTTACGATAAAGCCTAAATCGCAAAAAAAAAACGACGAGCGCTTTTCGCATAATCATGGTCCATTTTCGAGGCGTTAATTCAAAATTTCGAATTTAAATCGCGGAAATTTGGATACCGTACTCCTATCACCGCAGATCAGCGAAGGGTGCTCGTTTTTTTTGGCGAATGTCATAATGAATGCTAGGGTCCAACCATTCTCTCTCTCTTTTCCCGTAAATCTACACAGAATGTCTGTTTCTTTTTATTTTCTCGACTATATGCATTTTTTTTATTAAATATGAAGGATCTCTGCCCAACGGTAGCGCGCTAAAAAACGAAATAGTGTGGTCGGCGAAGAGACGCAAAGAAATAGCAGTAGCGTCCTTTGTGAGCGACATTGGCACATTTGAATAACACTTTTTTTTTGTTATCACCATACAACCTTTGGCACGTTTCTCCTCACTGATACGAACCGCACCGGACCGCACGGCTCCGCCCATTCCCTAAAGTCTATCAATGGTCCATTGCATTTTACTGTGTGCTGGTTCATCGTTAGCTCATTCAATGTACCGATTTTGCAGATAAATGAGTAGAGGCGAAAGGATTCGCGACGACTTCAGCGAGACGAGCTCATTGCATCCCGATGAGATGCCAGCGAGCCGTCGACGCGATGGACCGCCAAGCGGGTATGATCCGCGCTCTAGCGGCCATCACCATCGACGGCCGTCGCGTGGTTCCGACGATGAAACGAGAAGCCATCGCTCAGCGTCCGATTATGAGGTGCTCTCATATCTTAGCTCGCGTGGAAGTCGCCAAACGAGTCCGCGTGCAGCTCGTCAAAGTGATTCACGCGAATCGTTCGATTCGGGCTGGTCGAGAGGTGCCTCGAGCTATGATGATGACGTCTCGATGCGCCGCAGGGAGTCTCGGCAGGATGAGGCGCCGCGTCAAAGACGCTACGACTATCCGGAGCCTGAACTACAGTGCAGTCGTCGACGAGGATCGGGATTCGCGTTCCACGGGCCTCCAGGAGGATATGATCCGAAATCCTATCGACATCACAAGTACGAACCTCGCTCGCGTCCTGCTGGACGCGGCCGCGGCGCCTATCGTCGGCCGCGTGAAGATGAGTCCCGCCAATGCCGATCTCCAGTGTTCGAAGAAGACGACGACGACGGCAGACCTCGTGTTCCGGCGCCCCGTCTGTTTGCTAGATCTCAATCGGATCGCAAAGCGGCCGACGATCTCGGCAAACAAATGAGCGGGTGTTCGTTGGAGTCAAAAAAATATGCGCCGGTAAGAAGATGACCTAAAAAAAATAGTTTTGACTCCTCGATTTCCAGATTGAAAAAATCGAGTTTTGCGAGCGACCCGAAAAAATGATCCAGGACACGACACTCGGTAAAAAGACGGTTGTCCAAACAAACTATATTCGGGTTCATACGTCGTCGGAGCTAATTCTACTCTACGTCTACAATGTTACCGTAACCAAATTCGGAAAACGTCATGAGAAGGTGCTGAAGAAGAGGTGAATCCTGCAACATCCCACCCTAATTATGAAGAAATCGGAATTTCAGACAAGAAATTGTGCCGATATTCTGGAAGTGCGTCGAACAGAATCGCGGCGTGTTTCCGCAATATCAGGACATGCTGTTTAACGACAATAATATGCTCTGGTAATACGGATATATTTTTTTCGCTTCCATGTTTTGTCAAAGAAAATTTTGTTCCAATTTGCGCGATAATTAAAAAAAATATATTAGCGTTTAAAAATTTTTGCGTTACGGTAGTATCGAAGTCCGCAATAAGTCAATATTACGCAAAAAAGAACAGATTTTTTGTTGATTTTTTTATTTTTTAAAATTAAAAAGCGTTGTTCCATTTCAAAAAATATAAATTCCGTGCAGCTCTGATTAGGACCATTGAAACTTTCTAGGACGAAATCGCGAATCAGAGCCGATGATTATGAAACGCAGCATTTCGTGTACGACAATGACGGCAGAAAGATTGGCGTTGTGACATTGATGTTCGTCAGCGTTTCGAATTACACCGCCAATCCGCAGAACGCCGAGGAAGCCCATCAAATGGTTCAGCTCATTGATCTCATTGTGACAGCCAGGAATCGGTGCCGTTTGACGTAAGAATATATTGATTGATTGTCTCGCGTCTAGCCATTGCGATTTTAGGAACGATTCTTCATATTTCTATACGCATGGCAAGAACACGTTCATCGTTTCGGGAAATCTTGGAGAGAACGAATTCTCGATGCCGATGTCGTTTTACGTTGGCGACAGCATTGAAGGATGGCGTGGAATGCATTTTGCCGTGAAGCCGTGCCTTCGCGGCGGCATTCTCGCCAACATCGATCGTCAGTATTTTGGGCTGTATTCAACAATTTGTCATTTTTCTTTTTCTAGTGATCTCATCGACTTTCTGCGTCTCGCAATACCCGATTCTTCAGCTCATCATTGAGCAGGCTTTTGGTAAACGCGAGGCTGCCGATCCGGAGATTATGGCGAAACTTTCGCAGTATGGAATGAGCTCGAAGAATCGAAAAAATGTCACGCGAATTCTTGGAGGTCCGCTGATTTTTTCTGCTCGCCCATTTTGTTTTTGTTGAAATTCCAAAATTCTAGGACGAAAATTGAGATTGACCTATCGGAATAAGTCGTTCAAGTTTGGCAAACTCACCGACGAGCCGGCGAGTTTGCTCTTCTTCGTCGCCGACGACAATCGACGCATCAGCATTGCCGATTATTTCGAGTCGATCGGAATGAAATTGCGCTATCCGAATCTGCCATGCGTTGTGGTTTGTTTCGAAACTTCTTCTCAATTTTTTTGCGTTTTATTTTCAGCCGAGCGGCCCGTGCAAAAAAAATCGTGTCAAACCAATTTATCCAATGGAATTCTTGACGACGTCGTCGGCAATTGAGAAGTTCAGCGGACCATTGACGGAAAAGCTCGCAGCGAGCTATATTAAAGTAAACGACCAGGCATTCAATTCTATATCATTGTGAATTTTCAGCATTCGGTGCTGCCACCGCAAAAGCGTTTGACGCTTATTCAGGAGATGACCAACAAGGAGTGTACGTTCGAGAAAATGCGAACGAGGGAGACGCAAGCGACTAGGGACCGAAAAGTGGTGATGGAGATTAATAAGAAGATGTTGGCTGATGGGCAGACGGGAGAGGAAGTCGCTGGGATGGACAGTGAGGGACCATCTCTAGACAATCAAGAATCGTCTTCGAAAGGAACTACCGAAATCAATGAAGGATCGCCTGTAGACATTTCGGGACCATCGACGAGCGCCAAGAAATCGTGCGGCAATTCTGACAACGATATGGGCGTTGACGAGTCGGCGGCGACGTCCGACGAAATTCCCACAAGCGATTTTCCGAAATTCCTCGACAACGATGACATTTGGATGACGAACTTCGCCACCGGCGTCGAGAAGAGCTTTCTGACGGCGAAAGCAACGATTCTTCCGGTGCCGTCGCTGATTTTCGGCAACAGTCGCTTCTACGACGCGTCGCATCGCGGCGATTGGAGCATCGGTCGCGAGCATCCGTGTCGACGCATCAAAATGGTCGCCACGAAGGGGACCAAGACGAAGGTGATCGTGCCGGCGATACTCGTCGTTCAGAATCCGAACGATCCGACGTGTCAGGTGGACGATGGCAATTTGACGAGGCATCAGGCGAAGATGCTTCTCAATCGCCTCAACGATCACGGCCAACCCGTCTATTATGCGAACGGCGAGCCGAACATCATTTGTGTATGTCGTTGTGTATCGCAATTCGGTGTTGGGGAGAAAAAAATTGTTTTCAGGCGACAACGTTCAATCAATCGTCGCAACAGATTATTCATCTTCAGGAGTTTTTGTATTTCTTCCGCGAGAAGGTCGCCGAGATGGTGACCGACGACAAAATCGGTGTGCCGTTCCTCTTGTGCATCTACGCGTATAAGGGCAAAAATTACAATTCGCAACGCGATCAATTTCCGCCGGATTATGGTTTTTATTTTTTTTCAATAGATTTCTTATCGACGACTTTCAGCAATTATAAAATCGTTGTGCGATTGCGAAATTGGCATTTATAATCAGGGGATATTGTACGAGACGTATCGAACACTTGACGATGACTCGCAAAATGGGACCATCAACAATTTGGTGCGAAAAATGTTGGCCAAAGTCGGCGCTGTTCAATATGTTCTCGAGCACGGCGGAAATCATAAAAAGTACGTCATGCAATGTTTCATATTAGAAAAGAGAATGTCAAAAATGGTCTCACGACGATTTCTGGCGTTTAGAAAATTTGAATGGCCAAAAATGGTCAATTTGTTAAAATAAAAATTATTAAAAAATCACATCTTTACATACTTTTTTCTAGTTGGACAAGATTGACGGATCCATCATCGCCGACTTTAGTGATGGGCATTGATGTGTGCCATCCGTCAGCCGAAGACCGTCAGAACAACCAATCGCTCGATTCGCTATCGGTTGCTTCGATTGTGTCGAACATTGACGTTGAGATATCACAGTAAGCCGCGACAAGCCCAAAAATGGCACACAGTTGATTGTTTGAGGTTCCGCGATTCGTCACGAGTTCAGAATCCCGGCGACGAAATGGTTGTCGACATGGTGCACGAGATGAAGATGAGAATTCTCGATTTCATCAAGGTATTTGCTTTGGATTTAGAATGTCCAAATCAATCGTTGTTGCTCACAGCATTCGAATACGCTGATGGCGCACATCGTCATCTATCGCGATGGTGTCGCCGAGAGTATGTTCGAGAAGATATTTGCCGAGGAGAAGGAGGCGCTCGATGCGGCCATCAGGCAGCTTCGTCCGTTCCACAAAGACCTCAATCCGACGATCACTTATATAATGGCGACGAAGCGGCACCATACGCGATTTTTCGCCATCAAGGAGGAGGACACCGCCGGACCGTGAGTTGACTAATTCGCTCGGGCTCTGGTATTGTATTATACAATTTCCAGCGTTGGAAATGTGAAGCCGGGAACGCTGGTGGAAGACGTGATCACTTCGAGCCGCTACTTTGACTTTTTCCTAACCTCCCAGTTGGGCAATCTCGGCACCTCGAAACCGGTGCATTACTATGTGCTCTATGACGATTGGAAGCCGAGCTACGCGTTTTGGCAGGTACACCAAACACACCAATTGGTGGCGGCGAATTTACGGGGGGTTTGATTGCAGACGATCACACACGCGTTGTCCTACAACTACGCGAGTTGCCCGAATACCATTTCGTTGCCGGCGCCGTTGATGTACGCGCACGTTGCGGCGAAGAAGGCGAAGAGTCGGGCGGTTGGAAGTCGAGTGATCCAAAGGTGAGTGCAACAACTACGAAAAGAACACTTTCTCAAGTCGAAAATTCAGAATTGAATTTTTTTTCTATGTCGCTGCTTTTTTTTTTAATCGATAAAAACCCAGTTTTTTTTGGTTTTCAGAAGGAATAAAGTGGACTCATTCAATATTCGATTGTCTTCGCTGAAAATGGAAACCAATGAGGATATTGATGGAATGATTTTCTTGTAATTTTTCAATTTCTTGTTATTATGTTTGTATATTCTTAAAAATAATCTGTTGCATTTGAAAATATATGGAATTCATAATGAAATAAATTGAAACACCGAATTCTCAATTTGTTTCTCAAAAAATTGGTATTTTCTCGGTATCATTAATTGGTGGCCAGAACTCAACTGAATTTTTTTGAACATTTACAGCCTCCAGAAAGATTTGAAGCTTCTTGGATGCTCATTTATTTCAAAACAGAAATTGACAGCGATCGTTTATTCAAACACACTTAGCTAGAGGTATTTTGAAACGTCGGCGAGATGATTTGAGGAGCTTCTTCTTATCCGAGGTAGCACGATTGATCAGTGCGAGCCTTGAACACTTGTCCACCTGGGTTGCTGGCTGAAAATCGATCAAGGTTTAAATGGTCCATAGGAAAAGACAACTCACTTCCACCCGAGGTTTGTCCTCCTCCACTTCCTCCCGAGGCGTATTCCTCACGAGCGTAGCCGGACGACGAGGCGTTACTTCCCATGTATCCCGAGGAATATCCACCAGCGGACATATACGACGATTTGTCTCCCATTGTTTCTGTTGTTTTGAGTGGATTTGACAGGCAACTGACTTCTTCCGCCGGAATCGTCGCATTTTATATTGTCGTCTTATCAGCACTTCTCATCTTTTTCGCTGGCTCACGTGTTGGCGTTCGGAATTTGAGGAAATTGCGACATCAAATATTTTTAAAAGCGAAAAAAATGGAAAGGGTACTGTAGAATGAACACATTTTACGTAAAATTGCGGACTTTGGCTATATTTTTCGCGCTCTACACATGTATACTGCGGACAGCCTGGCGCCTTCAGGTGTTTGATTGGCGCAGGCGGTAACGCCTTTGCAATTTCACTTTTGGTGTCGCGGGTTCGAACCCCGTCGCCCTCGGCAAGTTTATGCGTGCATTCATAATTGCCTTGCATGATTTATTGCATGAAAACAGCTGTCCCTGGAGCAATCTACTCTCACTGATTAAGCGCGACGCAAGCATAATGGAAGTATTGTGGGAAATCTGTGGAACGGAAGCATAATGCTTCCATATAGGAAGCATAATGTAATTCTTAGTGGCTGTGGAAGAAATATGGGACGAATATGGATGGAATGAAAACGGGATGAATATGCTTCCGGTGTTTGCGAGCCGTGGAACGAATATGGATGAAATATGGATAAAATAATCATATATCATTACACATTATACAATTGGCGTCTGGACGGCAGACCAAGACAATTTCTAGAAAAATCAATACAAAAAACTTATGCTATCATATAAACAATGAAAATTTGAAAATTACATGATACACAACGGACGAAATTTAGCTTCTACCATTTAATGACTTATGTTACTCAGATTTATGTTAATTCAGTCAACTGTTCCTCACTTTGTTTAAAGATTGCCAACTACAATTTAGTCGTATTAATATATTTTTGCCGGTTTTTCCGAAATTGGCATCGCAAACTACTCACAATTTGCTCCAAACTGGTAGCAGACGCGCGTAGAAGAGGCGTGCCGCAGCATTGCAAAACCGTGCGCCGCTTTGCACAATGCGGCCACGCCTCACATTTTCGAAATTCGTTTTCAAAATTTTTGTCCTTTTGCTTTTTCTCAATGAATTTTCAAGATTTTTTTGTGTTTTTTTTTTTGTTAAATATTTAACAATTTTTTTCAAAATTAAAGGAAAAATGTTTTTAAAAAATAAAGGAAAAATTTTCATGTTTATCATTTTCATGTTTATCATCATTCGAAAATTTTAAAATCGATACGATGTTTTCAAATCGTTTCCGACACTTTTAAAATCGAATTTAAATATTTTCTCAATCGAATTGTGTTTAATTTCTCATCGAATCCGTTTTATTTTTATTTACTTTAACATATTTTTTATTATCGCTCGCTTTTTTCTTTTAATAAAACATAATGTTTTGAAATTTTTTACAGATGAAGACAAGATCGAGAGTGTTGTCAGATATAACTGAAACTGCTCTAGAAGTCAATAACAAAGAACCAGAAGTCCCTAACATGGAACCAAATTCGCTCGACACTTCAGATCCAGATAGTCCAATTTACTCGCCAACTCAGCAAAAAAATTTTTCTCCACAGTCCTCACAAACAACAAAATCAACGCCAATTCCTAAACCTTCGTACGCCCAATTTGTAAGTTGTTATCATCAAAAATTGGCCTGTTCGACTCCAGAAATGGTTTCAATTAGAAAAATATGCGCAATGAAGTCTTTATAAAGTACTTCCTAAGTTTAAAGCTTGTTGATTATTTGGTTCCAATCAGGGCTGTGCGGCAATGGAATTGCCGATTGCCGAAATTGCCGGTTTTTCAAATTGCCGAAGAAAATTTCGATCGGTAATTTGCCATTAGCCGAATCGCCGAAATTTCCGATTGCCGTACAGCCTTCGTACCAATATCATTCAGTGGCATTTATCTTTTTAAGTGGGGCTCTAGTACAGAAGTCGCCAGACGCCGACTATATAAAGATCCTATACTTTATTGCAAATATCTATATTACAGATGTTCTTATCCATGGCTTTGGGCAACAACCGACAAATGACTTCAAAGCGAAAGCATTACGCATGGTTCGAGAAGTCATGGATAATCTTCTGTAAGATTTTGAGCTATGACTATTAATTTATTTATTTGATTAAGCGATAGAATGCGCCAACGACTTTAAAGGAAATTTGGTGTAGCGCCGGAAGCGCTCGCGGCGCAATTAAGGAAGCTGCTTGATTCTACCAGCAACCCTCAGATGTGAGTATTCATATGTCTTTGAAATTTTAACCAAAATGCCTTTTTGCTTCAAATTTTGGAGTTGTTCTTTCTTCCGCCAATTCACTTTTTATTTTGTGCACTAAAGGGTTTTCAAAAATGCAATAAAAATAAATTATTTTTATTTTTAAGAAAATTATTGATGTAAAAAAAACTGATTGTATTTTCTCGAAAAATTTAGTTTACGTAACAATGGTTTACAAGTTTTTCAAATTAATAGGCCCATTATAATCGAAGTGTAGCGACTAGGAAAAGTGGAGAAAAGGTAAAAATTCGATAACGGTTTCTTTCTACAAGCGTATATTTGCGAAAAAAGGATAGGTTAAATGTGCATTAGGACTTTTGCCTAATTTCTTAGCAATAGTTGTTGTTTTTAAAAATATCATAACACGGCTTTTTAACCAAGTGTGAACGATATGAATTCTACTTATTACAGCGTCCCGCTCGATGTCAGTACTGACAATGATTCGAATAGTTCGGCAGTTGCCAGTAACTAATGGTTTGATTATATCTTAATTGAAATTCATTTCATTGTTGTTTTTTTTTATTTTAAATTAAATAAATGTGTTAATATGAAATAAATTTTGAATACAGCAATCAAATTGTTTTCTTATTTTCCCATATGGAAGGCATACGGCTCATTCCATATACGAAACACGCGGTTCCGCAAAAAAAATGCTTCCATTATGCTTCCATATAACTTGCATATAAGATTCCTATGATATCCACAGCCGTTCCACTATGCTTCCATTGTGCCTATGCTGCCGTTTATCTGTGCTATCACATGAGCAATCTCCGTCTATTTTTCTTTTTCTTCATCGAGATGGTGGGTTTCAAATTTCCTCCGTCGCCGCCACCACCGCCGCCGCAATCTGCATTTTCAAAACTCGTCTTTTCTTCTTCTTCTTCTTCGCATTTTTTTTTACGTATTTCGAACCACTTTTATACACCCATTTGTGTGCACTTTTCTTTTGTTTGAGCCACCGACGCCATATCACAAAATTTTATTAGACTTGTCTCGAATCGGCCTTGTCTTTCACTTCTTTTTATGGACGACAAGTTCGTCTTTTTCTTTTCTTTTTTTTCGTTGAGACAAAAAAAAACATTCGCCGATTTGTTCAAAAACATTTGTTTCAAACCAATTCCATTTTTTCCGATCATCAATTTCCGGTCGATATTGCCATTTTAGGCAATTTCCCGTTTAAAACCAATGCAATTCGATTAAAAATATACGATTTTCCCATTTTTGGATCAATAATTGCCATAATTTCCCACACATGTTATTTTGGTGCTGCACATTTTCATATACGCAATTTCTACGATTAGGGGTAGGAGGCGCTATAGTGCAGTGGCTAAAACTTTTGGTTGGCGCGCGTCGGCTCGCGGTTTCGAGTTCGCTGACAAAAAAAGTGTCATGCATTCGGAATTGAGGCGGGGGGACCGCTTTTCTCGAACATCTGCCCCATATATGTATGTGATTAGGCGGCCCCCGAAACAATTGCAAGGCCATAAAAGGAGAAGAGAAGAGAGAAAGATAGGAGGCGATGGGGGATGTTTTAAATGAATTTGGCCGGAGCTCTTTTTCAATTTGTGCTCAGTTTCGTCTTCACTTTCCGGTCGTTGCGAAATTTTCCGGCGTTTGCTTGTTAAGCCCCGATGCCCTCCCACCCTACACCATCATCATCTCGCTCACACCAAATGGTGTACCACATGCTATCATAAATCATCCGGCACACACACACACACACACACACACACAACATCTAATTTGAAATTCTTCTCCCCAAACCGCTCCTCGACGTGTTTCTTTTTTTCCCGCCTCAAATTTTCTATATTTTCAGTGAAACCGGCACGATTTGCAAAAGTTTTTCGAGCTGGAGACTATTATGAGCCTTGCTGGCTCAACTATTCAAGCGTATCGACAGTGAGTTTTAAATTTTAATTAAAAATAATAAGCGAAAAATTGAAAATTTCAATTTTAAAAATTAATAATGCAAGGGTTACTGTAGTCAAAGTCTGCATACACCGAATGGAGTCAATGCGACCTTATTGCAAATTAATTTTTTTTTTTTAGAAATTTTCATTTTCTTCGTGTTTTTACTGTCTTTTCCAGTTTTTTTTAGAAAAAAAGAATTACAGACAACGAAAAATATGAAAATCAATAAAAATTAACAACAAATAACGAAATATAAACTTTTTTTTTTCAAAATTCGAAAATTCGTTCGCTCTCATTTCTTCGAATAAAAACGGTTTTTTAATCAAGGAATTATAATAATCCGGATTATTATTAATTTCAAAGTGTTTTGAGGAATTTTTGAAGAGATTCATGCTTAAAAATTGGAGAAAAGGAATTTCAAAAAAATGCAATCAAAATCTAAATTGAATTTTCAGCAAAAAACTTTTCGATCCATTAGTTTTTTTGGAATTTTCGCCTAGTTTTCAAGAAAAACGCGCAATTATTTTGTGGTGACCCCCGTCGAAATAAAAACTCACACGTAATTTCGAAATCGCCATTTAAAGCCCGCTTCGCGCATTTTACCTCGCCGTTTCGATCAATAAATCGCCGGGCCCTTCATCTGGCGTCTCTCGCTGCCGCACGCTCTCTCGCCTCGCCAACGTCGCCGCGTCTCTTCATTCCGTTCGCTCTCTCGCCGAATGGCCTGGCCGTCATTCGACACCGCCACCACATGCACCTCGCTTGTCAAACAACTTGTTTTAGTCAATTTTTCTTGTAAATTCATCGAAATCGTACAATTCGCGACAAAATTTGAGTTTATCGTCGAGACGAATCACCAATTTTTTTGTTGTTGTGAAAATTCCCTCGTTCTTCCCCCCCCCCACATTGTTTTTTCAAACACCTGAAATTATTCTCAAAATTTGCCCATTTATTTTTGTTTTGTCGCAGGCGCAAAATCGAGTCGCTTGCGAAAATGTCGAACATGTCGCAAGAGGACGTGGCGACCGGCTTGCGAACCGTCCAACAGGGTCTCGAAGCGCTCCGCGACGAGCATTCGGCCATCTCGACGACGCTCGAAGCGTCCGTCAAAGGTGTGAAGGACGATGAAGCGCCGCTGCCGAAGGAGAAGCTTTGCCAGATCAACGACAATCTTGAAAAGCTTGTGACAAGTCTTGACGAGACATCGGTGAGCAACTTCGATTTTTTGCGCGTCTGAATCTCATTTTCGCGTAATTTTCAGCTAATGCTCATGGTGTTCCAATTGACGCAATCGATGGACGCCCAACAGCAGAAATATCAGGCGCAACGGCGCCGCCTGTGTCAGGAGAACGCGTGGCTTCGCGATGAGCTCAGCTCGACACAGACGAAATTGCAGCAATCCGAGCAGGTGGGGGGTACTTGCCATTATTAGAGCTCATTACTTGTTTGGAGAATGTCATTCTTTTTTTTATTACAGATGGTCGCCCAACTTGAGGAGGAGAACAAACATCTGAAGTACATGGCATCGATCAAACAGTTCGACGATGGTTCACAGGCTGAAGCGAAGACTGCTGATAGTGGTCCGCAGCCGGTGTCCAACGAAACACTTCAGGAATTGGGATTCGGACCGGAGGACGAGGAAGATATGAATGCTAGTGAGCGATGCGACAATTCGGCTTCAATCAATTTTTTTTGTGTGCGCTTCAGGTCAATTTAATCAGCCGACACCGGCGCATTCGATGGCGGCGTCGGCGAATGTTGGCTACGAGATTCCCGCGCGACTTCGGACCCTCCACAATTTGGTAGCGACAATTTTGAGCGATTGATAATCGTGGGCGATCGCCAAATTTTTAGGTGATCCAATATGCTTCACAAGGGCGTTATGAGGTCGCCGTGCCGCTTTGCAAGCAGGCTTTGGAGGATTTGGAGAAGACGAGCGGACACGATCATCCTGATGTCGCCACGATGCTTAATATTCTTGCGCTTGTTTATAGGTAAGGTGGATCTAGATGGAGCTGAGCTCGACCGCAAGAGAATTATCAATAGAGCGCACTTGCAGAGTTTTTTGTTCTTTTTTTCTTTTGTGCAGATTTCCTAAAAAACCTTCAAATCGCTATGAAAATTGCAAAATAAATAGGAAACCTCGGCCACGGTCAGATTTTTTTCGAAGCCCGTCGGGCGCAAAAATTATGAAATATTTATTCGCAATTAAAAAAAAATCAAAATTTCTCTATTTCTATTAAAGGCGCATAAAATAAAATTTCACGATTTTTTACGGAGATTTAATGAAAAAAATAGTAGTACTGTAGACATAGAAAAAACGTGGCCGTGGCCGATGTTTTTGAAATTTTTTCTGCCATCTGTATATCAATTTTCCGGGTTGCGAAGTATGCGATATTCGTCGACTTTTAAAAACGTTTATCCACGTGGCATATTTTTATAAAATTACATTTGAAAAATAGGCCCCTGGTAAAAAAAAATGGCTGATATTCTGCTCTTGGCAAGTGCGCTCTATTGAGAAATTCAATTAAGGCAATTTGAAATTTATTTTCGTTTTTTTTAAGAGATCAGAACAAGTACAAAGAGGCGGCGAATTTGTTGAACGAGGCGCTCGCGATTCGCGAGAAATGCCTCGGCGAGAACCATCCGGCGGTCGCCGCCACACTCAACAATTTGGCGGTGTTGTTCGGCAAACGCGGCAAATTCAAAGACGCCGAGCCGTTGTGTAAACGCGCGTTGGAGATTCGCGAGAAGGTGCTCGGAAACGATCATCCCGATGTGGCGAAACAGCTCAACAATCTCGCGTTGCTCTGCCAGAATCAGGGAAAATACGAGGAGGTTGAGAAATATTACAAGTAGGCTGCTTTGCTTTCTTTTTTTGTTGTGAAATTTATCTAAATATTCAATTTTGAAAATATTGCCATGGGCAATTTTTGGACTACTGTAGATTTTTGTGTCTGTGGTACACCGTGACGCCAAATTACAGATTTTTAATAAACAAAATAGTTCTCAAAAATCCTTAAACTTCACTTTTTTTTAATGAATATCGGAGTAGGAAAAACAATTTTGATATTTTCAGACGCGCACTAGAGATTTATGAGAGCAAATTGGGACCGGATGATCCGAACGTGGCAAAAACGAAAAACAACCTCTCATCGGCCTATTTGAAGCAGGGCAAGTACAAAGAAGCCGAAGAATTGTACAAGCAGATTCTGACGAGAGCGCACGAGCGCGAATTCGGCCAAATCAGCGGCGACAACAAGCCGATATGGCAGATCGCCGAAGAGCGCGAAGAGAATAAGCATAAAGGCGAGCCGGCGGTGGCCGATCAGGCCGGATGGGCGAAAGCGGCGAAAGTCGATTCGCCGACGGTGACGACGACGCTCAAGAATCTCGGCGCGTTGTACCGACGGCAGGGCAAATACGAGGCGGCTGAGACGCTTGAAGATGTGGCGTTGCGAGCCAAAAAACAGGTATCAATTGGGTTTCTGCTCTTTTCTTTTTTTGGTTTTTCGTTGGCTTGTTGAATGGAAAGCCTTGTTGCCTCCTTTTTTGGATGGGTGGGTAAACGTTTGAGCGAGTTTAATCGATCGTCGTAGGAGTCTTTTTTGTCTTGACCCCATCCCACCGAGATCCCCCTTCATTTTTTACCGCAAAACAAGCCCCGCGAATTAATTGCGCTAATTGCCCAATTTTCGCCCCTCTCTTTGTTTGGCATCGTTGTAGGCGATCGAGAACGAGCAGCACGCGCGTTTATCGCGTCTACTCGCCAAAGTGCAACCGGGCGCAATTTTAACGGCGGCGCCAATTGGTGTGACGTCGTCGCTGGCGGCAGCGGCGGCGCCAATTGGCGTCGTTACCACTCGTCACCCGTCACACCATGAATTTCACCATCCGATCAAATATGCGAAAAGGTGCGCAAATATGGTGTGCGTGTGTGTCCGGTGTGTGTCAATCGTATATATGTAGATCAATTTTTTTCTCTCCTCAGTTTGCACAATACACTCACCGTATTTGTACCGAATATAAATATTATGTTTATTTTGATGAGAAAAAATGGGGACGGGGGTTTGAGAAGCTTAGGGACCATGTTATTTCTAATATTAGAGGAATCCGAATTTACGAATAATTTCCAGAATTCATCAAAAACTTTTCCATTTATAACAGTAATTATCAACTAATTAGGGTGTATTCTGCTTGATTTCTTTTTGCCCTCCCTCCCAACCAGCGATTAGTTGTTGTGATGGTGTTTATTGATTTTTTTTTCATTGCTGCCGCGTGCATGCTTCTTTAAAAGGCTTTCCTCTCAACACGCAGCCCGTTAACGCTTCAAAAAAAAACCTCAATTTTCAAAGAAATTTACAACAAAAAATAGTTAAAATCCAAAATTTTTTGTCATTTTCACAGGAAATTTTTAAAATCTCAACTTTTCCAATAAATTTACACCAAGAAATAATTGAATTCCAAAATTTTTGATATTTTTACGAAAAATTTTTTTAAATCTCAATTTTTTCCAGAAATTTACAGCAAAAAATTTTTAAAATCGACAAATTTTGATATTTTTACGATCAATTTTTAAAATCTCAATTTTTTAAAGAAAAATCACTGAAAAACTGTTTAAATCCAAAATTTTTGTTATTTTCAGCAAATTCAAAACTTCCTTATTAAAATCTGAAATTTTTTTCTCTTTGAAATTAGCCAAAAAAATTTTTTTTGAGGGTGGCTGGGTAATTTTGGAGGCAAAAATTGATTTCAAAAAAAAAAAACTTTTGACAAACGTGTTAGTCGGGCTCGTTGAATTTGCAGCATGAGCCGATTCGTGGCGGCGGCGGCGGCGGTCTCGACGAGATGACACAATCGATGATCTCGTCGTCGATGGGTCGATCGCAGATGACGGCGAGCGTCTCGCAAACGGGAATCAAGAATAAGCTGCTCAGCGCGCTTGGATTGAACAACTAATACGCTTCCAATTTTATTGTGATGTAAGAAGACATGTAAAAACGCTTTTCTTTTGATTTTCGAAAAAATATTTCTTGGAGTCTTTTGCTAGAAAAAAATGGCACGAAATTTCGACTAGTTGATATCAATTTAATTTTTTTTTGGTTCCTAACCAGCTAATTTCAATTTTTCAACACGAATCACGCTAATTAGGCGATTTTGTAGATAATTGGCAGCTGAATTCGTGCTTGTTCCCGTTCTCGTCGTGCCTTGTGAGCTTTATTCGTCGATTTTTCACTTTTGGTTTTTTGCAAACAATTTTTTTTCGTCACCGAATGGGTTTCTTTGTCAGTTTTGTCCACATCTCCCTCCATTTTCTTTTGTATTTCACGCCCCGTATTTTTTCGGACCAAAAAATGCATGATATTTATATATTTATCGTCTTCGTGGTTGGTTTTTTTTTCTATTTCATAATAAAAATATGCGATTTTTGTTGTAATTTTGTCGTTTTTCGTGTTAATTGGTCCCTAATTACCCTAATTAGAATGATTATCGCAATTTTCTAAATGTTTAAATTACACTTAATTAATGTAATTGATAGTTTGTGCATCAATTCCGCAATTAAAAATAATTGAGTATACACCGAGAAAATGAATTAATTCATAAATTAGCATAATTATGGGCAATTTAGCGAATTGAACCGATGATAATTAGCCGTAATTAAACCAAATTTTGTTGCAGATCTCCGAACAACGAAAATTGGAGCGCTCGGTGATGTATTAGCCACGTTTTCGATAGATTTGGCCCGGCCAAAAAAACGAGCCAATTGTTTTTTTTTTTGATCTCCACGATTTTTTTAAAATTGCGTCCCGCCCGCTTCTAAATGGCCATATTTGGTGTTTGAGTGTTGGTCTCAGGCTCACAGTTGCTCGCAGCAACGCGTTGTGCCTTAGAATTGCTGGAATTCAATTAATCGCCTTCTTTTTATTAATTTTTTGGAGCAACTGTGACTGAGACCTGCTTTTTTTTAAAACAAATGATTTCCAATTTTTGCTTCTCTTCTTCTATTTTTTTTGCGAAATAAACGTTTCTTCGACGCTCCCTTTTTTGGTGCCCTGGTAACGGCGGACATTAGAATTAGTTGTGCTCGCCGTGGGCCGCTCACTTTTCGCGAATTATGCGCGCTTTACTATTTTTCTGTTTTCCAGGTAAGCGGTTATTGGAATTTTTGAGGTTTCTCAATTGAAAATGATAAAAATTTGCAATTTATTGACAAGAATTGCATTTTTTTTTTCAAAATTATATTATTTTGATTACGGTAGGTGAGTTGGTTGTGTTCACCGTGACGCCAATTTGCGGCACGCGTTTATTTTTCGTTGCTGTCAATTTTCAGCAAATTTTTTTGGAAATTCCCTGCGTTTGAACCAAATTTTTACTTGCTATTATTTTAATATTAATTGATTTTATTAAAATTTCATTGAATTGCTGGATTTTTTTTTTCAGTTGGCGAACTTGGTTTCGCAATTAAACATTTTCCAGTGAGCCAGTTTCAATAGAAGCGAATCTACTACTCACGTAAATGAAAATCAATCGGATTCGAAGAAAAATTAAACATAAATTAACCTGATTCGATTGAAAAATAATTAAAAATCGAATGAGAAAGTGTTTAAATTCGATTTGAAAATTTGGATTCGATTTAAGAAACTTCAAAATCGATTGATTTATTTCTCAATTTCAATTGCTGATATCGAATTTGATTGAAATTCCGGAATAATTCGAAACAGATTAATATATATTCGATTTAGATTGAACAAAAAATTATTTTTGAATCAGATTGATTTTCATTTACCCGAGTAGAAATCCCGCGCATTTTTTTATTTATCACATAAAAATGGTCATTTGAAAAATTCGAAAATTTTCTTTTCAGCAAGCTTCGCCCTAATTTGTCACCAATGCAATGGATGGCATGGCGATTACCCGCTGAGGTAATCGATTTTTGAGTTTTGCAATATTTTCTTTTCTCAGGTATGCGAGTTTGAACGATTGCGACAATAGGAATAGTCAATGCCAGACCGAGCAGGTACATATGGGAAATGCCGAGAAAAAAAGGAATCGATCGCATCGCATAAATATGGATTTTTGACGAAAAACGTAAAAAATCGAAATTTTAAGATGCATATTTGTGCGATGCGAGCAAAAATACGAAAATCATCAATTAATTTTTTTCCCACCGCATTGATCCTTCGAAAAACTTGTGAAAAATTTTAATTGTTCCTAAGAAAATTGCATTTTTTCTAGTTTTGCGTTAAAACCATTGACACAATGTCGCCCGGCGTCAACTATGTGACATATAAGGCTGATTGTGCGCATTCGACGACAATCCAGGTAATTTTTGAGCCGAAAATTCCAATTTTTCGCATTTTTTCTGGTGTTCCAGGTGAATCCAACGAATTTATCGACAATCATCGCCGGTGAATGCTATCCGTTTCAGGATGGATCGGCGCCCGTTAAACGGTTTGCATTTTTTATTGGGAAAAGCTTAAAGACTAAAAATAAATGTCGAAAAAAATAGAAAAATAATCATTTTGTTTCACTTTTTTGAAAATTAAGAGGAAAAAAATTAAAATAACTAAATTTTTAAAATTTTCTCTGCAAATTTGCCACCTTCAATATTAATTTTTTTTTGCAAAAATTCGACGCCCAGAAATTTGCAGATATTTCAATTGCTATTGCAACGATAGGGATTACTGTAATTCGGCTCAATTGGCTCCGCCCATTGCTCTAATTGTTGTGTCGGTCTCGCTGGTTTTGAAGTGCATTCAATAAAAAAAAAGAAAAAAGAAGAAGCGCACATGTAATTCGACATTGATATTTCGGGGGATTTCTCGAGCATTTTCGCAAATAATCGAAACATTTTGATATTGAATCAAGTTCAAAACACACAAATTTCGAGAATAAAATCGTTGAAAATTGAGAAGAATGACATTTTTTTGCGAAAAAAAAACCCGAAAATCCCATTTTTTAAGATTAAAATTGAATTTCAAACCCCCCGCGAATTCCAATATTGCCGATTTCTGATCTACCAAATGGTTTGAGTGGTTTGATAAACAATATCCTGTGATATCTTCAATTCTATCACGTTTTTGCTAGATTTTGATTCGATTTTAATATTTTAGCCACCAAAATAAAGATTTGGCGTCAAGGGTGGCGTTTGAATTTAGATTGTTTTGAATTGCCCGCCAATTTCTGTTGACACGCTGACGCAATTTTGCACTGAAAATTCAAAAAATCAACTTTTTATTGAAAAAAAAAATGAAAAACTCAATTTTTTAGAAATTGATTGGGAAATTTGAGAAAATTGAAATCGCTGAATAATTTTTGTTCAACAATTTTTTTGGAAAAACTCAACGTTTTAAAATTTTCCCATATTTTTTTTGGGAATTCCAAAAAAAAAAAAAACAAATCCGATCGCTGAAAATTCAGCAAATAGCGCTATTTGCCAACGGTTTTGTTGTCATTTTTTTGGTGTGTAAGTGATATTTGTTTGAAGATTCGCTTCGCGAGTGTTTACCTACTCAAATCTTCTTCTCATCGTCAACCAGAAAAAAGAAATCATTGAGTGTTTTAAGCGAGTGATGTTTTTGGCTCTTTTCGTGTTCCCTAAAAGAAACAAAATCGCGAGATTTTTGGCAAAACCCATTTAAAAAAAAATGTGGACTTTGACCCCTTGAAATGGTCACATTTTTGGGGTTTTATTAGACGAAAATTTCAAATTTTTCCCCAAAAATATGAAAAGAATTTTTTTGTCGTTGAGAATTTCATGAAATAATCGGATTTTTCTTTGAGCGCGTGCTGTTCTGCCTAGTAATCCTCAAAAACACACCCCAAATCTCTAATCTTTTTTGTGTGTTATTAATCCGGCAATTGAAGAACGTTGAGAAATATCACATCTTTTTTTTTTGTCATTCCATTTTCAACCCTCGCCCAATTTTTGGGGTGTTTTTGGAATTTTTTTCATTTTTCCCCTCGTGAAAAAATTGAGACTAAACGGATTTTTTTAAAGAATTTTTCCTCAAAAAAAAAATGAGTTGAAACAATTTTTTTTTTCATTTTTCCCATGAATAATTTGAGCTTAATACGATCTAAAAAATGTTTTCTTCTAAAAAATTGAGTTTTTCTCATTTTTTTTCCTCAAAAAATTGAGCTTAAACGATTTTTTTTTATTTTCCTTGAAAAATTGAGCTCAAATTAATTTTATTTCATTTTACCCTTAAAAAATTGAGCTTTTGTTAAATTATTTATTTCATTTTATTTTATTTCAATTTTTAAAGGAAAAAATTTTACTTGAAAAAATTGAGTTGAAATTAAGTTTTTTCGTTTTTTTTGTCTTAAAAATTTGAGCTTAAACGATTTTTTTGAAAAGAATTAAAAGAAAAAATTTTTCCTTGAAAAATTGAATTAAAATTAAATTTTTTTCTTTTTCTTCTCTCAAAAAATTGTGCTTAATCGATTTTTTTAAAAGTTTTTTTTTTCTTTAACGATTTTTCCAAAAATTTCATTTCTTCTGTCATTTTTTTCCTCTAAAAAAAGCTTAAATTATATATTTTTTTGAAATTTTCCTTAAAAAATCAAGCGAAAATTAAAGACGTTGTCAAATTTGCGAATTTTCTCGAATTTTTCAATCAAAAAGAAGCCTGAAAATCAATTTTCAGTGGAATTTTGAAGTCTCAAAAAAAAGAAAAGAATTTTTTCTGAATATCAATACCCACAAATTGGCACATTCGAGCGAGAACCTGCAAGATTTGCACTTAAATAGGCTCAATTTATGCGATTCTGCGAAAACGATGAGTAATTCAGCGTTTTCGCGTCCGATTCGCGTCGTTTTTTTGCGCGTTTCGATTGATTTTTGGCCGAAAATGGCCGGATTTTTCGATTTTTATTGAGAAAATTCAAGATTTTCGCGTTTTTTTTGCGAGATTTTTCCGAAATCCCTCGATTTTGCGACCCACTTTGACGATGTTTTGCCGAAAAAATAAAGAATTGAATACAAAAATTGTATAAAATGGCGACGACGACAAAAAAAATCGCGTGGAAAACATGAGAAATTGCAATTTTTTTTGTGGAAAATCTCGAAAATTTCCAAAGTTTTGGCGAAAAAATTGCAAAAATTGTTGACAATTTTTGGAAAAATCCCGAAAATTTTCAACATTTGGTGAAAAAATTCCAAAAATATGCGAAAATTGTAGAAATTTTGACAGTTTTTCGACGCAAACGATAAAAATGTTGGAAAAAAAAATTAAAAATTGCAATTTTTGGAGAAATTACCAATATTTATGAAAAAATTATTTTTTTTTGCAATTTTTCGCCGAGTAAATTTTTTTTTTGCCTGAAAACGCTCATGCGCCTTTAAAGCGAAATTTTTTTTCAATGTTGTCGGACGCGTTGCGGTTCGCACCTCAAGCCTCGTGTGTACTCCACACGGAGTGTTGAAAACACGATTTTAAAGGCGCATGGGGGCTAAAAGGTTTTTTTTTGTTTCGAAAATTTCAACAGCAACAAAAAATTTGAATTTTTTGGATTTTTCAAAATAAAAATGTTTTTTAAATGATCGAAATTGAAAAAAAAAAAGACGCAGAAATGGAAAATTTGTTGGATTTTTTCAAATTTTTTAAAATTATTGCATAAAATTTGACAAAAATATCAATTTTTATCAATTTTTTTTTTAAAAATTTTAAAACAAATTTGGTTATTATCATAATTTTGTAAAATTTTCATATAAAAAAAAATAAAAGTTGTGAAAAAGACTAGAAACTTATAAAGAATTTGACGAAAAAAAATTCCAATAATTGTAAAAATTTTTTAATTTTTGCAATTAATACGACAAAAACAAAAAAAATGTTTGAAAAAAAAATTAAAAAATGCAAGTTTTGGTGGAAATACCAATATTTATGAAATAATTATTTTTTTTTTGCAATTTTTCGCCGAGTAAATTTTTTTTTTGAAAAATTTCAACCCAAATTTGGTTATTCTCATAATTCTGACAAATTTTCATCGAAAAAAAAAAATGAAATTTTTGGAAAATTTCCAAAATTTTCAGGTTTTCTGAAATTTTCTCATGATTCTTCGACGAAAATGGATTAAAAATTTTTTTTTCGATTTTGAAAATTCTGGATTTTTTTTAAATGCTCGACTTTGAAGAAAAACGTGATAAAAATGGAAAATTTGTTGAATTTTTCCCAATTTTTTTAAAGGGAAATTTGAATTTTTGAAAATTATCGCATAAAAATTGTAAAAAATATCAAATTTTAACCAAAATTTGAGAAAAAATGAAAAATTTCTTGACAATTTTTTCAAAAAAAAAATTGAATATTTTTCAAAAATGTTGCATTTTTTTTGGAAAATTTTTCAAAAAAAAAATTTTTTTTGCATTGCTTCAATTGTGTCTGTCCACTTCTTCTCTCATAATTTTATTTTTTAAAGGCTCATGAGTGGTCATGCATGCCTAATAAGGTTTGTGTGTGTGTCCCTTCTTATGATTATTTATTGAAGATGAAGCCCCGCACAATTTTTCTTCTTCCCCTTCATTTTTCTCGTTCTCGCTCTCTTCTTCATCAATTTCCGAAGCCCGACATTCCATTTTTGCATATTTCTTTCTTGGGACCCCCCACACCCCAGCTGCTGGACCCTCTTGTCCGGTTTTATGAGCTTGTGGTCCCTTGGTTTTCCTGAATTCCTCATTCGAAGTTACCTTGGTCCCTAGAGCATGGACCATCGATATTCATTCATTTTGCTTTGGTCTGCAATTTATGGTCCCTTTGGGACCATCTGAAAATGGGGAGAAGGCGGTTTCAGAAAAAAGAGAGGAGGGTGGGGGGCATTGAAATTGAGAGCCGGCCGGGGGTCCGAATGTAAATCAGATTGCCAAATGGATTTCTCGTCTCCCAAAAGGGGAGATGGTCCCTTGGGAGGGTCCATTTCAACGAATCCTTTCCGGCCTCAATCCGGCCCCCAAAAATAGTCGGCACGAAATCGAATCAATTGAAAATGAGACGACTCGACTTGTATAATGGTGGAAGAAGGGAGAAGCTGGGAAATTAGAGGGTTCCCCTCCCTTCCCTTCCCCTCCCCTCCCCTCCTTCCCCCAATATCGTGGGGGGGGGGGCCGAACCAGAAACAAAAATAATTGGCGGGTTTCGTCGATTTTGTGCTCTTTTTTTTCCTTCTCCACAATTTTTTTTCTCCACTCGAATTGACGTCAAAAAAAAATTTGAAATTTTTGCCTGAAAACGCTCATGCGCCTTTAAAGCGAAATTTTTTTTTCAATGTTGTCGGACGCGTTGCGGTTCGCACCTCAAGCCTCGTGTGTACTCCACACGGAGTGTTGAAAACACGATTTTAAAGGCGCATGGGGGCTAAAAGGTTTTTTTTTTTGTTTCGAAAATTTCAACAGCAATAAAAAAATTTGAATTTTTTGAATTTTTCAAAATAAAAATGTTTTTTAAATGATCGAAATTGAAAAAAAAAAGACGCAAAAATGGAAAATTTGTTGGATTTTTTCAAATTTTTTAAAATTATTGCATAAAATTTGACAAAAATATCAATTTTTATCATTTTTTTTTTTGAAACATTTCAACCCAAATTTGGTTATTTTGACAAATTTTCATCGAAAAAATGAAATTTTTTGGGAAAATCTCGAAAATTTCCAAGATTTTGACGAAAAAAATTGAAAAAATTGCAAAAATTTTTGAATTTTTGGCATTTCGACGAAAACAAGAAAAATTTTGAAAAAAAAAAATTGAAAATTGCAATTTTTTTGAAGAAATTACCAATATTTATGAAAAAATTATTTTTCTTTGCAATTTTTCGTCGAGTAAATTTTTCTTTTGAAAAATTTCAACCCAAATTTGGTTATTCTCATAATTCTGACAAATTTTCATCGAAAAAAAAAATGAAATTTTTGGAAAATTTCCAAAATTTTCAGGTTTTCTGAAATTTTCTCATGATTTTTTGCATAATTCTTCGATTTTTTTCGATTTTGAAAATTCTGGATTTTTTAATGATCGAAATTGTAAAAAAAACGTCATAAAAATGGAAAATTTGTTGAATTTTTCCCAATTTTTTAATGGGAAATTTGAATTTTTGAAAATTATTGCATAAAAATCGTAAAAAATATCAAATTTTAACCAAAATTTGAGAAAAAATGAAAAATTTCTTGACAATTTTTCCAAAAACGGAATATTTTTGTGAAAATTTTGCAATTTTTTGTTAAATTTCTGAAAAAAATTTTTTGCGGTGAAAAAAAAAAGATATTTTTTGGAGAATGTTGAAAAAACGATTTTAAAGGCGCATGGGGGCGAAAAGATTTTTTTGAAAATTTCAAGAGCAACAAAAAAATTGAATTTTTTGAATTTTTTTTGAAAAAAAAAATGCCAAAATTTAATTCTTTGGATTTTTTTGTCTTAAAAAGAAAAAGAGAATTGCTCGTTTCTTTTTTTTCTAAGCAGATTCCGAGTTCAACGACTACGAGAATTTGGGTCCATGTGATCCACGCCAATTCCCATGCGTCTCTTTTTTTTTCCCCACCCCAATTGTTTTCCTGGTCTTCCGGTTTTATTCGCGTTTTCGCCTGGCGCGTTTTTGGTGCACGACCGAAAAATGTTGGTGTGGCACCGACAATGCGCCAACGTATTGCACCAATGTCTCTGTTGGCGTCCTTTTTGCGCTAGATTTTCTTGGCGCATTTTTGGTGCAATTCAAAATTCCGGTTCACCGAAAATGCGCCAACAATTGAGATTTCATATGCTGGCGTATTTTTTGCGCCAATTTTTTTGGCGCATTTTCGGGGCAGTTAGAAATTTCTATACACCAAAATTACGTCAACAATTGAAATTTCATATGCTGGCGTATTTTTTCCGCCATAATTTCTTTTTCGCATTTTTGGTGCAATTAAAAATTCCGGTTCACCGAAAATGCGCCAACAATTGAGATTTCATATGCTGGCGTATTTTTTGCGCCAAATTTTTTTGGCACTTTTCCGTTGCAATTAAAAATTTTGCGATGCACCAAAATCACGCCAACGATTTGAGAATTGTCACCTCACCACAAAGCGCGCTTTTCTTGACGCATTTCTCGTGTCGTCGTCGAATGACGTCATAATTAGTTGTTGACGCGTTTCGCGTGCGCAGAATCGTTAAGAAGAACGAACGACCGAAAAAAAGAAGAAGAAGAGGAGGAGGAGGAGGAGGAAAATTGGGCGAGCAATTTGTCACCAACTTCCTAAAACGATTCGTTTTATTTGGTGGCTGAATCCTCTTGGTTCCTCTTTTTTTTTCTCGAAGGGTCCCTCTCATTCATCTACCGTACTCTCTTGATGGTCCCTAATCCATCCATCCATCTCTCTCTCTCTCTCTCAGCGGTTTCTGAATCGTCGAGGATTGCAACTCATGTTGCCATAGTGATTCCGAGACTCGACTGCTCCAGCTCCTCCTCCTCCTCACCCAAGCTGCTCCAGCTCAGAGATGGTCGAGCTCAGAAGAAGAAGAAGAAGAAGATCAAACAGCGATTTATTTATTTTTTTTTTTTTGACGAACGAACCCGCTTCTGCTGGAAATCCGAACCGATTGGGTTACCGTCGAGCATTTTTTTTTTTCGACGGGCGTACGTCACCAACTAATTAGGGTTTTGGGTGAATCCCTCGCCAATTCATTACCCCCCTCCCCTTTAATAGAAATTTTCCTTTTTTTGCGATTTTCCCGAAATTCACTCTTGAAACTGATGTCGAGAAATCGAGAAAAATCCGAAAAAAAATTTGTCGATCCAAAAAAAAAAATTTTTTTTTAATTTTCCCCCATTATTCATTCGAATGAATTTTGTCGAGGAATCCCCGAAAAATTCCAAATTTTGCGATTTTGCACACATTTCGAGTCTCGACGGGATTTCGTCGAATTTTCACGAAAATTGTAAAGAGAATGTGTACTCCACACGGACAATAGCAACCAGCGCGTAAATCGACACTCACGCTGCGAGACCCAACTCGACAATAAGCCGCGATTTGTTTCCCTTCAAATGCGATGTGTGTGTGTGTTTTGGCGTCGCGGTGTTTGCACACACACAAACCCAAATGTCTTCTCATTTACCATTTTACATATTAATTTTGGCGAGCGAGCGCTTCCGCGAAGAAAAAAAATTGTGAGAGGACGTGCAAAAAACGAAAAACGACGAGTTTGATTGAACTTCTTCTCCGTTATTTTATTATATATATTTTTTTGATTCAAAAAAAAGAAGAAAAAAAAAGAGGGACGACTGCACGAAATGCATAAGTGCTGTTCCGGAAATCCGCCTTTTTTGCCTCGTCTATTCATCCATTTTTCGTTCTTCTTCTTCGTCTTCATCTTCATCGTCGTCGTTACCTACCAATTCGTGTAACTCTTTTTTTTCTTGTTGTTTTGTCTAGGTAAACACACGTATTTCCACTATATATGCACCCTTTTAGACGATTATTTTGGTTTTATTTCGCTCAATTCCAAATCTCAAACTTCTAGAAATGGGTAATCAATCGGCGAAATCGCGAACGAGTCGTGTGCCGCACTCGAGATCGCATCACAACGGAGTCCGTGTGGAGAATGACGTCATCCCGAGATCGGCGTCTGCTATTCCGTCAATTGGTAGGCGATGAGAAGATGAAAAAAATTATTACTATTCATTTTTTTTTGATTTGAAAATGCGGAACAAAATAATTAATAAAAATGAGTGGGTTTCCCACCAACGAAAAAAAAAATTTTTTTTTTTGAATAGTCGTTATTTTTTCTTTTTGCGAATCAGACTATATAGAAATGCCGAGAATAATAGAATATCTTTTTTTTTTTTGAAATTGTTTTAAAATTATTTTGGTCTAAAAATAATAGGATGGTGCAAAAACAATGGAGAAAAAAAATTTCCAAATTTTTGAATTTTGATTTTGTGTGTGCCAACACGCGACGCACAAATGCAGACAATCGACAATTCTCTCACAATCAGGCAAATCAAATATTCAATAATAAACTCTAAAATATTTTGAGAAAATCTAAAGTTTATTGATACTTTCGAAAACTTATTAAGAATCGCTAAATTTAAAAAAAAATTTTTTAGCGTCTCATAAGATTTTCTAAAATTTATTATTTTTTAATTCGAAATTATCCAAATAAATTCTAAAATCTTATAATAATTTCTAGAGTTGATTGAGAAAATTCGAAAATATTATAGAGACGCGTTAGTTTCTCAAAGAATCTCAAAATATTTTATTCAATTTTTTTCTGATTAAAAAAAAATTTTAGTATAATTTCGTTTTTTTTTTGCTGAAATTCTCAAAATTTTGTGCGCATTTTCTCGTCGATTCTCACACCGCAAAAATGCATAATTAATTGAAGTGTTGTATAAAAATAGAATGTCGATTTGTTTCATAATTAATTAATTAGATGCGAGAATCGCTTGACACATTTTTCATTTCTGTTTTATAATTTTTCAATCCTCATGGGTGGGGGGGGGGGGCGGCCAATTTTTTTATAATTTGAATTGCCGCCTTTGGGTCTCGTATGGAAATGGTTTTGCTGAAACCCAACATAGTATAAAACAGTAGTGGAATTTTTTTTAAAGCCTCTCAAAATGGCATTTCGTTTTAGTGAGTGACTGGCGCGAAATTCAAATCTCGCGCCAATTTCGTTTGGTGTGACCAAATTGTATTCTCCTCGAATTGCGACGATGTGACTAATCGACGATTGTAGTAGTGCTACAATTCACACTAAGGGGGGGGGGAAGCCGAAAAGTGGGCGGAGCCTATATCTCGACAATCACTCGGCGGATTTCCAGAAAAATCGCCGCATTTTTTCGATTCGCCGCCGCCGCCGCCGTCCGACTCGCATTCGTCGTGTCCTGCAGCGTCCGGCAAATATCGTACTAGTCCAAGAGGTAACAACACACCCCAACAACTAGATATTGAGTTTTTTTTTTCTCGTTTCGAGACCTTGTGTCGGATTCGTCAGGTTCGGGAGGTGCAAACCTTATCTCTATTTTTTTTTGATTTTCAGACGATTCGAAGGAGAACTCGTCATCGCCTAGAGATTGCCGATCGTTGAACAGCAGCGAGCCGTTGAGTCCGATTCAGGAGCGACTAATTCAGTAAGATTTTCATTGTTAAACGATGGTCCCTTGCTGTGACGGGGTCCCGGGACCATCGATTTTAAGAAGAAAAAAAATAATTAGTTTCTTCTCGTCCTTTCTCGTTGTTGTTGTTTTTTTTTTCGAGCAACTTTCAATTTTCGTGTCACCGCTCGCCGAAAACACTCAATTTCTTCGTGTTGTGCGCTTGTGTGTGTGTGCTCATTTTCAACTTCTTTAAGCTCATCTGTTGCTCGCACTTCGAGTGGTGAAGCTTCGGCTCAACAACATCAAGCGCATTCTCAACACGCGCACACTCAACATCATAATATGAGCGTCCAGAAGAGTAATTCGACGAAAAGCACCAAAAGCGGCCTTCGCGCGCAAAACTCCAAGGATAAAGCGTCGTCGAGCCACTCGAATCGTATGGTTTTTTTTTTCGTTGGTGGCAAACAATTTTTTGAGCTGAAAATTTAAAAAAATAATTTTTAAAATATATTTGTTTCAATTTCTCTCGCAGAAACTTTTGAAAATTGCATAAATTAAATTTTTTTATAAAAAATGAATGAAAATCAGTGTGGCCTAGGAATTGATGACCGAAGAATTTCTAGTCCGCGTCTGAATTATTTGAATTTTCCCGTCATTTGCTTACATTATTTTGCAGTTTTTTTTTGCGCACAATTATTGAATATTTCATATGTTTTGAAGAAAGCGAATAGCGGAATTTTTGTAATTATGGGAAAACTATAGAGTTGTGAAAATTGTAGGCAAAAATCGAAATTCATTGAGAATTATTTTTGTTGTTGTTGTTGAATGAACTTATAATTGGAAATTTTCAGCCATCGGCGTTCCATTCGTCCATCAATGCCTTCATTTGACGTCGGCTCAAATCATTTTCGTGCGCAAAACGTGGTCGCACGCTCGCAATCAGGGCTCACTTGAGCCGGCAATCAGCATTTTTCGCAACTCGTTCTTCAAACATCCCGAAATTCGCCAAATCATAATGCACGGCACGAAAAACGCGGGACACGAGCGTCTCAAGGTATCGGGTTTTGCTGAAATGTATTTTGAATTGTTTTTTTTTTTTGAAAAACAGAAAAAATCGAAAAGCTAAATTGCAGAAACACGCGCAATTATTCACGACATTGATGGATGATCTGATTGGCGGACTCGATTCGCCGACGGCGACGGTTGCCGCGTTGAGAGAAGCCGGCGAGAAGCACGTGTGGCCGAATCGAGAGCAATGTGAGACAACTCGACGACGTTCAATTGTATATCTTTTTTTTTTCTCATTTTCAGACGGCTGCCCGTTCCGCGCGACATTGTTGGACCAATTCGCGCAGGCGATGATCGAACGAACGCTCGAGTGGGGCGAGAAGAAGGATCGAACCGAAGCGACGCAGACCGGTTGGACGAAAATCGTGTTGTTCGTCGTCGAGCAACTCAAAGAGGGCTTCCATGATGAGCAGAAGAGGCAGCGGCGGCAGCGACCGAGGGGACATATAGCGGTGAGTCGCGAAACCCGGCGAACCGATTGGTTTATTTGGATTTTCAGAGCCGCGGCGAGTACAATAGTTTGACGGACGCGACAGCCGGCGTTCGTCTTCCCACCGAAATTCAACGATTCAACACATTTGATCAACTTTGAATACCCAATTTCTCATCAAATTTATTCTTCTTCTTCTCTTCTCAGCCACATAATCGCGCATTTACGTGATATTTCTCGATTTTTTTGTTTCAATTTCTCACCGCCCATATCATTTCTTGTTTTTTTTTCTTTTCGACTGCGAACCGGGTGCTTTCGCAATATTTCTTCATTTAATTAATTACCCAATAATTATATAATTATAAATTAGCGATTTTGTAGTTCTATCGATTTTGACGAGGCTATGTGATCCTCCAATGGTTTGTTCTTCGTTTCGGGTATCAAAAACTGCAAAAAAATTTGGTTGAGAAATAAGAGTGGCCTAGAAATTGGAGGCCGGGAAGAAATTCGGCCATGTGGGTTTTGTAATGAATTTGACGCTTTTTTCTGCATATTTTTTGGAAGTTTTGATAATTGATGGGTATAAATTAAAAATTTACTGCTTATAAGCATAAATTCAACAAAAAAAATCGTGAAAATTTTGGATTTCCACCTTATCAAAAAATGTTTTTCTTAAACATTTCTCCAAAAACTCACGCGAAAATTGGCAAAATCTGCAATCGCCATGAAAAGCAAAACGAAATACGGCAGCGAATGCAATTCGCGTCCGAAATAGACATCCTAAAATGGAGGGGAAAAAATTAATTTTGTGCAATTTTTGAAATTTACTAGATAAAACACGTGTGGAGCGAACACGATTCCGAATCGCGATGATAGTTGAGCAATCGCGTAGGATTGCGATCGGACAGCCGTCGGCATGAGCTCATTCGATGTCACACTAGCCACAATTATAGCCTAAAATTTTCGATTGATTATTGAGTTGAAAACCCGGACAATGAGTGCCTGCGATGTCATTGAGCACGAAATGAGCACACAGAATCGCATAACAACCGCAAAAATCGAGTCGGTCTCTGAAATTTTTATGGTTTTTTTTTTTCAGAATTTGGAGGATTTCAACGATCGATCGCTACAAAACCCAGGGTTCAATGTGCGTCGTCAATAATGGTATAATTTATTTTGTTGAAAATTTGAATTGAAAAAAAAGGAATTAATTGGAAATTTCGAAACACAAAATTCTACCTGTCATCCGTAAAATGAGAATGACGAAAATGGCGAGAATCGATAGGCAACTGCACAACGAGTGCGCGAATTTCCGATTGAACCATTCGTATTTGAAATCGAAAAACCCGCAACTGATACTAACGGAATAGCGAAGAAGGCCAATCAGAATCGCGTTCAGATAAATCGAGCCCGAAATTGCGCCGAGATTGAACATGTTCGCGTAATTGATCAATGTCGTCGAGAAGCTTCAAAAATGAAGAGTAGAACGCTGGTAACTCAAAACCAATCGGATCCGACAAAATTCGGCTAAGGAATCAATTTGAATTTTACTGATAAAATTGGAAAATTGTTGGATCCGAATGGTTATTAATCGAATCGGTTTTGTTTTAATATTTGATTTCGAATCGGATCCGACAAATATCCAATCAGATACCAAAAATATCTAAAAAACCAATCGGATCCGACAAATATCCAACCGGATACCAAAATATCAAAAAAAAACCAATAGGATTCGACAAAGCTGATTCCTGAATTGAATTTTGTCGGATCCGATTGGTTTTTGGGGTATTTTCGGATCCGATCGGTTATGAATCGAATCCGTTTCGTTTTAATCTTTGATTTCGATTCGGATCCGACAAATATCCAATGGGATCCGAAAATACCCCAAAAAAAAATCAATGGGATCCGATAATTTTACAATCCTATCCGTAGCATTTCTAATCGGATCAGCTTGATTTCGAAGCCGAATTTTGTCGGATCCGAATGGTTTTGAGTTACCAGAGAAGGTTTGGGGAGGGTGGCGAATTGCGCCATCAATTTTGGTGTTGGCAAACTCACAAACAGAACGCAATCACGCCGGTGCCGATGGCGATTCGCCGATTCGTCAACAAATGCCAAAAATTGTGATTTTTGCGCGCGTTTTGGCCAAATTCCTTGAAATTTTTTGTTCATTTCTGCATTGTGTTTTTTTTTGTGGTTCAGTCTCGAAATCGCTCACCAAATGCTCATGCTCGAGTAGTCGGACGAGCTCGTCCTCGTTGATTCCCATTGGCGTTTTGTCGAAACGCTCGATTTTGAGAAAAATCGTTGTCGCCTCATCGATTCGACCCTTTTGCATGAGATATCGTGGACTCTCGTGTAGAAAACTGCAAACAGGCAATTTTTTTTGTCGTCGCGACTGACAAAAAATGAGACGAACAATAGAATGAGAATGGCGGGAATGATGAGAATTGAGATCACGATTGACAGCGATGACCATGTTTGGAAGAAATATGCTAGGCAGCCTGTAGTGTGAATTGAAAGATACAGAAATTGCGAAAAAATTGGATTTTAAGGACTGACCGAGAAGAATGACGTTCGGCGAGAAGCTGATCAGCGTTGAAATGTACATTCGAGAGCGTTTCGGAATATTTTCGATGAGGTAGACAACGGAGATTCTGGAAAACCAATTTTCCAGCGTGACGGGGGTTCGTTTTGGTTTTTTTACGTGCTTTGTCCGCCGTTGAAAAAACTCAAAATTGTGCGCAAACCGGTGAACACGAGAAAATTTGGCGAGAACGCGGTGGCGACGCCGAAAATTGTGCACATTGCGAGGCAAACGAGCAAAAGCTGCAAATTTTTGTTGTCGCTCATTGCTCATTTTCGACGTGCTATGTGCATATTAACAGCATCTAGAAAAAAAAAATTCATTTTCGATTTGGCCGAAAACTGGAAGAATTTGAAGCCCTGATGAACAAATTCGCATTTTTTTTGGGGATTTTTGATGTGCGCGAAAATCTGGGAAATTTCTTGATTTTTTTGGATTTTTAAGGAGGGAAAATCTAAAAACAAATAATTTTTCATTTTTTTCTCTCTTTTAATTATGAAAAAACACCAACCAAAATTTAGGAAACACTTTATGAATTATTTTTCTCACTTTATTCTAATTTTGTATGATTTTTCCCGATATTTTCCATTTTTTTTTTTGATACGCTAACAGCCAAATCGAAAATGATTGCGACAGCCTTCGATAATACCATTTTTCGACCGTAGACGTCGCTGAGTTGGCCGAAAACGAGGCAGCCGGCCATCAAACCGATCATTTGAATCGACGTTCCGAGTTTTTCGAAGCGAACTCCCTCGCAGTGAAGGTTGAACTATATGAGATAGAGATTTTTGTAAAAAAAAAAAGAAAATTGGATACCTCATCGATGATTCCGTAGAATTGTCGCTCGAAAACCATATTATTCGGATGGCACGAATCGCACGCTTCGGAGTTTGACGAGAAGCTCGCGTTTGCGCACGATGTGATTTTTGGAATTGCGCCCAAAAAATAAAGAAAAAGAAATGAGGAATTGAAATTTGTTGGTTGCGTTTTACCGCCATAAACCATGTATTATTTTTCTTAATAATTTTTTGGAAACGAAAAAAAATTTTTTTTTGGAGCCATTCACATAGTTGATTTCATAAATAAATCATTTGATTGAAAACTGAAATATATCATTCCCTAGGATAATTTGATTTTTTTTTTCATTTTTCTTGCCACTTTAATAATTTTGCCAAAGATTTTTATCGATTTTTTCTGTCAATTAAAAATTACGAGAATTGCGTCAGCTGCACGCCAAATACGCCAATCACACATTTGATGACGCGTATTTGGCTACACCATCCGTCATCGAATCGATAATCAATTTTTTTCGCATTTTGCCGGTTTTAACTTTTTCTACGCAGATTTTTCAAGTTTTTTTAAAACAAATTTGTTCGTTGCGATTTACCGGCATAAACCATGTACATTGTGTTCGACAATTGCGAGAGCATCGCGATTTCGACGAAAATGCACACTAGAATTGAATAGCGGCCCATTTTGAGGAGATCGTCGCTGAATTTTGGCGCGTCGTCTGAAAACGCAATTTTTTTCTTGTTTGAAATACTCTTTTATATTTGTGTTCACCTTGAAGCGACTCGATCTCGTCGATTTCCTTCATTTTTGCCTCACTTTCTCGTTTTAACTGAAAATGACGAATTTAAGATTTTATGGATCAAATCAAAGAGCGGAAATTGAAAATTCGAGATCGATTATATGGAAATGTATTTTTTTAAGGTCATCTGACGTTTTTTTTTTCTTGAATAGAATTTTCCGGAAAATTCAACAAAACATTCTTACACGATTGACGATTTTGTATGGAAATGTTTACCCCCTCTCAAAAAAAAGGGATTTTATCGAAAAATGAGCGATAATTAAATGAGAATCGATAAGAAATGACCGGTTTGTGTGTTTGCGGTGCAAATAGAAATGATGATCGATGAGGTTTTCGGTGGTTCTTGACAATTTCGGCAAAAATTCGCATATAAAATTTTGAAGATGGAAAATTGGTGAGTGATCTCTGCGATTTTGTAGCCTTCAACTCGTTTGCAGTTTGTGACGATTTCGACCTTGAAAACAAAAAAAAAAACATTTTTTCTGCGGAATTTTTAAAAATTGACCATATTTGCAGAAAATTTCGCTTTTTTTCTAATAAATAGTCATTTTTATTACTTTTCTTAATAATCTTCAGGAAATGAAAAAAAAAATCAACCTTTTTGGAGCCACGCTAAAGATTTTCATCGATTTTTTCTGTAAACATCGAATTTGAAAAGTTGCGAGTATTGCGTCAGCCGCACGCCAAATACGCCAATCACACATTCGATGACGCGTTTTTGGCGACACCGCCCGTCATCGAATCAATAATCAATTTTTTGCAAGTTTTGCCGGTTTTCGCTTTTTCTGCGCAGATTTTTCATTAATTTTTTGATCAGGCTTGCTCTATATTGTATCGTCGGTATGATTTCACTGAAATTACGCCGTTCATATGATTTATCTTTCGATTTTTTGCTAGTTTTGAAATCGGTGTGTTATGCTTATTAGAAAATCGATTAATTTTGTGTGTGTATTCTTATCTCTCATTTTCATTATCGAGTTATTTGTGTGTTCCGATGCCTATATTCTGTGCAATGTTCGTTTTGAGCAATCTATAAGCGATTCTTTTAGAAAATTACGATTTAATCAATAATTTTGTGTGTGTTTTGATCCGTAACTATTCTTCCTCACATCCGTTTATTTTAATCCTTCTTAATTTTTTTCGTTGAGCGTTTATATTTAATATTTTAATTTTTTCCCGCATATTGACATTTTTCAGATAATATCTCAACAAATTTCCTGTGGCGACGACACTGATGGTCCCGTGCGGAGTGTCGAAGGTTTGTTAATACTACGAAATCCTAGACATTTTTATTTTTATTCTAGAATTTTCAATTCAGTACGATGCAAATTCGCCATGGATTTTAGACGAAGAATCTCAAACGGTGGGCGAATTGAATTGTGAGCATTTTAATCAAAATAATTGTCAACTTCAGAGTGTTCTGTGCGACGGCTGGAAGCGGCTTGATCGGTAGCACAATCCTTGGCTCCTCGGATTTCTCTCGTCGTTTCCGAAGCTCGTTTTTTCCCGAGCCAAAATTGCGAGAAAACATGATGCACAAAACAGCTGATTAAAATGACCCCGTAATTTTTGGCCATTTTTGCTCTTTTTGAAAATTGTTCGATTTTGCCTGGTGATATTCGCTACGGGAACCGTTACCGATTTTTCTAGCGTTGAGCAATTAAGCTAATTAGGGTAATATTTAGTGTTGTGCTTGTAGGTGTGTATGTGTGTGGTACACGAGGTTTGGTATTAAAAAAGACTATTGAGTCAATCAATTAGACGGCCAGAATGAGGGGGACTCGAGCTTAATTAGTGTTCCGGGATCATAATACGAACAGTAGAGAAATATGGGAGACGCAGAGAAAAATGTCGAGAAGCATAGAGGTAGAGTAAGAGAGTGCAAGAGAGAGAGAGAGACATTTCTATAGGGCGCGTTTGTGGACTATAATGTTTAGGAAGCAATTAGATTTTCTGCTATGATTAACTGGGGATTTTAGAGTTGAGAAATAAATCAGCACATTGCTTAAATTCGAATCTAAAGAGTTGGCTATTCATTTTAATATTCAAAAAATTATGATCTAGATGGATGAAAACCCGTTAATGATATTACAATCGCAAAAAACCTACACCAATTTTTTGTCGATTTTTATTGAGTTTGATTCGCAGACATTTCCACAGTTTTAATTTTATTTTTGATTTTCCTAATCGAAAATATGATCCACAATTTCTCAAGGCGCTCGTTTTTTGCGATGGTAATTATTTTAAAACGTGGTGATTTTAGTATTTAATTGCGGTACCATAATTGCGATTGAACTTAATATTCTAATCCCTGTAACAATTACTAAACATTAAATCTCAAGTGTTGGGGCAATTGGCTACAGATAATTTTTGTGGTTTCTAGGCAATTACAATAATTTATTTCGTATTTTGCATCAATTGATACATGTTTGACGCCGATAATAGTAATTTCAACATAATTTTTCAAAAGCCCTTGTATTTTTATTATTTTAAAACATTGTGTGCTTGCAGTCCTGAGAATGAGCTATTTTGGGTCTGTAAATGGGTTGAAAATACTATAGATTTTAATCAAATTCGGTCAATAATAATTTAAATCCAAAAATTCCCAAAATGATTGGTGTGTATAATCTTTAGTAATTGCCCAATTAATTTTAAGGTACCCCATTTATTCATTGTTCCCCATTATCAATCAAGTTCTATTAAAATTGTCGTCGATTGAGATTTTCCGGAGGATAGTTTTTAGTTTAGTGGGTTATTCCAATTCGTTGCTATTAGTTGTAGATTAGTATTTGCAATATTTGATCGTGCGAGTCTCGTAGCGAAGGTCAAAAAGAAGTTCGTTGTTTGATCTCTGAGTCGAATGTTTTTAAGCTTGCATTCCAGTTGGTGCATTTGTCCGTGATGGATTACTGTAGGATTCTACTCCACGATATCCTCACAGTACTCCTGATCGGTCCGCAAAAATGCGTCGGTTGTAGTGCAAGTCTTATTTTCTTATTGACACCCGGTTGCGAGAGGTCTCAAAAACGATGAATTTCCATTTTGGGCAAAATCGAACAAAATTCAAATTGACCAAAAATGGCCAAAAATAGGGCGATTTTTTGGCTGTTTTGTGCATTACGTTTTTTTTGCGATTTTGGCTCGGGAAACAAGGGGTGGAGGAGGCGCCGAAAAAATTCGAGGAGTCGCTAAGTGGGAGAGACGGTCATTTCGCAAAATTTGAAAAAAAAAAAAGTAATCAGACCCCCATTTTTTTTCTATTCAGATGCACGGGCTCCTCCCGGCCTTCTATAGTCCCAATTCCGCCCCGGCGTCCCCCAGCCCCTCTTTCTCCGAATTCTGTGTTTTTTCCCCATTGGCCCCATCGATTTGCCATGGCTTGGACGACAAAATCGCTCAATCTTCCCCAATTATTGCCTCATTTCACGACCAATTCTAATAATTTCTTTTCATTTTTCGTTGTTTTGTTAATTTTTTACATTAAAGTGTTTTGATTCACTGAGATCTTGGAAACAGCGAGAAAATCATGACCAATTCGAGGAATATTGACAAGTTTTCTTTTTAAAGTTTTTTCTTTGAAGCTTAAGAATTTGATTGCTAGCCAAAGACAAAAATCTATCGTAATCCGGTTTCATATAGGCGTCCGGAGACTACTGTACGCGGGTCGTTTTAGGAGTGCGCCTTTCGAAAAGATCTCGCCACACGAGACCGAGAGAAAGGCGCATCTCCGTAAATATACCCACAGTCGCCGGACGCCGACTATATGTCTTAATTTATTTGTTAATTAATCCTTAATTGACGCCTAGACTCTGGATTGCAGACAAATTCTAATTAAACTGGCACAATTAGCCTCTCAATTTATTTATTCGACATTAACCTAATAATAAATTATTTTAATTATCCTAATTCATAATCTATGTTAAATTGCCTATGAAATTTTTCGTTGAAAATATAAAAATTGATCTCTAACGACAAACATCCAAATATTCTCAAAATTGAAATTTTGTTGAAATTCGATTATCAAAATTCTAAAGTCTAATTATCGCCTAATTAAGAAAATTCAAACCAATTTGATTAGTAAAATTTCAAAAAAAAAAAAACATGGCAAAATCACCCAAATTGATCACAAAAATTTCAATAAATGTGCGCTTGATCCAGGGGGTTTGAAAATTTTTTCAAGTTTGCGGCGCACAAATTGCTCATGAAATTCCCTTTCGAATGAACTTGGCAGAGTTGTGCGAAAATGGCACTTCGGGAAATTTCTCGCGAAAAAATTCATCCAAAACTCCAGCAAATTTCGTTTTTATTTGATTTTTTGTAATTTAAATTATTTTTTTCTAAAAAAATGCAAAAAAAACCCTCCTGCCAACAAAAACTGATGATAAAAAATGAAGCCCAATCGAAAAATTTGAAAGTTCAAAAATTTTCACAGCTTAATTTTTTAAGGAAGAATGTAAAGAAAACCAAATTTTTATACATAAAATTTTTTTTAAAATTTTTCTTTGTAGTGATCCTCAATGGCCCAAAACAGAAGAAAAAATTGTTTTTGCAAGATTTTCGATTTTTCTTCATGTACCTTTAATTATCTATAATAATTTAGTTGTGTGTTTAAAAATTTTTGAAATTTTTGATTCCAAGATTCATAATTGGAATTTCAACGAGCAATTTGAGTGCAAAATTAGAAGACAAAAAAATCAAACCGCCTCTGCAAAAATAAAACAAAAATTTATAGAAGAATTTTGATTTTCAGACAAATGCTGAAACACTTCGACATTCTTTTTTCAAAAATGGAAATCAAACTCGCGTTTTCCAGAAATCCAATGAATCAAATCACTTTTATGGAGAAAATTCAACGAAAAATGAGAAGAAATTCACAAATTGGTCGCGAAAAACAAAAATAGGCAAAATTGGGAAGAATTGAGCGATTTCGACGAGATGCGTGAAATATTCCTTGACTTATCAAAAAATAATCAATTTAATTTGTGAATTCTAATGGCAATAGGCGAATTGGCCAAAAAAAAACTAGATTTTTCCTAAGCTTTCTCCCACTTTCTCTGAATTACCTAAAAATTCGTTCTAAAATTTTCAAATTATCATGAAGACTAGTTAAAACTAACTAAGACCTAGTAGAAAATTATCTAATTAAGACACTAATTAAAAATTTCTAGAGTTTTTTGAATCCAATCCAATTGTTGAAGACGACGCTTTCGGCTCAATTCATTCCTAGTGTCAATCTAATACCTAATAAGGAATATTCCACACAAGTCGCTCATCAAGCCATGGCGAATCTTTGGCGCTCACTCACGTAAATGAAAATAAATCGAATTCGAAGAAAAATTGAATAAAAATTAATTGAAAATGAAATAAAATTCGATGATATCGATTGATTTTTCAATTTTTGAAATCGTATTCGATTTAAAATTTTGGAGAACTTTTCGAAATTGATAATTTTTTTTCGAATCCAATCGATTTGCATTGACGAGAGCACCGGGAACACACAGAATTCGGCGAATGAGGTGACAAGGACGACAGAACGAAATCGGGACTCACCGGCAAGAAGTCCGCGGCTTTCAGATGGCGTCGACGACGGATTCATGGAATCCTCGCATTGTTGGCATGTCGATCTGAAACAAAAAGAAATTCAAGAAGAACACTGAGAAATCGAAAAATACACGAAGAACAATGACAAATAGGAATTGGGTCGATTGAAGAGACGCCGAGAAAAAATCGATGATCAACGTCGAACACAACGTAGTCAAAATTCTCGTCAGCTACATTGTAGTCCGCCTGACGGCGTCCACAAATTGGTGTCTTTTTTCCGCGACAAAAAAAAACTCAATAGATCAAATTAGTATTGAACAACTAAAAATCAAACATTAATTAAAATCACAAATATTTTAATAATGTGAATATTCTACGAAAATCGGTCAAATATTAAATTTAAAAATTTTTCATATTTTTTAAATCAAATTTCTAGAACACAGAATAATATCATTTGAATAGTTTCAATAGAAAATTACGCGTAAAAAAAGAGGGATTTCTCTTTTATTATTTCTTCAATTTTCTTTCTAGCATTCCTGCAATTTTCGCAAAAAAAAAAATTCAATTCCCAATAGCTCCCTTCTAATTAAACTAACAATTTTATCAAAAAAAAATACCGTATTAAAATCACATAAAGCCGAAACTAATGGCAAGATCTCAACAAAAACTCTCAATTCAAAAAATTCGCCAAATCGGATTTTTTGAACAAAAAAATGAAAAAAAAAAAAACGTCTAATTTCCCTCAAAAAATGCAGCTATCGGCCAGAAACGACCCTCTTCAAGCTTCAATCAACGACGTCATACACCAAAGAAGCCAAATAGAATCGAATGAAGAAGGCGAGTGCCGAGCACATGAGCTGAATTCCGAGTAGGTACAAGCTCAGGTCAGCTTCATGCATCGGACCAGCGAATTTCAGCACCAAATTGATGAGCGTCAGGTTATTGATCTCCATGTACCTGCAAACATTTCCCTTTTTTTCAAATCCATTTTTTTTTTCAAAAACAATTTTTTTATTCATCATTTCTTCGAATTTCACAAATTTTTGAGCTCAAACCGAAATAAAAACTCACTTTTCGCCATCTTTCTCGATTTCCTCAACGTGCAAAAGCCCAAATGCCTCAAAAATTTTCAGCGAGAATTTCCCAATCAAACGAAGGTCCGATGATTTGAATTGCGCCTTGCTCATGCTCACCTCAAAAAAACGTGCTCCATTACAATTACCGTAGACCTACAATAACAATTGTTACCGTATCTGTCGTCGGGTCATATTTGGGCAATCGATGGCGCGGGCACGGCACAAAATGGAACAATTGTGGAATCGAGTACAAAAAGTTGAACGTCTGAAGGCAATTTAAAAAAATGGAGCGTCGGGTCTCGCAACGAAATTACTTGTGGAATGAAGAAAAGCATCAGCGTCTTGCTGAAATGTCCCAGAATCGAGACAACGGCCAGCGTCATTCCAGCCCAATAGCAAAATGTGTCGCCAACGAACACCACCGACGGATACTGTAATGCAATTATGCAAAATGTTCTCGCCACGATGACACTTTTGGCGAGAATAGTTTAAAGGCGCACTGGGGATTCGCGAAGCCCAAATAATGCAAATTTCAAACCAAAAAAAGTCACAAATTCGAAAGTATTTGAATTCTCGGCCAAAAACCAAATTTCGATAAGCGAAAATTGATTTGCTCGAAACAAAATTCAAAATTACCCGATTAAAGTAGAACAAGACAAGTGTGCATGCCGTGAATGGCATCAAAAAGTACAACGAGAGCAAATGATGCCAAAATTGGTCGTCGACGCGGACCAATTGCACAAAATTGAACGTGATCACACTGAGCGAAATCACCAAAGCCTGTCCGGACTCGAGTCCATTGATGCCTCGAAATTTTGGAATAAATCGAGAAAACAAAAATTAAAACACCTACCAGCGAGTATATTGATCGCGTTGGTGCAGAACACAATCACCATTCCCATGAATACATAATAGGCGAACGAAATGTCGATGGAAGTGGGCGGCACGTCGAAATACGCCATCAGCGTTTTGCGAAGAATCGTCGGCACGATGACAGTCGTCGAGTTGCCGGAAACATAGTAGACCATGAGAAGCGGCAGCGATGAGAGCGTCGGAAACAACAATTTGTGGCGCCAGCGGAGATCGAGCACGTCGTCGGCGAAGCCGAGAAGAATCGCGGTGCTGATCGAGATGAGGCCCGACAGAATTGCCATCAGTTTCGCGTGCGGAAAATCGGACCTAAAATACAATTGAGCATTATTTTTTCTTTTGATCGAATCTCAATTCGTCGCCTCATCTCACCCGTATCCAACCCATTCGATGAACGGCGCCGGAATGAAGACAAACATTATGATGAGGTAGACCGCCGCGCAGATGACGCCCATCGGCTCCGGAATCGGATCATTGCTTACCTGCAACAAGAAAAACAAAGTTGAATTGACAAAAATCGAATTTTCTAGCAAAATTTGCGCAAAACTATTTTAAGATAAATATTCTTCTTGAAATTTGTTCGATTTAAATTTTAAAAAAATCGCAATTCATCCTACATTGTAAAATATGAAGTACTACAGCACGCAAGAATAAAAAACCAAAAATTGATTATTTAAATTCAAAGAAAACCGAATTTCACGGAAATCAAACGTTCAAAAATTAAAATTTCAATTTTTTAACAAACGTTTTTTAACAACGAAATCCTTTTAACAACGAAATCCTTAAAACCTTTCACTAAAATAGCAAAAAAATGTAATTTTATAATTTTCCGATAAATTCTGCTGAAAATCCATGAAAAAAAAAAATGAAAGAGAATGCGCGACACTTCAAAATCACTGTGCATTCGCGCGTCGCGGTGAACCACACTATTCACCATTCTACCGTAACCCAATCAATTCCTCACCTTGCACTGATCATTCCCATACATTTTCCGCTGTATAAATATTGGAATATAGTCGACGATTAGTCGATAGCACATAATTCCGCCCAGAAGGCTCAAACCAGCATTAATAGCCAAACTATAAATGATCATCTGAAATGGAAAACGATTTTTGTTTTTGAGAAAATTCGAAAATTTGAGGAAAAACGCCAAGAAAATTTGGATAAAAAACCATTTAATTGAAAATAAGCGAATAAAATGATTGATTTTATAACAAAAAAAAAACGGAACAATTCAAAAAATCGATCTAAACTATTTCTAAATGAGATCCGGCTCTCACCAGAGCCAAAGTCGCTTCCAATTTCGGCCTTTCGTCGCATTCTCAACAGTTGGAGCTTCATTTAGACCAACCGCCGCTTCGCCAATCTCATTTTTCAACTGAAAATCGCCAATTTTAGACGACGGACTATTTTTTGTTGTTGAAAATTGCAAAAAAAAATTTTATGAAAAAATTTTTCGACCACTTTTTTTTCAAAAATTTTCATATTTCAATTTCAACTCGCCAGCGTTGCTTCTTTCAGTCAAAACTAACAAATTTTCAGCAAAATTATATTAAATTCGAGTCAAATTTTGGACGTGTTCAAAAAAAAAAACTCAATTCCTCTCGAAAATTTCAGACAAAAAAATTTCGCACAACAAAACGCGGCATTTTATTTCAGTTAGACTCTATAGTAAATTCTCTAAAATTTTCACAACTTCTCAAAAAAAAACAATTTTGCAAAATTTCACAAAAAATTAGACGCCAAACTCGAAAATTAAATCAAACTTCAATAAAAAGCAAAAATTTGGCTTTTTCTTTTCAAAAAAAATTTCATTTTTAGCTAAAAACTCAAATTTCGGTTAAAATCTTCAGAAAATCACCAAATTTGCTATTCAAAAATCCAATTTTCAAGTCAAAATTCCAAACAAAAAAATAGAAAACCTGTTGAAAATGCGTTGCCAATCTCGACCACGATTCGCTGACATCCCACAATTTGGCGCGTTTCGCCTCATCAAGAGTAATCTCATTCCAAGATTGCACATTTCGTTCACGACTGACGAAAAAAAAAGAGATTAATGGAAAAAAAATCACCGATTTGTTTCAATTTTTCAATTCGCCATCGGATCGACTTGATTTCTTCATGCAATGAAAAAATAAAAATAAAATTTTAATTTGAATTCCTTATGCACGTCCAAAATTACAAAAAAATGACGCGATATATCGTAATCCTCGGCTATTCATTTTCAAAGGCGGACGCGAAAATTTGCGTCGGGTCACGACACGAAGTCGCTACTGTAATTTTTTTTTCATTCTGTATGCCATTTTTCCACATTTTTCTGAAATTTTGAAGTGGAAATGAGTAACGGATTGAAAAATGAGGAAAAAAAATACAATTGTTGGTATAACTACTCCAAATTCGACAATATGTCTATTTTTCGTAATTTCGATACCAATTATCATGTGAAATAGTAATATTTGTGCTGATTTGAAGCAGATTTCCCTCGATGACGCTTCTGATGAACCTTTTGCGTTGATTAAACAAAATACTTTTACAGATTTCCAAAAAAAAAAACGTTTTAAATCCTCGAAAAATAAAAAATTCGAAAAAAAAAACAAACCATTAAAAAAATACAGTACCGACTTCGCGTCGTGACCCGACGTATTTCACATCATAATTGGTATCGAAATTACGAAAAATAGACATATTGTCGAATTTGGAGTAGTTATACCAATAATTGTATTTTTTTTCCTCGTTCTTCAATCCGTTACTCATTTCCACTTCAAAATTTCCGAAAAATGTGGAAAAATGGCACACAGAATGTAAAATAAAAAATTAGAGTAGCCACTTCGCGTCGTGACCCGACGCAAATTTTCGCGTGCCCCTTTGAAAATAAATAGCGGAGAATTACGATATATCGCGTCAATTTTTTGTAATTTTCGACGTGCGTGCATAGGGAATTCAAATGAAACAAATTGAATATTTTTAAATATTTTTTTCATTTCATAAATAGGTCTATTATTGAGTTCCAACCAGATCACAATCGACTCACTCAAAGAATATTCCCGATTTTCCGTCGTTCGCCGGATCGCACAACGCGTACAAAACCGGCCGCACTGCCTTCTCCGTTCGCCGCTCGCCCATTCCGAAGCTCACAATTTTCAGAAGCCAACGGCTCAGGAAAAACGTCTGCGCGTCCATTTGCGCCGACAAATTCGATTTCGTTCGGCCCGGATCCGCCACAAACACGCTAATGTTGGTGTCTGAACCTAACGATATTCGAATGGTCCCTTTTCGATGCCTCACCTTTCAATCGTTCGGCCAATTCTTTGGCAAACATCGCATTCGCCAATTTGCTGTGCTTATAAACCTCATAGCCATCATACTTCTTCGCCTTCTCCGCGTTCAGATCATCCAGCTTCAACTCGCATTTCCTATCGATGATGTTCGTGTTGAGGAACACCAGCCGAACCGGATGGTCCTGAGCCAGAAGCTTGTCGAGAAGGAGTCCGGTCAGCAAGAAGTTGCCGAAATGATTCGTCGCAATCGTTTTTTCAATGCCATCCTACAAACAAAAATCAAATTTTTTTTCAAAATAACCCAACAATTATTATTTTTGCTCAATTTGAAGGCAATTACGTCAAAAAATTTAAAAAAAAACACTCAATTTTAAGAAAACGCTTGAATTTTCAAATTTCTCTCAAAATACCATTTTTTTAATTGTGAATTCCAGTTTCAAAAATTCATCGAAATGCGGTGATTTGCAAAAAATTCATTCTTCTCCAAAAAAAGCCAAATATGGTCAAAACTGGCCCAAAATTTTCAATTTTCGTTAGTTTTTTGCCGAAAAAATGAGCTAAAATCGCGTTTTTTTCAAGAAAATTCAAAAAAAAAAGATGAACGCACCTTATTCACTTTTCTCTCATTCGACATCACCGCCGCATTATGCACAACACCATCAATCCGATCCAGCTCGAATTTGCCTTTGCTCAATTTCTGCACAAACGCCCGAATGCTTTCAAAATCCTCCAAATCGCATTGACGGCAATAAACCTGCGAAAAAAAAACAACGATGGAATTTTCTATTTTTTATAATAAATATCTCAAAATTGTCGACCAAACTGGCCATTTTTGGTTGAAAAAATTGCGAATTTTCAAATTTTCAAAGCCTTGCTACAAATTTGAGAAAATTCCCTTCAAAATATCACAATTCTTCTGTGAAAAAATTCCCCCCAAAACATTTTTTTTTTCAATTTTCTCGCTTTTCACCTGTTTATTCTTGGTGTTCAACACAATATCGCGTCGCACTTGCACACATTTCTCGCGATTTCGACAAGCCATGATGACTCGCGCGTTTCGCTTCGCCAGCTCCTCAACCGTCGCCTGTCCGATGCCCGACGTCGCGCCCGTCACAATGTACGTTTTTCCCGCCAAATTCTCGTGTAGATCATATTTGGCGCCGGATTGTGTTGAGCTGAAATCGGAAAAAAATGCCAAAATCGAAAATTTTACACAATTAAATTTCATGTTTTCTTAATCGAACAAGATTTTTTTTTTTCAATTTTCAATATTCAAATTTCAATTTTTTTTATTAAAAAATGCATTTTTCCATTTTCTCAGACGTCGAAATAGCTCCATTTTAATAAAAAAAGAGCTTCTCACTCCCAAATATGGTATCCACCATACGCCAATCCAAACGTCGAGAATCCAATCGACCAAGGCGATGTGAGACCCTGAAGAAGGCGCCTTCCAGCCATCAAAAAAAAACGAGCGCTAAAAATGTAAAAAATATATACTTTTTGAGAGCAATGAAGGAGATAATATATAAAAATGACGATTACAAGAAACGCGATTCTCATTTCGATTTTCACCAAAAAAAATTAAGGCAATTATTTATGGAAAAACTTCGACGGGGGGAGAGAACAAAAAAGGAAAAAAATGAGAAGACCAATAATAATAAATAATAATAATAATAAAAACCAGTAGATCACAAAACAAAACATTGATTATTTCGCGTCAGAACCCAAAATATTCAAATTTTAGACCAATTTTTTCGCTTCGAAGAACCCGCGAAGATGCCTCATCTGCCAGTAGCCGGTGACGGCGAGCACGACGACTTGAGCCAGCGACCAGTAGAACACGCGCGAGTTCGTCGATTCCGACGTCTGACGGAATCGCTCCTCACGATAGCGCTGATAGTTTTGCTCTTTTGTGATCTGATCGACTTGGTCGAGAAGCTGACGAATGCGCAGTTGAAGCTCATTGAGCTTGTCTTTTTGAGCAATCTAAAAAACCCAAATGTTGGGTTTCCTTTTTGGAAAAATTAACAAGAAACCTGCGCATAATCCTGAGCATGATCTCCAGCCTGAATATCAAGATGCACACGCAATTGGGCTCCGCTGAACCACGCGGTGCTATTCGAATAGATGCAGATGACGTGCTCGCCGGGTGAGTTCGACGTGAACGTGAAGCGGCCTTCGGCGGTGTACAATTTCGACAAAATCACCTGCAAAAAATGAAAATGTCTAGAAATTTCCAAGAACAAAAAAAAACGAATGAGAAATGAAAATGATACCTTATCCTCGGGATTTTTCACCTCAACATGCATTCCAATATTCGGATAATCACCATAACCCTTCGTATTTGGATCGTACAATTGCACCTTGTAATTTCCAATCACCTAAACTCTATCAATTAGCCAATTAACTCCAATAAATCACTTAATTACCATCGTCTCATCTGGAATCTCCTCGATGAAACATTTTTTCTCGGTTTCGGCGATGTGAAAATAAAGAGCCTGCGAGATCGCCACCAGACTCAATAAAACGATTGTTGATCTCATTCCTAAATAAATTAATTAAGAACAATCGAGATAATTAGGCAATTAAGATATGAAACATGATTAAACATGTCGAAGTTTAAAAAAAATGAAAGAGATTTGGAAAAATAATAATTTTATTTAGAACAAAAATACCGCCAATTTAAAATTATCGAAATTACCTTTAATTCGTTTCATTTTCATAATGAAATCTAAAAAAAATAATGAAATTGCAAAAAATTCGATAAATATTTTACCTTAGCGGTTTCATCCAATTCTTCTGGTCCTATTGGTCAATTTTATATTAAATTTACACAATTCCAGTGATCTTTTCATTCTAAAACGCAAATTTGAACAAAAATTTTAAGAAAAACCGCAAAAATTCTCGATAAATTTCCAACGACACGTTGGAAATGAGGCACGGCGTCCGCAAACACCGCGCGGTCGCAAACACCACACCCGACGCGCAATTCTTTTTTTTTAATTCAGCATTTTTTTCAGGGAAAATCCCTCAACGAAACGCGTCAAAATTCCACAAAAGCGTCAAAAATCTTCATTAAAGTCAATAAATACCGTAAATCGAAGGGTTTGGGGGGCAAGAAAATCGATTATTAAAGGCAAGACAGATCAAATCTGTTAGCAAGGGTCGTCATGTGGCAATTCAAAGCATTAATATCAAAATCCGTAAAACGAAATGGCGTTCAACAAATTAAAAAAAAAGAAGGCACTAATAATAATTACACAAAAAAAGCAACAGTCTATTTTGAAGTAAAGGCAAAAAAATGATATCACAGGCTACTCAAACGTTTCGAGCTTCTGGAACACCCAACGCTGGGAGCCATTGTCGACGCGACACGATTCCGACACCAATTTCCATTCGCCGTCGGACGAATTCTGGCGAATCGTCAAACATTTGCCGTTCTGCACCACCCAGCCTTTGTCTTCCAACAATTTCGTCTCGATACGATTCTGGAATTCCTTCAAATCTGAGCAACTCCGATTTTCACATCGATTTTAATAGCTGTATTTCAGAAGAAGAAAATACAAACAAAAAAATGTGAAAATTTTAATCAAAAATTGATTTTAGTCTCGAAAAATCTTCTCAAAAAATTTTTTTCCATCGAAACATCACCCAAAAATCAAAAAACCAAGCCCAAATTTGTCTGAAAATTGCAGAAAAAAATCAATGACAATTTTCAGCCAAAATCGCAATTTTTAATTCAAAACAATGCAATTTTAGGGGCAATTTTTGCAAATTTTGATACAAAATTCATTAAATTTCTCAAAAAAAAAAAAATTATTTTTGTATCATTTTTTCAAAAATTGTTAAAATTTTGTTCGCATTTCCCCATTTTTGGCGACATTTTAAACAAATTTTCAAATTTTCAACAAAAATTCGCAAATTTTACCCCATAATTGACCCAAAAATGCCAATTTTTACATCAAAAAATTTGATCTACCTTATCGCATTCGACCATTACCACGTCCTCTTTCGACAAATCCAAACAGAAATTCGTGATCGCATTTTTGAATTGTTTCGTCGCTTTATCATACACCCATTCCTACAAAAAATCAATCAATCAATCAATTGCCAATTCTCCCAATTTTAATGATGGTCCCGCAACGATATGAATATCAATTTGTTTTTCTCTGAGAAACCTGATTTCCGCCGGTGCCATGGCATCCATACAATCCCGGCGCTTCGTTGACCTTCTTCGCCATCGAATCCAAACACATATTCCCGATTTTCAGCGAAAACGATTTTCCCGGCGTTCGTTTCGGGATCCTGCGAAAAAAAATTGAGAATCGATGTAGGATGGACGAGAAAAAAATGTGTTTTTCTTTTGATTTCCACAAAATTCAATTTTTCGACACATTCCAAACACCGCAAATTTGCCATAATTCGTGACAAGACCCAAATGGATGATCGGAAATTCTCAAAAATTATTTTTAAAAAATTGTCAACGACTTAAAGAGCCAAAAATCGAACCGAAATTCTCAACAAAACTTTTTTGTGGCCCAAAAAAAATCATCAAAAACGAACATCAGTCTGTGATTCGTGCTGAGACCCAAAAAAAGTTCTCAAAATTCCCAATTTTTTGCCCACAAACCCATAAAAAAGCGCATCAGTCTGAAATTCGCCGCAAGACCCGAAAAAATCGGGCTAACAATTTCTGAAAATTCCCAATTTTTGTCTATAGCCCACAAAAAAAAATCTCTCTCTATTTCAAAATGGTCATCGCTCTTCCCCCGCCCCATTTTTCAATGGTCCCAATAATGAAACGGCGCCAAGCACTCACTTCAGCTCCGGATAGACATTCTTCAAATACCAATCAAACGATTTGCACTGCAATCGCTCGCGAATTCCCAATCGATCGGAAATGCTGAAACAAAAAAAAGAAGAAATGAAAAAAAAATGGAATTTTCGTCTCGAAGACACTCACTCGCCAAAGTTCACAAATCTCGCCGACGGCACATTCTTCAAATAGATCGACTTGTACTCATCCATCCACACTTCGGCGGCTCGTCGCGTATTCCTAAAAATCGGCCCTCGGTCATCAATTTTTCAGAGAGCCCAGCACACAAGCAAAAAAAAAAAACACGAAAACTAAATCGCTCTCACTTTTGAAACACGTTTCCCGAACCGCCCGGAAACGTGTACGGATGCTTTTTGCGGAACACGTGGCCGACGCGACTGCACGGAATGATCTCCAGAGAACCGCCGCATTGCCAAACGCGGAACGACATTTCTGCAAATCCCTCCAATTATAGGCTAATTAACCAACAAAAAAATTGAATAAAACAATTACCCAAATTCTCTCCACCCCACACTTCCATGTCCAAATCATAAGTGCCAAGCTCATCGAACCATTGTTTCGATATCGCGAACAATCCACCAGCCATCGTCGGCGATCTTAATTGGTCAATTAGTGTCTCGTAATTGGCGGCTAGACGAAGAAAAACAAAACAAAACAAAATTACTCACTTAATTGGCGCCGTCGGATTATTGTGACGCTCTTTTCGCAGCTTCTCGTTCATAAACTCCCAACGGAACACGAGGGTCCAATCGAATCCGCCTCGAAGGTCCGCACTAGCTCCGATATAATTGAAATTGTCAATGTTTATCACATCAATGATTGGCGCAACGACGGTTTTTGGATTCTGATAATTAATTGGCCAATTATTTAATTAAACGATAAAAATAATAAAGAATTTGTGGAAAATTCTTACAAAAATATTTTTCTCGAAAATATTCTAAAAAAAAAATTTAATTTCGAATGTTGGGCTCAAAATCCAAAATCTCAGAATTTTCCGCAAATTTTTTCAAAAAAAATTTACTGTTAAAAATTTAAAAGAATTTTCTTGCGTTGTGTTTCTGCAGAGGTCAAAGTCCAATATCTCCGGAAATTTTTACAAATTTTGCAATTTTTTCAGTTTCAACAAATATTTCCAAAAAAAAAATGTCAATTCTCAAATTTTTGGAATTGTGTTTTTTCAGGGGTCAAAGTCCAATATCTCAAAATTTTCCATTGCATTTTTTTCCCAAAAAAATTTCAATTTTCTCGAATTTCGGCATAAGTTTAATTATTCTCAGAAGAATTTCAAAGAAAAAATTTTTCCAGAGGGTCAAAGTCCAAAATTTAAAATATTTTTTTTTTAATTTTGCGTCAAATGTAACCAAAAATTCAATTCTCATAAATATATAGTCGGCGTCCGGCGACTGCTCTACGCGGGTAGATTTACGCGCATGCGCCTTGAAAAGGTCTCGCCACGCTTATTTTGCTGTTTTCACGTGAACGACATATTTTTTCTTGATGATTTTCGCATTTCCTTGAATTTCCAAAGATATTCGATTGAAAAAATTATCGAACCGATCTATAGAAATTTGAAATAACCAGTTAGTCATTGCGAGACCATTTCGAAAGACGCATTCCCGTAAATCTACCCGCGTACAGCAGTCGCCGGACGCCGTCTATATTTCTTTAAAAAATTAGCATTTCAAAATTTTCTTTCTTTTTTTCGTTCAAGGGGTCAAAGTCCAAAATCTCAAATTTTTCTATCCTAATTTGTTTTTCTTTTCAAAAAAATTCAAGTTTTTTCAAATTTCGGCAAAAATTTTTCAAAGGGGTCAAAGTCCATATTTTCGCCAAAAATTGCCCAAAATGTGCCAAAATTAAAAAAAAAAGAGACCTCGGCAATTCGAATCAACAACGGCTCCAACCAATTCTGATTGCATTCGATGTGACTGTCGAGAAACGTGAGAATCGGCGCCTTCGCCACTTGGGACCCTTTCACTCGCGATCTGATCAATCCTTCGCGATTGTTGTTGCGAAGCACGACGACCCTCTCAATTTGCGCGAGCTCTTTGCCCATCGAGACTAAAAAAACCAAAAAAAAAATGGGGGGGGGTAATTCACACAAAAAAATCTCAATTTTTTCAGAAATTTTCGAAAAATTTCAATTTATCGCCAGAAAACTCGATTTTGTCGTCAAAATTCCAAAATTGATTCAAATATACAAAAAAAATTCAATTTCTCAAAAAAAAAAATAAACCTTTAAAAATCGCAAAATTCTCCCACCAATTTGCGAGAATATCATCATTCCTTGATCAAATGAAACCATTATTTTTCAAAAAAACCCACCATCTTCCGAATTGTCATCAACAAGAATGATTTCCATCAAAAATTGCTCCGGCGACATGTTGAAAACGCTGAAAATCGTCCGCAACAGTGCCGATCTCGCTTCGTTATGATAGGTGATGATGACCGACGTCGCATTCATCGCCTTATTCAGATTCACATCTTTGCAGCTGAAAATTTAGTTGAAAAACTCACAAATCTAAAAAATCCACAAATTTTCGATAGAAGAATTGATTTTTCAAAAAAAAAAAATCAAAATTTCATCATAAAAAAAGCATTCTTATTAAAAACCGCAAAATGTTTTCAATTTTCCATTTTCTCGACCAAAATTTCAGCATTAAATGTCTGAAAAATGGCAAAATTCAATTTCCAAACGTAAAAATCTTCATTTTTTGCGAAAAAACATTGAAATTTCATCAATTTCTTTAAACAAAATTGATAATTTCCAATTATTTCTGACAATAATTTTTTTCTCATTCAAAAATCCAAAATTTCGGCTTTTTCGTGTCAAAAATCCATATTTCTTCTCTTATTTTCATTTTTTTTCCTATTTTCGACTCCAAAAGCAACTTTTCCATTTTTTTCAGCAAAAATTTCGGGTTTTCATGTCTGAAGCAAGCCATTTCAACACTTTCACGCAAAATTTTATAATCAAAATTCAATCCTATTAAAACCATGGCATTTTCTCCAAAAACTCCTCATTTTTTTCGAGATTTTTCAAAATTCCAACAGTTTCGCGCCAAAAACCCCGCAATTTCTTCAATATTTTTTCGAGAAAATAAAATTTGAGGTCCCTTTCAAAAAAAAAACTGTCTTACTACGGCTCTCGACTATCCGGAATTTTGCGAATCGGCTCCAATTTGTCCGACGCTTCCAAATTGAACGAGTTCGCCTTGTATTTATCCTCGCCGGGCTTCCATTTGCCTTTTTCCAAGAATTTCTTCGCGTCGAATGTCTTCCACGTGACGCCATTTTCAAGTCGCTCATGAATCGTCGTGTCATCTGAAGACGTCAAATAAATTCGTTGCAAAAAAAAAAACAAAAAAAGAGTTATTATTTTTTATATTTTTCTGCATTTTTTCCATTTTAATTTTCTCTGAATTGATCAAAACGAAAAAAAAATCCAACCTGCTAGATTAATTGTGGGAATCGGCGCAAAATATTTGATCGGCTCAACCGGAACCACTTTCGGCTTCAAATCTTGCGGAATTATTCGAGATGGTCGCTGAAAATCGCAAAAATGACAATTTCCGACAAAAAAATTGCAAATATCAACTAAATTCGTCAAATTCCCAATTTTTTTTTCTATATAAATTGCAGAAAATCGCTTTTTAGTCTTTAGAAATCATGAAATTTTTGTAATTTTTGGAAAAAAACAAAAATTTCAAGCCTCTAATCATTTAAGAACGAAAAAAATTGAAAATTGCCAAAAAAAATTGCTGTTTTGCTCGAAAAAACCCTAATTTCTATTCTATTTCAGTGCAAAAATGCCGCAAATTCGAAAATTTCATCCAAAATTGCATGTCAAATTCAAATTTCTCAATTTTCAGCCAACCGAAATTGCTGAAAACATTTCAAATAAAAAAAAACCCCCAATTTCAATTAGTTAAGCTCAATTCCCATTGAAAAAATCGTAATTTATTGAAAAACTCTCAAATTTCGCTTTAAAAAATGCCATTTTTCATTAATAATCTCACTTTTTCGGTGTTCTGCGAATTATAAAAGATGAATCCAAGTCCGCACATCCAGATGACAGCGATAAGCGACAAAATGGTCCGTAGGCGAAATATTCTCGGCATTTTTTCTTTGCGTGTGTGAGTGTGAGCTGAAATCAAACCAAATATGTCGCCAAAACTAATCTGAGAGTATCGAAGTTGGACGAGAGGAGGTGTCATTCGCACACATATACACACATGAAATAGCTTTTCGCAGAGGTCGCAGACACACGCGAAAATTTCGAATCCAATGAAACTTGATACATATTTGGTGTGGAGCGAAAGAGCACCCTCCAATGAGCACATTTGATCAAATTCTAATGGTCCCCGCGTCAGAATTCATCAAAATTGCTTTTTGATTTCTCACGAATTAAAAAAAAATTGAAATTCTCAAATTTTATAAACATAAAGAATTCATTAAAACGCGCAATTTTCGCCCTCGCCTATTTGAAAAAATTTTGCTGCGGACAATTTCCAAAAAAAAAATTCCGATGAGACACCAAAAAACCGCGATTTTTTGGGCAAATTCCATTATTTTATAGGGCATCAAAAGATTCTCATGGTTTACACCGTTATTCAAGTCAAAAAAAAAAAATAAATGCAAAAAATGCTCACCTAAAAATCGATTATTGATGTGTCCAAGGTCCCGTCGGCCATTCCCCTAAAATTCTGGAAAAAAAAAGAAATGCCAATTAAATCGAGTTAAAGGTACATATACATCGTTAGAGAAACGAAAATGAGGTGCCCGAATAAACATAAAAACCCAAAAAATGAATCGAATCGAACCGATTTATGCCATTGAAACCAAAAAAAGGACAGATAACAACCGAAAAAGAAATGAGGCAAAACAAACAATAAAAACATGTTGATAGGGGATAGGCATTATAGCGGAATAAGAGAGTCGAGGGTTCGGGCTTCCGCGCGCGCGCGCGAGCATAAAATCACCAGATCTTCTCGCCGCTTTTTGATGGTCCGACATTCGTGAGGGTGCTCGGCAAGCAGTGTAATGTGTTATAACCAGTAAACGAGAGGAAAAAGCGGCAAAACGCAACAAAAAAAAACGAATTTTTTTTTGTAAGTTGCAAAGTCCGCATAGTGTCGTATCAGTGTTTGCGTACCGTAACCCAATTGCAACAAAAAAATGCCAAAAATTTTTAAATTTTCCGCCTATTTTTATCGTTTTCGATTCAATTTTTTTGCAGGAAATTCATTTCGACGTGCCGGAAATTGAAAGAACGGCGAAACAATCACGAAAAATAGGAAATTGCTGGGTTTCGATCAATTTTTCCAAAAAAAAAAAAAATAAATAAAACCAATATTTTCTTTGAAAACCAAAACAGCTCACTTTTGCAAAAGCGAAAATGAAATCAATACAACTCGAAATAATGAAAGGCCGGGGGTTCCAATTCGCACAAAATTGTTTATACACATAAACAATAAATAGGCCAGTCAGGGTCTCGTAGCAACAAATCAACTTCTTGGCGATAATTAGCAGAAACTCGCCGGCCAATCGAAACTCCGACTCTCCACCAATCATCAATCATCGGTTTCGGTGAGCATATGACAAATTTCTTATCTATATTCTAGAACTAACATACACTACACAAATGAACGACACTCAATTTCATCGAAGCGTCACGTTGAAGTTCTCCGCGAGACTCGCCTCGATCCTTTTATGGATTACGTTGACCTGAAAAAAATGCCCACACCGATATGTCCGCAGGTGATGAATCATAATTTTCAAAATTCTATTTTTTTTTCTATTATTATTCTTTTTTTTGAAACTAAACTCACCTCTTCTTTGGTCAGCGCCTTCTCATGCGATCTGTACACAATCCGATACGTTTGACTTTTCTTGTTCTTCTTTTTATTCTCAAACTCATCAGTCAATTTCACCTAAAAATTAATGATTTTCAGGGATTGATGGCAACTTGACGAATTCCTAGGAGGGCCCAATCCAAACGAGAACTGCTCTTTTTAAAATGTCAATTTTTGGCTTCTTTGCCAATGCAGAAATCTCAAGGATGAGATTTTGGGCCAAAAAAAGCCCTTGAAATTTTGAGTGGGTTTATCGAAGGACAAAAATAGAGTAATTTTTAGGCGCTGCTACGAAAAAGAGCTTATATATCCACGAAATTAAAAAATTTTTAGCCTAGACCAAAAATTTTGAAAAAAAGTTCCATTTTTTTTTCAAAATGTAAAAAAAATTTCGCGCCAAGACCCCAAAAATGGGTTGGACATAGTGCAACGGCGATTTTTTTTCCAAGATATTTCAACAAATATTCAGGCACCTTAAAAGGCTTCGTCTAGGGACCACCAACCTGCTCGACGAGCTCCCCGCCAACCGTGCGAATCGTGTCATACACATCCGACGTCATATCATTGAATTCCACTTGATCCGGCAAAAAGAACGAGACGTCGAAAATGACTTGCGGATGGGCGCTGATCGCCTTATAAGTCACCGCGTCCTCCGGCGATTTGCCAGCAAATTGCGAGACGAATCCCGAATCTCTCGTCCAGAATAGGCGAATGTCCGGTATTCCGTACAAGACCATCGCAATTCGCTCGAGACCAATGCCGAACGCCCAACCGACTTTCTCCTCAACACCAGCCGATTCGAGAAGCTTCTGCTCCATTATACCGCAGCCGAGCACCTCGAGCCATTGATTGTTGTAGAAAACCTAGACGATTCATTTTTTTTTAGTTCAACGACCTGCTCCAGCTCCTCAACAATACCTCAAGCTCGTACGAGGGATGAGTGAATGGAAAATACGCGTCGACCCATCGCTTCTCGCAATTTCTCCCGAAAAGCTCATCGCAGAGTTGCTCCAAAAACTGCTTGAGCTGAATCTCGAGTGCCTTCGTCGCGTCGATCGTGTGAGCCTCTTGTTTGTCGGCGGTTCGCGGTTGGCGATTACTCGCGAATAACTCGCAGTTCTCGCCGTCAGCGATTTTTTTGCCCATCAATTCCTGTTTCGTATACAGGCGAACGCCTTCGACCCGAAAAAATTGAGAGCTATTGGTTTGAAACGTTGGGACCATTTAAAATTCAATTTTTTAAAAAGGCCTTCTTTAGAGATAAATCTAGAAGCTATATAAATTGTTTGACTTTAATTTGCAAAAAAAAATTGTGAGGCTTAAAAAATAAGAAAAACTAATTGGGACCATTAAAGCATGGCGCGTTCAAAACTTCAAGGGACCACTATTCTAAAGGAAAAAAAAACGGAGAAGCACGAATAAAGCAATTTACCTGATGAAAGCACGGATAATGCGTTCGATCGACCTCATCACGACGATAAACGTCGCCAATGACGAGAAACGCGTCGAGACCCGATTGCATGAGCGAGTGCTGATGGGCCGATGTGTGCGCCCGCAGGCAATGCGATTCATTCACATAATAGGTGTCGGAGGGTCGTCTAGAAGGACATAGCAAAAAAAAACCAAAATTGAAAATAGCTGATCGACACATCGGTCTCACCTTGACACATGATCGGCGGGTGTGAGGAGCGAATCGAAATTCTGAAAGTTGGTCACCACACGCGGCTCGTTCTCGCAGATCGTGAAGATTGGCGAACGATTGCCTTCAAAATAAAAAAAGAAATAATGAAAGAGGTCAATGTTGAGATATTTGGGAACTTATTTAAAAAAAAAAGATTTGCAATTCGTAAATTTAGTAGACCCTTTAAAATTTGAGTGAGCAATTCTCTAGATTTGAATGGTCCCCCATGCTTTTGGGGGCATTTTTTCCATGATTCAATTTCCATTATATAAATTTAAAAAAAAAAAAATTCATGGAGCCAAATTCCATACCCGACTTCCTATACGTTCTATGCACATAATTGATAATTCTTCTCTTCAATAAATTGAGCGGATTCGATTCTTCGGAAAGGAGTCGTCGATCGAGAAGACGTCGAACCGCCGGCGACAAATTCCAAGCATCATCGGTCTCAAATTTGCGGCCATCAAGCTAAAAATAATCAATTTTTCACAAAAAAATCGATTTCAATAAAAATTTGGGGAAAAAATCTAAAAAAAAAACCGGTAAAACATTTTTCTTTCGCAATTTTCTATGGATTTTAGAGCATTTTGTTTGGCAACTTCTCAAATTCCATTTCTCAACCAACCTCAAACACTTTGGGCCGCTCAATCCGCTTCACCTTGTCGGGCTTCTGCTTCAATTCGGCGGCGGTGCTCAACGCTCTCAAGCTCCAACTGCTCCAGCTCGTACATCGCAAAATCAAGCCTGAAGGCAGCATACCTCAATACAATAAATTATGAAAAAAAAAAAAGACAAACGTAACCAGAAATCGAAATACCAAAAATCCGCGGAAAGAAAAACGGATAAAATCACAGAAAAATTCGCAATATTGACAAATATTCACAGATTTTCATGGGATACACGATAAAAAAGAATCAATCATACACACCAGAAAGCAATAATTCAAACAGCAATGTGAATAAAAGTGATAATTTGAAGAAAATCGGCAAAGTTGTGTGCAAACACCGAACCCGACGACGAATTGCGGACGCGCTGATTTCCACGTCATTGAAGGCGCTTCTGAAATTTGTTTTTTTTTTGTTGGCCGACGTCTTCAAGCTTCTCACCTTCTTCTCGCCGATTATTTGCGATGACTGCTGCATTTCCATGAGCACATCGCGTTTCGCGTGCCGCGATTCGGCGCACTCCATCCATTTGCTATTCATCAATTCTTGTGAGCTCGGCCGTTTTGATGGCTGCAATATTTTTGTCTTGTTACCCATTTATGGCATTTTTTCCACTTTTTTTTCTCATATTTGGATGGGGAGAGGATAAAACTCAGAGAAAAAAATTCATTCGATTATTTTTTCAAATTTTCGCTTCGAAATTTTTTTTCACCAAGGAAAATTTAAAATTCTTCAAAACTTTTTAATTTCTCCACTAAATTTTAAAAGATTTTTTTAAATCAAAATTTTTTAATCGAAAAAATCGCTCATTTTTCCAATTCAAAAATCACCATAGAAAAATCGATAAATTCTTCAACATTTTTAAATTTTCTACAAAATTCGCGATTTTATGGTTTAATTTCAAAAATTATCAAAAATCACATTTTTATTGATTAAAAATTCAAACAAAATTGCCATTTTTCCAATTTTCTGCTTGAAAAAAAAAACATTTTTCATTCAAAAACATCAAAGAAAATCTAAAATTCTTCAAAAAAAAAAGGTTTTTGTGTTATTTAAGGATTTATTTCGAGAAAATTTCTTCAACACATAATTTTCCTTGAAACATTCACTCATTTTTCCAATTTTCTGTCTCGGCCATTTTTTTCACAAAAAATCGAAATTTCTTTAAAAATTTCCAGATTTTCCGAAGTAAATTAAAAAAAAATACTCTAAAATTCCAAAAATTAATTCTCAAATTCGCTTCAAATATCAATTTCTCCAAATTATTCTGATAAATTATTGAGGAAAAACCCAATAGTTCAACCATTTCGTGTCTATCTCTACTCAAAATCGCCTTACATTCACCGTCAGCATCGATTTGATCATCTGCTGCGTCTCCAAACTAATTCGTTTCCAATGCGAATGGAAAATCAGGCGGCCTAAAATCCAATATCTCGCTTCATGCGCCTTTAAACGCACAACGCTCACCTTTCAAGACCTGATCGTCCATCGGCATATCGTCGTATTCCTCGCTAAACGGCGGATAGCCGCAAAACGCGATGAACAACACACAACCAAGGCTCCATCTAATGAAAAAAAGCCAAATGAAAATTGAAAAAATTCAATTCAACAAAATTTTTTTGGTCATTTTTTAAAAATTGAAATAATAATTAAGAAAAAATCCTCTGGTAAATTATTTCGAGTCGTATACGTTGATATCGCTTTTCAAGCCAAATGCAATTGGCATTTTTTCGAATACGATGAATAAATTCTGTTTTTTTTTCTCGTATTTACCAGAGTTGGTTCATTTTTTTTGCGGGACCGCAAATCCGAAAAATCTCGAATCGCTTACACATCAACTTTTGGCGTATATTCGAGTCCCTCGTTGGCGACAATCTCCGGCGCGTTGTACGACGGCGTGCCGCACTTCGTCTTCATTCTCGCTTTTGATTTCGCCATCCCAAAATCGGTTAGCTGCATGAGAGCCATTCAATAAATTGTGCTAATTGGTCGGCCTACCTTTAATATGCATCGATCAAGTTTCGACGTGCACAAAATGTTCTCCGGTTTGATGTCGCGATGGCTAATGTCCAACGAGTGCAGATACTGTAACATTGTTTGGCCGCTTAAAACGAAAAAAAAATTTCCAACCGCAATCGCGCTTATCAGCTGATAGGCGTAGTATTTGCCGAGGCTCTCGCCCAATCCCATTCGATTGTACTTCGGATCGACGATTTTCGCGAAAAACTCACCGCCGCCGACGTACTCGATGACCATATATGAGCATTTCGTCACGTTTATCCAATCGAATATCCGCACAATGTTCGGCTGCAAACAGTTTTTGCGTTTTGCCGCGCAAATTTTGGCAGGAAAATAAATGGGAAAATGGGGCTCCCTTGTGAAAATCGATATATAATGGCCCCAAAACGGAAATTGTTGGAATTTTCGCGTATTTGCCACAAAAAATTTGGTCTTGACATTTTCTTCGCGTAAAAGCGTCCATTTCAAAATAATGGTCCCAATTTGAACCAAAAATCAACACAAAAATGGTTTTGAAGCGATTAATCTCAATTTTTTTAATAGCTATATTTTTAACCTCGTTAATGGACAAGCTTTTTCCAATGGTCCCAAAACGATTGCCTTTTTTCTCTCAATAAAATCGATTCGTCCAAGACCTACATGATTGAGCTTCTTCATGACCTCCACCTCATTCTTGATATCTCGACTTTTCGCGATCGCTCGACTGCATCGCACTGAGAATTGCGTGTTGACCTGCTTAACAGCAACCTGCAAGCATATATTATAAGAAAAAAAAAGCAAAATTTAATTCAAATCAAAAATTAATATGGAAGGTGTAATCGAAATTTCGAGAATCCCTCGATTTGAGCATATTTTGAAACAGTTTTTTTGAATTTGTTGATTCTCAAAATTCTCAGACAAGCATTTTGATAGTTCATATCTCATTGGGGGACCCATTTCATTTAATTTGGGCAAATTTTCTAACAAATCGGTATGCGTCAAAATGACCAATCCCTTACCACAGACTTGTCATGCTTCTTGTAACCGAGCAGCACTTTCCCATAGCCGCCTTTTCCCAGCGAATGATTCGTCACATGGTATTTTCGGGTCAATTCGTCGGGAAACGCGTTCACCGTCGTGTCTTCGTACACGAAAACTGCAAAAATTGGGGTCTCGCCGAGAATTTCGCCAGAAAAAAAATCAATTACCAATCAATCTCGGTATACCGATGCTAATCAAATCGCCGTTCGACAATTCGACGCAATTATTGTTTCCAACCATTTCATGGTTCACCAGGGTCCCATTTCGCGAATAATCGAACAGTTTGGTGACGCCCGTCTCAAAATCCTGCAATTGTTTCAAAATTTGTGAACAAGAATATCAAATTTCGCATTTTTCTACCCTTATTATTGTGAATTGAAGTTTTGAAATATACTTATAAAGGCCTTTATCACTTGCCAACGCCGAGAAACTGTAATTCACCGGAAATTCGTAGCCGCCTCTTCCGCATGAGAACGTTTTCTCGAATAATTCTGAATTTTTTCAATTTTTCGAATTTCAATAATCAAATCACCAATATTAATGACTCCATTGCGGACTGCAATCAATTTCGCATATGGTTTGGAGCTCTGCGTGTCTTGCGTATCAATCAAATCATCGACCGGCTGCGTATCGTCGCGGCTAACGCTAACCACCTGTTTTCTGCAAATAAAGATTTATGACGCTTTTTTTCGATTTAAAACGCACTCCCCGTTATAATCAGCCTTTCGTTTGAAGCCTGATCTCATCATACCTGCAAATTATTTGAAAAAAAAAATGAAAGAAATGAAGGGCAAAATTGAAAAATAAAAATAAGGAGTACTGTAGCTCAAAAAGACCGCAATGCGGACTTCATCACTTACAGTATCCATATGAAAAATAATTGAATTCCTCGCGTTTTTCATTTCAATTTTATGCACGTTTTCGGATTTTCAGAATGGATTATCCCGGCGGCGCGACAAGCGTGCCACAAGTCGCCATCGACCTCAACGCGGCCGCCGAAACCGCGCAAATCGATCAATTCGGCTTCTACAATTCGAATTTCGCGCAATCCGCACAATCTCCAAGCAGCTATGAAGCGCCAAGTTTGAATTTGTTGTTCTAAAAATTTCTCAATGGTTTTTTTTTAATTTCAAGCCGGCGCAATCGACCATCCAACCGGAAACATCTATCGTCGCGCCAATTTGGGAACCGCCGGCAAAATGTTGGAGAACAACGGATTCGGTTGGCTTCTGGAGGTCAACGAGGAAGACAACGATCAAGTCCCGCTACTGTATGTCAGAAATACCAAAAAATCGCAAAAAAAATTCATTTCAGTGAGGAGCTCGACATCGACCTCACCGACATCTACTACAAAATCCGATGCGTTCTTCTCCCGCTGCCATATTTCCGGATGAAGTTGAACATCGTTCGCGAATCGCCCGACTTCTGGGGACCACTGGCCGTTGTGCTCGCCTTCGCGCTTCTCTCCATCTACGGACAATTGAGTGTAAATGAAATATAAATTAAAAAATGAAATATCGGATACCAAATTTGCATTTAGGTGGTCTCATGGATCATAACAATGTGGTTTTGCGGCGGCTTCATGGTCTATTTTATCGCGAGAGCTCTTGGAGGTGACGTTGGCTATTCGCAGGTAACTCTAGTGACAATTTAAGACCTATAAGAATCCTTTAACTGATTTTTTTTCTGAAAATCTCCGCCAAAATTTGGGTCTCGAGGCGATTTTCCGAAAATTTCCAGGTTCTCGGCATCGTCGGCTATTGCCTAATTCCGCTCGTCGTCACCTCAACAATAGCGCCCCTATTTTCCAAGTAAGAATTGCCACCCGGGGTTACTGTAAGCGGCGAAATCCGCAATCGCCAAACACGACGCAATCGTGCACCATCTCGTTTTGCAGTTTCCGTCTCCTCACGAATCTCCTCGGCATTTTCGGAACCGTCTGGTCCGTGTACAGCGCCGGCACACTTCTATGCGTCGACGAGCTTCAAACGAAGAAGCCGCTCGTCGTCTATCCCGTCTTTCTCCTCTACACTTATTTCTATTCATTGTATTCGGGTGTTTAACCAAATCATCAAACAAAAATTAACACAATCAAATATATTAACAGGTTTATTTCCTTTTTTGTGTTTTGTGTTCACAATGAACGCTTTAAGCTACATTATACAACAGTTTGGCGGTGGTGGTGTGGGGTTGAACGGGTTAATTCATATGAAAACTCGATGCGGGAAATTGTGGAGTTTCAAAATTCTATGGTTAACCGCTTCTAGTGGTTAGTCAATGATACATATAGTTAAGTGAACTACACCACCATCACCACAAAGAGAGATGATGTTTTTTTCGTCTCTTCAGGTGGAGGAGGGGACGGACAACGTTGAGGAATGTGTAAGAATCATCGTTTGTTTCTAAAATCCTAAAATCTAACCACTAGATCCTCAATGAATTGGGTCGGGCGTACTAAAGCATAATAATACATATAATATATATATATAATAATAATAGTATATATATATATATATATATATATATAATAATAAAAACACATCATCGAAATTGGAAATTTACCTATTAGGCGAATAGGATGAGGGGATGGAGAGGGTCTTACAACTATATATACACACACAGCAGTTCTAAATACAGTTACATGGTCCCGAAACGATGAATTAGACAAAAAAAAAGTACAAAACAGCCTAGAAAGTATGTATAGTTGGTGTGTGCGCCTTTAAGCGTTCAAACTCGAGACCGGCGTCGGCGCCGCCCAGATCTTCTCGAGATCCTTCAAAAGGTGCGTCATGTTGGCCTCGTCTTCGACGGCGGTCGTCGATTTCGCCGGTGACGCGTTCCACAGATTGCAACCGCGCGACCACGTCCAATTGTTCGAGCTCGGTGTTGGCGAGGAGAACATCTGAATCATACACTTGTTTTTTTGGGAAACGCTTTTCAAATTCTCACCTTTGACGTCGACGGCGCCAAACCGGAAAACGACAAATCATTAATGAATCGATCGGCGTTGAAGTTCGGATTCATCTGATCGGCCTTCTTCTCAAAGTTCAGTGTGCTCGGACGCGAAATCGACGGATAGTCGTAGGCGCCGAGAAGATCGTGAAGCGCATGATCGCCCGAAATCGACGACGACGCGCTGCTCTCATCGATCACACAATTCCTCGGCATCTGTCCGCGAGCCAACGCCGCTCCATACGATGATGTCTGAGCCGCGGCGGCGGCTTGCTGCTGCTGCTCGGCTTGTCTCATCGCGTACGGTCGGGTGATTCCCGCCGGCACCGACGCCGACACCGGTTTGTTGGGCTGACGACGCTTCCAGCCGTCGACCGACGCCATTTCGTAGTAGAATCCATCCGAGTTCGGATCGTAATATCTGAAAAGGCGACACGATTCTAGATGGAGCAAACTCGACAAACCTCAACGATGGCTGATTCTGCGCCTGCTGCTGCTGCATGAGAATCTGCTGGATCAATGCGGTTCGCGCCTGCGCGGCCAGCACATTATTCGCCTTCGACATCATCTCCTGGAAAACGCGAAATGAGATGCTCAACGAAACACCACAAGAAGCACAAGCCTTCTCATTTTTCGGCGCCACACCGTTCGGCATTCGTCGCCGCCAACCTTTCGCGCCATTCTGCTCATAATAGTAGCCGTCGGAAGCGACGTCGTAGAACCAATACTCCTCGTTGCCGGGAATCGGCGCCTTCTGATGCGTCAACGTCAAATCGGCGAGAAGCGTGTTGAGACGCTTCTCCTCGTAGCCCTCTTCGGAGCTCTCGCTCATCGCCTGACTCGCCGCGTAGCCGTCTTTGCGTTGAGCGCCGTGCGCGCTCATCGCCTTCCGATGATGATGGTGTCGTCTTTGACGTTTCTTCTCCTCGCCGATTACGCCCGCGTACCGTCGACTATTCTCATTCGATTCTGAAATTCAATTCATTCGTGACTTCTCCCTTGTGTGTGTTTTTTTAATTGCTTCCATCGAGGCTGATTGGTATTCAAAAACAAGTTCCGCATCGCATCATAAGATTGAAAAGCTGGATTTAGCCAGATCACATGATCTCAACAGCATGGGTTGTTTAATGCTTGAATCGTGATCGACGAGCTTCAGAATCTTGAGAACAAGATTCCAAACAATCGTTGAAGATCAACAAGCTTCGAATATAATCTCTCGGATGTTTAGAACGAGGCGAAAACGCGCAAAATCGGTTTCAACGAAAAACGCTAGAAATCTAGATTTTTAAAAATTTAAAGAAACACAACAAAAAAAATCGATTCAGAGAGAGAAAGAAAAACGCGCGCGCGCGCCTAGAAGAACAAGAACAATCACGCGGGCCGAACACCGCAAGAAAGCTGGATCCAATTGGAAGTGGTGCGAAGAAGTGGAATCGGACGAAGTGGAGGCGACTAGACACCGCCTCAACTAGATTCCAAAGCGTTAGTGCGCGCGCGCCCGCATGCTTCCTTCTTTCCTCCCATTTACAGGCAAACATTCATTCACAGATTGAATCTCGTGATGATGGAATGGAGGCAAAAAAAGCGCGATGAGAGGGGGGAAGAGAGAGGAGGGAAGGGAAGGGAAGTGTTCCTCTCTGCTTCTCTCCAAAATCGAGTTGTAATATTATTATTATTGTTATAACAGTTCCCTCCGCCTTACGTATACACACATACAAATAGTCATAAACGGCAAAACATAAAAAGGGAATGATTGGGGGAGGGGAACGAGAGGAACAGACGACGACGACGACGACGAGGGACCGATTGCACTATTTCAGCATCTCTTTTCGACAATTCCAGAAAAGAAGTGCAAAAAGTCAATAATCTTCAAGAAGTCTACGAGAAAAAAAGAAGAAGCAACACACAAAATTCGAGTTTTTGAAGCGCCAATGAGAATTTCAGCTGTTTTCTTTTTTCAAGATCCCCCTTCAAGAAAAGCGCAACCTTGAAGCTTTTTCGAGCCTCTTATGAATTCTAACAAAATCGAATAAGAAGAAGAAGCTTGAAACACTCACCATCAGAACCGCCTTGATGCTGCTGTTGCTTCTTGTCGAATAGATCCGTGTCGGCCATAAACCATCCCAGCGTTCTGGCTCCGCGAGCCGCCGCCGCCGGCTGCGTCAATGCACCGCTCTGCTTCATCGATGGTCCGTAGAACCTGCAAGAATCGCCTTTTATAGTCGTCGTCGAGACGAAGAAAGAGATAGAGAGTTCAATCGAACTCCAAAAGTGCCGAGCTTCTCCAATGGGCACAAAAACACAAAAGCGACGTCGATGGGGAGGGGAGAGGCGAGGGGAGGGGCGTGGCGTCGAGGGTTTGAGTTCAGAGCACGTGGACTTTTCGCCACAAGACCATTTGATAGTGCATTTCGGCGAAAATAACCGCAAACAACAACACAGTTGAGGGGATGTTGTACTCCACGAGGACTACACAGAATCGCCAAACGATGAAAGCGGCAGGGCGAGCAAAACAACAGATTATAAACGATATTCGGTGAGGCTGGGGGGAAGGGGAGCGAAAATTGGTTTTTGGCCAAAATAGGATAATTAAGCTTTAAAATAATTGGATAGTTAATGACATCAAAGCTTCTCGCCGCACTTCTCAATTTTTGATCTCTCCAAAAAAGGGAGAATGTCATCGAATTATTCAGTGCAACGCGTGCACTTCGAGTGCACACGCCCTTTTCTTCTTGTCGTGAGTCAGCTGATGCCAGACCGACGAGTTGCCTCATGTTTGGCGCGCGCGCGCGCAGAAAATGATCCTTTAAAGGGTATAAGGGATGATGATTAAAGGCGCACGACGACAAACCAAAATACAATGGATGATGAGAAAAAAAAAAAAGAAAAGTAATGGGAGAAAAGCTCGGCAAAATCTCATCGAGAAGAGAAAAAAACGCGCGCGCGAAATTGCCGATTGGGTAGATCAAAATAATTGAAAAAAAAAGATCAAAAAATCAATGAAATTGAGAGTAGAAACCCAGGACAAAAAATGGAATTCAGAGAGAAATGTCGGCCGATACGAATCGACCCCCCCCCCGGCAACAGAAAAAAATACCGGTCGTGGCGCGACGTTTCGGCAAATTTTTGCCCCCCAAGCCCATTTTTTTTGTAGTTTTCATCAAAATTCCGTTCCCTGGGCGTACCTTTGGGTTTTTGCCGCCATTTCGGTGGCGTTCCTCGTCGTTTCGAACGCGTCGCAAACGCTGACACTCGACAATTTTTCGCGTGCCGTTTGGAGTGGTCGAGTTCGAGTCGAGACGCTGCAAAGAAAAAATAATTACAAATTATTAATGAAAATTGTTACGAAAATTTCACAAGAGATGAAATAGAAATATAATGACGAAAAAACGAGTGGCAAATATTCAAAAAATCACATTTTTTGTGGAATTTGAACTCAAAATTCAAGAATGAAGCGAAAATTATGGCAAATTCTTATTTCTGGATATAAAATCGAAGAAATATTCAAAAATTCACATATTTTTTGTGGAATTTGAACTCAAATTTTCAGAAAGATCCGAAAATTCTCATTTCTGGATACAAAATAGAAGAAAAATTCAAATATTCAATTTTTTAAAGCCAAATTTGGACTCAAAATTCAATGAAAAGAAAAGAAAAAACTGAAAAAATTGGCAATTCTCGGGGTAAAATGGGAAGAAAAATTCAAAAAATTTCCCATTTTTTGTCCAAATATGGGTTCAAAAAAGCGCAAAATATAGCAAATTTGGATCAAAAGACCACATTCGGATGGTAATCTCGAGATCAAGTTTCGCGAAGAAAAAAAAACTCGATTTCTGCTCAATTCGATGCCAATCTCAATGTTCACATAAATCTAATGAGCCAAATGTAATCAAATCGCAAAATCGACTAGGCGAGGGACCATTATAATAGGAGACAAAAAAAAATTGAGGGGACCATCACATGACACGCATACAATAATGAGACAATGGTGCGAGAAGGACGAGGCCCGCCCCCCACACGTCACAGCAGGTGCACCAAATCTCCGCCCATAATGATTGGTGGGGGCAGATGGTGGCGAATGATTAAACTTGCAATTAATGTGGTAGCATATAAGGAAGGAAAAGTTCCAATAGACCTAAAAAAATTGTAGAAAAAGCTGTTTCTGCATTGTTTGAATATGTCGGATCAAAATTTGTGGGGCCATCGATTGGTGACGTCGAGTTGTTGCGCCATTTCGCACACAACTGTATAAGGCAGTCGTGTGTTTGTGAACACACGCCTGTATTTTCTTTTTGGTGAAACCGTCTCCCAAATGACGTCACCAATTTCGGAAAACAAAAATTTTCGTCTCGATTTTCACGAAATTCCCGGCCGCTAAATTTGTTGAACGCCCGAAAAAAAATTGATATCAAAACTAGCTAGTTTTTCCACAAAATCTCAATGATACACCAAATTTTGAGAGAACCATTTGAATTGATGAATTTCGGACCATTGAAACCCAAAAAATGACTAGTAGTTTGTTTTCGCGGGATTTGATCTCAATAAAAAATATATTTTCGAAACAAAAAACCGCCGATTTTCTCGACAAATAAAAAAAATCACCAAAATTTGGCACCAATCCAAAAAACCAGCATGGTGTGACGTCACACCATGATGGTCGCGATTTTGGCAACACCTGTGCTCGTAAAGAATACCCGCCCGCCAATCACGTCTAGACGGCTCAGTTTTACAACAACATTCGAATACGGCGAACGGCAGAACAACGAAAAAAAAAAAATTTTTTTTTTTGAGAAATGAGTTGATTCTAAATAAACATTCATAATGTTGACTGGCCTCTCGGACAGGCCGCGCCGGGTCTCAAAACATCTGCCATGCCAGATGCTTCCCAAAAGCAAACGCGCGACAATCAAGAATTGTTGCGAATTGCATTATGCTCTTTTAAGGACAATGAAGGGACCATAATGGATCAAAGGGGACCGCGGCGGGAACCAATATCTACAGAGAATTTTACCAAAATTGGAGATTTTGGCTGGAAAGTAGAAAACAAAACAAGCAAATTCGAATGATTTTTTTTTGATTTTCACTCGACGGTCCCGACGCCATCCTGGCGCATTTTTGCGCCAAAGTGCTATAAATTGCACCAATAAATGTGTGAGCACAAGGGCTCTTCGGGGACCTCCACACGGCCGACCATTTTCGGCGTTCGTTCGCGCGATTTCGAAATTACCGCCACAAAAAAAATGAAAGAAAAAAGACATTTTTTTGCGCCCAAAAATTTCGTAAGGTTTCTTTGGCTGGGAGGAAAATGAAGGATTTGTGCGATTCTCGGAGGATGTAATCCAAGAAGAAAAAAAAAACTAGGAATTCCAAATAGGGTAATCAACATTCATAGAAAGGAATTTCGAAGAAAAAGGTGATGTAATGAATGCAAAATGAAAAAAATCTATTTGAAATGTGAAAATCAAAGGAAAAAAAAACGTTTTTGAAGGAAAATTTTCAACAATCTTCTGTCAAAAAATCAATTCCAGAAGAAGAAAAACACAAAAAAGTGAACAATATCGAAAAATTCTCGGCAAAATTGCAATTTTCAAAGAAACATGTACGAAAAAAAAACGACAATTCATCAATATTGTTAATTTTAGATGAAAAATTCGAACCAATTTCAAAAAATCATTGCAAAAAACTCAATTTCCCTCAAAAAAAAATGGAAATAAAGTAAAAACGAAAACGGTTTGAATGGGACGACGACGAAAAAAATTAAACGAAGATCGATTTGAGACGATGAGGTCGCGCGTACCGACGGCGATGGAAACGCCTCAAATCGACCTCGACGCGATCGAAAAATGAAAAAAGAGACCTTGGTGCTGCCTCGTAACAACACACACACACAAGGCAATTATGCGAAGATAACCAAGTGGGAAAGAATTTCGCAAAAAAAAGAAGAAGAAGAAGAATGATGAGTCAAAACGGGGGGCACTCATCTTTTGTTGGGGGGGGGGGTCACAACGATCGGGACCATCGAATTCTCCATGTGATGAGGGCACTAGAAAGAACACATCAGCTGACTGGCGTGAATGAACACTTGACAGACCCCCCCCCAAATCTCCTTTTCTCTATGCCCTCTCATCCAGTGTTTCCCAGGAATCGCACAACCCCCCCGCCCCCCCTTGCTCATTCTCCTCATTTGGTTGGTATCAATAGGGCGGAGGAAAATCGAATGAGTCATTCAACGAAATTTCGAAATGCGTCGACATCAATTGCGAAATACACATGTGTTAGGTTCGCTAGTGTTACAGTTTATTTATTTTTTCTAGAAAACCCAAAAATGCTTTCTAAAAAAAAAGGAAAAATGGATGGAAATTTTCAGACGAATTGCCAGCAATGCTTGCAGGCAGGATTCCAGCAATAAATCTCACCCGTCCGCTGATGGAAAGTATGAGGTATTACAACGAAAAATGCAATTTCAAGTTGGAAGCGCAAAAAAAAAACGCCTGAAGATTGGAAAACACAAAACGCATTCATCACATGTGTTTCTAATTTCCTCTCTCTTTCCTCCCCCCCCCCTCCCCCCGAACGAACCTCATTCATTTCAATACGAATTTCGTTCGGCGGGCTGTCTGTCTGGCTGGCTGTATACCAATAAATGCACCATTATTTTTTTTGCCTCCTGTTCGCGCCGTTCTAATTGCAACTGGCCGCACCGAAATGTGTAATAAGTTTGGTTGAATTGGTGTGGGTGTGTCGTTTTTTGGGGATACGGTGGGCGGATATTGCCCTTTAAACTACTATCAATCAACTTCTCATGGTGGCGGAGGCGTCGGCGCAAAAAAAAACACAGGTAGTTTGAAAAATAACTTTTGTTTCGACGCTCAAGTGGCGCCGCCAAGAAAAAAATTCGCGATTTTTGGTCCAACAAAAATCCATTCTTATGAGGAATTTCTTCAAAAACGAAAAATCATAAATCAGCGCCGAAATTACGTTATAAACCGTGTACGTAAATCACAAGTCTCGCCGAAAATTATGATCAAAACGCCAAAAAATTGCATTAGATGGGAAAAAGCTGAAATATAGTGTTTAAGCCTCTTTTTGAGACCTCGAAATCACCAAAAAGCGGGGGCGGAAAAAAATAGGGAAAAGCTCGAAAACAAAAAGAGGCCGCCGCTTAATCTTGACAAAATGTCGCTTCTTCGTCTTTTAATGGAATCGTCGTCGAATGGCGGAACCCGGATGAATGTCGGCTAGAACTGGTTTCGACTCCAAAACTACATGTTCGATTCCATCAAAAGTTTTTGTTTTAAACTTCCTATCTGGAATTTCATTCTCTCTCTCTGAACCCCACTGGTCGCGAGATCAACCTTCGGACCATTGAAATCGAGGTTCAAAATTCACAAACATTCTCGGGACTCGAGCAATTCCAGTGATCTTTGATTAGGATTCAAGAGTGTTCAAATTTGATATGGCCAATTCAAAATTTGAAAAAATAAAACAAATTTCAAGGAACACAAAAAAAGGTGGCAGGATTTTCAGAATTTTGAGAACAACATTCAGTCAGCAGCCAAAAGAAAAAAAATAAACGTATGAAAAGCTTGATGAAGATGATGATGAGGCATCAATAGCTAGCCTAAACCAGCCCCATCATGGTGTGGCAGCAAAGAGTGCGCGCGTGAGCGCTCGCCTCGCGTGTGTTGCAAACGGACCACAACGAGCCGAGCTCTCATTTCCATGCATATACGTATTCTGGAGGGGGGGGGACTCTCTTAATCCGCTATTGTGTCGCAAACACACCAAAATGAGAACTGCGCTCACTCCCAAATTGCATTTGTTGCACACACACACACCGAGTGAGAAAGAGAGAGAGCCCAGCGGTCAATGATGTTTGATATCTGCGGACAAATTTCAACAATTCGAAAGAGCTCGAAAATCCGATCAATTGATAATCCAAACTCTGGAAAAAAGAAATCGACAGGGGGTTTTCACAACAAAAAAAGAAACCAAAAAATGGCGTGCCACAAAAAAAACTGGATAAAATCATGTGAAGCAATTGATAAGAAATGAAGCGAAATGAAATGGATAGGGGGGAGGAGTTCGCGATAATAAATCAATTCGATTCCCTTTTTCGGTCAATCAAACATGATGAGAGACGCGAAAATCATGTGAACGCCCACTTCTCGATAGACTTTGTTCCTTACCGGCACCATATTTGGT